ATCCTGCGACGCTCCTCCAACATCTAATTCATCACTGATCCTGCGACGCTCCTCCAACATCTAATTCATCACTGATCCTGCGATGCTCCTCCAACATCTAATTCATCACTGATCCTGCGACGCTCTTCCAACATCTAATTCATCACTGATCCTGCGACGCTCCTCCAACATCTAATTAATCGCTGATCCTGCGACGCTCCTCCAACATCTAATTCATGACTGATCCTGCGACGCTCCTCCAACATCTAATTCATCACTGATCCTGCGACGCTCCTCCAACATCTAATTCATCACTGATCCTGCGACGCTCCTTCAACATCTAGTTCATCACTGATCTTGCGACGCTCCTTCAACATCTAATTCATCACTGATCCTGCGACGCTCCTTCAACATCTAATTCATCACTGATCCTGCGACGCTCCTTCAACATCTAATTCATCACTGATCCTGCGACGCTCCTTCAACATCTAATTCATCACTGATCCTGCGACGCTCCTTCAACATCTAATTCATCACTGATCCTGCGACGCTCCTTCAACATCTAATTCATCACTGATCATGCGACGCTCCTTCAACATCTAGTTCATCACTGATCTTGCGACGCTCCTTCAACATCTAATTCATCACTGATCCTGCGACGCTCCTTCAACATCTAATTCATCACTGATCCTGCGACGCTCCTTCAACATCTAATTCATCACTGATCCTGCGACGCCCTTCAACATCTAATTCATCACTGATCCTGCGACGCTCCTTCAACATCTAGTTCATCACTGATCTTGCGACGCTCCTTCAACATCTAATTCATCACTGATCCTGCGACGCTCCTTCAACATCTAATTCATCACTGATCCTGCGACGCTCCTTCAACATCTAATTCATCACTGATCCTGCGACGCTCCTTCAACATCTAATTCATCACTGATCCTGCGACGCTCCTTCAACATCTAATTCATCACTGATCATGCGACGCTCCTTCAACATCTAGTTCATCACTGATCCTGCGACGCTCCTCCAACATCTAATTCATCACTGATCCTGCGACGCTCCTTCAACATCTAATTCATCACTGATCCTGCGACGCTCCTTCAACATCTAATTCATCACTGATCCTGCGACACTCCTTCAACATCTAATTCATCACTGATCCTGCGACGATCCTTCAACATCTAATTCATCACTGATCCTGCGACGATCCTTCAACATCTAATTCATCACTGATCCTGCGACGATCCGTCTGATCCTGCGACGATCCTTCAACATCTGATCCTGCGACGATCCTTCAACATCTGATCCTGCAACGATACTTTATCACAATGATATGACATTAATTTTCAACTCACAAATATCACTTAGGTAGCAATATCATACCATACCATACCATACCATACCATACCATACCATACCATACCATACCATACCATACCATACCATACCATACCATACCATATCATACCATACCATACCATACCATACCATACCATACCATACCATACCATACCATACCATACCATACCATCTGATCCTGCGACGATTCTTCAACATCTGATGCTGCGATGATCCTCCTGATCCTGCGACGATCATTCATCATCTGACAACAAAAGTATGATATGAATAATTTCCAAGAGAGAAATGTCACTTATGTATAAAGCACTCAGGATAAATTATATCGAACCTCCAACACTCCAACGTCAGTCACTCGTGGCCTTTGCATTGCGCACGCGAATACAAAATGTCATGAACGTTTGAATACAAAATGTCATGCACGTTTTAAAACAAAATGTCATGCACGTTTTAATACAAAATGTCATGCGCGTTTTAATACAAAATGTCATGCGCGTTTTAATACAAAATGTCATGCACGTTTTTGTACAAGAAAGCAAGAACACTGGACTATCATTAGAAATACATATTTCATGTTTTTATGTTTTAGGCGCTCTCCGAGCGATATTTTTGTCCGGACTATATAGTCGTCAAGATGGAGAAAACACAAGCGATTGGGGCCCCAGAATCACTTGTATTCACTCCGCATGCGCTTGATACGACCAGACTTCATGCATGCAAAAGTCATGCACAGGCGGAAACTTGGGAATGAAGGAGGTAAACAGAAGAGTGTTCAGTTTATATCTCAGTCTCAAAAAAGCCAAATTCCATGCAATTTTTACTCATGCATATTGTCGAAATCGAATTTTGTATTTGCGTGCATAAATGTCCCAAGGCATGTCCGACATCTATTTACGATTCTTTCGTTCTACAAAAACAGAACTTGGGTAAAACAAAAGGACAGGGAAGTCTAGCATAGTACAATCATATACCAATACAAATAATTATATAGGCATTGAGTTTCAATCCGTCTTTCCCTTTCAAAACGAGCATTCTCTTTGGGCAACCCTGTCCGAAAAACGAATAGGCCAGCCGGGAAAGTTAGTTACAGTCATAAAGTTCGAATTCCTTTCTATATATCAAAACTATTCTAGTCTCGTCCACCCTGACTGTCCGTTAACAAAGTGCAAACGTGTTTTTTCAGGTCACAAATGCAAAATATACATATATTAATAGAACAATACCTATTATTCGCTGCGAGCAAGCCTTTACGTTTCTCCTTCCCCATTTTTCGGCGCCGTAATTCGTTCTGAAATCAAATAAGCAAGGAAAAACAAAACTAAAGTAACAGCTCACTTGCATTGGACATTTTCAATCGAAATATACAAGATAAAGCAGTAATAATCGGCAAGAATATTGCTCCACTCACTAACGTCTTCCCACGCTATTCAAATCAACACAGCGATCAGTCAATTTGTTTACAAAGCCAAAGATCAAGCCAAAAGCTGTTCAAACTAACAATCACCATGTACCTACAAGAATCTTCCAACTTTTCCTGAACTTCGTTGACTAATGCTTCCTTTTCGAGACTGCAACGACTGAGTTTCGTCTAGATTCAACCGCCTTTTATTACTTCAACAAACAAAGAAAATTCCAACGGACAATGAACGCATTGACAACAATAGATAATCAACTAACTCATGGCAGACTTGCCCGGAATGGATATAAATTAGCCAAATAAATATGTTTTGCATATTTCTATTGTCCGTTTTAAGTGATTAGCAAAATTCCTCTCCGTGAAGCGATTAATGGAAAATACTCTTAGCTTAAGATATAAAAGCCTTCTCTTTTCGCGTTAATCTTTTCAAACTAAAACTATAACAACTTTTTTTCTCGGTTCCTGGTAGCAATTTTCTTTTACCATTTCTTTTATTTTTCGATATTTGCAAACGCCGAAATTGAACCACCGAAAATACCTGGTTAGTTTTTGAGTTATTCCAGGGTCTGGTTTATTTTCTCAGTCTGCTTTGTCCTTTATAAGATTCTGAGTGTTTTGTAAATGGAAAATAGCCGTCAGCCGACCCTCTCTGCCCGTGGAAAATTGCACACCTAAATACAAAATTTTATCCTTTTCCAGTGTCATGCCAAACATCTCAGGTATTCAGGGCAAACTTGAAATATATAATGATTTAAATTTCAAGTACTTCATTAGTTTGACTTGTAACAACAGATATACACCCAAGCTTAATTTTTGAGCTCCCCTTTCTTTTTTACTACAATCTGGCACTTGTTTACTGCCATTTAAAAAATCTCATTGTTTCCTTCATTGGTAACTGATGGGCACTCTTAAAAACCTACAGCACCAAATGAATATATTTTGCAAGTTTTTTACCTGCATTAGCTTTCACCTACTCAGTTCATGCGTTTGTTTGCCAGGACGAAGCTCCTTTTTTAGTCCAAGTAATAAAAATAGTTTCCTTATGCGAGCAGCATTGATCTCTGGCCACCATACACTGAAAAGCCTTTCAAAACTTTCTCTAGACTCAACTTAATAACATAAAATGTTTATTTCTGAGAACATTACCAATAAAGATCTTGTTGTAACGAGACACAGAGGTAATTGATGGAAATTTACCAGCATTGAATGTATCAATAAGGGAAGTCATGCCACATGCTTGGTTTGAAAGTCTTTCCAGTTTATGGTGATCTTTGGCCACCATACACTGGAAAGACTTTCAAAACTTTCTCTTGACTCAACCTAATAAAATAAAATGTTTATTTAAAATAAATATATGCAAATTTTGGAATTTCCCCCTTTGTAATCCTGTTTGTTGAAAATTTCACTACAAATCGTCCAAACGAGTTTATTTTAAGCAAAATAGATGAAAATATAGATCACAAAGTAAGGTACAAATATTTGTAGGTTTTTAGGCGAGATTGCTGGAAGGCTTCGATTTAAAAAGCATATGATCGGCAATAAATATCTTGGGCTTGGCTTATAGGAAAGCTTTTGAAATGAACTAAACTTATACAAATATTTCCTAATAAGATCAGCGGAACATGTCAGTTGTGGAAAACAATTGAATACCATCAGTTCGATAGGTATGCAATCTCTTTCAATGATAATCACGAAGATAAATGAAGTTGTTTTTCCAAAAGCTGCTGGTACCACCCAAGGTACCAAGGTTTGCTTTAAATGAGGTTTGCGAGGAAGGTTCATATCAGGAAGGTTTGCGGAATTGCATTGTTAACAACGGACACGGGATGACACAATGGTGCCGTATTTGGTTAAACAGTTGAGATCTACTTGAAAACTTTTGGAGACTTGTTAAGAATGTAAATGATATGTCTCTACCGACTTTCAAAGGATTCAAACGATCTTCGCTGATAAACAGGTTCTGTTTCATTAGATCACTGCTGAACATCACGAGTTTTATGTGGAACGTTTGAAATTTTGCGAAATTGCTGCACAATTTTAGACGGATAGTGGAGCGGTAAAAACACAAACTTTGTTACCGGGCCTCTACTCATCAACTGTTACTATACAAAAGGAAACCTGAACTAAAATAACTTTATTTATACTAGATAGATCTGTCATTTCTAAACTGTTCTTCCTAGAGATCCAGTAACTCAGTAAGCCTAAGGATAATCTCTTATTGATCCAGTGTTACTACAGGTGGAAATCTCTAGTAGTGAGTAGTAATAAGGTGTGTTTGTTTATACAACGTCTATGTCTTTATATATTCTGTTGGATGACTTCAATCTTCTGCGTAAGAGAGGACCTACAGGAATTCCCTAACTTTGTCCCCAAAATTTACTTGTTGTAATTTATCACATTAACACTAACACTGCATTTATTTCAACCGGGTAATAAACAATTATTTGATACGTTATTACTTCTACTCTTCCACATGATCAAACAAGCTACTTCAAGCATTATATATGCGTGACAAAATTAAAACATTCAAGGCAAGCAAATAACTTTCTTCCCTTTCCATATTTCATCCTGAACTTTATCACTCGATGTAGATTTCTCAGCCTGGCCAGAGAATATCGCACACAGGAAGACTAGTAAAGTTCCTCCTAATGCTGAATAGAATGCCCAACCAAGAGAACAATCGCCAAGTTTGAACGCTGACGGTTTGTTTTCATCGTCATTTGGGGTTTCATAACAGTATTTCACAAATTTCTCATTTTCACTTCCCCATCCTGCAGGCCACAATACCAGGCCAACTAGAAGGAACAAACCTATAATAAAGAGGATTAACGTTAAAATACCACGCCAATTGCATTCCTTTGGTTCAAAACCTTGTTTCTACGGGATGGTCTACGTCGCAGCCGGATATAGCGTATGAGAAAAATTCGAATCACATACAATTATTGTAACTTACAATACCTGCAATTGCTTGAACGACTCCTACAATGGGTATCAATGGTTTTCTTCCAATCTTATGGACACAAAACGCAAGCAACGACATACACACGCATATTGCAGTCACGGCGCTACCAAAGACCGTAAAAATGAGACTTGCTTTCCAGAAATTACTGGGTAATTCATCGAGATTTTCGACATATCTGTAACACGACCATCTTGTTTTTCCCGCAGCTAATAACTGTTGGCCACATCGAGAATATAAACCAATGGTCGGTCTTTTTTCTGTGGTATTATAATATCCATCACGTGCAGTGTTCCAGTTCGGTGAAATAATCGCTGCGATTAAAGCCATAGCTGCTGTCAGGGACATTAACATCCATAATAAGTTACGAACGGTTACAATAACGAATCCCATCGTCTCGCTTAACTGTGGTTACGAGTTCAGCTAGAAAATACGTGTATAATTATAAGATGAACATTTAATAGTACTTCGTCGTAATCGATTGGAACTTTAAAAAATCACCAGAGATTGTTAATAACTAAATATGCTATAAATATGCTATAAATTATAAAGACTAAAATAAAGTTATGATGTAGAAAGGACGTGTTTCACCACAATCTGGAAAGACAAAGGCTTTACAGCGTTTATGGATTTACGACACTTTCATTAAAATTAAACTCCGACGACTTATTAAATACCGGTATAGCCTTGGGATATAAAAGAATAACAGGAAAACTTAACCCAGTTACCCTGATTCAACTAATATTCATTCCCGCACGCATGCGCGAGATAAGGATATGTTTTTATTGCGATATAGATATGCCCGCATGCGATATAGATGATGTAGGGAACCGCGTGCATGGAGAAATCTTATCTCTTTAAAATTAAAACTTGCAAAATGCAAATACCTGTCAGGTTCCATATGAGATTAATATAAAACACACCTAATCAGGCATCATATTAAATAATACGTTGAATTTGAAATCCGTACTTCAGATATATTAGTTACCTATAGCTGCATTAACTCGCTACTTACAAATTTCCTTGTTCCTTACAATTAATATTTTTACATCCAAAAACTTTTAGTTTTCTTTACCTTCGTACAAAACATTACTTACAACAGTAGAAAAAACCGAGTCTTATATATTATATATAGACTTTATGACACATGATTTTAAATGACTGCCTATTTTCAAGAAAGTACTTATAAAACCATTATAATACAGAATGTTTCAAATCAGACAAGATGCATGACAGTGTAGATATCATGTTTCGCACGTTTAGTATAGAACAATAATTTAAGTAAAAAAGAAAGGTATATACGCCCGTACTTTACAACGCTCATGAAATAATCCTTACTTTAAATATTATTGGCTTTAAATTTCTGTCACGAAACAAATCTCAGGTAAAGAGATGAAATGAAATATGTGAAATGAAGGTCATGTTACCAGACTTACACATTCATAGCGATCCTATACTTGAGATAGTCGAGCACGCGGCACGCCTGACAAGATTTGTTTGGATAAAGATTCTTTTACATGGATAAAATGAAGCATCGACGTTTCCGTCTCCATTAGACATTCACATCACATCGACTCATAATTATAAACCTCATAATTTCGTACTAAATAGGTATTTTAGATTTTCCTAAGTTATGTCTTTCCCTGTCGAGGGAGACATCTGCGTGACGTCAGACAAATACAATAGTAACGTATTTATTCATGCAGTGGTGTGTAATTTAAATCCGTCGCTTGCTAAGAACTGATAACAGCATTTATTCATTCGAGATGTTTCATGAACCTCTTTTACTTCGATAACATACCTCATGAATATTGACTAATTGTTATGATCAAGTAGCTATTATTTTCCAAGCGTATTTCATAACTGACTCGGCATACGAATACTTGAGCTATTTCTCCTGAGCTCATTTTATATTATTCTAATTCTTTCAACGTTTCCATTTCGATTTGATGAAAATTGCGTGTCATTTTTATTTAATGTGTTTTCATTTCCTTAATTTGTTTTAATTAACTAAGACGTTATAAGGTAACAACTTTCCTTCTAAAAAGTCAAGAGAGCTTATAAATGTCTTTCAAGAAAGATTGATCAAGTATCCGCTATGACATATATAACATATTTATGCCACACATTTCACAGTTTACATAAAGCATTTGGTTGTAATCCGACATACAAGGCTGTTAAATACACGTTAACTTACCTTATTTACTCTGGATTATATCGTCTGTGCCTGAAAGAAAACGAGTTTATTAGATTATTTCTCTCGATATATATATATATATATATATATATATATATATATATATATATATATATATATATATATATATATATATATATATTTATATATATATATCAGAAGAAGAGGAGACATGCAGTTGTTTTAACAAGTTGGTTTTTGTTGAACTTCAACATTGAAGTCGTCGTGATAGACGAACGTCAAATCCTGGTCCCCATTTTAACTTGTTTAAAGGACAATAAATTCGTGTTTCTTACTAACATTCCACAAAACCCGACATTTATCTAGTTGCGACAAAGCCAAAGGCTAAGGTCATTCTGCACCTATAAACTCATCGAATCAACACGAAAATACAGTAACCTTTACATGAATATCTATATAAAGATGTTTTCGTAGTCTCAATTTGGGAAGGAATTAATCAATGTTATCCAAGTCAACAGTTTAGCTGAAACACAGCAGGCTGGCCACATGAAAACCACAAGCCGTGTTGCCTGTTAGGCCTATATATTCGACTAATCACAGGGTAACTCTCATTCAGCGGAAAGATTCAAGTAGATTATTTACTATTGTTGGACAGTACAGATGACTTCTCTTAAACATTCAATACACAAGAGATTTGTATAACTCGCGTTCTGGGAGGCTTTCAAAGTGCGACATCCACATTCAATAATTAGTACCAAATTATTTTGAATTAATGAATGAGACATGAAAACGACGGAAGTCTTATTGTAAAGCCGTTTTCATAATAAATGATAAATGCTGAAATGAATACTTTCTTTTAAAACATGAAAATAAAAATATAGTATAGAAAATTACCATGCAATGTATTTATCTACATCATATATATAATCTATATACTTATATAGATATAAACCAACAATGGATAACACGCGGCTGCAACTTTAACGATAAATAATATAAAAAAGTTAGTCGCTAAATTCCGAACATACAAGGTATCATTTAACCAGTCTATATACACGTCAATGCGCCCGGGCAGAACTTTTACGCACGTATAAACACACGTAAAATACTCTAAAAACCAAGGAATATTGATGAATATATTGAAACCAAGCAGCCAATATATACAGTATCGGGTTTTGTTTTATGAATATGTGCTATATATGAGGCCTGCGTGATACTGGCGGGATAATTTATAATTATCATCTAGACAGAATTTGAAAATTACATGCATGCTCTTTATCTGAATACCATGGTGTCATAATGAATAATAAAAAACAGCCAACTCACGATTGTTGACAGCGTCGTCTGAATAAAGAATTTTATGGAAGACTAAGATTATTTCACTCCACAAATTTCAGTACCAATCTTGTATCAGTTATATGAAATACTAAAATTCTTTACAGTGGCTGGGGCTGCGAGAAAAACAGCGACTCAGTACTGTCTCGGTGCTTGGTATATATATATATATATATACATATATATGAATGGAATGTCTATATAGGGAATAAAACCTAACAACGCTACGTTTTTCACAATGAGCTACGAACATAAAGTTAATCTTTACTTTACGACAATAATCTTAAGTCTTAGGGCTGAATCGGGCTGAATATATTGAATCATTAGAGACAAAATAAACGAATCTGCTTTACCTTTGCAATCCAATGCTATCTTGAAAAGCCAAATGACTAGGTTCAAAGCCAAAGCGATCACAATATTATTGCACAGGAGTTTCTTGTTTAACACGTCTTTTTCAGGATCGTCTTGCTATCTAGTCTTGCTAGTTAAGTCACACGTACGAACTTAGATATATACACACATGAGTTCAACAACATATTAATGTATATAGCTGTGAGACGCGAGTGCGAGCGGATATGACATCACGCTGTGGGTATAAAAACAACACGCCCAGGTGGCACGACGGGAAATTATAAAGAGTTGGTCATTAGCTTGACCACCCTGGCTGGAAGTTTACACACAGCCTTCACGACCAGGTTTTAATTATTCCAATATATATCATGATCATTTTCTTGTGGAAACCAGACATTTTACATTATGTATTTTTCATGCCTATAAACTTTGAATTAATTTGAATTAAAACTAGAATATCCAGGAATGCAATTGTTCTTGAAGTTAAATGTATAGAAATACCTTGACTCATATATTTCTAGTAATTTTAGAATAGTAAGATGTTATTGACTTGTAGTTCAAAATTTCTTATTAAAATTTGGCAATGCTGTCTTTAGTTCTTTAATGGAAGTAGGTAATGATGGTAATGATGGTAAGTTAATGTTGGATAAGTTTGGAACACTTGGACTAAAGTTTTTAACTGCAGCTACTGCTCTTACTGGAGCAGCGGTTATACCAGCCTAAAAAATTATAAAGGATATCATTTTACTCATTTAGATAAATCCTCATTTAGAAAAGTTATACACTTAAAAACTTACTTCTGATTTTTCAAGTTTGTTTTGTGCTTCAATATGACTTAGGATTTCAGACATATTTGTTTCCAATACCATTCCACCCATGACTATTTCAGATAGTATATAATGAACCTAAAAAGAAAACCATGCTCATTGGATATTTTGGAAAATGGATTTAAATCACCCTAGGTTTATTGTAAGTAAAAATAGTTTTAAATGCAAGATGCACATATAGTTTTATCATATAGTTATTACCAATGTAGGGGCAATTATGACTTATGATTTACAAATACCTTATCAACATGAAATATCAAGTCAAGTTCACAGACATTTTCAAATGTCTTGTCAAGTGTTTCAACAAAAACCTGAATTAAAAGATGATATTTTAAATTTATAAAATAAAATGAAACATTGCATCTTATCTATGACCAGTGATCTTACCTGTATCAAATCAAGTATACCAAGTTCACTCTCTGATGAGTCAACACAAAATACAAAATATAATGTAGCATAATGACGATACACAATCTTCACATCTGTCCCATCAATCAAGCTGTGAAATGAACGCATCACAATAGTTAAAATTTGAAGAGATTTATCAGAAAAGCATGGATAAAAAACTAAAGAGAGGGAGAAGAACTGGTTAATTTGAAACCACCAGGTCTCCATCTACATATGAAAAAGAGTTTAACATTCCTTATCACTTTAAAATCATTGTTCACAGGAAATAAAGTATTTTCAAATGCATATAAATGTTTGAAATGATACCTAATGTGTTCGTCTGCTCAAAATTTGGAAAGAAAAGTTCTTTCCTAACATTTCTTTAACTTATCCTAACATTGCATCACAGAATAAACATCACTTGGTAGTTGGTACTAAATATGTTCAAAAACAATTACCTCCCACTTTCCAAGAAGTTACAACAGCTATCATCCCTTTTTGCCAACAAGTGAAACGTTTCTCTTATTATCTGTTGTTGGACATCTTCTGGCTAAACATTTTAATGAAGATAATCACTTTCTCCTTTCTTCATTTCTATATCTGGTTCTGGTATTGTGTCATTTGTGTCAAATTAACCTAGACTCCTAGTACCGGTATTTCAAAGTGGATACATGTACCCCAATGAAGAAAAACTGTCGAATACTTACATAGTATGTGAAAAACTTTGACATTCGAGGTTTTCCATGATTATTAAATATCAAAATTGCTTTTATCATGTTGCTTATATATTAATTTAAAAATATACAAGATGGCGGAGAAGCGAGAAGTCTGGAACGAGTGTCATCTTGACGAGTTCAATGACGAGTTCATGACGAAATTTTATCCTAAAAGTGGATATACCACCATATTGAGAATTTTTAGGGTTTTTCTTCGGCTTTTCCCGACGCTTCACCTGGATACTTCATATTCATATGTTCAACGTATTGCCTTTTGGTTTCTACACTGCAACGTATACTGTGTCCTTTTGTTCCGATTGAGTATGACTATGAGATTACGGCCCATCATATTAAGGGTGATCCATATGCTGCGGGTTTACTGATAACCAGGACACGGCAATGATCGTAGAGGTGGGAAGTTCACTTTGCAAGAATTAGCTTACAAAATCGCTTTAAAACCTTGGCAGAATTATAAATGTATATAATTCCCCGTATATTATACAATATTATATAAAAACTATGAATTCATTACAACGTTTTCTTTTCATGCTATAGAGCCGGAATTCGTCAATGCACTATCATGGTCTTCCATAGTTTAGCACAATTTTTTTTCAGAAAACTTTAAACCTAAAAGGAAATATAAATACGAGTTAAGCTGAGGAATAGGAGATTTAACTCGCAAAAAAACATATTCCATACTTACGTCAGTACATTCTAGATTTTCTTGACTGTCTTGTGTCTCTCTATCGCGATCCAAAGCGTATCCATAATTATCCAGGGTATTTTTAAAACAATGTACATCTTCTTTTAGATGATCTAAATTATCCGCCCTGACAGTTCTATGAACTTCACTTGTAGTAAAACACTCAACAGTTTGTTTCAATACATTTGTCTCACTAGATGAACGAATTTTTAAACGAGGTTTTGCGACAGGACGGATTCTCTTCTCGACTTTAGGTTTCTGATCACAGGATTTTGACGTACTTTCCGTGTACCTTTCAGACATCCTAAGATCACTCAGTGCTTGCAACTTCAATCGTGGCTCACGAAAACTTGCGTGGATGCTCCCATCTCGCACGCATGCGTGTGATTTAAGTTCAAGTGATGACATTGTTCTTCTGCCAATACCCAGGCTGTTCTTATCTTCCTCCTCAATGAGGCTATTGATTCGAGATGAACTCCCACGTGATTCTCGTGCATACAACTCGAGTATTTTATCTGTAGATACAGTCTGTAGGTCACTAAGTCCACCAGATAATGACCGCGGTTTTGTATTCTTTTTTCGCGAGAGAAGTTTCCTCGCGCCGACATTGTCCCAAAATGTTTCCTTTTCAGGGTTTTGGTCTGTAGGCGAGAGATCCGAATCTGAGCTCTCTTTGCTTGTTTTCTGACTGGTGGTTTCATTTTCTTCAAGTTTCGATTGCTTGTTGATTTCTGTACAGGAAGCTCGGCGTTCTAAGATACCTTGGTTTGGTTTGCTACGGTTGAAAGCGACATCACTAGCAGATCGCATGAACCTTAGATCTTTATCACAAAGAGATTTTGGTCTATTATTTTTATTTCTCGTGTTAGATCTTCGCATAACAACAGCGCTATCATCAACTGACGTCTGTGATTTGGAATCGGGTTTAAATTTTCCAACTAGAGAAAAGAAAAAGTCAGCGTTGTTTTTCTTGTCATGTATTTTCCTTAGAGACTTGTTATTGTTGCGTAATTAAATTTACTTAAGAACAATTTTACAGAGAATTATAATGTTAAAGGATCCTCACTTTCAGGTGGACTCGTGTCTTTCGTTTTTTTATTTTTCACAAGTTGTAAACGCCGAGTTGACATCAGCTGATGCGTTACCATGGCAATCTCTTTACTAGGAAAATAAACGAGAAAATATCATGAGCGGATCGCATTAATCCGGACGCTGCGTTTTCAAGGGGCTGTTGTTAAATGACGAGGTTTAGGATAGTTCAGTATTAATAGTTCACTATCAATAATTTTTATAAGATGTAGAATTGTTTGGTAACAAATACGACTAAATCTTTAAGAAGATTTAACAACGTTTGTTAGCAATTGATGAACCTGGCAATAAGAGTTCAACTTACGCCTTGACTTTTTCAGCGGGGGGTATTTCAGCAATGCCTGTTGTTGAAACAACAGGAATAGAATCACTTGTATTACTTCCTTGACGCACTAGTTTAAGATGTTGTACATCCTGTACTTCAGGATCTGAATTGATCATGCGACTTCTTGGAGAAATGTTCTGCGGTCGTCGTTTACTTCAACATTAAATGTAAAAAATATTCTCAGGAGATTTGTCATTAGGTTATTCACGCAATCATACCATTTACACAGAGTATGAAAATGGTTGTTAACTATTCTTTCTGTGAGTCAGGGGAAGGAATTGCTATTTAGAGAACAAGTATGTGAATGTATAGAGGAAAACATCTTTTTCTAAATAAAACTTACTCGGCTTCAGTAAAAGTGCTCTTAGGGCTTTCTCCATCAGGAAAATTACGTTCTCGAATTCCAATCGAAACTTTTTTATCACTTTGAGAAATATCTTCTATTTGATTGCCACATTCATCCTAGAAATTATGAGCATTGGTGATTAAGAAAACAAACGAGTGATTATACGAAAGACTCTATTTAGTATTTACAAAAGAGAAAATCTCATACAACAAGCGCCCCAACAGTCTCAGGTCTATGCGGCAAATCTTTTGGAAACGACTTTTTTCTTGCTTTCAAGTTCTGAAAAAGAGGTAATCCAAATAATAATAGTTGCACCTTGTACACTACCTTGTACACTACCTGTCCCTTACCTTGTATACTACCTGTCCCTTCGGGCGCCGAAAGCAGTTTAGGGCGGCGGGGGCAAAATTAAGCTTTAATGTGAAGTACACACAACTTGGAGATCCACAAGAGAACGTTCCCCGTGAACGTTTCCTCTGACCCCGTGGCTACGGAAACTCTGTTTTAATTCTTAAAATTCCCGTACACCCTCAACTAACACCCAACTAACTAACTTATATAAGCTCCACAATCATCCTAACTATCCCTCACCTCAACAGATTTCTTAAGTTCTTTGTTCTCCTTCTTATATCCGTTTACTTCACGAAACAATGTTGCTACACGAGATGCCAAGATCCAACAAGACTCGGCCATTAATAAATATCTTGAACATATCGATTGTTTTTGTATATAGGCGACACTTGACGCTGTTAAGCCTTCGTGATCTTTCGCCAGAACATCGGCACCATGTTCAACCAATGTTTGAATGCAAGCCGGATGACCCATTTTAGCGGATGCGTGTAGGGGTGATTGCCCAGTTGCGTCAATGATATCTGTAGTATATAAGTCTTTTATCAGAATACACTCCGGGCCTGGTAACGAAGACCAACTGATTTTTCACAATATTGTACAATACCTGTTGTAATCTTGCGTTTTTCCATGAAGGCCAGAAGATAAATCAAACATTGTTCCATTCCTTCTGATGCAGCATGATGTAATAAATGAGTCTGTCCATCTCGTACGGCAAGCTCAACATAAGCACTGCTTTCTTCTACTAACCATTTCAGACAATTCACGTGACCATTCTAGGAAACAGAGAGCAATAAAGTGTTCATCATATCACACATTCTAAATTTCTGTAGTCGAGCATTACATGCCGGCTAGAAAAAATATCACTCTATTGAATAAGACAATAACCTCAAGGCAATTTTTCTTTCTGCCGATTTACTTACTTTTGCAGCATGAGCTGCGGGTGTCATGCCTGAATTGTCCAGGCTGGAAACCTGATCAGGTACTTGGGATGCAAGAAATTTCAGACATTTCAGGTAACCACCCTTGGCAGCCTTGTGAAGTGGAGTCTCTCCATTATTGTCTTTAGTCGTACATAACGCAGTCGAGTCTTCAGAATTTTTATTTACGAGTACCTGCTGTATAACGACAAGGGCTTGATATTTTATCAAAACGATTAATAATTATTCACTGCAAACAAGAGCTTTAGAAAATATTTACCATAGTTCCGAGGTCTCCTTTGTCCGAGCTAACTAGCATTAACTCTGATGCATCTAGGGACCCTAATACAGGTCTTTCCATTTGCGTAACTACTACCTTATCACACGTAACGGTTGCACCCTCGTGACAATCAGTGTCTGTTTGTTGAATGTTAGCAGCCGCCGTAGCAATATCATACATCGTCTCTTTTTTGGCTGGGGAGGAAGCATTGACTTCCTTTCCATTTTGCTTCGGTTTTTCGCTTTCTGACACTTTCCGTTTATCCTTTTCCGCTTCTTTTTTCTTTTCCTTGGCAGAGCTATATTTTCTCGGTAATTTTCGTATACTGTTCCTCATTGTCTTACGAGGTAAGGGCTCCGGCCGGACTACAAAGGGAACTTTAACCCCGGGCAATGTTGCTATGTCACTATAATTGTTTTGCCGGTCAGATTCACTTCTTGAGCAAGTGTCCAAGTATTTGAGCTGTTGAACAAAACAATAAATAATTCAGGTTCGTCGTATTTTCTAGAGTAGAGTGTAGTGTAAATTAGAGTCTAGAGATAAATTAGCCTGAAATTACACTGAGCTCTGAGTAGTAAGAGGTAAATCACAAGAGAACATCAGGTCTGGCAAAGGCACCGATAGAGCAAAAAATATCGTTACCTGACTAGCGTGAGTAGCAAGTATTTCCTTCTGATTTCCAGTCTCCCTTCTTCTACGGTCATTAGTTAAATCACGTCGTATCTCATTAGTCATTGCCTAGCGCATAACGACCTATCAAGTAAATGAATAATTCACCAAGTGAAGTATAACAATAATTTTTATTACATTTAAATGGTTTTCTATTTTTAAGATCAAGCCGAATCACTATAGGCTTGTATTCAGTACACATCAGCCAACCCGACCTTTTTGACCAAGAAAAAGAAAGAAGCTTCGCCTCATTTGATGAAGCGAAGCAATGTAAATGTTAATTGCGTATTTTCATTCAGTTTCCACGCAGTTTGATGTATCTTGTGTATGTAATAAAAATTATATAAACTAAGCACTAGTCCTCTCACCGAGTTTTTAATAGGGACAATCACAGACTGATACAAAACATTTACATAACAACATAGATATAGTGAATATTCTCCATGACAATATTTGTACGGAAGATAGAAATAATTAATGTTTTCAACTATAATAAGCCAGCTTAATCCCATATTTAACCAATGTTATGGTTTTTACATCTTTATATGCATTAAATATCTTGTGAGTAACAAAATATTTGCCCCAGCAAGGCGTAATTACGATAATATGAATACTATTTCCATTTTTGCTGAAAAAATAGGCTCCTATTATAAGACTGTTAATCTTTTGGTACAAAGTACATGTTAAGAATCTACATATTCATCGTTCCCCCTGTTTTATGTCACATTTGGTATTACGTCATTACCATGAAATGATTCGTGACATCTTGTGAAGTAACAAACGGTCAAATTCGCTAAATATATTATCGATTGAATTGGAATAATTTTTGATAAGCCCTGGCATTTCACTTTGGAAGAAAAGAAAGAACATCGTCGGCTAACATTCAAGTGAACCAAATGAAGTACAGCGTAAAATGGCACACAACTTCACACACAGTTTTATACGATGTCAATCCGTCACTTAAGCCTCACGAAGTTGAGTCTGAATGACGCTTTTTCAGTTCTTCCATTATTGTAATATTACAATCTGCTGATCCATTATAACTTTATAAAAATACTCAGCAAAAAGATTTTATTTCAACGTATTTGAATCAATGTCATCATGTAATTAATACGTTCATAACTATAATCTGCTTACTTCGTTATTGGGTGCACTTGACACTCGCACCTTGGATGCAGGAGGCTAAGTAACTATTGAAATCAAGCAATACCATAATTTTTAGCTTACCGTTGAACTCCTTAAAGAAACGTGAACCCTTTAAACCGAATCTGATCATATTTAAATCCACTTTTTAGTACAAAAAATAAAACTAACTGAAGCACAAATGATATCAAACCAGTTCTCACGATTTCTCACGCTTGTACCGACTAACTAAAGACTTGGATAGAAAATAGCCAATGAAAAACGCAATACAAATCAAATAGACACGTGTGGTTTGGCATACACAATACAGCACACCATCAGGGGTCCAATCAAATTGTGATAATAACATCATGGGGGTTGTTCATCTATTCTTTAAAATTGTTGGGAAACACTGATGAATATATCGTGTTCAAGCAAGTACATCGTAAAGAAAGGACCACTCCGTTAAAAATTAACTGTTTGCATATTTGTCAATAGTGAATTATTGGTCACGATAACTTTATATATAGCAAGCATAATAAAATATTCGAGCAAAAAAAGTTTTAAGTCGATAATTTATTGACATAATTTTAACAATATTTCTGGCAAACCATTCAAAAAGAACACCGTCTTACGAGGAATGCCGAACTTAACGACCAGATGAAAGTTAATTCCGACAAATATTGCGGAAGGATTAAAAAGTGGTCATGAACTACAGTCAGTAAACACTTAAAATATTTAGTTTGAATTAAGAACTTTCAATCTGATACCAAAGAAACCGGCGATAAAAAATTCACAATGTCTTTCTTTGAGATTGTTCTAGAAACTATACAAAAGTATTAACTCATAGTGTTGTGTCTTGGAACCCTCTGGAAATAATATAATTTAAATAAGCTTTTCTCTGAGTCAGCAGAGTCACGATTATTAATGGCATTACGGCCTACTGTCAATATTATTGAACCATGTTTACAAAAGATTAACTTTTATAGAGGTATTCATTTTATGGATTTGGCTAAAGGGTATTGCCAAATTCTTTATGATTAGTTGAAATGATTTCACCGCCAAAACATTTGTAAATAAAGGTGCGGAGTATTAAGTCTTTTCCGTAACGGAAAATGAACTTCGGCCAAGGCACAGCCACTGATCTGAAATTTCAGATCAGTGGGCACAGCCTGTATATCAGGTATTGGATTACAGAATGTGACGTCTACCACTGAGCTCATAAAGTGAATGAACATTTCAAATCACATTCCAGACTATTTGATATAGATCATGTGGTGATAACAGTATCTGTCTTTAAATATAAATATGTTAAGAATGTCCTTACGGAATTCACTAAATAGACTAAAACTTAAACTGTTCGACTAAAAAACATCTAAAAATCTTCTTGTATATCTACATTAACACTACCGAGGGACATTTCTCGGACATATTTCTCTCTAGGTTTTTCAATTCCTAGATAATTATATCATCGCTGATGTTATTGTACAACTGAGTTAAGACGTTTTCTTTTAGTTTAATTTATGACAAAAAATTGACACAAAACCGTCATAACATATGTCTTCTGTGTGCAGATTAGCTGATTATAAACACTAAATTGTTTGTCTAAATAAACATATTTGATATCCACAATACCTTGAAGGCCACCACCGATGCTAATAGACTATTTAACTACTCTTTCTCTCTCTCTCTCTTTTTAATAACTCCACAACCAGCGTAAAATATGTCCGTCTTTATACAAGGCAAGAGTAGGAGATCAGTTCTATACAAATCACATGTATGCTTTTACTTCAACAAAGGCGCTCAGACGCTAGATTGCCACTTCATTATGAAAAGTTTCCCCTCAAGAATTTCCGGTGTGACCTGCCAAGCTCACTTTAGGTGGCGTATTGAACTCAGTTGAACTCACATCTTATAAATGTACATTTGTCCAGAACCAATTTCAAGTACAAACAAGATGACTAGCAAACTGATTCCCATTCACTCACTTCATCGTATAACTTCTTTGCCAATCTTATATGGTAATACCATTTTTGAACAGTCTTGAGTTATTTAACCATTTGGTAATGTTAATTAGGTAGCTTAATAAATAGACATGATCTGTGTGTGCATTTAGCAATAATCTACCGCAATGTTCATATCTGATTTTAATCATCTTATTAAAATAAGAGTTACTTTGTCACGACTAGTGTTCATTCAAGTTATCAGTGTTTCATATCCATCCCTGCATGACCCTGTATCGATAAATATTTCTGAAACGTTGTAAATTACAGTCAAAGAACTTAATGACTTGCCAATTTATCACAAATGCATTCACTAGCGTACGTCAGTGATTTTTAAACAGCATTTATTCAAACAAACCAGTAAGGGGTGAATGAGATGATGGTCTATATATCATCTTGCATTGCATGGCTGAATTCAAGACCGGCGAATGCCATCTAATTCACCCGGCTGTAGATCTGCATTAAAACATTTATAGTAGCTAATTACCTAATTGTTACAATATGAAATCTAAACCATGATTGATCCGGAAGGATATCATGTGATCCAGATATAATCAATAAAATTTAACAGAGAAAAATTGTGATTTCCGTTGGTAGAACAATAGTTAACTTGCCTACTAAGGTGACTAAGGACGAATTGAATTAAATATTGTTACTTCCTTTGTATTGTGTGCAGATTATTAATGAGCAATAACTAATTGCTTTCTTTGATAAGTGCTTTCATTCCTAAAGTCCTATGTCTGATAGCGGTTTTTTCAATCCCCTCCAAATTGCCCGTTATTTGGTATAACTTTGATTAAATCTTAGTATTCGTAAATTGATGATCCTCTTTAATAATTGTTGCTTCCAAAGATGAAATTTTATCGCTTTTCGAGAATTGTTAAAACGGTTGAAAAAATCTATGTAACGATAAGCGCAACATCAATGGAGCTGACACTTTGATTTCTAGTAAGTTCGCATTATAAATATATTAACGTTATTATATACTACGTTATATTATCTACGTTACACTGTACGTTATAAGGTCATAAGACTGTTCTGTAAAATCAGAATATTTAAACGGTTTCAAACAACGTCTTCAAAGACAGTGGATAACATTGCAACTGTTAACTTAACGAAACCTGGCAAGAATCGCATTTTAATCTGGTGCAACTCCCTTATTACAATGGTCAAGTTAATGGATGGTGACTTAAAAATACATATTATTTTATATATATTAAAACATCTTCAATATTACCATAAACCTTATGTATACTTATTTCATTGAGATCTCTATAGTCACTTACTTTCATCCCTTGGTTGAAATCTTTTCTTTGGCATCAAGGACTGATTCCTTTTTGTGTTTGGTCGTGAAGATTGATTGGAATAACAAACAAAAAACTAAAATGAATTTACAACATTTGCATAAATTTAAAATAAAAGTGATTTTAGTTATCTGCAGCCAGTTGTTCAAAGCTAGGTAAGTGATTACCCAAGTGCTTCTTTAGGAAAAATGGCTTTTTGTCGGTCCAGAAAATACTTATGAAAAAAGATATTCTACTTTGTAAACACCCAGGGTTAAGCTAACTGGCATTTGAACAACTGGCCCCAGGAAAGGGAAATTACACAGTATGTCAATGAGTTGAATAAAAGTAAATAGACATGAACTTGATAGTGACTTGGGGGTGTCGCAAATAATTTATTCTGGTCTACATTTCCAAATCAACAAAGTGTAATAAGGTAAAATAAGCCCCAAAATATTTTGTGAAAATCCAAAGTATTTAAAACATTGACCAGAACCACATTGACCACATTGAAGTCAGGGTACTTCCATTCCTCTTGTTCATGCTGCTGGTATTTCAAGTACAATAAAAAAATTTTATCATGTTCTTCATGAATTCTTCGTCTACTCATTTATATTCACATATCTTGATTGATCAAAAGCAGTGCAACTACAAAGTGATGATGAAGAAGGAAACTATAGATGTATAAACTTTAGACTATAGTCTAGTCATAGCAATCTTCTCAGGAATCAGTTGTTGGAGCTGTTATTGCTAGGATTGTTTGAAATACTGTTCAAACAACACCACAAGACTCCTGCATATAAAAACCCTAACATAATATTAAAATAGTCAGACAATTCCTGAATCACTCTCAACCTCTTATGGTCTGAGTAAAATACAGCCTTCAAAAAATATTTTTCATCAATGAAACATTATGTGAAAGATGGACCACCTGAACTCAAGAGATCTTTTACTATATGTAAGAAGTTTGATATTTTTCTTTTCCCAAACTATATATTCCCTCCTCTCCCAGTTACTGAGAGAAGCAGATAAGCCAAAATAAGTATATTTACAATATGTTGACCTTATATGGCAACAAACAATATGACCCGAACAACATCTAATTCAGAAACTAATTTAAATCACATTGAAAAATTTATGTAATGTTCCTGAAATATTTGTAAAAGCATGCACTAAACTTGTTTGTGCACCAATTACGGTCCAAAAGAGTTAATATCAAATACCACTTGTCTGTTATCAATATCTATAAGCGATAAACGGTAAAATTGATGATCTTATATCAAACAAGACCCTGTCAATTTTGCCTCCTTTTGTTACGACAAACAATACAAAACATTCGTGTAGCATAAAATAACACGACACGTTTGACAATCTCACTCAGACTCATGCAATACACAGTTCCAATGTATAGCATAATATAACAAAATTGTCGAATACATTGACACTCTATATTCTCGTTTGTATAAGAAATGTTATATATTACAAACCTCAACCAATATTTCACGTCAACAATTTATAAATTAATTTAAAGTCCTATGATCGGGTCAGCAACTGAAATGGACGAATTGTACTCCTTGTATTCCTTTCTTTTTTTCTCAACCGGCAAGCCAGACAATGCTAAATGTCTTCTTGATGTTCTGACAGGAAAGAACAGTCAACGAGCTCACAACTTTCCAAATCTCATATTACAATCTTGAAATTTAATACTCGTTTTTAAAATAATCTACTTGTCGCGGCTCGTGAGTTTTTGTCGCGGGTCGCGGGATTTCTTGTTCGCGGGTGTTTGTCAGAAGAAATAAAAAATTAAATAAAAACATTTTCAGTTTCGGCTTGTGGTGGGGCTTGCACATGCAGGCTGGCGGTCTGTAGGGGGTCATTTGGATGTACTGCATATTAAATGGCTACAAAACTTCATCCACGTAAATATCTCATAGTGTTATCCATAGTTGCCAAATGGGCTGAGTCGCGACACCCCGGTGGTGATCCGAAACCACCAGCTATATCTTTGCACGACTAATGCGCCTCCCAGAGGGAATGTTACATATTGCCAATTTCAGCGAAAAAAGTGGCGGAATTAACTTCGACAATTAAGTTGTGAACCTACATATTAATTTTCCTACATCTATCAATTGTGATATCAATTCTGGTTATCTAAAATACAACGATAACAACCTCCAGGTGTATTACTTACATAGCACTGTATTAAATATTTTACAATAACAAAAACGTAAAAAAATGATAATATTAGTTTCTTTAATCAGTATCGTCTAGGTCGTCTCTAATTACTTACTCAAGGCCAATAACATTTCCCTTGGTGTGTTTGCTTTCCCACCGAATGCAATATTTTAGCAAAGATCTAAATCTTTCTAGGAGAGACTGAGTTTATACGTATATATTTCCATTGGTTTTAGTTTGATTGTTGCATCTCGATCAACTGTTTTAATGTTGTGCATTAGCGTGAGAGATGTTTGTTGAATATTTCTAACCTCAAGATCCTTAAATAATCGCTGGAATGAAATCTGTAAAGAAAAATAGAATTTCTTTCCGATTTCTTCCATATTGTAATGAAGATTTCAGGAGGAATACCTTTCTGGGGAAGATCATTTTGGAACAGATTAATGTTCAATAACAGTGAAGTAGACAGACAAAACTATACACGGAGACAAGCTGAAAAACTCACCTTTCCTGACGTAGTTTTACACCAAGTGGGGAACGAACAATCGTAGCCATGACGACGTAACAATAATGCAGCTTCATCTGTTGGTTCTGGTTCCACACCTTTTTGTATCGTTCTCAAATTCACGACAAACATATCACATGGTAAAGGACGGGATAAACCCGCAAATATAGACGTCAATGTTGACGGTTCAGTATGTGAATGATGTAATATTGATATCGGTTGAGAAAGATGTTGGGAGATTGTATTACTTGCAAGAGAATGGTATGTCAGAGGAACGCCAACAGATGACTCATCTTGTAGTGCTTGAAATTTCTCAACAAATAATCTGAAATTTGCAGGTGTTCTTTTGTTATCCATTACCCCCTGTCCCAATCCTCGGTTATCATCTTGAGTTAAACGTCTATCTAGGATCACTTCAAGGGAACCTGATTTAAGGCTAGCGACACCATTAGCCTGCGCCGAGTGCAATGTGAGGCGAGTTTTCTTATCTTGGATAATCGCTGAGTTTGGCATTGGATAGAAATTAGCTTGTAAAGGAAGCTTGGTTAAAGTTTTGTGAAGTTGCATCTGCAACGGAAGTGAAGGGATAAACATCAAAAGGTTATGGTCGGAAAATATTGAACAAAATATTCATAATACTATGATAATACCTGAAAGCCATTTAGGTCTGTGAATATCTCATTGTTATTCAGAATATTAGTTGAAAATCGCATTGCAAGTTCCTAGAAGAAGAGTAAGGTTGAAATGATCGGACTAGCTTTAATATATAGAGTTACCACGTTGCTAACATACCCTGTTATGTTCCTCTCGTATATCAACAGCATTTTCAATGTCGATAGTCATTCCTTCTGGACCTAAACAAAAAGAAATGAGGTTTATCGTCACTTTTAAGAATTGTCTATACGTTATAGCCATGTTGATCTTAATGTCATACCTGGAACGTTATAAAGTCTGACTCGATGTTGAACAAGGGGTAGTTGTACAGTTAGTTCATTGAATATCCTTCCTTTCAGTACGATAATTCTTGAGTGAGAGGGTAAATTTAATGGCTAGACAGAAAATACATAGAAATTAGGGACTTAGGCCAGGTTAACTCGTCACTATTCTTTCCCAATGACTATGATCACAATATATATAAAACAAACGGACCTGAGCAGGGCCATCGGGAAGGAATAAATACGCTCCACTTCTGTCAGATGCATGAGCTGTGCCATAGGTCATGAAAGCCATAAGTAGATCCAACGTTTTACCATCTTCTACAGTTGTTAGTTTCTAAGAGAAGAAGGTTGGAAAATGTTCTCGCAATAATTAAGATAAGAGACGACAAGTGAGTCCTGACTATTAATTAAAGAGCTAGGCGACATTTACCACCATTGTACCATGTGAACTGTCGAATGTAACATGAAGGGCATCATTTTCCAAAACAATATCTCCCGAATCCCAATCTTTGCGCTCCACTGTGAATTCCTTGCTGTTGGTAAAAATCAAATTTAGGAATAATAAATTTTAGGAATAAAGACAAATCGAGAGATACATACTCCAGATTCACGTCGCCAACGTGATGATAAAGATAGACAGAACTTAGGGAATTCACACTTGATGTCTCTTCAATTGTATACGTCGCCAGACCCAATGGCGGAATATTTGCCACAAAATGAACCTTGAAATGAAAAGTTTCATGTTCAAAAAGATGGGCATCACAATGAGATAACCTGGTGTTAAAATCACAAATGAACTGATTGAAAATCAGTAAAAAAAACTTTACTCACTCTGTAACTGTTTGGCACAGGCTTAAAATCGTTGTCAAAAACTGGACTAACTTGAAAGGAAATTGTGTGTCCAGTGGCATTTGTCACCTGGTCAGAATATAGAAAGAAACAATGATTCATATTTCTTATTGCATGGTCTTGTTTTCATGGAAGAAATTGATGGTTTCATCGTATTTGGACCAGTAAATACAAGTGGAATGATACCTTGATTTTCAGTGTTGAAACTAAAATACTGACTACTTGTACACGATAACCCTCCAGTGAATTATACAGTGTTACTTTTCTAAAATCAACAGATATAAGAGATGACATGGCAGTACATCACAGTACATGGCAGTACATCACAGTACATCACAGTACATGGCAGTACATGGCAATATCACAGTACATGACAGTACATCACAGTACATCACAGTACATGGCAATATCACAGTACATGACAGTACATCACAGTACATCACAGTACATGGCAATATCACAGTACATGGCAATACATATCACAATACTGTACAAGTATGACTTTGTCAAAGACAGTATTTCTAATACAAGCATACCTTGGCTTAGAGCTTTTGACTGCCAGAATCCTTTTTGTAGGAAAGCCATCTTGACCTTTTCTTTCTTCATCCTGTTGTAGATTAAAATGTTCAGATTTGGACATGAAGTCAAGAAGTGAATATGACCGAGAATGGTATACTTACATATTGAACCATAGTTAGCGACTCGTCATTTGGTTTGTAATCTTTTCTGGATTTATGCAACAGAAAATATGACGAATCCTCAATAATACGAGCAGTGTCTTGAAGTGAACGCAACAGTCTAAATGTAATAATAATGTAAAAGGTTGAACATAGATAGTGAAATAGTTTAATGATTAGCTACAATAGATTTTCAACATTGCACCTACCGGAATCCATAATCAACCACAACATGATCCTTAGCTGTCCCTGTGATCCCATCATGATGTTGAAAGACTCCTAAGTTTCGTCTGGCTTGCATCAATAGGTGGAATAAATTAGTTGATGGAAATAACTTCACCCCATCTTTACGGGCATGAGAATAAGCAAGATGATAAATTATTTCTGCAGCTCGCAATCTTGATTCCAGAACACGATCCATATTTTTATAGAAAGGTCTAGTTGTGAAATATCCACTCCAATAATGATCATCTCTGTTAAATTAATACACAAACATTAAGTTTCATATATGGTGTTTTACACTTTCATTAGGAAAATCTATGAGATAACTCTAACCTGTCAGCGTAAGTATAAAAATCCCCACTTAAAGTTGGATATCCTGGAGGTTGTTTCCCAGGTTTAACCCCGTTTTTTTCCCAAAGCTTGTTAAAGTAATCTGACAGTGTTCCAAACTGAGCCTGTGAAAAAAATCAGTGGTAGACAAGGAAATGTTTGGAGATGAAGCGACCAATGATCAAATGAAGCTAGTCTGCCTTCACAACTTGATCAGTTTCATTATTATTACAAAATGGAAACTTCTCAATACCTTAACCTTGAGTTTTGGATGAGAATTCATATAATCAAACAATCTCTAAGAAAATGAAAGAGAATATTAAAATTAACAAACATTCTAAAAGTAAATTAAAGTAAAACTATATTGTGAATGGTAGAGAGAGACCTCAACATTCATCAGTGATTGCTCATCTTCAATGTGATAGATTTCACCTGTAAACACTGACTCTACCTGATAGTTTGAGAATTGTTCTGTTGTTTCAAATTTCATTTCATATCTGAAGTCATCTCCAAGAGGAATTAATACAATGTTACTTTTATACAGGGTTGCCTTTTTTCTGTATTGATCCAGTAACTTTTCCGCTCTACAAACAAAAAATAAAAATATAATTTCATTCTTTAAGAGACTATACTCTGTGAATCACATTGGTTATGTAAAATCCAGGATGCCAATGATTCAGACATAGATTGTATACCTGAGAAATATACCTAGCACTTTAACATTCTACAGTACATATATGATATATATAGCATCATTATAGTTACATTATAAAAGAGTTATTCCAGTCATGATACAAAAACACTACTTTTCCAACTACCTTTGAGCAACATTATTATCATCAATTTTTACAGGTGAAATATGCCAAGGGCATTGTATTCCTCCACCAGGAAGTCGTCGAAAATCAAATTGACAACAAATCTAAACAAAAGCACATTGAGCATTTTTATTTTATTCATTTCCTATGCATTGAACCATTTTGATAGAATACACTTGTCATCTTATTTTGTGTCACAGTTCAAACCAGATATACATATACTATCCAAGCCAGTTTCTATGAATAAACACATTCATTTTACTGTACATACTGCAGGTTCAGGTCCACAAGTGTGTGGTACATCATAACTATAAAAAGGCATCATATGACAGAACATGTCTGTTGAAGAAGAATGATCTAAAAATTTAAGAAATAGTACCATTAATATAATGCAATACAATTATAAAAGAGAAATTCTGGGCATGTTTAACATTTGGGCATGCAATTCTTCAGTGATATTCTGTCTGACAACAGACAATTCACTCAATAAATTCAAAAATCTCTTAAACTAAATCAACACTCTGAAATTTAGAACTTTCAGTCATACCCCAGTTTTGTCTCCACATGAACTCCAGCTTCTTCCTCCGAGCCAAATACTTCTTTACAGCATAATGTGTTCTTTGAATTAACATTGAATGAAAACCAGATCGTTTTAAAATATAAGCCATGGTTGGAGTGTGACCAAAAGGATCTATAGCCCAGCCTGCCTGAGGCTTAACACCTGTTCAAAATTTAGTCAAATACAAATGTCAGCAATCAACATGAATGCAAGTACACTGATATTTTGGATAATGTTTACCTATATTAGCTTCTAGCCACTGCTGTCCTTCAATCAATTGATCAATCATAGCAAAATAGTGGGTGTTTGCCTCATCATTCATTACCCATCCTCCTGTAACAATTTCCATCTGACCATTTTTCACTTGTCTGAAAATATAGTTCAGGGTATGATTTAAGTAATGATTATTAGAATATTACTGCTAGAATATACTTCATTAGCTTTAGGAATTATACAAATTCTAACATACTCTTTAAATAACTTCTTTCTTCTATCGTCCACCTCTTCCCACCACATTGACAGGTAAGACATTTCAGCCCAGATAAATTTCCTTCGTTTATCAAGAGCCAATGCATCAACAACATTGTCCAAAATATGTCTGGTCTGATCCTGATAGTATGCATCCAGTGTTTTTATCCATCCTGGAAGAGATTGTTTAAATTCATAGATGTGCTACCCTTAATCATCCATTATGTTGGGTGGACATTACAAGATATAAGGTGAAAAGAGTGTATGAGTATAATTATGTACAAACCAGGATCATTGTGGGAATGTGGGATAACAAAGACATCCAAGTGTTCTTCATTCTTTTCACGCTGAACATTCCAGCCTTGTTTCCAGGCTCCACCATCTGGGTTATCAAATGGGAGAAAGTCGTAGACATCTAACATCTTTGATGAAAAAATGTGTATTACAAACCAGTTCTCTTCTAGCACCTGTGTTAGGACTCCAATGTGCCATATTTATGCAATTAAATGGAGCTAAATCTCTACAAAAACAGTCTTCTATAGTTTCGTTCTTAGGTCTCTTACCTTGACATCTGAAGAAAGGCCAGAAGGGGTCTTTGAGAATTTACATCCACTGTCATTTTCTTTATCAACATGAACAAGTGACTGAAATGTTTTTCTTGGACTTGTGTTGCTATTAAGAATAGGTTGATCACTGACAGGGTTGTCACCCAACTTTGTTGCATCACCTTTTAATTGATTGACAGCTTTTTCTGACAATTTTATCTTCTTTTCCAGTCTATCCATATCTTTTTCAATCTTCACTAAAGGTTCAATTACCTTTCTATTTACCTGCGGAAAGAAGATTGTGGGAAACAAAGTGAATTTTATTTGGGTAAAATTTCATATACACGTATAGGATAGTGGGAACATATAAACAGCAACAGCTCAGCAGTTGAAATTATTCTATTGTATAATTTGTATTCAATAAATTAGGTGGAATGTTTAAGAACAAAAGAAAAGGACTGTAATATTGTTTCCTATAAGTTGCACAAGTTTGCTTAATGTTTGGACAAGGTCCTACTGATAAAAACACCTGCCAATATCATTTTATCCCCCCCATGCATACTATCATTTAATTTAAACTGACAGACTAGCTGTATTTTCTGAAAAGTATATTATTAAATACCAACATAAAAATATATTTTTTGTACACATGTAGATGAATGCATACATGTATAGTACAATTTTTGAATCTCAATAATATTTAACTTAGTTAAAAATGCATCACTAAGGACAACGTATTTAATTACCTGTGCTTCTATAACGCTTTCATAACTAGGCATTTTAGATAATTGGTCCACAACTAGATATATCGATAAAGACATCACTACGAATAAAGCACCTCCAAAAAATGCTATAGACTTCCGCATGATGTGCTGCTATTCCTTGCCTAATTGGTCATTGATGATAAAAGAAGTTCCTGATACACAAATATACGTTTTCAAGAAGAACTCGAATTATAATTTCAAACTCTAAATTTTATTAAATTACAGGAAACTTTCGGGTCAACTTCGTTACCATTTCGGAAAATGTCGCGATACGATTATGTTCACTGGCGCGACATTTTATTGATATATGCCGTATGCAACTTATTTTTAAACGATAAACAATTCTACAACACAGGTGCAATGGTATCAAACTTTAAAACTTTAGAATTAAAAGAAAATAATTTGAAATTATATCATTTAAAGTACATGACTGGGAAACTGCTACGTGTCATATGTTGCATTACTTCATGTAAAATTTGTCAACTGCCCCAAGTCCGATTCGTGCGCTCCCCCCATAACTAATCAGTGCTTTGATCAATAATTCAGGATTGTACAAATTTGACTAATCTGGTTGCCTTAGGTTCTTGTGTCTTTATCCACCAGTATTTTTGCTATATATTCATCCGCCTTAAGATAGATACGAGCAAGAAATACGGTGGTTTACGACACAAATGGTAAAATATTATGTGCATGATATAATTTTATGTACTGAAATAGATCAAGTCAGAATAACTTCCCGACATTTGAAGTTACTCCTTTGGCCAACTCTGAAGTATCTTTCAGTTCAATGGCTTGTTTTCTAATGCGTCGAGCCTGTAATTTATCTTGAAGTGCCTGATCAAGACGGGCTTTGTTGACGTCTTGTGCTTTAGAGAACTGCGCAACTTGTTCCTCGTATTTTGTCTTCAACTCTTCGATATTTCCAAAAAGAACGTCCATATCGGGAACTGGAGCAAGTTCTACCAATGGCTTCAACTTCATTGCCGTCTCTAGTAGCTCTGCAATCTCTATATAATGCAAGAAAGGTGATTAGGACTTTATATTCTACATATAAAAACGCTGCCCACGTTTCCCACAGGAAACATCAGTCTGGTCTCAGAGAGAGCTGTTAGTAAAATCTTCTTACTAGCGTCATCTTCCTGCGTTTCATTCGTTTCCGCGACGTCTTTACTTGGTTGGTCTGGGGCGGTCTCTGTTGCCATGGTTAAGGCGGGTGATTCTTCACCATCCCCTGTTGAACGCGAAGAGAGATTTGTTTCTGTGTTTGGAGGCGGCGTTCCTTCGTCGTCTTTCCCAACGGGAGTAGTTAAAGAAGCGTCCTTCTCAGGGGAAGAACTTTCTTTAGAAGAAGATGTGTGAGCAGGAACAGAAGAGCTTTCTTCACCAGGAAGAGGAGGAGGAACATCAGGTTCTTCGTTCAGTGACCACTGCGTCTGGCTTAGCGATGTGTGTATCGCTTTGCATTTCAGTCAACTGTTCAGGTTCATTACCCAAGAACAAAACTTCATCTGGCATGTCTTCACTTGTATCTTCACCTTGTAGTTCTTTAATCTTGACATGAATCAATCTGCAAATAACAACAAATTTATAATAGTAAAGGAACATGTATTACGCATGAATTCAAGAAAATCACCAAGAACTCTTCATACCTCAATCGTTCACGTTTTAAAGCTAACACTTTCTCCTTCCAAAGTGGAACAATCAGTTCAAGATCTTTGTTGATGTTTTTTTCTAGTACCATGGTGATCCACAATAGCAGTGAGTTTGCTTTGTTATTGAAAGAACTGTAGGTTTGGAGTGCTTGCATATACGATTCTCTGGTCATTACATCATTGAAGATTGTTGATATTGAGTGGTTCAAAAGCTTAAGAGATGATCATAATTAAGAATTATGTCAACAGAAATACTGCTGGCATTCATGTATCAGATTTTGCAAGGCCAAATTTTCTTACCTTCAAATCATCACTGGTAAAATATGGCAAAGTAACATTGGGTAAAAAACGATGTGTGTTGGTAATATTCTGTGAAGCTGGAATCAAGTAATTCCTTGTTTCCGCCACCATTGAGTATCGAGCCTACAAAGATAAATATGATGGTTGAATGTTTACTGTTTTAAACAGAGATATATACACATGAAGTAAGCCTATTATGTTTTGAATTTACCTGCACCATAGACTGATTGACAGTGTTTATCTGTGCCCATCTTCTAGTTGAGTGTGCAAGTTGTTGTGCAGCATGTTCCATCAGAACTTTAGCATTACTCCAGTAATTTCTTGTTCTAACTATCAGCTCTTTACGTTCAGTCAACAAATCTGCTTCAGTCTCAAGTTGTTCCTCAACTTCACTTCCATATTTACCATTAAATATTTCATGCAACTTTTTCTCATGTTCTTCTCGTAATCTCTGCAACTCTTCACATTGCTTTTGTAAGGACTCAACCTCTGCATAAAGAGCATTATACTCTTGTTGTTGGCTTTTTAACTCCTTTTCTGCAACCTCTTGTCTGTTCAACGCATCCATGTATTCTCGTTGTTCCTTCGCCATTCGTGACTGAAGTTGGTAAATATCAGAAAACATTGCTCTTACATTTGGATGTTGTATGGCGGCAACATCTCCGTATTCTTTAGCTCTAAAAATTTCATCATATATAAAATAGAAATGAAATAAAAAAATGATTAAATGAGGCACACTCTACGATGATTTTTCTCAACTGAAATAAAATATATAATTATATAACTTCTCATCTTTTATGGTCATGCACTCATTGCAAAAATTAATTTAATTACATACGTTTGCTGTTTAAGGCTCTCCACCTTTTTCTGTGTTGCTTGCAAATCAGCATATCGACTAACAAGTAACTTATGTTGTGTTTGATATTGTCCCACAACACCTTTTCTTTCCATGGAACTTAACTCCTTTTCCAAATTGAGAACATTTTGCAATGATTGTTCTGTATATGTAGGAACTGACTTCTTAGTGCTTGGTTCATCCTTCACTGATTTTTCTTTACTTGGCTCAACATTTTTAGGCTCTGGAGGTGGTGGTTTAGAAACTGGCTTATCTGGTTGCTTTGGTTGGACTGGTTTACTCTGTTCTTGAACAGCGTTTACCACAACTTGTTGTGCCTGTCCATTTAAGTCTTCTTTCACATTTTCAACATTATTATTTAACTCTGATTCTTGTCTCATAACTCCTGTACTTGCACCACAACCCATTTTACCACCTCAGGATGTTAATCACCTTAACGTTTGAGAAGTTTTTAATTAGAATATCTACCAGCTGCCTTCATGAACTGGTTAAAATTTGTGTATAAAAAATTGAATGACAAGAGTGAAAGTGTACCATGAACGTCACAGTAACAACAGAGATTCAAAAGCTGCCCATGACAGGACGCCTTCATAAAATACCTTGAATCCACTGAAATTTTGTCCACCATAAGACGTATGAGAAATAAGTCAATATTGAGATGTCAGTCGTTGTGACAAAAAACACTCAAAAAAGCTGGTAATTAGCCCTTTAATACAGTAAGTAGCACGTTATATGAACGTGCTATAACAACGATGTCTCACTTGCTGCAAAACACAGGAATTTGTTGTTAAAATTTGTATTTTGTGTTGCCGTGGTTTTTATTAAAGTTGTAAATGAACCAGTCGTCATAGTAACCAGACGAAATATAACATAATATGGACAAATATACGGGACTCTATGGGACTATTGTGAACAGATAACCCACAACACAGCACTATTTTCTACAAAAGCCTGGCTTGCAAGTTTGGCCATACGCTTCTTTGCGCTAACGTTACTTCAAATGATTCATGTGCATATCATCTCGTAACCTGAATATCAGTCAGGTACTCATCTTGTATCAGGCGAATACGACACGAGCGCTAACAACGCCCCCTCACAAACAAGCGCTGTCAGACCCATGTCAGACCCCAGAGATTTCACCTGGCGCTCCTACATCCCCGTCTTTCGTACGAACACAGTGGTAAAAAAAAACAGTGGGTAGACCCCCCGCCGGAATTGGCATGAAAACCCGCATCTTTTTCATTCTAGACATTGTTCATCTTAACTTGGCAAAAAGTTTCGATGGTTTTGCGTGAATAAAGGAATAGTAGAAAATACTTTTAGAATTGTTAAAAATCCTTTATTACATAGAACATATAGTAACTTTTACATGCAGAACAAAAATCTAATTATTCCAATACCATAATATCTTTCGTATATCCGGCCGTAAGATAAGAACATTAAAATTGCTTGATGTTTGGTATAGGCTGCTTATTGTACCCTTTCCAACATGTAAAAGAGAAAAGATCAGGCCTGAAGGTTCGGCTCTAAAGAAATACTTCGGTTTACAAAAGTGAGAATCCATGAACGATCAAAGCTGTCACAAAGAGTGTTATACTTGATATTGTTTGCGCTGAGGAAGGAAACACCAGACATAAAGCATCAACATTCACTTCTCCAGGAACAAGTCTTGCACTATATTAATCAGAATGTTTGATATATTAGTCAAGTTGTGGAATGCCATAGTAAATTTAATGAGCTAATTAATTCCTTACCAATTCAGATATTGGTTACATTTTTGTCTGGTGAAGTTGGCTACAATATGTTCACCATCACTAGAGCACCATGGATGACGACAGTGTACATTAAGAAGCCTTTGACGACAAGTTTTGTGCAAAGTTAAGTTCACACGGTGTATGGTGACATTTAAATACTGGATAAGGTTTTGATCGTAGTAGTCAATATACCATCTCGGAAGCTAGTAAAATAAACAGGGTAATGAAATTTAAACAATGCATCTATCAAATCCTTTTTCTGGATCATTTCTACTTATACCTTTCCATAATGTTTCCCGTTACATCTTGTATCTAGATCATAGGATAAGCATCTGTCACTCTCCCAACCAAAAGGTGTGTATGAAAGATGATCACAAATAAAGTAATTCGCGCTCATAAACCGCATCGCAACAAGTGAATTACACGCAGCAAAAATTTTCAAACATTTCATCTTGATATCAGGATCATGAACGATGAATCTTTGGATGTCAAGACTTTCATATCTCGGATTGACTTGCTTCTTACATCTCGGAAAAAGTTGTGCACAAAGGAAGGCCTTGTAAGCGTTGACACACTGAGGACGGCTATCCAAGCGCATTATGTCTTTAGATTTTCTGTATATAGTTTCAATCATAATTTCATAGCGTTTCGAGGCATAGTCTGGGACGAAATAATCAAATGTGATATTACAAGGAGGCTCTTCAGGAACACGATTGCACTCGCTTAGTTTAGAAAGAATATATTCTTTGCAGTAAAAGCTTCTAATGGATATCAAGATAGTGAAGATCCATGATTTGTAAGACGCCATACTTGCTTGTATGAAAACGAAGCCACCCGCTTGAAAGTATGTTGTTGTTTAAATTGTGGTTGATATCACTGTTATTTATAGCGATATTTGTCACAATAAAACAGAAGTAGTGTTTTATTCTACAAGATTTGTACTTAGAGCAGAGATTTACATCTTCAACTACGTCTACGTTCTGCCATAAAATCTCTAAAAGGTTTTAACAACGTAAATATAGCCCATATACATTTTAACTCGGTCATTATGTTTCCGCAAAAATTAGTTTAAATAACGTTCAATCAAACTTATAAGACTGTCATACACTGTCTGATCATTCGAGATACTGTTTTAAAAAGGAAAGTCACTTGAACTTCAAAACGAAAGCACACATACATCTTACTTGCCGTCAGCATATTGTTCCAACTTTTCCACCAGCAATGTTGTGTCAAACCTATATACACGTGAAATAATTTACTAGTTTTTACCTCCGTGGTTTTAAGAGTGGTAAACGTCACAGAGGCGACGCGTAATACCTTGTTTGATCTTCAACAACCTCCATGGAGTTATCTTCTGATTCGCTGAGGTAACCTGACGGCGTTACATCACTATCAGTGTCTAAAAGTATTGATGATCACGATCATGAAAATGTCATCATATTCCGTCAAATGCTTTTGAAAAACTCCAAGCATTTTAACATTAATTGCCGATCACAATTTAACAAAACTCACCATTTCTTAAGTTGTTTCTTGATCCTATGGCACTGAAAAATCCAGTGGAATCAGAATCTTCTTTAGCGCTCAGATATAGTGACTCGTCATCACTTTCATCATCTTCACTTTGTTGTTGTTTACTATGGTTCAGAATTTGACTGAAGTTTGCGGCCAACAAACGCTTACCTACAGTATTATATTAAGAAGAAATTGTTACTTTGTTTTACTATAAACAATTCTCATGCATGTTAGTTAGTTAGTTAGTTGACCAATAATTACATCTATCAAATCATTTCAATTCTTTTTAGTTACTCTGACTTTTTGACGTGTATAAATGGTAGATAATGTTTCCTTCCATACCTTTAGGTGTCCCAGATGAGAGACTTCCCAAACTCTGTGTATTTTTACTATCTTGTACTGTGTTGTCTTTTCTTGGAGTCACGGTTATCTCTGAGCTGCATTTTATCAAACCATCGTGTGGAATAGTATCATCTCTGGTAAGATCTTCGGAATAACTGCGACGCAAAACATGGTCTGGTCGTTCAAGGCCGTTATTCGTTCGGTCAAGTTCGTTATCATCCTGATTTGATTCAAGATTATAATCTGCTCGGTGAAGACCATAATCTTGTTTAGCACCGCCATCCGCTCGGTCGACGCCATAACCCAGGACACTATCATCTTCCTTCAGTTTGGTGGTATCTGTTTTCACGGTGATTTCCGAGGACTGGTTCAGATAATACTCGGGGGCTGATGTTATCGGGTGACCACTTGCGAAAGACAAGACGGGAATGTCCTTATTCTCATATAAGTCATCTTTAAGTACGGGTTTTTCACTGCTGTTATTTACCTCCTCTGTGTTTGAGGAAAACGGGATATCTGGCATGAAATGAGCACTTTCAGACAACTGAACATTTGAAACTGTTATGGGTTCCATAAAATTTCCTCGCACATCAACAGCGCTTGTAATTGGCGTCTTTGAATTAACGTTCTCATCTAAATTCATTGATACTAGGTTTGCAAGATCCTTCTCAGATTCTTCATGTTCTTTTTCAATATCTTCTTCAGTTTTGAGTCTCTGATCGCAAATACGATTATCAGAACTACCATGTTCCAGCCTCCCATCATCATCTTTCATGTTTTCAATTTCAGAAATATCTGCACCTGGCACAGTTGTATCCATATTTAACATTTCAAACATGCTGTTCAGTTGAGAAATATCAGCACAAGACACGACCTGGTGTTCCACAGAGGCTATAGGAGGTTCGTTCACAACTTTCTTCTCGCTATTCTGGCTCTCTAAAGATATGGGTGAAGAAAACTCAAAGCTTTCAGATTGGTTCAGTTCAAAGCTGGCATCTTCAAACGCAGGAGACGGAAATTCTTTGTTCATTTGTTTTAAGACATTCTCTTTCTGTTCTGCGATAATTTTGTCAACTACAGCTGGCTCTGAACGTTGAGTTATGGAAGTCTATAGAAAAAACAATAAAAAAACAAAATGTTCATGGAAAGTTGGTACTTTAATTGGAGAATTGTGGTATAAAAAAGATGATATAATTAAGTAGACATCCATCATTACCTTTCTGTTAGTTTCTGTTCCAATGTTTGAGGATTTGTCTTTGTAAATAGCAAAACCTTGTTCTACTAATCTCTTTTCAATATTCACATCCTGGAGAAAACAAACTCCCAATTAACAGTGAAACGTTTTTTTACTTCCAAAAAAAGTTGTTAAAACAACTCTATTGCTCTACAAACACTTGGTTCATATCTCAAATACCAGGAACTTACTTCTTCAGTATTTGTGTCAATCAGTTCAATGCAAGGTACCCCATTGTCATCATAATATGCAACTCTGGCCATCAATGGCTTCCACTGGGCACAATAACTGAGCTTTTCAAACATTTCTGAGGCTTCCTGACTCCAGTTTTTACCTGAAATATTAAGAGAAAAGTGAATTTAGTCAGTTCAGCCTCGTGGTAAATGATTATGACTAATGATAAGGTCATAGACTCTCTCTTGACATAGTAAAAGAAATTAGAGCATACCTGCTGGTTTTACATTTGCCATATAACATTCAATTGCTTGAAATGGCAGAGTGCAATATTCTTCCCTGTAAGATGAGTAATTATCCATTTAATCATCTATGATTAAAACTTGATCATATGATTACTGATTATCAATACCTTATTTCTTTGACATTTGACATTGAAACAACATCGCTATCACCAAAATCAAGATATTGAACTTGAACTTCATTTCTCTCCTCAATAACTTTGACAATCTCACTTCTATACCAAGACTCGTCATGTTGAAAGGTTGCACAACATATGTCACCAACTTTTGGTGGCGTAAGTCTTTTACCATGACATTTATCTCCATAAAACTGAGTCATTTCTTCAACAAGAACATCAAGCTGCTTGGCATCTGATACAATATTCTGTATCCAAAAATGTTCAGGTGTGTCCATGGCTGATACATACACTGCAAAGTAGTCTCCATGAACAGGTAAATGTGCAAAGGTCAGCTTGTTTTTTGCTATAAAGGAGTATATTTTCACATTTAACAACAAAAAATATTAAGATGGAACAGTCAAATTACAATGTATAGACATGTAAGAATGATAAAAGGTTCCTAATATATTTTAATACCCTCTTGAGTTCTTTTCTTCTTTTTTCTGAAATCTTCATCCTCCGCTATCTTTTCATCAATCAATTGCTTTGCACATTCAATCTGTGTTTTTGTCCCAGTAATGTCACATGTCCGTAGCTTGTTTGTCTCATTATCCTGATCAAATTTAATTTTTGCACCTTAAATGGAACAAACAAGAATGGTGCAATGAGAGAAAAAGAAAATTTCATATCCTAGAAGAATTTCTATATGTCAAGTAAATGTGTTTTATAATTTAAAATTTGTGCCTAGAGTATCATATATTTAATATATTTTGATCCACAATGTATTCATACCAGATATACGGCACAACTGTCTAATTGTCTTGCCACCTTTTCCAATGATCCTGCCAATAGCTAATTCAGGTATTTCAACTACAACTTTCTCTAACACAGGTTGTTCATCTATCAATTTCTTAATCAAAACTTCAGCACGCTTTATTCTTTCTCGTGTTCCTCGTATCACAACTGTTCTGACTTGTGGTTTCCCTTCCTCGGTTAGTTCATCTCCTGATTCTTCCTTATCATCTTTTAAATTGATTCGAGTGTCACTTTCTTTTTGTATCTGCTTGATAACACATCCTCCACGGCCTAAGATTGATCAATATCACAAACAAATTACTGTCGGAAGCCAGGTAAAAGACTTCACTATGTGTGGTTTCAAGAGATCTGAAATGATCAGTTGCAAGCTGCAAACTGCAACAAAATTTTAAAAAGGTGGTAGCAAGACCTTTTTTGTGTAAATGCAAGCAGAAACAAGTTTTCAAACTTGGACAGAGAACCACTTTGTTTTCAAAAGTTTCAAACATAAAAAAACTCTTTACATAAATGTCCCAGCGGTATTTGAAAACGACAAATTTTACCTAAATGCAGAATATTAAAGTTGTTTGAAGCATCACTCTTCACAATAATTTGTCATTAATTTAACAATATATTTACTACCACGAGATACTTAAGAAGTAAATTACCAATGATAGCACCAATATGATAGCACCAACATGACATTGAGGTATCTGCAATTCAGACACCAGATCAGCACTGGAAACAAATTCATCTTCTGTGCCAACTTCATCTTCATCATCTTCTTCACGCCATTTTAACAAAACATAAAACAATATTCCAACAATAGGAATACTGACAGCCAAGGCTATCTTCTGATTTGTCGTTAGTGTCGGCATTGATTTAAAATACCAAGTTCTTTAGTTAATTTACCTTCGTAAAAAAACACATGCGTTCAAAAATGACGCCATTTTGTATATTCATTAACAAACATCGCGGTTCCGATGTGTGACGACAAGCAACGAATACACTACGAAGATCTCAATCATCAATCATCTCAATCATGTAAGATTTAGATAGACCACATTGATAAACCTAAGGGTTTCTTGCCTTTACAAAAAAATTAAATTGTACTTTAATATCAATTGAATGAGTGGCAGAAACAAACTTGAGTTACTCTAATACAGACTGTGTTGATGGATTAACTGTCGTATTTTTACCAACCATGTACCTGGAACCCTCACCCTATCCGCCTATCATGAGTATCACCCAGAAGATTGCAGCCAAATTTTTGCGTGTTTGAAGTCTGAACCCCAAAGCACACATGGGAATGCTCAGACTAGAAGGATTAAACACTTCACTCGTGGTTGAGTCTTTAATTTTGTTCCAGTAGCATTTCAGTCCAGTTCGTTTAGAAAAGCACATTCATCAAAGATGCAGACTTCCTGATGTTTAGGTTCGCCTCTTGATAAAAGAACGTTAGAATAGTCGAGTTCATTGCAGCCATCCCCGTTGAATACATTACACTCGAAGTTTTTGTTAAGATACTTTAGTTTTCACGACACATATCTATGATTATAAAACATGTGAAACTCTGCAAAGTCTTTCTTGCCTCATGTCGTAACAGTGGTTTCTTCCAAAGAAATATCGAAACATTCAATATTGAATTGAAAAATATAAAAGAAGCCCCCCAAATTAACAAAGCATTTTGCATCTGCCAATTCTCAGTATCCTTAACAAAAATAAAAACTGACGGTCCTGGAATGAAGCAGATAAAGAAACACACGACTACAAGAAGACACACTTTCGCAAGTTTGATGTCTTTGAGAAGTTCTCGTTTTCTCATTCTTTGGCTCTGTGAGACATTTTCATTATCTGCTTGTGGAAAAACACGACATCTCTTAGAAGCAACAACGACTATTCTTGTATAAGCTACCACAACAAACAATGCACAGGGTGGAAGAACTATCAACAAGAACAGCGTTGTTACACCTTGGTAAAAGAAAGACAAACTCACGACAGTTAAAAAGAAGGAATAAATGATGATCAAAATAATGGTGATTCTTTTCTTCGTGACCTTATTTCGATGGTAGATCGGATGCACTATTGACATAAACCTAAAACGACAGAAGAAAAAAATGGTTAGAGACTTCATGACTCGATGAAATATGACTCAAGAAAACATGTGCCAGGACACGTAGGGACACGGATGATTAATAGAATCATACAGTGCTTACCTTTCGTAAGTCATAAGTACATACATCATCATCGAAATTCCAAGAAGTACGAAGGCAATCTTTACTTCTAATACAACCAAAATACAGTTATTAGGAGCAGAGGATATCTCAGAAAAGACAACATAGGTTGTTAATGGAATATTAAACAGCCCTACGCACAGATCTGCACAGGACTGTAACATCATCACAAAAAAACAGACTTTTTCATAAAGTTTCCTTGATTTCCAGATCGTAACAAAAGCGACGAAGTTTAGATCTACACTTAAAACTGCCAAAATTATATTGACAATAACGTTCAGCGCATTATTAACTATGAAGTTAGTAGAATATTGTCGAGGTATTTTATTTCCTTTCTCACCAAACATTTCACATTTCATAATATGTTCGGTAATGTTTCCTGTCAATGTTGTCTCATTCATAGTGCTTTTACTTTTAAATTTTAGAAGTTTGTTCCACGAAGTAATATTTCATAATGATCATTTTGATATTTTACTTTCCACTCGATAAATCATACGTGCTTGTTATTGTAAACTGACTCTATTGATTAAGATATATTAAGTTGTAAAGAAAATTATCCAAAGGAAATGAAATGTATATATTATTAAAAGTTAAACAGTTAGGCCTGTTCTCCACTTCAATCGTAGGGAACCGTGAGAAATGATATATGCTACGTGTCGCCTCAATACGGTTGAAGTGGAAAACAGACATACACAACTGATTCATAGCAGAATATATTAGGTAAAGTCATTAGATTAATATTCAATATTTTTTTTCCATGCAATAAAACTTTAATCAGAAAAAGTTATACATAATTATCGCGTCACTGTTCTACTAATAAAATCATTTCCTAAAGCTTTATTAAATATTAAAAGCGGTTGGATTAAATATTTTTAACTGTCGTGTTGTTTCCTGTAATTTGGATCAACCCTAAAACAAAATATTGCAATGAAATACTGAATTAGAATTGAAATACCGTCTTATACTTGCCATGCCCATGCTATGCACGTCTGGTATACTGACCTTATAACTTCGTCAGGAATGAAAATAAAATCCGTTTTGATGTAACTTGACAGTTCTTTTAAATTGTTCACAAATTTTAATTTTCTCGCAAAATTAGAGCTAAAGCAATACACAGATCAGTCAGCATAAACTCAATACTTTTGAGGGAGATGCTAGCTTACATTATTACGCATTAAGCAGAGTGAAGTTATAAAATATTACCTTAAAAATGGACGACAAAGTCTGAAGACACTTTTCAGCCAAAGATTAGGATGGACTACGAATACTTTGGTGACGCTCTTTCGTAATCTAAATTACATAGCAAAAAGTCCGGTATTATTAAACAAAGACCCTGTTGTACGTACGTAAACCAGACATGTTTGTAATCATGAAAGGTAGTTAAGGTACTGTAAGGAACTCTTTTCATTTGTAAATGACGTGGAATGACGCATTCCTGGAATGCTAATTTATACACTAACCTGTGGTCAATATACTGGTAATATTTCTTTAACCATGAAAAACTTGGCGATTGATTCTTGCTTGTTCCTCCATGAAAATAGACAAAGATATAATCTTCTGATGTTACCAGTAAATCCATAGTACTGATTATAAAGCTGTGAAAAAAAATATAAAAAACATACATGGGAGAATTGGGAAATTACTTAATTCTCTTGCAACTTGTGCAGAGGACCAGCAATTGAACAAAAAAATTACTATTTTAGTAGTTTGTCTTTTTTAAAAACTTAGTGTTGTCATTCAATGATTTTATAATTACGTCCAATTAAATCTGGTTAATACAAACAAGTACACATGGAGAAATTAAGATTTCCACTTCTCTCCAGTCTGCATGAGATATTTTAACTTCAGGCACTTGCAGCCAGTGTGCTTATACCTAGGATTCCAACATTTGACACTCATGGACTAATGAAATTAGCAAACCAACTTACAAGAAAAGTTGTTCCATCAAAAATGCATATCTTTTCATCTTCTTATTTGGTAAATTACAAGCAGTTAGTACAACAATGACAGTCTTTTTGTCTCCTTCATGATGATACCCTGAGACAAGAATATTAATGAAACATTATAATGTACATTCCAATTTCCAAAGTAAATATTACTCCATATGAAAATTACATAAAGCAATCGAAAAACTGCCTTTACCTCCATGTGTTAACACCTTGAGAAAAGGTTCGAGTAATTTCAAGTCAATGACTTTGTGTTGGCCATTAAAAACGACAGTTTGCCATCTTAATGGATCATTCAATCCATTATATTCCTGAATATCCATTATTTCTCCTCTTTGTGTCTCATTGTGTCCCTCATCCTCCTCATTTACACCTTCTCTTTCTACAATTTCATGTTCAGAGTCCTTCTCCTCCATGATTTCATGTTGAAGTTCTTCAAATGCTGCCATAAGTTCTTCCCTGGTTGGAGCTTTCTTTCGTTGTTCTTTAGCAGAAGGCTTTTTACATTCCAGTGACATTGCCCGACGTCTTAGAGGGCCTAAATCTACAATAAAAGAAAGTCATCAACAAAGTTTGATTACATGACACAACATATAATTCAACGTACAACATATAATTTATATGTACCTTGATCATCATCATCACTATCTTCAGAAATCATTTCACAAAGATCATCAATACTCTGGGACATCCTTTGATTTCTCTTTGTTCTTTCATCTCCTGATTCATTGTCACTGTCATCTTGAACGGCCAAGAACACAGGACATAATAACTCTGGGGCTTTCAAACGATGATGGTCTTCAAAGGATAACTCATGCAGGATAACCTTGTGTTTCTCTAATTATAGTAACAACAAATATGCATTATCACAAAGAGCTTACAGACCATCCAATCACTAAATTCATTTATAGACCAGGAATATATCAAGACTATGACAGATACCTTCAGGTTTTGATTTCATCCTGGTCTCATCTTGCAAACCTTTCATACTGGCCTCCCAATCAGTGTCAAATTCTAAGGTTACATTTCCAAATGCACTTGATTGCCGTGATAGTGTTCTAGGACTGGATGGATCCCCAAGAGAAGACTCATCACCAGATATTTCTTGCAATGTTCTCACATATTCTGCAATATGATGTCCATCTTTAGGTAGGTTTGTATCATGTTCCATGGACTGATCTTGAAGTGGTTTTTGCTGACCAGCACCACTATTGCTACCATATTTTAAATCTTCAGGGATGATGTTAGATGTTTCTGTTGTTGGTAAGCTTATGTCAAGATCATGAGACATGTCATTAGCAACTGGTGTACTCTGACGAGGGCCTGGGGTTATTGTGGTGTCTACAAATCTTTCTGGAGTACTTTGCATTACTGTAGTCTCCTGCAAAAATTCTTTATCAAAATGTAGACCAGAACTTTCATTTGACTGTTCTTGAAAATCATCAGCTGTTGTAAACATTTCCGAATCGATTGTTGTGGTGCCATTTTCTTGGGTTTCATTATTTGTCATTAAGAAACTATTGCTTGACTTGTACATTGTTGAATTAGCTGTAGTGAAACCTGAGAAACTTTCTGTGCTATTCGAATCCTTTTTTCCAACTACTGTTTCTAAATAATTTTCATCTGCAGTACCTCTTCCATCAGGTAAATTGCACTTGTCAATACTGTTACTAATACTTTGCTCAACAATTGACTGATCATTTCCTTGTTGAGTGTCAATGCCTATATTTTCAATATCATTTTCCATATCACAAACCAAAAAAGGATCATTCTGCAAGTGTTTACCATCTGCCATCCCACACTTCTCATAGGCATTTCTTATTATGCTAAGAGATAAATCTTGAAAATAATTAGAGACACCATCAGAATTTTTAATACAATCAAGTGAATGTATTTTCTTTTGTGATACTCCATTATCCTTTATCATTTCCTGGCCCTCCAAGTCAAATATTTGCTGTAATTCATCATAAACATCATTTAATGTAACTTCAACAAGTTTAGAACATCTCTCTTGTAAATAGACACTTGTAATTTCATCAGATGCAATTTCTGGCAAATCATGATAGTGGATAGAACTTGTTTCTATAACTGAATCTTTGAAAGACTCCTCATTCAAACATTCCAAGAGTGACTCTTCATCATACATTATCTCCAAGGTCTGGTCAGCAATCTTCTCAATTGCAGTTCTAACAACATTGGTCGTGACTTGGCTAAGAAATTTGTCCAGACTTATACCATTTGCAGTCATGTTGCTTTCAAAATTTGTCTAAATATATTAATAAAGTATTTCACAAAGTGCAGTATAATCATGATTAATCATTATGATTAAGTATTTAATTCCAATGTGCATCCTATGTAGATAATTTTACAGTAGACTTTTATCATAAAATTTGCATGTTTTAAAGAGTTATTTTTTTGAAGATCTGTATCATATAATACATATATCATACATTGTTTTTCATATGAAGGTTGACCTACCCATTATATTAATTGTAGGGTAAGCTTTCAAATTAGGGTTTATTGATGTGGTTTCGGGGTGAGTTTAGTAGGTTTAGCTTGCTTTTAACTGTCTTTTAATAATAAATAAGAATGAAAACCTTGCTTTGTACTCCCCAGCAATCATTATGTGGTATCATTGATCTCACGATAGATTGCGCAAATCATAATATTCATACATACTGATTTTAATTATTTTAATACTAATCTATTGTCAAAATATTCCGAACACTATCAACTATTTAGCAGTAGAAAGTTTAAGCATTTACTCATTACTTCCTATTTACCTCAATCCCTCAAAGATAAACATGCATAATGAAAACTAACAAGGGTAAAATTATCAACAGTTTAAACGAAATCTCACCTTGAATACACAGGAACTCGATGACAATCTAGGCAATATCACTTTGATTAATTTTCACTCGTCGATACGTGTTTTGACTGTTCTCGTATTACACAAAAATAATGTAGATTTTGTCCTTCTATAAATTGCACACCACAGCGTATCTTCACATATTTAGACAGTCACATCTCTTTTACTTAAGATAAAAAAGAGCAAACTTTTTAAATAATTTTATTTTTCCCCCTTTTGTATCGTTTGATTTAGTTATCGACCTGTTAAAAAGAACAGGGTCACAGGCGGCCCAAAATTTTTGGGCACAATAGCCCGAGAAGCAATTACGCAATAGTGGAGGAGGAATCATGGATGATGTCAGGGACGACGGAACCAACCTCGCAAGTCAGGTTTTTTTACCTAGAAACCATCACTGCCCTTTGCTTACGACGGCGAAGCGGGCGGTGGGGCAACCCCGTGGCCTTTGCTACCATGTCATAGTATCAGACATTCACTAGAGCAGAACTTGAAATTAAAGAAAGTAATTCCACCTTGTCAAACTTTCATGAGGACAGGAAAGAAAATACACTTAACTGGAGATACTTCACCTCTGTCAATTACTTTAGATCATTTCCTACAACTTTCTTAGAGAAATTGACCAATCACGCGTCGAATTGAAACAAGCCAAAGCTGATTGCAAATGATAATTACATTTTCAACCAATCAGAGGACATATTTCTAGTATTACACAATTTAAAATAATAACTTCGTAAAAATAAAGCATATTAATGACATTAATGCCGTAATCAGATGATATGACGACGACGCGGGGAAAGGAAAAATCACTTTTTTCAGTACGTGCCAATTAGATTCATTAACGACGATATACTCTTTTGTAAGAACTGAGCATTCGTTAGCAAGTGTCTTTCAAGCACATCTTTGAAGATTTAGAGTTTCAAATGGTACGACTGAGAGGAACACGCTTGTATTTCGTTGTTATTGGAGTGTTAGTGCTGGTCTTATCTCTAACATTCGTAATTTGTACAAACATAGTGCTTCACAAATATTCGGCAGGAATACAATGGTACTCTCTGTTTTACTTATATGTAAGTAGTAATCAGCTTTCTATATAAGACTATTTGTCCTTTATAATATGTGTGTACTTTTTATCAATTAATACGCTGGCAATAAAACGTATTTAAGACTTGAAGAGGGGACAAGTGACAGCTGCTTGCCTAAGACGAAGAAGCCATCCGACGTAGAATAAATCCAAAACTAGAATATATTAAAACCGAATCATTTCGCCAGCCCCAAAACAGGAACTTCTAATTATAATGTGTAACGTTATTAAAATGAACGTTTAAACAATCTTTTGCAATGAAACAGTATTTTTTTTAAAGATATATGAATATATTTCACATATACAATAAAATATTCATGTTGTCATCTGTTCATTAAAGTCCGCTCAGCCGCCTCTGAAAAAATAAGCTCAAGGATTAAGTTTATAATGTTATGTCTCTCAGTTTTTAATTCAGAAGGTAGTTTCGCCTCATGAAAGATCTGTAAATATGCACTATAACAATTTAAAATCTTGACAAACGAAAGGTTAATTTGTATATAAAACCAAATATGATTTTAGTAGTCGGCGCGCATATATTAGAAACACCTGCCATGAAGATTTTTTCTGGTCAGAAGAACTATATCCTGTCGACAATATATATCTTAGCAATATTTTCTTTCCTCTCACAGTACGCAATTCCCGGGGTGTTTTTAGCATTTTGTCTGGAGTCAAACCACATCTTCCACAATTTATGTAAGTTAACATCGGATATTTTGTTATCCCAGGAAGAGTGGGCCGAAAGGGAAGACAAACACTTCCCAAAAACATAGAATATGTGCATGTTTTATATTCAGAGAATAATTACATATCTTATGTATTTTTAGGTGAAAGCTTCCATTGGATTTCATATCATTTCAGTTGTCGTTTCCACAATTGGAGCTGCAGTTAGCTCAGTGTTTTGGCAGATGTATAAAGAGCCCGATGCTTGTGGAAAGACTATAACAGGAGAATGCATTTGTTTTAAGAAATCGCGTAAGTTTCATGGTAATGGAAGATGTTTTTCATGGATCAACTCCAAAGTTTGCCATAAATATTTCAGTTTGCCCATGCGGGTACAAAACGTAGTAGATTATTTTAACTATGTCTTTAATTGTTTTACCTTTTTTAAAGTAATCCTAATTTTCTATAATTTCTACAAAAATCTTTAGATGCCATAAGTTGCAAAGATGGTGATGTATCACGTGTTTTGCTCTCTGTGTTAACGGCAGCAAACATTCTCATGATAATGACGTCATTTATTGGTTCAATCTTAGCCTGCACCAATGTCTGTTGTGATCCTGTTCAATCAGTGAGTCAGTTTCTTCATCATGGATGCATTCATAGAAATATTCCTTAAAAAAGTGGTTGATTACTATATTTTCTTTAGGATAATACTGTCTCTCGCAACGACACAAGTCACAGTGAACAAACTATCGTGTCCGGCAGTACCCAAGTCTCTCATAATAACACACACGAACCAATTGCTGTATGCTTGAATTCAGTTGAAACAAGTATCGAACTGAGAAATTACAACGGACCATCTTCAATGTAAAAACATTATACTTCAAATATTTCAATAGTTCGTTAGCTGGTGGGTAAGAAAACAGCTTTTTATAGATCACAAACCTTTAATTTATGGTGAAAACGTTAAATTCATGGGTGAGATTTGCATATCGGTAGTCAGGCGTTGGAGGCTTTCCGGAGGTACACGATTCACTGGCGTCGACGTACACTCGGCGACAGATCGAAGTTCGGAAATTTGACGAAGCATTGTCTTCCCGTCTTCACGAGTCTGAAAAATAAATTTCTTTTTAAAATGCATATCGTTTGTTAGTTAATCGTATGTTATCGCTGCTCTCTAGTATTACCTCCGCATAATCACAACATTTTTGGGCAAATTTTGCAGCATCATCATATTTCTTTTTATTAATGAAATGGCGAGTTAAAAATTTTTAGGCACCAGGTAGATCCTCAGTCGACAAAACCTGAAAGTATTTCAATAGATTTTGAATGAGTTTGTCGATATTTTAGCAAATGACTTTCATCTTTCTGGTGGAAAGATAGTAATCAGAGCTCCTCACCCCAAGAACTTCAATCTTTTTTATGTAATTTGTGTAATATTTCTCTGCCTCATCTTCCTCAAGGAGTCGTTCATGCAATCTGAAAGATTACAAAATAAGTTTGAATTGAAAAGTGAGATCGTTCAGCAATATTGAAGTTTCACTTTTATTTTTTTCAGCGTCTTGAGAATAAGGCCGAGTCGCAAATTAATTACCTTGCTAACTGTAAAACAGCAATGCCATCAAAATCCCCCACTGCTATAGCTCGTCTATAACACTATTAACAAATATAAAGTCAGTTAATATACAGATACATGCGTAATAATTTAATCTTCTACATCCCCCTATATCCTTCTATACCTTCTTAGCCTCGTCCACACGATTGAGTTTCTGATAACACTCTCCGAGTGCAACAACCATACGAGAGTCGTTTGGTCTGAACAATTCAATAAAATTATTAAATTAATAGGAATTTGTTTTAACTTTGCGAGATTGTGAAGCTGTGACAAACATAAAATGACGTCTCAACGACTCACTCACTTCAACCGTTGAGCTTGAGAAAAGTAGTACAAACTATACAGCGGCATTTTTAATATTTCATATGTCTGACCCAGTCCATACCATGCTCGATAATCTCGCGGACTAACCTCTAGAGAATTCAGAAACTAAAGTTAGTGAAAAAAGTGTACGTTCTAAAAGGCTAATTTTGCTAGATGTTCATGATGAATGTCGGCAGTTGACAAATCAAAAACGAGGACGTACCGATTGCTTGACGATAAGACTCGATAGCTGCCGAAGTGTTTTTCATTTCCATATATTCATGTCCCATTAACGTCCAAGCTGACAGATATCGTGGGTTAAGCCGTAATGCTCGTTGGAAATAAAGAATAGCTTTCTCATGACATGCTTGTAAACTGTAGAAGTTCGCTGAAATATTTATTATCATAATTAGAGAATAGTATATTGAAGTTCTCTACGCCTATCCCCTTACCCCTTACCCCACCTTCTTTACACAAAGCAGTTCCTACTCACCAACAACACAGCATGTTTCCACTCGGTATTTATTAATTTCAAAACAGTGATGAGCTAAATGACTAAGTTCTGGTTTCATTTCCTAGAAAATATATATTTGTTACAAATACTTTCAAGTAAATTCATGAAATCATTTGACATACAATCATTTATGACAACATACTTTAACATATAAGATATTGGAGTATGTGTCCATGTTATCAACAGAAAACGGATCAACTTTATTAACTTCATCATAGAGTTCAACAGCGGCATCAAAATCTAGAAAATAAAGCAATAATTTTAATTTACCTTAACAACACATAGCGTTGTAACTGGACTTGCCCTGAACGCAATTTACACGAGAGATTTCATTCCATTGCGGACATTACCTTTCAAGTTATACTGTGCCAGAGCTAACTGAGACATAATATATGAACTTCTCTTAAAGCCGTTGTTCAAAAGATCTGTGTACATTTGAAGAGCTTCGTTATTCTGTTGTAGCCCAATAGCTACCTGACCGTCGAAAAACATCCTTATCCAGTGTTTCGGTAACGTTAGATTTTGAACCTGGAAAAACACGCGCGAATTCAAGGTCAATGAACATACGCTGTGATACCTTGAACTAACCAAGCGTGGATCAAGACTGATGGGAATGCAATATCAGTTCAAACTTCACAAACATAAAAAACCGTTGGAACTAAATACTACAGTGTAAGTGAGAATTAAGTGATGTTGAACCTCTTCTTTTGTGTTACAGAGAGCTGCAATTTCTAGCCAACTTGCCCAAAGTAATGGTTCTTTTTGCACAGACTGTTGAAGTATGTCTAATGCTTCTTGTTTCAAGTCTAGCTCCTTCAATACAATTCCAAACCTGCATAATTCATTAATATAACATTATATTCCCTCTCAAATGCTGCAAATTAGTAAATTAATGTACATTTCAAAATTATACTTACATATAAAGACCAAAGCCATCTAAATGTTTTTGCTTTTTAGAAAGCTCTATCTTGAGTAATTCAAGATTTTTGTTAACAATTGAAGTTTTTTCTAAAGGGCCTAAAATTTAAAGAAAAATATATTAATTAAGGTTAACTGTTTACTTGTCCAGTTACCATGCACCAAAAGCAAAGAGAACCTAGGAGCAGGTATATAGTAAGCAAATTTAATGAACAACTACTTTAGACCTACCAAGAAGATCAGTTTTCTGGTCATTTTTCTTCTTCTCGCCAGCCTGAAAATTTAGTTCAATAACTAGTCAATTTTTGCTGATGTCTATTTTGTACATTGCACTAAATATGTGTCATATAACCATGCACCAAAAACTATAAAGTTTTTTCTTTGGTGTACAAAAGCTTTCTAAAGCCACATAATATACTTAATGTTTGTATCATTTTCTCCGTGATTAAAACCTTTGCCCACAACTGGTCTGGAGGCTCGAGCTGAGACTGAACATCATCTCTTGGCTTACATTATAATTATGCTTACCAAATACAAGGAATAAACCTTGAGAAAATAACAATGATGACTTTGACAATCTTCCAAATAAAAGGCAGCCCTTTGAAATTCGTTGGAATCAAAACATGATTTACCCAATAAATAGCGGTCGTACTCAGACCATAATGCAATATCCGGGGTTGTCTTTGGTTGTTCAGAAGGTAGAGTAACATTGATATTTAGGGATAAGTCCGCAGCCCTTCGTGGTAAAAAAAACTTTGTATAAATGTGATAGCATTGCCAAAACTATTTGGGCCCCAACAGAGTGAGTGGGTGAGTTAGTGCAGTATGTAACAGGTCTATCCTGGAGCATGCATTGGGTGCAGGGGGGGAGGGAGTAATTGTTGAGTCCATGAACATGCCTTTAAACTATGGTTGAGCTGATTCAACTATACAAAACAGTTTTTTATTAGTATGGAGTAGAATGAGACGGGAAATATACCTATTTCATGATATTTTTTATAATAAAAATAATTTTCTTGCAGCATAAAAGATGGTCCACACTTGGGGTTAGGTATGAGTGTATGACCTGTGTTTGATCTGTTAGTGTTGTTTAAATTGACTTACCATTTTGCAGTATGGACAAGCCCCCTGGACAAACACTTTTCAGCACAAATACGAAGGTCATTCTTTATTTCTCGTAAGTTATTTTCATTAATCAAATTTACCGCCATCTTGATGTGCACCCGATTCGCATTATTTGTTTTTGGCGAAGCAGGATGACGAACTATTACCATGACAACAAGCACGAAAACAATATGGAGGTCGCGAAATGCAATAAATTCTGCAATAAATGACTTTTTTCATACCAAATACGTTTAAAAACAGTCCAATTGCTTAGGAAATAATAATGGGAAAGAGAGGGAGCGTCGAGAAACCCTCCTCTACAAATATAACTGATAAAAACATAAATGAAGTTAGCAACGAAAGTTTTCCAGATGAGGGAGAGGGTTAGTTGACGTGAATCTTAACTTAGTTTTTTCATGGATAATAAAATCACAAATAAAATAATAAAATCTTTTAACTATCCAGGGTTATATACAGCACCTCGCTTTTTTATCAGGGCAAATTTTTTAGCTAACTACCATTAATTTGAATGACACATTGTAGGTCCGTATGCGTTGACGAATAACTTTGCTCAGGATTTTCATGAATTAGCGAAGAGAGCAGGATTTCCTGAGTTACGAGTTGTACCAAGACCTTGCCGTCCAAAATCTAAGAAAATCAGTAGTGCTGGTCCAGAAAGCACTCAGCCTCCCGCGAAAGGGGATAAAAAAGATGGTATTTTAATACACCTGCTTATGATCATAGTTGACTACCTTTCTTTCACACACGGTGCACCATTTTTTTGACTTAGTTAGACACAGTAATAGTGGATAAAATTTATAGTTTATTCTTTCAAAAACTGTTGGTTACAGTATATATAACAAATTTCAGATAAAAAAGATGATTTAAAAATGGATAGAACCATGTCTCAATCCACAAATAGAAGCGATGTTGATCGTCCACCAGCAACATTCGCTCTCAAAGAAAAATACGAATATTTTAAACCTTGCGTACAAGCTGTTTGGGAAGTCTATGAAGGGACAAAATCCATGGCAAAAGAAGTTTATATCAGAGGATGGAAAATAGATAATCAAATTATGGAAATTTTGAGTTTAACATTACCTACGCAAGACAAATTGGTTAAAATTGAGTAAGCTATGTTATGCCTTCTACATGGTACTAAAATGAGCGTATTACCGCGGTAAATTGATATCTCCACTGCCTTTCTTTTTAGTTTCAATAACACAGGTCTAACTGATCATCTACTTGAAGTCTTGGCAAATGTCATGAAACATTTACCTTTGTTAAGGTGCGTCTGCGTGTCCCAATATCTTTACGGATATATCTTTGATATTCTTTACGGACGATTTTTTTGTCTTAGGAGTCTCTCACTCGATGGCAACCCTGTGCATCTGCAAAGTTATGGAATGTTTTTGCCGGAAGAAAGCACGTATGTATAAAAATGTAAAAAATAATTTCGTGGTATTCTCGTCAGAATGAGAAGATCAGTCTTCGTTATAATGTCACTCCACATGACACGCGTCTTTCTAAAAACTCTATTTATCTCTAGACTACAAAATTTATCTCTGAGGAACTGTTATGTGAATGATCAAGGAGCCACTCGTATTGGCCAAGCTCTGACATCAAACAAACATCTTCTTACATTAAACTTGTGTTTTAACAAAATTTCATGCGAAGGAGTAGATTCGATCGCTAGGGTATGGTAATGATATATTTGGCTGTCTACGAGTAACAATTTGGATGAGAATTAAGGATTCGAAACTATTCCAAACCTGTTATTTTGCGTATTCTTATTTAGGGATTAAGAACAAATAGAACGTTGTTATGTCTTGATCTCGGAAGCAATTTGATTAAAGACGCTGGTGCGATAAAGCTTGCAGAAGTATGTCCCCCCCCCTGTAATTCCGGCAAAGCTGGGGCATATAGTTGATGATACAACATATCTTTTCTCATCTCTCAGGTGATTTCAAAATTTGCGTTAAATCACGAGGAAACTGTCGCTCGTCGTCTTCTCATGTCAAAGAAAAATGTCGAGGAGGTGAAAATTTTATCACATTTGTTGATGTGCGGAAATAAGGTGTTTGACTAACGAAATGCCTGGAGCCAAACGTGTAGCGATTCTCAATAAATCTTTGTTCAGTTTTTAATTAAATAGGTTAAATTACTAATCGTTAAAACCTTTTGCTTAAACGTGGTAAGAAAACAGAACTTAAACATTGTAATAAATAACTATAACTCTAAAAATATAAGTGTCGCAGCGCGTCTTCAAACAACAACTTTACATTAGATGTGGTTTAAAAAACTGCCTAAAATAAAATTTTGTCTATTTCAGACAGTTGCTATACCACATTTTATACTGAAAATTTATTTTATTCAGCAAGTATTTACTAATCCTGAAGCAGTCTTCGTTGCAAACGATCACCACACTTTACAGAAGAGAAAATCTAACCATAAAGTAACATTCATAACCGTAAGTTTTAGCTAATCCTGCGTGCCTGCCTGCCTGCCATGTCAAAAAACTATATAAACCTTCAATCTAACGTCAATTCTCGCAAATAAAACCACGTATCAATCACACAATAAACTGATACAAATATTAAGAATAAAAACGTCCTCAGAATGTAGATCATCTCAGATTACGAATAAGAGTTTTATTAAATCCGGTAAAATTTGCAGCCCGCTGGAACGCCATCGAAATCAGTCAGTCATGGAGTTGGGAAAAGTGAAAGACCTCCCAGTGTACGAAGTGGGTAAGTCCAGGGATGATGGGGTATATTCCAGGGTATATATTGTACAGCAAGACGAATGAATAGGGAACATTACCAAATCTTCACTGATATTCTATGTGTTCATTCTCTCTAACAGAAGTCATCTTGGTAAAGATCAGAAGAAAGACAAACAGAAAGGAGCAAAGAAGGTATGTTAAATCTCCGGAAAAATTTATTCTGTTTCTCTTTTCCCTGAATGTTTCTCTTGGTATCTTGTATTTCCAGGAAAGCAAGAAGATCTCAGTGGATGACAAACCGTTGAAAAAAGGTTTGATATATTAGAAGTTGATTATCAACCCAATCTTACCGTAACGGTAAAGATAAAAACGAAATCCATTGTATTCCCAAGCTTCTTCAACAGACGCGTCAAAGGACGCAAAGAAGGGAAAGAAAACATCGATGGTAAAAGTTGACAGAAAAGGATTTAGTGGAGTTGTTGATCAAGATGTAAGAGTTTATCTTTCGAAAGCTTTCTAAGGATAGTTGAAAGAACCTTTGCATTTAAATAGCATGTTTTCTGTTTGCAGGCTTCGGACGTTGTAGAATTTCCAAATCCATTGTTAGAGCCGGTGGAAGAGATTAAAGGACAACTTTATATCCCTGGAAATAGAGCTCTTATCAATCTTAATGTTTCTGGTAAAATATTGCTTTTCTGCATTTGCTCGTTTATACTATTCATGAGGAAAACCTTCCAGTTGAAATTGTTGTTTTGATATTTAGCAAATAAGATTGGTGAACCTGGAATGAAAAGTCTGCTTCATGCAGTACAATATCAGTCACAATTAGCTGTAGCTCAGGCAAGACATGTTGGCATTGGCTTGCTAAGACTCTCAATAAAGGTAAGACAAATAACGCATGGAATACTAAAATGACATCATTTCTTATGATCTGGAATAAAAATGATTTACTTCTTTAGAGGAATGACATTTCAGATGATAATGTGGTGTACCAGACCTTGCAAGAATTGATGATAACAAGGGATCCATTTTTCAAACCAGACAATGCCTCTCATGATGACGCCGGATCGATAAAGGTTTTAGAAGAATATAAAACATTAAGTTTGTTTATTTTTGTGAAGTTACCGAATAGTCTTGTTTCCTTCATTGTAGGAGATGGAGTGAGGAAGACTTATCTTTGTGGAGAACAAGAACAGCTTCCAGCTTTAGAAAAAGTTCCAGCTTTTCTTCCTGAGTGTGAAATGAGGAAAGATTAAAGATGTTTTTGTAGCTGATGTAAATATTGTTCTCTGTACACGGAGGAAACAAATGAAGGATTTCAACAGTCATGGAGTAAATCAATCCTGGGCATGAATCATTCATTTATCTGATGAAAACTGGTTAACTGTTTATTTTACAAAATATTCAACAAAATATACAGTTCTTTAAGAACTTAATACGTCTCTTTGTTTATGATAACATGACGTTCTTTTATGATAAATAAACCATTTCAAGATCAATGTTGAGTTACTGTACTTATTGAATGATACATACAAAAATTTCACTCAGGAAGGGATATCCCATTTAGCATTTCTTTCACTTTACCAAGGATTTCTTCATACATAGTTGGATTATCAAACATTTTATAAAGCTCTTCTACAAATTCTTCTATGCAATCTTCACTGGGCTCGCGATCAGACTGTGGTAGACGGACATCAGCTAGACTTTGAGCCAACATTTGACGTACATGTGTGAGATTGGATTGAAGTGTTTTATTTTCTTCTCTAGATTTTGACACTTCTTCCTCAAGTTTATCAATAGCGGACTTCATGTTGTCAATATGTTTACTCAACATGACATTCTGCTCTTCATAATCGTTGTTTGCTCTACGCAAATCTCCTAACTTGCGTAGTTCAGCTTCTCGACCTGTCAATAGGAGCATGATTTAATATGCCATATTTCTATTCATTTGTCGGCCATTTGAGCAATAAGCATATTCAAAAATAAGCCTTACTTCTATTGTAGTTGAGAAATTCTTCAGAAAATATAGGAATGTCAAAACTAATTTCACCAAGATGAGCACTGAATGTGTTTCCCTTTTTCAAGTCATTGTTTCCTACACCATGTTTTCCAGTCTCCCTTAATTTCTCTGCAATTTGAGCACTTGTCTCTGTTTTATGAGCTTCTGAGATTTTCTGACTGTTGGAATTTTCATGTTCTCTCTCAGCTGTTAATGTCAATTTCATAACAAAAAAAATTGAGGAAAATAACCAATACTTGCAAGAAAAATAATTTCTAGTAATCTAACCTTGCTCTTGTTTAGCAACAAAGGATTTATAGGCATCAGATTGTTGATATTCTACTAATTCTTTACTGTATCTTTCCTTATCCTTTTCAGCTTCATTGAGGTAGGACTAGAAAAACAATCATATTTTGTTAAAATATTTATGAAGTTCCAATGGCATAAACCGCCTAATACTGAGTAATCAATTATACCTGTTTCTGTTCTTGTGGCATTTGACTCCACATTGTTCCTAGAATTTTTGTGATTTCATAGAAAGGTAACTCTGGTTTTTCCTGACGTACTTTCTCACGATGTTCATTTAAAAAACGAACATATCCAGTCAGTGGTGCCTTAGGGGCATTAGTGTCTTTCATGGATTTCTTACGCTTCTTTCCTTTGGATGCTTTACTAGGAGGTTCCTGGGAGATAATTTAAGTATTTTTTAAAAAAAAACTAGAAGTCAACATGTCAATATTTTTTTTTGTTTTGTACCTTCAATATGATTTCTTGTTTCTCTGGACAAGGACTATTGTTGCTGCTACTTGGAGATACTTTATCAGACATTTGACAGTCTGGTAACTCAGCACCATCATTACTGGAGATTGACCTAGTCAACGACAAACTCAATTAGATGACACTAGCAGGTGTACAATAATTTACAGTCCCTCTTCACTTTAATAGAACCATACATTACAATTCATTAGGTTAATAGCCTTCAATAAAAAACTCCAACAACCTCAGCTTACACCTCTATGACATTATGAAAGGAGGTCCTGATGTGATTTCAAAATTATAAACAAATAAAACAGTACTTTTGCTGACAGGAATTTCATGCAATTAAATATATTTTAAAATGTTTATTGCAATAACAGCACTCAAATATGAAACGTACAAAGCTATTGTTTGTTGCAACTAGCCACGTACGTTAAAAAATTAATATTAAATATAAACATATTTCAACATATCAGACGTGACTTGTATGAAATATGGCACTTACTGCGGTGTTACGGATCGTTCGTCTTCCATTTTCAAAAATACAAGTTCCAGAACAATACGTTCAATTGATAATGATGCAATATTTGAAATACATCCCCATCTTCGTGGAAATATTAATACTATACTTTCAATATATTAGACCATTACAAGTACATAAATTTTTAATAGTCCCAAATTGTAGTACCGTATCATGAAATTCACCTCGCAATTCTTTAATTTAGCAAGGAACTAGGAACTCTTAAATCACCAGATCACGCAGATTGATCGAAATATAATTTTTGCAATCGAAAAAAAAAATAAAATAAAAGCAAGAAATTATTTCTTTCCAACAACATGTAAGGCACGTGCGAGAGGCCTAGACCGAGAACCATGATATCACTCTTTACACGACGTACCCTCATATTCACTACATTTGTTTTGTAAATATATTGCTTTGAAATTTTCACTGCTTTAAAATATTATTCCAGTTAAATAATCACCGAAATGGATAACATACAGGTACAAAGGTACGTACACTGAATGCCAAATATGCTCGTTGTTTTAGACACAGGGTTTTTTTCAACTCCCCCCCCCTGTCCTCTCACAGTATCAACCCCCTTTATAAGGATTTAGATGTACTACAATGCCATTGATTCACATGTAATATAGACATTATATCAATTCATTTGGTTGACTCTAATACTTTTGCTACGCAGGTCTATCGCTGGTACGACCACCCCAGAAATATCTAGTATGACCTCTACAACAGGTGTCATTGGATCTTCCTCTGTTAGAACCTTAGAAACTATTACGCCAGGCAGTACTAGTATCCAGATGCAACCAAAGCTTACTGGCACAACCACTAGTCCTAGTTCATCACTTTTCAGAAGCACTCTTGTTGTAACTAGTGGAAAACGAAAACTCTGGCAAGATGAGAATGCACCTAAAGCTCCACTGAGTGCATACCTTCAGTTTCTAAACAAGAATCGTGAAGCTTTTCGAACAAAAAATCCAAGCATGGGTGTCCATGATATTACAAAATGTCTTGGGAGTATGTGGAGTGAGTTACCCCCAGACCAAAAACAGGTTGGTACTCAAAATTTGGAAGATTTGCAATAAATACAACATGACTTATCCTCACATGGAATTTTAGATTTATCTTGACCAAGCAGAAAGAGATAAAAAACAATATGTGATTGAATTAAAGGAGTACCATAGCTCAGACACATACAAAAAATTTGTTGAAGAACGAGAAAAAGCAATCAAAGGTGAGGAAATTACAGATTAAATTCTATGCAATAATAAAAAATGCTTGTTCAAAATGAATCTCGTTCATCTTCATAGCTCTCAAACAAGAAGAATTATCATCTGTGAGTTAAAATTTGTTACCATAATGGTTAAAACTCAATAATTCACCAAGCACTTGTTGGATGGTGAATTCTACTAAACAATTTTTTTTCCTAACAGCCAGGAAGTCATCTGGTCTGCATTCCATGTAACAAGTGGTTTGAGAGCACACATAACTTTAGAGAACATTCAAAAAGCCGTAAACACCAGCGTAATGTGCTAGAAACTCAAAGTCATGATAGAAAAACAACAAAAATAACTGTTCCTGGAAAACAGGAGCTTCCTGTGGAGGCAGTTAGGGAGAAGAAGACAGTGGCGCAGGGTATGATGTGAAGACTATCACAGTTCTGTTTGTTCTCAGAGTATTTTATTGTATTCTCATCATCAGCTAATGCATGTCAATAGCATTGGTAGATTGCACATTGAAGTATTTGATACCAATCAGAATGTTTAATGGACTTATATTAAACCTCATGCATCACCCTCAGGTGCTCCTCAGCCCAGTACTACACAAGCAAGCAACTTTCCAGATATGTCTGGTATTTCTGAAGCTGATTTAGAAGTTCCTATATTCTCAGAAGCCTTCCTACATTATAATAAAAGTAAGTTACCTATAACAGCCAAGGTAATGATTGCGATGTTATTGCATCAGAGAGGGAAAACATTTATTGATGATGAGCAAACTGGTTCAAAAAATCTACTAAAATTGTTCTTTCCCAGGTCGAGAGTCTGAGCTGCGGAAGCTACGTAAAGCAACAACGGAAATAGAGGAACAAAATGCGATTTTAAGCAAACATATTGACAATCTTAACTCGGCGATTGGTAAACTGGATGATGAAAAAATAGAATCAGAGCAGGACATTAAGGGACTGAAAACATATTTGAAGAACATTCGAGAACTCTTGGCGCAGAGTTTTTCCAATTCCGAACTACTTGACACTACAGATGTTACACTCTCTGAGTTGAGAGAGCTTTTGGTAAAGTTATGTAATTCAAGAGACAATGCGATAACAAACAAAGTAAAAAAAGCCATAAAGGACTTAGATTATCCAAAGTATGCAAAAAATAGTTTGTTGCTCGAATATTACGTTGAAATAAATACGAATCAGGACTTAAGAGTAACCATTAAGATCTAACCATTCTTTTTTTTTCAGCTGTTTGAACAATCTGTCTTGAGACGAACAACGGTGTTTCTGAGAGATGACGTGGACAATTCCTGCATTTTGATCCATGTTCTAAAAGAGTGTAAAAGAAGACTGCTTTTCATGATTCATTCATATAATGCTGTAATATAATAAATGTTTTAACACGAAAATCTGGTTTTTAAATGATTTAGTTTCTGTCGAAACCTATATATATAAACATATACTGATTACTAGCTGTTTTTTAAAGATTTAATCCTAGTTCTGTATTGTTTTAACCACGCGAGTTGGTGGAAACAAACCAAGGTCAAGGACAACTTGCTATGAAATATTTCACACCTGCTCGGGTTGTTAGAGTACCTGCTATAGTTTGGTCTATACAGACAAGGATTTTCTAAAACGGCGTATGTATAAATTTGGTTCTTGAAGATGGATCTCTAGTACAAGAGAAATGTCGATTCCTTGACTCTAGTTTATTCATGGGGTTGTTTCAATCGACTGGACCATTCACATGGGATGAACTTAAAGACTATCAGGTAGTGATAATATATAATATCACCAGGTAATGATAATAACTTCAACATAAACTTCCATGTAAGTTCGTTTACAGCAGCTCGGATGCACTGTGAGAATAAGAGCTTTCCTTGTGGGCAGCTCTTCTCTATTACGAAAACTGCCTTCTCTTAGTTACGCGGAGGTAACAGTATCTAACAGATCTATTAAAACACCTTGTTGAGGTAGATCCTTTAGAGTATCTGGATCTGGTAAAGAGGCACATTCGTCAACTGAGAGCACGGCTAATTCATGGCTGATTTTTTACACCTAGTTTAGGGCAGACCCTCAGAGCATTTTCTTAACAAGCCAGAATCATGAAGAAGATCCTTCTTGATAGATCATTCCTAAACATATAGTTACGAGGCAGACGTATTGGCCTATGGTAGATAATGACAGATTCAAAAAAGTACCCAGTTTAGGGCAGTCAATCAGACCATCTCATTGATAACAGAATAAACGGATCACGTGATTCACGTCGTATTACGTGTGTGGGAAGGTGTAGGTCCAATCAATAAATGAAAAGGGTCTTGAGTCTGCGAAGAAAAGCTAAGACCGCTAGGTTTTAATACGAAAAACACGTGAAAAAATGTCAGCCTCGTGTAAATAATCGCGATTAAGGTAAACTTTCCGTATATACTTTGACCTATGTATGGTCAGTATGGAAGAGTAAAATAATCTTCACGGGAGGTTATCCTCCCACCCACACGCTGATACCAACTTCTGGCGTATCCATATTAGTATCCCAAAATACAAACTATAAATAAACAGCAGGCAAAGGAACTATGAAGAAAGTTTTATAATCTTTTGGCTTTATTGATCGTTAAACTTCCTTAATATCATGGGCTCTCATCATTCACAATTTAGCGAAGAAGAACTTAGAGATTATCAGGTATTTTTTGACCGAAACATTACGAAAATTACTCAGAAAAATGATCAAACCTGACATTACGTGTGTTTGTTTACATTGTATATTTATGTTGTTACCGCTTTCCAACTGTTCATAACCTATGAAACTAGTATTATATATTAAAATAATATAAAAAATAATATTTTTAGGAGCTCACGTATTTTACACAAAAAGAGATTCTTCAGTAAGTGAATGAATGTGTGTTTTTTTTGAATAAAATATTATTCGGCAATTATTAAATTAAAACCACGTTCAATAATGAATTGTTGCATTCTTCATATAAAATTTCTAAATATTCAGTGTCCACAAACGGTTCAGTCAACTCGACCCAGAGGCTGTACGACGAGATAAGAATGCCAAACTACCAATGAGATTAATACTTACGTTGCCGGAATTACATGTAAGAGAACTTTACTTTATATGCTCAATTGGTATTTTATGTTCAATTAGGAAAAAAAATAAAAAATTCTATTGGAAGAGAGAAGTTTATGATGTTGCTTGCATGCTTTTTATTTTAGGTAAATCCTTTTCGAGATCGGATATGTAAAGTGTTTTCATCTTCTGGTGATGGAGCTTTGACATTTGAAGATTTTCTGGATATGATGTCTGTGTTCAGTGAGGCTGTGAGTACATTTCTTTGTCTATGTTGACACAGGTGTTTGTATCACACAAATATTTGTGATAAAGGTTGGATATCATAATACTTACAGAGCAAAAAGTTTGCCACACTTTACTTTATAATTTGTAATGACATCTGACAGACAATACATACCTATCATGACCACAATTTAGGCTCCAAAAAGTGTCAAAGTTGAATATGCATTTAGGATATATGGTAAGGATTTATAAAATTATTTATTGGTTTGTATGTTGGTAGCAAAGCTGACCGACTTAATTCCTTTGTAGATTTCAATGAAGATGATTATATATGTGAGAATGACTTGAAGAAAATGATCACAAAACTTTGTGGAGAACAGAGATTGCCTGAGGATAGCATCCAAAATGTCATTGATAAAGTAAGAAAGTTGCAATAGCATACAACTTATGATCTACCTATTTCATAGTATATGACTTGCTTTTTAGATATTTATTGAAGCAGATCTGGATGAAGATAACCAACTCTCATTTGCAGAATTTGAACATGTCATATCAAAAGCTCCAGATTTTGTAGAGTATGTTTGTTATGTTGACATTAATTGCTCTCACAGTTGTGTATTTTGGTTCTCTAAAAAGACAAAATGTTTCATCTACCTTTTCTTACCATTACAATGTAATACTTTAAAAATACCTGTTCTTTCTTTCTAGTGCCTTTCGTATTCGAATGTAATATATGGTTTATGGATGTTTGACTGAAGAACATTTTATAAATTGTGTAAAATAGTACTTTTGTAGCAATTATAACCAGCAAGCCTTCAGGGATGGTTGACATTCATTAGTTTCAGCTCTAAACTATTTATTATGTATCACTGCTAGTTTGATATGATTTTGCTGCTCTATACTGTTAATTTAATTGATCATGTATAGTGTGATAGAGTATTTTTATAAAAATAAAATGCTGTGACATGTATTAATCATTCGCTTTCATGTCGAATAAAATGATGGTATATTTAGATAGTGGTGAAGATTGACATGGTACATCCTTAAAGAATATGTTCCTACATGTCATGCAACCATTAACTAACCTGTTGAGTCCTATCCACAGTTTCACGAGGTACCATCTTAAAATCTCTGTGGAACAAATAAAAATACTACTAACTCTTCCAGACTAGTACTCCAACTTCAAAAAAAGCAAACGAAACTTGTAAGCCCATCACTGTCAAGACACTGACCTCTAAGCATGCCTGATCAACCATTGAATGTCTACAATCGTCTTGGGTAGAGACATGAATCATCGTACTTCTGCCGGATCGCAGGCAGAAACTTGTGAGGAGGGTGAATAAAATCTGTGGTGAAGATTGGTTCACTCCAAAGACGATAACTCGCAACCTGGCGTATCTTAGCCTAGACGTAAATCTTTTATAGAACTTGATTTCCTTTTGATAAACTGCCAGTCACCTGCTCCTACAAAACCATTGATGTTGGAATTAGACAATTGATCTCATATACTTCGACAGTGTTGCCAAACATTGCTTAAGACATTAAAGTGCCAACAGATATTATAACAATATGCCTTATAAACCTTACACAGTTGATTAGATCCAATTATTCTGTGGCAGAAATTATGCATTCATTGTTTGTGCAAAACAGTGTTACTGAAGGAAGCAAGGAAGCCTTTTCATAGTATAAAGAAATTTTAGTTTCAGATTCACATTTCAAATCAATGAAAACTCTTACTTCCTAACTACAAAAAACCAAGCCAGACATTGTTCTACAAATGTACCATATTAATACACTTACATAAGACGACCAAAATAATTCAATGACAATAACAAATCAAATTTTTCATGTTATCACAAATTAGTTCTGTATGCAAAATCTACTTGGTTAAATATTTATACTTTTCACATTTTCTATAATTATAACAGCAAATTTGAAGATGCTGTATTGAAGGGCATGAACATTGATCGTAAAAAAATGCTTTGCTTTAATTCCAATGTAATTTTGAATTCTATGAGGCTACGAATGTTGTCAAGCACTGCAACATTGAACTTTTTTCTTGTCCATGTCTGTTGTTGGTGCAACATGAATCGTCTGTACATTGTTGCTAGGATGGTTACTTGAGGAAGGTGTATCGCTGATCTGCTTTTGTGATACAATGTGATATATTTCTAAAACAGAACAAATACATAAAGGATATACAAAAACACCTTTCCAGGAAGTATGTTCTAATGCCACAAAATTAGACCAAAATCTTATTATCGCAAATAAGTAATAAAGTGAGAAAGCTTTACCTGTTAAAATATTTTGAAATGCTTGTTCAACATTTGTTGAATCTAAGGCAGAAGTCTCAATGAAAGAAAGACTGTTCTTTTCTAAAAATGAAAAAATATGTGGTTGCTGTATTTGTATTAATTACCATCAGTGAAAGTTCTTGATTTGATACTTTACAAAGTATACTAGTTTTTTTTTTCAAACCAAAACCAGGACTATTTCAGAAGTCTAGTCATCTTATCAGATCACTAACAACTAAAATTATTGTAAGCAAATTTATTACCTGCAAATGCTTTTGCTTCATCAGTTGGTACCGCCCTAAGATGCCTCAAGTCACTTTTGTTGCCAACAAGCATAATGACAATATTACTGTCAGCATGGTCCCGGAGTTCTTTCAACCATCTCTCCACATTTTCATATGTCAAATGTTTGGCAATATCATAGACTAACAATGCACCTACAGCACCACGGTAATACCTACATAATGTGTTGCAGAATAATTAAATTTTTAATCAAAGATCTGTAGTTATGATTGATTGTTTTGAAGGCTTGCTGTCTGCCATTGTAATTTGTCACTTCTATGCTCAAACAGTTTATTAATTAATTTTTACAATATATTGAGCTGCCAATGGATTCTTTGAAGTATCCTAGTCATCCTACTTTGATATTGTAATGTTTCCAATGCTTTTACTTGTATGTGACAATGTTTTCAAATTAATATGTTAGATTTATACTCCAATTATTGGGAATGACTATTCATTTAGGATTTCATTTAGGCTTACAGACAATAACCACAAATTTGCAAGGGAAAACTTGTTCATATATTAGCCTTTGAATTTCAATATAAGACAACATTCTTCAGAGTTCAGGCTTTGCCTATGAAAGGCCTTCTTATGTAATTCTGCCAAACTTAGCTGCAATATGCATTTTCCCCTTTCATAAATCGCCCACATATTAATAAACATCTGACAAACAGTTGAACAATACTTACGCACTAGTTATAGCTCTGTATCTCTCTTGGCCAGCTAAAAAACAAATTGTAAAGCGGAAGTCATATTACCAAAGCAGTATAAAGGTCGTCTACATAAAATTTTTATATTGTCAACTTATTGAAGTCACCCAAAAATTGTTATCGCCCCTTAAAAACTAGACTCAGCAATGATTACTTTTATCAAACATAAATATAGGATCAAAACACAACTTTACATACTTGTAGGCATCAAATGTTTTTTTAAACGGAAGGGCTCGAAGATGCATTTTGTTTGGATATTGCCCAACATAAATAATCTTGAAAAAAATCTACAGGACTTACCCGTGTCCCAAATTTGAGCTTTTATCGTTTTATTATCAACTTGGATGCTTCTCGTCGCAAATTCAACGCCAATAGTTGATTTTGACTCTAAATTAAACTCGTTGCGAGTAAATCTTGACAGCAAGTTTGATTTCCCGACGCCAGAATCGCCAATTAAAACAACTGCATACAAATACAAGACAAAAGAAATTCTTATCATTAGGCAGACGATCGTGCATTTTAAACTCACTTCTTGTCCAAACTAGAAGCGCAATTGTATAACATTAAGTGTAATTCAGAAAAATCACCTTTGAATAAGTAGTCGTATTCATCGTCTTTCGTCCCCATATTTCCGTCAAAGTCCTTGGACTTAAACGTTTAAAATATACCCCAAAATAAAACTGGGAGGCGCTTTTCTTCTTGTCAAGGCTGCGTTAGGATCACTTCTTTGTTAAAATCGTTAACGATCTTGACACAGATAACACAGACAGAAGATTGAAAAGGATTCTCAAAAGCTTTTGAAAATTCAAAACGGATAAATAAAATGGCCGCCGAAGCCGAGCCCAAACAACGTCACGTGATGCATTCCTCGATAATTACGTCATTCTGGTATGGGTACAGACACATTTTCGGCATACTTTGACCACAGGTCTTTGACTCCGGGTCTTTGCAGGTTTAAAAAGTTCTTTCTCGCTTTTTTCTAGACAACAACTTTACTCTACGCAGTTAGCCACATTAAAGCAAGGTCGCAAAAAAATGCGCAAAATGCAGAATGTAAACAGCAGTAAGCAGAGTTGAAAGCGGCAATAATATGAACATGCAGAAACATGTCCCTAAAATGCTGAGGCTTTTTAAAAGTCTAGTGACTTACAGAAGATTGAGTTTGCATTCTTTTGCCCTGATAATATTAACAGAATATTTCTTCTCTAATAAGATATGTTTTTTTTAAAGCAACCGTGTATTGTAGTAGCCTGGGTTTTATCCATAAAAGTATATCTTTAAAAAGTTAAAATATTAATGTTCACAGAGACAAATCTCATTTAGAGCCATGTGGCAGATTCTGATCCTCTGACAATTACATCGTGTGTGAAAGAATCATCTCAGTCGCAATAAAGTCATATTTTATTAGTTCTCATCAACAAGATTCAACAGATATTGTCAGTCTGTCACACAGACCCTCTCAATTTCAAGGAAACCCGTTTACACTACAAGATCTTATATTGTGGTTACGTAGCCTGTCCCATTAGTCAACGGTTCCTTCCGATTGAGCTGCCGGTTTGAAGACGACAAAGACTCGTATGAACTTCGGCGAGAGCCGCTTGTGGAATCTGAGGAGTGAGAAATTCGTCTTTTCTGACAATGACTACAGACTTTATTTCTCTTGATCCAAACCTCGGAGTCGTCAGGGCATTGGCAACGCAGTGAATCTCTTGCACCTTTTTCGTCGTTCAGATCACGATCTGTAAAAACAACACTAACATTAGAATAGAGAACATTAGTTAAGGGATCAATTCATGACAGCAGACAATGTACAACACTCCGGGTTGACCCGAAAGGTGAAAAATACTGAAAGCAATATTTGCTATTGTATTTTGGTAGTTTTTTTGAGAGAGATGTGGAGCTTAGTAAAGGTCAACTATAGAAAAAAAGAATTTAGATTTAAGATTAAAAGATCAAACAGTGGATAATTAATGAAGGAGATGAAGGAAATGATGCAGTATAATCACAAGACAAAAGACGGGAACTTCAATATTTACCAACCTACGCACATGAAACTAAACAAGGAAACAAGCACTATATTCGAAGACAGTATAAATATAAGTTACCACATCCTCAAGGAAAACAATGTTTTGATTATAAGAGTGTTTATTCTCACCGTTTTCTTCGGAGTCAAAGCGAGCAGTTCTCACGATGTGTCGTCCCGATATCGGAGAGCTTCGTGAGCACTCGTCACCAGAACGTGCTACTTCTAGACAATCATCACGACCACCTGTCCCCTTGCGTCCCTCTTTACCCTTTGTCGCCTTCGCAGAATGTTTTGCAGGGATCTCCGAGAGTGGTATGTCAGACGACGTGTTACGCCGACCATTTGCCGAACTTTGACGACCCGATGTGGAACGGTTTAATTGCGACTCCTGCGACAACCTCAAATTATCGTCGATCAGGTCGTCGCCTCCAGAATGTTTTTTAGTTTTTGAAGATGATTTCTTTTTCGTTCGTGGAGAAGAGTAAGAAGCTTCGGATTTTTTCCCACGGGACTTTTCCCCCACACGCAGTTGTCCAACACTACTTGTGAGATCATTAATAACATCCTTCGTGCTCTGATCTCGTGATGTCGCAGCTTGATCATCTAGGGAACTGTCACTTCGTTTCCGATCGTTTGAAGACGGCTTTCGATCTTTTCTTTTGTCATCAGACCATCTCACACCTTTTGTTTTGTATCCAGAATCTGTTTCACCATTCTAAAATTACAATTGAAATATTTTGTTCAGTTAACCACTGTATCTGGTGATATTTTTCAATGTTCCTTTGGTGCTTTGTGCTGTACGATTGCGAAAAGATGACCACAATCATCACAAGAAAATCAAAAACTGACAGTTGACGATTGTACATTACGTTTTAAAATTCTGAAATTATTAAATGACATGCTACAAAGATACGATATTATAAGTCAGCTGTAACCCAGGTTTATAACCAGGAAAGTTCATTGTTCAGAAAGTATATCGCTTTCTAAAAAAGTAAATCATTTTCATTTAAACACACAAACCTCCTTCGTGCGTGAATTCTGTCTTCCAGTCTCTTTCATATCGTCGGCGCTTCCAGTAAAACTATTCAACGAATGTGCATCACGTGATCTTCCCTTGGTTCGAGGTGTTGACGGTGATCCGTTTTCTTGCCGAAGAATACCGTTTTGTTTCCGAGTCTGTGACGGAGAACTCCGAGAAGGATTTAAAGTTTTATAATTTTGTAGGTTCTTGATTGCGGCGCCAGCACCTTTAGATATTGACTTATTCTTGGAACTGACAAATGGTTTAAGTACGGCCATTGCACCCATTTTAAGAAGAATCTCTTGATCTTGTTCGCACCGCGCTGACAGGTTCCATAATATACCGCACGCGTTGCCAATAACACGCAAACTTGGAGAACGCATATTAGCGAGTAACATTTTAAAACATTCGTGTTCACGTAATATCGCGCGGTACTCGGGTTTCACTGCGATTTGTGATGAGAGATTTCGTAAGATTCCTCCACTGCTTTCGACAACAGAAAGAGAGTTGCTGGGACTTTTATAAGCCAACATTTCAACAAGAAAAGCAAGCGCTTTATGAGTTTCGCATATTTGAACTTTGTTCTCCGAGCTATGAGCTGATAGATTCCAGACTGCATAAAGTATCGGGCGTAAAGTGGATTCGCCGCTGACTTTTTGTGCTGCAGTCATCAAGGTTGAGACCGCATTGCATTCTTGCAGGACAAGCTTACTTCGTTCGTCGGATTTACAGGAAAGATTCCGAATTACGCTTGCTGAGACTTGTATAAGACCCTCGTCATCATACACACTCAAGTTTTTAAGCAGAGCCTTAACAATACCTTGTGAGTTGCCAAGCAACGCCTTGCTGCGGGTTTTTTCAAACGTCATATTTGTGAGAGTCATCGAGGCGTATTTACGAACGTTAGAACCTGAAAAGAGAAAAATAATTAAAATATATTTCCTGGACGACGAAGGTTTATCGCATCAGAAAAATTACGCCATTCACGGCTACTCGTCAGGTCATAAAAATACTAAAATAATTCATAAAAAACTTACTCAATGAATGATCTTTGTTGAGACAACTAAGTTCCATGAATTCCCCAATAGCTTCCACTCCCCCCAGATCTCCAATAGCGACGCGATGCTCCTCTTCAAAAGAGAACTTCATAATGGCTGCCAACGCGGTATCAAGGACACGCAATTTAGACGAGCTCGGAACGCTACGCAAATAACGAACTTCGATACAATAAGAACGAACGATTTCTATTAACTTCAACACGCGACGTTCGCGTTTTCCACGTTTATCTTCCATTCCTGCCGTGATAATATTCCTCATTGCTTGCGCAGACCTCATGCGAACCTCGTGACCAACACGTGGGTCTCGTAATTTTGACTTGTGCTGAAGTTCGATCAGAAGAGGGAGACAACCAGATAACCTCATTGCTTGACAGTGTTCTTTGGATGTTGAAAGACTATATAATGTTTGCGCTGTTTCTCTTGCATCTTTCGTGTTGATCACCGCTAAAAGATTTCTTATTTGATCAACTTGCGAATCTAAATCTTGGTGTGTGGATCCTTCGCTCGTAAAACTCATAACACTAGCTGTTTCTATCCCATCTCGATGCGGCGTGGAACAGTAAACAGCAAGACTTGATTGACTTCCACTGCATGTTGACATCACAGGGCTGATGTCACTCTCGGAAACTGTCGTGATGTCGTCGGGAAAGTCAGAGTAGACGCTTGTGTCAGGTATGTTTGCTGGAAAATCAAGTTGATGTCCTGCTATAACACGTTGGTGATCATGTGACATACCTCGGCGACCGTCAGATGACGAGAGATCACGACGAGCATCAGGATGGAAGTCGGGAACACCACCAGAAACAGATAGGACCTCTGGGGCTGGGTATCCCCGCTGGTGTTCTGAGGGGGGTATTTTTCGATGTATTTCAGGTACAGGCCCCCCTCTGGGTCGATCTGGAGGAGGTATGTTCCGTTGTGCCCCTGGGGCGAAATTGATCACTTCATCTTCAGCAAAATCATCAGCGTTGTGTAGAGGAGGTTGGTGCTGAATTGGTATTTGAGGTTGTCTGACTTGATATTGCCAATTACCGGAGTGTCCACCATAGTAAGGTGAATCATATCTGTTTATCGGCAGACGAGGTGGTGATTTTACACCACGTTGTGCACGTGGGTTGTAGTAGCCTCCAGGGTAGGGACGAGATATATTAGAATATGAAGGATTGTTTGGGTTTACTTGGGATCTATTAGGATTCCCTTGAGGTCTTGGTCGAAATTGTCGAGGATTGAAAGCTGGCATGCCATTGAATGATTTTAGACTGGATTGTTGTACGAATTCTCCACCAGAACGAGGCCCAGTATACGACATACGTGTATTTGGGAGACGGTTAGTGTAGGGTGGGTTTAACGGATATGAAGACATAGCCGCCATGTTGGAAGAATCGTAGTAAGGTTCACTACCAGCGTATCGAGGTGATGGGTATCTGGCGTTATTGTAAAGATCACCATAAGCTCTCGTTTGTGGAGGCCTGGTTGCAGAATTTACTATATTATTTCGATCAGAACTTGGTGCTTGGAGTGTTCGTCTCTGCACAGGAAGTTGCTCTGGTTTAGCAGAAGTTCCACTTTCGACAGCACGAAGGTTTTGTGTGGGTTCAGTCAATGGTTTGCTTGGTACAGAGGGAATAAGGTCTGGTTTTAGTGGTGCCTGGGTATGGGTGGTTGTTGGTGTACTAGAGAGGATTGCTGTAGTTGTTGGTGGATCATCAGATGGCAGTTCATTGTCATCTATCACTTGTTCTTCACCATCCTAAAATAGAGAATACACCCAAAGATTTTAAATATTTGATATTTGCAAACAAACATTATTCTATATAGTTCTAACTGTCTTATGCTGGGATATCTTGATTAACTGGTTTACCTTGCAGGAAGATTCTTTATCAGTATCTAACCACGGTGGTGTCAGAGATATATCTTCAGAAGAAGGACGGCAAGAAAGTTCCAAAGAACCCTCCTCTGCATAATTCTACAACATCAAACAAAATAACATTTAGTTGGAGATTATTACAAGTGATTTCATAGCTGAAGATCTCACAACTAACCCTGGTAAAATCCATTGCATCCTCCTCTTGCCAAGCTGTAGTTCCAATCCTGGCATCAGCTCTTAACTTAGCTTGTGATATCATATTATCAACATGAAAGCCTTTTGTTTCATTTTGTGCAACACCAGCAATTTTATCACCCTCTAAGTCTATCCCATCTTCCTCTGGATATCCCAGTGGCCAGGGGGGTGATAGACACAGCTGTTCTTCAGATGGTATGCGACTAATACCTTCACTCTCAAAATTCTAAAGAAAATTCCTAATTTATTAGGTTGCTATAGTAAAAAGTATTGCCCAAAAAAAGGTGAAAATAATCACCACAGGGCTAAAAACTTTAGATATTTTCACAAGCTTGATTTGTGCAAACTGTTACCTTTACTGAATCTACATCATCATAAGGAATTGGCTGACGTATACGTTCCTCAGCAGCACGGATAACAATTGCCTCATCAGTTCTTTCCATGTACTTTTCTTCTTGTTCACGATAATGTACTGTAAAATCCTAAATGGGTGGCATATCCATGTATATTAATAACAAACCTTATTGCCAGAGTTCATTTAACATATCACGTAATCACACTGCCTTTACCGACCTTTACAGAGTCCTTTTCTGCATCATCATCCCATTTATGTCCATTTTGAACAGCCTCTGTCCCTTTAGTTGAATTCTACACATGGAGATTGAATATCTACATATCCTGTGATGAATACCTAACAATGTCACTTGAAATACTTTCCATTGAATAGGGCAAAAATCTCTAACCTGTTTTACTTGTTGTTTTGGCCGATCCTTACAATTCAACAATTTTGCTTGTTCTTCCACTTCATCAGGTTCTTCCTCAGACATTTCCCATCTGAAATATATTAATGTGATATTTTACTCAGAGTGGAAAGTTGACTACCATCGAAAGTTGAAAAACATAACCTACCTTGGTGTCTCACGCTCATCAATTTCATGCATATTTTGTTCAAATATGTCATCTTAAAATACAAGATTAAAGCAACTAAATCAATCATAAAATATTCACAATCTGTACGGCAATCATGATCAAGACATAAACATGGCAGAATGCTGAACTACAGAGGGGAAAAATCAAAGATCTGTAGAAATGAAATGACTATGCCAATTCAATTCATTGTTATGAGTTTACCACTAAGCACAATATGCAGTTTCAGACAGCCTGAAACAGGCAAAACACAATTTGTGACAAGCTACGATACTTAATGACATAGTAAATATACACAGCATGATATTGAGGCTCTAGCTATGGCAGACCAACAAAACACAATGATAAATTAATTTATTTTGCTTCTCTGTACAACACAAATATCTTCGTATACCAACCTCCAATCTCATCATCTCCGTTCTCCATAGTTTTAAGCTTATCACATGAAATATTTTCTTCACAGAAGCATCGTAAAGACAACGTATTGTAGGGTCAATACATAAACAAAATTCATGTTTACATATTTACATTCCAGTTCGGGTCGCTGACAATTCAATGAAAATAATTCCTTTACTGTTCCCAACAGCCTAGCAATTTCATGTGGAAAACCATCTTAAAGCGTTGGCTTGTACAATGAAATAGTAAAAATTTGATATACTTCTTTTAAAATGTACTATTTCTCAGTTTAAACGTGCTCCGAGAGCAAATCTTTTCGTTAAAAATTTGACAATTAATGAATCGAGCAGTCGTGACTAAACGGAGATTGTTCGGAAAGAGTCGTGTCACACGAACAGCATGACGGCAAAGATGGAGTTTGACCCCAGAGATCTTACAATTGTAACACTAAAAGATTATATTTGAAACGGTATTTAGGGCACGTTCTACTTAGTGAAAGTGTAGAACGACATTTTGTAGAGATGATCTAAAAACCCTTGACCTTACGGTTGAGTACTCATTGCTATTTGCTACACCAACACTTCTTCTTGACCGTCAACTAATCCTCCAATCGACACTTTAATTTAGCTGATGGGGACGCCTCTCTGTGGGGCTACCATTTAGTTTGTCTGAAAAAACATAAAAAAATTATCTCTGGCATGCATCAACACTACCCGTGGCCTCGTGCTCAAGTGCACGTTTAAAGCGATGCTCGTATTTCATTGCCAGAAGATTGAGTATTGTCTTTCACATGTGATAGATGCTTATGTATATACATGACAGATGTCAGTATAAATTGTGATGGATTATTGATTTGCTTTGACTGAAGTTGGTTGAAAAGTTTCTTTCTTGTAAGATTGAAATGCCGGAATCACGCATTGGTAATCAACACGTGAAAAAGACGGACAAAATAGGATTTTTGACCCAAAACGGATTACTTGACATATTCATCGTACTATTTATGATCGTCTTTAGACATAAAAACGCCAAATTTAAAAAAAAATTAGCCATTTAATATCCTCAGGTAAAATTTTCTTGATAGTCTACAGCTTAGCATCAAAAGTGGTATAACAACTGCCTAAAATAGACAAAACACTTAGTGAAGGTCCTCAAGTCGAAACGTCGAGAAGTGTAGTTTACAGATCGCGGATCCTCAATAAATCGGGGTTTAAAAACAATAGAGTCTGTCAAGCATGTAAGACGATCAGGCACCAACTCATAACTTATTATCAAATTACATTATCTTTATAGGCTGAACTTGCACTATCGCGGACAGTTTCGGAGGCCGGGATACGACAGAAGTCTTGAACGTTTGCGCCTTACGAAATATATCTGAGATGACCTCAAACAAAGACACGAATGGTAAGTTTTAATGACATACAATATTGTTGCATAAAGAAGAATAGTGAAAGAATAAGTTATCATTAAGACCGCGGCCTTTGGAAAAACTAGCTTGCTCTAAGGCCCTCTACACTAATGCGTTTTCGTTTGAAAAGAAGAACCTTCCGTCCAAACTAAAACAACTGATGTTACCATCTTTATTTTAGCAAGATTCATTAAATTCCGGGGGTTTACATGTTTACAGTCACAAAAAAATTTGGTGTCGTTTTAAATCACGAGTTATCGCACACTCGACTTCGTAGTTCGAGTGTTTAGTGCTACAAATCGTGAAGCGAGAGCATCAGTATTGTTTATAAGAGTAAAATAATGTATTAGATTGTGGTCACAAACTGGTTTTCCAGTTGTAAATGTAAAGTAAATATTAACATTCATTATTAATCTACATTTTCTTATCTATTGAATTTCCTGTATAATATAAATCTATCACCGTAAATCATCTCCGCTCACTTTTTTATACCGTTTTCGTTGTGCAATGATGAAAAAATGGTCTTCACCGGCAAAAGCTCGGAAGCTCTCAACTTTGCATATATATTGTCTTGGCATCATTATATACTTTTTTATTATATTGTCTTGGCATCATGTCTCGACATAGCGTCTTGTGCAAACTTTCACAACATGCACTCGCGCTGGCTCCTCGAATCTTTGAGCGTTTTATTTCGCAATATTAGATATCATGAACGAGATTTTATAAATGTAACTTGGATGCATGTATGCCGCGGGCAACAGATTTGGAAATAATAACATTGCGTATGTAAGAATCTTCGAAAGATTTGCGCTTGAATATGTTGAAAGGTGAGAATCAATCTGACTTTATAGAAATTGGACTGAACATTTAATATTCATGCGGTTAATTGTATACTATAATTGGAATCTTGTTCGTCGTCGTGCATGTAAATATCTCAAAAGGTTCAATAACATATATCAAGTTTCATATGAAAGTTAGATTTTCCTAAATTTTAATATTATACCAAGTAAACCGAGAACGCATATTTTAAAAAAATTCCCCCTTTAATTTCGCGCCCCCAAGTTCAATTCGTTCGCTAATTTTTTAGATTGTTGCATTGGTCCAGGATATGCCACTCCATTGGATGCAATGAAGAATGGTCCTCGAGAAAAAATTGTTTATCTCCCATGTGTTTATCAAAGTACTGGCATTAAGAAACCTGATTATTTAGCTACAGTTGACGTGGATCCACAGTCACTAGATTACTGCAAGGTACCCCAGTTTGTAAAAATAAGGAGAATACATGATTCACTCAGACAAAATATGATTGGTTTTCTAAATATAGGTGATCCATCGTCTCCCAGTACTTCATTTGGAAGATGAGTTACATCACAGCGGCTGGAATGCATGCAGTAGGTTAGTGAGATCAGTTACCTTGACGACGTCTTCCATCAGGTTGTCCAGGATATGAAACAATTATTTTTTATTTAGTTGCCACGGTGATCCAAGCAGAAAACGAGACTCCTTAATAATGCCTTCCATTATAAGCAGTCGTATTTACATCTTTGATGTCGCTACCGATCCTCGGACACCCAGAATTCGCAAGGTATCAGAAGATTATCCTATCACCTGATTCAGAATCTGCTTCTTTCTGCCCATAAATATAATTTAGATGACGTTGAATGATCCATTCCATGTGAATGCCAGAACCATATTATGCTAATAAAAAACAAATATTAATGTTGACTGAATAATGATCATAATGATGTCAAACGCAGAAATCCTGATGTTACACGATGCTTGCTTCGCTCTTTAGTTCGCGGCTCCCCGTCTGACGTCATTATGAGAAAGGTCTATTTTACTACCATTCGCATGATTACCTTTATATAAACACAAGTTACACACATCTGGATTTCTACGATGATATATTCTATCGCATGATTATTGATTGAGTTCAGGTGATTGAGCCAGAAGAAGTATTTGAAAAATCCGGTTTAGCTTACCTGCATACGTCACATTGTCTTGGTAACGGTGACATCATGATCAGTGCAATGGGAGATCCACAAGGCAATGCTAAAGGTAACAAAACAGACATAAAATTGCGTTTACTCGAGGTCGTCAAAGAAATTGATAAGTTCAAATGATAGGCGGGTTTGTTCTGGTGGATGGAAAGGACTATTCAGTGAAGGGCAAATGGCAAGAACAAACTACGGAGTTTGGTTATGACTTCTGGTACCAGCCTCGACACAATGTGATGATCAGCTCAGAGTGGGGAGAACCTAAATCATTGTGCACTGGATTTAATCCGCAACATGTAGCTGATGGTAAGTGTTTCAGCGATGAAAAGCTTTCTTGGAATGGCTTAGTGTTTTAAGTAAGAACAAACCTAAATAATTCCAATTTTTTATTCTTTCAATTTAGGCAAATATGGCCAGAGCATCCATGTCTGGGACTGGACGACACGTGAACTAAAGAAAAGTATAAATTTGGGAGATGAAGGAAAGATTCCACTGGAATTAAGATTTCTGCACAATCCTGAGGCTAACTTGGGATATGTTGGTTGTGCTCTATCAAGCACTGTCTTTGCTTACTATCCGAACAAGGTGATGATAATTCCTATTTTATTTTCTTCTGACGTTGACCATCATTTTCTGACGATCCTATAAACTGTTGATTTAGAACGGTGAATGGGTCGCTGAAAAAGTAATTTCTATTCCAAGCAAGAAGGTTGAAGGATGGGCGTTGCCAGAAATGCCAGGTAATAATGGGCTCAGAGGCTATATAAACTGCTGTAAGTTTTGATTGAGTTACTTAAATGTTATTTATATTCTTGACACTTAAGACGAGAACGAAAAATAAATCTTTTTTTAGGTTTGATAACAGATATTTTGATCTCCCTGGATGACAGATTTCTTTACTTCAGCAACTGGTTGCACGGGGATATCCGTCAGTATGACATCACAGACCGACTACACCCAAAACTCGTTGGCCAGGTGAGACGACGTCACCTATGACATGCAAATCTGAGAGATTATCAGCGTGAAAATATGGATTAATACAATCATACTTCAAATATCGTAACCTATTTCTAGGTATTCATTGGTGGCAGTATAGCCAAAGGAGGAACAGTCAAAGTGATCAAAGACGATGAGTTGAAAGAACAACCCGAGGCTGCTTATGCCAAAGGAAAAAAGATTCAAGGAGGAGCTCAAATGATTCAATTAAGTTTGGATGGAAAACGACTTTATTTAACAACATCTCTTTTCAGCATATGGGACAAACAGTTTTATCCGGAAATGATGAAGTAAGAGATTATTTGAGAATGAATTAAAAGACAAAGAAGGATCACTAGAAACGAAACAGTGGTGCATTGGGGGTTACGACCATGACACTGAGTCTATAAAGGATATAATTATTGATATATTCCATCATTTTCTTTTAGAAAAGGCTCCATGCTTTTAAAGGTAGATGTAGACACAGAGAAAGGAGGTTTAACACTGGACAAAGAATTTGGTGTTGATTTTGGAGAGGAACCTGACGGTCCAGCTCTCGCACACGAGATCAGATATCCTGGTGGTGATTGCTCGTCAGATATATGGATCTAATTCGGTTATTTCATAGACTTATTCAATTATTGATCACTCAAGCCGCGCGCAATTATGTCATATTTACATTTAATAATTTGAAAAATTACTAGCGATAATACAATTAATAAAACGATGGTTTTAAATGAAGTATAAACGGGCTGATGAATAATTAGTTTCAAATTTATAGATTTAGCAAGTTTAGATATAATGAACCATTAAGGTAGCTATCCACGTCCTAATATCGCGACGACCTTCCAGCGTGCCATGATAATTCATTGACATAGACATAGGTGCATGCATGATTATAAAAATGAGCAAACGTCCGCAAGGGGAACCTCACGTGCCGACGCTATTAGTTATAAAATCAGGCAATAAATAAGGATACGGTAAATGTGCACTTTTCACGCGAATAGCGTTAGCAAATGCCATCTTTTTAGTTACCATAACTAAGTCAGTTGCCACGAAATTTTTCACAAAGTTTCTGGCCTTCTCATCCTGGAGTTTCGAACCATAATCAAATAACTTATCCAAATGCGACGAAGCAATATTTGATGTGAATTCTATCTGGTCCTGAAATTGAAAAAAACGGAAAGTTGCTCACAAAAAAATGTGAGGAATATTATAATGATTATCATGGAAACATTGTTATTACCAGAGCTTTGTTTTTGTTGCCAAACATAAGATTTGAGAAGATATCATTATTTTCATCGTCAGCAAAAAGTCTATAAGGAGCATTTGGTAGGAAGCCAGCGTATTCCAACTGAGGGAAGGTCACAGAAGCATGATACCCAGTTGATAACCATAACAGTTTTGAAAGAACGTCTTTCAAGCTTTGTTTGTCTCGTGGAGACCTCTTCACCTGAAATAAAAAATACAAAAAAAAATTCTAAAACAGAAGATTATTAAAGTGATAAAAATCATAAAATGGCTTCAGGATTTCATATGATATCTTATTGTGAAAAATTTGACAATTAATAAAATGGAGTAGTCGTGACTAAACGGAGCTTGTTCGGAGAGAGTCGTATCACGAACAACATGACGGCGAAGGCTATCTTTTAAAATAGGGAACCGGGGAACCGGTTAACAGGGGATCAGGGCTTCTTCCTGTTTCCCGGTCCCCTATTTTAAAGATAGCCTGACGGCGAAGATGGAGTTTGTTCCCAGAGATAAAATTGTAACACTAAAAAAATATATTTGAAACGGTATTTAGGGCACGTTCTACTTAGTGAAAGTGAGGAACACTAAAATTATCAAACATTTTTCCAGAGATGACCTAAAAACCCTTGATTACAGTTAAGTACCCATAATAAGTACTCAGTACGGTTAAGTATGAGTTTATATGACAAAACAAAAAAAAATTAAGACGATTTCAAACCAGGATTGCTATAGATTACTGAAGAAAGAAGCCGACATTGTTGTGGTCGGCCCTTTTGATTTCTTTCGGTAATTCTGTTTGAAACAAAGAAAACAGCGATTATAGTAATGATATTTGGCTAATTTATTCAGTAGTCTGGCAACCCTTTCAAACCGCCATGTTTGGCAAATTATCTCTGGTATGCATCAATACCACCCGTGGCCTTTCATGGAAATCCTACCATTTATTGTTGTTTTTAAACCGATGCTCGTTTTTCATTGCCATTTGCCAAAAGATTAGTGATTGTGTTTTATATGTGATAGATGTATATAGATGTATAAATTGTGATAGATTATTGATTTGCGCTGACTCAAATTTGTCGGGAAAAATTTCCTTAAAAAAATCCAACTTCGTTAGCATTGAAAAGCCGGAATCACACATATGCAATCACACGTAAAAAGACAAAGAAGTTGATTTATTTAATTGTCGATAGACTACAGCTGTAATCTGTCAACCATGTAAGACAATCAGGGGCAAACTCATTACTCATATTATCCGTTTATAGGCTGAACGATCCGCGAATGGTTCCGGAGGATACGACAGAAGTCTTGAACGTTTGCGCCTTACCTACGAAGTATGTCTCAAATGAGCTCTAACAAGGATACGAATGGTACGTTTTTAATGACATACACCAAACATTAAACAATATTGTTCAATGTTCAAGAAAAATGCATCGTGAAAGAATAACTGATTGTCAATAAGACCACGGTCCTTTGGAAAAAACTAGCTTACTCTAAAACTCGTCTTCTTATGAAAGATTTCCTTACACTATGTAGCTGATATTACCATTTAAAGTTAATTTAGCCTTCTTAATTTGAATTTCTCACGAATTTTGCTTAGTTACGTAACTTACGATCTTGCATGCGCTTGCTTTTTAAAATTGCTTACCAGGGCGCTAATATATATAGCTAGGGCGGTGCAACGCAATAACTATAAGCGCCTTGTAGCCCTTGTTGCTTACATGTACGCTTGTAAATATAACGATATTCTTGCATAATTGCTGAAGATGAATCAGAATTGATTCGAAATATACAGTTTCAAGTAATAGTTTAACGCATTTTAATATTACCATTTATACCATCTTTATTTAGTTTCATTGAACCCCGGGTTTACATCGCCGTGACAAAAAAAATTGGTGTCGTTTTAAATCACGAGTTACCGCACACTCGACTTCATAGTTCGAGTTTAGTGCTACAAATCGTAAAGCGAGAGCATCAGTATTGTTTATAAGAGTAAAATAATGTATTAGATTGTGGTCACAAACTGGTTTTCCAGTTCTAAATGTAAAGTAAATATTATCATTAATATGAACTATGATCCTTTGCTAATTTTTTAGATTGTTGCATTGGTCCAGGATATGCCACTCCATTGGATGCAATGAAGAATGGTCCTCGAGAAAAAATTGTTTATCTTCCATGTGTTTATCAAAGTACTGGCATTAAGAAACCTGATTATTTAGCTACAGTCGACGTGGATCCCCAGTCACTAGATTACTGCAAGGTACCCCAGTTTGTAAAAATAAGAAGAATACATGATTCACTCAGACAAAATATGATTGGTTTTCTAAATATTTAGGTGATCCATCGTCTCCCAGTACTTCATTTGGAAGATGAGTTACATCACAGCGGCTGGAATGCATGCAGTAGGTTAGTGAGATCAGTTACCTTGACGACGTCTTCAATCAGGTTATCCAGAATATGAAACAATTAATTTTTATTTAGTTGCCACGGTGATCCAAGCAGAAAACGAGACTCCTTAATAATGCCTTCCATTATAAGCAGTCGTATTTACATCTTTGATGTCGCTACCGATCCTCGGACACCCAGAATTCGCAAGGTATCAGAAGATTATCCTATCACCTGATTCAGAATCTGCTTCTTTCTGCCAATAAATATAATTTAGATGACGTTGAATGATCCATTCCATGCGAATATCAGAGCCATATTATGCTAATAAAAAACAAATATTAATGCATGTTGACTGAACAATCAAACATCACAAATCACTTGACCCTAACACAGAACGTAGACGTTAGTCGATGATTATTGTTTCTCATAATGATGTCAATTGTCAAACGCAAAAATCCTGATGTCAAACGATGCTTGCTTCGCTCTTTAGTTTGCGGCTCCCCGTCTGACGCTATTATGAGAAAGGTCTATTTTACTCCCATTCGCATGATTACCTTTATATAAACACAAGTTACACACATCTGGATTTCTACGATGATATATTCTACCACATGATTATTGATTGAGTTCAGGTGATTGAGCCAGAAGAAGTATTTGAAAAATCCGGTTTAGCTTACCTGCATACGTCACATTGTCTTGGTAACGGTGACATCATGATCAGTGCAATGGGAGATCCACAAGGCAATGCTAAAGGTAACAAAACAGACGCAAAATTGCGTTTAGTCGAGGTCGTCAAAGAAATTGATAAGTTCAAATGATAGGCGGGTTTGTTCTGGTGGATGGAAAGGACTATTCAGTGAAGGGCAAATGGCAAGAACAAACTACGGAGTTTGGTTATGACTTCTGGTACCAGCCTCGACACAATGTGATGATCAGCTCAGAGTGGGGAGAACCTAAATCATTGTGCACTGGATTTAACCCGCAACATGTAGCTGACGGTAAGTGTTTCAGCGATAGAAACCTTTCTTGGAATGGCTTAGTGTTTTAAGACTTAAGTAAGAACACACCTAAATGATTCCAATTTTTTTATTTTTAATTTTAGGCAAATATGGCCAGAGCATCCATGTCTGGGACTGGACGACACGTGAACTAAAGAAAAGTATAAACTTGGGAGATGAAGGAAAGATTCCACTGGAATTAAGATTTCTGCACAATCCTGAGGCTAACTTGGGATATGTTGGTTGTGCTCTATCAAGCACTGTCTTTGCTTACTATCCGAACAAGGTGATGATAATTCCTATTTTATTTTCTTCTCACGTTGACCATCATCTTCTGACGATCTTATAAACTGTTGATTTAGAACGGTGAATGGGTCGCTGAAAAAGTAATTTCTATTCCAAGCAAGAAGGTTGAAGGATGGGCGTTGCCAGAAATGCCAGGTAATAATGGGCTCAGAGGCTATATAAACTGCTGTAAGTTTTGATTGAGTTACCTGAATGTTATTTATATTCTTGACACTTAAGACGAGAACGATATTTTGATCTCCCTGGATGACAGATTTCTTTACTTCAGCAACTGGTTGCACGGGGATATCCGTCAGTATGACATCACAGACCGACTACACCCAAAACTCGTTGGCCAGGTGAGACGACGTCGCCTATGACATGCAAATCTGAGAGATTATCAGCGTGAAAATATGGATTAATACAATCATACTTCAAATATCGTAAACTATTTCTAGGTATTCATTGGTGGCAGTATAGCCAAAGGAGGGACAGTCAAAGTGATCAAAGACGATGAGTTGAAAGAACAACCCGAGGCTGCTTATGCCAAAGGAAAAAAGATTCAAGGAGGAGCTCAAATGATTCAATTGAGTTTGGATGGAAAACGACTTTATTTAACAACATCTCTTTTCAGCATATGGGACAAACAGTTTTATCCGGAAATGATGAAGTAAGAGATTATTTGAGAATGAATTAAAAGACAAAGAAGGATCACTAGAAACGAAACAGTGGTGCATTGGGGGTTACGACCATGACACTGAGTCTATAAAGGATATAATTATTGATATATTCCATCATTTTCTTTTAGAAAAGGCTCCATGCTTTTAAAGGTAGATGTAGACACAGAGAAAGGAGGTTTAACACTGGACAAAGAATTTGGTGTTGATTTTGGAGAGGAACCTGACGGTCCAGCTCTCGCACACGAGATCAGATATCCTGGTGGTGATTGCTCGTCAGATATATGGATCTAATTCGGTTATTTCATAGACTTATTCAATCATTGATCACTCAAGCCGCGCGCAATTATGTCATATTTACATTTAATAATTTGAAAAATTACTAGCGATAATACAATTAATAAAACGATGGTTTTAAATGAAGTATAAACGGGCTGATGAATAATTAGTTTCAAATTTATAGATTTAGCAAGTTTAGATATAATGAACCATTAAGGTAGCTATCCACGTCCTAATATCGCGACGACTTTCCAGGGTGCCATGATAATTCATTGACATAGACATTGGTGCATGCATGATTATAAAAATGAGCCAAAATCCGCAAGGGGAACCTCGCCTCACGTGCCGACGCTATTAGTTATAAAATCAGGCAATAAATAAGGATACGGTAAATGTGCACTTTTCACGCGAATAGCGTTAGCAAATGCCATCTTTTTAGTTACCATAACTAAGTCAGTTGCCACGAAATTTTTCACAAAGTTTCTGGCCTTCTCATCCTGGAGTTTTGAACCATAATCAAATAACTTATCCAAATGCGACGAAGCAATATTTGATGTGAATTCGATCTGGTCCTGAAATTGAAAAAAACGTAAAGTTGCTCACAAAAAAATGTGAGGAATATTATAGCGATTATCATGGAAACATTGTTATTACCAGAGCTTTGTTTTTGTTGCCAAACATAAGATTTGAGAAGATATCATTATTTTCATCGTCAGCAAAAAGTCTATAAGGAGCATTTGGTAGGAAGCCAGCGTATTCCAACTGAGGGAAGGTCACAGCAGCATGATACCCAGTTGATAACCACAATAGTTTTGAAAGAACGTCTTTCAAGCTTTGTTTGTTTTCAAATTTTTGTGGAAACCTCTTCACCTGGAATAACAAATACAAAAAAAGCTAAAACAGAAAATTATTAAAATGGCTTCAGGATTTCATTTGATATCATACCATGCCTCGGGATAACGCTGTTTGATTTCCTTCAACTGACAAGAGATCTGCCCATTGTTGTAACTCCTCATCTTCTCTTAAATCTGATTCAGTTACGTAATATCTGAACGAACAAAATTATGTCTGTAAGCTAGAAATGACTCGAGCAAAGCAGCCTCTGAAAAGCGGGTTTGTAAAACTGGACAAGTCGAAAATCTCACTTACAAATCAACAAAACCATTGACAAAGGATTTGATGCATTCACTGATCAATTTCCCATCATCTCGATACGGATAATACGGAACAATATTCTCTTCATCAAGACCTCGTTTCTAAATGAAAGTTTGACATGTAGTTGACACTAGAAAAATCAACTTAACGCACAACACCACACGTACTTTTCAACTAGTTGTTCCATGAAATTGTGACAGGCATAAAAACTAGCATCCATAATGTCACACCAGGCCGGATAGTTTATTACTTCGAAGTATATTTACCTTCATATCAGACGCTAAATCAACATTATCCATCGTCAGATCCTTAAAATTTTTGTTGATTATTTCTACCGATGTGGAATAGTCCACGGATAGCAAATTATAAAGTGGTCCAGTTGGTCCTACAGAGATAAAACTACGTTACTGTTTGGCCTAAGTGCGAGTTAGTTCCATCTTGTTTTCTACCATGTTTGAACATTCCCATTCGTTTAAAAATATACAATTTTCATGTCTTACCATAAAACTTCATTTGATGTAGTTTATTTGTTTCCAGAGTGGCGCGGCAATGATATTGCAACATGTCGTAGATTGGATGAAATTCAGAAAATATTCGCTCCATGAGAAGACAAATTGGCTCCATAAAAAGATGACTTTTCAACCGTTTGTGGACAATCTACATATAAATAAGTGCGATGATCATGTCAGGTGTCAATGATTCAACATATCAACATTATTTTCTATAACTGTCAGTTAAATGTTACCTGCAAAACATTAAAATCAGCTCTTTGTACGAGAGACTTCGCAAAGAACCATTGTTTACCATCAGCAGGAACAAAAACTCTGGCTTCAGGAATAGCATCAACTTGTATTGCAACCGTTTCCAAGTCTTGACTGTCGCCATTGTCTTTCATTATGAACATTGTAATTGGTGCAGTAAATTTAATCGTAGTTTGATTAATTAAACGTTTGTCTATTAATTGAACATTGTTTAAAGCAACGTCTTCAAGTTCTGGATACCAGGCTACGAACAGCTTGTTTGCATCAACAGCCTAGATTGAAAATAGAAATATGAAACGAATAAGACAAGTGATTCAATTGAGAGTTTGCAACTGCAACATAATCAAAGCATATTTCACCTACCATATCAATAGCTCGCTCATTCTGAGTCCCTAGAATCCCATTCACCGCGGCATTCCAGTCAAAATGTTTGTTTAATTTACTCTGAAGAAGCTCCCAGTCAAGCCCTCTGCCATCTGTGAAAAGAAAAGAAAATGTGTCAAGCCCTTTGCCTTTGAAAAAGTGTTAATAGTTCAGGGACAAACAAACAACATCTGATGTGCCAAACTAGCTTCTTACCTTTGCGACTCGTTACTTTATAAATTTGCCAAACATTCGCTCCGGCAAAACGCTGGTCAACAAATGCTCTGTCTTTAAAGAAATTTGCTTCAACCGACGGATTTTGTTTCAAAACGCTCATTGCACTTTTCGTCTAAAAGTACAACAATTACTTGTCTTCGTAAATTGTAAAAGGCGGCAGGAAAGAATACACTTTCTGTGCGATCTTTACCCTGTGTTGTTTGTAGAAATATTCAAATATCGTCGATAAATCTTTAAGAGTGGGTTGATTATGAAATTTCTTATCCAGTAGAGTAAAATGAGCATGCGCGTTTGAGTTTGCATTGATGGTATCTTGCATCTTCATGTACCATTCTATGGTAAAAGGATTTGTTGACGCTTCTTTGATGAATGATTTGTAGGAATGAACCAACATTTGTGGGATTAATACCGACGTAAATCTAAAAAGAAACAGGTCATAATTTCTTCTCAAACTCAATGCATTTCTCGTCTTATTGAAAACCAACTCAATAGCGCAACCATAAAAAAAACTCTACCTGTTCCGTCGTATGAATTGCCCAGCAGTTATCAATGAAAATGCTTTCTGTCGCTTTTTATGGTCAGTTTGCCTCTTCCTGCGGCATCGCCGCGAGGCGTATTTCAAAAGACTTATGCTACATTGCAACTCTAAGAGAAGATAATTTCAGGTGTTTGTCAGTTTTTATTTCGGAAATCAAAATATTCTCAACTAAACTTACGTTGACATTTTACCCCTTTGTAGTCTTTCCGGCACTTGCAGAAATAACCATCTATATAATTATCATCAACAAAGCATTGGCCATCATGAAGACAGGGTTTGCTGGAACAAGCGTCTTTATTGTTGTTGGTAACTAAAAGAAGAGAAACACCAGCCTTGTGTGAATGAAAAATTGCTTGAACAGTTTTCATTTCAGGTTTCCTAATCATTCCTCAATATCATCAAAAATTTATGGAACGAAAGAGAATAAAGAAAATCAGAATTAAGTCCTCAGCACAACGGCATAAATCAATTGATCTCTTGCATTTAAAAACCGATTCTTGAGAAGCTGATTATTGTGATATAAGTGTCTATCGATAATGATTATCAATCTGACCTACTGTGAAATACTCATTGTAAACAAACAACCTTTTGAGAGTCCAGAAAGTGCTTCATTTCATTTTATGTGTTGGGTACGACCAGTTTTTATGCTTTGGCGTATATTTCAACATACCTATTTCACCTTCTTCAGGATTCCATAGTTTTTCCTTGTTTTCAATAAAGTTATGTAGATTTGCCTGGGGTAGGCAACAACTAATATATATCCCACAAAGAATGTGGAGTACTGAAAAAACAATCCTCATTGTGGAAACTGTTCTTCAGTTATACATTCTTCGGCTACCAAGAGAGTCATTTATTGATGTTATAAGATAAGAACGTGTAATTCAGTCATTTCAGGTGAAACAAAATGGCAGCCATGTTGTAAAGGTAGATCAGGCCACCAGTCAAACGACCTGCAACGGAAATTTCAAACAATAACAAAACGGAAAAAGCTATAATGAAAAAGACAAGATATACGCATGATTGGGGATGTTAGATGAAAGCAATAAAAAAACTCGTAGGGTTTAACTAGAAGTACCTTTCTAGCTTGCAAAATCGTATAGTAGGACAACTACTGGGCATAAAACACAATAATAGAAACTTAAGACACTGACGAATGAAACAACACGATTATTACATCGTGGGATGAGGTATACGAACAATCTTGATAGGTTGTATGAGACTACAGGCCGGTACCTGTCAGAGTGGCCAAACACGAATAAACTAAAGATGGAAAACAAATATCCCTTACTAATATATTTAGAGGGGAAAAAGTAATATTTAGGAACAAAATTCTCTTCAAAGATTTGTCTCAAAATGATACGATGAAAGTACAATTCATTCTTCTTTTGGTCGCTTCAAGTTTTGTTCAAAGTTCTCCCCTGCACGGTAAGCAGAAATCTTACGAATCTTTGCAGTAAATTTATAGACAAAAGACGGTCAAAACAAATCTGTATTTGCAGGTTTTATAAACACTTGGATACGTACACCTTTCTTAAAAGTTTTTGCGCTTTAAAAAAAGTCTTCTCCAACTATATGAGAGACTTTTTGTCCTGAGAGAATTTGCATTTCAAAATACAATTGTCTATGTTCATATTTGTTCCAACGAGCCCATAACACGGATATAATGAAATCTAACAATGAAATTCAATTAAGACAACTTTTTATTAGCAAATGTTTACAAGGCAAATGCTAAAAAAATTTCTCATATACGATTTTTAACATCTTCATAGACTAAACTGTGAAGATTGTATTTGTGATTTCTAATCTTTCCATTTCAGCACGAAATAGCAAAGGATTGACCCGGCAAAAGGCCAATGAGGAAGGTAATTTTTTATCGATAAATTCGGTTCAGTATCATACGAAGATCGAAGACATACGGACCTCTTATTTTGTAAAACATTTTTTTTTAAAGTACGTTCCATCATCTCGGCCATTGTTGATGCTATTCTTGATGGAGATCGAAAAAGAAGATCTGAAGTTGAAGGTAATGAGGCTTTATTTGCAGATAAATAAACACGCAGGCAAGCACGCACGCACGCATCAGCCTTCATGGATATGTTAAGTTTAACGTTGCTCGTTCACCTTAGATTTTGATGATGAAAGTACCCATGACGGAAACCCAAAACATACCAAAGGTAATTTATGAAAAGCAGTCTAGCGTTTTTTTAACGGGTTAAAATGGAAAAACTCTATCGCGACTTGATCAAATTTACCCAACACTTAGATGTGAGAATTGTGCATGTGTTAGACGAACACCGGTACAATATTTTTTTCTATTTTAGTAAATGAAGCACAAGACGAGACAATGAAAAAAAGGAAATTCTCAAAACGTCAGGAAGATGAGGATAACAGCGTACCATTAGCTAACGTCATGGCGACCAGTGATGTGAACTCCACAGAAGATCAAAATGAAATATTCAAGAAAGACATTATAGGACACGTTGATGACAAGAATACTTTGAAAAATGTTTTAAAAAAATCAGAGTATGGTAGCGGAGGCGAAAGCATGGATAATGAAGGAATCTCGGAGATACAGTTACCTAAGTTTCTTTACGGAATGATCAATGATGAAGAATCATCTAGCTCAAGAAATGAGGGGAAAGAATCACACGAAATATCTGCTGAGGAAGGATCTAAAACAACTGCGGATGATACGGATAAGAAGATCAAAAACAAAGAAGGAACTGTCGGGAAAGATGCTGAAAATAATAATAAAAAGACGGGGTCAAAAAAGACAAACAAAAAAGAAAAAATTACACCCGAGTTAAGTCCTTCTAAGAAGACACACAAAAAATCTGCAAAAAAAACTACAGACGGGAAGCGTAAAAAACACGATAATGAACGTTCTGTAGCCGAAAGCTATTCTGATTTTTTGAAAATAGCGAAAAATCCAAACCCGTTAGTAAAACACGAATCTATAAAACACGTGAGAGATGATTCTGAGATGAACGAGGATCCTTCCATCTTCGAGAAGACAACGAAACTGCAAGAATCCGAAGAAACCATGGATACAGACGAGGAGGAGGATGTTTTATCGGAATCAAAACGAAATAAAGACAAAAAAGAGGACGACGATTCCACGGAGGAGTCGAGCGATAAATCTAAGGCTGATGACGATGATCATGGAACAACTAATCAAGGAGAGGAAACCGATGATCAAGATGATGATGACACAGATAATCAAGGTGCTGAAACCAATAATCACGATGGAGACACCAATGATCACGACAATGGGGACACCAATAATCACGATGGTGACACCAATGATCAAGATGGTGAAACCAATAATCATGATGGTGACACCAATGATCAAGATGGTGACACCAATGATCACGATGGTGAAACCAATAATCATGATGGTGACACCAATGATCAAGATGGTGAAACCAATAACCACGATGGTGACACCAATGATCAAGATGGTGAAAACAATAATCACGATGATGACACCAATGATCACGATAGTGAAACCAATAATCATGATGGTGACACCAATGATCAAGATGGTGAAACCAATAATGAAGATAGTGAAACATCAAATCAAGATGAAGAAACAGATAACGAGGATGACGAAACTGATGAGAACGCAGATAATCACGATATGGATAACAGTAAACTACACTTTGATGTTGATTCGACCACCGAAAAGCACCTAAACAAACCAAGAAAGACTGAGAAAGAAACAGCGGAAACACTTCCAAATTCTACAGACCATTCTAAAACGCAATCCGAGGACATGACATCAACGGATGATCCTGACAGAGAAGATAATTCTAATAAAGATCAAGAAACAAGTCATTCTAAAGGGTCCGAAGATGATGCCATGGGATCAGAAGCCGATTCCATGGGATCTGTGGATCATTCACAGGAGGTTTCTGAAGACAAATCTAGCAGCAGTCAAGACGATGAAATGAAATCCGTAGCAGAATCCAATGGTTCCTCAGAGGAATCTCAATCTGAGGAAAAGGATGATTTGGCATCAGGTTCTGCAGACGAGTTAAATGATTTCCACGTGGTCTCTGATGGGTCACAACAAGACTCTGATGGATCACAAAAAGACTCTGATGGATCACAACAAGACTCTGATGGATCACAACAAGATGGAATGCAACAGGACTCTTATGGAACTCAAAAAGACTCAAAAGAAAAGCAAAAAGATTCAAAAGAAGAGCAAAAAGATTCAAAAGAAAAGCAAAAAGACTCGAAAGAAACCCACAACAAGAGTCCAGTGGAATCACAAGAAGAGGCTAATGGATCTAAACAAGACTCTAATGAACCACAGCAAGACCCCAATGGTTCGAAAGATACCAATGGATCACAAGAAGGCTCTGAAGAAAAGCAAAAAGAAACTCACAACAAGACTCCAATGGAATCACAACAAGACTCTGATGCATTGAAAGAAGACTCTAACGGATCACAACAAGACCTTAATGGATCACAACTAGAGTCTAATGAACCACAACAAGACTCTAATGAACCACAACAAGACTCTAATGGACCACAACAAGACTCTAATGGACCACAACAAGACTCTAATGGACCACAACAAGACTCTAATGGATCACAACAAGACTCTAATGAACCACAACAAGACTCTAATGGACCACAACAAGACTCTAAAGGATCACAACAAGACTCTAATGAACTACAACAAGACTCTGACGGATCACAACAAGACTCTAATGGACCACAACAAGACTCTAATGGATCACAACAAGACTCTAATGGACCACAACAAGACGTTAATGGGTCACAACAAGGCACTGCTTTGCCGCAAGTCTCCAATGGATTGCAACAAGACCCTGCGAGATTGGCCTCCAAGGAAAAATATTTAAAGAGTTCTCAGGATCAAGTTGCAGAATCAGGTCCCGCTGGGAATCCCGCGCAATCCAGGGTAGACTCTAGTGATTTCAAAACCCCAAACGCTGCGACAGACAAAACACCACCCATCCTTGTAAATGAGGATAAAACTGATGTCAAATATGTGAACAACGAAGAGACTGATTCATCTTTAGGAAAGAGTTCTGGCAGTGAAGTCGATGATAAGAATAATTTCAAGTATATAAGCACAGAGAATTCCGGAGAGAGTTCTGGCAGAATCGCAGAAGACGGTGCTAAGATCACTGCAAACGACATAAACACAGGCTCGGCAGATATTGAAGAAGACGGTTCAACAGGAAATTCAGAAATCGAAGCCAGTTCATATGAAGACAGCTCACAAGCACCTGAATTTGACGCAAGTTTACAAAATAATCAGGAAACGCATGAAAAAGGAGTTGCTCTAGAGAAGAATAAGAAGGTAATTAGCAATAATATTGACGATGAAGTTAGCTCGGAAGATGATAATTCTAATGATGGTGAAGCGACGGACACAGAGGAACATCAAACTAACGACTCTGAACAAAGCAAAAGTATTGATGAGAATGATAGCATGGACACAGGATCGAGTTCCGAGGATTCCAGTTATGACGACACGACCCGAAACGAAGAAGAAAAAGACAATAACAATACCAACCAGAAACCGTTGAAGATCACTTCAAAAACTAAACATGGTGCGGCCTCCACATCGATAAATGATATGCAAAGTCCTCAAACTGCAGAAAATAAAGATAAAGAGGTAAAGCCAGAAGAAAGCGGAAAGATTATAGAAACGTCGTATAGATTTAATGATGAAGACACGCCTGACGATGAAGATTTTAAAAATCAAGGTACGGGGGGAGGATTGATACAATATATAGGGAGGTACAATACAAGTTTAACTCATTGAAACGTTGTCTATCTCTTTCTCACTTAAACAGGCAATGAAGCCTGGACGGGTAGTTCTAACCAGGATCCAGTTTTGATCGGTGACGACACTCCTGATCTGACTGGAGAGGATGCAGGGATTGCCATGGATGAAAACCCACAGGTTCAGGATGACTCAAGGCTTGTCACAAATCAACCCAGCAATGATAATGGTATATATGAGGATAGTCTTAACAAACAAGCTCCTGATCTCAAGCAGTGGGAACATAGTAAAATGTGAGTATTAATGTGAGTATCTGCGTACTTCATTGAAAGTACAGACATTGATTATATTGTTTTATACATAAACAGGCAAATTCCACCACCAAGCAATGATTACAACTGGATGGAGAATGCTCTGGCAAATAATCAAGAATCAAACTTAGAAACCATTCAAGATAGATTGCAGGATTATCAAAATACGGAGTGGAATGGGAGAGAAACACCTTACCTCAATAAAGGACAAAGACAGGAATATCAAACAACAGAACAGCCAGAGCTGGAGAGGAAAACTTCCATTCCAAAAGGTAAGTTTCTGGGGAAAATATAACCCCAAAATATGAACTCTCTGGATCAACAGCGCAACAGTATAATCAGGGACAGTTATTTAGCCTCGAACCACTAATAGTGGGGGGAGGGAAGAAAGAAAACTTCTAGAAATCAACCAAATACAAACAAGGCTTTTCATTCCAACATAGGCAACAAGTTATCCAACCCTCCCACAAAAAGTCAGCATTATACAGCTCCGGCAGACGCGTTTACTGACAATGATGTATTTGGTTACGCTGGGAGTATCGGGCCATTCCTTCAGAAACGAACTTTTATCCCAAACAAGCTTGGTAAGAATGCTTGTATACAGAATGTTGAGAGTAAGGCATGAAACTAGCACCACAACCGGTTGTCAGACATCTTGAGAATGGTATTTTGTGAGAAAAACCCATCAACATTATCAATTGCAAAACAGAATTACAAATATTTCAAATATTTTAGATGAACCTTCGGAGACAGCAAAGAAGGGCGACATCTTAGAAAGTTTGATGACAGATGTGGATGAACCATGGATCAAGAAATTCTTAAGTAAGACTCTGAAGATGGCTGTCAATGGGAATAAAGAAATACTTCGTTCAGAAGACGATGACAAGAGACAAAGTGAAGGTAATTTAAATACGACGTGTTTAGGCTTTGCTATTAAAAAAATAAATAAATAAGGAAGTAAACACGAACCAGCTGTTTGCGTTTAGACTTTCCAGAAATACGGAGAGATAAAGTGAATCATTTAGAGTCCAAGGCAAGTAAGAAAACTACAGAACAAGATGATGCTATGCCACTTGATGCAACAAATAACAAAGACACACTGGATGATGAAGATGATCCTGATCAACCTGCCACCCATTCCACAGAGAAGGACGACTACAGCATTGGTGATGAATATGAAAAACAGAAAGAAAAGGTCAGTTATGCTATAAATTCTGATTTTTTCTTGTATATCGTTTAGAAATCTCATCTGTAGTACCTTTTTCACATTCAGGATGAAGAAAAATCTGACGATTTAAATGAAGCACTAACAACACATGAGAATATACCAGACAGTACCTCAGAATCAAATGGAAAAATGGAGGGATTGCCCCTGAGCGAGGTTGTCAAACATATTCCTATGTCAAAGTCACCAGTGGCTGATATTGGCACCATACCATCTCAGGGAGATAGTCCTATCAAATCAGTCATTAGAATAACGGCACGAGTTCCATCAAACCCATCCTTTTCAACACCAGAACAGATTCCGTCGAACCAACAAGATCCGTTTCAGACTTCGCCACCAAGATCATCACCAGAAATCATACCATCAACACCAAAACTACCAGAACTAGTACCATTAGATCCACCACCAAGTGTAGTTGGAACGTTGGAACCAAACATATCATTACCACCATTCACAGAAAACCAATCACCAAAACCAGCACCAACATCAAATAATCAAATTGTTGACCCTAGTACACCAGTAGCACCAAAACAAGACGTAACATCAAGTAACCAAGCCAAGCAATCGCCTCAACAAAATCTTACACCAAGTAACCTAGCAGCCTCCGCCGTAATTGGTCCAATTATCAAAGTAATTACGTCACCAGCAAAAACGGTTACAGTCAAAGATGAGAGAGTCGATAAAGAAAACGGAAAAATTCAAACTGAGATAAACAACGCTTTAAACAATAGTAAGTGAATCAAAATCTTGCCGTGTAGGACCTGTTTAATCTAACTTGATCAACTTGATTTACCTGGAGCTATCTTGATCTACCTTAGGTATTCAAAACATCGGAATATCATCCGCAAATGACGTGTTAGAAAACACCATAAAGGAAGCAGAGGTAAGGATGTCATAAACTACTTCAAAACACTGAAGTTACGAAACTCGCTCAAGTTAAACTCACCCCTTCTTTACAGCTCATTCAGGTTCTCAAAGATGCCATTCCAGTCAACCAACGGAGACCAGTTGGAACAGAAGATGATCTAAAACGAGGTAAGAATACAAATTACAAAAAATGAAGCACTGCAATTGCTAGTACGATGTTAAAACTATTTTACCATCTATTCAGGCTTAGATGATTTAAAAGATTATGCAGTTGCGCTGACAGAAGCCAAGGGACTCTCACAGACTCAGAGAAATGGTGTAGTGGAAAAATTAGCGCGTGATCTTCTGGATGAAATGAGAGTGATGGACGGAAGAAAACAAAAATTATTGAACGAATTGATGTCTTTTGTCACTGCCATGGAAGTTTCAACATTCAAAGGTTTTATTTTCTTGTCTAGAATTGTTTTTATCAAAGGCGTGTGGATGTAATAACGTTAATAACGAAAGTTCTAAATGCTTCGCTACCCTGATATCTAACAAAATCTATTTGGTAAAATATATCTTAGTTAATACATTCCTTTACTTACATTGCTTTAGAGCGATTGAAGGAGATAAAATCCCAAGTCATCTCGGTGTCCTCACAGAATCCTGAAGACACTGAAAAAATACGATCAACAGCAATCAAGCTTCTTGATGAACTCTTTGAAGAACTTCCACTACCTAAAGGTCGAATTGAAAAAACAGAAAAACAAATTGGTCAATCAAACTTACTCAAAAGTCTTATAAAAGCGGGAGAAAAAAGAGTTTTAAGAAGTAAACTTAAAAAAGCACTGACAGATTTAGTCGCCGACAAACTTTTGTAGTTTTGTAGCCACGGCTGCATGTAATTTGTAAAAAAGAGAGCAATAAAATAACTAAGACTTGAAATGCAGAAAATAAGATGAACCACAGGATATGTTCGTAATGGTTTCATCGTTCTTTTTCCAAAATTATATAAACTACGAGATGAAACCAAAACGGAGGAACCATGATATAAATAGGAGCAGGTTTTATTTTCAAAATCTCCCGCGTTAGTGACCGCAGGTTTCCAGTGACATAATTTCATACTTGAGTAATTACGATAGCTCAAATACTAAATATAATTTTGCTTGTTAGACAAGCATATAACAATCTAAACTCTACGACATGAAAAACGTGTTAGAAAGATCGATGTAGATGCACAACGGATACTAAATTAAATACTGGCTGTACATATTTGGGAACAAAATATAAAAACTTGTGTTTTTAAGAAGATTGATGTTTTGTCAGCAGGTACCGGGTTGAACCAATAGTTCTGACTGTGTTTGCCATTTTGTCGAAAGATATTGGCGAAAAGATACAATGATCATATAAGAACAACGCTTTGTAGAACTGTTAAACCAACGACTATGAGAGAAAGGTTTCATTTCAACAGGTGATAATATTTTATACTAACAAGCGTTCAACTGTCGAGACATTGAAGACAGAACAATATATTGAAGTACAATAAGGATAATCAAAGAACTAAACAAATCTTCTAACGGATACTTCATTAGAAACACAGCTTTCATTGAAAAAAAGGAAAAGACACTGGTTATTGCAAAGTATTTCTTTGTTTATATGTGATTGCAAAAATTAATGGTGAATAACTGAATGTCCAGAGATTTAAACATTTTAAAGTTTCAGGGATATTTTAAAAATTGTTCACGATAAAAAATTGTCGATCCAAAGGAATTGCATTCGAGAGAAAGATATAGTCCTTAGCCAACGTCTCAGAGGTTGGAATACAAGTCCAAATTTATACATGGGTTTCTATGGGAAATTGGATTACAACGTTTGGGTTACCAGAGGTTATTGAAGGACTCCTGTGCTGTACAACATCAACTGTTAATGCCTTGTGTTCCTCGTGTACTACAAAATACCCTAGATTCATCTTCTCGCTGTTTTTACTTTTTGCAACCGTATCAAGCTTTGTGGTACTCAGTCCTAACATGCGCAGTAGTCTTGATAAACTGCCGTATTTCTGCACCACAATAACTACAGAACAAATGTGTGACAACCTGGTTGGTTATGGTGCAGTCTATCGTATTTGTTTGTCGTTGGCAATATTTTACGGTGTTTTTGCTTTGCTTATGATAAATACAAACACAACAAGAGACATTCGAGTCACGTTCCATAACGGATACTGGTTTTTAAAACTGGTTTTACTGATAGGGATTTTCGTTGGTACATTTCATATTCCTCGTCATACGGATTTTGGTTTATTGTTGATGTACGTTGGATTAACCGCTGGCTTTGTTTTTATCATGATCCAAATATTACTTGTCATTGACTTTGCGCATTCCTGGAGCTTCTCTTGGGCAGAAAAGATGGAGTCTGGGAACAGTTATATTTGGGGATTTGCGTTGGTTTTCTCAACAGTCCTGCTCTACTCAACAGCAATCACAATGGCAATATTTTATTATCTATACTTCACTAATTTACAAAATCTTTCAAAATGTCGAGGAAATATGTTCCTTATATCCTTCAATGTACTCCAGTGTTTATTAGCGTCTATTATATCCATTCTCCCGCAAGTACAAGACTCGGCTCCAGGCTCAGGCCTTTTACAATCATCCATCGTTAGTCTTTACACCATGTACCTAACATGGTGCACGCTGAGCAGTGAGCCTGACAGCTCCTGCAACCCCATGGGTGACGTCATTTTGGAATATGACAAAGTCTCAGGAGTAAATGGTCAGGCAATATTTGACTGTGTTCTGATGTTTGCGCTTTTGATATTCGCATGTAATGTTAGAGCAAGCACTTCTAAACTGGAAAAAATCGGGTTTTCATTATCAAGAAACCCAACAAAAGAAGACCACGCCCTAAATCATCGCGCTAAAAATGATGTCGAAAAATATGCGGAAGAAGAAAATATTGAATTGGAATATAATTATTCTTTCTTTCATTTTGTGATGTTTCTAGCATCGCTACAATTAATGATGGTAGTTACAAACTGGCACAGTCCAGATGATTTAGCTGACCTCAAAAAACTCGTCAAGAATTGGGCGACAGTTTGGATACAATTATCTTCTAGTTTTCTATGCATCTTATTTTATATCTGGGCAACTGTGACTCCACTTCTTGTCAGAACATGGGGATCATGCTTAGGACTAGATTACGAGAGTATTCCTACTGAAGACGATTACGACCGACGACGACGAGAAATGATACAAGCTAAGCGCAAAGCGAATAGGAAGATCGAGGGAAGCTTGAGAAATCCTACCAAAGAAGATAGTAAGAAGAAGATAAGGAGGGAACAGGATTTTGGCTACTCTGAAGAAAATGAGGATTTTGTAGTAGTTCATTCACCCTCGGTTCACGGAGGTTTGGAGTCTGGTAGATATTTGACGAACACCATTACGGAAGAAGATTTGAAAGAGGATTCTGAAGTAAAAAATGATTTTAATAGTTCTCAACAGAGAAATGAGAAAGCGTTCGAAAATTCATCATTATCTTTTTGTAAGAATGAGCGAGGAAAAGTTGAACTAAGAGAAGAGATAACTCAAGATAGTGGGATGTGCGATGCCTCTAACTTAACAAATATTTCCAGATCAATTTCTAGAACAAGCGCGCGAGGAAATCTCTCAAAATCAACAGTTGATGAAAGGCTGGCCTCTGAAAACACACGAGAGTCTGTGTTAGACGACTGTCTGGTAGCAGACAGTGAAACAGAAAGAAAAAATAACAGGATAGAACTAGATATAAATGACTCAGATAAGAAAGAGATAAAAGATCTGAAACTGGACATCAATAACTTTACTCTTTCTGGAAAAGAAAGAAAAATAACAACCAGGCCGCATTCTTCAATGGCCTTTACCAATCGGAAATATATAAAAGAGAGCAAAATTCTAGCGCACAATTCTTCTTTCGTTAAAGAAAATTTGCCAACTAGGCCTATGAGCTGTGTACCATCTTTAAAAATGAACAGAAAACCTTTCCTGACAAAAGGGGAAGAAATTAACGAAAGCCTTTCATTTGACGCAGTTAATATTTCGTCCGAAAGTCAACGTTTTGCAACGTCAGGTACAAGACAGAAAACAGAAGAAAATATTCTAGAAACCTCAAGAAACAATACAGGTACTTGCTCAGTGGACTCACTGACAAACCAACCACATAAAAACAACGTTTTATTATCACAAGAAGATACCATTTTAGAAAACACATCTGATGCATTGCTTCATCAGAGTAAAGAAGAGGTTAAATATGACAATGATAGGCTAGAGCATTGTGATGGACGAACTACTGTTTCAAGAAATAATGATGTGAAATGTGAACCTGCAACAATGCTGAAGATGAAAGACCATTTAAAATGGGTGAAAAGCCTGAAGAAAACAAGACGTATGTTTGGAAATATAGAAACAATCAACAACCAAAATGACAGTCATGGTGTGACAAAGGAAAGTCAAGCAAGTGAAAGAACAAGCCAAGAAATATTAGAAAATAAATCACTTGATGATGATACTGGAAGATTAACCTTGAATGAAAGAAATCTAGAGACATTGGAGCAAAGTTTGAAGATAAAAGAATGTAATACTAATGAAACAACTTGCAATGAGCCTCGCAAGGGTCAAAATGAGTTACAGACACCTAGTGTTGCGAGGGAGATTTTAAGACTTCAGCAGAAGATTTTAAAATTTCAAGCAAAAGTTGTGAAGACACAACAAAGAATATTTGAAATGCAACAGGAAGGTGATGTGTAGAATATTTGTGTAATTCTAGGAAAAATATTTCAACCATCCATCTTGTAATATAGTAGTTATTCATTCCTTTATTATCTGGTTTCTAAATAAAATTAAAAAATCATGATTTTAATCAGGTGTACTAAAATCTTTAATTATGTTTCAAGAAAGTGTGGAACATGCAGCATCAGCTTATAATATCAGTTATATATTACATATTTCTGATTATGCCAGACCTAAATTTAAATGTTCCAACATTTACAATAAATGCAGGTAACAGGTACTGTCATGGTTGAGTAGGTGAAAAGATATCTAATGTATAAATACGGCTTAATGTTTTCCTGCAAAAGTTACCGTAAGTTCAGTCATAGCCGGATATTAAAGGATATTTGGAATGGCATCAAATACCAAAAAGAATCTTTTCAGAAGATGTGTTAATTACATCTCCCAAACATTTACCTCTGGTTTGCATGCACAAGAAACACATAGTTTTAATAGAACTAAAGAAAACTTACGTGACTCTCCATCTGAAATTCGTCTTGAAAGTGACAAAGAGGGAAAGGACATATGCCATGATGAGAGCAAGTCTGCCTTAGTTTTAACCAATTCTTCATCGGAAGAAATAGTTGGGAATATGACTAGAAAAAATCAAGAAAACACAGGTGATAAAGCAATTATAAAAGACGCCAATTCACACACTCTTGACATTGAAAATGAGAAGGAAGTTGATTCAAATATTAAAGAACAAACAAGTGCTGCTAATAAACAGAGAGAACTGGAAATTCTACGTCTACAGGAAAAGGTCTTAAGATTGCAAGAGAAAATTTGTAAACTTCAAAAGAAAGTTTCCACATTGCAAGGAGTTAGCTTAGAAACTTGACAGCATCACTGCCGATATACATGGTTTTTAGTTACCTGATTAGCTGAAGTTGGCGTAAATTTTAAACTTTCCCCTGTAACCTAACCCTAAAGACCACCATCCACCATCTTGTTATTCTTGTATGGTTGTAGTTTTAAAAATACCATCAAGGTTGCAAAATTTCACAGTGCAACTTTAAATAATAATAAATTTGCCAATGCAGACGTGGTTGTCTCCGTGGCGCAATCGGTTAGCGCGTTCGGCTGTTAACCGAAAGGTTGGTGGTTCAAGCCCACCCGGGGACGCAACTTCCTTTTTCCAACCCAAATTTAATCCAATATTTCTATTGACGTTCTTATTTCTCTCAAAACGATACAAAATTAAACTACATTTCATTCAATTAAACCGTTCTATTTTTTCCATGTATTTTTCAGTTTAGAGAAGCTATCTTTGCCCCAGGTCTCAAAAGCCGCTCTGCTGCCAGCTGCGCTAATAATTAACCAAATTTGCATAGATAATTTTTTAATGAAACGTAAAAATATAGTTAATAATTTTACAAAATTGACTAGAATATACTCTACAATATATAATATGCCGATGATAAATATTTTGGGGCATAATTTGATCTGTATCTTCATAAAGCAAACTCTATCTTATTATTTAAATATTGTACTACAAGATATTACAGTACATTCATTTAGATCTCCGACTCTTTATACTTCTCAAAAAATTCCACTTCATCGCGCACGATTGAGGAAGAGCACCGACTAATTTTACAGAGATTCTGATGCTCAGTAAACTGCTTCTTCTAGCAAGTGGCCTTTCCATGTCATTCACCCCTGTTAGATAATAATTCGCAGCTAATATACCAAAGAAGAGGATAAGGCTGAAGGCTTATGAAAGGCTTAGACCTCTAAGACCTCTAAAAAGCCTCTATACCGCATTTGAACCTCTGTGATCGGGATGCGTGCCGTAACAAAACGTCTATAGTAATTGTGTCATTTCTCTTCCCACTTCTTGCATCTGAGAACTTGTTAGAAAAGATGCACTGATGCCGTTGTCAACTTCACCATGAAACTGTTGTATTACTACAGTGCAGTTTCATTTGGGTGAGTTGACTCAGTGTCGTCTTGCATAGAGATTCTATCGCGAAGACTAGAAATCTAACGGAACAGATAAATAATAAAATGAGATTATCTCAGAAGATTAAAAAACAGATAAATGATTACATGATGAAATCTGATGAGATGATCTCACCTGTTTTTCGTGTTTTTCCATCATGGTCATCATTTGTGACTCTAATTTCTTTACTCTTGCTGTATGTTTCTTCTTTGCTTTTTCATATGCTGCAACCAGGGCGCCATTTGCTCTTTTCAAATCAGAAATATACTCTCCAGCTTGTTGATGTCGACTTTCAGTGCTCTTAGATTGTTTCTCAAGAGTATCAACAAGCTCTCTGATGCGAGATTTTAGTTTCTTCTCACGTCTTGCAGCCTCATACAGGTCAGCGGGTATATCTTCATCACTTGTGCGAAGTTCAGCTAATGTGATCGCTGGTGTGGCTGAACTACATGATGTTTCACCATCCTAGATCAAAATATCTTTTTAGTCTGAAGTGAACAACTCGCTATCTGCTTATCAGAAAACCCACCAAGAGGAGTAATGTGGGCTTTCAGCTATCCGAATTGCAACTATGAAAACTTTCATGCATATATATGCTGGTTAATACATATTTAATCATACAATGACTACTTACGCTGGCCTTCGAGCCCTGAATAGCACGAGCAGTCTCCTCCAGTTTCCGCCTTTTTCTGATCTGATCTTTGAGCTCAGTCTTCAAATGTTCAATATGAACCACATAGGCTTGTTCTTGCGCTTCTCTTGATGATAATTGTAACTCAAGTGCCTTCTTTTCCTTCTCTGTTAAATAAACTTTTGCTCTGAGTTCTGCTTTCTCCTCTTTGAGAGCCATTAATTCTTGCAATAATACTGCGTTTTCTAAGTCTAGTTTAGCATCAAGTGAGTCTAACTCAATCCTGGCAACAGGAACTAAAACATCATGAACACTTTGCAGCTCCATCAATGTCGTCCGTACTGTCTCTCTTTCGTCTTTTAACCTGGATAAATAAGCCCTGAGCCTGCCCTCCTCTTCTTTGCTGAAATCTAGTTCAGCGGATGACCCGGTGGAACTCGTGGCGCTAGTCCGGCTGACTGAGGATAATTCTTCCCAAGGGCGATTCGCCCCCGTCGAAACGTTGCCATCAGAGCCCTTGTCGTATTTCTGTAATAAAGACCTCGCTTGTGTCTCGGCATGTCGTCGCCGTTCGTAGCATCCTGACGCCATAGTATCATCATCATCTTCGTAAATGTCCGGACAACGAAGACGAGATTCGCTCCCACCTCGGGATAACGAACGATAACGAAATAAATCGATACCATCAGCATTACAGTTTATACTTAGTACTTCTTGTTCGCTCTCCAGCAAATACACAAACGCCTCGTATCCATCAATCGTGCGATCACAGAGTTCAAGTTCCACTTGCAGGGCCATACATTGTGACTCATACTTTCCTAGAATATTGAATGAGTTTTCAATAAATCTTGCCAAGCTATAGTTCCCAGAAACGTTCAGAAAATAAATCTTACCTATCAACAAGGAAAGTTGTTCGCTGTTGCTCTTGCTTTCATCCATGGACAAAGCAATGACGTTATTCTGCGCTCTGATGTGTTCCAGTTTAGTCTGTAAACGTTCAACTTCAATCTGATATTCATGAATCTGGTCACCAGACTGCTGAGTCCAGTGCGAGTGTAGTGCGTGAAAAACATCACGTAATGTCTGACATGAGTGAAGAGTATTTACGAGAGATTCTGGCATCTTGTCAAACTCTGGAAGTTGATGCTGGAGATAAGACAAAGTATTTTAAAATGATAAACAACATTACGTTGCCACAAGTGTTAAAATCAAGGCAGTTGATAGACGTTCTTTGTAATTACAAAAGCTCAACTATCCTGGTATTATGAGATAATTTTAAAGATGATAAAACTAACCAATATCTTGATCAGTTTCTCCCCAGTAAGGCCTTCAATTAATTCATTTTCTCCATCGCTTTTAACGCTATCCTTTTTCTGTCTGCTCACTAACACAGCATCAGGACAACTGACCACCGAAGATCCCAGATCACTTGATGCGTTCTTCCAACTGCCTTGGGCTGACTTCACTATAAAAATACAGAATTCAATGACTGAGAAACATTGAATAGCGCCATCACACATAACACACTCGTAATTAAATGCACTCACCGCTTCCAGGAGGAGAGTTTTTGATGGATTTCAAGGAAGAGCCAGGACTTTCTCCTAGCGTCCAAGATCTATTAAAACTATGACGTCTTGCTACCGGGGATGTTGGTGTTGTGACATGAGGTCGGTTGAGACGTGGGGAAAACTGAGACGAGTTTTGTTGTGCAACTGGTGAAAAGGCCGAGTTAGTACTGTACGAGCGACTGGGGCGAGGTGATGGTGGCTCACTATTGTCACTGACGTCATTTCTTGAGCCGTTCGTTAAAGAACGGTGGAGCTTACTGCATTCCTGGTGCTAAAATTTTATTATCATTGTGAGAGACACGAAATCACTGATATCAATAACAACCATAAGCTACAGTATAGCCAGACAGACAACTAGCAACATTATGTAAGCATGAATCACCTTTCTCTTCCAACTATCTCGTTCTTCTCGCAATGATTTCGCCATTGATTTGCTGTTCTCAAGTTCTTGCTCCAGTTTTAACACTCGGGCGTTGATCAACTCTCGTTCTTTTGTCATATTTAATACTTGCTGTTGTAACTAATCACAAATGAGATTCATTATTAAGATGGAGATGAACAGGAAGTATTCAACAGAAGATGCAAGTGTTTATACCTCAGCGCCTTCGCTTGATCTTTTACGACTAACATACTCAGCGACGCTAGCTTGTTGGATCTGTTTTTCAACTAGGAGTAAAAACATCAGTACTTCAATTTAATAGCTCATTTAGCTCAAAAAACTCGAGGCTCAGCAAGTTCTCTTTATCCAAGTGCTACAAGAAGAGAAGCCTAAACTATACCTACATACTCAAAAGCTCTATTTTAAAGTGATTTTTTTAGACGTTCATTGAAGAAAATATAAACCCATCATACTTTGATGCTTTCTCTTTTCCAATTCTTGACATTGATCTTTGAGTTCAGTCAGTTTTTTCTGAAGCTGAAGAAATATGGAACGACTCAGTTCCAACTGTTTAGCGTCATCTGGTTTTTCTTTCACCGGACTTGAAACGCTGTGTCGAAGAGATTGGAGTTTCTGGTTCGTCTTCGAGAGAGTATTGAAGTGAACCTCGTCCACATGATCCGAATCTGTGGCTCGCTGTTCGTTCAGTTCAAACACTTCAGCCGTGTCTGTGTCTTCCTGATCACTCCCGCCTTGAGAAGCATTTGATGCTAAATATATGATGTGATATTTACGTGAATATATCGCAAAACTCTAGTTCCAAATAATTGAAATATTTTGACTTACAATTTCCAGCGCCATCAGAACTTGGTGTTTCCTCTTCTTCTTCATCTTCTTCAGCGATGCAGTTGACTGATGCTTGATCAAGTTTACGTCTCAATTCCGCGATAACACTTTGTAACTCCGTCACCTAATATGGAATTAGACAACATTAGATTGATTGCCATTACGTAAAACAGGCAAAGTGTTGAAATTCCAGAGCTGGCTTGCTTGATTACCTGCTGTTCTTGCTCATGTAACCGCTCCTCATATTTCACAATCAGTCGATCTTTCTCGTCCCTAGACTCCTTTAGTGTGCGCCGATACGAGTCTCGTTCTGACGTCACTTTCTTAACTTGTTTTTGTAATTCGTTGATTTCACTCTTCAGCGATGCGAGGGCAGCAAAGTGGAGCTAAAAGGTCAAGGAAAATGAGTATTAGCGATCAAATTTCTGATTCTGTCCACAGATTCTGCATTCCAGGTTATTTTGAAAGTGACAATGTGACATCCTTTATAAGTTTGCTTTGTTAGACAAACACAAAACACAACTTAGCCTGTAGGATATCCGCTGGCAATATAAATAGAGCAGTCGTGGGCTTTTTACAAAATATAACTTTGAAACCACCGAACATTAAAATATCCAAAGATTAGGGCAGACAATCGACAGAACTAAGAAAAGGCCTGTAATTAAATTAGCAACTTTATTATTGAAAGATCAGTCAACACACAGCGCAATAAGACAAGAATATCTGAATATAAGCGAACGTTTCCTATCCTAGAACTTTCTTGAAAGATTTCTTTATATTCAAACAAACAATTCAACTTCCTTGGCTAAAAGACATTTATCATTTTTACTTGCACGAATTATGAACTGTGATGGTGTTCCCATAACAAAAGACTATGTCTAGAGTCAAACTAAAACAATGTGTTATATGATATTATAGATAACACAGCTATTTTATACAACAATTATTCTTAAAATAACGAGACTGACGACCTTTGACAAAATTTCCTCAAGCTTCTGTACACATTTTATTCTACGCTGTTCAATTCAGGTCATATGACTCATCAAATACCCAGCAAAGTATTACATATAAATCATTCACCTGAGCTGCTGATATAAACAGTCATTACAATGGTCTATAAACACGTACCCTTCGTAATTTCAGCAATCTTTGGCGAACAAATTCGGTTGAAAAAAAGGGATAATATTTCTGGCGTATGTCAGAATCCATTTTCAAAGCGAAATAGAAAAGGAATACAAATTGGTCTCTAGCAATTGTCATAAATGCCCTCAAGGTAAAAAGCCTTTGTCAGGAAATTGTCCGTTGAAGAGTCTAAGTACCTCAAGATATAAAGCAATGGTCTTGTGAATAGTTAAGTGTTTAATAATATTCATGATGCGTTGACATGAACAAGGAGGGGGACAATAAACATCATTGGCAGAAGTAAGAAGTTATGAAAAATTCCAGACACACATCCTGACAAAATGTCACCGACACCGGTGTTGTGTGGGAAACGTGTTTCTGAAGATGATCCACAGGAATTTAGGTTTTGTTTTAGGCTCTTAAAATGGTCAAGATTTGATTAGTATTATCGCATTATCCTGACGCCAATGATAAGAAAATTCTGTCTACTGTATTAACATTGTTCTTGATCAAGCGCGCTTTACATGGAATTATTTTATGGCGAAATCCAGTAAAACCAAATAAAACCAAGTCAACCCTGATATAGTCAAGTAAGATCATTTAAACACTGAGAGAGTTTCACTTTCTTTGCGCGTGCGCTTTGCAGCTTTACTAAATGAGAATATTTTGACGTCATACAATAGTGAAGAGTTTTTCAGGAATGATTCGCTTATGTTAAACAGAAAAATGTTTCTACAGTCTTTCATTTTAGGATTTGTATTTGAATTCCACTTCATTATAGGCATGGAATATAGACAGTTTTGTCAAGCAAAAACCTTTGAAAATTTGGTATTCAGTTCATTCATCAAGTAAATTATACATCAACGCTCTTCGCCCACGTAAAAATATCTTACATATAAAAGTACTGTATCAAATTTCCATAAAACTTTATCTTCATATTTCCGTCTTTTGACAGTATTTGTTAGGACAACTTGCGAGAAGGCTGTTATATGATCATTGAATTTGGCACAAGGAGGATGTGTCTACATGTATCAACATGTGAAATCTTAAAGATTGCATCTGAAATCACAGTCAACAATGTATCTTTTCAGAGTATCACTTGATCTCTACCTGAAGATTTTTTTCTATTTGGTTTTGATTGTTTATCATGCAGTACACGTCTATTACGACTGGGCTGTGTACAAAGAATCATCGACAGACAATTGGATTTTAGAAGAGGCCAGTGTTACCATTCGTGCTGTTTTCTTAGGAAGCTGTATTGCTGGGACGACTACGAGTATTCTTTTGGGCTTTATTTATGGTTATTACATTAAATTTCATCGTAGTTTTTTACCAAGCAGGAATAACTACGACCCTCTGGAGATGAACCGCCGCGTTATTACAATGGAACTAACTATCTCATGTTGCGAGCTGTTTTTCAAAGAGCTTATTCAAAGCTCCATATTATTTACAGCATTCAACTCAAGTTTACCGACAACTTGTGTAAGCAAGACAATCAAAACATTCACAGTATGTTGTCTCATAGCAAATATAAAACTGCTGGTTATCTTTTACGCGAAGCTGTGTGGATTTGGGACTGGAGAAGAAATAAAGTCCATTATAAAAGCAATCGTCTGTTGCGTGGGGTGTTCAGGCGCCTTACTTGGCCTGTGGTTTACAGTATTGTATTATTCAGAAATTCAGAATCTCTTTTCGTGTGCTGACATGTAGAGTAATACCATCTAATTAACATATCATGCGATCCAAAGATACATACGCCAAAAAAGTTTTTCCGTTTTGCTCACAGAGGGACTTCCTTAGATTTCCTGAGGCATGATTATCTGACGGGGGGGGGAAGATCCTTTCAAAGATTAGGGGGTATCACAAAAATATTTGAAATGTTACACTCTAAATTAGAGTTAACACCTGATCTGTCTCTTTACAATCAGTAAAATTAGAATATAACATATAATGCCCAGATACAATTTAGAAAATTGTTCTTGTACATACTGAGATACAAATAATAAAATTGTACATAACTTTCGATGTACCATATGTAATAACCATGTTTAATACACAATGAATAATATAACAATTTGTACATGTTTGAATAACTTTTTCCCAACTTGAAATATAATAAAAACTCCATGCTTCAAATCATGCAGAAAATCTTGTTTAGTCATATTTCTACCATTTATTTGAGTTTAGGCAGTGAAAGTCACTAGGTAAAAATGAAATAATAAAATTTGGTGCATTTAGCTTTGGCTGCAATGTAAAACGGACAAGCGCCAGGTTTTAATAATGACTTAATAGGCCTAAATCTACCCTAAAGATCTTTTATAATAAAACATCATTACCTTGGTTGAAACAGACAAAGCAAAGGATATTAAGAAACAGTTGGATACCAAATTGATTAATTTACATTATTTTAATATTGTTTGCATGTGTGAGACATGGGAGAATCTCATGGAATTGTGTCTTGTGAACTTTAAAATATTGGTTCATCTTTTTTATTTAGTATTCACATGCAAGGTCAAAGCTGTAATTTATTTCCACTCTCAGTCCAAATCTCTTCATTATTTCAAGTGCAAATATCTTATATTCAGGAACACATTTGACTCATCCACCAGATTAATTCAATCCACTTTTGTCTCAATAATCATACAAATATATCTAAAGGCTGCCAAGAAACTTTCAATTGTTCAATTGTTTCCACACAAGAATGACTAAGGTTTTAAAGAGACAGATGCTGTGTGCATAATTCATGAAATACTCAAGTCCTATTTAACCTGTCTGAAAGCAACTTCTCAATTTCCAATTGCAGCCTAGTACTCACACACTTTATGACTATGGTTCTTTCAAAAAAATATAGCCATTAAAAATTAGACAACACATACTATATAATGCCAATATTCGAAACCATATCATATATACAAACTTGCTAGACATATTAATATGCAACTCATATAAATATTATAAGCCCATTTAGAGAGAACATGTAGTGCAAATTAATTTGCCTTATTAAAAATCGAAAATTCTAAGTTTGAGATCTTACTAAAACATATTTTAAATCCATTTCTCATTCTATAGTAAAAATTGTAACAATTTTTGAATTCCTAATTTGCAACATATATTGCCACTTCTACTCAAAGATGGGAAAATTATGGTTTAAAATTTCAATACTCGTATTTGTTTATTTAACAAACCCAAAATAAGAGGGGAATATTTTGAATTCCTGCATTAAAATTGTTTATATCTAAGAGGACTACATATGAAAACACACTGAAAGCAACAGGTTAAGATAGCATTCGCATGGCGAGGCATTGTTTGTAGAAATTATTACACAATGACATTATTAAATATGAGTACAGAAGCCGGCTTGACAAATCTATGTTCTCTAAATTAATCTATTATTTGAAACAGAAAGCTTTTGAGATAGGTCGTTAAAACTTTGAAAAGTTCAAAGCTTTCTGAAAACAATCGCGAGACAAAGAATATGCTTCAAATTCCAGTAGAAATCACAAGTCGCAAACTATTTCCAAACATGCAAAGTGACAAAAAAGCAAAATATTTGGATAAACACAATATAAAATATTACTTACGCTGGACAATTTTGGACAATACAAACATATAACGTCAAAGAATACAAAAAACTACTAAAATTTTTATTAAAACATCGATAATGTTTCTCTAACGGTGCGTACTTACTGTGTTTGCGAGTTCCAAAAAATTTGTTCCTCTGCTAATATTATTTCCTACAGTTGACTTTACGATGTTTGGTTCAGCGTTAGATACAACGTTTGCTTTCTCAGAGACACTTGATATAGTAGCTCCATCGTCGATAAAAACATCCGTTGAAGTACAGGAATTTGTTTCACTACCTTGATCTGTGTTGGTTTGAGGGAAACCACGCAGCAAGTCTTCTAAGCATTCAAGTGAGACATCGCCACCTCCTTTTAACTTACTCATAACTTCTTGGATTTTACGATCTTCCATGCCTTTTTGCCGACAAATTGAAGTAGCTTCGTCCCTATTTAATAGCAGAAAAAAGCCTTATATCAACAACTCTTTGCAGCATATACGACCGACAGAACAATCACGCATACAATGAAACGAGACTTCACATTAAGCAGCTTAATAAAATTGCTTTTAATGTTTAAACAGCTACAAAACTAGAATATTTTATATTTGTTTTTTAGCAACGATTGTAACGAAGTAATCGCGTTCCAAAATACTTCTTCAGAACAATTCAGAAATGACAAAATAAGCAGTCACTTGGAAAATAATACAACGTGAATTCATGACACCTATTATAAAGCGGTGTCTTACATAATAGAATACAGTGAGCGTTTGATTTTTTTTTACTTACTTGGTTAATGAAACTTCTCTCGCATTCTTTGTGTTCTGTATAACATTTAACACGTCTTGTTTCCACTGGGAATCGCCATTATTTGTCACAGTTGTCGACACATGTTGGCATTTCGAGTTGAATCCATTCGCTTCATCGTTCGTTTGCTCACTCGACTGCATAATGTATTCAAAGCAATTTAAACACTCGCTCTCTTTCCTGCGGTCTCTAAGTTACAAAGTGGACGAATAAACTACTCCTTTATATTCTTTAACACCTACATTTTAACAATTTAAAGACAAAACGCATGTTTTTTTGTACACTTGCGCTTCTAGTTTGTGGTTGTAAAGTGTGAAGTGCGCGTGGAACGTGTGTCTATTTTAGTCCCGCGTGATTCCCGGGGGAGTTAAGTTATTAAAAAAGGAAATAGCAACAACAGCCGCAATTTATTCAAAAACTCGATTTTCAAAATATGAATTACTTGGTTCTAACTTCTAATAAATATCTCACTTTGGTTAAATTGGATCGAGTCCCAAAAACTGGTAATATATATTCACGCTGATGTGACTATATATTTTTCATAGGTTGTAAAGTTTAAAATATTAACACTATAGGATTTCCTTATATGCCTAATTCTTGTTTTTTTGTTAGTATTACTGGGATAAAAGCAATAGAGCTTCCGGGATTTATCGGCAAGCTGAAACAAACGTAATAAAAATTTGCTTTCGTTAAAGACGAAACATCGTATTTTACATAAGCTTTATCTCTGCCTACTCGCAACAAAAATTTCTTTCATCACACCATTCAAAACTTGATAAAGCAGTTTTTGCTGGAAAACTAGTAGAATTTACTAATACTACACGTGAAATATGATCGCCAATAGTCAACTATGGCCTTTGGATTTTCTTTTTAAATCCATTTTCAAAATCGTCTTTCCTCTTGGGCACGTTTTCTTCCGCATGTTTTTCTTCAGTTTGCGAAAATGCAACGCTTAATGTGTGCTCAAAAACATGCAGGTGTTCATCTTACATATCATGAAAGAAACATTCATAACCATGTTACTAGAAACAGCATGCGCTTTTTCCTACACTCCAGCCAAACATGAAACAACATTACAAACATTTTTTGCTGAGAGAATTATTTAATAATCTTCAAGTTACGGATTATCAATTCAATATTTATTGCTTTTTTCCTGAAGCCTTTCTTTTCTTCTCCACCACTTTCTTTCTGGCTTCTTTGCTTCGCTCCTGTGCAAGAATAGCAGCTCTCTTGGTGGTCTTTGCATGTGGGTTCAACTTCAACATTACACCAAGATTTTTCAGTGGGTTCTTCTTCAGTTGCGCATGTCTAGTTGCCAACCTAATGAAATGTTTCATGTCACATATGAATTTATCAATTTTGCACTCTGGTAAAAGACACACACATCATGACAGTGTTGGCCAAATATCCAAACACTTGTATCAAAAAAAGGCTTGAATTCAAGGCCAATTCATACTTAGCTGGTCGAACAACTTTTTGGATTTCTTCTGAATTGATCAGTCGAGCCAAATCACTGTTCTTCATAATGGGTTTGGGCAAACTATGAGTGGAAAATATATTTAAAATTCATCTCTCAAGTTATAGATATAACCCAGTTATGTCACGGAAAGCAACATTTACATACTTATACGAGGTCTTTTCAGTGGAAGCTTTGCGCCATGTTCCATAAATACCATCAAGCTTCTCAAAGGCACCTTGGGTCCAAATACAGAATCTAAATTTTCAAAGTAAAACTTGGTGAATTGTGCCATCAAAAGAATGGGTTAATTAAGTTAAAAATGTTTAAAATAATTGTGAGAAAAATATTGTCATGTAAAGACCTTCCAAGATGTCCTCCAGGGCATAAATTGAGGAGATTCATTCGGTCAACGTTAAGCAGTTCAACACCAGGCAAATTCCGGAATGCTTGGCGAATGCCATGATCCTCATTGTATATTATAAGCGGACCTTTCCTTTGTACATAACGCCGGTTCCTCATCTTACCCTAAAAAGTACAAACATGTCTTTTGAATGGTGTAATACTTGATGCAACAATGCTACAACTACTACAAGTAGACTCCTGCAACATATAATGATAGCAATTGCATGTCTTGGCTATTATCCCTAATTATAACATTTATAACAAGGATATCCTACCTTTCCAGCCCTAATCTTCTTTGAGTTCTTGCAACGCTTCACATCATCATAAGCATTCAAGTCTTTCAAAAGTTTCACAGCATTTGACGTCTTTTGAACAGACTCAATACCATTAGCAACAACCAAAGGCACTTCAGGAATATTCTCAATACGGTGACCTCGAGCCATGACGAGCGCTGGCAAAGCTGAACCAGCAAGTGCTGAGCACATGGCATAACGTTTCTGGTTCACATTAATCTTACGATGCCATCTACGCCATGTTTTAGTTGGGGCAAACATACGACCTCCTCTACACATCTTTATTAAAGTTAAGCAAATTTATATTTAACAGGTAAAATACTATCTGAATAATTTGGCTGCTGTCCTGGTGTTAGTTTTTTAACACCAACCCTTGGCTAAAACATACAAAACTATCATAAGGATACATTTCCATAAGCACCTTGGCCTGAGCGATGCGTACCACCACCTCGCACACGAGGTATTCTAGCAACAGCACGACCAGTACCCCAAGACTCAGCAGAGGTTTGGTGACCTGCTTTACTGCTGACAGCATATGGCTGGCGCTTGTTTTTTGCCATATTTGTGTGTACAAAATTGACAACATCTGGTCGTATTGGAGCTTTGAAAACCGCAGGAAGGGCTACTGAGTTTGATGTAGCTTCACCTTGCTCATTATAAACTGTTATCAATGGACGAGCAGCCTGTTTGAAATATTTACAAATATTTATTAAATTTGTGATTATGACATGTGTGTGTGTGTCCGATGTCTCATGACTACCTGGTTTTGTTTATCTCAATCTAGATTTTGGTTCAAGAAAGAAAAGCTCAGTGGTAACATAACATCCCAGTTAATGGATATCTACATCTTTATACGGCACTTTTTTAATAATGGCTTAAAATTAACGAATAATTCATCCAGTTTTTATATGAAGAAGTCGTAAATTTAGGGTAGGAATCAGCGCTATTCTAAACAGCTTTAAAGCTTTCTTTGGGGGCTACATGAAACCTTAGACTATATTCTACGCTTTTGTTTCGAAAACTGCGTAAAAACCTGTAAATCGAGCCTACCATGATCGAAATATTTTCAACCAAATCCTAATTTTCCAAAATGGCTGTTCTTTCTCGAAAAGAAAGAATACACGTGAGAATAGGCCACAATGCAGCGCGCGCCGTGAGTGCAGACAAACCCCGATCGGAGAAAGAATACCAGTGCAGTCTTCTCCAACTAACTACAATAACGCTTCTGATAGAAATCGTGCTGTAATCATTTATCGAATTGTAAATGTATTTATACTGAAATTATTCAGGGCATGATAACGTTTATTTTTCAATACAGTCATTCTATACGTTTGTTCAAAATTAATATCTTGAGTACTGTCTCTATATGTTGCCGACCCAGTTGACGTCAGAGAGCAAAGCCAAATCTGAAACTTCAATGCTATATTTTCTTAAAGCAATGCGTCTCTTATGAATCCTCTGAAAATAACGAGCTGCGAAGTCAATAATATCACTGGGGAACTCTTGTGAAGCGGCCATACAGAATCCTTCCATCAGCTCCAAAAACTCTGCTGTGACCTCAATGACAGGTTTCTCAGCGGCTACAACCGGTGCTGCAGTGGTTACATGACTAGTTCCTTCCTCTACAGGTTTCTCCTCCTCTCTGACGTCGTTACGGTCACCCACATCATCTTCGCTTTTGCTTTCCTGACAGATGAGAAGTTGATCACTTTCATCAGTCCTTTCCATCTCAGCGTCTTTGTGTTCAATCATTACGAAATCTTCTTCTTTATTTCTGTTCTCTTCGTTCTTATTTTCCGCACTGTCAGCCAGTTTCTCAATAACCTCCGACTGCTTCGTATTCTGACTCACTTCAGTAGCAGGTGTTGGCGCTTGTGTCCTGAAATGAGTATGAATTTATGTAAGACACCAGCCTATATATTATTGTATACTTGGAAATAAAAGAAAAGCAACAACATACTTGGTTGCTGAAACATCACATTTGTTCTCGCTTTTCATTCTTTTAGGTTCTGCTCTTGTCTCCTGTTTAGTTTCAATAGAAGCACCAAGTATAACAATTGGATCTCCAAATGTACTCTTCTTTTCCTTCGGTATTTTTTCCTGAGACGATTGTCTTGGTTGCTCTGTTGGTGCGGACTCTGTTGTTGAAGTGGCTACAGTAGATTTCTCACAGGCAATATTTTCATCTTTGGATTGCTTCAGAGTTTCAAGAACTTCATTCTCTGACTCTCCAACGTTTTGTATGCTTTTATCCTTGTCTACTCCAATAACGCCTTCATCGTCCCACTCATTTTTACCCTCAGATACTCCTATATTGCCATCCTCTTCTCTATGTTTATCCTCAGATGTTTCTGTGACGACTGTCTCTTCGTCAGGGTCCTTATTCTCAGGTACTTCCATAATGGCTGCCTCTTTTTCTCCATCTTTGTCCTCAGATCCCCTCACATCTTTGTTATCATTTGCTACATTCAAATCACTTTTGCTTGTCACTTTTCCCTCGTATTCGATATTTTGATCTATTTGATGAGATTCTACTCCTTTCTGCTCATCCAACTGACTCATGGGTGCTCCTGAATCTTCACTGGAATCCTGAGTGGTCTTCGTACCTTCACCTTCATCATTAAACTGTTTCACAGGTGTTCCTGAATCTTGAGTCGTCTTTATACCTTCATCGTTAAAGTTCAAAGATTCTCCCATCAGACCAGTTTCGACAGTGTTGTCTTGACTCTCGGGGGATAACACTTTATCTGAATCATTGGTTAGGTCTTGTAAATCGATGTCTTTCTCACCATTCTGTTCTGTGATAGCTGTGGGTGTCTTGTTGTCATCTAATGCAGTCGTTGTTTCAGTCTTTGCGGAATCATCAATTATAGTTTTATCACTGCTCTCATCTAATTTACCATTATCCTGACTCTCTTGGTTTTCAAAGTTACCATCTCCCCTTGGTTCCTCGCTTACTGGTACTTCAGTCTTATCACTATCTTCAACACTCCTTTCAGTTCCTGTTGTGGTACCATCTCCACTTAGCTCTTCGCTTACTGGTACTTCAGTCTTATCACTATCTTCGCCACTCCGTTCAGTTCCTGCTGTGGTACCATCTCCGCTTGGTTCCTCGCTTACTGGTACTTCAGTCTTATCACTTTCTTCAACACTCCTTTCAGTTCCTGTTGTGGTACCATCTCTGCTTGGTTCCTCGCTTACTGGTACTTCAGTCTTATCATTATCTTCAACACTCCTTTCAGTTCTTGTTCCGGTACCATCTCCGTTTGGTTCCTCGCTTACTGGTACTTCAGTCTTATCACTATCTTCAACACTCCTTTCAGTTCCTGTTGTGGTACCATCTCCACTTGGTTCCTCGCTTACTGGCACTTCAGTCTTATCACCATCTTCAACACTCCTTTCAGTTCCTGTTGTGGTACCATCTCCGCTTGGTTCCTCGCTTACCGGTACTTCAGGCTTATCACTATCTTCAACACTCCTTTCAGTTCCTGTTGTGGTACCATCTCCGCTTGGTTCCTCGCTTACTGGTACTTCAGTCTTATCACTTTCTTCAACACTCCTTTCAGTTCCTGTTGTGGTACCATCTCTGCTTGGTTCCTCGCTTACTGGTACTTCAGTCTTATCACTATCTTCAACACTCCTTTCAGTTCCTGTTGTGGTACCATCTCTGCTTGGTTCCTCGCTTACTGGTACTTCAGTCTTATCATTATCTTCAACACTCCTTTCAGTTCTTGTTCCGGTACCATCTCCGTTTGGTTCCTCGCTTACTGGTACTTCAGTCTTATCACTATCTTCAACACTCCTTTCAGTTCCTGTTGTGGTACCATCTCCACTTGGTTCCTCGCTTACTGGCACTTCAGTCTTATCACCATCTTCAACACTCCTTTCAGTTCCTGTTGTGGTACCATCTCCGCTTGGTTCCTCGCTTACTGGTACTTCAGGCTTATCACTATCTTCAACACTCCTTTCAGTTCCTGTTGTGGTACCATCTCCGCTTGGTTCCTCGCTTATTGGTACTTCAGTCTTATCATTGTTTTCGACACATTTTTCATTGTCATTAGAAGATACATATTTATCATCGCCACTGTCTTTGCTCAAGTTTTGCTCCCCCTCAGTGTTTTCTGGGGCTGCGCCCACAGTTTCATCCGTGCTGGTTGGGGATATGTTTGGCTTGCTGCTGTCCTCCTGGGTATTCGTACCTTCGACAACTTCAGATTCCTCTTTATTCTGACTAGCATTTTCGGCTGAATCACTATGATCTTCAACCTTAGCCGTGCCCATTGAGTCATGAATGGTATCGTCATCATCTGGTTCATGAATGGTATCGTCATCATTTGGTTTCTCTCCATCTTTATCATCTACTCTGTTCTCCTCTTCTTTCGTTGTTACCTCATCCTCGTGAGATTTGTCATCTGGGATTGTTGTTGTACGTTCCTCAATTGTTGTTGATATTGTATCGCTGTTTTCGTTGGTTATAGCTTCAACACCAGTTCCAAGGTTCTTCGTATTTTCCGAATCCTTGTCCACATCGTTGTCAACGTCTTGCAAAGCATTTTTCTCAACACCTTTGCTCTCGTCAGTTTCGTCGCCGTTACTGACTTTTACATCGTTCTGAGTTTCCTTTTGGTCGTCGAGTTTTTCACCAGCCGAGATCGTATCCTGATGCGTTGCTTCCGCATTCTCTCTTTCAACATTCTCTTCAGTAGATTTGTTTTCAATGTTGACTTTGTCTTTCGATGAATCTTTATTTTCTTGTTGTTGAGTTTGCTCGCCACTTTCTTTATCTTTTGCATCATTTGATATCATAGCTACTTCAGAACTGGCTGCAGCTGCTGTTTTCGTTGCGCTATCATCTTTCAATTCTTTGCTTTCGTCTTGGTCTAAGTTTACGTTTGGTTCCTTTAATATCAACAAGTTGATAGATTATTAAGAACAAATGCTATCATATAAAGAGTAATCTATTAGTCATTAAAACATTTCAGAAATACAAGGTTAGCGCCTGAACATCTCATCATCTGAAAACGTCTGAACAATTAACTAACCTCTTTCTTCAAATCTCCGCTCGTTTGTTCTTTGTCTTCATTCTCCTTCCCTTCAATGTCTTCTGGAGCACAAACAACATTTGATTCTGCAATACCGTCCTTCAAATTATTTTCACAAGTTGCGCTGTCGTTTTCACTTTTAGAAAGCTTGTCTTTTTCCGAATCAATTCCAGTTTCTTTATCCAGAATTGTGCTTTGGTTGTCATCTTCATTCTTGACAACGGTCTCATTGCTTTCAACCAAAGATTCGGCCATTATACGAAAATTATAAAGAAATTATAGTGTGGATGTTTTGCTTTACGTGATCTTAATTAATTCGCAGATAATTGCCAATTAACAGTACCATGACGTCATGAATGCTGGGAATTACGAGTGACGCACTTATCATGCAGTGCTTGACGTCAGCGGCTACACAGCGCTGGACATCACTTACATATAGCGACCAAATAGATATATACTACAGTATTATACTCTTAGTATTTCCTTTATCCTGAATTTGACTTTTATCTTTCGTTAATACAAAAGAACTCAAAGAGATGGCCATGCATGCTATCATTAAGCATTTCTGGAAACGGTAATCAGACAAACTGCATAGCGAAACCAATTTGTTTGTGACAGCTCTTATTGTTTCACAATGAAGCATGAGACTTAAGTTGAGTATATTGTTATTTAAATTTTCGGTTCAAAGCAATTATGCACGCCTCTTATAACATACAAACACACAACTAAATTCCTTCAAATTTCGAAAGAAATTCTTCGTTACAGAACACAAATTTGGTTACAATCACTGCGATTTTTTGATAGCACTGACGAGCCCGATAGTCCCTTCCCAGTTTGGAGTTAATATGAACTCTCAAGACGATTGTCGCTGATTGTGTGTATTACGAAATAAATAAAAATGTCTTTACCAAATTCTAAATAAGTCTGTAGCCTTAAGCAAATTCCAAAGAGCTATATCTCGAGTTGTGATCAAAGAGGCTTTACCTGCCATTTTGACTGGGCTGTCAAATGAGGGTTAGGGGGTAATTAGGCCCTCATTATCATGACATTTGTATTTACCAAAATAACCAATGATTCATTAAACTAGAACTATATTCATATAGTGTAAGCCTATCCCTAATCCCTAAATAAATACAACAATAAAAAATCTCATTTCACTTTTAAAATAAGCACGCTGATTTTTGCCTGTGTAGCGATTCTAGATCCTAAATGGCATGGTTTAGACGTTTATAAAGGATGCTGTGAGTTGAATTACGAACATTTTCAACCATCTTTGTTCTGGTTAAGATCACAAATTTGTTTCAGCTGAGTTTGCGATTACAGGAATTTATATATGCGAAGACGGGATTTATCAACAAACAAATAAAGATGAGTTGTCAGTGGAATGCATTAAATGTCAATGTTATTAAAACACGGAAGATTGAATGTGCAAAACTTCAACTACCAGCAACTCTAGCGAAATCTTCTCGAAATTCTGCCGCTACACCAAAGTTGGCGCCAACCAGCAAAGAAAAGTTGAATTCATCAAGTGAAAAAAGCAATGAGGCACTTCGTCAAAATCACTCGAGCATAATTGACAGTATAATTCCTCTTTTATCAACTGACGAAAGCCTAAATTCGTCAGCGTATACCGAAGACGAAGTTTTTCAAGAGTCTTTTGAAACTCCTCCAGAAAAGGACAGCATTTTCAGCGAAAATGCAACAAAAAGATGTCTTTCTCTCCCATCTTATTTAACCTTTGAGGAATATTCCTACAGCAGAGAATCCGGTGCCCGTTTTGCACCGAGGCGTCTGTTTGAAGAAGCATTAAATTTAGAAAGTTATTCGGGACGTTTGCCAGCCACCAGGGTTGATTCTGAAGAGTTTAGTGAAGACTTTACTGACCATATATTCCCACGCTTGCAAGAACACATCCTGAAGAGGAATGCAAGCGGAACGGGTCATGCTGGGCAAATGAAAAAGAGCAAATCGTCCTCACAAATTAATTGTGATGACAACAATAACGTTAGATATGATCAAAATCATTTGCAGAGTACTGATATTAATTTCGCAACACAATCAAAAGAGAAATTTGATGTCAGAGATTGGGAGCAAAAGGTGCTAGTGTTGACATCTGATTACGAGTTTGGTACAGAATATAGCAAGAAACCAAGAGATGAAATAGACGCCAGATCAAGGAGTGTTGCGCTGACTGAGAATATTTCTACATTTGCGAGCGATAAGATTTGTAAAGATCAGACTAGCCAAAGGCAAGTTAAATCTGAAACACACTCAGAGATGCCAAAATTACAAACTGTTGTTTGGGATTACATAAAGCGGAGGTCAACGAAAAAGAAAAGAAAGAATGACAATAGTCGTTTAGAACAAAATGATAACCTAAAAGGAGAAAATTTGAAGGCGACAAATCAGGAGAGTTCGTCTGGTCCAGACAGACGAAAGAGTAAAGATGAATCATCTCCCAAGGTGAAAAACGTCCAAGGGGAATCTGTATTAAAATCTGATCGAAATAACGCTGGATCATCAACACCTGGTATTTCGAGAGTAAGTGATAATTTGATGCATTCATTACGAAGGCCTACCTTACATAGCGAGAATCACCGTATGCCGATGGCAAATTATTAAGATACTTCAGAAATCACCAGCCATAGCCCATAAGAATCTTTCCCAATCACATAAGTGATAAACGATATTTCAGTAATCTATATACCTGTATGCATCTCGTTCCTTCATACATCAATAATATATCATTAAATATACTTAATTAAAACTGACATTAATTTTACATTTTCCCGAGTGGGAAATGCAAATATCCCGGCTCGTCTTTTTGAGAAGGGGTGCAGAGATACGTGAGAAACCTGAAGAGGAATATAAACTAGAATGATATGAAGTATTTTTTTAGATTGCTGCTAATTTTGTGGCTTGTACTGCGAACTATCAAACATGCCCTAACTGCCTAAGTTTCTCAAATTGTCTAAAATTTCATATTTTTCGTTGTAGAAATCAAGAGCCATCAGGTCATGGAAGTCAGACCCAAATTTAAACTCAAATCGTCGTAGTGGAAATATCAAACTACGAAGATACAATTCACATAATATTTTGTCTTCCTGCAGCGATAAATTTCCTCCCAAATTACCAAAAATGGAACGCCAAATGAACTCCAAAACTTTGACTTTTCTGCTGACGACAGCACCTGAAGAGAAGTCGATTGAAGAACGAATGATGACGTTGAAAATGTCACGTGAATGGTTGCTCAAGGAGCTAAAAAGCATGCGTGAGCAAGACCGCAAACTTGCAAGACAGTTTATTCACTTACGCAGTGCTATAGTTGAAATGAAAGAGTATTGTGAGAAAGAAGATTCGGAATATGAGTCTGAATGCGAGGCTGGAACACAAGATATACACAAAAATCATAAAAGAAGTGAGATCAGTAAAGAACGCAAAATTCCAATTCACAACACTCCTACAATAAATATTCTAAGTTACTGTTGAGAAATCCAATCTGATTGACAATGATGACTGTGGTATAAAACTGAATCTTTGAAATTTGAACATAAAAACTTTAGAATAAATAATATAGGTTAAATTTTTGAATGAATCAGTAAGTGATTTAGCTAAAGCCTGAAGTGTGAATATGATGATGTTATATACATAATTTTGTAAAATATTTGTAAAAATTGACAAAAATAATACAGCGTACTATAATCGAGATTTTGTGATTGAAAAATCTGTAGTGATATTTATAGTTGACATTACTCTAACTGTGATTAATTTTTATTAAAGACTAACTCATCACGAGAATTTATCAGTAGCCAGGCAGGACACTAATTTTGACTCAGTGTGAAACTAATAGTAAACTAACTAAAATATCTGCATGATCATGCATGCACGTTCTAGATCTGCATCTTGTTCAACGCCTCAGGACTCTACCAAAACTAAAAATATCTGCTCCCTAAAACCTTTTGAACACAATCAAGATGTATGCATGTAAAGTTGCAAAAAAAAGAAAACAAAAAATTTTGAAGATATCGATGACAAAAATTTAAAGTTTAGGCGCCCACCCTAAACAACATGAAGACGACTTGATCACAAAACTTCGAAAGATCAGGGAGTCTGAACACCATTTTTTGTGTTGTAAAAGGAAACACGCAAAAATATGTCTTTCGTTTGATTTCTTTTCATGATTTATTAACCAATTCGTTTTGAATTTATCGTTATAATTCTTATTCGTCAGAGTTTATGGTTTTATATGTATTTTTTATTAGTTCATGCAAAGGTGATTTGGGAGAACCACCTTCTTTAGTTGTGTTTACTGATCCGGCGTCTGATGACACGCTTCTTTTAAAATTATACAAAAGTTGGATTATTTATATGGTTTGTCAAATTTTCTTGTTAGGAAGGAAAACCTCATAGGAACCTTTTTAATATTATAAGACATTTTCAAATCATGTTTACACTCAAACCGTGTATATAGAAATCAGTAAACACTTTGACAAATGTTGGGTGAAGATCAGTAGTAGCCACGAGAAGGACTCATAATAATATATGTAATATTGGCAACCTTAAAAGGTCTTAAATTTTAAAACCTTGAACACGGCGCAATTACTTGAGAGCAAAATCGATTCGTTTGTTTGTAAACATTTTTTCCAGTAACAATAGAATAAAAATCAAACTTCAAAGGTCATTTTCATATTAGCTTGACAGGTGGCTGTTTTTCGCTCAAAAATATTCAATTATTCATCAAGCTTGTCTATTGCATATGCAAATCCACAATAAGACTGCAAACTACTCTCAATACGAACTTCCTGCTAAAGTAGTGTTCCTCCATCTTAACGGTTCAAAATCAACGGTCCGACAAACAAGTAGCGTCGTATTGTATTTAATTACCACGAATATTGTACGAAAGCTTGAATTCATCGACGTTCTGCTGGCTAAGGTGAGATTTGTCTGTATGTTTTTAATATCCGTTGTACATAATGGGGATGAATAAAACAATGATAGGCAATAATAAAATATTGTAAAACCGTAGCTTTAATCTAAGAAATAAAATACAAAACCTAGCTGATATCATTGAATAGTATTTAAGACATGCAGTGATTAAAATTCTGCGTTTTAATGTCTGGCGATCCTTTTCAATTTTCATGCAACAAGGCGACTGCAATAGTTTCAAAGCGTGAGTGCAATTTTCACTGAATTATTATTTACAATAAACCCTACTCCTCATGATCTACAGATGAATTAAGTTTATGTGACATTTTCAAGAAATTTTGAATCTTTCTTTAATAAAAATATATATTAAAGTTGCATTGTAAACTTGAAATAAAAAATAGCTTTATTTCGCCTTCATTGCCAATGGTAATCAAACACAAAGGAAAACTAAGCATTGACGATGCAATTCGTCAAGTTGGTGATGCTTTAGACAAGCCAATAAAGTTGACAACGATCACGAAATAACATGTTACCTAGGACTAGTCTAGGACGCAGAAATCAAGTGGACTAGACACAACACTCTGTTTTTCACGAATAAATATCACGATAATTTAAACTCAAAATATAGAGCGTTCCCCTCCGCCCGGGCAATTTAAATTATTTTGGTAAACCTCCTAGAGTGTTGTAAAGACATAAATAGCAGAGATTTATAACCTCCAACTCTTAGGAGTCCAACTCTAATAAACAACTACAAGTTATCCCTGAGATCATTCTTTATTTTCATCGTTCCTTACTGTATGAAATACAATGCATGCTAGCTATATATGTGTATATTTTCCAATGTATATTCCATCTATATGCAGCTTATAAAATCTTTCCTGTTTGGAATGGACTAACGTAAAGAGGACTCAAAATCTGTTAAATCTTTGTGTAGAGAAATTATGAAAACGTCTTCAAACAGGCTGACTCTTTCGTGTTAAGATTGCGTGCCGTTGTCAAGATATTTTAACTAATTATCATCTAACAATCCGTGCATTTAGATTCGTCTATGTGATACCTAGGTTACCTGACTACGAAAAATGATTCACAAAATTATGCTTTACAACACAAATTAAAATAAATATGACTTGCATGACCACCTGGGAAGACCATGACAAATGATTTTGAAATCTTTTTTTTCATGACAAAACATATAGCTCAAGAAATAGAAAATCTTCATTGCCAACTTCTCCTGATTAAGCATCATCGAGACAAGTCATCATGCATGTGGTTGGCTAAGTAGTTTGGTGAATAAAATCAAGAGTAATATTCATTGAGAATGAATTTATCTTGCACGTTATTACCCCCAAATATTATACCCCCGTCATAAGGCATATATATATATATTTGTCCTAGAGCAGAATTAGTGGACATAAACTCGTAGAAAAATAACGATTCTGAAAAGAATTGAACTGGAACTGTTCAAGTATTTTGTATCCATTAAAACATCTGAATATGGTCAGCATTAAAGTAATATACTATGGTTTGAATTGTGTTTGTACGTGAGCTGTTTCAAAAAGAAAGATGAATGCCCAATCATGGCAGTTAGCTGATGGTCAGTTCTACAAATTATTTACTAGGCCCGTGAAAGAGATCTTTATCAAGAGATATTTAGAAGTCGTTCAAAATGATGTAAACTTCAATAAAGTTGACAAGCTTTGTGCGATGCTGTGATAAAGAGTAGAATATTCATGACAGGTGGTTAAGACGAAATGTGATGTAGTTTCTATAACTCATGTCACAGCCAGTGGTAGTAAGTTGAACATTTTTCTTTCATATAGCCTAAGACTCGTTTTAAACTCAGCCTTGATATTAGCTTCTTGTAAAAAAGAGTCATTCTACTTATGCATTTCATTCATCTATATAATCACCCTCAATCAAATACCTTTTCTTTCAATAAACCTGGGTCACGCCTTTCAGATCGGTGAAGGTGAGAAAATTGTGACAGTTATCTTGCTTCAAGGAGATCGAGTAAACGTTAGAATACAAGTAGGTACAATCCAAACAATGAAAGGTGTTGTTTGTTGTTATACACAAGGGTAAATATAATCTAGCTGGGAGACTAACATACACAGTGATCTCTGCATAAAAAATAAGCTGATGTATTATAGATCATTGGATCAACAATATATTAGTTTCAAATGTTTCAATTTTCGTCTTTCTTTTAGAAAAATGCGATCGGGCAAGAGTTGTTCAATCACGTTGTCAAACACATCGGACTCCGAGAAACTTGGTATTTCGGTCTTATGTTCATCAAAGGTATTCATTTTTCAACTGGAACAAAGTTCATAAATTATAACACTCTTAATCTTAGTCTTGACAATTATTTTCAGACTCAGAACAAGTTTTCTTCAACTTGGATGACAGGGTGTCGAAATTAGCAAAATTCGCTCCGAATCTTTGGCGAGATGATGTGAGCAACGAAGTCTGATCTTGAACGGTGTAATCAAAGATTGTGTGTTTGATACTAAACATAGCGTCTGAAATAATCTCTTCATGTTTTTAGAGCTCACGTAATTCATCTCTCACGTTTACAATGTTTTTCCGTGTCAAATATTATGTCGAGAATATTTGCCTGCTAAGGTGTGTCCTTCCAAAACTCTTTACAGCTTCGTAATTATATTCATTATACAGAGGTCTTAGTGTAAATATATCTGATGCTAGGGACAAACTAAAGCCGAATATTTCTTTGTAGAGAGCAGACGACGCGACATCTATACTATCTTCAACTAAGACGAGATGTATTGGATGGGAATGTTTACGTTCACGAAGAGACAGCCTTACTACTTGCTTCGTACGCTCTACAAGCTGAGATCAATGATCACAACGCAGGCGGACCAAGCTCTTTGTATTTTGCTCCTGAGAAGTACTTACCTCAGAGGGTAGGTGAATTAAGCCTCGTGCATGAGGACAACGTCTATAATGTCAGTAACACGCACGTTCATATAAGCAAAAGAAACAATGCCCTACCTTTTTATGCAGGCCATTATGAAATTGACTCCTGAACAAATACGTCATCAACTTCCCAAGATGCATCACTCTCATCGTGGATTGTCAGATGCTCAGGCAGAAATCGAGTTTTTAAAAGTAAATTATCTCCTATAATGGAATATTAGAATATTCAATCAGGGTACTTTTTAACTGCGGCTAATGTTAGCGGGATCTTTACAGGAGGCTCAGAAACTACAGGAATACGGGGTCTTATTCCATAAAGTTTCCAAGGTTGGTAAACACTATTACATGTTTCCCTATTTTACTGTGCCTAAGAGAAGTTGCGTTGATGAAAATTTATATTTGTAGTACAAGAAAGATAAGCGTGGAGGATTCAGTCTTGGAATATGTGTTCGAGGAATGCTTGTCTATGAGGTAAGGGCCTCGGAAGAACTCAATGACTTTAATAAATCACATTGTAGAAACATTTGAATATCGAAATATATTTTAGGAGCGCGGGTTCATGAAATCACCGATCTTTCGTCATCCCTGGCAACATATAAAAAGGATGGCATTTCACGTGAGTAAACGGTAGCTTGAGAGTTACGGTAGCTTGAGAGTTACGGTTCTTAACTATGTTTAGAATTGATACAAATATATTATTTATGAATTATAGAAACGCAGATTTTTCATCGAGGCTCAGGGAACAAAGGAGACTGAAAAGATCACCTTGTTCACAAGTGGATACAAACAGTAAGAAACCACATTTCTTGGAAAGAGAAGTTTAATAAGGTCTCTAATTATAATAATTTTTTATGTTGCAGATCTAGATATCTCCTGCGCATGTGCACTGACTTCTACAAGTTTCAGTGTACGATGGAGTCCAGTTTAACTGATCTCAGAGATAATCGTTCTGTTGATAGTAAGCAATATAGAGTAACACACGGACTCATAAGAATTATCAACTTAAATTTTTGTTGTATTTTTTCATTCTCTCTTGCAGCTCCTACGAATTGTGTTGGAACAACAAGCAATGGGATAGAACAAGACTCGTTGTAGTAGCCAGGCGAATGGCTCTGCCGTTAACCATCTCACGGTATGACCATAATGCTGTGCATAATTACCTAAACATTGCGTTTGTCTAATTTCATTTATTCTTTTCTGTTAGAGTAACAATTATCAAATAGAACTGAACAAAGTGAACGGAAGTTTTGGATTCAATGTCATGGTAAAGAACCGCAAGTTGAGCTCATTCTTCATGAAAGTTCTGGTAATTTTTTTATTTACTTTTCCACAGGGAGGTGTTGAGGAAGGGGGAATTTTTCTTAAGTCAGTCACACCAAATGGTCCTGCATCAAAATCTGGAAGAATGCTCGTGGGTGAGTGGTGTAAACGTTCTAATTCATATTCAACTAAAATGATTACCATCCTTACATTTTGTTGACACATTCTATCAACAATTAGCCTTTGCTCCAAACGTGCAAGTTCTGATCACGGTTTTTGGTTTATCTATCCATAGAAGACCACATTACAATCCGAACTATGCAGAGTCATCAATGCATTGTCAAATAGGATTAATCAATAGTATTTCATACTCTTGTTAAGGTGACAAGCTCTTAGAGATTAATGGAAAATCAATCGGAGATAAAAGTAGACAAGAGGTAAAATGAATGAACAAAAACGAAATAGTAAACATAAGAACGGAATCCTTGGATTAAGATCTGCAAGTAATTCATGAAATTATTAATGATTTGGGATCTTAACGACAAACAAAATTATCATAATTGCAAGACCACAAGAATGCACCCTCGTAGGCGATAAGTCATTAGGCAGTAAGTTGTTATAGTAAACTTCATGCCTCGTTGGAAATTAGTATAAACTTTTAATCTCTGTCCATATCCATACGATCTTTCAAGACTATCAAGACCTTTGTGAGGTCCTTACGCCGACGATTTAACTAAATTTCGTTACATGACCTACTGTTTATAAAGTTGAAGTGACTTCTTCATCTCATCACTTCATCAGGTAGTTCAATTATTGCGTAGTGGACCAGCGTCAGTCACGCTAAAGATGCAAACAGGAGATGCCTCGTCTCTTTCTTCCATTGCTTCACGGCACCGCACCAGCACGTCAAGCGAACAGCTACCTTTGACTTTCAGAAATATTAATAACATGAAAAGATCAGAGAAAGATGCTCCGGTAAGAGTTGTCGTTTTCTCTTAAGTCTTGTCCTCTTCATTTTTATCAAGGAAATGCGACTCCGTGTCTTGCATGTGATAGTCACATTTTTATAATGGTATATATTCTCTTTTAACAGATTTGTTTGACGATAGAATTGCCAAAACTTAACGGCAGTTTTGGGATCAGTTTAACGGTAGAAGTTAATTTATTTTTAATGAATTGACTTGCATAATAAATTAACGGAATTAATCTCACAAAGATATCCAGCCATTTTAAGTAAATCACTCACTGATATAATTGATATCATTGCAGGGAGGTCCAGAAATCGGTGGGATATTTGTCAAAACTTTACTTCCTGGCGGAGCTGCCGAACAAAGTGGCTCAATTCTCGTCGGTACGACCACAGATCATGTCAATTTACACTCATATCAATTTCTTCTTTAAACTTCATTTGTAACCTTACAATCAATTCTATTTTCAGGAGATCGGGTTTTGGAAATCAATGGGAAAAACTTAGAGCAATATAACAGAAAACAGGTGATAAAACACATTTTCTTACCGTGGTTCGTCTGAAATCACACAATTCAATATTTTCTAATGATTCATTTCCAACACCAATCTTGTGTTCAGGCCGCACAGTTATTACGAGCATCACCAGCTACTGTTAGGATCATTCTTGAACGGTACAAAGGCGCCGGAGCTCAACTGGACGAAAAAGCGATGTCAATTGAACAGGATATATTAAAATCATCAGTATGTTCTTATCTTCAACTCTATGATATATCTGAGAGACTTTATAAAGTTTCCCGTGTTAAATTCATGAACGAGTTCATTGTTGAAAGTATTCTGCGTTGATACTTTATTTTTCACTTCTTAGCCGACCAACATTCTTGTTGAGATTCAAAAACAACAACAAAGTCTGGGTCTGAGTGTTGTGGTAAGAGGATTTCTGATTATCTTTAATGTTTTATTTTTTCCACTCGAGAGTTTGTGGTTCAAAATGGCTGATAATTAATCATGAAAGACTTTTCAAAAAAACTGGCATTTACCGGCAACTTCAATGTGTTTGGCTAATTTCATAACATCGCTCATCTATATTACTTCCATTGTTCTTCCAGGGTGGGGTTGAACTCGGGGGAATTTACGTGAGAACACTGAATCCAAATGGCGCTGCTGCAGCTGATGGACAAATATCTGTTGGTAAGAAACTTGTTTCAACGGTGCTTAAACGCAAGTAATTAAACGTACATATTCTCATATAATAGGTGACCGTATTTTGTGTGTGAACGCAGTGAGTCTTATCGGAGCAAGTAGACAAGAGGTGGGTGACTTTATCAAGTCTCTTCTGGTCATAGCATAATGAAAAAGGTTGTTTTAAGAGACATACAATGGACTCTATATGTTTCAGGCTGTCGATGTGATGCGCAGTGCAGGAAGGACAGTGAGAATGGTGGTTGATAAATGTGAACCATCTCATGATGCAATGTCAGATTCAATGATCAGTTTCCAAAGCTTACAAACTCTTGGTAAACTAAAAATAACTCCTGTATTTATCTGAGTTGTGAAAGAAAATGATGCATTCTATCTTTCTTGCAGAGGAGTTGGACAAACCGTTTGAAGTGATACTTTATAAACAAGACTCTGGTCTGGGGATGCGTCTTGTTGGTGGAGGTCAACATGGTACGAATCTCTCCCCCCTGCATTAACCATTCGTTTGCTCATCTATTATATATTGTTAGGTCCAATATGCATAAAAACTCTAATCCCGGGGGGACCTTCAGCAGACTGCGGTGCCTTGGAAGTAGGAGACATCTTATTACAAGTAAGTGTGTAAATATGAAATATTTTCGTAGATCATTTCTACTAAAGGAAATGCGCTTAACCGGAGATTTTCTTCTTCGTTTTCAGGTGAATGGAAATAGCTTGGAGCGACTAACGTACAAGGTATAGCTACGTTTTCTGAACAATTTTCTGAAACTTCTTTCTTGATTCTTCATTTTTCCTATATTTTTTCTTTGCTATCAGGATGCTCTGTCGATCTTACGATGTTGTCCACCTGAAGTTCGTCTTCTTGTTCAGAGACCAAGGACATCTCTTCTTCATAACAGTTACAATGAGCCATGAGACAGACAGCTCAATTATCATTTCAAATCTTCTAAATTCATTCCAAGTTATCACTGCACTAAGTACTTAGTTCTCCCAAAGTGAACAATACCAAACATCTAACACTTTTTGCCAAAATTTTTTTGTGGTTCAACTGAGGGTTATAGAGTAATGATAGCAGCTTTTTAAGATATTGATTACTATACAGCACATAAATTGTTTATTTCATGTGTTAAATTGGTTATATAGCTAGGCTTAGGATGGCATTATCCATGACATTAAAATTAGTATATATGTATATATATATTGCTATTCATGGTGTAGATCTGTCTAGGGGATTTTTATACAGCTTTTAATTACTGAGGCAAATAATTTCTACCATGTCATCAACAAATTTAATGGAATAAAATCATCATTTTGTTTGATTTTGTAATTGTAGTAATTGGTGTAATTCTTAGAATTTCTGCCAAGACTTATTCAGGTGGTAATGCTCCTTTTACAAGAATTATATTCCCATATAAAGCTGTTTCTCTAAAAGTGAAATGCAAAAACTGCCATCAGAGGAATCACATTTGCTTCCCAGGGAAATATCTGATTGCAAAACCAGAATTTTGACATTATCGACTTTGAGATGTACAAACTTGTACAAAATGTTTCAGCTTTTAATAAAGATGAAACTAAAATAACTTACCCAGTAGCTACAACGGCGAAAGATTTTTTTGCTCTTTCATAAAAAGCAAATCTTTCAATTGTCCCAACCGAAATCTAAATAAGAAAATGATTGTCTGTTGTGGAACTGATCAATGGGGCAGAAAGAAGAAAAATATAGCAGGATAAACTTTACCCACCTCATGGCCTTCAGCTTTGTTTATTTTTTGCTTGTAATCACCCCAAATGGTTGGTGATTTCATTCCTTTTTGAACATCACTTGGTGTGACTTCCATTAAAAGTGCCTAAAGTTTTGACACAACTGATCATTGAGATATTCATCAAGAGTTTAATAATGAAATGCCAGGTAATTATTGCAGAAATCAGTGAATAGAGAGATTGGCGAGAGAGCCAACGTACTGGTGACGGAACATAGGTGTCCAAAGGAAAAAACTTTAATATTGCTTCGAGCAACTCTGGAATACCATGACCTGAAAATTTGATGATAAATTTGAGATTTACACAATTTCGTGTCCACCATGGACTGGATATACTATGCCATGGATAAAAAGATGAAAAAGGAGATAATTTACCATCAGCTCGTATCTCTTCTGGTCCATTGTTGCAAATTGAACTTGATGGAAAATTTGCATCAGCTAAAACTGTTCAAGAATATTGTTTTGTGAGCAGAAAAATGGCTTCCAATAATAACTATCAGCACATGTTTGCAAAACGTACCCAGCTCGTCGCCATGACCCATGCGAGACATGGCATATAGCAATTGAGGTGATAAAATACGTGGAACCCCTTTCAAAACCACCATCTTGAATACTTGATGAAGATATCTCTTGCCCCCCTGAAACCACATGGTGGAACAAACTTTATATATTAACCTTTGCATCTTCTCAGGGGGGAGATTTGAGATATTGAAACCCATTCAGTACTCCAGGTAACTTTATTAGAAATCGAAAATTGCAATAATATATAATCGGCAAGAAAATAAAATACTTGTTTGCAAATCTTTAATCCTTTTGATTGTATTCTCTAATTAATTTATAAATTACTCTTCTATAAATAATCATTATTCTAATTAATATCAAATCGATAATTAAGTTACTTTACAAATTTCCTATCAAATTCTGTACAAAAAATAACGATGATGATAATCTAATGTCAGTTCGATGTCATATTTGTTTAATTTATATTTATAAATGAAATTGAACTGACTACAGATATGCTGCCTCTTTCACACCAAAGACCTCACCTCTGTCACCTCCATAAGTTGCAATATGTTGATGGTACGACTGTGGTTTAGCTACTGGTAAGTTGGGACAACTGTAGTTTAGATCTAGGCTAGCTAGGGTAAGGCTAAACCACAGCTATTATACCCCGACCTATTGCAAACTGTCATGCTGCTGATGAGATGAGTGCTTCAGTGCTTCATACAGCAACCTTATTCTCGTTCCAAAACTGTCAGCTTCTGAAATCGATCATCAGATATCTGATATTTAAAAAAACCCTACATTTATAGCAGAAACCCCTGAACAAAAGCATCATTCATTAGATCACTTTCAAAGAATTGCTATTTATAGTGTCGGGGATAGCTACATTTTCTAGAGACACCGCAGATGCAGTAAAGGTAAATGACACAGAATACGTCTTGTTCGCATCAACCATTAAATACATTGGATCAGTTTCATTGTGAGCCCTCTGTACCACTGCACGTATCACCGCAGCAGGAACTCTCGCTTCACGATCGTTTGATGGCGTGTACATACTCAATATCTTCTGGACCTGAAAAAGAAAGAAAAACTCCGCATGCTGACTGACTGGATGATGGTTAGTGTACTACCAGCTATGGATATTTGTTCAGTATGAAGAGAGATATCCAGATAGCAGGTTCATCTTTGGTAGTAACGTTAATTGAATAAGACTGAATAGTCCTCACTCGAATTCTTGAAGAGAGACTTTACCTGCAACGTGTTTAGAGAACTGCAAACTTCACAAATTGCGTCCACATCGTCCAACGTACTCTTGCTTACTTGAAGTAATTGTGTAGCTTGGATAATACACTTTAGTCCTTCTAGTATATTACCGCTGTCGAGTTGGTTAATTCTCACCCAATCTTCTAATACACTCAAATTAAACCTTAAGAAACAACAAATGTCGTTAGGACTGACTAAAGGAATCTTTCATCTTTGTAACTGAGGTCAGAATCTTGTGAATGTATGGAGTTGTCTCTTTGTCCCAGAGTGGAAAGTAGGTTTATTCTACCAAACATGATCCCTGGTTACCTGGAAAAAAAGCCCCTAACTAGATATGGTACGAAATTGAATTTGCTCTTCCTACCTGATCTGCATGCCCCTGGACCAATGACACATATCTTTCCGAAGGAGAATGTTGTTTAACATTGAGGCACCAATAAAATGAAAGATCTTAATGAAAGTAAAAGAAGTTTATCCTCACTGTAGATTTCATCTGATTCAACAAAGAAATTTTTGTCTAATTAAATGTCTCTTAATCCCAACATGACTTACTTGTCTAAATACTTGCTTTATGATGTCTGGATCAACACAATGTGTATTCAAAATTGCCAACACATAAGATAACTGAAGACGAAGAAGAAACATAATATCAGAAATACTCGTGTTTAGTTTAGCAATGATGCATGTGAAACTTACATATTTTGTGATCGTCTTCACGGTAATGTCTTCATTCTTGCTTCGAGTTCTCTGTCGCATGTTCGTTCTGCCAAACGGTTTGGAACTAGACACTGCAGGAATCGACTCAAACTCCAGTAGACCAGGAACTAAAATAAGAGAATATCACACTTTAACCATCCCAGGCCAAGTATATATCCTTCATCATCACCGTTTACCACAACATCATCACCAAACGTACCAATATATCCTTGGATAGACTCTCTAATTGCAGTCAAGATATCATTATAAATATGAACGGCAAGATCATCCAGCAACTGCCGATATTCTGTGAGATCAAAATTCTTCAAACAATGTTCATTCTGTTCTGGTGTGTTGTGTGTTTGAAATGCCTTGAAAAAATAAGAATGGTAGCTCAGATTGTGCTTCAAAACAACGATAATTCTTCCTCAAACAAATATCCACGGACGGAGCAGTCCACTAGAAATAGTTTGGATTACTTTCAGTAGTTACAGACGACCAGAAATAAGAAGTTTCTCAAGTTGTGTCTTATACCTTGTCCCCACTGTATTGCTTCAAATCATGTAATAAACGACAAGTATTCGACAGCCAGAAAACCAAAACATCCAAATCATTCGGAGATTTCTAGGAACATGAATATTCTCAGTCACAACAAAGGTTGACGAGTGTCAAAGTTCACAGTCCATCGTTACCTTGGTGACAACACCGATAGCACTAATAGCTGACGTCAGCAAGGTCTGCAACTTTTCATCATCGTTCACGTGATCACAGTAACGTACGCACATGAAGAGAAGGTGTGCGGGAAGTCCTGGAATCTGGTCTGACACGTGACCAGGTGACAAGTCATGAATGAGTTGTTTTACGATCAAATCAACATCGGATATGGCAAACTCGATCATTCCTCGTTTCTTGCCTTCCTCAGGAACTGTTGCTTCACCCTAATGAATCAGTGAATGAAATATATTCAAAATGAAAGACTAGACAAATTGGTTACAGCAGCGTCATTGGTGCCAGGAATATCATTAAAACCTGCTCACCGAATCTTTTGGATTCTTTCGCAATAAACCAGCAAAGTTCATCATCTGTAAGACATAGAAATACTCACTTTATTGGCGAAAGAGACTTCAAAATGATGAATGACTTTAATACCTACCACTCTACCGGCGATAGGGTCCAGGGAACTTCTATGACCGGAGCTTGTTCTTCTTCTCAACTCGGCCTCCGCTGTGAAGACAAAGAGATAAGATTAGAAAACATCTCGTTGTTTTTCAGTCACAAACAGGATCTTTGAAAATCACTAGTAAATCTTTAATAACCTTTATTCCACGAGGTTGCTCTCTTACGGAAATTCTCATGTTCGCTTTTAGCTAACGTGTTTTGTTGCTGATTTTTCATTCGTTCTTCGAGCTTCTCTATTTGTTCTTTCAAGTCCTAGAGACAAACGAATGCCTGCATTATTAAAAAGCCAAAGACCTGATGCGAATTCATGTTCACTTGCACTCTCATACTTTGATTTAAGAAAAAGTCTTCAAACAGCTTACCAAATTTTCCTCAACCAATCTGGATATTTCTGATTGTACATCAGCAGTGATTGAATGATTTTCTCCGTGAATCTAAAGAAATGCCAGATTATGAGAGCAAGCACACATAAAGTGTGGACTAGAGCAAGATCAGAAAACATACTTTCTCTAATTTCAGCTTTGCGAGTTCATTCCATAAGTTTTCATGCGCCGTTTGCATATCAGTTTCTTTAGCTAACAAATCCTGCAATTCTCGTTGTAGAACCTCGTTTGCTTGTTCAAAAAAACACTGGCTTTGAAGGATATAGGCGCTTATATCAGGAGATACGTTTCATCTTATCTCCACGTCGGTCAAATCCTTCGTCACGGAAGCAAAACGAATAAGCTCTGAGCGAAATTTCTGATATTCCTGTTTATAATCGTCTCTCTCTTTAGTAAGTTTAGTGATATTATCATCTTTTATTGCGATTATTGAATCGCTCATGTCTTTTTCTGACACCGAGTCACGTCTGTTCACTATTTCACGGAAAATATTCAACTCGGTGTTAAGTTTATTATTTTCTTTTGTTAAAGACTTGATATCCGGTGAATGAACGACTTTTTTCGGGCTATTTTTCGTTTCCAGATCATTTTCTTGATTATTGCGTGGCAGTTCTATTGTTGGAATTTCATTGGTTGACCTGGAGTTCATCTCCAGTTCTCTAATGCGTTGTTTAAGTTCAGAAATAAGAGCATCTTCTTGTTTCATCTTTGGTGATTTTGTGCTCGAGACGTTCTCATCATTTTCTACCAAAATGAAGAAACATTCATTAGTAATAAAGCAACGAGTTGTAATATTTATCCAAAGATATCTAAGCTACTCTCAACACACCTTTCATGGGATCTTTGTTAGGACTCACAGTTGGACTTTGTAAAATTTCCACTTCATCCTGAAGATTTTCATATCTTTGTTGTAATCTATTGTAATCTTTCAAAATACGTTGATGATGCGATCTCTCAGCTTCAATCTCGGCCATGAGTTGACTTTTTTCAGCATCAAACTGCGCTCGCATTTCATCTAAAATATCCAATTTAAAGATAGAATTAGAGGGGTTCAACTGTCAGTGTTTTTTCCGGAGAAATTCTGTTCTGGGTTTCTTACAAAATCCCGCGCCCAAAACAGAACGTCTTTCATCACAGCGAAGTCATATTTCCTCGTGCATTAAAGGAGGGAAACGATGTTCAAACCTTCTTTATCCTTGGCACTCTTTTCTTTTTTATCCTCCAAATTTTTCAAGTCGTCCTTCAACTTGACAATTTCCCAACGTAAGACTTCACTCGCCTTAACGATGACATTAAAAACATACTCAGGACACCTTAACATCACACTGAACGCGCGAGTGACGTCACCACACAGAGCTATATATATATATGGAACGAGAGATGGCAGCTGGAGTGTGTACAGCTTATGTAACAACCTACCTCTTCAATTTCATCTTTCTCTTCATTTGCCTTCTGCAGAATTTCATCTTTTTCAGCTGACATCTTAGCCAGTTGTTGTTTCAATTCACTTATAACTTTCTCGTATTCAACAATCGTAGCAGTTGCTGTCTGATAATCCATCTTCCACATCTTAGCGGCGTCTAGCTCAAGCCTGAGGTCACCAATCTCCTGTAGTTTAGAATTCAGTTCTTCGTTCTTACGGATCTGGAGAAAACGGAAAAGGGAAATCAATAACCTAATTAACGGCACGTTTCCATGCGGTGAAAATTCCTCTGCCTCCCGAAGGTCATGTATAGTCAGTCATTGAGTGAATGAAAATCATTCTTACTTCGCTAGTAAGCTTCTGTTGTAAGGAAATAATCTTATTTTCCATTCCACGGTTGAGATTTTTGTAATGTTCCACAGATCTTGCTTCAATCTGAGAAAAAGCGCAGAAAAGCAAATAGAATCAAAAGTTATGCTTGAGATTCATATTCCAAGAAGTCGTACTCCAAAACACACCTTAAGTTTCTTGAGCTCCCTCTGCGCAATTAGTCTTCTTATGCAACACTGTATCAATATAATCTTTTTACGTTTGGCGATGAATGTACGACGAGCGAGGAAGACCCGAACAGCTCGCTGAAGCACGATCGCTTTGGCTTCGTAAAGTAATCGTTTCTTCAACAACCGCGCCTGTCTGCCACGGTACTGGGACTGAATGACCAGTGTAGCATACCGCACGCGCTGGTAACGACTTCGGGCTTTGTGACATCGCCAAGCTGTTTGTAAAGTGATAGCTGCCTTTGTGCGACGAAGATGATGAGCAAGTCTATAAGAAACGCATGATAACTTCTTAGTCCATAAACAATGATATTTTGCTACATTATAGTATATTAATATTTTTACCTTCGTGCTTGATGACCTCGTGCCCAGGCCTGTAGTACAATAGCAGCATTTCTCATCTTCACATATTTCTTTCTAACTTGCCAACACCGCACCGTCTTCTGAATCATAACACAACTCTCATACATCTTGTCTCCTCGAAGTTTCTCCAGGTATGCCACCTTAACAAAGAGATACTTATCACAACAACTCATATAGTGATGGAAATTAAAAAATTAGAATTTGGATAAAATCTTCAATCACATTGAAGTCAGCGCTACTAACCTGACCAGCTCTGAAGAATATTTTAGTTTTACCGAACTGATACTTGTCTGGATCCTAACGATAAGAAAGAAAATGAAAGATTCTTCTGTCATTTGGTTCATACCAAGTCTCAAACGTTCTTTCAATAAACTCAAATAACAAACAGACCACAAAAGAAATTCTTTGACACCCAGATTGGAAAACATTACTTACATTTAACAAAGTATTTAAAATGTCTTCACAGCTCAATCTGAGGTCATTCTTTTTAATCCTGCTCCACTTTACTAACATTCGATATCGATAAAAGAAATCCACATACGACCATCTTGAGGGATAACCAGCAGCACTGATTTTAATCGTCTCTAGAACACCACACGCTCTTAATTGTTGCATTGCTCGCTTTGGTTCAAAAGTGAAAGCCTTCTTTTCGTCATTTGGTTTAATGCAACGAACGTAATGAGGTGTGGTAGAATTGAGTGTCTCCATCAATTTGGTAAGCGAGTCACGAAACTAGAAGAGAGTTATAATTGGTAAAGATACGTCGCCCTGGTATAAAGGTCTGTCTGGTAAACTGTACCTACCTGTGAGCCGACAGTCTTCTTTGCAGCCGATGCTGTTTTAGTTGCTTTTAAATTCGCGCGCTTCCGTTGTGCTGGAACGGTTGTTTTTTGTTCTGTAAATAATTCTCCAACAAAACTGTGCTAAAAATAAAATAACTCAAAATTAGCAACTCTGAATTCGTAGGGGATTCGCAAGGAAAGTCTCGATACCTCGCTTGCTTTCAACAGTAAAATATGTTCTTCATTCACGTTGTCTCTGTTCTTCTCCAAGAAACCCTCGCTATCATACGTCACAGTATCAGCAAAGTGCACAACTAAAAACGCCATTTCTGACATGCGTGGCTTCTCAAAATGAACGTTAGGTTTCTTCTTTATATGTTCTTGGTAAAGCTTACGAGTCCAGTTTGCATCCGAGCCTTTTGTCAACTAAACAACGTTTTCAGACGCAAGTTGAATGCCAACGATTATTGTTTCATATTCCTAAAATGCTCAAACATCTCTTGCATGAAAAGCAATTCATTCAATTACCTTGCACTCCTCATCAAGAAGGTCTAAGATGCCGAGTTTTCCTTCAATGAGATCAATGCATGGTTGATTGTCGTAATACCTGATAAATGACCAGTCAATTTCTTCTCTTACATATTCCTCTTGTTCCAATTTAAACACATGCTGCGATGAAAAAATAAGAAAAGATTTGTTTTGGCAGTGCAGTCTTTCAGAAAGAAAATCCCAACACCAGGACCAAACCTCGTTCCCAGGGTAAATATCGTCACTTACCATTGTGAATTGTTGTTGAAGTTTTTCGTTCGCGTAATTAATACAAAATTGTTCGAAACTGTTCACCTCAAATGTTTCAAAACTAGAAAATATGGAATTGTACTTTGGATATTCAAATTGCAGTAGAAGAAATGTGTGAATGCCTAATTTTACACTACTGGCAGAGGTTATCCTTGCTTACCCATATATATCCAATACTCCAATAAATGAGTGAACTTTTTTCTGATCCAAAGGCATCAAAGCTTTGTTAATACTTGCAACAATGAAGTTGAATATTTGAGCATATATGTGCTTGGATAGAGCTTCTTTTGCAACAGTTGCCTAAAGAAACAATACCCAAACATTTATTATCATGAATGTAGATCATGCATGTGTTAGGTCTATCAAAAAGGATTTTGATAAACATACTTGTTGCAGGTTGAGATTTCCGATCACAATTTCTCTATGTGCAACAATTTTCCTAAAGCAAAGCCATTTCTGGAACTGAGCTCGATCAATTCCAAGGAGAAAAGCAGCTATAGCTAAGTGGAAGTCATCATTCTAGAAAGAAGGAGGCAATGTATGCAATCATAATTCACATCTCAAAGACTTGGGAACCAACAGTACACTCACATCTATACAAGTGCCTTCACGTCCATCATCTTCTTCAATGTTTATGTTCCCCAAATGCAAGATAGCAGCAAGAACTTGAAATATTTTTGCCTGTTCATCCTGATGTACTCCCAGCAGGTCAAAAGCTTCACATGTTTCTTCAAACAGTTCGGAATCATCAACACCATTTATACAAGGATTCCCACCTTGGTTCAGGTAGAGAAAATCATCTGGGTGGCCTGAAAAAAAACAAAACATTGTCTATAATAATTGACGTCTAGCAAAGAAATATATATTTCTAAAATTAAATTAATGTCATCAAGGAATGTAAGGCTTCATCATCTAGAGGAAAAGAGACATCAAAAAACAACATATTTTACCCAGTCGTAGATTAGTGAATTTTGGTTCCTCCGAATGGGCACACAGTTGATAAAAGATGTGATAATTTCTTTCATCAGAGGCTTGGAACACCACACGTGATTTTTCCAAGAGATAAGTCCGAATATGTGCTCCAATGATATGATGATTTTGGTTGAAGTTAATCTCAAGATACTTCCCAAATCTACTGCTATTGTTATTACGTATTGTCTTTGCATTACCAAATGCCTGGAAATAGACAATTAAATCATAGATTAAGGTATAATTGAACACTCATATACTAGACTAACTACTAGAGCAAAACTCTCACCTCCATAACAGGATTTGAAGCAAGTACTTTTTTCTCAATATGTGTTTCAGATTCAGAGCCTCCAACAGCAGCAAAATATCTCATGGCATACTTTGCACTCACAGTCTTACCAGCTCCACTTTCTCCACTTACAATTATAGATTGATTTTGTTCTTCTCTATAGGAAATAACCAGTTTGATAAACAATCAGCATGTGTCCTATATTGTGCCTATATATGTTTCTCAGATGAATTAATTAACATTATTTTATGTGTTATTAATAATGAATACCTGCTCATAGTCCTGAATGCATCTTCAGCAACAGCAAAAATGTGAGGATCCATTTCCTCCATTGCAGCACCGTTGTATGCAGAGATTATATCGAAACCATAGAGAGGGATCTCTTCATAAGGATTGATAGCTACAAGAACTATACCTAATAATAACATAATATTGATTGATTAAATAATTATATTGTTGGTGAATAAAAACAAATGTTTAACAAATGAAATATTTTAACATATTATAACAGAATTCATTTTGTTCTTTACATCAATATCAAAAATTAAACCACATACCACAATAGGTATAGATTGTGTTGTATTCTTGAAATCTCATTTTTAAGTTGTGCAAAACTGAAATAATTAGGTCATAATTAGTACGTAGGGTGAGGACCAGATTGCCTTCATATTTGATTGATGATCACCTACCAGCTGGTTCGTGAAGATAGCTAAGTGTTGTCAAGTCATTTTCGCCAACCAAGACTTCAGGATTTCTTAATGGAGGTAAACCATTTTTCTCAACATCATAGGCTATGACCTAATGTAACAATTTTAGCTAATTAGTAAGAGAACAAGTCCTTATGCGACCTTTATGCAAGGTGATTGAGCACTGAAACAGGACAAAAGACTCAATCAAAAGCCTGGAATCTCCCCCTGCCCATGTACAATACTAAACAATACAATGTTATAGTCCAGCCTATAGTAAACACCTATTGACTTTTGTAACACATTAACATATTCCATCATAATAGAATACTTAAATTGAAACACCAAACAAAAAATATAAAGATAAGAAATTAAAATGCACAACACAAACAAATCATAATCGTACAAATTACCAACATAGAATATTTGCAACAACACTTTACCTAAATATTGTACATTCCTCATAATATAAACAAGTTCTTTATGACAAGTCAAGTGGGGGTTATAATATATTAAGGACACTTAGACACCCCAAAATATGCTAACTTCCGAAGTATTTTTAATTATATTTCAAGCATATTAAGCAATTTTGTTGGCAGAGACGAAGTTATTCGGTTTTAAAATACTCTTAAAACCTTATTATCAAACATACCTCTCCATCAACTGTTTGAATGCTTAGCAAACTGCTTTCAAGATCATGACAAACTTCCCCTGAAACCCAGACGTTTGTCTCATCAGGAAGCCAAACTCGAGCGCCCTATCCAACAAAGAATAAACATAAACACATATTTGCCCTTACGTGCCAATATAAAGTTGTCATTTCGATGAAAAATTAGTCTTCTTTTTCGTTACCTTAGTATATAATACTTGGGCGCTCATTTTAGCTTTTCTTCGGCGTTATATAAAAGCCCTTAGATTAAGCTAAGTGCAGAAAATTTCACCTATCAATTGTATCGTTCAAAATACAAATGAAAGGCTGCATATTTGAAATGCAAAATATTTATTCATTTAATAATCCTGGAAAATTTATCTAGCCTCGTTATCATGCTATCAGTTTTCCACCGGAAGTCAGTTTGCTGGACCAGCTGGGACCAATTGCTGGGACCTTGCTGGAAGACCTTCTCTAGAAAATCTTTAACACACCTTAGAATACCCCCTTTTAACTAGTTAGTGTTTGTGCATGTTAGTATTCTAGATTTTTAGTCAGAAAATTAAAAAATCAAGCCAGGTAACCCAAATTCTTGATACTTGGGATGGGGATATGTTAAACTTGTCACAAGATCGGAATTAATAAAAATGATAGACTAGTATTCACAGAATTCAAGAACTGCGAAAAAAGGGGCGTGCACTTAGTATATTTGTGAAACACTCGTAGACGAGTTGAGCTCTCTTAGGTTGGATTCCGTGCTATATATCTCAGTTGTATCGGAAACGTCGACACGATATTCATTTGTTATTTATCTTAAGGTAAGATTTGCTCGTATTAAATGGTTACAAGTGAGTAGCGACAAGATTATTTATTATTATATCTAGAGCAGCTAACCATCAGGCCGTTCCTCACCATGTTTACAAACACAGCACAATTCGGCAGTCGATAGAGTAGTATGGATTAATGCGGGGTTGTCATCTTTGGTAGTGATTGGAAAATATCTTCTGCTTTAAGTAAAATATGAAAGTTATCATCACGCAAAAATTGCATTCCCTACTTTGTTCTTAAGAGAAACGATTGTTATATTTGAATCCAGATAATTATCCTTGTTCGGACTAGGAGACGACACCATCAGTATCATCAGTGTTACAGCTGAACTATCCTCTATTCACTGTTGGTTTGTAAAAATTAACCGTAATAATTCTAGCTGGATAGTTTTTAGTTGTTTGAAAGTTTTGGAGAGCACAGCGTAAAATAATGCTGCAAGAATAGTGTGTACTAGAACGATAGTTTCCACCATGTTCTTTGTATTGCGTCGTCGTTTCTAGGGAAACATTGATGTAAGTGACTTCCGTCGACTGGTACTCGCTCATAATTATCAGTATCAAGTTATCTTGAGTTATTTGCAGGCGCGTCGTCCTGTTGAGCGCGTCGTAAAACATAAAATCATACAACCTTATTTGCTTGAAATATTTAAAGCTATAAACGTTACATTAATCATAGTAAACTTCTGAATAATAATACAAACATTTCAATATTGAGAATGCCTCACACGAAGGCGTCGGAATAGCAACGCTGTCGTTGAGCCATCACCAGTCATATGCAAGACTTGAGACGCCTGTGACGTTTCGTTGTTTTGCAAGCGCGTCGTTGAGCTGCATGGGCTGGTCGTAAACTGCATTATATAAGCAATTTTGAAATCGTCCCTGCACAATAGACCGTGCTCCCTCAAGACTGTCATATAACAGCCATTTGATAAAACGTCCAGAGAATTCGTATTTAGCGATCTATGTAACACAACCGCAATAACATAATCATTTTAATCTATTGTTTGAATATAAATTAAAACATTTGCATCTCCCTCAAACATTTGTTATTTGTGTGACACTCCACACAACATCACGGGATTCACGGCCGAAATACACACTATTTCTATGAAATAATGAAAATCACGCAGTGTTTCTATGAAATTGCACAATCACAACAGGCATAAAGTATATATCAACAAGTCTCTAGCTTTTGAAGTAAAAAATGGTATACCGTCATTTATTTATAACAGTTCCGAGCTGCTGAACGTATCAATTGAAAACATCGTTCAACTTCCTGATGCGATCAAAGATGTATCATTCTTGGCTTTCTATCATTGTTTTAACGTTGGTTGGTTTCCAGCACAGTTATGGTCAAGACACCCCAGATTACATATGCGGTGGTGAGGACGACAAGGACGGAAAATCTGTTTGTGAATGCAGCGAGTCCGTTTGCTATTTTAAACTGAATATTGAACACTTTCAGGTTAGACGTACCAGTATTTCGCCCGACCGTTTTTACTTTTTAAAGTCTCTTAATATGATCCAAGAAATTCTGAAGTATGGAATGTATATACATTCCAGACTTCAGAATTTCTTGGATCATTATCGGTTATTGATAAAGCAGTACTGCATTGGCTTCAGTTGATTTCTTGCCCCAATATTCATCACAAGTCATTGTTTTGTTCTTTCATATTTTGATCTTTCCAGACATTCACAGCCTACCTGAAAAATGCACCAATAGGTACTCGTGGTCGAGTTTTTTTTGTTAACGATGCGGGGCAACTTGAATCAACTTTGGAAGATAGTCCAACATCACCCTGCAATGACACAAGCAAGTGCACACAAGCTAACACTGTGGATGGAAAAAGCTATCGATCATTTATCGGTGTGAATAAAAGAATTCCTGGACCGACCATAATAGTTCCTGAGGGGGCTACTGTGGTTGTGGATGTCACCAACAATTTGTTCACAGAAGAAACATCAATCCACTGGCATGGTATGCATCAGAGAAACACACCTTGGATGGATGGAGTAGGCTTCATCACACAATGCCCTATCGAGGCTGGTTCGAGTTTTCGTTACATCTTTGAGGCAAAACCAGCCGGAACCTTTTGGTATCACTCCCACAGCGGTCCCCAAAGAACTGATGGTCTATTTGGAGCACTCATAGTTAAAGAGAAAAATCTGACCGAAGCATTCAGTGGTTATGGTTCGTTTCAAGATCTACCAGGACAACACACTCTATCTTTAATAGACTGGCAAAGAGAATCTTCCCTAGATCTATTTGTCCAAATCCATTCGTCACTAGGCTACTTTGAAGACACGGCAGTCGATGAGGTTCCAACACGACGTAATTCAAGGTAAGCAGTAGCTGGCACAGAATTTTACAGTTATATACTGTAGTGTGCGTCAGAACCACCAGAAAATATATATCTTGCGTAATCCCTGATACATTAAGTTATAATCACTTTTAAAAATGACAGTTCAACACAGGCAAACGTTTTTTAGGTACATGTCGACATGTTCACCAGACGCAGCCGAGGTCGGTCCAATTCCTTATTGGTCAGGAATCATCAATGGTCTTGGAAAACATAAAACAGTACCTTTTAAGAACTCTAAACTTAGCGCGTTTTACGTGAAACGTGGAGAAACATATCGTTTTAGGTTAATTGGTGCTCAGGCGAATTATGCTTACAAGTTTTATATCGGAGGTCATAAACTGCGTGTTATTGCGACAGATGGCTTTTTCATCGAACCAATTTCTGCGGATTTCCTGATAGTGAACACTGGAGAACGTTATGATTTCTTGTTAGAAGCTGATCAAACAAGTGGATCTGATTTTCTTATCAGAGCAGAAACCTTGGAAGTAAATTGCTTAAGTCTCGTGAAAGATGGAAAGTTAGACACGAATGATGCAATCGCTGCATTGAGCTACGGAGGATCTGTAAATATGACAGCCATCGAAGGAGCCTATATCGATGACTTTTCAAAACCACTTTGTATCGAGCAAGCTCCATGCACCATTGTCAACTGTCCCTTTGAAAGTTGGCCTGAACCTGGTTATAAATGTGTTAATGTCGACAAGTTTGTACTGTTGGTACCAACACAGCAAAACGAACTGCCTGTTTTCACACCAGAATGGAGCGCGGATGAAGCAACATTCTTCTTCAATTTTGGTTTTGATAGTATAGAACTGACGAGCACGGTAAACGGACGAAATTTTCTTGTTCCAAATATATCTCTACAAACAGAACCAAAATATAAAAGAGATGTGAGTTTATGTTCAAATGTGAGTAAACCCTGCGAAAAGAAAGATTGTCAGTGTACACAAATGTTGGAGATTGGAGATAAATTTTACAAGAAGCCAGTAAGGTAGGTTTTGAAGCGCTTCTGCCGGTGTGAAAAACTTATTATTTGATGCAATATGACACCTTGTTTTTGAAGTTTTCAAAATCCCTTGCAAACCTATATTATTTCTATGTCTACAGATTTGTGTTTTCATCCTTGAGTGCAGCAAACAACAGTAGATTTTCCCACCCCATTCATTTACATGGACACAGCTTTCACGTCGTCAAAGTTGGCTATGCTGAATATGACTCACAAGGAAGACTCGTGAGAGCGACCCAAGATTTGGATTGTGAAACACCCTGTACGCGGGCCCCGACATGGAAGGGAAACAAGCCTCCTGTTGGTATTCAGGCGCTGAACAGAACCGTGCGCAAGGATACGGTTATTGTCCCCTCAGGTGGTTATGTCGTGGTGGAATTTATCGCCGATAACCCCGGATATTGGTTCATGCATTGTCACATTGAACCTCATCAGTTGGAAGGTATGGCCTTGGTGATAAATGAAGTCGAGTCTCGCCAGAATCCTGCACCAAAAGGAATGGAAAGTTGTAGAAGTTTCACCTGGAGTGTGGAAGATTTCAACGAGAAACGTAATTGGGTTAGTCGCGCTTGTAAACCAGCTGTGAAATATCTGGTTTTGATCATACCGCTCATCGCACAATTCATGACATAAGAACTACATAAAAACGCTTAACTTTGACACTTGTTTTCACATAGTTTAGCTCCATTTATTACTAAAGTAGTACAAAGCTAATTGCATGCAAAATATTACTCTTATTCATTTTATATCATAAATACCAATAGTTTGAACCAATACTTTTAAGTATAAATACTTTTAAGATACACGTTGTTTTGAAATAATTCGTTTAATACATTAGTAACGCTGTAAAAAACGTTTAACGTGGATTCACACACAATATATAATGTATGAGTTACGTATATACATATATATGTATGTGGTAATAAAATGTCTCGTAGTTGGATAATACAAGAAAACAACTTGAATTCCTCGGTTTACTTAATCTGTGAAAAATTAGAAAAAAACTATTATTAAAAGTTTTTGATGGTAAATTTAACAAAGAGACGGATAATCTGATTCTATCTCTTGGGCGGTGCGTCAACTTCCCAAATCTTGCACCAGTAAGCCTTGTGTATAACCACTCTTTCGTGAACGATCTTTAATTTTGGAACCACGCTTTTGAGGCATGACATTTCCAAGCGACCACATGATTGACACGTGCAATCCATACTATTTCGTAACTCTTTTATGCATGGCTCTAGCCGTCTAGGCTCTTCTGCCACAATCCCCCAATGAGGAGGGAGAGTTGTAAAGTTGAAACTTTGTTTATCTGCACATAGGCTAATATACTTCGGTCTTTTAACCTTGTGTCTCATTGCAGGTTATCTAAGCAGCCGTCTAAACAATCTAATCACAGCCACAGGGAGTTTAATCTCTCCTTTCACATGGAATCATCAGTTTAAAATGCAAGTAAAAGTCAGCGTATTTAAAATGCATGCAAAATGTTCAATAATAGCTTAATTCTGGAAAATAAAAAATTCGCCAATGGCTTTTTTTCTACACCACCAACAATTAGAGGTTGGCGAAAGGATGCCATTTTCAGGCCTGATTGCCAAGTTTCCAGGAATTGTTCCTACTGGTAAGGACTAGTTTATACTTTGCATTTTGGTCGCGTCAAATGCATTTCAAACAATAGATAATAAGGTGGTTATAACGCGTGTTTGAGTCACAACTTCCGAGTCTCTCTTTTGTGCTTGAGTATATTTCAGATATTGCTGAGGAAGGTTCAACCAGGGAAAGAATACGAGCTCTAGTAAAGTGCCTCGGAGATCACACCAAAGATAAAAAAAGTATTAACAAGGTAAAGACCGGCATGTGTTATAAAGTGTAGGTATTTTACAAATCTAGGTTCTGTTGAATTAAATATAATTGTATACGTTAAGGTCATGATGCATGACGATAGTAGATAGTCAGTCGTATAAACGTTTCGATCGTGGTATCAATATTTGATGACCAGCTGCTATTGTAGCCTGTAGTTATAAAACAACTCTCGCGTTTCAGCTGCTTTCATACCGTTGAGCCAGAGCCGCCTCATTCGAAAACGCCTATAGAGAATGGCCACACTAGGAACACAAGTTGTTATACATGGCCTTTTGAGATATTGCTTTTGATCTGCAAGCGCGTCGTCAAACTGGGTGCGTCGCAAAACATAAAATCCCTATTTTTCTTGAAATATTGAAAGCTATAGTATAACTTTAGCTATATACGAGATATCAATCATGCTGCACTTTTGAATAATAATACAATACTATCAGTATCATCAGTGTTACGGCTGAACTATCCTCTATTCACTGTTGGTTTGTAAAAATTAACCGTAATAATTCTAGCTAGACAATTATTAGCTGTTTGAAAGTTTTGGAGAGCACAGCGTAAAATAGTGCTGCAAGAATAGTGTGTACTAAAACGAAAGTTTCCACCGAGATTTAATTCTTGGATTAGTATTCTTTGTATTGCGTGGTCGTTTCTAGGGAAACATTGATGTAAGCGACTTCCGTCGACTGGTACTCGCTCATAATTATCAATCCTCTCTTAATTCCTACTGATTATTCAGCGCTGTCGAGAGCAATGCATACATGCTTTATTTCAATGTTCACGAATAACACTGATATTCTGATGTGATTCTTCAATCCGAATTCTCTGGCTTTTACATTCTATAGCTAAAGTTGGACTTTAAATCTTCATCTTTGCAGCAATTTACACTAGCTACAAGATGTTGGCTCAAGGCTGCCATTTCCAGGTCTGATTGCAAGTTTCCAGGAATCGTTGCGTCGCGTCTTATGCATTTCAAACAATAGATAATGATTACATGAGTCACAACTTCCGAGTCTTACTGTTTGAGTTTATTTCATAGATATCACTGCGTGGGGAAGGTTCCACCCAAGTTGCAACGAGGAAAAAATACGAGCTCTAGTAAAGTGTTTCGGAGATCACACCAAAAAAAAAGATAAAAAAGTATTAACAAGGTAAAGACCTGCATGTATTATCAAGTGTATATCTATTTTATTAATTTATAGCTTCTTTGTATACGCAGTTAGGTCATGATGCATGACGCGTTATATAAAAACATGCAGTTTAATTCAGAACAGTAGTATCGTACGCTGAGTTATTATTGTTGATAGAGTAATGTGAAGAAGTTTGAAGTGAGTAGACCATACTTTAATCTGAAACTGAGGAAAAAGAACAAAGAGCTCCTTGAGTTGAACGTCATCACCCAACGCTCTGTCGACGTTTTTTTGACTCAAGTAAAACATCATCGGCCGCGGCATACTGCCAGCAGTATTATTTCAGTTCTGCATGTTTTGTTTGAAATAAGTTACGAGAGATTAATCATGCTGGACTTTTGAATAATCGCCGGCAGCATAAACGTTTCGCGATTGTTTTAGAAAACTCCAATGTCCATGCAGCTGCAGTTCCAATACGTTACAAAGCAACTCTCGCGTTGCAGCTGCTTTCTTGTTGTTCAGCCAAGCGCTGGAAAAATTAATGCCTCATTCGAAAACGCCTAAAAAATGGGAACACAAGACTGATTAATTGTTATGCGTATAGCGTTTTGAGATATTTTTTTTTGCAGCGCGTCGTCGAGTTGAGCGCGTCGTAAAACATAAATCATACAACCCTATTTTGCTTGAAATATTTAAAGCTAAATTAATCATAGTAGACTTCTGAATAATCATACAAACATTTCAATTGTGAGAATGTCTCACACGAAGGCGTCAGAATAGCAACGCTGTAGTTGGGCCACCAGTCATATACACCAGTCATACAGACTTGAGACGCCTGTGATGTTTCTTTGTTTTGCAAGCGCGTCATTGAGCTGCATTGGCTGGTCGACGGCGTCGTAAATCGTAAACTGCATTATATAAGCAATTTTGAAATCGTCCCTGCACATAGCCGTGCTCCCTCAAGGCTGTCATATAACAGCCATTTGATAAAAAGTCCAGGGAATTCGTATTTAGCGATCTATATAACACAGGCCGCAATAACATAATCATTTTAATCTATTGTTTGAATATAAATTAAAATATTTGCATCTCCCTCAAACATTTGTTATTTGTGTAACACTCCACACAACATCACGGGATTCACCGCCGAAATACACACTATTTCTATGAAATAATGAAAATCACGCAGTGTTTCTATGAAATTGCACAATCACAACAGGCATAAAGTATAAGCAACTATATATCAACATTGATATATCAACATTGAAGTCGCACTAGCTTTTGAAGTAAGAGATGAAGGTATAACATCATTTATTTGTAACAGTTCCGAGCTGCTGAACGTATCCATTGAAAACATCGTTCAACTTCCTGATGCGATCAAAGATGTATCATTCTTGGCTTTCTATCATTGTTTTATTGTTGGTTGGTCTTCAGTACAGTTATGGTCAAGACACTCCAGATTATTTATGCGGTGGTGAGGACGACAAGGATGGAAAATCTGAAGCGGAATGCAGCGAGTCCATTTGCTATTTTAAACTGAATATTGAACACTTTCAGGTTAGACGTACCAGTATTTCGCCCGACCATTTTTACTTTTTTAAAGTCTCTTCATATGATCCAAGTAATTCAATGTAGTCAGATATTGATAAAGCAGTTATTCATCACAAGTCATTGTTTAATTTGTTTTGTTCTTTCATATTTTGATCTTTCCAGACATTCACAGCCTACCTGAAAGACGCACCAATAGGCACTCGTGGTCGAGTTTTTTTTGTTAACGATTCGGGGCAACTTGAATCAACTTTAGAAGATAGTCCAACGTCACCCTGTAATGATACAAGCAAGTGCACACAAGCTAACACTGTAGATGGAAAAAGCTATCGATCATTTATCGGTGTGAATAAAAGAATTCCTGGACCGACCATAATAGTTCCTGAGGGAGCTACTGTGGTTGTGGATGTCACCAACAATTTGTTCACAGAAGAAACATCAATCCACTGGCATGGTATGCATCAGAGAAACACACCTTGGATGGATGGAGTAGGCTTCATCACACAATGCCCTATCGAGGCTGGTTCGAGTTTTCGTTACATCTTTGAGGCAACACCCGCTGGAACCTTTTGGTATCACTCCCACAGCGGTCCCCAAAGAACTGATGGTCTATTTGGAGCACTCATAGTTAAAGAGAAAAATCTGACCGAAGCATACAGTGGTTATGGTTCGTTTCAAGATCTACCAGGACAACACACTCTATCTTTAATGGACTGGCAGAGAGAATCTTCCCTAGATCTATTTGTCCAAATCCATTCGTCACTAGGCTACTTTGAAGACACGGCAGTCGATGAGGTTCCAACACGACGTAATTCAAGGTAAGGGTAGTGGACAGTATTTTACAGGTAGTGTGTGTCAAAACTGTATATCTTGCGTAATGCCTGACGCATTAAGTTATAATCACTTTTAAAAATGGCATTTCAATACAGAGAAACGTTTTTTTTAGGTACATGTCGACATGTTCACAAGACGCAGCTGAGGTCGGTCCAGTTCCTTATTGGTCTGGAATCATCAATGGTCTTGGAAAACATAAAACTGTACCTTTTAAGAACTCTAAACTTAGCGAGTTTTACGTGAGCCGTGGAAAAACATATCGTTTTAGGTTGATTGGTGCTCAGGCGAATTATGCTTACAAGTTTTATATCGGAGGGCATAAACTGCGTGTTATTGCGACAGATGGGTTTTTCATCGAACCAATTTCTGCGGATTTTCTGATAGTGAACACAGGTGAACGTTATGATTTCTTGTTAAAAGCTGATCAAACAAGTGGATCTGATTTTCTTATCAGAGCAGAAACCTTGGAAGTGAATTGCTCAAGTCTCGTGAGAGATGAAAAGTTAGACACGAATGACGCAATCGCAGCATTGAGCTACGGAAGATCTGTAAATATGACAGCCATCGAAGGAGCCTATATCGATGACTTTTCAAAACCAACTAATTGTACCAGTCAAAATCCATGCACCATTGTGAACTGTCCCTTTAAAACCTGGTCCGCTGAACCTGGTTATAAATGTGTTAATGTCGACCAGTTTGTACTGTTGGTACCAACACAGAAAAACGAACTGCCTGTTTTCACATCAGAATGGAGCGCGGATGAAGCAACATTCTTCTTCAATTTTGGTTTTGACAGTATAGAACTGACGAGCACGGTAAACGGACGAAATTTTCTTGTCCCAAATATATCGCTACAAACAGAACCAAAATATAAAAGAGATGTGAGTTTATGTTCAAATGTGAGTAAACCCTGCGAAAAGAAAGATTGTCAGTGTACACAAATGGTGGAGATTGGAGATAAGTTTTACAAAAAGCCAGTAAGGTAGGTTTTGAAGCGCTTCTGCCCGTGTGAAAAACTTATTATTTGATGCAATATAACACCTTGTTTTTGAAGTTTTCAAAATCCCTTCCAAACCTATATTATTTTTATGTCTACAGATTTGTGTTTTCATCCTTGAGTGCAGCAAACAACAGCAGATTTTCCCATCCCATTCATTTACATGGACACAGCTTTCACGTCGTTAAAGTTGGTTATGGTGAATATGACTCTGGAAGACTCGTGAGAGCGACCCAAGATTTGGATTGTGAAACACCCTGTACGCGGGCCCCGACATGGAAGGAAAACAAGCCTCCTGCTGGTATTCAGGCGCTGAACAGAACCGTGCGCAAGGATACGGTTATCGTCCCCTCAGGTGGTTATGTCGTGATAGAATTTATCGCCGATAACCCCGGATATTGGTTCATGCATTGTCACATTGAACCTCATCAGTTGGAAGGCATGGCCTTGGTGGTAAATGAAGTCGAGTCTCGTCAAAATCCTGCACCAAAAGGAATGGAAAGTTGTAGAAGTTTCACCTGGAGTGTGGAAGATTTCAATGAGAAACGTAATTGGGTTAGTAGCGCTTGTAAACCTGCTTTGAAATATCTGGTTTTGATCATTCCGCTCATCGCACAATTTTTGACATAAGAACTACATAAAAACCTTTAACTTTTACACTTGTCTTGACATAGTTTAGCTCCATTTATTATTAAAGTAGTACAAAGTAATTGCATGCAAAATATTACTCTTATTCATTTTATATCATAAATACTAATAGTTTGAACAAATCTAGATCTTTTAAGATACACATTTTTCTGAAATGATTCGTATATATATATACAAGAAAACAACTTGAATTCGACGGTTTACTTAATCTGTGAAAAATTAGAAAAAAACTATTATTAAAAGTTTTTGATTGTAAATTTAACAAAGAGACGGATAATCTGAAAAAGCTTCTATCTCTTGGGCGGTGCGTCAACTTCCCAAATCTTGCACCAGTAAGCCTTGTGCATAACCACTCTCTCGTGAACGATCTTTAATTTTGGAACCACGCTTTTGAGGCATGACATTTCCAAGCGTCCACATGATTGACACGTGCAATGCATACTCTTTCTTAACTCTTTTAAGGCTCTAAGCTCTTCTTGCTCTTTTTACAGTCTTTTTCTGCCACAATGCCCCAATGAGGAGTGGAGAGTTGTAAAGTTGAAACTTTGTTTATCTGCACATAATATACTTCGGTCTTTATAACCTTGTGTCTCATTGAGGGTTATCTAAACAGCCGTCTAAACAATCTAATCACAAGGAGTTTAATCTCTCCTTTCACGTGGAATCATCAGTTTAAAATGCAAGTAAAGTCAGCGTATTTAAAATGCATGCGAAATGTTCAATAATAGAATAATTCTGGGAAATTTGCCAATGGCCTTTTTTCTACACCACCAACAATTAGAGGTTGGCGAAAGGATGCCATTTTCAGGCCTGATTGCCAAGTTTCCAGGAATTGTTCCTACTGGTAAGGACTAGTTTATACTTTGCATTTTGGTCGCGTCTAATGCATTTCAAACAATAGCTAATAAGGTGGTTATAATGCGTGTTTGAGTCACAACTTCCGAGTCTCTCTTTTGTGCTTGAGTATATTCCAGATATTGCTGAGGAAGGTTCAACCAGGGAAAAAATACAAGCTCTAGTAAAGTGCCTCGGAGATCACACCAAAGATAAAAAGTATTAACAAGGTAAAGACTGGCATGTGTTATAAAGTGTAGGTATTTTACAAATCTGGGTTCTGTTGAATTAAATAATTGTATACGTTAAGGTCATGATGCATGACGATAGTAGATAGTCGTATAAACGTTTCGATCGTGGTATCAATATTTGATGACCAGCTCCTACTGTAGCCTGTAGTTATAAAACAACTCTCGCGTCGCAGCTGCTTTCATATCGTTGAGCCAGAGCCGCCTCATTCGAAAACGCCTATAAAGAATGGCCACACTGGGAACACAAGTTGTTTTACATGGCCTTTTGAGATATTGCTTTTGATCTGCAAGCGCGTCGTCAAACTGGGCGCGTCGTAAAACATAAAATCCCTATTTTTCTTGAAATATTGAAAGCTATTTACGAGATATCAATCATGCTGCACTTTTGAATACTAATACAAATATTTCAATTGTGAAAATGCCTCATATGCTTGAAGGCGTCGTAAAAGCAGGAACGCTGTCGTAGGCGGCCACCATGCAGTTAGGCATTGCGTTTGAGAAGCCTGTGGTGTTTCTTTGATTTTTTTTTGCAAGCGCGTCGTTGATCGTAATTTCCTTATAATCATATACAACTTTGAAGTCATTCCAGTTTGCTCACACAAGATTCTGTTATAACTGCCAGTCTGCCATTTAATAAAAAGTTCAGAAAATGCGTATTTAGCGACCTATATAAACACAGCGGCAATAACATAATCATTTTGATATATTGTTTAAATAGAAATTAAGATATTGGAATCTGAACTGAAGTACCGCGTGAATATTTTAAGTTCTTATAAACTTGTAGACGAATTTAAATAAAACACCCCATGCACCCAACATCACCGTCGTAAAACATACACACTATGAAATAATGTAGATAACGCAGCTGTTTCTATAGGACATTGTACTGTACAATCACAACGGGCATATAAGCAACTATCAACAAGTCAATTTTATATTAAAAACGTATCTAAAGGTAAAAAAATCGTTCATCTATCATGCTTCTCTGAAAACTCATTTATTTATAACAGTTCCGAGCTGCTGAACGTATCATCGCTCAACTTCCTGATGCGATCAAAGATGTATCATTCTTGGCTTTCTATCATTGTTTTAACGTTGGTTGGTTTCCAGTACAGTTATAGTCAAGACACCCCAGATTACATATGCGGTGGTGATGACGACAAGGACGGAAGAACTGTTTGTGAATGCAGCAAGTCCATTTGCTATTTTAAACTGAATATTGAACATTTTCAGGTTTGTTGTACCAGTATTTCGCCCGACCGTTTTTTCTTTTTTAAAGTCTCTTCAAATGATCCAAGTAACTTCTGAAGTATGGAATGTAGTGTGGTATTGATAAAGCAGTTATTCATCACAAGTCATTGTTTTGTTCTTTCATATTTTGATCTTTCCAGACATTCACAGCCTACCTGAAAGACGCACCAATAGGCACTCGTGGTCGAGTTTTTTTTGTTAACGATTCGGGGCAACTTGAGTCAACTTTAAAAGATAGTCGAACGTCACCCTGCAATGATACAAGCAAGTGCACACAACCTAACACTGTGGATGGAAAAAGCTATCGATCATTTATCGGTGTGAATAAAAGAATTCCTGGACCGACCATAATAGTTACTGAGGGAGCTACTGTGGTTGTGGATGTCACCAACAATTTGTTCACAGAAGAAACATCAATCCACTGGCATGGTATGCATCAGAGAAACACACCTTGGATGGATGGGGTAGGCTTCATCACACAATGCCCTATCGAGGCTGGTTCGAGTTTTCGTTACATCTTTGAGGCAACACCAGCTGGAACCTTTTGGTATCACTCTCACAGCGGTCCTCAAAGAACTGATGGTCTATTTGGAGCACTCATAGTTAAAGAGAAAAATCTGACCGAAGCATACAGTGGTTATGGTTCGTTTCAAGATCTACCAGGAGAACACACTCTATCTTTAATAGACTGGCAGAGAGAATCTTCCCTAGATCTATTTGTCCAAATCCATTCGTCACTAGGCTTCTTTGAAGACACGGCAGTCGATGAGGTCCCAACACGACGTAATTCAGGGTAAGCAGTGCAGGCACAGAATTATGAGATGTGTTGTGGTGCATTCCTTAGAGCTACAATATTTTACAGTTATTATACCGTGGTTTCCGTTTTAAAAATATGTATCATGGGTAATGGTATATGCGCTGAGTTATAAAGTAATGGTACCAGGTTATATAGTATTTCATTTATTCATCAAAATTTACAATCATCAACATGCACGTCGAAACCAGATTAAAAATGGCAGTTCAATACATACAAACGTTTTTTTTAGGTACGTGCCAACATGTTCACCAGACGACGCCGAGGTCGGTCCAATTCCTTATTGGTCTGGAATCATCAATGGTCTTGGAAAACATAAAACAGTACCTTTTAAGAACTCTAAACTTAGCGCGTTTTACGTAAGACGTGGAGAAACATATCGTTTTAGGTTGATTGGTGCTCAGGCGAATTATGCCTACAAGTTTTATATCGGAGGTCATAAACTGCGTGTTATTGCGACAGATGGCTTTTTCATTGAACCAATTTCTGCGGATTTCCTGATAGTGAACACAGGTGAACGTTATGATTTCTTGTTAAAAGCTGATCAAACAAATGGATCTGATTTTCTTATCAGAGCAGAAACTTTGGAAGTAAATTGCTCAAGCCTCGTGAAAGATGAAAAGTTAGACACGAATGATGCAATCGCAGCATTGAGCTACGGAAGATCTGTAAATATGACAGCCATCGAAGGAGCCTATATCGATGACTTTTCAAAACCAACTAATTGTACCAGTCAATATCCATGCACCATTGTGAACTGTCCTTTTAAAAGCTGGCCAGCTGAACCTGGTTATAAATGTGTTAATGTCGACCAGTTTGTACTGTTGGTACCAACACAGCAAAACGAACTGCCTGTTTTCACACCAGAATGGAGCGCGGATGAAGCAACATTCTTCTTCAATTTTGGTTTTGACAGTATGGAACTGACGAGCACGGTAAACGGACGAAATTTTCTTGTTCCAAATATATCTCTACAAACAGAACCAAAATATAAAAGAGATGTGAGTTTATGTTCAAATGTGAGTAAACCCTGCGAAAAGAAAGATTGTCAGTGTACACAAATGGTGGAGATTGGAGATAAGTTTTACGAAAAGCCAGTAAGGAAGGAAGGTAGGTTTTGAAGCGCTTCTGCCCGTGTGAAAAAGAAGAAATAACTGCTTCATCATATTATTATTACACCCTGTTGCATGATGTTATCATTATTTAACTAATATAATTATCTTCTTTTGATTAACCTATATTCATACGTTCGTTTGTCCACAGATTTGTGTTTACATCACTGAGTACAGCAAGGACCAATATTAGATTTTCCCATCCCATTCATTTACATGGACACAGCTTTCACGTCGTTAAAGTTGGTTATGGTGAATATGACTCTCAAGGAAGACTCGTGAGAGCGACCCAAGATTTGGATTGTGAAACACGCTGTATGCGGGCCCCGACATGGAAGGGAAACAGGCCTCCTGTTGGTATTCAGGCGCTGAACAGAACCGTGCGCAAGGATACGGTTATTGTCCCCTCAGGTGGTTATGTCGTGATAGAATTTATCGCCGATAACCCCGGATATTGGTTCATGCATTGTCACATTGAACCCCATCAGTTGGAAGGCATGGCCTTGGTGGTAAATGAAGTCGAGTCTCGCCAAAATCCTGCACCAAAAGGAATGGAAAGTTGTAGAAGTTTCACCTGGAGTGTAGAAGATTTCAATGAGAAACGTGATTGGGATAGTGGGGCTTGTAAACCAGCTTTGAAATATCTCGTTTTGATCATACCGCTCATCGCACAATTCATGACATAAGAACTACATAAAAACCTTTAACTTTTACATTTGTCTTCACATAGTTTAGCTCCATTTATTACTAAAGTAGTACAAAGTAATTGCATGCAAAATATTACTCTTATTCATTTTATATAAATACCAATAGTTTGAACCAATCTAGATCTTTTAAGATATACATTTTTTCAAATAATTCGTTTAATACATCAGTAACACTGTAAAAAATGTTTAACGTGGATTCACTGCACACAGTATATAATGCATGAGTATCGTATATAGTATATACATATGTATGTATATGTGGTAATAAAATTTCTAGTAGTTGGATAATACAAGAAAACAACTTGAATTCCACGGTTTACTTAATCAGTGAAAAATTAGATAAAAACTATTATTAAAAGTTTTTGATGGTAAATTTAACAAAGAGACGGATAATCTGAACAAGCTTCTATCTCTTGGGGGGTGCGTCAACTTCCCAAATCTTGCACCAGTAAGCCTTGTGCATAACCACTCTCTCATGAACGATCTTTAATTTTGGAACCACGCTTTTGAGGCATGACATTTCCAAGCGTCCACATGATTGACACGTGCAATCCATACTCTTTCGTAACTCTTTCAAGGCCCCAAGTTCCTCTAAATCTTTCCATTTTAATTTGCTCTCTTTACTCTTCAATGCTTTCAGCGATTCCGTGACTTGAAAGAGTTGGTTCTCAGTTCCAAACCTACAGCACAAAAGATCAGTCGAAGAAAATTATTCTAACGAAATCTCTGCAGACTCTCTGCATGCAGCCACGATATTACTAAAACTGGAATTATATTTCTGATACTTACATAACAAAATAAGCTTTCTCAGTTTTGAAATGATGACGCAGATACGCCAGTCTAAAGATATCTTTCAAGCATCTTTCACGGAATTGAGAAGAATTCTCAGATTTCATCTTAGCAAGGCTGAGCTCAACACACACGGCAGGAACACTATTAATATCCTGAGGATCTTCTTTGCTGGTGTTGAATATAGCAAAATCGACTGCTCTGGGATTACCACTGATATCTTGGCCCGCTTTTGAAAACTGCTGTACGCTGGCCAACGGGCATTGCATTCTGACGTATTTAGAAGCTCCTTTGCGCTTTGTCCGCCATCGTTCGTATAAACACCATTGAATGAAGCGCTCGTCTTGAAGAACTTCAGGCATTTTTACGATTTTCTGATCCATAACATAGTCACAAGCATTAATTAGATCTTCTTTCCAAGCCGAGAGTGCGCTTCCCATCCTAGAAAAACATAATTAAAATATTATTAAATTACTCTTGAGCTGTTCCACTGATTATGGCCCGCGTTATAACGGGAAAAAAGCTTTCCCAAAAACAAATTTACATCATGGAGGATAATCAACTAAATATTTACATACTAAACGACGTTTTTCTTAAACCATCCCCTTATTTGCCTGTCAGGATTCTTGGCATGACAAGGGAAGAAAAAGAAAAGAAAGAAAAGAAACACCTGAAAATTGAAATATATTTCCTAATTTGTTGAAACTTTAAACGTTATCTCTCAGGTAAACTGGACGATTTCACTGCATCTTCTAACGCATGTGTGGAAACGAAACAAGCATATATAACATAGTTGACGCTGCATAGGTACAACATGACAAAAGTGAACTCTTACCTTACGTAGATATCTTCTTCTTTCGTCAAACGCTGACGAGGAAACAAATTTTAGTTTTTGTATACAGGTATCACGAATGACGCCAAGTTCTTTACGAATACTTGAACGGTGACACTCGTTGTTATTCAGAGCGTCGTTTGTGGTCGTGGTTCGACTGGTGGCAATGCAATTTGACAAATAAAATATCTTCGTGTAAAACTATTTAAATATCACTTTATTATCAACACTCCATTCGAGAATATATTATAATTATATATCATGATGTTCGAAAGGATTTTACAGACTTAACAGTTCAGTGATGTAGATGTGGACTTCCCACTACATTTTTAAATGCTTAAAATCAATAAATCTATAAGCTACTGCATGACATCCTTGCGATAAATACGTCATTCCGCGAAGCAGGGAGCCTGAGTATAAAAGACTTATCGTAAGGATGCATTTATTGAAAAAAGATAAATTTAGATTATGGATATAGCAGTCTCTTCCATCCAACGGAGAGTCTTTCGAGCCCCGAGAACCGGAGGTTTTATTTTTCTTTGAGGACGACCTGAAATGGTTTTGGTTCCAACACCGCTGTTGTAAGTTCTTCAGTGTCTGGTGGCTCAGATCCCACGGGAACTTCAAATGTGAACTCGTGCAGTAGACTGCTGACAAATAGGTATTGTATGGCATTAGATAGACCTTCCCCCAGACAGACTCTTCTTCCGGCCGAGAATGGAATATAGCTACATCGACTAGCTGATGGTGGATCATATTCCCCTTCAGCGTTAAAAAACCGTTCTGGTTTAAATTCAAACGGTTCACTCCACCAATCAGGATCGTGGTTCATTCCCCAAAGATTTAGGAACACTGTGGTATCTTTAGGGATATTGTAACCACACAGTGTCGTGTCACAAGTGACCCGATGTGGAATAGGAATTGGAACTGGGCTGGCACACCTCAATACCTCGTTCAGAGTAGCTTGAAGATATGGAACTGCTTGTCGATCTTTTAAACCCGGTGGTTTGGAGAAGGTAGAAATTTCCTTGTGTATACGGTTCTGAACCTCAGGGTTATTGAGAAGGTATACAAAAACCCATCGGAGATTCGTCGCAGTAGTCTTAAACCCGGCAATGAAACAGTCAGCTAATATGGCTTTTAAATGATTTTCAGTCAGCGAGGTTTTCAAGTCGTTTTCTGAATCCAAAAGCTCACGCTCCGCTTTTAGAATTGCATCCGTCAAATCGCGTATATTATTCTCGTCAAATGTCGCTTTATGCTCGACATATTTCGTGTCTAAGATCTCATCTCTTATAGCAACTGCGTGTCTCAATTTCCGGAGACTGGTCAACGGGAAATTTGCTAACCACGGGAAAACATCCACCAGTTGACCGGGCTTTAGACCCTCAGTGAAGCAGGTATTAAAATATACTATACGTTGAAACTCGTCGTCTTCTGGTTCGTAATGGACTCCAAACAGTAAGCAACATATTACGTTCAGTATTGCTAAATCAATCTCGGGCCCAATCTCCAACGATTTTCCCACGCGTGATCGCAATCTCTTGACAAGTTTCTCAACCTCTGTAGTCACGTGATCCTCCATTGTTTTACCGAAGAAAGATTTGAGAGCTGACTCAGCAATCTTTCTTTGCTGTCTCCATTCTGGTGTAACATCTCCGAAGCCAATATTTCTCCCTTGATCGCCAACCAATTGGCAACCATAAGGCAAATCACCGGGGTATGGTCTTCCGGAGAAAGTATCCCGTTGTCGGAGAATTGCCTCCCGTGCCTCCGTAATACTGCTGATCACAACGATCGGGGTATGACCTAAGAAGATACTGTATACAGGTCCGTATATTGATCTTAGTGTGTTCAAATGCAGGTGTAGTTTAGTTCCCAGGTAATGTAGGTTGCCAATAAGAGGGAGCGTTGCTGGACCAGGAGGGAATCCGGGTGGTCTTGAGGGTTTCGTTAAGTAAAGAACAAGGATTGTGGTTGATAATATTAGAATAAAAATTTCAAACAGCATGTCCACCTCATACAAAGAACGTCTCAGAAGAATATCTAGAAAATAGAAACATAAAAGCAGAGTAAATTGTTTGCATTGTGTAAAACACCAAGATCTATAAACCTTTTCTATACCAATACCACGACTCAGCAAGCTTTACTTTTCTACGTTGTGCTTCAATAAGATCATTAAGATCACATTCCTACCTCTTTTTATTTGTATTGAGTTTGCTGTTGTGAGTTGATTGATAATCTTCCGTCAATATGGTTTGTCATTGCCTTGAATCTTGACTTGAATTCAATACTTTGTAAAATGATTCCGTTCAAAATATTACAAGCGATGATAAGTTTACTTCAGAGATACAAAGAATGATCAGAGATCATCTGTTGTGACTCTAAGTGGTTTGAAATCTTTACAAAGCTGAGAATTGACGTTCTTCAAATGTTTTGGTTGTGATGTATTGAAGAACACAGCCGGTGGTACCTAATGAACTGTGGAAAATATTCATACAGTATTTTATCAAGATAAATAAAACACAAATAATTTGCATGCAGGAAATTGTATTTTGAATGACAATGTAAGACAGACGTTGTTCCAGTTGAAAACAGCTTTAAAAAGAATCTGACGTATCGGGTAAAGCTGTGTTGAAGAAGTCACAAATTGAAATAGATTTTAGATTGATGAGATATTTTATTCATATATAACTTTACAATCTAGATCTCACAAGTCACAAGCTGCAGAAATTTCCGAGCAAAACCTAAAAAAGAAATCATCTTTGTTTAGTTGTCTTAATACTGACGATAAGTACACTTGCATGCCAGTAGATAAAGAGAAGAATAGCTGTCTTTTACCTTGACTAACAACTATACAAGAGATTAGCTTGTTTAGCATCAAGAACGCTCAGTCTTTTTCTCTGTCCAATAGAAACACCAGCTTTTTTAGGTCTGATTGTGGTTTGCCAAGGCCATTTAGCAAAATCTCTCTGCCCATAATGCATTATTGATCCGTAGTCATATTCGACACCGAGATTGTCGATTGTTGATCGTCCATATCTATTAAAGTTGAATTTATTGTCTAGAAAGTAAACAAAAGTTATGAAAGATTGTCCTAACATGTACCTAAAGTTTTCCAAGTTAAGTTATAAGTATCTTTTGCAACAGTGCCGTCTTTAACATTGAGATTTAAAGCATCAGAAGAACTGATAAATAAGAATAAATAAACAAGTTTGCAACTTGTCTTACCTTTTATGATGTTTTCCTAAATATCCTAAAATCATTTCTATCGGGACCGCTCTCTCGCCGATGATAAAATCCAAACCAAAACCTACCTTCTTTGATGTTATCCCAGAGTATTTCAACGTAATTATCTCGATCAGGTCGACTCTGCTCGTGGTAAAATCCTAACGCGTGACCAATCTCATGAACAGCCACACCGTGTGTGAAACAGCCAAACCCGAGAGAGATGGACTGTTTGCCTCCAACACGACCAACATGAGAATAACATCTACAAAAAAGAATTGAAAATTTAGCAGCTATATACTCGTCCTCAGGCTAATATTGGGCAGAAGAACCAGACATTCTTTCCACTCATAGTCAAGACTTAAGACATGGAAATTATAAAGAACTTTCAGGAGAAGCGTCAGGGCCAATGAATCCACAGCTAAATCTTACTTTCCGAAGCCGCCATCAATAAACTCAACATAAGATGCTTGATTGGTTCTTGGAACAAATCTGATACATGTCTTCTCTTCCCATTCTTTCATAGCGCCACGGATAGCGTTCTCAGTTGGACCTTTTAAACCAACAAGGTTTAGAACTGGATTCTCTACAAGACCGAGACAGAGCCAAGTCATTTACCATACTTCAACTTCAATAATCAAATACACCAGATACAGAAAAATTAAAAAAGATCTCATCGTTGATCTCCTAGATTGCAAAGATGTGACATTCATATAACAGTAGTCTAATTTTTCTACTATGAATCCTGTCGGTTGGCAAACTTTAATCGCACATAGGCAGCATGCTATTTCTATAGTTTTGTTATATATTATCTCAAGTAATTTTTGACTTACTGACGCTGCTGCTGAACACGTAGGGCACGACACCGTTTGGCCAGAGTCGATTTCTTCTCGCTTTTCGAGTTCTCCCTGGGGAAGAATCCAAATCTTCGCCATGTATCGCCCTCTCCACTTCCTCCACTGGCATTATCATATCTCCTTCAAACATCATCTCGTTCTTCGTCGCATCTGCAAATACAAAAAGCAATTCATATACGCAAACTTACGATTTCACAACGGCTGTACGATTTCACAAAGTTGGGATCGTTATCTGGATAGTGGAATTGGACGAGCTTTGAGTTACCAATATTTGAAAATCAAGATCTTTATCATATATTTTATTTTCATTCCCGAAGGTCTAGCAGCAAAATTTCTGAAAGCAAACTGTCTTCTTACCTCGTTTCTCCAATGGTAAAGAAGAGACGGAAACCAGGCCAACAAAGATGAAGATAGCAAATAGAAGATTCATATTTTTGATAAATCAAAAAATTTTTTTAGCTCCCTACATACAAGAACGCGTGATTCACTGATGAGGCTAATTGTTGAAAACAATTCTATTTAACATCAAAACGACGAACGAAAACATTAATTAAAATGAATGAAAAGGAACTAAGGCCAATTATGACGTTATTAAGAAGAGTTTGGAGAGCTGTGTTTATTTTTATATAAGTTTGAAAAGAAGTGATTAATAGGAAAATTAAAATATTCACAAACTTTTATATACATTTGCTTATCAAAAATAACATTGAAATCTAGCAAATGACATGTAAACATTTAGCAACTCTAAAAAGGAATCTTAAAATCTAATGAAGGTTGGTTATTCCAGCTTCATAAACATCATTAAAATTTCTCGACTGTGACTGGTTTTGTGTGGACTCTATCTTGGACTCTATCTTATCAATTGATATGAAATATCTTCACTCTGACGTAGAAAATCTTCACTCTGACGTAGAAAATCTTCACTCTGACGTAGAAAATCTTCACTCTGACTATGAATCTTGATACGAGGGATGCATACATATGCTTCTAAACACTAGTCTAAAGCCTAAACTACTCAAAACTAAGCAAGAAAGAGCTTTCCTTCTTCAATTGACGAGTAGTCAGTCCTTCTAACTTCAGAGCAAGCAGTCCATCCAAATGTATCTTCAAATGTTCCATTGCTTTTGAATATTCTGGTTCCAAAACCACTGCGCTAGGTTCATAAAACTTCATTATTTTCTTTTGAACATCTTCACTGGACAAAACCTCAAACCATCGACTGAGAAGTTCGTGTTGAATACATTCGTAGATAAACATGCGAAACTTCTGTTCAATGCCGTCTTCCTTGATTCTTTCCATCTCCTTAAGACCAACAGATGTAATCTAAAAACAAAATTTTTGTTAATACAAAATGTACAGCTATCAGTGTAAAATATACAAGAATAAAAAACGCGGTGATAAATGAAGTTACCTTACAAACAGTTTGACAAATACTCCACACGTTTGTACCAATAGAAAAGAGAGAAATACCAAGAAAGCTTTTCTTTAACCCATGTTCAAGCAACTCGTAAAGAACTTTGCATAAATCGTTAAAAATTAGTCTTTCAACTTCGGCACTGTCATTTTTTACCCTCAGAATCTTCCCTACACATTCTTCAACCCGTTTAGCAAATGTCCATGTTGGTCCAGTGAATTTACATATATCAGTTTCTCCACATTTCCCGGGAACATCAGGGTCCTCATCGGAGTCAATCGGTGGATGCACGTCGATAACTCGTAGAACTTCGTGTTCATCTAGGAACTCCGATTCCGACGCGCTGCATCTGACACGTGAAATGAGCTGTCTATCACATGCTTGTGTGTGACTGTCACGTGCGCTAGTGTCTGTGAACGAGTAACGTATATTTGAATCCGACAACGACCGACGTATCCCGATATCACTTGCATGAGAATGGTTTGGTTGATGTTCTTTTTGAAACAGTAACCCTTCTGATATTGAGGGAAGCAGTAATTTGCCACATGAAATGGTGGATTGACTTGGGTTGATATCAGAATGAAGATTGTCTTTAGTGTGGTTTGATTCAATTCTCTCAAGACTGGGTTGAGGTTCAACTGTGACAATCGACTGGCATACGACTGTCTGGTTTTCATTTGGCTCAGTAAACAAGCTGTTCTGACAGGAGAAATTGTCGCATTTTGCGCTCTCATTAGTTGCATCCAACGAGTTAATTGCATCATTGTTATTCTTAGCATCATCAGATAAATCCGTAATTGTGGCATTCCGAGAAACTAGACAATCACTACCAGCATTGTCTGACATTGGTCTATCATTTTCATTCTGTTTAGCGAAATTGCCAGCCTTTTCTATTTCATTCTGATTTCTGTCATCACAATCGTATTGCGCTGTACATGTACCATTCCGGGAAACCTCACCCCCTGGGATATCGTTTTCACCCGACAAAATCTCGTTGTTTGCACCATTACGAATATCATCGTTTCCAATATCATCATCATTTTTACGAATACTATCATCACTTTTACGAATATCATCATCACTTTTACGATTATCATCATCACTTTTACGATTATCGTCATCACTTTTACGAATATCATCATCACTTTTACGAATATCATCATCACTTTTACGATTATCATCATCACTTTTACGAATATCATCATCACTTTTACGAATATCATCATCACTTTTACGATTATCATCATCACTTTTACGAATATCATCATCACTTTTACGAATATCATCATCACTTTTACGAATATCATCATCACTTTTACGAATATCATGACCAACGTGATAACCAATATCACTGTTACCAATATCATCACTGTTACCAATATCATCACTGTTACCAATATCATCACAGTTACCAATATCATCACTGTTACCAATATCATCACTGTTACCAATATTATCACTGATACCAATATCACCCTGGCGACCATCATCAGTGAATCTTTGCCAATCCTGGAGACGAGGATGCATCAAGTCATTATTCAAAGCAAAATGATCATCATAAAAACACAATTCTTCATCCGTCTTGCAAGATTTCTTCAGTTGATCAGCGCGTGTTTCTGTTAACCAATCACTAACTTTCTTTCTTTGATAGTGCGTCAAGTACTACAAAAAATTTGAAGCAAGAACTAATTCAATTATCAGGGGCCGGTTGTGTAAAACTCTTCCACATTGTCAATTCAAACGGATCACTCACTGACCAGCTTCCATCGTATTTCAGCTATTTTTTCATGATCGGATTTTTTCACGCTGTTTCTTGGAATCAACTTGCTTCTTGCAACAATCTTGCCTGAGAGTTTGAGAAAAGAGAATTAAAAACATTCTCACGATAGAATCTTACTTCAGAATTCCACAAATTTCAACCACAGTACATCAACCTAGTCTATACTACAGTCTAGAGTTCGATACGAGAACAGCCTTGGTGCTTGCACGAATGAAGCAACGCAAACTCACCATCCTTCTGATAACTAACTGGATTGTCATTCATACAAAACTGCAGTTCTGAAAAAAAGATATATATGGAATTAAGTGAGCTTTAGTAAACGACACACTGTAAACGACTCGATGGTAATTCTACTAACCATCGCCACTCTCATAATGTAAAAACAGTCCTGGATCGAAGCAACTCAACTCGTTTAGTTTTGAAGCGATTACTTCAAGTTTCAATATCTGAAAAGAAACATATTAGTGTCGATCTAATAATAGGAGTCATCGATGCTATAGAAAGCTGCTCTATTTAAAAAGTCGGCTTTCTCTTAACTGAATCCATCATTGCTTGACGGTCTGTTGTGGAGGATTCGTTCCCAAACTAACCTCTTTGGCCGTTATTGTAGCCAGAACCGGAAGAACTTCGTAAGAAAAATCAGTGAAATGAACAACGAGAAGTTTCTGATGGTGCTCCATGACAAACAAGCAATTTCCTTCTTTATCCAGAGCGCGCAGAGATTCGTCTTTTCCAACACGTCTCCCTGTTTTAAAATTATGGATACAATGAACCCAGAGATACAAAAAACTGACGAAACTATTCCGTTTGTGTCCTGATGTAACGTGAGCTGTCTATCTTAGGAGAGATGACATATATCTCAATAATTAGTGTACCTGTCCCTGTCGTGTCTACCGCCCAGAGGCCACATGACTGATGACGTATTTTACAAACGGAACATTTGCTTGGCTGACAAGCGAGGGAGAACAAGCGTGTGTGTATGTCAGTAAATGTTGAAGTGTCACTGACAAGAAGACCTGTCATTTCACCATTCCATAATGTAAAAAATACACGATGTTTTTCACCATCCAGGCTGAAACAATTGTTGAAACAAATTCACATCATTTCTGTATTAAATAAGAAATCTTCAAGCTCTCCATCTTAAGTGTCTTACCTTTCCAATGCTTCATCTGGACCCTCCAAGGTCACCTGCATGAGCAAAAGTTTTTTAAAACAAATGTAAGCTAGAGTTAGGAAACAATCCTATTCTTCTGATTAGTCAATGTGTCCAACTACAGACTTTTTTTAAAGGATAATTCTGACTCATCTAGAATGGAAGCAATAACCTAGTTGTATTTACCCTTCGTGGACGTCCATATTGCTTTTGTTTTTCTCGATCAATCCAAAATTTCACAGCATGTCTCAAGTTGTCAATCCATTGTTGAATATTTAAACCACCCTAAAACACAAATCACTCACTCATTTATGTCATCAAATTAGTTTGGAATAAGATAAATGTATACATGTGTTTCTCTCACCAGCTCTTTTGCAGGACATTTAAACTGCTCAACAGCTCCTGTTTTCAAAACTATTTTAAAGCATCTTTTTGAAAATTTTCTTTCAGTTTCACTCACTTCATCAACCTAATTAGGACACAAAAATGGATTATATTTTACACTTGACAGTTGTTAAGAGCTCATATTGTCACAGTGAATATTGTTGTTAGATTAATATATATGAAAAGCATGTTGTACCTGCGTCAGGGATATTTTAGATAGGACCTGGTTTTTATCTTTCCTGCTTCGTGGATAGAGATAAATAGTGTTGGCAGAAACCTTGGGGAAAATGTGGAAATGTGTCTTTAATGTGGTCCTCCTGTTTAGGAGGTAAATGAGTTGGAAGAGAGGGAAATGAAACATTAGAGAATATATGTAATCTCAACAATTTTTCAAATTCAAGTGATTTAAAAAATAAAAGATATGGATATTGAAAATAAAATATCGTGAATGTTAAATCATGCCAATACTCTTCATAGTAATAATATCCAGATTAGGTTAGTATTAGCACGAGTATTTTATTATATAGTTATTCACCTGAAAATATATATCACGCCAAATTAAACCATGTTTCCACTGCAGTTCCCCTCCTATATCTTTGGGTTTTTTCTAGAAAGACAAAAATGAACAGAACATGAACGTTAAAGTCAACAGTTTGCAGCACTGCCATCAGACAATATTATGAGCAACAGACGAGAAGATCAACTTTTTTTTATATTTGAGACACTAACGTTTTCAGAAAACAAGGGAAAGCCTACCCATTGATTTTCACTCATGATTCTAATATTCTTGTGAAAATAAACAAGAACAATAATTTTTCAAAAGTCAAAATTTCAGTTCAAAACAAACTGTTTATAACATCTTTTAAAATTTCGACAACTTCCTCCAGTGAGTAGGATAAAACTCCGGTAATATAATTTAATCTCTCCAACAAAACCAGATGAAAAGACAGATGTTCGTAGAGAAACAAGAGTCACTAAACGTAAACCATTTTAAAGAATAATGGCAGGAGTTATAAAGGATATATCATAAAATAATAAACTAAATAAAGTTAAAACTTTGATCTTAAAACCCGTATTGGCACAGGGCTTTTTACACAGAGGTCAAACGTCGTATGTTTATTTCAACAGGACTTCCGAAATCATTGTCTTTATGTTTGCGCGATTAATTTATAGAAAACATTTCAGCTTAACTCGCAGTTCTTGTCTTCGTTTCATTCAAACAAGAACAATGAAGTTCTTAACACAAGAAGAAGCGCAAAAAATTGACCAGGAGCTTTTTAATGAGTTTGCATTCAGCGTTGATCAATTGATGGAACTGGCTGGTTTTAGTGTTGCTCTTGCACTTACCAAAGCTTATCCTAACACACTTGGAAAACCCAGTGCTGTTTTAGTTTGTTGTGGTCCTGGAAATAATGGAGGAGATGGTTTGGTTGCAGCTAGACACTTAAAAATGTTTGTAAGTAGGGTTAAATACTGTATTTGGTTAATAATTAGATGCAATTAATCTGTAAATTGGGTCATTAATCAGCACCTTAATTGATCTGTTTAGATATAGAACATATAATACTGCCATGACAACATTAACCTATATATTTCATTATTTCAGGGCTATAACCCATCAATATTTTATCCTAAGAGAACTGACAAACAGCTGTATAAAAACCTTGTCACGCAATGTACCATGATGGACATACCATTTATCACAGACCTTCCTGCAGCCTCAGACATTGATGGAACATATAGTTTTATTGTTGATGCAATATTTGGCTTCAGTTTCAAAGGGAATATCAGAGAACCATTTTGTGGTGTTATCAACACACTGAAAAATGTTACAGTTCCTCTATGTTCAGTGGATGTTCCCTCTGGTAAATTCTTGTATTTGGTCAAAATCATCCAAGTTTACTACCATGCATACATAACTATGTTTGCTTTAAGCTTTCCTCAACATTTCTTTTAGGTTGGGATGTGGAAAAAGGTGCCCCAGATGGTCTACAGCCAGATTTTCTTATCTCTCTCACAGCTCCTAAACTTTGTGCCAAATTATTCAAAGGGAAATATCACTATATTGGAGGCAGATTTGTACCAAACATTTTGCATGATAGATATAAACTTGAACTACCTGACTACCCAGGAACTGATTGTTGTGTTAGAGTTGACAACTGATGTGTTCATACAATGCTAAAAAGTGTAGTGATTTGCTATGTACCGAAATAAATATTGTATGTGTCTATTGGAATTTCATAGCAGTTTGAACACTATAGGCTTTTATAGGAAAGCTGACACCATCTTTCCAAACAGCAACAGGCTGAAACAATCTTGTACAAGTCCTCTTGTTCCCCTCACAGTCCTCCATTGCAAACTCTCCTGTTATTAACCTTAGGATTGTGATGTCTGCAAGCGCTCCAATGCTCAATGAGCCAATGCGGTTGCCCCAGCCGATTGCATTTGCTGCTTGTGATGTAACTGCTTTGATAACATCATATATATTCATTCCAAGGTGATAAAATTTTGACATGACTGTTACCAAATCATATGCTGGCCCATTAACGCTTAACAAGTGTAGATCTGTGCTGATGAGATGTGGATAAAATCCTTCATGTGATGCAATATCAGCAACCTTAAAAACATAATTCCTTTTTGAGGCACTTTCAGTAAATAGGTAATAATTATTTCCTAATAGTCTAGTAAAACTAACCTTCCAACTGAAAGAACCTTGCCCATGACCAACATCAAACAAAATTCCATTTTGATTCGCTGTCTTATGAACAATTGGATGCAAGCTATTTCGATCAAGATCAGCTATGGTGCTCTTATGGCCATGAAAGGTGTGAGTGTAGATGTCGCCTGCTCTTAGATTTCCAGGACACGAGAGTTGAACATTAGAATCTAGTAATTATGAGAAAGGCTGACCTTTATAATACAGTTTACATAGTCACAATGTGAAAAAAAATATGGTTATCATTACCTAAAGGGATACTGGAAATGGTATGATGTACCATTAATGGTACTTTAGCTTCCTTTGATGCCATCAATGCTCTCCTATATAAAAGTAGTAAATGTACAATAAATCTATTGTAGTAAACAGGTTAAAGAGAGTGTTTCTGCGACTATAAATACCTATATGCCTCTTGTTCATTTGCACCATTGTTTGAAATACTTTCACTCAATCTAATCTTGATTCCAACAATGACATCTTTGTTGTCTTCAATACACTTCACACATTCGTCCAGTTGCAAATGATTCAGCGAGTCCAATTCTCCACCAGCAGCTAAAATAAAAAGTGGTGCCATTTGATTATCTTTAAATGAGGATCAACACTATTTGGACAAAGTCATAAAAATAGATTTACCATCCGCAGAGCATCCGGCTCCAGCCAGTCCATGTGATGTGATATGGAGAAAAGCCAATACTCTGGTGTGATTTCTCTCTATAATAAATTTCCGAAGTCCTTGGAATGTGCCACACCCTGGAAATTAAGTGAAATATGTCAATCTGTGAGTCCATAATGGTTGGAAGAATTGGGGCTCCCCCCAATGTTGTCTGTGTTCCGATCATACCTTAAGGCAGATTGTTAAGGTCTCAGATGACTGATCATTTCTTAAAAGTAGCAACCAGTTTGAAAGGTTTGTCTGTGGTCAAACTGACCTGCACTGCCTGCATCAACAACTGTAGTTACCCCACGTGACAAACAGGCATCATCAGGGTTGATACCAAGTGATGTCACATGCTCATAACAATGCACATGGACATCAATCAGCCCAGGAGTGAGGTAACATCCTGAAGCATCAAAAATCTCACTTGCAGTATAAGTATTCTCCCCTGGCTTAAATATATTCAATATTTTTCCATCCTTCACTGCAATGTCCAGCTGAATTTGGTCAATATCATTAGCTGGATCAATAACTAGACCGTTTATAATTAGTAGATCACACTCCAATGACATTTTTCTTAATTAGCTTGAATTGCGCAAATGAATGATTGCGTTTCCCGCGCCCGCACAGAGCAGGCAATTTCCTGCTGCACTACTTTATGTCATAAAAACAACGTGTGTCTTCGTAAGAGCGTATGGAGGCGAGGTTATAGATAATAAAATCAAGGATTAGAATAGATCTACAACTTTTTATATATCAAGAAGATACTGAAAATATACAAAATTAGGCAAAAGCTAAAACAAAGTTTTAATATAAATACAGAAATATCAAATGATTAAACTCTTTCAAATATTATACTCCTAAAAGGATTAACTTCGCTGGTATGTTTAATTCATAAATAGTTTAGTTGATCTTGGTTGATCCTGGGTTACACACTACCTACACACGAGTGTTTAGACTGTCCATCCAACAGATCCATGTTTAGACAGTCCATCAAACCATCAGACCAACCACTTTACAACATCCGTCACTTTTTTTTATATAAAATATTTATAATTTACAATCTTTATGCTGATGCAACCTCATTGATCAGGAAGATGAGGATAGAGAAAGCACGTCAAGACCTCAATTTTCTTTCTTCTTTGTCTCTTCTATCCCCTGCAATTGAACGAACATCTGTTTCATTTCATCCAAACTGCTAAGAACGTGGTTGATGAATCTTTCAGAGTCGGTCTGCACGGAGGACTTCTTGGATGAGATGTGGAAGAAGAAATATTTCTCATCTGGTACCATGTATGAAACACCGTAACCATCATCTGCTACTGGACCAAACCCACCTCCAGGACAGATCTAGAAAAATACCACGCTCAATGATAATAAAGTCTAGGGATTTCTATCCTTTTATGAAGATCACCCTTGACTGCATGGGCCAAGGTTTTTTAAAACTATTAAAATATTTGAAGTAGTTGATCTTAGTGAAAAGCGGCGTACTAGATAAGGACAATAACAAATCATCAAGTTATTTAAGTATGACGTGAATGCGTACCAAGTCACGGAACACTGGATCAGATATAGAACAGCCAGGAATTCTGAACGTTTGCTGTTGTGGCTGTTGACTTGTCGAAAGTGTCCATGGAAGAGTTAGCGCTCGCTTTAAGAATTCGCAGTCCTAGAAATTGATAAAGGTCAAACAAAAATTTTAGGGACTCTGAGTATAAAATAAGGGAGATACTGCTTGGAGAGAACAATTAATGAACTTACGTGTCCTTGTCCTTTGGATACAACAAATAAAGAAAACAAGTGTCTATCTATTCCTTTACCATTCATACAGTCTTTGTACAAAACCTAGAAACATATGATAGTCAGAAACCAGAGAATAGTCCCAGTAGATAATCATGTATAATTATTATATCATTCATACCTGATGTCGTTTAACCATGGCACGGAGAAGTCTCACTCTCTCTTCAACTGAAACCTCAGCATTTTCCATTGCCCTGAGTGAAATAACGTGTTCTCATTTTAAAAGGTTACTCAAGATTTTCTTCATGGTATTCAGATTACCTCAGAGTGCATGAGTATATCAGAGACAACCCTAAGTTTGAATGCAACTTACAGTATGAATTCCTTGGACTCGTTGGTCAAAGATCGCACTGTTTCAGTTCTTCCTTGTAAATATAACCTTGTCATTGAACTTTCATAGGTAAGAGGAAGACGGCCGCCACTGTCTCTGTAGTAGGCCAGATGTAACGCAGCTTGAATGAAACCATCAGGGCTCATCTGTAAAAACGTTTTTCATCGAAACATTGGTGCGTTGTTCTACTGGACAGTCAGCGTGAATGCATGATTACTAGCTCATATCGTTATTGCTTTTCCGAAGAACAAGGCAAAACTCAGAGGTAAAACTGAGATATCGATCATTCAAGTAATATTTTGTAGAACATCACGGGTTGGCGATTATATTTACGCTGAGCTGTTTTCTGGTGGGAAAATTAGTGGCGATTATCTGATCTAACCTTACAATATTTCTTGATAAATCCTTTACCGACTCCATCATAGGCCAGAACGCGAAGTTGGAGGTCATCAATTTGCTGGAAAAGAAAAGAAAACATGGGAAATATTTAAGAGTTTGTTTGCAAGCTGAAAGTTTTTATGACTTGGGGTTTGTTTTTAGGCTGAAACCAGTTCACAAATGTCAACTAAACGATGACCAACCTTCGAAGCACGGGTATATGCATCATTGATAGAAGAGGCAAGATTCTGAGTGACGTCAAAATACAACTTCATCGGATTAGCAACTTCGCCTTTCGATTTATGGTACTTCCCAAAAGGTTTACATCTTCCATTGTCGTTGTAAGTGCGATATATAAACCTATCAAAATAAACAAGCCTCCCATATTCAGGATTGGTGATACAAGAAATATAATCATTTTGCAGGGATGCAATCAAAATCATATGTCGATCCAGGACTTGAAGGCTCATATATCGCTGGTGAGAGGTTGAGAAATATCAGAGTTGGACAATGACTTACTCTTCAGTGACCGTGTACTCAATCATATGGCCAATGACGGGGGCATCTCCCCAGGAATGTTCAGCATTCACACCAATTTTACCATCAGCAAATGCCACAACACAGAAGCTTTTATCAAACCACAATGTCTTGCCATCACCATGAAGTAAATATTTACCACGACTGCTAAGATCTGTGAACTCGTGTTCATCCAGAACAAGCTGAAAATGTAGAGATCAGAATCAATGATGACCTTAAAACAAGGCTAATATGAACATGGTTCCAGGTGCGCCCAGGCAAACCTCTATAATGTTACATTCAAAATCATGACTTACAATAAACAAAGCTTTATCAATGATATCTAGAGAATCTTTGTTGATACCATCTGAGAAATGGTCTCTACGGATATTGTACCATTCTGTTCGAGGAAGGCTCGTCAGGGCTGGTATACACCCTTCTGGTGTGTCTTTACTGACTGTTGAAACAACAGAGAAATGATTGAAGCAAATGACAGACATAGACAGACAATTGTTTATCATTTGAAGAAATTTTGGGTTGATCTAAGATGAAAAGAAATTACTCAAACTTACAATCAGAATGGTGAGCATCGTGCTTGATCCATTCCAATTGTTTTTCAAGATCCAACAATGTTATCGGTGAACCATAACTGTCAGAAATTTTCACTTCATAAAAATTGCCGTTACAGAACACAACCAGATGCTAAAAACGGTAGAAAATTAATTTTAACCTCATTTCAAGTATTTACCATGCAAGTGCGACCCCAGTCTTAAAAAAAACAATTGTTAAACTCAAGGCTGCCGGAGAATACAATATATATACCTCATTGAAGGAGTGATCATAGTGAACCAAATCATCTATCTCTTCACCAGGAATTCTATAAAACATAAAGTTATGTTAGACTTGCATGGCACTTGTAAAACCGTGTAGCTAGTATATCTGTTCTGTTTTTTACTTCGATCTTTTCCCAAGCAGTTTGTTGCAAGCTAGACCACACTCAATGTTGAATGCTTGGTGATAATTCATTCACATGCAGGAGCAGGAATGATTTCTAACCTGGTTGTTTTGAAAGTTCTCTCATATTGCCCCATACAGAGAGGTATTGTGTTCCTGATGATCAATGGTTCTAGTTCTTCAGTCTCAACATGATGACGGTACTCCAAGAGAAGAAATGAAAAAACAGCAGCTCTAGAAACAGAACCATGGACTATAGGATGACACAGTAATTGAAGTATTATAGCAGATGTTTGTGGTCCCAGGTATGCCCTAGTCACCTCACCTTGCCGTTTGCACACCAGTGGGTTTCCAGAAGGCATGATCAAGACAATAGTAGTTACTGTTGATGGCAATTGAATCCCTATTCATTAAGTAAACATACTTCTCCCTTGAATGGAAATAGATAAAAATAGGTGCTAATGCATAAATGCAGCAGAAAAATTTGCAATACTATGAAGACTATTACAATTTTGATTTCATTCATGCAATGTAAAATTTTAACAATAAGACAATTATTTTCATTACCACCAGTCTGTGTGATAATTTCCTTTGAACCATGATCTCAGTTGAAGAATAAACTGTAATTTTGGACCAAGATTTTTCTCAAAATCCTGAATGCAGAAGAGAGTTATATATAAGAAGCAAATTACGGAATATAGAGTATAATACTAAATACAAAATTTCAACCTTTGCCAGTTCCTCCATCTCTTTATATTCTTTATCAGGCAAAATATGTTTGACAGATCTCAAAAATCCTTGACAAGTATCTTGCAAAGCTGGCACAGGCATACGCGGCAAGCTGTTCTGGTAACTGTAGAGCCGTGGGTGAGCTCCACCAATAACTCGAACGAGACCACCCCATAACAATGTCTTATAACTTTGACTTCTAGGATTTTCATCTGCAGAAAGAAATGAAATCAGAATTTTTTTCACAATGATACAGGATCTTACATCAACTAGATGTATTACATAAGCAAGTATTTCTATTATTTTTATGGTCTATACACACTTACACATCCATCCTCTGTACGACAACAGTATCCGCAGTGCATATTGCCTGGCATACCAAACAAAAACAAAAAATCCAACTGCTGTTATCAAAGAGATGCAAAAGATCCGAAAAAGAAGATGGTAGGACTGATCAAGGTAAATAAATTTGCCAAGAGACCAGAGTCTTGATGTTATAGGATTCACATATTTGTTATCCCAATATAACATACACACCAAGGCTATCCACACTACTATCAAATTGCTAGGTGATGTTGGCCAAAGGCCATTGGAAATTTGAGCTCTACAAATAAAAATAACAATGTTATATAACTTAATAGTATCTGAAAGTATATTAATCAAAACTTGGAATTAGTTATGTAACTCGGAATGGGGTTTATATCATTAAAGAATGTGACTCTGGACCGCGGACACCAACCAGTGATAAGCGAGATTGTGAGGGAGTGTATAGGGGTGTCAACGACACGTTGTTTTCATGGGATTAAATTTATCTTTTCTACTTTCACATATATTTTCTAACTTTTTCAAATCACCCAACGACAGAAATATCCTACACATTGGCAGTCCAAACAATTATCAGTATAAAAAACCGTTTTAGTTGACAAGAGAAATTCACCCCGAAATCGTGAGTCACGGGACAATGATATTGTGATATTTAGTAATTTAACACTTTTACAGGTTTCATACTGCGTTTTAACAACGTTTATGAACAAAGTCCAACACCAAACTCTAATTTAGAAACAGCTGCATACGTGTAGATATTTTTTTCCGAAAACTACGACTAATATCATTATTGAACTACTTTACGGTGGTTCAAAGAAAACTTCCCATCCAGACTACAATAGTTTATTCTATACGTTTAAATATACTTAAATAACAGACTGGTTTGAACTGAAGATTGTTGTTTTCTAGTTAAAACCATGGTTAGTCTATCATGTTTAATACTGAAGTAACGAGTGGAGTTTGAATAAGGGGAATAAAATGACTGGATGATAGTACAATACGGAATTTACTGTACATATATCGAACAACTTTTACCTGGTGCGTCGAAGGCATTTCTTGGTCGATTTATAAAAATACTTCAAAAACTCGGCTTCTGCTTCAGCTGTGCTCGTCCCCGAGGCTTTGTAATCAACTTTAATCTTCGACACGGCAGCACGAGCTTCAGCCATGTCGGTTTACAATCAACGAACAAAATACTGTATGAATCAAATATCAAAAAAAGTACAACAATTACTGCAAACGTTCTCGAAACCCAAAATAAATTGTCGTAGTTCACCGGCTCAACGACAATACTATATTTCCAATTGCCGACAGCCAATCAGATTGCGTTATGAAAGAGTAACCAATCAAATTTTGTTTTAAAAATACTGTTTATTATGGACTTTGTACTTATACTATTATTTACATTTTCATTTACAAGTTTCATAACAATCAGTGCAGTTGTTTTTGTAGACATGTTTATATAACATAGTGACATAAGTGCTACTTGATATGGCTTCTTAGTGCTCTTTTTATCACCATTCCACCATGCAAATAATTGTTTTCAGATTTCATTTCACCTCGTGCAAAAGTAGCTAGTATTTATGGTAAATTTGCATCGTCAGCACACGTCATCACGATAATTCTGACCAGTTTGAAGAGAGAATGCCGACTTCCACGAAGAAGAAACAGTTCATATATTCCGTTGAAAATTTAGCTAACAAGCTACAGCGCTGGCAACAGAGCTTGACCAGCTTGACATTACAAGGGTGGTGGGCTGGTGGCATCAATTATTGTCACCAGTGTACGCTAATTACCTTGTTGCCAAAATGTTTTACTAGTTACTACAACGACAGTGTTCTGGGAATCTAACCCAGAAGCCAAACTTACACACGCTTCGGCAAGTTTATGTACACTGACAAGAATAGTTCAAGATCTTTGATCGCTTTCGAGTTTGTTTTGAGTTTTTCAAGTGCGATGTTTTGGTTTCCTGTTTAAACAAGCTCGTCTTTATAAGAGCGTCTTGGTTTGGCTCCAGACATGGACACTGTGTACATGCCAAATATGAAAAGGAGGGAAACCGGAGTGCCCGGAGAAAAACCCTCCTGACCGCGCAAAATGAAATCCGGATTTCAAATTACCTGGTCTGGCCGGCGGCCCAATTTGGTATTTTGATTTAAAAATTGCCCGCAATTGAGACAGTACATACCGGATTCGGTTTTATCTATCGATAACCGTTTGAATTACGCTCATTTGAACCGACTCCCAAGAATTGTCATGCAAAGAAGCTTGAATCCTGGTGGTCTAGCGTGCGCATGCGTGCATATCCGGCGTTGCAAACCAGCAGCTGTTAGCATTTTTTAAAATTGAACTGCGCTTTGTCCGACAGTGGCAATAAAAAATTATTTTCAGTGATTACATTGTTGAAATGGTCGAAAAACAATAAAATTTTGTTGTTTTTGGAATTCTGAAGCTTTTGTAATGATTTTTCTTGTGTGATTTCATCTTTATTGATTCACGAGTAGCATGCTTTTTGGTTTTAAACAGATGTAGACAACAACACTCTTGTTTATTAGAATATCCCTCATGCACCGTTTTTTCAGGTTTTTGTGGATTAAGCTTAACTGAGCATGCGGGGGATAAACGTAAAACCCTTAACATCTGGTATAACTACAATGATCGATATTTAATGTCCCTTACCTTTACCTTACCTCACCTTAGCACCTTACAATTACCTTTTGTTGACAGTTGACCAGCAATTACCAGTGTGAACAATACCGAATTTTGCTTGCTTGAATTTCTCTTTCATTCCAAAACTTGCATCCTTTCAGACCTTAACACAAGATCTCAAAATACGGTGAAGCGGATCAAAGGATAAAACAGAAGGGTGTCAAAGGGGTCTTCAGTTCTACAGCACAGATAAAACAGTCTCGATATTATCCACATACAAATTTCATGGAGTAAATGCCTTGTAGGTAAACTAAGTAGGGCCTAAGTATGTAATTTGATGTCAACATGCATGCAAAATTCCAACAATCTTGATTCATGAAGTTAGTGAAAGTGATTTATGAAACAAAATTTAAACGATCAGAAAATGGAAAATCAAGAAGGAAACAGAAGAGTGTTGTGTCTAAACATCAAATTGATTTCTCTTAGTATTCAATGAAAGTTAAAGAAAAAAAAAGTCGAAAGTCAGTTTTTTTCATGCAGTTTTTCGTCGCTTTTAAACCAGAATGCAACATGCATGCACCATGCTCCGGAATATCAAACTGAGTATAATTTTTAATGCCACTGACGTCCTTTGAAAAGGTCGATTTATAAGCAGGCTATAAACAAAGCAACTTATATGATCATATAAGGGCTCGCGATTACCTTCGTATTAATCTAAAGTTAGGCTAATACGAATTCGATTATATTTTTGTTTTGCGTGCGCGTCTGCGTCGACCCATGCGAATTGCGATTGTTAGTTTCATTTGAGCGCTTTAGAGCTATCATGCTTATTACGCAGCCGCTGCGATTCACACACAAGTGACAAAACTGGGAATGTTTTATTGAGAAAGCTCGAAAACGCATGCAATCATCAGAACTGTGAGGAAATTTGGTGTTATCATGCATGCACTGCAGAAAAGAATAAAATGTCACTTGTGTGAATATACTAGTTTAGACCACCAGGATGACCGGATTCCACAACAATCATGCATTACTCTAAAAGCATGTACCGGTACCTCACTTGTAACCAAAATCGATCGGTGCTCCCTCGACGTTTGATCGGTGCTCCCTCGACGTTTGATCGGTGCTCCCTCGACGTCTGATCGGCGCTCCCTCGACGTCTGATTATTTGCTGTCCATCATCGTCTGATCGGTGCTCCCTCGACGTCTGATTATTTGCTGTCCATCATCGTCTGATCGGCGCTCCCTCGACGTCTGATCGGCGCTCCCTCGACGTCTGATTATTTGCTGTCCATCATCGTCTGATCGGTGCTCCCTCGAAGTCTGATCGGCGCTCCAGCAACAACTGATTTGCATTGCTGAAAAGGGTAAAATTTCATTTTGTGTGTGAATACAGTAGGTTAGACCACCAGGATGAACCTGACCAGAACAACCACGCACTTACAAGAAAATAATCATGCATTACTCTATAACCAGTATACCTATAGTATGTAACTCACTTGAATATCCGCTCGTCGACCAACATCAGAGTGGCGATCCATCATCGTCTGATCGGCGATCCATCGACGTCGGATTTGAGATCCTTCAACAAAGATACAAAGATATGAGATGACTAATTTCCAAAAGAAGGAAATGTTACTTATTGTATAGAAAAAATTCAGAATAGATTATCACTCAAAATCTTGTATATCTTCCAACTCTTTAACACGCTTCATCATATTCCCAGTGGGCACGCAAGTACAAAATGTCCATGCATATTTTTTGTTTTTAAATAAAGACAAACCTCACAGTTTTTATCTCTTCAAATTGCTCAAGACACATGTTTGAAATGGTACGTTTATCACCAAATTTTGCGAGAATTAGACTTATGAAATATCATGCATATTTGTTTTAACGATGTGGACAAAATCACTCGACTGTTATCGTTTTTGTTGATTTAATTTTAAAGATCATTTCTCATTTCTGTTTTAGGCATGCGAGCAAAATTTTTGCCTATAGTCGTCCGAGCATTAAGAAAATACAAGTGATGGGGCCCCAAATCACTTATATTTACTCCTTACTCGGGACAACACTAACACCGGAGTTTCTGAAATCCGAAAATTGAAAAGGCCATGCAAGCCGAAATAAGTCGCATGCACACGTGAAACTATTATTTTCGACATTATGTATTTGCGTGCATTTAGTGATTGTCGTAGCTTTACTTCCCTCGTTCGTCTATAAAGAAGAAAAGAAAGGTTGATAAGAAGGCAGTTATACACACAAATGCATGGTTCAGTCTAAATGGAGGGCTTCCAAAAAAACAGCATGCTCAAATAACACGTGGTATCTCAACAGCTATAACCATGCATACAGATGCTTTTCTAGTAACATGAGAAATACAGTGGTTTGAAACAAGTTCAGATGCAATCATGCAACTTGTACCCGACACTGTTCATGAAAGAGTACATCGTGGAAAAGAGCTATTCAGATATAGGATTTGGCTAAAACATTGGCATATAAACCTTGCCTTGCATGGCCAGAAACTTTGGTACTATATTTACGAAACCCGTCCCGCCTGATTATCTCTCAAATAACTTGGATAGGTTTCTGCAGAAGGGACTACACACTTCGCTCAAAATCAAAGATAATTTAAACAATGATTTCTAAAGCGGCGCCTAACGGCAAAACTGTCTTGTTTTATACATGCAATAACACACGAATACTGAAATTGGACTATTGCAACATCGCCATTAACACGAGTGTTATACACTATAACAGCAACAAATACTTGGCAAGCAAGTTAATACCTTTTCCCTGCAAGAAGCACGTTGTCCGTTGTCTTAAGTTTTCCCAGTTTCGTCGACAAAGTTCGGAGCTAGAAAAAAGGCAAACACGAGTAATAATCCGACATTTTAAATCTAAAACTATCGTCAAACGCCAACGACAACTCGTAAGTTTCAATTCAACGACATGCAATGGTTTGATGTGATGACTCTTACATGGATCCTTTGCCTTTGGTGAATGATTATATGAAGCCAGATTCTTCAAGGCATCTTCGATCTCTCTCTTTTAAACTGTTTCTTGTATTTCTTCCGTCGATATTTGAAAGATCTAGCCAAGTAAACGTCTGCGAGAATAAAAACACTTATCCTTTTAGCTGCTTCAATTTATAGACATATGAGCAAACTTGGTCTCGCATGAGGTTGGTGTTGATTGGCCAATGTTCTTGATCTATTATTTGATGATAAACCATTGTTATTCATGGTTAAAGCAGAGCTGCTGGAAAATGAATAAATTAGCCAAATGTTCATTAGTGCAGCCAGAAAACAAAGAAACAAAAGCCTGCAAACAATGAACTAATTTATTCAGCTCCTGTGCTATCCTGGTCATGTAAACGACATGACCCAGTTCAAACGAGATAAACGGCCGGTTTTCCTATGACATAATTCGCTATAATTCGTCGTAATTTCTTGTGATTCGGTTTTCATGACATATCAGTATTCTGCATTACAACGAATCGACGAATTTGACGTGTGAGAACCAGCCTTAAGCAAACCGCGGATGCATGTAAGTATGAAAGTCTTAGCTTTATTAATGACGTTATCTATTGAGCTAACGACCACTTTGGGTATGATGATTCAACTCTATTCATTTGAGGGATGATCTGCCTTGTATAATGAACTATGATGGGTACAGAGGTACAGTGTGTACAATTAAATACACCATGATGGATAAAGAGGTACAATTTGTATAATACACTATGGGTAGAGAGGTGAAATTCTTTCGACTACAACAGCTTGCAAGCTGTGCATGTGCATTTAATATTCGACAGATTATATAATGCGTTTTTTGTGTCTGGAAGTTCTTAAATTTACAAAATAGTTTAAATATTATACAACAAATATATTCCAATGACTGGAATTATTCTCTGTGTTCATTTCAACCTAAATGCTAGGTATACGTTTTACAACAGTTGAATGTTTTTCCCCTCACAAGCCTGTTCTGTTTAATTAAAGTAGGAGTCTTCAGTCTAAAAAGTACTTTTCAACCATGAATCAACAGCGCTCGGGATAAATTCCTTGATAAGGCAAGACGAATTGGTTGAAAAAGGCCATTTTTATCCTGCTCTTCGACCTTGAAAATAGAAATGAAACTAATAAATATGAACCGAGTCACTCATGAAATGTCCACATAGATTTAGACACGTACCTTTGTATTCAACACTGTATCAATATTTTCTTTATCTTCGGCAGATTTATCAGTTTTTCCCAGGTATTCGTCTGATTTGAACGATAGACGCAGGTCCTCAAGACATCTCATTAATTCATACGTTTGTTCACTTGTAAAAATCACCTGGAACATTCATGTATTTCAATAACTTTAGAGTTCGGAGGCTAGGGTTAAAAGCGAGGTTTCACCCATGATAACGTTCCACGCACCTTCTCGTGTTCCAATAATGGCAAAGCATCTGTAAGCAAGGACAACCAAATTCTAGGAAATCGTGAAAATTGAAATATCTGAAGATGTAAACCAGGCTTCCAATAATCCTTCCAAGAAAACAGAACGTCATATCTCGGCTATACCTTTTTGGTGCAAGATTTGATGTTAGTAATGATATGAGGAGATTGCCAGCTTCGATAAACTCTCCATTTTCATACATCAGGTGAAATTCTCGATATTTGCCTAAAAAGGAAAATCAGGAAGCAACATGTATCCAGACAATCTATCCAGCCAGCTGTTTGAGTGTGGAGAAAAATATTGCGAATATTTCGTAGTTTTAAGTAATGATGTTACCAAGGAATGTAAGACGATCACAGAGTAGCATGGATGATCCCAAATTATCAATAAGATCCAGACTGGAAAATTCACCGCTGTTGAAGTATTCGTCCGTGAATCTTTGAATGAAACGGTTACAGGTCAACGTCATCATGCAAAAGTGATACTAAAGAATTATAACAATCCCTGTATAACAATTATTCACCTTTCCGAAATAAATGAAGCAAACGTAGGATCCTAAAACAGAGAATATGCGGATTAATTGAAGTTAAACAACTCTCTCTTCACCTCTCTCTCCCAGTCTCCCTCCTTCCTCTCGCTTTTCAATATATTCAGAAATAGCTAATGCGCATGCCTTTTATTGATAACTTCGTTCAAATGCTTTTATATATTTCGCGATTTCGAAAAGGAAAGTATATTTTGAGACGTTTAATTTGCAATACCTTAGCCTTGATACACCAGGACAATGCTGAGCCAAGTTTGTTGTTCTGATATGCTCTCATTCCCATCTGTTTACAAATACTTAATGCTGTAACGATAAAATTCAGGCTATGAATATAATGTTCAGGGAAAACCTTAGTCATTCATAGGATTTTATACATATATATTTGTTTAAATTGGCATCTTCAATCACCTTGTGTTGGGAAATTTAACTTCTGACAGAGATTTAAGACCTTAAAAGCTTTGAATTCATTTTCTAAAGGAATTTGATCTATGTATTCTTCCAAGTAATGTCTTGATTCAAGAAGAGAATGAACACTCGTTAAAAATCGATCACAATTAAACTGTTTTTAAAACACCATTTTTTCATGGTCCATAATATATACACATATAGTGGTTGTTACCTTCCTCTTGCTGGACAGTTCAAAAAGTAATCAGCAGCAACTTGCCATAAGCTAAAAACCAAAAAATTTAAATGATCCAAGTGCAAGTATTTTAAGAGAAACACAGCTGCAAAGTACCTTTGATGTGACATTAGGCTGGATGCATACTCCAATATAAGAAACTCTCTTAGATCAACTTGGTAGACATCTCTAAATGCAGGTCAGAAATAGCACAGTATAAGTTATATTGATAGTAGGAATATTAGTAATGAATGTTCTCAAAATTACCAGGTAGGTACTTACAGAGTTTGATGTGACTCTAGCTGGTCGCAGTGATGAAATAGATCAACCAGATGAGCAACAAACCACCAGTTGCCAAAGCATTCACTAAGACATAAAAGTTGAAAAAATCAAACAGAGAATGTAGAAAGAAAAAATTTCTCAAATGCAATTATAAACTACCTGCTCAATTTTATAACACTGTGAACATCAAACTCCATCGCAGCCAGCAAAATCTGATGCCACATTTGAAGTGAACCTTGTCCTCCACATAAATCTATGCAAGACTATAAAGGAAAACAGATTGAGTTCAACGATTCTTCATATTTTTCATGGCCACAAAGCAACTGAGTACTGTACCTTAGTGTGATATTGTAATTCATATGACTTAATGGTTGGATTGGAATACAATAATTTGGCAACCATTATTTCATACCATGATAAATCTTGACAGACATCCCTAAATAAAGTACAAGCAAAAATTTATACATAAAAACCCCATGATAATTCTTCATGATTGTTGTTGACTTACTTGACTTCCACAAATGCTTCATTATCACCACAAAGAATCTGTTAAAGGAACAATACAGACAAATCAGAAATACAAGAATGGGCTGCAGCCATAAAATGAACAAACGTAATGTAGTGTTCATTTTACCAATTGAATTATATACATTGTGTAGTAGCTGGGATTATAACCTGAGCAATGAGCAAAAGTTGTGGGTATGAAGACAGTTCACCATGAGAACATCGATTTTGACATTCCTGTTTCCAGTAATTCCATTTCATTGCAAACTCTGCTTGACCAATAAAGGACTGAAATGGAAAAAGTCAATAGATAGATATTGGTATATAGTCTGTTTGGAGCTAGTCTTCTGATATTTCTTAAGATACAGTATTTCTACAAATATATTGCATAAAGTACCTTAAAGGAAGGCATTCTCTTCAAGAGATCATCAACAATTGCAAATTGCTAGAAAGAGATATAGAACAAAACATCTTTGAATATTTCTTGTTGGTTTAAATTAATCTTGTATACAACAAACCATGGATGGACTCACATCCTGACCGTCAGGGTTTCTATCTGGGTGTTGTGTCAATAAATCTCTTGCTTCCTTTATTCGTCCTTGGAATAATAAATGATAAATCTAAAATAAAGTAAACTTCATATTAAACACACTTCTCACTATACCCTACTGTTTTATATAATGGCTCAGTTTTTTCCTTAAATTTTGCTCTGTAAATTCTAAATGAAAAAACTGACATACTGCAGGCCAATAATCACTACTTTCTGCAGGTTCTGGTAAGTCTGCCACTTCTCTTGCAAGTCTATCAGCAGTATCACAATGCCATTTCACCCAGTCTAATAAATGTTGAAGAACTATTCCTCCTGGAAGGAAATGTTGTGATCAGTGTTTGCAGTACAAAGTTTTTAAAATTATGACAGTGATGCCAACAATTAATAATGTAGAACTATATCAACATTGAGGGGATTACCTGGTAGGTTTTCTATTAGCAGGATTTCACAAAGATGCCAAACTAATTCAATAAAGCTCAGTAATTTCACCTACAATTAATATAATTAAATGCATGAGCTGATGATGAGAACAAGATGAATATATTCAATGTTGTACTGTACCTGATTATATTCATCATCTGCATTTTCATCCGTTTTATAAGTGAGTAAACATGCTCTGAGGACAGCTCGATACCGTCGACTGAATGTCACTAAACTAAACAAGTGCATCACTTTTAGTAATTACATAACACACAACAATTATGGACATTATAATAAAATTGATATTTTTTTATACCTGGCTTTTTTTGACTGTGCAGAAGCTTTGTCAAGTTGTTGTAAATCCAAGAATATTCCTAGATAAATTATAACCATAAATACAACATATGTTTGATTAAAAATAGAAATATTTCTGGTATAAATTACCATGTGTTTCATTAATCAATCTTCTTGTTGTCTTGTTTTGTAAATCTGCTTCCATTTTCATTTGGTGAATTGTAGTTGACAGGAACGAATCTCTTGAACTTCCATTTACTAGGCAAAGAAAAACTTTTTATTTTGATACAACACTTTACTTAAAAGGGACACCAAAGTTGGATCCTGCATGGACACAAGATGATGGTGGCATGCACAAAATCAAATCTATCTTATACTTGTACAATAAAAGGATATTAAATCATCTTACAACTATCATGACCAGAATATACCCAGAGAGAATTCCCACCTCCCCAGGAGGCTTGAAGACGTCCTTGTAGAGGTAAGGTTGTAAGCTGACGAAAAATAATTAAAAAATTATCAAATCATATACTCATACAGGTAATTCTGTATGCAACAGGTTTCATTTTCTAGAACAGCACAGCGATTACACTTGTGGATAAATCGCATAACCTTACCATAACAGCATCGCCTGATTGTTCCATTTCACTGAAAAAATTCACAATCTTCTTCTATCTTCACGTTGTATAAATACCTTGGATTGAAATGTGAGTATGTTACCAAATGTTACTGTGGTGTTTATGCTAATTAGCAGCGCAACACAAAGTGAGCGCAACATCATTGGGCAACAAGCATATTCAAAATGGCCACCGCAAAGCCATGTGAAACCACAGAAACTTTATAGTGTCATGTGCACAAATAAACTGATTTAAAACTTGGCAAGTCATGAGATACGCTCAATTGGTAATTGGACCGGCGGGAAGCGGGAAATCTACGTACTGTAGTACAATTGTCAGACACTGTGAAAACATTGGTAGAACAGTGCATGTGGTCAATTTAGATCCAGCCGCAGAATATTTCGATTACCCTGTTTTGGTGGATACACGAGAACTTGTGCAACTCGAAGACGTTATGGAAGCAGAGGACTTGAAACTTGGTCCAAATGGAGGCTTGGTTTTTTGCATGGAATATTTGATTAAAAATATGGAATGGTTAGAGGAACAGTTAGGATACAGTGATGAAGATTATTTCATATTTGATTGCCCTGGTGGGTTAGCAAGCTATATGTTACCATTGATTGCATTCACAACCACCATTGTGACTTATATTTCTTGCTCTGCATTTCAGGACAAATTGAATTATATTCACACATACCTGTTATGCGGCAGTTTGTTGAAACTTTGCAACAATGGGATATTCGAGTATGTGGTGTGTTTCTTGTCGATTCAAAATTCATGGTGAATACTGCCATGTTTTTCTCTGGTGTTCTGGCTGCCTTGTCTGCCATGGTTCAACTGGAGATTCCTCATATCAATGTCATGTCAAAAATGGATCTCCTCAGCAAAGATCAAGCATCAGACATTGAAAGGTAAATAATAAACATTGTGCTAGCAACATCAATCATGTTAGAAAATGACTCACAAAATCTTTTTATATTAGGTTTCTTGATCCAAATCCAAGAGAACTGATGGAAGAGGCATGGCAGAATAAAAAATATCAAAAACTGAACATTGCCTTAGCACAGGTTATTGATGACTTTAGTATGGTTCAGTTTGTACCATTGAACAATACAGATGAAGAATCAGTTACAAATGTTTTGCTACAGATTGATAATGCAATACAATATGGGGAAGATTTAGATGTCAAAGATAAAGATTCACAAGATGACAACAGAGATGACTTTAAATGGGACGGAAACAAGGGTTGAGACAAAAACCCAGACAAGATAGAGGAGAATTTGAAGTAAATTACACTGATAACTATGTACAATACTGTTATGTTTTGGGAGATTCAATGTAAATATTGTTACTTTTTAATACCGTTTTTAAATAGCTGATCCTCATTCATTTCTTTGTTGTTCATTTGTTTGGGTTTAATGATTGGCTGGTAGTGATGCTAGTTTAATAAGTTTTACTGATTAGCATCCTTCTGGGCCACACAAAGGCCGCCATATGTGGCCCGCAAATCTTTGAAGGCTTACTTGGTCATTCATTACAAACAGCTTCCTTCTTTTCAAAAACAAAATATTTAAACTTGATTCCTTTTTCTTCTTGCATTTTTTCAGGCACATCCAGGTCACTAGATTAATATGATAAATATTTGTTTCAAAATTACACAACATAGTGAGAAAATAAAAAAGACAGAAATAAAATTGCATCATAATTGCTATCCATGTGCTGAAGCAGTGTGCTTTGTGTCCCTACCTGATAACATTGAAATCTTCTTTGTCAAAACTAGGATAAAATGTATCGCATTCAACATCCATATGAACTTCAGTAAGATACAATCTGTGAAGATTTGGCATGTTCATTGCTTCCTAAAATAGTTATGGGTTCTGTAAATGTTGCTTATCCAAGGCCAGAAATCATTGAGATATTTACGGTTCATCTATCATTAACTTGGCAACTCTCATTCTCTGTGCAGGGTATACAGTGACTTTACCTTATACACACCATAGCCTCCAGTGATAAAAACATGTTCAATACTTTGATCATATGGGGCTTTAGACAGGACATCCATGGCTTCATTTAAATCTGGACAGAGTAAAACACCCTCTGGTACAGAGCTAGAAAAGAAAAAATAAATGTCACCATGTTATGATACCATCACTACCATGCATTAATTAAGTATACTATCAATATTTTTACCTCATTGTTTTACTAAGAACAACATTCAGTCTTCCTGCAAGAGGCAAATGCTTTGCAGGAATACTTTCCCACGTCTTTCTTCCCATTATAACTGCATTTTGTTTCCCTACACACAATATATTTCAAATTTACTAGTAATATCATGCATGAGAATGATGAGAAGGCTGAAAGCCCAACTTAGTACGCAGTGAATGAAATATCTAACCCATGTTTAATACCTTCATTCTTGACATCTGTTGTAATTCTTGTGAAATATTTCATTTCTGATCTGTGTTAACAATGATTCAAATGCTTAGTGAATCCCTATGGTGCCTGCATGGGTGATGGGGCAGCCAGAGTGGGGCTCCCTATAAGATCATGGTAAGGGACCTAACAGGAGTGATAACTTCTAGTAAAGAAAACAATAACAAACCTCAATCGCCAGGGAAGCTTTCCATCTTTTCCAATGCCTCTATTTTTGCTGCTCATCGCTGCAATACAACTCATTTTTCTTGGCACCATCTTGGAACTTCAGTAGTCCAGTGATAATGATTACTAGAGCTCAATGGGAGACGACACTGAGCTTTAAGAAACCACAAGAAACTGGATAATGATAGCGACACTGAGCTCTAAGAAACTGGATAAAAAATGTATCCAACCAGTAATCTCCATTGATGATAGTAATCTTTTAGTGGTAATAAGGAACCGCAGACAGAAAGCGCTCAGAAATTATTGAGAATTTCAATGAAATGAAATGAAACATAAAGCTCAGTCGAAAGGATTTATTAGAAATCACAATTCTCTATTAAACATAAACTAGCTTGCCTATTTATTTTGACAAATTTACTTTTGATCAACTTTGACATAATCTGTAAGAACAATAGTAGGGATTGGTGAATTGCAAGTTTCCAAGTGACCGTTTTTGTCACAAGCTGCAGATGATGACCCGTGCTCTTGGTAAGGTGTCGTGATGTCATCTTGTGAGGATGACGGAATAATGATGATGTCATCATCATCGCCCTCATTTCTAAGATAAACACGTGAATCCAGAACCATTCTTCCAGCCTGTGACCATGCCATTGTGCGAAGTTCCGGAACAGATGTTGCTGAAATCATATCTTTCCTTTCATCTTCTTCCAAGTGGCTTCTTGTTCCTTCCAGTGGTGGTAGGCAAACACTTAATGAACGAGCGCGGTCAGGAACCAACAGTTCATTCGCAGAAATATCAACCAAAGTACTTGTCTGAGAGCTTTTTACGAAGAGTGGGTTGGTATCTACCATTGGCAGATCAGTGTCGTCTATTGTGATTCCTAATTCACGTTTTTTGCGAATTGCTTCATAGCGTTTTCGCGTTAGGCCAAATAAACTTCCTGTACTTCGTCGTCGATACAGCAGACCAGTGAATTCAGATTCTTGGAAATTGAGGTTTTCTGATAGGTCTAAAATCTCAGCCTCGTTCTCGTATTGTGTACCAAAGATAGTCTTACACAGACCGCAGAGTTGAGCATCTTCGTGGATCTGAATGACATTTTTTGATTGAGATATCTTGCTCGTATTTTCCTGAGTGGCACAGTCGGTGGTTGTGAAAAGAATAGGGGGCTTTTGGAAGAGGATTTCAACGTTTTCATTATGAGGATTGATGGAATTAACTTGGGGTGGCCCGGAATATTTGCGTTGATGTTCTGTAGGGCTCTTCTTGCCAATTGTGACCAGACTAGGGGAACTTGTGTTCCTGGATGGTCGTTTGCGGATCTTTGACGACACTTTGGACTTTTTATTGGTTTCGGATTTATTCTTTTTTCCCAGCTTTTTCTCTGGTTTTCCAATTGAAACATCCTGAATATTCTCTTGGACTGGGTTGATACTTGGCGTTCTTTCCACGTCACGCATGGTCCACATCGTCTTATCCTCCATTTTTCCAAAGTCACGGGCCATCTCTCGCATTTTCCTCTTGCATGCTTCAACAATAGTTTTAGCTTGAACTAAATCCCGCTGCTGTAAGGCATAATCGAAGGCGCACTTGTGACTGCTGTCTTCCAACCATGGGTCAGCACCTGCATTTATAAGATCAAATATTACACACGCCCGCATTATAACTGCATAAATCAGCGGCGTTCGTCCAGTCTCGTCTTTCGCATTAACATCCGCACCAGCAGAGATCAAATACTTTACGACTTTCTCTCTAGTCTCCCCACGGATGTGACACGTGTTGTGTGAGGATAAACACGTGATCAATAACGGGGTTTGTCCGTGATCATTGCGGCTGTCCACGTGTACACCTCCTTCGACGAGTAATCGAACCAGACGAAGCTTGCTGGTCGCGACTGCGTTTAATAAAGCTTGAACTGGTTTGTTTGCTTCTTTACTGACATTGGACATTTTGGTTTTTATAGGTTGTCTTTTTCTTGCAGACGTCCTCACTTTATCTTCCTAAAAAAACAAGAACAATGTGATCGTTACGACTGTTTAGCTCATTCTCAAACTTTGATATTGTTAACTTCTGAACTAGTCGAACGCAGACTGACACACACAGTAACACTCCAGCCTGGTTAATGACATGAATGCACCCGGGGAGTGTGATGAATTCCGAGAAATTTACAGCAAAATTTCTACCACTTCTGCGAGAACAAACATTCTGAGAGCAGAAGAACGAATGTCTTTCTACAAAATTGCTGCGAAGAATGCGCCATTGCTTCAGCAGATTTCATCGCATACTGCATGACTTGTTATATTCAGTAAAAGGTGTTACAGCAACCTCATCTTATCTTTCAAACGTTCACGCAAAATGTGTGGCTAATGAAAGATAATATCTCGGAATGGGGCATTGCCAGTATATAGCTGTGTCGACTGTCGCAGTAAAAAACAGTGATGATTAATGGCTGCTTGCCATAAAGAAGTAAAAGAACGATGTTTCAGCGACTGTGTTGGTTTAAAACGTTGAAGTCATGTAGTGTCAACCTTTTTCAAATAATCTATCACTTCAAGAATTAAATTATTTCCGTGCATATTGATTGAATGCGCCACGAAAACAGTAAATGAGTCGCTATCCGATATGAATTTGACGCACGAGATAAATTGAAATCGCGCAAAGAAAGTGTTTTGTTATTTTGTATTACTTCAACGTTGCATGCGGAGAAACTGCTCTTTAAGGTTGCATTTTGCTTGTCAGTTTTAATAAAACGATATAGGTCTTGGCGTGTGTGCAGGTGTTCCTTTATCTTGGCTTAAAATTGTTAATATTGCCTTCATTACATTTTCATACACGCGTGAGATATAAACTTTGCTGGATAAATTTCACAGATCAAGATTTTTGCATGTCGCGTCAACATTCAAATAAGTCGTTGGGTGTAAATTTATTTGCACAACTAAGGTAAAACTAGGCATGCAAGCTAGCTATAAAAATCCAATACAACGAATCGCTAGATATTTCTATATCTAAATATTCACCCCTGTACTAGAGAACTTTCAATTTGTACCTGCATCCTGTATCAAAACGTTTTCCGTGTTTGTCTTCACCCTTTCTCGCAAACAGGATTCTGAGGTGTAAGTCCAAGCTGTTCGTCTGCACTGGGGCTTCATGCAAACACAAAAGTGGGAAACGATTTTAACACCCTCGCAAACAAACCTGAAAATTCCTTAAAATTTATTCGGTTTTTTCCAAGCGTCCTTTTTAAACATGTACTGAAAGTAGGAGAGATCCAACAACAAAATTATTTCTACTATAGATTTTATCAGAAACACGATACGTTTGTTTATATGTAGTTCAGCAAACGTTATATGACAATTCTTTTTCAGTGAACATACAAATTGAATAGTATTTGCATATCAAGGCATGAATATATATGCTCAAAATCCTCCCACTCAACCCCTACGCTCTTTCTACATGCCGTGTTTTTAAACACATCTGTTGTCGGTGAAATGCACTTTATTATTACAAAATGCGTTTCTCAGTTGTAATGTTTCACATTTACAGCAAAACAAATAGCTATGTGACAAGTTTTTACCTAATCTAGGCTTAGCTATGGGCTTGCACTTGTTTGAAACATAAAGTATAAAGTTAGTATATACGACCGCATTTTAGTTCAAGTGGAAATTTCTGATCTATGCATGCTAAACTATAAAACCTTATGTGCTCCATGTAAAGCCTTAACATCATTGAATGATTTTCCTTCAAAGCCATTTTATTTTACTAAAAGTAGTGTTGCGTGGCTTATTTAGAAAGTCCAGGGAATATAAATAGAAACTACAGGTTTGACACTGCGGTTATCTCCATATGGACAGTGTTTCGTGTCACTACATGCATGCACCTTCTTCAGTAAAATTTTTTTCTTCAACTAACTTGGGGCCTATTTCTAGTGTAAAACGGATGCTTTCTCTGAGCGTTCAGTCGCTCCGTCAAGATTTTTCAAACAATGAGGAGAGAAATGAAATATCAGCTTCGGTTATGCTAAGCGCCAATTAGCCGTACTGCTAAATTTGAGATGACGCCTTGTAAAAATATAATTTTCACATTGAAAGCTCATTGTAAAAGGAGAATTTCCCTTGCTTCATAATCACTCTGCGCGCGTGTTGGAAATATTTGTGGGAAGTGGAAATTAATTTAAACGGCGTTTATCTTCTGCTCATCAAGAATGTGGCCGCGAGCTTTCCCACCTTTTGCTCTTTATGAGGTTTAAAAAAATCATTACGAGATACGTAACAACGGAATATTAATGAACTCTATTTCATGAACAATGACTGTTCGGTCCAAGAATTCAAATTTAATTTGACTGACTCGAATATCCTCAGAATAGAACTATAGATTTATGAATGTTAATGCAGCTGGTGTTTTAACAACTGATATAAATAAGGAATAAAAATTTTATAAAAATCAACTGAATGTTTTTCGCAGTTTAAGGAAATGAAGAAGCTTTTCATTTTTAGGTCGGTGATATCGCTTTGGTTTGCCTGCGATTACATATGCTGAAAAGAAGATTTCATTGTAACTCCTAACTAAAAGAAAAACTTCATTGTAACTCCGAACTAGGAAATTGCAATTGAATACCATTACATGCACGAATAAAAATCACTAAATCATTTGAGTTCTCGAAAATTGTCTTAAAATGCTTTAAAGAAAACATGCAGCAACGTCGACAACCTTTGAAGTTGGTTCATAATTTTAAACAAAATTCACAGTGATCATGAAACATTTTAAATATTTATAATAATAAGATGAAATCAGTCGTAAAAACAACTGATTATGTCGGCGATGATTTTTCTTTGATATCACTACGTCGCATGCAAAAAATTCATGAAACTGTGTTGTCAGAGAGTTAACGTTCTCAGAGAATTAACATGGTGTAGGTCAAGAAACACTCATGCATTTCATGCAGTCAGGGTATCATTTAGGCTTTGTGTTGACTTCATCCTTTTACCTCAAATAATCACACTGACTGATTGCGGCGCTGAGGATTTCTAGTTTATATTAATAAGCATAATCACATGCAAAACTTGGAACGACGATGATCATGTTTTCTTGATCATTTCTGAAACACATTTTGAGAAAGTCATTTGACGAAAAATAAATTGAAAGATCAAAATCTATTCGTCGCAAAATGAGTAACTGAAGGTTCCGATATAATATAGTTAACCTGATCCAAAGGAGACCTATATAGCTATCATATATTGTTATAGTCAACATAACATTAATGACATTTAATAATCTGTAAATTGTAACTTTTCTCTGTACTTACCAGAGTCGAATCTCTTCCAATCACTTTTCCAGTTCTTCAACTTCAGTCTTCTATTACAAGAAGATTTTCTTCGCCTGTATTGCCAGCTTTGCCTTCCAGAATGAATAACGGGTTCACACTCATTGTTCGTGGACTAACCAAATTTGGTTCTGTGGTTTAAATGAAGTAATTAAAGTTTTATGAAGACTAAGATTTGCTAACAACAAACATTCATATGGGTAAATATTTTCTATTAATTCTCTTTCAATATCGACTTTACTCGGTTAACCAAACGTTTTTAAAGGTGATGGATTTTTAATAGTTACAATCCCTAAAATAAACTTTAGAGTAATTTGCTGTGGCTCTGCTTATTTCAATCTCATACAAATTGATACAACTTAACAATTGCTTGCTAATTGCAACAATCTGCGATGTTGGAAAGGAAACATATGTATAACTACACGTGATAATAACAACTGTACGCTTATGACGTCCTTGCCAAAATATCGCTCTGATCTTACGTAAATTCGGGACAGATACCCAAACTTTGATATGACTTTCCCGCATTAAAATCTGGTTTGTTCACGTGTTTTTCAAAATCACGGGGGTTGCGTCGTAATTATGTCATTTCTTTCGTTACCACACGGAAGGAATGGTCGATTCTTGTGAGATTTATAACCTCTGACATCTCTTTGTATGCATCTTGTTAGCATAGCAGGAAACTTAATCCTTTCTATATTTACTCAAGTGTTTCTCTCGATTACACTATCAGCATATTGCAGCCATTAGGTTCATAAGCTACTTAGCGGACGCCTGCAGGTACTGCGTTGTTCATATTTGCTGTAAATAAAAAAACGATGGTGTTTTACCTCAGAACTTTCACTGTTCTAATTCTGGTTGCGTTTGGATGTCATTTCATCGAGGCTAATGATGAAGCAAGATTTGATTGCTATCCAGAGCGTCTGGTGGACAAGGATGCTGTGAATAAAACATTGTGTGAAAAAAGAGGTTGCATTTGGAAGAAACCTGGGAAAGATCAGGCAAGTCTTACTTTGTAGTTTGTATTTATTCTCAATCTCAGCGAGTTTAAACGTCTTGTAAATCCGACGGACATATTACATTGTGCTGTGTGTGAATCATTCTGGGGGGTTAATTTAAAATCTTAAAATCCGTGCTTTTATAAGCAACGCTGTAATCAACATTTATCATTCAGGATTTGATTAGCTTACTATAGCGTCATTTGAATTCAGAAAAATAACCCTCCTATAATTTACCACAAGACTAAAATGAATGCTATTTGATAAAACCGATAATGACATCGATATCTTGCATACCAAGCGTCGCTATTATCGACGTGATCTTATTGTTGGCATGATCACATGCGTCATAGTGATGATAACGAATACTCTATAATTAAAAACGTGAGTATAAAGACGATATCAATTGTAAGCATTGATAAGATAACAAAAGATGCACCAGGGAATTTCGTAATGCATTCTGCGTCCATTTCTCTTTAGAATGCACCATCATGTTATTATCCAGCCAACTTCAACGGCTATAGATTGATAAAGAAGAAACATTACCCCGAGAATCGTACGAGAATATATTCTTTGAGACGTGAAGCCAAGACAGTGTTGTATGGAAATCACAGTGAGAACATTTCTGTCCACGTACAATTTTCTCACAATGACGTTTTACGAATTAAGGTAAATTCATTGTGCGTATCGTACAGGCGGTACAGCATCGTACATCACACCAAAAATCCTGCATATTTCAAATATTTCTTGATAGATCGTTGACAGCCATGAAAAACGTTACGAGGTTCCAGTCAGCATCAGTCCCTCCCACGAAGGAGCGGAGCCGGTGTACGATATCCAGACTGTGGACTATCCATTTTCGTTAAAAATAACCAGAAAGTCAGATAAAGAAGTTTTGTAAGTTTTTGAAATAACGGTAGCACAGGGTGTTATGTTTTAACAAGAGGGAAAACACTTCGCTCGCTGTCAGCGTAGATAATGATGTGCTTCCAAAAAAGAGCGGTAGATTTTTGGGTGTGTCAACCTCCCTTCCTTCAAAAATGTTAACTCCCTCATTTTCGCAAGTATGGCTGCTCATAATGTGCATACATTCACTTAAGGTGGGACACATCCGTAGCACCAATTATATTCAGTGATCAATACATCCAGATCTCAACAAAACTTCCCTCGAAATATCTCTATGGTTTTGGAGAGGATGAACACGAGACGTTTCACAGATCACTGGACTGGCAGACACTTGGCATGTTCTCTCGAGATCAGTTTCCATTTGTAAGTAGACTAATTTACAATGCAAATATACAAAAAAATGTTGAAAGATTTAACCCTATATCGAGGTATATATTTCAACGAAAGAATATCGTTTCCTTGCATGCCATTACAGGCTGCACCTCAACGAAATGTTTATGGCGTACATCCATTTTATATGAGTTTGGAAGAGAGCAGCAAAGCACACGGAGTTGTATTGATAAACAGCAATGCTATGGGTAGGTTTTTGCTTGGCCAACAATGTTGTATTTTCAGCCATTTTCTAGGACAAGCATATCGCTTTTCTCGCCATTTTCTGAGTCGATATATTTTGTATTTTGTATCATTTCTAACATACATAATTGTTCTTATTCACTGCAACATGGAAGATGTGACGTTACAACCAACACCGGCCTTGACGTACAGGACTATTGGTGGAATACTGGATTTTTATATGTTCTTCGGACCAACACCAGAGCAAGTTGTTCAACAGTACACTAAGGTTTGTGTTACATCGCCAGATTTGGACTGCAGTTGATCGCTTTTTAACAAAAACTTTTCCTTGCTAAAAAACGAGTCGCTATACGCTGACCACGAAAACTAATCTGTCATTTTCTCTTGAGATAGTTAATTGGCAGAACAATCATTCCACCTTACTGGAGTCTTGGTTTTCAACTATGTCGATATGGGTATAAAAATCTGGATGAAGTAAAGAATGTTGTCTCAGAAATGAAGAAATATGGCATTCCTCAAGTACGTTGCTGTAAATAGCTGTTTGTATACTAATAAAAACCATCGTATATATCTTTCACGAGGGAAAGACGCAAAGTAAACTCACAAACTACAAGTCATAACTCGCGGCATAATCGGTCATTTGAAACTAAAGTACGAGATATTCCCTCCTCCCGCAGGATGTACAATACGGTGACATTGATTACATGGAAAGACAGTTGGATTTCACTTACGACAAAAATACATTCAAAGGACTACCTGAGTTCGTGGATTCTATCAAAAAAGATGGCCTAAAATACATTATCATCTTGGTGAGATTCTCAGAACACGACCATAGTGCATGAGGAATCATTTCTTTATGATCTAACTCGACTCTTATCTTTTTAAAGGACCCAGCTATAAGCGCAAATGAGACAAAACCATATCCACCCTACAGCGAAGGGGTCAAGGAGGATGTTTGGATAAAGAATAACGATGGAGAAATTTTATTCGGAAAAGTACATAATATATTGGCTTTAGCAAAGATTAATACCGTAACATAGATTAAAATTATTAATATCTACAGCCGGCTATCATCTCAATGAACGTCTTCACCTAGGTATGGCCCGACTATCCAAATGTCACAGATAATGCAAGTCTTTCTTGGGATGAGCGAACAAAGGTAGCTCATTGAAAGTTTCATAGAAATAATTTTCTCATCAACAACAATATTTCCACTCAGCGATGGAAAGTGTCACAAATGAATGCTGTGAAATAATTTTAGCGTTTTCGAGCATTCGTTGCATTTCCTGACTACTTTGCGAAAAACACGACTAAATGGTGGAAATCGGAAATCGAAAAGTTTCATAATATCGTCGATTTTGATGGATTGTGGATAGTAAGATATTTCTTTTATATTCTATCGAACTTTCGTACCAGTATAGAAAACGTTAAAGAATAAGAACCCTCAATTGCTGAAAATGCATGGCTGATTTTTGCTTCTCTTCTATATTAGGACATGAACGAGCCAGCAAATTTTGTACACGGATCAACGAAGGGGTGTCCTAATAACAGATTTGATTATCCTCCGTATAAACCTTGTAGGTATCCATAGTCTTGGTTTGAAGACGATTGTTTATTGATTAACGACCAGACGCGGGAAGTAATTGTACTTTGACAAATTTTGGTGGTTTTAGATGTAATCGGGAACGTCTTAGCGGACAAGACAGTGTGCATGAGTGCCACCCAGGGTGGTGGATTATATCGTCATTATGACGTTCATAGTTTGTATGGCTGGAGTCAGACTATTGTCACACAACCGTAAGATGAATGCATGACCTTATCATTTCTATACGAACTATCCACACCTTGAACCAGTAGATGTAATCCCCCGGAATTTCTAGGATTGTTCAAAGTGTAACCGGTAAAAGAAGTATTGTCATATCTCGATCAACATACCCAAGCAGTGGAAAATATGCTGGACACTGGTTAGGCGATAATCTGTCACAATATTATCAAATGCATCGCTCTATAGTGGGTGAGTTTGAAGGCAGCAATATTGTGCCTAATTTTTTGCATGACAGAGTATTCATTCACACAGAGTATTTCAGTAAAAACTAAAGATGAACGTTTTCTGGTTTTATTATAGGAATGCTGGATTTCAGCTTGTTTGGAATTCCATATGTAAGAAAATATTCATGTATACACTTTGAATTCCCGGCATCTTGGTCAAGCTTTAGCTTGCCCGGGTGGTAACTCAGAGTAGCATCATCACAATAGTTGGAGAAAACCAGTTACCAACTTTAATTCCAAACGTGGATTCTGAAGTGGTTTTCTCCTCATTACTTTTCCCTTAAAGATTGGTGCAGATATTTGTGGTTTTATCGACAACACAACACCAAGATTATGCCAACGTTGGATGCAACTCGGAGCTTTTTATCCATTCAGCAGAAACCACAATGCCATCGGAAACCAGGTGGATATACCTTTCGAATATCGAGAGTATTCCCTGCGATTCTGGTTTTACCTTTTTTCTTCAATTGCAGCCTCAACATCCTACTGTATTTGGTGAAGAAATCGCTAGAAACTCCAGAGATATCCTCCTGGTGCGGTACAGACTTCTGCCATACCTTTACACACTGTTTTACGAAGCTCACACAAAGGGATCAACTGTTGTGCGACCTCTATTAAACGAGTAAGTTTCCTTTCTGAGTCCGAAGTTTGTCAAAAGATTTCCTGTATCGTGACAAGTGGTGAAAATTCACATCAGTCAGTCAGTGAAAACTACCAAGGAAAAGGGATCGAATTAAATCTCTGAGCTTGTTTATCCTGCTTTTATAAGGTTTACCAGTGACAAGAAAACATGGACAATTGACAAACAATTCTTATGGGGACCCGCATTGCTTGTTAGTCCCGCAATGGAGAAGGTGAGAAATGTTTAGGACGACTGGAGTTCTTGTATTAGCCGTTTTCCGGCGAACTCGACCATGGTCGTATTTGCCATTTTCCGGCGAACTCGACCATGCAATAGTCGTATTTATATGGTCGTATATTTGCCATTTTCTGGCAAACCCGACCATGGTCTTATTTGCCATTTTCCGGCGAATATATGACCATGGTCGTATATTTGCCATTTTCCGGCGAATACGACCATGTTCTTATTTAATTGCCATTTTCCGAATACGAATACGACCATGGTCGTGTTTGCCATTTTCCGGCGAACTCGACCATGGTCGAATTCACCATTTTCCTACGAACTCGACCATGGTCGTATTTGCCATTTTCCGGCGAACTAGACCATGGTCGAATTCACCACCTTCCTACGAACTCGACCAGGGTCGTATTTGCCATTTTCCGGCGAACTCGACCATGGTTGGATACGCCATTTTCCGGCGAACAATATAAATTGTATTTAGATTTAAGTGATGTGTATTAACTTTTGAACTTTTTTCATTAAACGCATGCAGAATCAAACAAAAGTGAAGGCTTACTTTCCAGGTTCTCGTTGGTTTGATTATTTTACGGTACGTTACAAATTTCTGTGCGCCTAAATATGTAATTCAGAGCAATTAGATTGCAAGTATATGTCTGAATCATTAAAGAGAGAAGAGGTACCAACAAAAAAGGGATATCACGAGCTACAAACTCCGCAAGATCACATTAATCTTCATCTCCGAGGCGGTTATGTTATTCCAATCCAAGAACCAGCAAACAATACATTCTTCAGGTGAATTTTCTCAAAACGCAACGGCTATTAGTGCATGATTCCCTTTGGCTTATCAATACGCTCAATACTGTCCCTTTTACAACAGTCGACGTAATTCGTTTGGTCTGATTGTTTCCCTGGATGATAATGGCCTGGCAACTGGGAGTATGTTTTGGGACGATGGTGATTCAGTAGGTAGGCAAAACAGGTTGATGGTAGATATCAGTCACAAATTCCATAGTTTTACAGAAATACCAATCGTTCGTACAAAAGAATATATAAAGCAACAGTTTTGAATTCTGTAAAAGACGTCTCTTTCATTTTCAAAATAGATTCCGTGGAGAGAAAGAATTTCCTCTTGTTAAGATTCAACGTGACTGAGGTAAACAACTTGCGCAAAGTATCAAAGAACAATTTTACTTTAGGATTAATGAATTGATTGAAGAAACTAAGAAAGAACGAGAGTTAGGAAAGATGCTTTAACTTTACAGAATAAACTGTCAATAACAGTTGAACAGACTGGGTTTGCTGTTGAACCTCGTCTGGAGAATATTCTCGTGCTGGGTTTGAAAGATGGTAAGGTGAAAGCCTCTGATGGGATCTCTGTGTACCACGAAGAGACAAAGGTAAAATTTTACCGAAGAAATTTAAATTCAACATTTTATACATATACAAATATCTAGATTCTATATAGACGATATATGCATCTCATACACGATTTAACTGGACTGTTCTTTCTTTTATCCTAGTCTCTGAACATCACAAGATTAAACTGGAAGTTGAATGAAACCCATGTGATTTCATGGTCGACAAATTCAACAACTTCAACAACTCCAACAAGCCATGGCTATACAGTGAAATTGGAAGTCTATACGCATCTTTTGTCCAACACATTTGTTGTTTTTATTGCCTTTCTTATGAACAAATATTTGTATTGAGAGCTCTTGAGAACCATGCATATTTCTTTTCAAACAAGTGGTTGTAATAGACAGCTTATATAACAATAGTTAAATAGTTTTTAAGCGCTTTGTATGTTTTTGTGGTATACGTTTGTGTAAGCTTAAACGATTCTAGTGTTTGAATAAATTTTCTAAGTGTTTTTCTGCCAGGTTCCATTACGACAAACTTTATACGGTTTCATAAAATCCTTACCATAGTTTTTGCTAAGGTACTCAGGCACCTTATTAGGACATTTCGTGTTAAATCCAAGAAAACTGCAAGGCTTGATGGGCAGGATGACGTCACGGGTGTATGTAATACGTTCATACTCATCAAACAAAGTAAAGCTTTTCTCAGCAAGCACAAAAACATCTAAGAACAGATCTCTGCCCAATAACACTCGGGCGTGTGGATCTAAAATGGAACAAGGGTCGACATGATCAGCGACAAGATTCCCCCTACAATCTCGCCGGGGTGTACCTGCTTTTGGGTGAGGGGAGTACCTCTGGATTATTAGGTGGGGATCGCCATCACTGTAGTTGAATGGTCTTTGTGCTTCCTCGGGGTCTAACTTTGGCAAATCTTTTCTATAAAGAAATAGAGTGACATATTTTGTCTCATATATCGATCGTTATATTAAAGAAAGGAATTATGAATTTGCTTTGTGCTTGCACGAGATATAATCGATGATTTTGAAGTTCTGAGAAAGTCTTTGAGAATTAGAATCTTTTCTTCGTTCTGTCCTACCTAAAGATGCAGATATCTAGGTCGTGATCGTATGGTATGGCCTGACCATGTAACCATGACCCAAGCAACGAACCAAAACATATGAAATAATTTTTAATCTTCCTCCTGGTAGTGATAATGCTCCAGTATCTCATCAATGTTGGGAAATCCTTCTGTACTTTGTTATTCTTGCATCCCTCACCATATAACGCTTTGAGGCTTCGTCTTCTGGTCGTTTCATTCCTTACAACTTCTGAGTTTCTTTCTCCTGCGATCACGTTTTCTGGGGGTTCCTTGGAGAGTGTCCTCGGTGTTTTTAGGAACCAAGTATTTGAAGGCTTAGTTGTTTCCAAGGTATTAACAGAGGTTGTTTGTTTGACGATCCAATTCACAACGGCATAAAACGGCTTACTATTTTTGAGGAAATTCGGGCTTATTTCACTCCATCTCGTATTCTGACGAGGTGATGATATCTTACGGCTAATAAAGACGTATGTCACAACACACAAACACAGGAACAGAAAAATTATTTTAGTACAGACTCTGCGAGTCATGACACGTCTTGTTACACTAACAAGTGATAAACGCCACTCTCTACTACCTTGATAACCGAGACTATACTATATCAATATACATTATTTTTGTATAGTTAAAATGGTTGATATGAATATTCCCCAGCTGCAACTAATTTATGAGCCAAAGAAGCGGATCATGTTGGTGTAAGTTAATGAAATTTTCTCCTTGAGTTAATATTGTTTTGCGCTTATATTTGCTTTTTGAAGCAAGCAAATTAATTTTACAACAAAAGTAAAAAGTTATTAAAGCAGGTATTCACTTTGACATATTTAATTTTCCTCAAACATTTATTAAATTTGGAAATTTTAAACCTTTGTAATCAAAGTCGCTCTTCCAATTTCGATATCAGTAAGTTGCATGTTTAGTTCTCGAAAATCATCCCTACAGTATAGGCGTGTAGCTCTAAGACTATATGCAAGAGTCTGAGATACAGTGACAGATTTAGAATAATGTTATAAACGACAGATACCTACTAAATTTGCACAAAAAAGGAGCCATGGACCATGGTTAACAAAGAACAAGCAGTTTCTTTATATATCTTTTTAATAATATCAACAATGCTATATTGCATAACAGCATAAGTTATATGTAATTTCTGTGTACCATGCTGAAATTCATATATACTGTCTGAATAAAACTTTGCTTAATTTCCCAAGATACTTTTAGAAATATCAATTAGAAATTTAGTATGAATATAAAACATTTTTCTAGTGAGTGTTGCTGTAAACGAAATTCATTCGGATTTAGACTGACGAAGAAACACTTCCTTTAGATCAGAGATTAATTCTATCGTCGCTTTCTTTAACTAGAAAACGAAAAACTTCCTGTTTTTAAACTATATCTAGGCTAGCTTCCTCTCGCATTAAGTTTATAGAAAAATAAACTGAAGAAATTCTTTACCTCTCCTCTGGAAGAACCCGCGTATTCCTGGAGTTTTCTTATTGAAACCTAAAAAGTATTGTACGCATGAGGTAGATAAAAAACTGATACCGGTTGTCATGAAATGAACTCTGGTCAAAACATGGCAGTTAACTGAAGGTTGGTTAGTGTCTTAGTGAAAATAAAACTGGTGTGACCGTGTTTCTCTTCCATCCAAACAGTTGATTATTTTCTTGAGTAGAAACTAGAGTTTTCAATGACAATGATGCTTACCACTTCAAGGAACTCGTGAGCGAGAGACACATTCTCCGGTTCCATCACCAAAGATTGAATACAACTAAACGAGAAGTTATTTAAAAATGAGTAAATCGCTAAAGGAATGATTCACGTTATCACTAGATTGATGCACGTACTTGATGCAAGACAAGCGCATTTCTGGATCAGCTTCGTGATCTGAAAAGAAAAAGATCAAGGAATGTTTTCAAAATCATCAAGTTCAAGTTCTGTATATCGGAACATTTCCTTGCAATAAAGAAACGCACCTTTTAAAAGATAGCCAAGTGTTGTCATCAAACCTTTTTTTGACATCAAATATTTCAAACCTTTTCTATTGATGCTGTTTTTTAAAAGTTATCAGAAAATAAAGTATAAATAATTTGTTTATTGAAATTCTAAAAATTAATTGCGCTGCTTAGGAAACTAACCTTATATTATACAAAGCTTTTAAGATGAGACTTTTTATCCTCATGCACTGCAGAGCTGGTGTTACTGATAAAAATGAAATCAATGCATTTATTCCTTTAATTCCAGCTTCTTTAGAAGACAAATATTCTCTTCCCAGAGGTGTTGCGGCAATATTTGTAATGATCCCAGCAATAGACAGTACTAAGGTATATTCTTGAGAGTTGCTGTCCAAAACGTTCACTATCTTGTCAGGAGAGTCACCCCTACTCGTTTCTGAGAAACTTGATACAGATTGTGAGACAAATTCTAGGAACTTCACAATGGTTTCCTAAAATGTGGAGATGCATGAACAATAAGTGAAATTTTGAAGTGATAAAATTTGGAAATTTTGAGGCAAAGTGGACAGGTGTTTACCCTAGCGATCATTGATTCTATACATTCGTCTTTCAAAGAACTATGCCAGATCATTGATAAACAAATTGTAACAAATGACAGACATTCTTCGTACTCTTCCGACCTTTCTTCTTGCATTTCATTCAGTTGAGTCTACATGAAGTCAAGAAACTGCTAAAGGATTGTTTTTATCAAGAAAAGAGTTGTCTAATTTGGAAGAATGCTTCCTTATTGGAGGTTTCCTTTGGGTCTTAGGGTAGCTCTATTGGGGATGGGGTTGGTTTATTTGGTAAAAGTTGTTCTTTTAGGAAGGTGAAAGGGTTCTTCATTTTGTGGTGAGAAGCACCTGCATTAGTTGAGATTTTTCTCTCTAATTGGCAATTCTGTGACTTATTGAAAGATATTGAGATAACAACTTAAATATAGGCATTGATATATAAACAGCTGGCATATAAAATATATTAGATTCAAGTGGTATTCATACCTTCAGAAGAAAATTCTCCTACAAAATAAAAAAATATTTTGTCAGCAAACTTGACAGTCAAAAGGACTTACATTTTAGAAAAATAATACACAAATAATAATTTCAAATCTAATACAACTACCTTTCTTAGTTCTTCCACATTGTGCAAGTTGTCACTGTACCGACGTTTCAAAACATACATTTCACTGTTCTTTGTTTGAAGTTCATGTTTTAAATTATAAACTTCTATTATTAAAACAGTAGAAAGATTCCCATATCAGTCAACAGCCCCTTGGGTCGCACCTCTAATATTTAAGGTGGGGCAGGGTGTGTTCATGACCAAATGATCAACTCAGTTAAAAAGTTGTAGCCTAGAAAATATTTTAGAACCTTCTTCCAATGAATGAATCTTCTTATGTAACATCAATATTGTATTGCTTGATAGTACCTAGGGATATTAAACCCCCAAAAAATAAATAAAGGATGATATGGAAATGCATGTTAATACTCCATTGAATGTTTAAATTTACTCCATTGAATGTTTCAATTTCAAAGCAAACAAATATTTTAAGTACCTTTAACAGGGACCGTTTGAGTTGGATAACATCTTTGACTAGCCTGACCAAACCAGCACTCGAGACCTTCACGTACTGGCCTACGAGTGGTGGCCTTTTCTTGCTCATTGCTTTTAAATAACTCTACGGAATCTCCGGGGGAAAAGGAATTGAATGAATAAAGGATGAAAACATACAAAGTGTGTGCATTCAGTATTGTATAAATTTTAGTAGCTGACTTTCAAAACTTTTACTTTTTTTCCACATTTGATCATGTGATTTTGTTTAGAAATTCCCGCTATTTAGTACCTGGAAATATTTCGCGGGTAAATTTCGCGGGTAAATTTCCCGGGATCTTTTCCCGTATATATAATATAACTCTCAAAAACAAATATAGTGAAATAACTCTCGTATAATCTCGTACAACTCTCTTAAATATATTAAATTGTGAGATTGTAGCCAAAGAAATCCAAAGAATCAAAAAAACAAATTCAATTCAGAATTACGCTAATTACGACATACCTTCGGAGAATACCGTGCCTCCGGCCAGTTCCGATACTGATGTAATAATAAACAATAAATATACTTTGTACTCTTATTACGTAAGTTTTCTACACATTGACGACCACAGGATACGATGATTTTGTGCCCCGTTTCCTGTCATTTTTAACATCCTTTCTCTCAAATTTGTTGGTAAAGTTCAATATGGAATACATTTGACAATATCAAGACTGGTTTAAACGAGAAAAAGTGCATCCTTCGTTAGAAGAAGTGGTTGAAATGTAGTTGGATAATTTTTATGAACTATAAACCACTGTAACCGGACTCGTAGCGTTTAAAATGAATAGTGGTTCTAACGGAAATAAAGAGACTACAAAAGATTTGAGCAAAAAGCGACAATCTGGTGAATTTTTGGATGTTTTAACATCAATGACTTCTGGAGCAATGGCAGGTGCAGTTGCCAAAACAACCATAGCTCCTTTAGACAGAACGAAGATTATCTTTCAGAGTAAGATGTTATAAATGCTGTTAACTGTTAACACCAATATTATTAATTGTTCAAACCATGAAATTTGTTAAACATAGGTACCTATTGTACCAGATTGTATATTAAATAGAAACATGTGGAATTGTTGCTATGGCTACCTTATGTCACACCTATAGTGAGGGTGTTACTTGATCTTAACCAACATGAATATTTTTTTTATTTCTTTAGCTTCTGAAATGCACTTCTCTGTTAAGGTATATATATATGAAAGATGCCAGCCTACTTCAAAACAACTTTGCAAAAGTTCACGAAATGTCACTCCTGTTTTTAGAATGCAATAAAGGTGATTACGAACACGGTTCGAGAACAAGGTATGCTGGCATTATGGCGAGGAAACAGTGCTACCATGGCACGGATTGTACCATATGCTGCAATTCAGTTCTCTGCATTTGAACAATTGAAGAAAGTCTTAAGTCCTGAAGCCAGGTACCATCTTTAGGAAATATCTTTTTCAAAATAGCAATGGCAGAATTTTTTATCTGTTTGCCTTTAACACTATAGAGATGGACCAGCTTTAACAAGATTTGTATGTGGTTCATTAGCTGGAATAATTGCAGCTTTTTGTACTTATCCTTTGGACTTAGTTCGTGCAAGAATGGCTGTTACACAGAGAGGAAAGTAAGTTCAACTTGACTATTGCAAATATCTTGTAGTGACGGTAGTGTGGTAGTATTTAGCTTCTGACAATGGTTATTAAAATTTTGCTTATTCACTTTAGATACAATGGTTTATTTGATGCAGTTCATAAAATACATATGGAGGAAGGCACAAAGAAATTCTATCGAGGTTTTGTCCCAACTATGTTGGGTATTGTACCTTACGCTGGTCTTAGTTTTCTAACCTATGAAACGTGTAAGAGTTCATATCGTAAGTGGTCTGGTGGAGTGGAACCTAACTCAATGTATAGATTAGTGTTTGGTGCTTCTGCTGGCTTTGTTGGTCAATCAACAACATATCCACTGGACATTGTTCGAAGACGTATGCAAACTGATGGTACTCATGGCCAACATAACCCAGAATATAGAACTATAGTCAGCACTGTGAGATCAATACTACGTAATGAAGGATTTATCTCTGGCCTGTACAAAGGTCTTAGTATGAACTGGGTCAAAGGACCAATTGCTGTAGGCATGAGTTTTACAACTTATGATTTCTGTCATGAACAATTTAAGAGAGCTTTGGGTAGAAATTCATAGCATTGAATAATCAATATATCCTTTTATGCAATTTGCACAATATTTTTGTAATAGTTCTGTTCGCAATTTACTCAATTGTTGCATAATTGGAGCAACACAAGCAACTCTAGTTAATATGAGAGACTTAACTAAGACAGAACTAAATTTTTGTAGGATATAATTAACTAACAACTAATTAAATTATCGTTAGCAACAATATTTACATCCTATGTCTATTATGTGACAAATAACAGTTATATATAAATTATTTGTTTGTTCTTTGTGAGTGCATGGTATATGAGAATGTCCCAGGGGAGTTGCTTGCTGGACTGAGAGGTTTTGAAGGCAACACATCCGCAACTGACCTACGTAATGATGACGTCGTTTTTTTAGAATTCCCAGTCTTTATAACAGGACGAGAGACTCCCTTGCTACTGGTTTGCGTTTCCCTTTTGGGTGAATGCGTTTCCCGTTTGGGTGAATGCGCGTCGTGTTTGAGAGAACGCGTGTTCTGCATTTTTTCATTCGTTGAACGTTTGTTTAAGTGTCTGTCACTGCCATCTCCGTCCCATTTATTTAACCGCACATCCCGTATCTTTCCATGCGTGTCTTGTACATTTTCATGCGTGGCGCGTCGACGTGAATGCGTTTCGCGTTCATTAAAATGCGTGCTCGCGCGGTGAAACTGTTCACGATTCGCAGTTCTCTCGCTTTTAAAATGTTCTGCCCTATGATGCGAAGCCTCGCTTGGCTTAGTATAATTCTCAACATTTTCAAATGTCCCTCCTGAATTGACAGACATCTCCGACTCAGCCCCCCGGGAATTGTCAGAACTTGACTGGCCTAGTAAGTCTATAACGGGGGGTAAGTCCAGTTGTAGACTCAAGTTAGAATCCATGGATTCAGTAGAGATACTAATACCTTTGCGAATTGATCCAAACTCTTCTCTGTCAGAATGTAGTCCAATATTTTTATCCTTGTGTTGAGTATCTCGGGTTCGCCCTCTTGGAGGTCTAGAACTAGTTTTAATGACGTCACGTCGTACAGGAGAACCTTTATCAGGGCGATAAGTGTTGGAGGGTGATACATTTCTACCGCGGGTTCTGATTGGATAAGGTTCAGCCTCCGGCAGCGATGATACATTTGTCAAAGTGGAATCGTGTGATTTTGTAGTTTCTGAAATAAAATAACAAGATAAATACTCCTACAAACACTATCGAAAAAACATTAGAAGAAAAAAGCACACAATAATCTACCATTTTTTTCTGCAGGTAAAATCAATCTTTCTTCCATAATCTTTATCTTGTCTTCATTACTTCTTGTCGGCAGATTATTCTTATAAGCTTCCTTATCCTCGTCCAAGATCTGTTTGAGACACTCCAGATAATATTTTCTCAGCTGGTTCGCCGTTGAATGTCTCTCCTTCATGACTTCACTTCTATGAGAACACAATAAAGTAGAATATACCCTTCAGAGATTGTCAGGCACTTCAATGATTCATGAAGACAGCGTACTGTAAAATACAACCTGAAATGGTTCTCCACGTTTGATATTTCTTTTCTATGTTGTTCGTTCAGTTAGACAACTAATTTTACTACATTACGATATCTGCGGAGATCTTACATAATCCTATATGAAGTACCTAATAGCTTTAGCAGCATTATTTCTCGTCTCGATGGCATGCTTCATCAAGTCTTCTTTGAGCTGCGCAGTGGTTGCAAGGTACTGCCGACGGAGCTCGTTCAGTTTCTCAAAGTTCGGACTATCATCAGAGATCTCAGTCATAGAGACCCAAGGCTGGTCGTGAATCAAATCAGTCTAGAGAAGAAGTGAAAACAGACTCTAAGTGAGGTCAACTCTCTGCCATGAAATCTTTAAACGTTAACTCATAAAACATAGGAAACTACAGTTTAGCCAAGAAATACCTGCGAAGCCTCATGATTTCTATCTTCCTCCTTGCGCACCAGAGTTTCACTGCACTCCCTTTGACTTTGTTTCAAATCATGTAGTTCATTTTGAAGATTTTCAATGTCCGTTTTGTATCGTTCTTTCTCGTTCTTAAGTTGTTCTTCCAGATGCTTTGTCTTCAACAACTTTTCGTTTTCTATTTGGAATATTCTTTCCTAAAGATGGAATGTTCGAACAAGAGAAATAGAGTGGATTTGTTTGATAATCCTGGAAATCCAGAAAAACAGAAAGAAACCAGATCTTCAGATTATATTAATATAATCTAGTATCTCTCGCACCTCGTTCTCACGCTGGATCTCATTCTTCAATCTTTCTCGTTCTTTTTCTAGTTTTTCTAAATGTTGTTCTTCCACGGCGATCCTCTCTTCCTCCTGCTCAGCTTCCCAGTCATGCCTTGCGCGCTCAAGACTAATTTGTAACTTCTCCTGGAAATACAACAACAAGTTAGGAAGAGATCATCATCGTCCCACAAGACCCAACGACGATCGGAGACTTTACCTTAAACTGGTACTCTAGTTTCTTGCGCGCATGCTCAACACCTTTCTCATATTTTTCACGCATCTGTCGACCCAAACCTTCGCGTTCATTTTGATATTTTTCACGATACGACGCTTCCAACTGCTCCTGTTGTTTTGCAAACTTCTCAGTCCATTCCTCTTCCAGCGCGGCCTTCTTTTCCCGCCATTTTCCTTCAATTTCCTCAACGATATTCTCGAGTTTATTTTGGTATCCAGTCTCCAGTTCTTTCAACTCTATTTCTCTCTCCTCTTGGGACTTCCTGCTGACATTGTCAAGCTAAAAAGCAGTGAGGTAAAAACAGAATATCGAGGTTTACCGTACGTCAGGAAAGTTCAAAAACCTGCAGCAACATTACCTCTGCCAAATGTTTAGTTTCCTCTTCTTTCAACTTCGTTTCATACTTCGTTTTCAGTTCTTCGACTGTGTCCAGAAGGTTTTTCTGGTGTTCCTCCAAAACTCGCTTTAGTTCAGTTTCTCGGAATTCTTTCAAGTTCGTAGAATACTGCGCTTCCAGGTAACTAAACGTCTTGTTCACGTCCTCTGAAGAACCAATGGATTTTCTTGAACGTGGCGATGTCTACGGCAAGAATAGGTGGAGGTTTCAGGCAGGCATTGAGGAAACTGAACGTCTACTTAAAACTAATGGAAACATTGCTAGTTCACAAAACATGTAACAAAACATACGTTCAATTCCTGTTTATTTAAGTTTAGTTCAGTGAGCCATTGTTTCTTGGCGTTAGAAAGGATTTGTTCCATTTCTTTGGCCTTATTTTCATTCCACGTTTCTTTGGCAGAGTGAAGCGACTTAGTGACTGCTGACTCTGAAAGAAAATAAGGAAGAGTTAGTCCAACTCTGGCGGCCAGATTTAGAAGTGCGCCTGAGGAAGAGAAACTACAGTTGCATTATATGAAGTATTTCGACCATAGGGTCGGAAGTTCTCCCATCCAGACAAAGCATTTGAACTAACCAATAGCCGAGTCTTTCTCTTTCCTCCAAGCTGCTTCAGCGAGATCCAAGGCTTCCTTCACGGCACTGTTCACCCTGTTTGTATGTTCGTTATTCCATTTTTCTTCTGCCAAGGACACTGCTCTATCGATTGCTTGTTGTTTCGCCTCCTCAACATCACCTAGCCATTTCTGCTTTTCCCTCGCGATGATGTTTGGAATCTCCAAGTCCTAAATTAACAGATATAAGAAAGATACTGCAACTGCTCTCTTTAGAGATCCTGTAAGCTCTCTGTACAAATGCACTTGAAAATAACCACCTTTTCTCTTTCCCATTCAGCTTTCGCGGCCGTCAAAGCCTCGCTTAAGCTTTCTTCTTTTTCTTTGAATATTTTCTCCCGACTTTCTTGTCCTTTCAACCATTCAATCTTCGCTTTCTTGACAGCAGAGAGTTCGGCTTCGTCCACAATCTTCGCTAACTCTTCTTCCCAGTTGCGTCTTGACTTTTCAATCTCACGCTCAATTTCAACTGCTTTCAACTTCCCCCATTCTTGACGAGCCGCGTTCATGTTCTCAACTTGCTCTTGCATCAGCTTCGTTCGTAACTTATAAGATAAAGGATTAAAAAAATCGTGTAGAAAGGTACTGTAGATTACTGAGTATTAGGATAAGAAGGTGAAGATGTATTTGTATATTGATTTACGCCGGGTAGTAAATGACAAAGAGGCTACATGTTAATATAACTAGGCTTCAAGAATATGATCCAAAAAATCACCTCTTCTAATCTCTGGTCAAATTCTCGTGTTTTTGTTTCCTCCCAATCATTTTTCAAGCTATTTATTCTTGCCTCCCACTCTTCTTCTTGTCCTGGTTTTCCATATTTCGCCAGCCACTCTCTCTCGGCCATACTCAAAGCATTCTCAATCGCTTCATCCCGATGTTTTTGCTGATCCTGGTAGGAGAACACGAAGCATTAAACTAAAGAAACGATTGTTTATCTATCTCGCGTCTATCAAAACCAGGCAATAAATTAAGATGAAGAGTAAACACAAGGGCCATAAGCACTTTTTTAAAACTAAAACTAACATCAACCTTATTCCAATCAATTTTGGCTATAGCGAGCTCAGTTTCAACATTATTCTTTATTCTCAGCTCCTCATTTTCCCGCCACGACGCCCTTTCCCTTTCCACGGTCTTTTCCGATTCTGTGGCGAGAGTTTGACGAAGTGCGAGCAGTTCGCAGGTTTTAGCTTCATCCCATTTGATCTTTTCCTTGAAATACAAATATTCTTGTAATTCCTTGTACAATTTACTCTCAAACGTCAGTAACGTGGAAGGACGGTGCATAGAACAAGCCCTCGGAATATCCACATTTGAAACAAACTTTTCATTAAGTAATAATAAATAGATATGCCGTTACATAGGTCTTACTTCCTTCATTTTTTCGCTTGTTTCTTTCTCACATCGTTCCCGGGTTTGTGTTTCAATCCATCGTGATTCTTCACTAAGTGCCACGTACGATTCCTTTACTTCATCTAATGCTGTTGTTTTTGTTTGAAGTTCATGTCTGTACGTTGATGAAACAAACACAAATGAATACAGAATGCCAGATCACTGCTAAGGTTGATGAAACACTCTCACTTACAGAGCACAGGGAGAGTCTGTATCAAGTCTGGGTATTAACACTTGGTGAAACTTATTACAGGGTGAAAATTTAAAATAAAACGCAGTGAAATAACAGACATTAATTATCCTGCATTGCAACAAACACTCCATTCTTGTTTATCGAGCACAAGTTGAGAAAATGAAGACGAACGCCTCTTCACACAAACCTTAGTTTAGCCAGCTCTTTTTCGTGTTCTGAGGCTAGTTGCTGTTTCATTTTACTCATAGCTTGATCATGAAACTCAAGACAAGATTGCCTGCATCTGACACGCACAAGAGAAACAAATAGAATAATGTTCAAAGAGGTAAGAAGAATCACTTTTACCCTGATTTTTTCTGATTGATTTTGACAGGAACGCTTGATACATTCAAAGAAAGAGTATTAAATGATGACACTAAAGTGTGACTTACTGTTCTACACTGCTCTGCCTGGCAGAATCATGGTCTCGAATCAACTGAAGAACAAAAAAAAAATTTTAAAAATGAAATTTGAACATGACTGAACCATCCCGATAAAAACGTCAGGTTTAGGAAAGTCACCGACCTCCCAAAGTACTCTTATATTAATCAAAATATTCATAGACAATTGTACACTACCTCCGAGATCTGAGTTTTTAATTGTACATTCATATTCTCCATCTCTCGTTCGTGTCTCTCACATTCCTCAAGTTTTACGCCTTGTTCCTTGACAATGAAAGGAAGAAGATTAAGCCATCGTTAGAGTCCAATGATTCATTCATATCAGAGCTTGATGTGACTTGTCATGGGAGTCTATCAAACACATTTCTCTATAGATACTCTCGTTTATACTGAACAGAATGATCCTGAGCCTTCTTGGAAGGAGTAAATGCAATCGCTCATGCCTACCTCAACTAAAGCGCAAAGATTTTGTATTTCATCGTCTTTCTTCTTCTCTCTCTCTTCAGGATTCCTGTTCAGATCCTCCAACTCCGAGATCTTCTTCTCCTGTTCCAAAACTCGTATCTTAAAATACCAACAAAGTTTGATAATTCTTGAGTTCGTAGTAATACATGCGGTTGACCGCCACACACTGCAACCACGCACGTAGCTATCACGTGCAAGAACGCAGCTATCACGTGCAAGAACCTTTTAGGGATTTTTCTTGGTGGTGGTCCACTTGGACAAGTGCTGTTGCTTTACGTCAGAATATCCCAAATATGCTCAATGTCCAATACAATAGATTTAAAGTAGCTACCTCCTGTTTCCTCACAAGCAACCCCATTCTTTCAATTTCGTTTTCTTTGGCGACGAGGTGTTTTTTAACTTCGTCAAACTGGACACGAAGTTGCTGTATCTCTTCTCGCTTCGTTCGATTGGATGCGAGGGAATGCTGGAGCTCTTTTTGAAGACCAACCAATGCTTCTTCTGTTGAAAATTTACTTTCCAAAAGCGTGCTGTTGGAAAACAAACAACAAAATGAGATGTTCATATCATGTAGCACATGCATGCATGGATGCAGCGGGTGAGATGAGACTCACGTTTGAGATGGTGTCCTCCACTGGTCCGCCTCCAAGTTTCGTCGCACACCATCGTTTGCGTCGCTCGTGAAACCCAGTTTGGACATCGATTCATAAATACGGAGTTGTTCTTTCATATCAGCAAGATCGCTCTAGCAAAAAGAAACAGAAAGAAAGCGTCAGACGAAGTTATTGTGTAAGCGGCGATGAGCTCTGAAATACGGACCTCCATTGCTTTGTAGTGTTCTTCTAAATCTTCCTTCTCGTGTTGGGTGAGACCAAGCTGACGTTGAAGTTGAGAGATCTCTTGAGTTGAACCTGAAGAAGAAACATAAAAAAGAAAACTAAGTTTGAATATAAGCTCTATCACTTCTAAACTGGCGCTTTTAAAAGACTACAGAAAGAAACTTGGACTAAATCACCAATATCATTTATAATAGATGCTAGCTCTACCATAACTAAAATATTGATTTATTCCTATTAGGAATAGCAGCCTGGTGGCGTTACCAGAATTTAACAATTCTTCATTTTGTTTCTGACTTTGTTCCAGGCTCTTTGTCAATCTGTTAACAGTCTCAGCTCGGTCCAGTCTCACGCGATCAGACTCTTTTCTTGCTTCAACAAGTTCGTCATGCAAACGTTTCGATTCTTCATCCTGATTCAGGATAGAGGAAAAATAAACTTCAGCAACCAAACGAATTATAACCAACCCACGATACCTTCTGTTGTAACTGTATTACCTTCCACGTCAACGAATTATTCACATCGTCAAGTTTCTGTTTAAGACGAGCAATGTCTTCGTCGTATCTTTTCTTGGTTGCCATGACAACGTTCTCGTGTTGTTCACGTGCACGGGACAAGGATTCGGATTTCTCTAACTCCATGAGCTGCTGATGAAGACTTTCAATTGTTTTTTTCGCAGATTCCAACTCAGACTCGATCTAAGTTGATTAAAAATATTTCAATGTGGTTGCTGTATAGTTTGTAAAAAAGAAATTTTCTTTTTGTTTGTAGACGTCGATTGTCCTGGTTAGTCTAGTCTTGAGAAGGACTGTTGACTGAGGTTTCGACTGCCTTTCGCGTTAGTCGTCTTCAGTGTTGTTTCCAAATTCATGTGGTGAGAGCTCAAATTATACCTCACCATTTTTCTATAACCTCACCTCATTTCTTTCATTATGCATTCTTTCTTTTTCCAACTCAGAATTTTGAACTTTTTCTTCCAGTTCATCCATCTCCTGTTTTCGACCTGTCGCTATCTCTTGCGCATGCTGCAAACTTGACGCCATTCCATCGCGTTCACCTAAAAATAACGAGCAAAATAAACAAGCGACTTGAGAGAAGATTATCAGGGACGACTATCAATGAAATATATCATACACCATGTTTGTACATACAGTACCTTTCATCAATGCTAGCTGATGATTCAGAACTCGTATCTGTCTTTCATAATCTTTTTCCTTGCGTTGCAACTCATTTGTGACCTCCTCAAGCTTCCGTTTGCGCGCACGATGAAGAATTTGCAACTGAGCCAGTTCAACAGTTGAGGGTGATACAGAAGTATGACCTAATAATGCCTCGTTTTGAATTGCCTCATGTTGTGACTCTGTGACTTGAAGATTCTCTCCTCTCTTGTAATGAACCTTGAAGTCATCAATCATATCTGATCCTGTGTCTGTGACATTCTAAGAAAAGAAAACACCACATGGTTCACTATGGGACACGTCATGCCATTAGCTCTTGTTTGAGGAGATCCTCTGAATACATTACTTGATATTACGTTTAATGCATGTTGTTGAGGGAAGTATAATATTATATACTTGTGTCTTGTATAGTACAAAGACTTCCTAAGGTGACTGTCATCCAGTAATGAATGTCTGACTGAAGATGTTTGATTACCTGCAGTAAGTTTGGTAGATTTTCTGGTTTCGTATAAACAACCTGGTTGAAGTTTTCATCATGTTCTGGGTATCCTGTTACACCATAATAACCAGCATCTTCATAACCACCATAATATTCATCACCATCACTCACCACTGGATCATCACCAGCATGGTATGTATAACGTCTTTGATGCTCATCATTATCCTTGGTAAACCCACCTTGACCCTGCATGTAACCATAACTACCCTCATGGTAACCCCTAGGCAATGATTCTGCAGATGGATGAAGATGACTAGTTGATGATTGGGGATGGTATGGGCTATCTGGCGGCGGACTGGTTGTAAACCTTTGAATGAATTCTTCACCACGACGTGTTAGAAGCATGGATATCTTATTCATTTGTGGGTAACCAGGTTGTATGTGTGATGATCCTACCATGTGTACGTCTTCTGTTTTATTGGAGTGTTGCCGTTCACTTGATTGGTCAGACACAAAATCATGTGTTTCATGGTCATTGGTAGAACCACTATGATGCGGGGATGTGAATGAAATATTGTCGTCATCCAGGAGGTCATCAGGTAGTTCGTTAGTGAGCAGTTCATGAAGCTAAAGAAATGTGCGAAGCATTTAAAATTAACCCTAGACTTGCAGCAATGATCCACTGACCCAACAAACAGCATAAAACTATTATACAAAAGTGGAAGAAGTGTCATCATGCATTCAGACCTCACGTTCCCTTTCTGCATCTTCTTTATTAAGCTGTTCTTCCTCGTCATCCCCTAGACCCTGACATGACATGGAAAACAAAACAACACAATGATGACATAAGTTTCCATGTTCATAAAAACTTTGATAAAAAAATACAGAACAAGATTTTTTGAAGCTAAAATTTCAATAACAGTCACGAGTATTTGTTTATATTTTCTGCAAACTTTAGGTTGTGGTGTGAGCGTGTTTTAAACTAATCGCTAATTATATAAGCCCATCACTGAATAACATGTTAACATACAGTACGCAAAGACAATATATCTGTGTTTCACAGATACAAAGATAAAAATCTCAACAGATAATATTGTACCCTGCGTTTCCAGCATCAGACATTAGAATTTAGAGTCGACACAAACATCAAATAACACTGTTAAATGGCCAGTGTTTACAAGAAGCTAACCATAAAATACTCCATATAAACAGACATTAATTCATTCTATTTGGCAGCTTTTTTACAACTTGTTGAAAATAGGACACACTACTGACACTAGCTAGAACTGTATGTATATAAAGAGTAATAAAGAAAAGTAGATATTGCTCACACAATTTCATATAAATATTGTTTATGCTTAAATGAAAATACGTAAATGTAACATAGATAAAATATTACGTTTCTTCCGGATACTATAAAAGCGTTAGTGAATTAATAATTTAACACATAATGATTATACCTGCACGTCGAAGTTCACTTGGCTCAGACCTGTCATCTTTCGGTTGCGATTAAAAGTACTTCTTGACGAGTTTCAATCCAATGTTTCATCTTTAGAGCACAATCGGGTATTTATCTTACTCCAAACGTTAAATCAGTTGCTCATTTTATGCATTAAAGGATCAAAAACATTGCAAATGTTAGACAACATAATAATGGTGAGCAGGCAGCCATATTAATCTGGTTGTCTGAACTTCGCGCTTTCTTGCGTCACGCACGGAGCACGCAGCACGGACCAATCAAAAACGAAATATTTACAACATTGGGTTTTTTATCGAAACTTCAAGTACTTCGCTATAATTCATATACAACCTAGAAAGTTTTGGACAAGTTAATACTCATTTACTGTAACTTATTCCGACTGTATGATAAGAGGGCTCCAGCCTTATTAAAAACATTCGCGGCTTTGAAGTCGTCAAAGTACGATTCGCCAAAATCATGATAAACCCAGATCGATATAAACAGCCCCTAAACCTCTACCACCGCATTTTCACGGCACTTCCACCGCACCTTCACCCCCAGGTGCCCAGAAGTAGGTGTGTCTGGTGGTCTGGCCATTATGTGAGACGTGGGGAACGTAGGGGATTTCAGGGTCCTCTATAAGCGAAATTAGGATATTCAGGGTGACGGACTTGACTGGAACTGGTGTGTAATTCCGCCACGTTTCGTTTGTAAACTTTGAGTATTTTGCAAACTTTTGTGTATATTTTCTCCGCAAGATATTTATGTTTTCATAAAGAAGAAGCCGACAATGTATTTACGTATATCTATAGTGTTTATATGCAACATTTTGGTGTTTATGACGAGCGCGACTGAGCTAACATTTGAACTGGAAGATAATGCAAGACAGTGTTTTCATGAAGTTGTGAAAAAAGGAACCAAAACCACGTTAGAATATCAGGTTTGTAGCTCATACACACAATTTGTTTACGTCCGGTACTCAGTCAATCTTTCTTGAGTTTATTTGTAATACGAAAACAATTATTAACATCATTTTACATGTTTCAAAACCAGATATACAAAGATTTTAAATTGTTAATAAAATGGTGTCTTTTAATAGTTAGCATCATTAATCATTAGACTAGAAATTTGACCATGTCTGCTATAAAAGTATTTACCCTGTCAAGTTTTTGGGGGTGATGAAACAGCAAAAGTAGTAGATGCTTAGTAAATAATTTCATACCATAATCTGATATCCACAGGTAATCAGTGGTGGACAATATGATGTGGATGTCCTGTTAACTGGACCAAATGGTAACACTCTATATGATGAAAGAAAGAAACAATATGATAGCTACACATTTACTCCTGACAAAGAAGGAGAGTATGTGTTCTGCTTTAGTAATGAGTTCTCAACATTCACACACAAAGTCGTCTACTTTGACTTCCAAGCTGGTGACGAGGAACCCAAATGGAGGAATACAGGAGATGAAAATACAGCATTAACTTCCCTTGAGATGTCATCGGTGACCATGCATGAATCATTGAAGGTAGGTTGTTAAAGATTATCAAGCTAAATGTAACCATCAACCTTGGACAATAAATTGTACTGTTATCATATTGATTTTTATTAGATTGTTGTGGATTATCAAACTCATCATCGTCTTCGTGAAGCAACCGCCCGTGACAGAGCGGAGTATCTTAATGAGAGAGTTCAATATTGGTCCATTGGTGAATCTATTCTCATTATAATCCTGAGCATTGGACAAGTTTTCGTACTGCGTAGATTCTTTGCAGAGAAAAGATCAAATATCTAAAAATATGTTGAAATAAAAACAAACTAATATCTGAAGACTAGTTATAAACATCTTTCAGCTGTGATGATGAAACATTGATCACTGTTATTTTATCAGCTGAAAAGTGTTCCAAATAAGTGTGATAATAAAAACCTCGACTCCATTCTAGTCTTCTTCCAGTAAAAATAATGTATGACAACACAGAATAATACATTGTTTATGAATGTGCATGTTTTTGTAAAAATTACGTATATAATTATTACAAACACTTTTTGTGCTTTTGATCTAATTAATGTGTCACTAGTGAAGTAGATGTGTTCTGTAGAATAAATATGACACAGAATTCCCTCAAGAATAGATCTTTATATAAATATATAAAGATATCTCCTTTCTGGTAGTCATGTTGTAAGAGCCATTACTGAACTAAGCAAATGACCATGCAAAACTGATTTTGACATACATTTGCCATTTAGTTATAAACTTAGAAATGGAAAAATTGAAAATGTTTCTGCAGAAAGTATGTGTTCTGTGGTTGGTCTGAATTCTATAAAATATTATACTATATTACAAATACCCTCCCAGATACAAGCAAGCTATGCTTGGGAAGTCTTTTTAAACTCTTACTTAAAATACATAGACTTGACCTAAATTCTAAAAAGTGAATTTAAAAAGTCACTGTCATACCCACGAGACTCAGTATTACCCAATTAATTTTATCTGTTGTAGCTTAGCAAGAACAGTGCGAAATTGTGGTCGATTTCTAGGTTCGTATTGCCAACACTCCTTCATCAGCTCATAGATACTTGCAGGTGTTCCCATAGGAGGGGGCATGCGATAACCACGGTCAACCTGCTCCCTGGTCTCCTATAAAATACAACAGTGATCTAGAATGATTGGGTCAATGTTTTATACCATGTTAAGGTGTTATAGTGCACTGAAATCTCCTGACTCTGTTCTCATTGATAAAGCTAATATTTAATAGACACTGTTACCTTATTTCCCATCCCTGGGTAAGGTGTGTTACCAAGCGAATATGTCTCCCATAAAAGAACACCAAAACTCCACACATCACTTGCTGAAGTGTACTGTGTAAAGTTCAGGGCTTCTGGTGCTGTCCACTTCACGGGGATCTCGCGCATGTTTGAACATTCGTAAAAATCTGGAAATGCAGAAATGGAGAAGAGTGAAAGAAACTCAATTACTTAACCTGATCAAGCCATGCTCCCACCACAGAATCATTTAAATAAACAAAAAACAGTTCAGTCTACCAAGAGAACAATAATACAATCTCTGTCAGCAACTGATAACAAACCTGTTTCTCTAGACATGCCAAAATCAGAAATCTTCAGCACATTCATTTTGTTCAAAAGACAGTTCCTGGCTGCTAAGTCTCGATGAATGCAACCCTTACTCTCCAAATAATCCATGCCTTTGGCAGCATCAATGCCATATTGGAGTAATTCTTTTGGTAGAATTCCACTGCCATTTTTGCGAAGGTGGTTCAGAAAGTCACCTCCTGACATCAGTTCCATTACTGTGTAAAAAATATTAGGTCATATGTGTTGTTCTCACATATTACAACAATGGATATTGTTGAGGAATCTCAAAGGACCAATTAACATCACAAACACAAACAACAAACTTACCAATATAAACTGGATCTTGATCAGTAGCAATTCCAATCAATTTCACAATGTTTGGATGGTCATATTGGGCTAGAATTTCTGCCTCCTGCAAAAACTTTGCTTTGATGGTTTCTATGACATTATCTCTGCATGTTTTCACTGCAACTTCCTCACGACTGTCCTGCAATCTTCCTTTCATCACATCACCAAAATGGCCTCGTCCTAGTTTACTTTCTATTACTATATTGTCATGATTCAAGTTCCTTCCAATAGATTTTGGCCGCAGTATTGGATTCTTTAGAATAGCACTGCTTTTTCTGGTTACAGCGCATTGGTGCTTCTTATGGAAGTCAACAAGATGAGTCACTGTAGAGTAAGACTCACCCTCTAGACGGAATTTACCCTAAATAAATAAAACATGCAGAAAATAATTGTCAACTTTAGAAGTGTAAATAATTTTGAAGAGTGAATGTTTGTCATTCAATTTGTGGAATCATCTTTACCGATTCATCTTGCTGTATAATAAAATGTCGTACAGTCCCCCATCTCGCAGACAAGACATAATTTCCTGGTTTCTTGTTGCTCTCTCTTACTAAATAGTCACCTTCATCTTTGAGCAAAGCTTCGGCATCCACTCTGGATATTGTACCATGGTACCAAAGTTCGTCATAAAGAGGCACCTCTACAGGCTAAATGAAGAAAAAAGACTGATATTGGATTGTCTTTGACACACATGTTGACTATATCCTATATTTTAATGACAGTTCATAATCTCAAAGAGTTCAAACCTCGTCATAATCAGCAGGATCATCATCCGTGTCATCATCTGGGCCTGTGTCTACGGGTGTAACAGGCAAAGGTCTATTGTGACTGTTCATTCCATCAGGGCTTGGCCCTGGATTCCAGTCATGATTATTTGCACCATTATATGGAGTATCTTTCTTAGGGGGTGGGATAGGTTTGGAGAAAAGTTTGTTCAAACGTTGCAATGTCCGTCCTGGTTTACTTGTTGCATCGGGGGTATCACATGACTCCTAGAAACACAATAACATGTCTCAACTATTACTCTACCCTCTTTATACTCTACACAAACATTTGTGCATATAGCCATCTATATCTGTTGAAAAATCTTGAAAAAAATTGCGATTCTTGAATAAATGAATGGAAAAATAAATGATGCACTTACTAAGCTGTTTGACAGCTGTAGGTCAGACCATCTGAGTTGTGGATCTCCATTTTCCAAGGCATAGCTAATAATCTCTCGCTGGGCCTTGGTAGAATACAAGAAATATTCATCATTTCAATATTCCAGGAAAGCATACATTCTACTAATTGTTTTGGTAATGACCAAGACAGAACCAAGACAGTATAGCCACCTACCAGTGCTTTTTCATTGGTACAACTCAGCTCTTTCAATTCACGAGACAACTCGCTCACTGCCATTTGCTTTACGAATAGACTATAGAGGAAAATCAATTTGCATCAGTTTCAAATTAATCATTATAATCGCAGAGAGTCAATGATGTAGGTATTTGGTTTTGGCCAAAGATGAAGAAAATCTATAAAATAACAAAGCACTTTGTTCCCAGTGATTGCCAAGAATAGCAATCACCAATGGTCAGTGATCTCTGTCAACCCTAACATGAAATGCATCTGCATGGTTACCATTAAAAAACATCTGTTGCTGGTGATCTTTTTAAAATGCTTACTCACTTGCTCAAATTAGAACTTGATGATTCCTTGACTTGCAGCAACATCTGTTTTGATGTTTGATACTCTGAACTCTAAATAATGTTTTCATTTAGAAACAGTCAATATCTAAATTAAAAAATAGAAAGATGGTAATTAAATTTTCAAATCTTACCTTCTCATTTAACTCTGTTTTTGTTTCTGTAACAGTTTTTTCCAATAAAGTGTTTCTAAATTGATGTGAGAAAAATCAGCTTATATTCTTACCATTAAAATGAGTGGTTGTTAGGAATTTATAGATTTTGTAGCTAGCAGTAAACTTACTTTGATTTGAGTTGCTCTATTGTCAAGTCATTCAAAGCAATTTCATTCTCCTGCAGATCAGTTTTTGTGATGTTTAATAATGTCTCATCAAATTTGTAGCAAGTCTGTGGTTCATATGCGACCCTTGAGATGGTTTAAATAGTTACAGGTCAATTGATATCGGATAGGAATATATATTTTTCTATAAATATTTAGTATAGGGATGATTATACATCACACAACAAACCTACCCTTTATTGACTATAAATGGTTCATATGGATTTTCATCACTGATTTCTTCTATTGTAGATGTTATGGCATCGGAAAATCTTGCATATTGTTCAGAACATTCTTTTAAATGTTGAGTTAATTCATTCATTATACTTTTCCTAAAAGTGAAATAGGAAAAATCTTTTTCATGTACATCCTAGGACGACTTCAGCGGCAAAATTTCTACTCACCATTCTGCAACTAAATCTTGTTTCACATTTTGCAATGAATTCAAAAGGTTTGGGAGAATTCCTGATTCATAGTGAGTTTGATGTGTTGTTGCTGCACTTAGTGCCAGGACATATTCATTGTGGTTTTGATAAAGCTTCAAGGAAGCTTTTTTGAACTTATCCTGTTTAGTTTTATCAGCTTTTGCTTTTTGTCCTTCCAATTTTTGTTTAGCATTTTCAACTTCTTCAGCATGTTGTTTGTATGTGGCCCTCAGTCTGCTTTCTTGATCGCAAACTGTTTTTAACTCACTGTCAATACGAAATCTGTGGTTTTTATACTGTTTATGTGCTTCTTTCATATGTGTCAACAGTTTTTCAAGTCGAGGAATGAAAGATGTTGTATAATTTGAGGCTAGCTGACTAAACAGAGCTGTAACTTGAATGCATTCTGAGTAAAATACTTTCCAAATCTGCAAAAGAGAATATTCAGTCAATCATGCCTAAAAATTCCTTTGAAAAGTTAGTTTTTTATCTAATTTGATGTGCTAGTTGAGACATGACTAGTTAACAGGTTTGCTTGCTAAAGATCATTTCTACTGCATGATTTAGATCTAAATAGCCGGAAAAACAACTTCACTTGTCATGGTGCATCAATATACAACACAGAGAAAGGAAGTTGTGATTTTTTTTGGCAAATCTGCCATGTCACGAGGAATTATATATCAACTATTCTAAAAAGGATTATTGGAAAACTTTTAATCTGGTAAACAGAGAAGTGAAAATTAAATGTTTGACAAATAGATAATTTGTTTACAATTCACGCAGAGAGTGTAAGGAGTCAGAATATCATACTAGGTCTCATCGTTTTGGTTTGCTAGGCTTTCAATGAATGGGAATAAAAATTTCCGGGCTTAAAATAAGGCAAAGCAATTAAATGATGTAAAGGTGAAATCTTGAATTAAAATCCTGTCTTTTTCCCGTTTGTATTATTAAACTAAATTAGTAATTGAAAACTTTAACTCGGAGTCTCTTGAAATGAAGCCAACTATTAACTATTTACACGAGGATATGTGTAAGAACAGTTTTGCTTTTCATAACCCATTTTGGTTTTATATATGTGCCGTATCTGACGATGGAAAAACAAATATTATTTTACTTTCACAGTTAATTAACTTACTTGCCTACAGTCTGTATCACAAAGATCATGCACACTTAAATATTTACCTTGACAAATGGACTGTCTTCATCTAAACCAAATTTAGTGATATCACTAGAGGAATTTAACTTCTGAATCCCATTGACGTACTGTTCTATGATGTGAAGTTGCTTCGTTGCATATGCTTTTAGATTTTCAATAGTTTTAATTTCACCCTCGCCCAAATTTACCAAGAAATGATGCGATTCGTCGCCCACCAAAGAACTCGCAAAACTTAGATCAGGCATTATTTGAAGAGCGTCGTCTTGATTGATTCTAGGAAACTAAAGATCAGTTACTCGAGATCATTTGATGATACATAACACTCGTAGAAAGAGTTTCAATTCAATGTATAATCTTTTATTTAAAGTGTTCTAATTGCGGTTCGTTGTTCGTCGAGGAGAGTGCGGAATCCGGGAAGTGAATTCGTCATTCTTACATGAAGTGTTTCGCATGAATAACACATGACGTTTGTGTCGTTTTTGGAATCTTGAAATGTTCGCAAAAACAACCAATTAGAAATAAATATTGTTTTGGAACGATCCCCTTTCCTTCGGCACATTTTCAATTGTGAATAAGAAATATTGCTATATCGGTCTGGGACGATTGACATGGAATATATTGTGAATATTTAGGCTTCCAGATAGAGGTAAACAAACTTATATTAATGCTTTGTATCATATCTGATTGCCATAAAATTCCTGAAGCATTTTGTCAAAGTTACGCGCCTCTTATCGACTTATCGTATTATTAGAAGGTGGTAAACAAAGTCCCTGATTGGCTAGCCACTTTGAGGCACAAAAGCTCCAATCAGAGCATTTGATTAGTGTCTAGTTGGCCAATCAGCTACAGTGTATTTCAACACAAAATATCTTTGGAATTGTGTGAATTTCAATTGCAGTCTGTTATTTTAATTCAATTTTAACTCTCCACTTAACGCTATTGAAAATGTGAAAAGGGAAGAGCATGATTCATTTCATCACTAGCATAAATAGAATTTGGCATGAAGCAGGTTTGAGCCAGGTTTGAACCAGGAAGCTACATCAAAGCAGACATGTGCATAACCTACTAAGTTATAACAGCACACTTATGTCTAAATGCAATCTTAACACAACTTCAGTATGGATGGACACTGTTATTTAAAGTATTTTTACTACAGGTGCCATGTCTTTGTCTCCTGACGTAACACCCTTTGTACCAAGTCGGCAGCAACCTGCAAAACCATCTGCCCAATCACACTTGTCAAACAGGACCTTATGGGAACCTTCTGTGGATGTTGCAGAATTTGTGCCAAGTTGGTTAAACAACAAACCTAAGTCATCCACAGAGTACATTGAAACATCAAATGTCAGTGAAGCAAGAAGAGTTTCTGCAAAAGTGGAAGAAAAAAATGGAAAGGTATGTTGTTGCTAACACTGACTGTTCAAATTTAGTTTATTATTGTAGGTAAATAATTGAACTGCATTTACCCCCTTCCCCCCTCTTGCACCCAGGAAATATTGTGATTTCATACTTCATAGGATGAAAAATCTGTAGAAAAGAAGGAAAGGAAGATTAATTCTACAAAGAAAGGGCCAAAACAAAAGGCAAATCCAGCTGCATTAAAAACAAACCATGTCACAAGCTCTAGTGGTAAAGATGATAATTCCAAACTAGAGGGAGATAAACATGAGACTGAAAATTTATCTTGGAATACAGATTTCCCTGCTCTTGGTGCAAAAAGTGGACACTATAAAACACCAATTTGGAACAAACCACTGGGTGTGTCATTTAGTGACAAGCTAAAGACTGGTAACACTTCAAGTTATTCTTACGATGAACCTTCAAGTGAGTTCAATGATAAAACCAAAGAACAAGAAAAGACATCCATAAAAAGCAAAGATGATGAAGATGAGTGTAAGAAAATTGTCAATATGAACAAAGAAGAAGTGGATAGTACACCATCTGAATATGGATTTTCTGTTGTTAAAAGCAAATCAAAGAAGAAATATGAAGCAATGGAACACAGTAAGAAAGAAGGCAAATCTTTTAGTAAGATAGACATTATCTGACCTAAATGTCTCATTTATGTCTGGTATTTAGTGTGCCATTTTTGGTTTATAGGACACAAAAATATTCCTCTTGCTTGGGATAAAGTTGATTCAGATGAAAAGACAAACTCAGTAATGAAGGGAGTTAAGAAATCTTCCAACAACAGAAGCAAAACTTCAGTGGAATGTACTGGGAAGGACTACAAGCAAGATGGCATTGTTCCAAAAAGTAGATTATCTGAAGAGTGGGCTACCGGTAAAGATATTGCTAATGATAAAAGAGAAGCAATGAGAGACTCGCATAAAGGTGCGGATAGATGTGCGATAGATGAAAGTAATGATTTTACTAATTTTGATTGCAACAAATTCACCTTTGGTTTAAACTAATTTGTTTTTAGGGAATAGAAGAACAAAACAGTCTTTCAAACCAGCTGAAGATTACTATAATTTTAAATCTACGCACAGAGGCTTGAATTTGGAAGAGAAACATTATGAAGAGAGTGATCATGAGGAAAGGAGAACTTCTAGGCCTCCTGTGAGCATCTCAACTGCTATGACTACTCCTTCATTATCATACAGCGATATCTTGAAAAGTAAATCAAACACCAAAGTTCCTATTGAAGGCTCTAAAAATGAGAAGGGGTTCTTAAGAATCCCAAGCGAAAAAAGTGAAAATGAGGGAGTAGATGAAAAGGAAGTGGAAGAACAGGGAAAGAGAAAGAAAAAGAAGAAGAAAAAGAAGAAATCTGGAATTGAAACACAACCTCAAACTGTAAAAAAATCTAAGGAAGCATTGACTCTTGATTTTGGCGATATGTTGGAGAAGATTATGGTAGGTCAGGAAAAGTTATTGTAGAATACTTCTATCCAACGTTCACAATCAAAATGTTTAGCTCTCTTTAGGAATCGTCAGCTTCCAAGAAGAAACCAATTATTCGTACCGGAGGATTTCTGCCAGCTCAGGCCCCGTTACCACCCAAAGAAACGAGGACTTCCAGGAGACCTCAGGTTGGATAAAATACGATGTGAGCTCGTTGAGGATTCAAGCGCTGAAATGCGCTTTTGAAAACAACAAAACTATTGTCTTCTCTACCTTTATTGAATTTAGATGCAAGCAGCGAATGTTCTTGACTCAACTGCCCCCATCGTGTTTCGTAGCAAGGAACGGGAATTTCCAAAGAAGAAGAAGCCAAGCGCGATGAGGAAGGTTTGTGGTTTATCTTTGGACTCCGAGGATAACCTTTTTTCTAAACATCCGCTTCGTTTTCAACCAAGTTCCATAAACATGTCGTCCCCTGTTTTGCTCTGATCCAAATCAAATTTTTCTTTTAGATTCTTAGGAAAGAGCGGGAAGATAAAAAGATGTTACGAGAAGGAAAATCGTCAACTGAGTAAGTCCTGGAATTGAAGTTAAAGTAGATTATGTTTGGTCTTGTCTCGCGGCAATCAATCAACCAATTTCCGATGAAATTTTAGGATCCAAACATCCGATGATGAAAAATCTGACAAACAATCTTCAGATGAGCAAGGTCTAGACGAGGAGTGATATAGGTGAGACCTGTTAAAGCGTTAACTAGAGAAAGCTTTCGTTTGTAATTTTCAATTTTAATTTTCCATTTTTTCAATTCTTCTCAGATCCAGCAGAAGTGAAGAAAACCATTCACAGTAGAAAGTTTCGTGAGTAAGTCAGGAAAGACCTTTTTCTCGAAAACCATTTTCCTCTCCGCAAACTGCTGTTCTACTTTATCGTTCACCTTCTTGCTTTACAAGGTATTGTGATCATGACCTCGACTATGATATCAACGGAGTTGTTATTAAACTGCTCAAGGAATTAATAAGATTTCAAGATCGTTTGTATCAGAAAGATCCAATTAAGGTAAGGTTAAAGCAAACATCTCCAACGCACAGCAACTCAAACATGTCGTAATGAACTATAAACTATCAATTTAGGCAAAAGCGAGGCGACGTTTTGTTTGTGGTCTACGAGAGGTGCACAAACATGCAAGATTGAAGAAATTGAAATGTGTAATTGTGACACCAAATTTAGAACCAACAAAATCTAAAGGTTAAGATTCTACTACCCTTGGTGATGTGATTTAACATGATAACATCAAATATATACTGTAAACTTTCTGCATGGATTCCTTACCAGGTGGCCTTGATGATTTACTTGCACGCATCATTCATGAATGTCACTCTCAAAATGTTCCAGTCATCTTTGCTCTAAACAGACAGGTTCTTGGTAAAATTTTGTTAAAGAAAGTTCCTGTTAGTGTCGTTGGAATATTTTACTATGATGGTGCTCAGGTAATGTGGAATAAATTGTGTCAGATGTCTTATCATCACAGGAGCATCATCCTGTGATCCAAGTGTATAAAATGTAATTTACTTGTTTCAAGGATTATTTCAAAACCCTGATGACCCTAACAGAGGTTGCAAGAGAAACTTACCGAGATAAATTTAACACTGCCAGAGAAAAGTTCCTTAAGGTAATAACTGATCAAAAACAACTTGAAACAGATGAAATACATGACAGTCAAGACAATAATGCTAGAGAAAATGAAGCCATCTTTAAAGGGGATTATGGAAGTGACAAAAGTGCAATGACAAAAGATTTTGCAATAATTAATGAGAACATTGAAACACAGAGAGGTGACAATGGTCACACAATATCAATGGGCAATGACAGTAATCAAGAAGGAACATTTCAAACAGATACTTATGTGGATAATGTTGATCTGACTATGAACGAACTGGGCCAACACTGAGTTAGAAAGTGAGGTCACAGCACACTAACTACTGTAAATCAACTAATTTTTGAGTGAATATTGTACATATGTGAATGATTATTTATAAGCAAAGTTTGTTTTGGTATTGACTGTAATAATGAGTTGTTTCTTCACTTGTGATTTTTACATACAAATTATTCACTGTGGTGGTAAAATCCTTGACGCAAAGGTCCTGTCATGCAATTTGTTATATAAAGTGTAATGCATCCACTAATCTTAAGACACCAGTGGTTAATTCCTACAGATAATGGAGATCCTAGTGATCAAACGTAGCCAAATGACAGAGGATGTCTAAAGTCATACATCTGATTAATGACAAATACTCTCCATGCATGGGAAATTTTTTTGTAGCAGTTATTGCAACCAATTGACTTCACAATAGAAGTGTTCCAATAGTTTTTTCATGTCCATTATTGTTCCATGACCATTGTCTGTTTTCATATCAATAAATTCAAACAAATTCATTGAAGAATCTGGAAGAAATTATATGTGACGTATTGTTTGTGTTGTCTCAACAATCTTGTGAATGAGTTGCCTAATTTTGTAATGCAAGGTTTTGGGTAATGCAAGGCTCTAGGGGCAGCTAGCTGAAGATACATAGGTGGTGATTTACATTGAAAACTGGTACCTTGTGTTTTGATCAGTGGATAATTAGGAGGTGGTTTCATCCATTCTCCATCGTTGTTTTTCATGTGGGAACGATCAGACGCAAATGTTTTTAGAAAATACGGTGCTGGAATTACCCGGAAAAACCTAAAATAATCAATGCCAGTCATCAATCAACTATCATGCAATAATGATATGTTTGATGAATAACATGAATAACTTGCCTATGAAAAGTTGTGATAAATTGGCTTTCGTTTTGTAAGGCTTTTTCAGCATATTCTTTGAGATTGCAAGGGAAATCTAGTGTGGTATCCAGGTCATATACATAGGCATCTGTTGTTCTTTTATGTAGTAAAATTACATGATAATCCTATTGGAAATATGACATAAAAATGGATGGTTAGATTAGAATGTGGTGTAGGTGCATTAAAGTAAAGTAATTTGCTCACCCATACAACTGGTTGTGAATTTATTTCACTTGATCTTTGACACCATAAGGGGATCTACTAAAACAAAACAAATGCATGACTTAAAACCACCCAGCTATATTCACTTGTTCAACCAATTCAAGATATCTATCTAATACCTGTTTGCTTGGATTTGAAATAAATACAACATAAAATTCACATAGACGAAGTTTCTCTTTAAAACTTTCACATAATTTCCAGACGTTTTCCTCACTAAGTATTGAAGAAGAAAAAATTAATTAATTACTAATTAACTAATTAAGAATAAATGTATTAACAATTTAGTACTTCGATCTACAAGTCTTACCAAAAACATGAAGTGTAAATGCAATTTTCTGGAGTAATACTGACTTCCATTCACCAACATAAGTAAATAAAGCAGGTGAGTTTCTCAAGAATATTGATAATAGATTTGAAATAAATATAACATAAATAAAATGTGAAGAACAACTTATTGCGCAGGCAGTTGAGGCAAATATTTTGCAACATCTGGAATAGTTTACCCTAAAAACAGGCAAGTCTGCCTCGCCTCAATCTTCTTGTAACTTTGCGCCACGTGTATTTATATTCTTTTCAAAACAATAACAAAGTGAATGCAACAAATCAGAAAGCTATTTTTCGTTTGTGGTCATTTATATATTTTTTATAATCAACTGACCTGCTAGATGGCTGCTGCGAACGACTCTGCCCCGTTTGAACGATTTAAAATCGATGTGAATTTACTCCTTATACCCGGAGCACTATTAGTACTATTTGTAGGTAAGGTAAATAATTCTTACGATGTCGATCGTCAAAAATACCACTAGTGATTTCAATCAAATTGTGAATAATATATACGAAATGAGTATTTAGAGTTGGTAAGCGGTATTTATTGTTTATATTCTACAGATTCTATGAACACTCAGTGTTTCTTATTTCACTGGTTCTTTTTATAGTAACTCTTGAACCTTTGAACAAGAATTGTAGTAATCTATTAGAGGCTTATGCAAATATCCTCTAATCTATAGAGAAATAGTTAACTCCAGCAACTCTTTACAAACAGTGTTTTCTTTGTTTTTTCAGTACTTATGATATATAAACTTTTAAAGAATGAAAGTAATAAAAAGAAATTAAAAGAAGAAAAGAAGAGACAGAAACAGGAGGGAGACATTTATGAATATTTTAATATGTAATATTCTATTATTATAAACTGTATTTACTAGTAAAAGTGTTGGTTAAATTGTCAAAGTTAATTGTTGCTGCAGCATTTTGTCAATTATTTTAGGATGGAATTTTTAAAATTAAGTACAATTTTTATCTGAATTCAAACCATTAACGATGTATTTTTATACAAAAAAAAAACGTCCAAGAACGGCTTACCCCCCGTCAGTGACGTTATCAAACGTCTTAACGACAGATGTTATCATTTCACTAGTAATTGTTAAGTAATATTCTTATATGAGACAGCAAAATTTTGAAAGAACCAATATAAACATAATTTGTTTCCCCTTATTTGATATCGCTTGTATTGGTTTCTTCTTTCTGAGGATTTGTGAAGGTAAGATAACTATTCTCACCAAAAAACCAGTCCAAAATTATGAGCCTAATTTTACGAACGACACGACGATTTTGTATCTTGTTTTGTGAATATGTCGGACCGAATTTGTATTACGAAAAACTTCGTTTTTAAACAATTGTACAATCTCTTTGAGTTGTTTATTTGGATATCAGATTTGCTGGAAAAAATACTGATTTTTAACTCTACAGAAGATAGATACTACAGTAAGACCCATTTCGTAAAATAAATTGCGAATACTTATCTTTTCCTGTTTAATATCACATTTAAAATTATGTTTATTTTCTTCAGACTGTCACCTACAATTCGAGTTAACAACAGGGCATTTAACATCGTAAATTTGAAGTAATCAGATGGCAAGCGAAGGTATGTACTATATATAAATCTAGCTAATATGCCTTTTTTCAGTATAAATATTAATTTTGACATAAATTTTGTTGACCTAAACTGTCACTGATGAATTTTTAGCTGGCCCACCCCCTGCATACAATCCTGATCTCCCTCCTAATAATCCACCATATCCCATTCAACAACCCTACTACCCTCCATCAGCCCCACCAAGTTATACTAGCCATGATCAAACAAAGGCATACCCTATGCAAACAGCAGCCCCCTACCCTCAACAAGGGGTACCCCCAGGATACCCACCTCAAGGTGCTGCACCAGGCTACACAACACAAGGTGTTGGAGTTACAGGCTACCATCAACACAACCAAACTACAATAATAACCCAGGTATTATAAATTTTCATCTCACTTCATTCAAAGAAGCTTTGGTAATGTTCTATTTTTTGCCATGCTAACCTCTTCATTGCTTTTTATACCAAAGTAAAGCATCTTAAAAGAGCATAGGTTTTATTAATATCACAAACTAAGCAACTGTAAGTCTATAAGAAAACCTTATAAATAAGATATCTGTACCTGTCTATAATATTTTCAGCAACCAACGAGTGGGGTGATTATACACACAACTCAGCCTCCTGATTTTATGGTTGTGTCTATCATCAGTATGTTTTGCTGTTTCTTCATTGGGATATTCGCAGTTCTCAAGTCAATGAGGGTAAGCATCAAGTTTCATAAGCCAAACAGGTGATCACAACAATTGACAAACAACTTTGTTAAAATAATTATTCTCTTATAGTCACGTGATTTGTTCAGGCAAGGGGACTATGCTGGAGCACAAGAAGTTGGAATGCAAGCCAAGAAATTAGCTTATGTTTCCATATTTGTTGCAGTTTGTCTCTATGTCTTCATTGTCATATTACGTATAGCCTTGTCAGTGGCGTTAAACAATTAAATTGACTTTCTCGACAATTTTATAAAAGTTTTAACAATATATTTAGCAAAATAGTAGTAGTGGCATATTCCTATGTATTTATAATTACATAAGAAGAATTAGACTGCAAAACTATAGCTGCAATCACGTTGGTACTATGTCTTAACCAGATAAATTTTGTACCTATTACATATAATCAAGACAAATCACTTTGCTCACAGAACATATTATTATCCTTGGCATATATAAATTAGGCCTTATAGTCTTTGGCAAATTTATTTCAAAAGGAAAATGATTACATTTTTTATTGAACCTAAACGGATCTCTATTTCAAGTCCTACAATTAATTTCCAGGTGTATTCTTGCACATTTGTATAATAAATATTTAAAAATAACGTGTCTTGGTTTTTTCCCCTCAGTGAATCCTGATGCTTTTCAAAACCAGTTGGTCTTCTCGCCCAAATAACCATTCAGAAAGTACTTAAGGGATTCATTCTTTGCCTTGGTTCAATAGACTTAGTCCAATACAATTTATATCTGTCTGGGTATGTGAAAGTTTCTAACGTTTATGTGTTCTCTTGTCTCCCCACCCTCAAAAAAGGCGTTCTTTTGAACGCTAAAATTTTCGTCTCTACATCTTTGGATATGCCCTTATCAACGACTACACGGAGGGGGCCTTGTACAATACGATTAGTCCGATCACAGGTCCGATACACGAATACTAATATTATCATAAACTTACTCCCTCTTAAGCATCTTATAAAGCAGAGAAAAGACTACTTTGAAACCTTTTTATTAAACTAATGTTATATTATAGTTATTATTACATCATGCCAGATACACGCATGATTTGAATTGGTTTTACCATGATAAAAAAATTTTGATTGATTGTATCTTTTTCCCGGCACATAGTAATCCGGTTCAATTTCTCGCGTCTGTATATGGGTATATATACCTTGATGTTTTGGCTTGACAGAACCATTCACATGAAGACGAACCCCTATATTAAAGTTCCCTTTCAAACCATTTAGATTGTGACTAAAACTAATTGTTTCAAACATTGCTCCTATCAGTACAATTGAATTAAGTTTAAAAATTTGCAGTATTTTAAAAAAAAAGTCTTTTTTACCCATTTTAAAAGGTATGCGGCTATCCTAACTAATTTGCATCAAATATAGACAGGATTATCTCCAACTGAAATGATTGTAAAAGATTATCTCACCCACTGAAATTTGAATACTCGTTAAACGATTCCAGGACGCTGGTAATAGCTTCATAACAGAGCTTAAATTGTGCCTAAATAACAAAGAAAAAACAATAATAAACTTCACAAGATAATTCTCACTCAGTACAATCGCTGGTTAGAAAATGGAGAATGGGGATAAAGATTTCTTAAGTAATGCCTTACCGCGGTCTCAACGAACTGTGGACGCTTTGCACGGATCAATTTGATGCATTGAAAGACGTCAATGACTTGAACAACTTTCACTCTGTCCACAAGATTAGAAATTGCAATGTACGTTCCACTTCTTCCAGCACCATCGCTAGAAAATATATTAAATGTTTAAACTAATTGACAAATGCTCGTTAATTGATTCTTAATTGACCGATTAATTGATTCTTAATATATTAATTCGACTAAAAAGTCACAAATGTATATAACTCCACACCTGCAAACAACAATGATTGGTCCCTTCTTTTCTGCTGCTCTTTTCGCGTCTTCAACTTCAGACAAAAGTTTCACAATATCGTTAACATTTTCTGGTACTCCATGGTCTGGCCACGACATGTACTGAACCAAACGTACTATACGACCATCTTTCAAATTCTGAAATCGCAAGAGTTTATAATTAGCCGGAGGTTGATTAAGTAGTTAAATGCAGATATTCTTCAAGAGGAATTATTTATGAACACTTACGGATGACGGAGAAACAAGCAATTTTCTGACAACAATATTTCCATTGGTGACAAAGGAATCTAACATTACAGTAATGGTTCCAAACGACTGTGGTTTCGCTCGCTCGGTTGGCCAAAACATGGGGTAATCCTATGGGACAAAACATTCACGATTACAAAAACCCCAAACAAACAGTTCCTTACAAAGGTTGAACCTGCCTTGTCGTTCTCTCGAAGTTGATTCAGGACGACTATAGTCGAGGAGTTGTGTTGGAATACCATCCTCCAAAAATCACTTTTTGTTCTTTGGAGAGGTGTTTGTGTAGCAATGAAGTAATTCTTACCAAGATATCCCTGAAAACAAGAACTCAGTGTTTAAGTTTGCCCATGTTTAAAAGATAATTTCAGAGCGGCAAACTTACATCAACATGGCACGCATTTATATAATCAGAGTTTTCAATGTCCTCTAAACGTTTCAGGCAAACACGAACAGATTCCGCTAGGAAAAATGAAGGAACAAAATTAGAAAGCTTGTCAAATGAACTGAAATAGCTACAATACAGTTCCTTCGATGGGAGATGGATGATCTTGTGTCGTTACCACGTAATAAACGTTTCTTCATATATGAAAAAAGAACTTATATCTAACAGTATAAAAAGAACTCGGCTTTCAATAACGTTGTAACTAAGAGCAATTTTCAGGAAAGCAACTTACTTGGAGAAATTTCTGCATTTCTATTCTTTGCCTTATTTTCAGGTAACAATGCTGCTTCGCAAAGTTCCTTTTCTAATTTCGGCGAAATATTATTGAGTTGCTGTAAAGACAACACGCGGGTTAAGGACAAATTGGAGAACGACTAAGAGGAGAACAAAACTAAACTCTACCTGAAATTTCTGTTCAAATCCAGACTGGCCTTTCTCGTTAATTTCTGATAATTTCTTTATCACGATCATGAGTTGAGTTGCTTCCACTTCATTTGTCCCACACTTGATGTGATCCAATATTGTGTCATGAATGAAAACATACTGTTCCTGGATGAGGGATAACGTAAGATAAATATTATTTGGAAGGAAGGAACTGTTGGACTTCTGAAGACACCGTAATCGACAAAATTGGAAACTAGAACAAATTAAGGAGGCTCACAGCAGTTTGCACCATGTTAACTCGTCTTGTTCTCATGTCTTTTACAAAGCCAAAGACATCGATCACATCTTTCTTTTCTTTGTCAAGATCATCCAAAATCTTGTCCACAGCAATGAACACTCCTGTCCGACCAACTCCGGCGCTGCGATGATAAAAAGAGCTATATATAGTAAAAAATTCCATCTATTTTTCCTATTTTAGTTTCGTAAGCTTTCGCTATGCAAGAAAACTTCAATTATACATATTCACAACTACATATTTTTAATTGAGACCACTTCATTCTGCATTTCAACTACAAGTTCTAAATCAATTCAGAATCCCTGCCTCAGTCACGGCTAAACCGTAGACTCCCAAGTGTCCTCCACATTCCTAACTACCCCTATTTCACCTGCAATGAATCACCGCAGGACCGCTAGTTGTTTCGTGGTAAGATTTGTAATCTCTTCTGAAGGTCAAAATCTGAGTTGGATAGAGAGGAACTCCGTAATCTGGCCACGACCTGAAGTGAAACTGCTTAACCTCAAGTTTATCTTCACCCTGTAATCAAAGCCTTTTGTTATTGAAACAGTGGAAAAAACTTACTATGGACAAAGTATATTTCGGGTAGATAGGGCTAGGAGATAATTATCCCAGATTTAACGAGATACATACAAGTATACAACTGTAGGCTTGCAAGATTTAAGCATTACAAATACCTTTTCAACAATGAACGTCCGTGTAATATAATCAGCAAAAGCTCGACTTCTTGTCGCAGTGACTTTAATTTCTCCATACACTTCGCTTTCATCAGGCCAATATTTCTCACATTTTACCTGAAGTAAATACGATTGGGAGTCATAATGAACAAATGATCGATTTTGATCCTTTGTCTCAAAGAAAGAACATGCTGTTATACTTTGTTCGTCATTATTAACCTATAGTACGAATTATACACGTTATTTCCATAGAAAGGGAGACTAAATCTTAGTAATACCGAGATATAAAGAAGTATGCAAACCTTTCCCATCTCTTTCAATGTCGTTAACATTACGATAGTTGGACATTTGTACTCAAAAATCATCCGCCAGAAATCATTCACAGTTTTTGGCTTTGGTCCTAAGAACACAAAAACGTGAACCTTTTATGCTTAAATGAGAGCTATACTATATATTTCACCAATTCTTCAATAATAAAGATGAAAATTATCATCAAAAAGTTTAGCGACATACCTTGTGTTGCAATGTAGTATTTCTTTTCGATACCCTGCAAGTATTGTCTCAAGTTTATTACATAAATCGGTACAAATGGCCCAAAAGTGTTTACTGGTCGTTAAAGAAAACCAATGTACGGAGAGGAAACAAAAGAACAAAGCAACATTTTTGTGTTTCCAGTGTGTTGTAGTGCGTACGGATAAGACAAACCATAATGATTTTTATATAACTTAATTTTAAGCCTTGAACTTCAACACTTACATTAATGTGGGAAGCATTTATGTAGTCTGACTTTTCGTTACCCGACAGAACGACACGTGAATCATTATCTGAAGCATTAACCACAAAGAGTAAAGTAAAGGTGAGTGATGGTGACCTTCTTGGAAACAACGAAACTAGTGAGCATCGGACTTACAAGTGACAGCGTTCCCAAACCGATTCTTCGGAATGTTAAAAGAAAGCTTGGCAATACTCCAGTTTAATTTTTGTCCAGTTGGAAGATCCTAAAGAAAATTTTTCATCTGTTTCACTACATGCGACTAAAGAAATCTCTATCAAAAGAAGAAATATTTTGTCGAATCGGTTTACCTCGAAATCTAACTTGAATTCTTTCTTATCATTTCGCTTCATTCTGCTAACGTAACCATCAAATTCTGATACTGGGATTGGAAAGTGTGAGCGCGCTATAATAGCTGAAAAAAATAAAAAAAACCGCAAAATTAAAAATCCAGTCAATTCAGGCTATATTCACCTCGCTCGCATAGTTTTGTTATAAACTTTTCGTTTATCTTACTTTCTTGGTTTCCATACAAACTCTCCTCCTTTTTAGGTAAATCTGTCGTGTCTACATTCTCATCAGGATGGCTGTTGTTTTGAAGCGGATAGTCGTTTGGTTCATCATCTTGTGTTTGATTATCGTGGATTTCAAACACCGTGACCGTGTTGTATTTGCTGGATATTTGCTCCTCGGGTAGAAGTTCATTATTTTTATCACCGGACTGTGTGTTACTGCTTTTTCGTCTAAATGATGCAAGATGAAATATTTCAACGCTATATATAGCCAGCCAGATTATATGAAATCAGCTTCAAATCAAAGATAAAGAGCCCCCCTCTCTCAGAAGTTGTAAGACGTTTTAAAATTAAACCAAACAGACGTCAATTCGTGATTATTCGATCCAAATATATTCTTGGTGACATATAATAATCAATGGCGGCCAGGACGGGCTACAGGCATTGTTACCTGGTTTACGTCGCGCGTATAAAATGATATATAGGAGAAATTGATAACTACCTTCTGTACAAGACAACAGCCAGTAAAGTAAAAACGACCAGAAGAAGTAGTAAGGCAATAACTACCCCAACTATCATTCCAGTACTACTTTCATCTATAAAATACGATTTTATACTCTTAATTTACACTCAAAACTATCCAGTTTTTATAGCGAGTGCATGCTTGCAGCATTTTTATATACCTGAGCTTCCTTTTGCTTCTGTAGGGAGATATGTTTTCAATGCGGAGCTCCAATCCGTAGAGTAATTATATCCACCCTATGAAACATAGGTAAATTTCTAGTTGGATGAAAGTCGTTTTGCTGGAAGTAATATAATCGAATTACAGTATAGTATAATTTCATTTCAGCCACAAATAAGGTGTAGTATGTATAGCTGAATTATAAACTTGCTTTGATACCTTGAGAAAAATTCGTTGGAAAATACGGTATCTAGTCCCAGGTTCTAATGGACCGTTATGATAACTATCAGCAGTTGATCTTCGTCTTCGTGATGTTGGAGCATTTGTATTTTTACCATCGCCAAGTATGAATTTTGTCATCGGAGTTTCGCTGGACGTAAATACCGCTGCAATATAAGGCTTTGGGTCAGTTGATTTCTTTGCCGCAGCATACGTCGACATTTCTGCTTTTTTAAAGCTGCTGGAAGATCTCAGTTCTTCGCCTTCTGATGACCTTAAAGCCACTACGTAAAAATGCCTGGGAAATGAAAAGTTTTAACGGTTATTGACCATTGACTGAACATTTACGCGCTTTGCTTATCAAGATGAAGTTGGAATGGTTATAATTTGATCTATTTCTTCAAAGATTTCCAATTTCCAAACATATTGTGTCATCATCAATGATCATAATATTTGACTAGAATAAACCTTACGTAAAGTTTTGTTTGGGAACTTGTAAAGAGAATTCAATAGTGCTTGATGTTATATTCTTTCCAATTCCCGGAGGTTCTACAAAAAACACGATTGTAAATTACCTAGATTAAAATTAAATGTTCTTTTGAGATAAAATATTAATAGTGGTTTAGCAATCTGCACTTCAGGACTTGACTTGACAATACAGTACTTACTTCCATTAGTAAAGACTCCTTCACTAACACCGTATTTACCCCGACCAACTTTAGTACTTGCAAGAACACGAAAAAAAAACATATTTGGTTGATGATTTCAAACTGTCGATGACTAACATCATCTTCTCTGTAGTATGTTCTTTAAAGCAAGGTTTAGTTTCTTCATGTGAGATACACACAGTGTAACTAATAATGACGCCATTTCTTTTCTCTTTTTCAGGAAGATCCCACGTGACTGATAATGAGGATGAACTTTCTGCCGTGACTTTGACATTCAGTGGAGGACCATCTGGAGCTGGAAATCATAATAACAAATATATATATTACACATATACATGCAATTGAGCTAGAAGAAATCTTAAAATAGGAATGATGAAGTTGAGATCCTATAAATCATTAAATGTTTTGATCTTACCTTCTTCACCAGTCTTAAACGCTATCTTAACACGATCACCATAACCTTTACTGTTACCAAGCACCACTGAAACCTCATAGTTCGTAAATGGAGTCAGATCCTTCATGGAGAACTTGTTTTCACCAATAAATCGTATAACCTTGTTTATTAGTCGGACACCGCCATGTTTCAGTATTATCCAAAAGTTGATAACAGGATCTTTGGAAGAAACCACGGGATCCAACCAAGACACTTCTGCGTTTCTGGACGTGATCTTGTTGACTGTCAAGTTGTATGGTCTTCCTGGCTTTATGGCTAAAATATAAATCAAGAAAAAATAAAAACTAAGAATTAAAGAGTCAATATGTTTAAGCTATTTGCGCAACACGAAGCAGAATATAAAACCCTGGAGAACTGGCAGTCAAGTGTAGGAGAAAATATCAAAACACGACTTACACTTTCCACAAATCTGCACTCTCATACACGGCTGAACCATTGAATTAAGCGGAATAAATCTCAAAGCTTTTAGTTCAATATTATCGTCCACAGATTGCCTGACAACATGATTATTAGCACTTCTATTGCCACGAAATATCTGCAAGAAAATAAAAAATAATCGGCGTCGCAATTACAACTAGATTCAATTACTTGACAGACTATATAAAGTCGGAAGATTATTATTAATAATGACGGAAATTAAAGCTGAAATCCAGACGTATTCGGAAGCAGTTTCAAACGCGAAACATACTTTTTTAGCTTGTTTCCATTGTATCATGTCAACCGAGTAATTCAGATGATACGAAATCACCCACTTGCTGTTAGTTCTATCACCAAATGTCGCCACATAATATACAACATAAGATCTTCCTAAGTCAACTTGGAGATAATGTTTGCCATTTGCGACAGGAGCACACCAAGAACTACCACTAGATATCCTTGCTTTGACTGGATTGTGACCACTCAGTGAACCTGATGCCGTGAAGGAGGAGTCGGGAAAATAATCTTTGTATTCTAACAGAGGATTATCGCAAACTGCACCTGGAAATCAGGAATTAATTGCCAAAAATAAGATTTGTGTGTGCAAAAGATATTCACCCATCTTTCTCTTTACATTTTTTACGTTTTGCCCTCATACAAAACATGTAATCTCCCCTTTTTTACGTTTTGTTTGATTTATTCATTTATCACCCTTCACAAAGAGTATCGTTACTATCTTCCTACTTTTCGTCCCACTGTTTCCCTATCTACCCTCTATTGTATTTTTCCCTTCATGAAGTGCTTATTTATACATGTCAGATTTCTTATCCTATCTTCTCTTCCTTCGCATAATGAACCATCATGCTCTCTACAGACTACTTCATCTTACATGTCACGTATGACTGTTCCTTGCAATCGTTGGCAGAACTTCTTGTTGTTTGACATTGTGATAAAGCTGTTTCTCTTCCATCACAGTCAATACTTCCTTGAAACACATCTTCATTACTCTTCGTCGAAACAGCCGAAGTTTCTTTAAGTGTTTTCCAGTAGCCGAGCTGACGGCAGACGATATCCTTGGCCTGAGATTTTAGAGCTTCGCTGCAGACAATTTCGTCCTTATTATCGATAGTGACGGTCAAAAAGCCTTTGTTTGGTGAAGTTGACGAAGTCAATGAGACAGATTCAACTATTGTAGAACGAAATGAAATAAAACTGTTTATTCAACATACGGTAGATTAAAGCCAGGTTCACACTTGTCTTAAGAATGGGCGACCTTTTGTTTGAATTCAAAATGCTTTGTCTATCGGAAAATAATACCATGGATCCTCGATTCTTTGGACCTAGTGTGAACCAAGCCTAAACAATAGAATCATGAACGTGAATGTTTTTTTTAGCTCTTACCACACGGCTTGGTAAAAGACGTGGAAGTATCAATACATTGATATTCAAAGTAAAGATATTTGTTCAATTCAGGACACAGATCACCAGAGAACAAGGTTTCATCCACAGTTATTTTACACTCATGTTGACCATCACATTGTTTCTTAACAAGACATGTTACATCAACTGTACAACTATAATCATCACTCAAACCACATGTCTTTGAGTCAGACATTCCACGGTAAGATGCAGTCTTGACCACCATGAACTGATCTTTAGGACAGGTGGCATTCTCTGTCGTTTTTCCATAACATGCCACTGAACCTGGAAAATAACAATAATGCGGTGATTGTGTGATCCTCTAAATTTGAGACTGCTTCTTCTTCTCTCTAACAACTATTATCGAATATTCTTCTCAGTCTCAGACAACCCTGGCAGGCAGAAAAGATCGCACAGAAACTTACCAAAATTAAAACGTTTATTCTCCCCGTCTTCACAGCTTGTGGTCGTTCTTATGTATCCATCAGGGTCTGCACACCTGGCTGCAGAATTATAAAGGCCATGTAAACCTCCCCAAGCGGTTTGTTTTATAACCCGGTGGTCAGCACAGGCAGATACTTCTATAGTTCTTGGGGTAGCAGGAACGTAGACGTAAAACATTTCAGGAAGCCTGTGCTTTCTATAGATAGCAAGACATCCTTGTCTTTTCAAATTCAACATGGCGCCATTATCACGAAACCGAAACTGAGCAGCTGGATCCAGACAGTTGTTGGTGAGTTCAAGAAAAGATACGCTGCCCCAGCTCGAGCCTCGTGAATGTATTCGTGCTGTGTCATAGATACACTTTCCTGTCTTGACATGTTTCACAAAAAAACCAGCAACAGCTAAAAATAAAGAAAAGTCGATCGAAAACGCCGTAGTTAATACAGAAATGTCAGTCGCAACGTCAAAGACGAAAGACTATGAACGATGACTATGTGCTACGCTGTTATTACATGCATTCTCTCTAACATTTCCTTAATCATTTTCACTTTTTCTGCGGATATTGAAACTGATGTAACGAAATCTTTTCACGACACGACGGCACAAACAAAGCTGTACATTTTCTATATTGTGCCAATAATGCATATCAGTTTAATATTAGGGGAATTTTCAATCTATAATTAAGTTATTCCAAAAACAATATATTTTTTAAAACTTTACTGGCCAACACCGGCTTTTAAAGTTTAACAGACAAATTTGATGAAATATAAGGAAAAAACCAGCTCCGAAAAAAAACATGTTGTAAACTTTTTTACACAATATCTGTCTTGGGTTGTTTCAAAATGATTGACTGAAACAGAAGTATACATGCAGATGCAATGTGGTGCTCTAACCCAAAAACCTGTTGACCTAACAAGTGGCTGTGACCATAACAACGACATTGTTTAATCCTGTTTTCATCAGTGTTCAACCAGGAAGAACCATGCAGTGTAGGGAACTAGCCGAAACAAAATGAGGCCTATATAGTTCAGTCGTAATGTCGTGAACATGCCAAAATGGCTGATGTGTTGTTGTACATGTGCAGTCAACAATGACCCATTTGAAAACAGAAATAAAGACAAGTTTACATCTCGACTTTTTCTCACTGGTGATGGAATGACTTGTTCACGACCATTACGACGAATGGACACCAGTTTAAAGATGACTAAAGCACGTTTAGACGTCACACCATGAGCCGAGTCGAATGCAAATGAAGTTAAACAAAGACTTTAGCTCATTAGGTTCGCCACATGAAAAGTTCCACGTCAGAAACGGACCTTAATTATTTAAGCGTAACAGAAATGAGAAACGTAAATAATTTCTTGTAGGGTAATGGTATATCCAGAGGAATTTACCAGGTGGCTTGCCTTGCGATTTATAAAAACATTTTATTCTTTGCTGAAGTAAACAAAATAGAAAATTTTGAAAGATCAAACATAAAACAACGAATAAACGTACAAATTATAACTATGCATAATTCAAAATTATTTCACATATTATAGCCAATTGTAGCTATAACTATAATGATTAATTTAAGCTTCATCCTAATTCTAGCCTATATAGTCAACACTAACTTTCTCTAGGATCAGACACTGCCTCTAATGAACGTCAATAGATGACAAAATATATGATGTAGGATCGTTTCAGACGTCCAACCTCTCGTGTGCCCGGCGAATCGGATGAAAATGAACTTAAGCCTTAAGACTTAAGCTTTTTAATATCACGTTTCGCATGCATATAAAAACGTCTGAAATAAGCCTTTGCATGCATTATCTTATATATAATAACAACACTGAGTCACTGACCGTGTTGGTGAAAATAGAGAAGATGAGAGATGAACCAAACCAAATTCCTCTTCCAATTATCCCGGAACATGGTTATATCTTGGGAAATATCAACTGTGTATTTCACAGCTAAGCTGTAAGGATTTGTAGTGTTAATTGACCAAAGCGGAAGCAAACAACTGCCCACAAATATAGTCACATATCATTCTTATGAATATTCAACTGTTGCGCCTCCTTACAGGACCCCAAGAGATGAAATAGATCCCGTTGTTTCTAATCGAAAATGAGACTTGTTTGTACACGACGTAGTTTGATACGCCTTGAAAAATATTTCATTTTTTCGAAATTTTGATTTATCACAGTGACGCAAGGGTTCCTCTCACGAAAACTCTTTCAGCTGGTGAAGTAAAAAAAACTTAATTTACTTCAAGCAATGGGAATAAAAAGATTAAGTTCATAAAATCTGATCAGATTAATCATTGTTGAAGATACGTAGAAGATATATTCCTCACTAGCATGTTTTTTTTAACTATTTCTTTACTTCTTTTTTTAATTTATTTCTTTACGAACTTTTAATCGAACTTTCAAAGTCTTCGTATCACGTTTATCTGGTGTTCATCACGAAATTTCTCTTGAATATTTTCCTGTGTCATCCCTATTCGTCGCCATTTTTAGTGAAAGATGAAAATATCACGTCGTACTCTCATTGAGAGGAAAACAATACTCAATATGCAAATTAAATAAACAGATTAAATAAAAAAGGTTTATATATCCGTGTCACAGTAGATCAATATAAGCATTCTAACCAATGACTCGTGCGATGTTCAGCGATACTTCAGCCGAAATAGTGTAGTCGCCTGAAAAATATTTGTGCAAAAGAAATTTGTACTCCTGTAACGCATTCAAAACAGTCAGAAACAAAGGATATAATTGCTGATTCAAACATAAAGAAAGTGCAATTTTTTTTGGCATTAGAGATATTGATGTTGAGAATTAGCTACCACGCAATGACTCTCAAGAATTTATGATTTATGTAACTTGCTTATATATATATAACTGAAACATAAACATGAAGCTATATATAGAGTTTCTTTTCTAGTCCAACGATATTTTGGCCGAGAATTTGAATGCAAACATCGGTTTGGTGAAAATTAAAGGAAAAATACTTTGGCATTAGAAGTACTTGATATTGAGGATTAGCTAACACGCCACTGACTCTCAAGAATTTATAGCTTATATATATCTTGCCTATATATACATAACTGAAAAATAAACATAAAGCTATAGAGTTTCTTTTGAAGTACAACGATATTTTGGCCAGTAATTTAAATACAAACATTAATTTTGTTGAAAATTAAAGGAGAAATACTTGGAAACCAATATCGCCCCGCACATTAATCACCACACACGCCATATGCCGGATGTTTAGGATATTAGTTAATTGTATATTATCTAAATACTTCAATATTTTTTTATGTTTTGTGTGTCTATTTGTTATCCTTACCGCCTTAAATGTTTGTCGGCTTAAGATCACAGCTTATTTGTGTTCAAGTTGGATACAAGTTATTAATTTATGAAGCTCGCTGTGCACAGTCAGTGAATCGCATGAGTCATTGAAGGGCTTATATTGATCGTATATCAATGATGAAAACACTTCTTTGAATTAATTTCATGTTTGTATAAATTTGCATATCGAATACAAGCTTCTCTCCTGCCATTTTCCAAGTACGGCCTGAGAAAGGGAAGTGCGGGTGAAACTGACGAGACAGGAATATATTGCATATAGTCAACATGTCTGTTTTAAAACGTGGTAATCCGGAAATCTTTGTTTAGGATAGACCGGATCACGCGCCTTCGTTAATTTATGTACATCGAAAGTTGATATTGTCTCTATTAATATTTCAACTTCCTCTCTGTTGTGTGAACTAAGGAGGTGTTCATATGGTTTCAGACTCATTTCACAAAATGAGTTATACTCCGTGTGGTATTATTATATTAGCTGCTTATATTAACGTTTTCGCTACTGCTGGTAAGTTTCAATACGATTAAGGACAATTGATTATAATGACGATGAAGATAAGAAAGTTCTTCTGAAACAAAAATTAGTCATATTTTTACTGAGATTATTACCCTGCACGTCACCAATAAAAAAATGATGACCGCATTTTGATAAGTACTCTATATAAGAAGATAGCTCGTGATTCTGTGGGTGATAATTGTTCGATAAAATAACGTAATGGCTTAATTGTTACTTTCGATTCACTTACAGGATATTGTTTCGAATTGGGTGCATCTGTCAATACCTTAGATACGGAACGAGAACAACTAAGGCCCGTTTTAGACGTCGAACTTTTCATGCGCCGAATCTAATGTTAATGAACTAAAGTCTTTGTTGATTTGCATTTGATTCGGCACATGAAAAGTTCGACGTCTGAATCGGGCCTAAAGTCAGGAACAGTTTGAGCGGGAGTTAAATCTGTCTTAAATCTCATACTAATTAGCACGCATTTTATTTCTCAGGTGGTTCAAATTGTCCTCCAAATGGCTGGTATCGAGTCAAATGCTCGTGTTTTATTGTTAAAACCTCAACGGAAAATCTCAACTGGAACAAGGCAGAAGAACGCTGCTCCAGGATGAATAAAGCTAACCTTGCAAGCATTAAATCCCAACACCAAAATGAAATTTTAGGAGAACATTTGTCGGGAAAAAAGAGTTGGATTGGTTTAAGATCAGAAGGGAATTCATCAATATTACTTAAAAATGGAGAGAAAGCGACATTTCTTAGAGGAGTGAAAACGAGATATGACCAATCAAGATGCATTGCCAGTCGTTTAACTAACAACATTTGGCTGGAAGAAAATTGTGGGAAACTGCAAAGATATATTTGTTCTCGTAAACTAGGTAACTATGCATCAACCATGCCCCAATTTATTCGATATTATTTATCAATTTATCATCATTCGAAATTATTTATTAATTTATCACAATCATGGACACGCGGATTACCTGGGCCTAGTTTGACAGTCTGATAGACGTATAATACATATTTTTAGTTGGAAATGAAAGTTGTCGCGAAGGATGGAGGCCTCATCGTAATTTATGTTATCGCTTATCAGTCGAACAGCAAGCATACAAAGAAGCGGGAAAAAAATGTATTGAAATGAATAGCACACTTGTTGAGATTTCCACGAAACAGGAATACGAGTTTCTCCGAAAACGGCTTCACACGGGGGATGAGATTATAGAAGTCTGGATTGGTTTACAAAATGAGACCAGCGCCAATAATTTTGACGCTCTAGGAGGCCATGTGATATCCGAAAAAGGGTCAAAAAACTGTGTTAGGATGGAGCTTGCCAAGACTAGCGTAATATGGGAAGCAAAGAAATGCAATGCGACACTGAAGTCATATGTTTGTGAAACAAGGAATATTGAATTGGGTAAGACTAAAAACATCGTAAACTAAGATAAAATATATTGATATTTAAAAAGTTTTCATAAATTGATGTATACTTTTAAACTCAGTCAAATTTTGTCTGCACAAACCTTTTTTAATTCTCTTCTAGATTTCAAAGTTAACGTGACAAATGTAAATGAGACGTCAGCAAAGATATCTTGGTCAACACACCCTCATGAATGTTTATTATCTAGTGACGAAGAATATAAATTAGAAATACACGAAGAGACCAAATTGAAATATTCAATGAAAATAACCCTGCCTGAATCATCTCAGATTGTAGGAGACTTTAAGCCAAAGACCAAATATCAAATTAAAGTTGCACGGAATAATAAAACGATGGCGGTAAAGAACTTCTCAACATCGAAAATAGGTAAGTTGCTTGATGAAGGAGGCTAGACTTGGTAGATGAGTTCATATACACAACAACAGTTTTATAACTTTGATTTTTAAAGAAAATCCACTTCACGTGCTGGCAAAGATTTCCAGTCAAGAGATACACGCAAAAGAAGGCGATACTGTGAACCTTCTGTGTGCAGTCACAGGGGAACCACCAATACGTTTCAGTTGGATAAAGGACAAAAATATGATGAAAAGCTATGTCGAAACGAAAAATCCTCAACAAAGTTCAATCCTTTCAGTTGTGCTAAAAAATCAAACGCATTTTGGCACATATATCTGTCATATCAAGGATCAATTTGGCAATAAAACCCATGCTATTAAAGTCATTCCGTTATCAGAAGGTAGGATTGCAAACGTAAATGATAGTTCAGTTGTTGATAGAGAAGATAGATGATGGTAATGGCACTGGTGAAGATTGATGGATGGACGGCTGATGATTATTCCAGCAATATTAACAATATTAACATGCAGCCTAATTCAGCAGGATCACACAACCATCACCTAAAATTTTCACTTCTTTTTCAGATGATCAGTCGGAAAACAATTTGTTTGTGATCGTTATTGTCATTCTTGGGATAGCTGTGGCTATCCTACTGGTCATTATGGCATATTGCATCAGATCTATCAGGCGTTTAAGACGTAGACTTGAGGAAACGAAGAAAACAAGTCCAGTGACGTTAAGAAATGTTTCAAAAGAGGGTTTGACTTATGACAAACCGCAGCCATCACCTGGCAAAACAAGTATTGACGTTCGTTATGTTTCGCCCGAGGAGGAAAACGAGGCGTACACGGCTCTGAGAAGGAATGGTGACGAAGAAGAAAATTTTTACTCGCCACTGAAAGACGCACCTCTTTACGTCAATGCAAATGAATTTAAATAAGAGCCCTGATTTAGTCAAATGTTAATAGAAATTAGACTTAGAGAGTCAGCTGACTGTTGTGGATCTTACGAGGCTTGCGTTTTATACTTTATATGGCGAGGCGAATCAGTAACTCGATTTATATAGTAGTGACAACCTATCGATTTGAGCGAAAATGATTCTCTATTATTGCTGCGCTTAAAGGCGATTCTCATTGCCATCCGGTCCCCCCTCGGGTTCCCCCAGTGCCGGCGAAGCGGATTTTGAAAATCTGCCCAGCGACGGGCAGAAAAAACAAAGCCCGCGCGGGCGGAGAATTGCCTTGAGGGCAGATATATCTGCTGGCATTGTCGCGTTTTTACCCCCCTTTTTACCCCCGCTTCGAACCTCACCATTGTTTTTAAGCAATATTATAATTGCCCAGTGCCCACGTGTTTGTCTTATTTGGCAAGATGGCGTCTTGGACCTTCAAAGCCGTTTATAGATGAAGTTAATTGAGACGAACTAGTTTTATAGCGGAGGTTTGCCCAGGCGGATCATATGTTTCTTGTAAAAATTTGGCCAGGTCTTTATTGTGTTGGCAAAAGGGGTTTCACTAAACAGTTAACAGTATAAAACACGGTCATTGTACCTGATTATGGATTATAACTGCACAATCTTGCTTCAGACTTCGACTGTGTCAACTGTTTGACTAGCCAAACAACAATCCCATCACAGAGCCATCACAGAGCATCTCCCATTATTACATGTTTGACTCAAAGATAGCGATTCACAAGCGATTTCACTTGATCCAAAGTACAAAAATCATCACAGTGTAAAGCGTGTTCAAACGCTCTCCTTCTTCCCATGTGCAGAACGCATAAAACATCAGTGATCTCATTCATGATTACCTCATTATCTATTGCTGTTTATGCGTTTGTCCCATGAAAATCACAGCATTGGACATAAACAATGGCCCTTGTTTTTTGCTTTCTCTCGCGGGACCGTTGAGTGGTGATTACTCTGGTAATCAACAAGCTTACCAAGTACTGCAAAATGCAAATTCAAAACTCTTTTCAACGTTCTCAAATATCGTGCTTCTCTTCCTGTCAAAAAATCAAGTTTGTGCAAATAAACTTGATAATACTTTCGGCAACCAAAGGGTCTGAATATTCAAATTTAAAGTTTTTAAAGTTATATTACTTACTTACTTACTATTTAGTTAATTAATTTACATAATAAATGTTTACAAACTTTGTCACAGATAGAACATTATCTTTAGTTTTTCACTAATTTTATACTTTACAGTGCATTAATTTTGTTTTTTACAGCGCTATAAATATACGAAGTTCCCCAATATTATCAATTCTTTAGTAAATTTCTTGTTTAATTTCTGTAGCGATCCAAAAGCTAACACGACCATTTACATTGAGGCCTTAAGAACACATAATGTCTCAGTTTCACTGAGAATGAATGTGTGCCATGATTACTTGTTAAAGTTTGTCCAAAGAACAACGGCGACTGATTGTCTTGCAGAAGCTGGTATGCCTTCTTCTCACAAGGAAATTTTATTTCACCAGCATTTCCACTTTCATAAGAAGATACTCCATAAGGCTATCACAAACAATAGCAAGCTAGGAACTGCGATCTGTGTCCCAGAATGAATACCTCCAACTTCCCTTTCTTGTGTTTTCATTTTTGTTTGCAACGAATGACAAAAAAATTGAATGATCCAAAATAATTGAAAAAAAATATAGTTAACGACGATTTTCACGAACTTTTTGTATGATTCTTACCAGTGGTTGTAGGAGATGGATTTTCACGTTGTGTTTTAATACGTCTGGTCGTATTTCTCTTTTCGGTAAGTATTTCTCTTTTCATTGGACAGTTCTCAGGACCATCTGGAAACAAATCATTCTCAGAATGAATTTTATTAAAAGTTAGATCCTTCAATTAGAATTTGTATTGAGACTTACTGAGTTACTCCACATGAAATTATTAGTATTGTCATCGTCACAGCCATATACAAACATTATTATCATCATAATTATTATTTGCCATTATTTCCAATATTATACCCACTTACCATACACAGTTAAGCTGATCGTTCTATTATGCCCGAACCCGTATTCATTTTGAACAACGCAATAATACGTTCCTTCATGTTTCCTCTTAATCTCAGCGATCGTGAACAATCCTCGGCTTTCGCTATTAGTTCTATCAATATTACGATAAAGAAGATTTCTCCCGTGGTAGATGTAAAAATTCTTCACAGGAATACTTGATCTACTGGTCTCGCATACGAAAGATACTGCATCACATTCGTACACAGTGTTATCCAAAGCTGCAGTATGAAAGAACGATCTTATCCTTGGTCTCTCTGTAATAAGCAAGAACAACAAATATATCACTTCTTCATGCAGTAAACGAATTCATGATGAACATGCCGTTGTTTCGCTGTAAATCAAGATTGCGTCAACTTATGGATTGATTACTTTAGGAAGAGTCTTAACCTATTCTTTAAAAAGACATTTGGGATAGCAAGTAATCTACTACTCAACACCCACCATTGACCACAATGTTGACTTTTTTCCTTGTCTCATTAAATTCGTTCTTCGCGCGACACTCGTACGTGCCAGAATCCGAGAGATTCGCATTTTTTATCTGTATCATGCTTCCACTGATCTTACTCCAGCTATCTGTACGTCTATACCATGATACACTGGGGACCGGGATGCCACTTGCTTCACATGAGATGTTCACGTGATCACCGTCAAATATGGTAATCTGAGGTTCAGGAATGGAATGAATCACAGGAGCAGCTACAATATGAAATTTTATGAGATTAAACAACTGTCTTATGATGCCAAAGCTGAACTAGTGTAGGAAGAATCATGCAAAGAACGAATCCGAATGGAATAAAAAGCTAACAAATTAACTTTATGTACTTACTTCCAACTAATAATTCTGTTTTGCGCCAGATGGGACGGGCTTGACCCTCAATCGACACTTCGCATTTGTAAAATCCGCTATTTGCAACTGTGACGCTGTGTAATGTCAATACACCAGCATCTGTTTCAGTGACCATTCTTGCTGAACTGTCGGTGACATGGAGACCACCTTTGTTCGTTCTGTACGCTATAATCTCTTTAGTACTTTCAAATTGTACGGACTTGCTGTAGTACAATGTCATCATAATTAGTGACTCGTGGTTTCCTAAAGTGAACGTCCAGTTAAAAGTGACATCTTCGCCAACTGTGGCTTGAACTTTCTCAGATGGTTTAGACAAGAACTTCGCTTGATGACCTAGAATAAGAATAATAAAATTAAGCAATAAGGCATGAGAAAGGTTTTCTTAATTCTCAGGTTTCGTTCGGGAATTATAAGACTAATATACAAATACAAATACGGGATCGTCATGGTAATCTTTGCAGAATCTTATAAATATAGGAGACAAGCTAATGCCCAACAAAGACGACTAAGGGGCTGATTACATGAGCCCTGTTACCCGAGATTCAACGAAGCGTGAGATGATTTTGAGGTATTGAGTCTTTATGATACCAAACAAGCACATGCTATTAATGTGGTGATTATACGACTGCCAGGATCATGTTATTTGCTCATTTCAATACCTCAAAATCATCTCATGCTTCGTTGAATCTCGGGTAACCGGGCTCATGTAAACAGCCCCTAACACTAATGCCAATACCAATACCAATGCCAGTGAAAACTGGCAAAGATCATAATGATTTAAACTCCCATTACAGTTCAGTTTCTCTCTGTAAAGATGACTGATAAAAACTAGTATCATCAATGATTTAGTTAATGCGGGAAAATAAAAATAATGACAACTTGATAAAATTAACTTTGACCTCTACGCGCCCACTGAGGCAACTCTGTGAGAAAACCCGGTAAGGAAACCACACACACAGTCTCGTCATGTTTCTCATCTGAATTTTATCATCTTATCACGAATTTGAATAATGTCAAGCCTGAAGCTAGCCTAGTTTTGAGTCAATATTCTTCCGGCCGATATTCGCTTTTGATGATTTATCACGATTAACGATCTCACAGAATTAACAACAGATAGCAAATTACACGTGGTAAAAGCATGAAGATTAAACAGTTTTTTACGACAACAAAAACTTTAGTCTCTTTTTATGTTTTCAGTGTGGATATATATGATCCGTGAGATAAAATTAGCAATGACTACAGCTGATCACATATTAAAAACACTTGAATATTGTTTTCTTGACTTTAAATATAAACTCTAAACCTTTCCATTAATTGTTTAACTTGATAGAAGCTTTTAAAAGGTATGAAGCACACGCCATTAACTAACTGACAGCGACGCTTTCACTTACAGGAATTAAATATCGTGGTGTTAAACAAATTACTTGATGGCGCGCCAAACAGCCAGTGAGTTGAGTAAATGAGGAAGAAATTGCATGAATTATGAATTTCTACAAAGCTGAAAATGCTCCAAACACGCCTATTGCTTTAATAAGCAAAGGTTATATATATCATATGTTCATTATGATGCTATATGGGTAATATCAAACAGGTGATATTTCTCGAAATAACAATCAGAATAACAGCATGAATACAACATTTGTATGCGTTTGTTTAACAACAATTGCCCAAGCCTGGCTCATCATCATTAAAAACAACTTTAGTAACACAATCCACAATTTATTGATCTCAAATTGCTGTGTTTTATTCGCCGTGTTGTCTGGGTGACAAAACAGTGCTGGCTCACGATATATGACGAATAAAAAAACACCACTCAAAGAAGCCTAAACAGAATTATTTCTGCACATCGCACGTTTAAACTGTTGTGAAGTTCATGATATGATCGATATAAGGACAAATCTCTGAGGACAAAGACGATGAAGTATACATTCATCACTCCATGCATTTCTGCAGAGATCAGAGATCAAACGTGGTAGTAGAATTGAACAGGATACATATATACTTATATACTAATATTAATACTTTAGACACACACAAACACAGCCATAGGAACTTATAAAATGCACAAAATAACAGGAAAAATAATAATTATCCAACACTCATTCATATTTTCATGTTTACTTATAATTAGCGAGTGAATTGAAATGGGATATTAATAATCTCGTGTCGCCCAGTTGGAGGTTTCGTACAGAGTTGTACAATTTAAAGTTTTCGTTGATACAAGGTGTGTTTGTCATCTTCGCAATAAAGACTAGCGCATATCAAAGCCTGCAAGTGAATGAAAAGACTGCCATCTTCATGGCTGTTTCATTTGATAAGCGATTCAATTCACATTCGAAACCACAGTGAAATTTGATATGTTTTTTGTGTGTATTTTGTGTAAGGTGTCCGGCGCCCATCGTTCTTTCCTTGCACCTGCCAAAGACAATGATCGCCCAAACGCCTACTCTCAGATGAAACAAGTCACGTTTTTCATAGTTGAACCGTAGGAATGTTTCCTGGCGGAGCTGATACCCGCGGTATAGCAAACTAGCATGATGCAGACCATATGTGCTGATAAATGCATTGTTGTTGTAAATGATTCGAGGTGAAAGCAACCAATTTTATACCTCTTTAAAATGTTTCATGAAATATGTATTCATTCTGAAATACATTCATTTAAGGAATAAAACTTTGTACTTATGTATAGCTTCCAGAGATAGTTATTCGTATTAAAATTAGAGTTCTTGTCAGGTTTTTGACTAAGTAAGGAAATTCAAAGTAAGAAAGAAGAATACAAAACAACTTTGTGTATAATGAAGTAGAACGTGGATAAATTAGGTTGCGATAAATAAAACCTTTGAACATGCACGAAATATATTTTGAAATTCCCGACCGTACGAATTGATGTAATTTTTCATTCTGATTATTCAGAGATTCGCAGAAAAAGTTAGTAAAGTTCAAAGGGGTGGGAGAACGGAAGAAACATAGTATGTTTCAATGCCTCAACCATCATTAGACATTCATGAGGATCCAGTCTCATTTCAGGCTCTCGTTATTTAATACAAAGATCTCGAGATTTTCAGCCCTTGAAGCGTGTATGTACACAGTTACATAATAACGGACATTATTAGATAAAAATTGGTTAACCCTAACTAGACAGAGTTCAATGAACAATCACCTGATCTAGTACAGATAAATCTTGTGTAGGTTCGACAAACATATGAGTGCGGTAATAATGATCTTTCCAATCAATATATTATATATATTACTTAAATATTTGACAAATTACCTTGGAGGAATAGATGGCATAACATCAGGGCAATAAAAGTCACTTCCCTCATCTCCAATAAGCGAAAATTCATCAGATGAAACCTTTGTAAAAGAAGTTCAAATGATTCAGTTCCTCAGCCTTTTTATCCAAGATTTGGAATATAGAGGTCAGCAATTATCACGATGCAATTTAATAAGACGCACAGTTGACGGTCAGCCACAAGCGCGATGCGATTGGTTAAATCTATTTTCTCGACTTCAAAGCGCAATAGGTTTTAATAACAATGTTTCAGCCGTGTGTTTATGCAGTCAATCATGAGAAATGAAATAGCTGCTTCGCTTACAAGAGGTGTGATCCTTGCCCGGAAAAGCAGTGTTGACCTTTTGCGTAAATTGAATACCTGGTGTGTATCGGTCTATCAGAGTTGTTTTCATAATGATAACATCGTCAAAGGCGTATACCGATAAGGCACGATTAATTGTCTCGATTACATCCTCAGATGTTCGATCATCTCTTGGGGCAAAATTCAGAAATAATCATTTACTTGAGGGTTGAATTTTTTATTCAGAACTCCTCAGGTATTGGTCTGACGCGACAGTTCGGAAGTTGTTAGTCATAATCATATCTTTACGCTGCTTGAAATTGCAAAGGATGTCCTCCTTCTAGCACATCGTGAAAGACAAAGATTTTTTGAAACGACACAAATAAACACATTTATAGACACATGCTATCGTTACAATACACGACCAATATACCATAAGCATACATGTGCATTTGTGCGGTGTCCTTTTCAATGGATGTATGTTATTGTTGTATTTATGGATTGCTCTACTACCATGACTACTATGTTTTCCTCACGGAAGCAATATCGCCAATAACGCGCATTGAATGAGAGAAAAAGAAGTAATTTAAAAATAATTCCCTTGCTGACAACATGACGTGATACATGCACGATTTGTTTGAACGAAATGGAAGAAGAAAATGGAAGACGAAGTAAAGTATTCGTAGAAATATAATATCAGATCATATCATACGGATGATCCACAGCTATAGATTTGCTACGGACTACAAGACAAAGTAAGTGGCAAATACGATACGATAACAGCACAAAATTCAGATACAACACAGTTCATTCATCTACTTACATTGCTTTTCGCAGAGTATACAGCATCGCAGACAATTTCCAACAATCTCACTTTCAATTTTCTCCAGTTCTAAATTGCACTTAATGAAAATAAATTAAAATAGCACTTCCAATATTATGCATGATGTTGAAAACCATTATAGGTCTCATTAGTTATTAATACTGACCCGTATGTTTTCAACAACTTGATGCAATCATATGAATGCTGCGTGTGTTTCAGGCCTTTTTAGATGTGTTGAATAATGACCTCCTTGATGCACACGAGTCATCCTATTTACATGCACAAATATGCTCCCAAATGGACATGAGAATGAGACAGTATGTTTTTAGGTAAGTTTTAGGGTAAAGTTGATTATGAGTTCAGTGCTGAAGGAGGTACTTTAGAAATGTAAATGAAAATGTGATGTGTTACTTTCCATAAAATAAACGAGCTCTCAGAGTCTCTGTCGTGTTTGACTGTTTGTCAGCCATAGCTCAATCCTTCTGTTGTAGTTTACTGAATCGTAATACTTACCTTTTTAATATAAGTTAAGCCCCAAAATGTTCCAAAATAAAAAGATTATAGACACTGTAAGATGAGTTGGCTTAAGATATGTTTGGAAACACCGTTATTTCTGATCTAAAATTTACTTTTAGTGCGATGCTCGAGAAATATAAAGATAAAGCAATCTACAAAAACTTAATCTTGACTGCGATGTGTCTGTGTTAATCATAAACTTTGAAAAGAGATGAGTAAACAAACTACATAGAAAATTAAATGGCCGAGAAAAGAGACACATGACAGATATACATCATCAATCATCACTGAGACTGTTCGACCGCGACACAATTCCCAAGGCACTGGGTACGAGGAAGACTTGGATCCTTAATTCGTTACATCCAGGATGAGGAAGCCACGTTTGAGATCAGTCATCTGACTTCGCACTCGAAGGCCCCGCAAGGAAATGACATATTTGGTTTATTTAAAAAAAAAACAAAATCTTTTTCTTTAATAAGATAATATTGTGTTCCAACTTCCAACTATATATAAGCTTGCTTTATTAGCGTTTAAAACCAAGCATGACTAAGATAACGGAATCTCCTTATCTTTAAGCTGCCGACTAGTTTCCTCTTTGACGTATTTCAAATTATAACAACAACAGATGAAAAGCATAATTATGGACGTAGTCTAATATTAGACTCGTTCATGTAATGGACAAGTGCATAAGTCACTTTCAACGATGCGAAATAGTCTTTTTCTATACCCCATTTGTTGTCAGGTGTAGTGTATATACATTAGTCTATACTTGCGGAAGACACAACTCAACGATCTTTTACATCAGTCAACTTGCTGTGTGACACGTCAGTCACGCGACTAAATTGAAAGCAACTTATCAAAATGGCCCAATGTTCCACCGTCTTTTACAATATGACGATCGAAAAATAAAGATTTTGACATCGTTTAAACTGCCGTTCATGGCCTAAAATCTATTTCATGTAGAGTCATAAATATTTCACAGGAAATGCGCAGCTGTGGTTCTATTGATCAGTGCTTCTTGCGCTTTCAAAAAGCCAACAATTAAACTGCATTTGAATGTTTGAAATTCATGTCACTAGGATACGGGGGAAACCCGCGATGCGCCTTTCTTCGCGTTAATTAATCGGAAAATTTATTCGGGAGATTGAAAGAAAGACGACAGAAATAAACGTTTTTCAGGGCTGTTTGTGTATCGCATTACCAAGGAATTTTAGCAGAAAATTGGACAATTTGTGGTTTTTTCACAAATGGAAATATTCATTGTCCAACAGGTGGATGATCCATGGCATAAGATTGATCGTACGCATCATTCTGATAGCAGGTATCATGCAAATTTAAATGATTTCAAGCAAAAGATTAGGTAAACGTCAACAAAAGTGAGAGTTTAGTCTTCAGTTAATGCTTCAAAGTCATCAAAACTCGATAAATAATCTTGACTGCTTTCTTCATTTCAAAAATATCATCATTCCAAGTTTTACTACAAGAATTATTTCCTTTTCTATGAAGGTGAACTATTGAAAGCGATAAGATTTTTGAACCTATTTTGTAAAACAATTGCATTCCACATTCAGAAAAAGAAAAAATATCAAGCTGCGAGAATTTCATTGCTTTGACTGCTGATTTAATACATTAAGTATAAAAGATTAGTATGCAATAAAGATTAGGATAAGATTGATTAGGACGCAGATGATCACAGCAGGATATTGAGTGGTATCAGCAACATCAGGGGATTATAAAACTGTTCTCTTTCGACAGAATTTGAAAGGCCTGCTAATCATAAATTATGGATGCAAAAGACTGCAAATATGCGGAACTTCAACTGCGAGACAAAACCGAAAACCGAAGATCGATTTTTGATTTCTCGAGCGTTGAAGATCTCCGTCGACCTGACGATAATCAAGACTCGGACCCAGTCAAAATACAGCCCACAATACCATTTAAAGAATCGTATATAGCGCATGCGCCTAGTCGCCATTCATTTACACTGAATAGTCGGTATACTTTTTTCGGGGGTTTGAGGACATCATCTAAGGATATGAGCGCATCAACTGAGGATCTTGCAGGATGCAAAGAGCGCCATCTTAGTTTGGGGAAATTTAGTAAAAGTTCTCCAGATTTATTTGGTGCTAGTTATCAGTCCACTCGCGCCGATGCTGGCATCAAACAGCAAACCCAAGATACGTTTGTTATGAATATAGATATTGAAACTGATGATGAAAACGAAAATGGAGGTAGTATGAAACACGAGAAAACTAAACTCGAAAACGATACCCTACGCACGCAAACAGAGCACGAAGCAAGTCCCCATCTGAGTTTTACCGCATTTCAAAATACAAAACGAGATCTATCTTTTGATGATGACGATGATAGTGAGACTGCGCATGTGCAACATCCGGGAACGAATGATGACGACAGTCTATCGATCGAGGGAACATCTGAAAGCATCGAGAAAAAAAGAAATGTTTTTGATAAAGGTTGGAAAACTATTTTATGTTCAGGAAAAGCCGAACTAAAGAAGTCTTTAGAGAATTTAAGTTCGCTCAAACAAGATATGAGCTCTCGAGAAATTCAAAATATTGAAACGTTTGAAGATTCAGTGGCGTTGGAAGAAGATGAAGTAAGTTTGGAACAAGTGAGGGATTTGGTCAATGGCAGAGGTTATGGAACGGGGGACAAAAAGAAAGATGAAACTACGGATTTGAACTTCGAAAAACCGAAAAAAAATTTACCAAATTTCGAAGAAGAAATTAGTTACATCAAAGAAGGAGACATAGGTATTTGGGTCCCGAATACAGCAGAAAATATACTTAGAATAATAGAATCCAGTGAAGATTCAAAATGGACAACACTTGACATGGACAAGACAGATGGTACTGGAAATACTTTGCATGCAGCGACAACACAAGAAGAAACAGCCAATGAAAACGAAGAAAAGCAGGCTGCATTAGCGTGCATCAATGACAGCGAACACTCATCCACTTCAGAAGAAGAACTCACAGGTGTTCACGAACAGTTTCATACAAACTACCGCGATGCGGCCACGTCTGAAGTACAAGAAAATAAAGAAGGCTTGATCACGAACCATAACATAGAATCAACTGCGAACGATTCACAAGTGGACGGAACGAACTGTGGAGGAATAATGGTTGATAACGAGGGATACTCTTCCCATTCTTGTAATATATCCCCAATAACATTACGAGTCTTGAGTAACAGCACTGCTCGCGATGAGAACACAGCAAGACAAAATACGAACCTGTACAAGAGAGGGTGTGACGATAATACAGTCAAAGTTTCAGGTATTCGCCAGTCTAGCATCTGTGTACGAGGGGAGTACCAAAGAGAGGTCGAAAGGGTCGAAACGCACGAACCAAACAGAAATGATCAGAACGAAAACACAGATGAAGATGACGCCAGGAAGCTTGAAACATCGCAAGAGAAAACAGACAATTCTCTTTTGAAGAACATGATGGGCATGTTTTGTTTGCTGGGACTTAAAGATTCTCCTGAAGGTGGATTTTATGGCAACGGACAAAGAGAATTAAGGTCGCTAAAGAATCCAATAAATTTCGAGCAAGAAATTTGTGCGGACGCCGAAATACACGAGCAAACGAAGAAGAACGATGTAGATTTACATGAGAATATTGAAAGGAAACTATTTACTCGCATAGAGAATGAAACAATGCTCGAAGCAAATGAAGATTCCGAAGAAAATGACCCCGTTTTGGATCTTAGCTGGGAGAAAAACGGAGCAGAAGACGCAAAGCTTGGTATTGACAACAACACTACGAAAACACAGCTGATGATGGATGACGAAAGTCCAACAATTATTGAAGAAATAAACAGTGACGTATTTGAGCACGAAGCACTACTTGAGAATAAGTCTAGCGTTTGTGATAAAGAGTTTCTGTTGAATCAAGACTCGGATACAGCAGCACTTTACGAAGCCGGAATTCAAAACGGAAAGGACAAAAACTTCGTCGAATATCGAAATACACAGGAGGACACTGACCAGGGAATTATTTTGGAAACTACGTCAACTCTTGATTTACTGCTTCAAGTACCTGATGATTCAGGGGAGAACTCTGATAGTATTGTACAAAACACAGAAGGAATGGTTGAACAAGGTTTGCGAGAGAATGATGAGACTGATGAGGAAAAACAAAGATTGATAAAGAGAAAGAATTTGTAACCACTCCGGTAAGCACATCAACGGAACACCAAGACACAATGACTGCAACTATCCTAGAAATCAATACAAACAAATGGAGTTGCGCCTATATCATACCACCCCGTTCAATGAATGCTGAAAATTCAGACATTTTCTCAAAAGCATTTAATGTTTTGGTTTTGGATAAGCAGTTGATTCCTACAAGCCCAAAGCTGAAGTCAGCGGTGATCACACTCAATTTACTTCCACAAAAAACAACACAGAACTACTCACTAGGAGTGGGTCGTGAGCTAAGTGAAGTTAAGATCCAAGTAAATGAAAAGCAAGCTCATCTTAGAGAGAGTGAAAGTGATTTTGACGTCTTGGAACAAGATGTAAATGTTTGGACAAATATTGATGAAGAAAATGACCCAACAAGAGAATATAGAGGAAAATCAAAATCGTTAGTAAAACGTATCCTGATACTTGCAATCAGAAGACCACGATGAAAATATCGTCCATTCAAGAAATCAAAGAAGAGAGAGCTGCAAGCGATCCCATCACACAGGACCAAATTTCCAAGAATCCAAGGATGGACAGTTTGTTAGAAACCGATCTCTACAAGTCAGTTCAAAAGGTGGATTTCAAGGCAATGACTGATCAGCGTTTATTTGAACATCTCATTTGTTTTGAAGCGGATGAGTTGGTTGACGAGAGAATTGCTAAAGATGAGAATACCGAACAAACACATCTGTTAAACGAGCTGGATGAAATTTTACTCCCCGGGAAAGAAATACAGGAAGCAATTTGTAAAGAAAAGAGTGAAGGTGTTCGACGTGATTTCTTATCAAAGCTGGACGAACTCCTCGTTGAGGAAGACACAGGGGAAGATGAAACGAAGGAGTTGAAGAAAGAGGTAAATAACAATATCATTCTATCAAAGTGGACGAGCGAGTTTATTCGTCGGAACTTAACACACGACTTGAAATGGCGGATAAAACACAAACATTGGAGGAACTATATCTTTTGCAATCAAATAATGAAATTTCTGAGGTTATCACAAGAACTGTAGGAAAGAGCTGTTTCGAGTATCCAGACTTATCTCAACTTGATGAAACGTTCGAAGCAGATCAAATTCCGGAGATCATTTTAGAGACGAGTAAAGTACAAACTGAAAAGCAAGAAGATTTCTTCTCTGAAATTGACAAATATTTTGACTCTATGGAAGACCGCCAACATCACTCTGTAGAGAAGACAGAAGAACCAGAAACTGTTCGAAGAGAAGAGATAGAAGAATCTCAGGAAGACGCTTGGGACATCACTGTCAATGATCGAGAGGTTCTTCCTCCTAAGGACAAGACGAGAACAATGGCTTATGGACTGTCTGACGCTAATAGCGATCACCCTATCTTCGTTATTTCACATCTGAGTTATGATTCAAGAAATCCTTGTGTTGATGAAGATGATGCTGATGATCGTGACCCGAGTAATGATTAATGATGATAATAATGATTACGATGATGATAATAATGATTACGATGATGATAGTGATGATAATGATGATTACGATGATGATAATGATGATAATGATCTTATGATGCACGACGCCGCTGCCTCGCCTATCCAAGGTGATCTATCATCTGTTTCAAGTAATTATATGCATCAGCAGAGTCATCATCTGAGATGGACTCCCTGCTAGATGACGTGATTGAACATCTTCCTTGGGATTCAGCAGTTTCAAATTCTAACTCGAACACAGACAAGTCCGATTATAAAATATTACGAGCTTCATATGCCAACATACGGTCGCCAGTCGTTTACCAAGTTGATTGCGAAGTTGATTGCGAAGTTGCAATCGATGGTAAAAATGTCCGTGAAAAAGCCATCTATCGTGAAACTTACCCATCTCATCACGACATGAAACAACCTGAAATAAACGAGACTAAACGACCACGTCTTTTCCAAAGGAAGAACAACCTTATGCGGACAAATAAACACAAATACGGAAATCAGTCCAGGCGAGAATAATTATAGGACAACAATGAATATTAAACAAAACGAAAATGAAGTGAATTCATCATACATGCTGTTTCAACGATATGGAAAGCAAGAATCTTCTTGGACGCATTTTGAACTGCATTACGATATGGACAAATGGAAAGTTGGGAAGCAGCTCACTTCTCAAGTGGACCCTGAGGAGTTTGTTGTTAGCTATGCGACCATCGAGCAAGTCAGACCACCATCAACAACTCTGGAATACCTACCAGCAATAAAAGAAGATACATTTGAAGATGACGTTTGCAAAATCCAGGCTACTCAGTTCATGTCTTTACAATCCTTACCATCACCTCCAGCACGACCACCATCACCACCTTTATCTCCATTACTTCAACCACCATCACCCCACCATCACCTCCACCATCACCCCACCATTACCACCCTCATCTCCATTACTTCAACCACCATCACCTCCACCATCACCACCCTCATCTCCATTACTTCAACCACCACACCTCCACCATCACCCCCACCATCACCACCCTCATCTCCATTACTTCAACCACCTCCACCATCACAATATACTGAACCAGGAAATGAAGAAATCACACCAACATACAAACCCAACATTAGAGACATACAAGGAGCAGTACCAGTTACAGAAGAAAGACAACCAGTATGGTCATTTGCGCAAGCTGTATTTCACACTGATGGTCAGAGTAAAACATTCTTTAAGGTGATCGATGATCGAAAAGAACCCTTCCAATCCAGCACGTTCATGTACCGAGGAGAGAGAATAAAAGTTTCCAGAGGAATCAAGGTCACAAAGAATTGTGTTGAAAGTTCAAATAAGGACATAGATGATGACAGAGGCGGGATAAATGATGATTACGAAGAACATCAGATCATGGATAGCAAGGATGAAGAGGACTACATAGGATATTCAGAGATTTGGGATGAAGGGAACAACAACGCGACAACAGGTAGTGTGATCTAATCGAAGAAATTAGTGCATTTCATTTCTTTCTTTCAACCCGAGATGAACAACATCAATATTATCACTACCATTATCACAAACAGCACTAAAATATGAATGCTTTTATCGCCTCTGTCTGAATTTCTCACTTTGTTTGAAAGTTTAAGAGGCTAATTGTATATTTATAATTTTCATAGTTAATAATGAAATGATGGAGGACATGGATGTACCTGTTGCCAGAACAATCACGACATACGAAATGGCGACAGAACAAGACCTTTTCCAAGAAAGAAATTGCTCGTGGTATTTGAAGCTACATGGCTCTCGCGGTGCTTGTGAAATCTCGTCGAACAACTTTGATGCAATAGCAAAGGATGACGACAACACTTTGCTTGGAAGTCTGGCGTTTTCCTCCGGTATCCATCGCTGGGTGATACAAGGACTTGGTATCTTCTGTGCTGTGGGGGTGTGTTACTCCGGGGAAGACGCAAGGGTTGGTATAAGGGCGGTAAGTGGGTGTGGACCACAGATGGTTTGATGTATTCTGAACCAACAGGAATAGCGAGGTCTGATTCGGGCAGTGGAAAAACGAAGATGTGTTGGAAATAACTTTGGACTGCGAGGAACAGCAACTCACAATTGTTAACACCAGAACGAAGGTTGAAGCAAGTTTATACGGATTTCAACAAGACGTTTATCCTTATTTTAATATCTATAAAGGAAGCTGTATTCGTTTGCTAGAAACATCATAAAAATATTCGACCTTGTTTAGGACATAAAGACAAAAGCAACAATAGACTTAACACAATTCGCACACTAGACACAAATTTCATACAATATAATTGCAATATGCATAGAAGATACACCGTAAGTTATATTACAGTGCGGTGCTTTTTCATCTCATTGTGAAGGGAAAGATTCACAACAAAATCACACCTTATTTTTTCATTATAACTGTAGTTCATGAATAATATTATACGTGCTGAAATCTATAACAATTTGATCCGTTAATTTAATTAACCCGAATAAACAATCGTCGCATGTATAAAATATAACATTTGTACAATAAATTATTTTCACACCAGGTAACTTTTTAGTATTGAAAGAATATACGTCTTCACTGTAGATTCGTGGGAACAACACATGATATTTTTAACCAAACACTCGATGATGGATGGCGATAAAGATATTTTTGAAACAATTTTAGCTGGTATTTCGACTAAACATTTGGTCTAGAAGGCTAGAGTGATGATACTACGCGAAACTGTTGAGAACTTTGTTCACAAAGTATTGTTTTCAATGTATGGGGGTGCACAACTAATACCAACTTTAAGGCTGTTAAATAGCTATAGATCTGGGATAATCGCTCGCTTGGAGCGTCACTAGATCCAGGACTCCGGACGTGGTAAAATATCATCGTCTAGGAAGCGGTGGTAAATCCTCGGCAACAGTCTCCGAGCCGTCAATGAGATGTCCCTCATGCCAATGCTGTAAAAAATAAAAAAGAGCGACGATTAGCAAAGGACGATGCTTTACACAAAAGTTTTTTTGTTTTTAAAAAACGGGCCGTTCAAAAACAAAAGTTATCTGCGGAGATAATCTCAAAAAATTCTTATCTCTCACGAAAAAAACGTCTCACCTTCTCAGATTAATTCACAAAATATTATGACCAGAAACTCAAAAGGATAAAAAATTGATAAAAAATATGTTCAAAAACTGATGCGCAATTCTTCCAAATAAAAACCGAATTACTCGACTGCTCTAAACGCGCGCAGCTCACAAGTAGAGAAAGGCATTTTTAAAAGACATCCCTGACACTATTGAAGCATGATAATATTCCACCTAATAATGAACTCTTTCTAACCTGTTGTCTTCGATGCCTGATCTCAACTTACGAGCTCCTAATCCATGTTTTCTGTCCTCTTTCCAAGTTCCTTTGAAAATATGTCCTCCGTGGGATTTCTGTTCACCCACGCCGTGTTTCTGAAGGACAAACAAGCAGTAGGAGATACTGAATGAAACCTGATTAAGAGGAAGAAGCTATATAAATCTAGCGTACGGTCTCGTACCATATTCGCCTTCCAAGCACCCTCATAACGTGTTCTGTAAGATATCTCGATACCAGACCCCTCTCGCATACCGCAACACCAGTCACCTGTAAACAAAGAAATGTCTCAAAGCAATGTCATCACGACACGGGGAGATACATTAAGTATGGTTTAATATACCTGTGTATGAATAGTCAGTGTTAGGGTCCGTGAATACACCACTACCATCAAACTAGAAAAAAATAAAGGATAGTTCACATACACCGATACCCCAACAATCATATGATATCCTTTACTTCATCGAGTAATCTCATTCTATCCTATGTTACCAACCTTATCTAATTTCCATTCCCGATATAGTGGACATTATTTGGATACAGGAGTCTTCCTCGACCGTGACGGACACCATCCTGATATTCCCCTGAAAGAAAGTCATAAGGTCCTTCTTTTGATCGATGTAAACGAGGGTAAGACGCAAGAGTTACGGATGTTTAGGTAAAGGCAAATATACGTACATCATAATACTTGACTCACCCTCGTATTGACGTTTATCCCTGTAAGTAGTTTTACCATGACCTCTCGGCTGAAGATAACAAAATATGAGATATTAGATCATACTGTATGTGCTGATCAAATGCCTTATCTGCTTTATTGCCGTCCAACGCTGTTCTAACGCAGTTCCAACGCTGTTCCAACCTGTTCTAACGCTGTTCTAATGTCGTTCCAACGCTATTCTATTATTAGCTCATCAATATTGTCCTACAACAAACCTTGCCATCACACCAATCTCCTTCATAAACTGAACCATCTTTATAATACATAACACCTTTTCCATTCATAGTGTCTTCCTGCCATTGACCATCATACGTATCACCGTGTGCGTATATTAACTGCCTTTACCAACTCTCTGGAGAATAAATTTGCAACAGCAATTATCATTCTAATTGAAATTAGAAGTGTGTAGAAATTTGAGCCCAGTCTGGTCATATTCTTCATCGTTCCATAATGACTTTTTTACACAATAAAATTATGTTTCTATGAATACTACGTACCATGTTCTGGTACCATGTTCCACTGTATTCATCACCATTAGCGTAATTCATTTTTCCTTGACCGTTTATAAAATCTCTGTTCCACTGTCCTTCAAAAACACTGCCATTGAAAAATTTGAAATTTCCACTCCCATGACGCTCGCCGTTCACCCATTCACCATCGTATTCGTCGCCGTTAAAGTAAACCATTTTTCCAGACCCACAAATACGATCATTCAGCATTTCCCCGCTGTAGAGTAAAATGAGAGCAACAACTGAGTTTCAAGGGAATGTCACGCTGTGCTTCTTACCATGTGCCAAACACATTAACAACAATACAGGAACAGTAGATAATGAGGCACAGTATCTCAACTGATTATCTGTTGTTTGTGATGACTTCGGCAAACCTCATTATTTAAATTAATGAAATATTCAATAATACATACATATACTCGTTCCCATTTGGTAACAACATATGCCCGCGACCGTGCCGCTAAAATAAGAAAGCATACATCAATGTGTTAAATCAATCTTTTAAAAGCAAATTAATTCTCAAGACAATAAAAACCTTGCTTCTTCTCCACTCTCCATCATAAACAAGCCACTTGTCCAGAACACGTCATTTTACCGTTGCCTTCCACTTCATTATTTGACATTTCACCTTCATAACGGTCGCCATTCGCAAAGCTAATTACGCCCTGCACAGGAGGAATGAAGTCGTCAAGCCACAGGTTCTAACATAACAATGATCATAAACTAATGGACATACCCGGCCATGCATCATCCTTCTTTCCATTCTCCTTCATAAACATCTTCATTCACATACGTTTGTTTCCCCTGACCCTCTGAAAATAGATCATGAAAACAGTAGGAAAATCATCACCAAGCTAAGAAGCTATTAAATCTCTTGTTTTTCTAAACAATATGTACATGTAGGTCCACTTACATCGATCAATATTTACTGAGTTTGCTGCCTTTCTTAGAGAAAAAAACTGAACACTATCTACATAAAAAAATGAGCAACACCTATTCCCAACTTACCCTTCTTATCTGCACCCAATTTCCAACATATTTCTCGCCCGTGTAGTAAGTCAACTCTCCATAACCATGACGCTCATCGTCGGCCCAGTTTCCCTAAGATAAGAAACAATATTTCAAGAAGCTGCAGACCTAGTTTATTGTAATTCATTTTTGATGTGAAATCATCGTACCTCGTAACGAGTCCTATTTGGCCAGGCCATAACGCCATGACCATGTCTCTTGGCGTTCACGTAATCCCCACAGTAAACACTACCGTCGAAATACGTGTCAGACGCCTTTCTTTTGGCTGTTAAAATGAAATAAAAGAATAATATAATAATTAAACTAAAAACAACTCGTAAACTCTTCTCAAGATTGAAGCATTGTTGGATCACTTGTGTACTGTATTCAGGGTAACTGGGTAAGGGATATTGTATTCACTTGTAATAAAGTCAATATGTTTGATATAACAGGGTAGATATGGATACTCACAAATATCCATGCCATCAGGATCATCGCAGTCAGGTCCATACAGCAAAATTACGATTGCCGTTCTTAATTTTTGAATCCAAATGCGTTTGTCTGATCTTGAGCATGCGTACATCGTGTAAGGACGATGCGGGGTGTAGAGCTCAATTGCATCACATTGACTAAAAATATATTCAACGGAGATTTAAGCATGATAAACAAACGAAGGACAAAAGTACAAATACAAGCCTGTTCTCACTTGTTTGGGGATCTTGTTTTCTTAAATCTTCAAACCATAAAGTTTTCAGATCCAGCGTCATTTCAATTCACTTCGATTATTTGTGCCTTGTACGGCAAACACCATAATATCGTTGAATAGCAGACACTGGAAGAGAAGATGAATTCGTGTTAGAAGGCAACGACATGGTAAAACTGAAGTCATCCAGGTTAAGGAACTTGCCTTGTACGATTTGTCCGGGTTCATCAGACATACTTCTGCTTCCTTTAACAACGTTCGTCCGTTCACAACATAAGCCTGATGAAATACGAATTTGGAAATTAAAAGAATGTTTATTTAATGCCAATGGAGTCTGCTAGGAGAGTAAACAACTTTCAACAAGGAAATCAGACATACAGATCTATTAAACAAGAAAATTTCAAGCCTCGCTGAATGCAATAACAATACATACAATGTAGCTAGAAAGTTTTAATGAAACAAGAAGAATTGCTGTTGTTTAATAATTTTAATTCAACGAATTCAAGGAATTTGTCCAAGTTGTGAAGGAAAATCTTGTAGCAATAAAACACACGCTATAGCAACATTGTTCCAACAACAAGTCACTAAAACTGAATGTCGTGAACACAAACTCTCATTTCTTTACCTTCAGTCCAATTACCGTCGATCTTAATTCTTGCATAGCTTTTTGGCTTGAACCTCTTGTAATTGACTGTTGATGTATTCGGCAACTTTGTTCTATGAAAAATCAGAAATATCACACTCATGCATGCAAAATTCCATCAGTTGTAAGAAATAAAATAGGAGAGTTGTACTGTACCATTCTTGCCAAAGCTGTTTGTAAAACATCGAAATCCGGATGCGTTGAGCTGTTTTTTTGTAGAAATCCTGCCAGTGGATAAATAATTTATTTGTTATTAATCTGATATAAAGAATATGATGACGTCTGATGATAATGACGTCTGATAAAGATCATTCAAACACACAAATCGTGCATGGGATGTTCAGTTGTCCGACAATAACTTTACCTTTAACAACAGAAGATAACGTGGAATTCTTTGAACAATTGTAATCAAATACGCAGGTAGATCAAGTCCTGGTTGACATAATGGATCTTGGTAACATGTCTAAGATATAAAAGTAAATAAATAGATCGTATATACGACTATACAAGATATTCGGTTTAATTAAGATGATTCTTCTAAGTTTAAGCGAACTGTGGTTTAAGTGGTAACACGACATACCTTAAGAAAACTATCAAAATCTGGTTTTCTTTTAATTCTCTTTTTTAAAAACGTGTCTGCTTTGTCGAAATTCTTGCAGTAGATTGCGTAAATCTTAAACCGTTCTTCCTGCAGATTGAAAAACACCACTACGGTCATAATCACGTCTAGTATGTAGCTAGATCTGAGTTCTTAACTCGAGCATACTTCTTACCATATCTATGAACATTTGTGCAATGCATTGCTCGTTTGACCAGTGTTTGATCTTTTCCCACAACAGAAACAACAAATCTTTATTCACAGCATAAATACTGTTGAACAAACAATAGAAACGTATGTCAGAAACATTTTTCTTAAAAATAACGCGAATATTATGAATAACCTACTCATCAATATTTGAAAAAACTTTCTCAACATCTTTCTCGTCCATTCCACTCAACATTGGTTTCTTAAAAAGCTATATAAAATATAAAAATTAGCTCTTCACTTGTTTGACACAAGTTCATATATTCCTACCTCACTTCTGACGCATGATTTATAGTCTGTTGACTTGCAATGTATACGGGCAGCATATCAAGTAAAGCCTACGCAGTACTGCTTTATCAATAACTAACTACATTCCATACGTCAGAGGTGAAATGGATCCGACGTAATTGGATCGTAAAACAGAGTGACAGTACCTCAATCATAGTTTCCAGACCTCTCACATACGTTCTCTCGGTTGTGAACAGTTCTAGAGCAATCTGCGACCTTCGATCACTCGGGAAGTTTGGAAAAGTAACGGGAACCATATCTGTTATTAATGTTGATGATTCTGCAGGCTGTTAAGAGGAGGAGGGATTAAAATGATAAACTTCGTTTAAAAAATAATGTAGACTTGTTGTCAAATATGAATCCATTGACTGCATAAGATTGAAAACAAGTTTTCATGGATTTCTTTCGAAAGTATACTTTCACAAATATAGTCTCAAAGAAATGAACCTCCTTACTCCTTATATTTGTAATAATATATTTGAAATACTCCAGAAGTGTAACTTGTTCTTATGCCATACGGACACGAATGTTTTAATGAATGATAACATCTGCCCCCATTTATCAATCTACCCAGGATACTGGTGTTATTTATAAAAATGAGAGCAACTAACCTCAAATTTTAATGGTCTAAACACTGTCATGGTTCGTCTTGGGGGCGTGTTTGTGCTTGATGATGATCGCACTGCAGGTGGTGAGGAAATAATATTATTAACTGGTGATGAGATCCCTAGAAGGATTTCGTTTATCTTAAAGTTAAATAAATGAGAGTCAGACAGGTGTTTATATGTAAATACAAACTTACCTCCTGAAAAAGAGTGCGGGTGAGGTTTTTCTTTCTTCCCTTTAGCAAACACATCCGCAGATGTCTGTGATGTGATATCAGACACTGATCTACCTGCGGGCATGTTCACACTAACTGGTGAACTGTCCTGGCCAGACTCTTTGGATTTATCAATTACTGCTCTGTTAAAAGAAATATCTTCATCAATGCAATCTTCAAACACTTCCCCATCACTACCTGGGGACTCCAGGGGGATAGGAGGTGATTGGCAGACTTGAGATGAGGATGATGTAGGGTTACTTATGGATGATACATCATCAGTGACACTCCCCAAAATTACAATTTCATCGTTAACTATTCGTTCAACAACTGGCTCTGGGTCAACAAAAACAAAATCATTTTTTTCTTCATCTTCTTCACTGTGTTCTTTCTTCAAGATTGTATTGGTACTAGGGATGTCAGTATCATTCAATTTTACTTCATTCAAGAATTTCTTTAAGTCTACATCATCTTTACGATTGGATTTTAAATCATTTTTGTCTTTTTCAGCTTGATGGTTGTCACAATAATTGTTTTCATCTTCAGTTGAATCTTGTTCTACAGACACCTCATCACATTGCATAGATACTCGCTTTTTTTCCAAGTGCTTATGACGAACAGGTGGGACTGGATCCTCTTCTGTTTCTGGGCTTTCTGGTTGGTCAACAAATCCATTACCTACTACACTTTCATCTTTACTTTCATCATTATCAACCTTTAGAGAACTTGTGCTTTCATTATTATTCACTTTGACTTTTGAACTACAAACTGCAGGTTTATTTTCTGATGCAACTCTCTTTATCTTTGTTGTGTCCATTTGCAAAGCGCGATCTCTCATGAAAAATTCTCGTTCAACAAGATGTTTTGATTTCATTTCTGTTTTAAGAATTGGAGATGATATCTCAACACACTTAACATTGTCAATTGTACTTGACTCATCTGGTAAAACAGGTTGACGTTTTTTGAAGATTTTACGGATTGAATCCATCCTTTTCAGCTGTGGGTTTTTAGGCGAGGAATTGTTATCAAAACTCTGTGATTTTTTAAGAGGGGTTTTTCCTTTTTTACTCTTCACTTCCATGTATTCTTCATCATCTTTGGCAGAATGCTGTTTACGAAATATCTTCCATCCAATTGATTGTGCTGACTTTGCCTTTTCTTTTCTAATGCGTGTTTTATGTCCTTTTTTGCCAGCCTTTGGGTTAGCAAGCTTCTCAGTGGATTTGCTTTCAGGCACACTGATAGAATTATCTTTAGATTTTTTATTGAATAATCCTTTTTTCTTGTTCATCTTTTTGACATCATCTGTTGTACTCCAAGAGCTAACTTCATTTTCCCTTTTGCTTTCAGAAACTGCTTTGGAAGATGTTTTTTTGACATCCACACCATCTTCTAGTTCCTCCTGAGAGTCTTCATTCACACTCTTTAGTCCACTTTGCTTACAATTTTCATCCATCACTTCTGAAACTGTTTCTGTCTTTGGGAATTTGGCAAGAATATCCAGTGCACTTGCTCTCACAAATGTGTGTGTCACTGTATTTATTTCTGTTAGTTCAAGCTCTTTCTTTTGCAAAGGGTCTGTGTCATCTGCTACTTCACCATTACGACCCTCACACTAAAAAAGAAAGTTCAAAAATGTTGAAAGTGCAGCTCAATATTTCACATTACTTGGAATTTTTGGCAGTGGTAAAGTACTGACAAGACAACTTGTCTGGATATAAACATAGCAAGACACACCAGTTTGACAATACAAATCTCTCAACCTTTCGCAAATTAGTCAGTGCCTTTCCACCGAGAGACAGCATAAAATAGCCTATATTTTATTCTGAAGTAGTTGACAGGAAGTAGGAACATTTGAAATTATTTGGAATTATTTGAAATTAATAGGTTTACTCACAAGGCACTATAGTCACCACCAACTGCAGTAATACAATGGACACAATATAATTTATTGTAAAAAGCTTGGAATGATAGACTCCCTGAGATTATAAAGACCTCCTGGAATTTGATTCATCTTAATCATCCCACTAACCACACTTTTAACTTCCTGATAGTAAATGCAATTTCTTGATGCAACAACAAAATATTAAATTCACCAATAATAACTCAGGTGGCAATTGCAAGGTGTAATAACTCATAATGCCAATATCTCACCAAAACACACCAGCAAGGATTAAATCAGTGTTTAAATCAGGCTTATATCTCATGATTGGCACACATTCAAATGCTAAGGGGGCTAACACAATACTTCATGAATATTTGCTTTTCTTCTCTTACGAATTAAAGCACTTATATTCTATAATCCATCTTATAAACAATAGTGGCTTTTGTTAAAGATTGGTTTTTGAATATAACAAGTGTGATGCCAAAATAATGTGAACTTAACAAAACACAGTAAAATAAAATTAATTTTTCGTGTTTTTAATAATAACATAAATACTATTTACACACTTCCTTATAACAAAACCTGCTCTATATGAGGGCATTAACTTACGTTGTTTTCATCATGGCCTGATCTTTGATCCGTCTCTTTGTCAGAAAATTCATACTTCGAACGCGGCGGACTTTCCAGACATTCGGCAGTTTTATACAAACTTTGTGCCAAAGAGACCTCTTTAGACAGCAAATTTTCTTCAAATGGCTTTACTGTGTTGAGATTTGGTGGCAAGGTAAAAGAGTTTTGTTCGGAGTCAGGTACGTGATCTGGCAGGCATGATAAAGACGACGATTTCTTCTTCACGATAGTCACCTCATCGCATTGAGAAGAAATGCTATCCCGAGACGATACCTCCGAAGAAATACTTGAAAGTCGATTTGCAGTTTCTTCTGTAAATTCCAGGTCCATTTCTTGAACGCTTTGGTATCATTTACATTTACAATTTATCAATCAGCCATGAAGCCCATGATCAAGGATTGCAAAACATATATTGAAGATAACTCCAGGAGAAACAGCTGATTATTTATGTAACTTTTGCTCAAATCAAACCGCACCGTTTCTTTCTCGTTAAAAAGGCGTCAAAATGTTCAAATAGACAACATAAAGTCTTTCCAAATATTAAATTCATAAAATGGTTCCGTCAAAACATGAACTCGTGAAAGCAAAGACAATCAATTATCATCTAAAATTGCGTCTCAAATTTCGCATTTCCGGGCAATCAAACCTTCGTAGTGAAATATACCAGACTTGAAATAAAATTGATTTATAGCAGGAATAGGAACTTGGAGTTATTGAAACACTTTATAGCAGACCATGCTATCATGACCCTTGACTTTTTATTTTCGTTTCACGCCGGAACCCAGTCGGATGTGGAATATTCGAGGCTGGGAAATTTATTGTAAATTGTTCACATTTTACTAAATCTCAAAAATCAGGATTCAAATTTCAAACGAAGTGTCGAAATTGTGTTATCTACGGCCATAAACTACATAAATTCCATGCTAGTTAAGCTGTTGTCATGATTAGAGAACTCATTACTAATCCGTTTATATTTGGCTAAATTATTTACAAATGTAAATGCGATATTATTCCTACTGCAGGTCTGTATGAATCAACGGAAACACTTTATTTATATGTAAATATTCAATGTGTTTAGTATAATATAAACCAGAATATGATCTGGGAACTGGAAAGATTGGTTTATTTACAATACGCAGTAGAAGAGCTAACTACATTTAATTATGTGAATTGGAATGTGAACGATTGAAAATGTTTGAGAAATGAAAGCCTTTTTATCACGAGGAAGATCAACTTTACTAAATAGCTACTTGATATTCAAAAAAGAGGATAATTGAGTTGTAGGAAATGGCAGCAGAACAGTAAAATTTTACGACATATCGATACTGATTCAATGACCCGTTGGCAAAATTACGACATAATTGCTGAAACAGCTCTATTTCACCCCCGCAAAAAAAGGAATTTTTACCTTGACGTGACAGCTGTTATAGAACCATTTTCTGCACGATTACCATTTCTTAATATTGTTGTGAAAAAATGACAATAAACTGTGAAATAGCTATAACGCAAGATAAACTATAACGCAAGGTGATATTTACTTCCTTACAAAACAAATCAATGGTACTAATACTTCCGGATTCCGGTAATTTTCTATTGCGCAACATCAACTTGTGAAGTATGGAAAAAATTGATGGTGGAGATGTTGTAAAGACGGGTGCGAATCTCGTTATTTGCGGGTATCCTTACTGCGGATACACGGGCAAAAACGCAAACGTTGTTCACAGGAACAAAGCTGAAAGATGATACGCAGAACTTCACAGAAATGGTTGAAAAAAGTTGCAATGCAAACAATTACAGTTTACATAACCAGCGGCCGAAATGATTGGTGCATTTTTACTTTCGTTATAGTTATTTGCGCACTGTCAGCAGTTATATTATTATTATTATTATTATTATTATTTATTATTTGATCTTTTTTAAAAAACAACGGTAGCCCTTCAGCATAAATAGGAGCTGTTTTCCAAGGGGCCGTTGCACAATACATATTTACAAGACAAGTTAAGTTATTCAATATAGTATTATATAGTTACAAATTAGACATTACACAAAAATTACAATAAAATGGAAGTCGTTCTCTAATAATAAATCAAAGCATAATTTCTACCAGGGTTAGTAGTTCCAGAACTTCCAGTCAACTTCCAGCCGTCAACGCGTTAGACGCTCAAATTGAAGCGCTGAGAAAAGCATAGTTCTAGGATTTCATAATGAGATACTATCTGCGCTGATTCTTTCCCAGCGATCACTGCCAGTCTCATAATAATCTTCATCAAATGCATCATTATCCAAGCCCTGATCGTTGTTGTATGGCACAAGTTCTGATGACTGCCAACCTTGTTTCCGTTTGGGTCTGTTTGAATCGTGGCCAGGACTAGGAGTTCTTGACCTCTCTTTGGAAGAACGACGCCTGGATCTAGCAGAATGTTGCTGGTCATGTTTTGGTGGTTCTGCACTGGGAGTTCTTGACCTCTCTTTGGAAGAACGACGCCTGGATCTAGCAGAATGTTGCTGGTCATGTTTTGGTGGTTCTGGACTGGGAGTTCTTGACCTCGCTTTGGAAGAACGAGGCCTGGATCTAGGAGAATGCTTCTGGTCATGTCTTGGTGGTTCTGGACTGGAGCTACCAGAACGTGGTCCATAATAGCTCGTGGAAGGAGGACTGGTCATTGACGATTCTCTGTGAATGTTCTCCGCTGTTTCATCATCTGACACTGCAATTCAAGCAAATCATAAATTTTATTCAATATCAGATAGTGAAAGATATTTCCTTTGTCCTCAGTTTAGAAAAGCAACACAGTTTTTATTCAACTATTCTTACCATCATCATCACCATTATCAGCGAATTTCACACTTCCTTTCTCCTTTTTTACGCTTTTATCTCTTCCCTTGAATATAGAGATTCGCGGAATTAAATCACCAAGTGATGTCTTCTTTTTATTTTCTCCAGATTCATCCCCGTCACCATCATTGCTCTCCCTAGATTCAGAATTAACGCGTTCCTTGCCATGAAATGATTGCGCCTGCGGTGTACGAGGTGAAAGATTGTCCGGCTCATCAATTCTGATTCTTTGGGAAAGTTTACGTTGGCGCGTCTTGGCGGCTGTCAGCTTTACTTGGAAAACGTTTTGCACGGGGGACCTGGTGCCAAACATATTCTTTCCAAGCTGTTCCAGGTGCGATCGAATTTTAATTAAATCATTGACCTAAAAAAGACAATAAGATGAGATGGTAACTGAGGGAAGAGAATGTTTGCCAAGATAAATAAATCTGGGGAACAGCCAAGAAAGTGTTTTATTACCGTGCTATTTTGTAGGTCTTTTAATTTTTCCACATCTCCCAACAAAACATCAAAAGTGCTGATCTTGCCTTTTCCAACTTTTCTACTGAACCTCTGAGTCAAAACCTCATGACTTGTCTTGAAATCTTTCTGCATTTGTTCAGCAGATTTTGCGCTCTGTCGCACGTCCGAAGTTATTACTAGTGAAGACGAGGAGACTACCTCTGGACTTGCATTTTCACGGACGTAACGAAAGTATCTTTCTTTGCGATTTTTCGTGAGGAATTTCTCAACAGTAAGGACATTTATTGCCCTTTGCATGCTAGTGTTCTCCACTGCCTTTGAATAAACGGAGGTAAAGGTGTTAGAGAGATATGCTATGAGGATATTCAGACACACGATTACCATAACTGCAACATAGACAGCCCCGAGTAGTCGAGCCATAACGGGATCTGCGGCAACGAGACCTAAAAAAGTAAAGATCTATTAAAGCATGCATAAAGAATCTTTACTAATTCACTCTTATTAGTAGAATTGCATTGCATTTTGCAAGAAAAATTACACCGTGTAACATGACCTTAAGGAATACGAATTGCCTGCGAACTACAGGTATTTTGGTTCACGTCATCAGATACACTCAATCTTACCTTGAACATCAAAATCTTCTCCAACAGACATTTGAATGCCTGTGTAAATCAGACGTTGGGTGGAGGCATAACTGGGGACCTGATTTACCACATTGCCTCCAAAAATAATCCAAAAACAGCTGGTAAATGGAATGAACAATAACAAATAAAAGAAGCCCCAATTTACAAAATCCCGACCGGTTGCGCCAAGAATTAACACTAAAGTACCAATTCCAGGAAACGGACGCAAATACTTCATAATTCGTATCCAGGTAAGAATGACGAGCAAGGTTAACGCACGAATGTAGGCAATTTTTACTGAACTCGAACCATCTATAAAAAATCCTAAATTTAAACCAATTGTAACAAGGATTGCCACAATGATGAACCATTCAAAGATAAACCAGGCATCGATAGTAGAGAGTAAAGGTAATCCTTTTATGAGGCCCATCTCTTCCTTCACATATTTTTCTTCTTGCCATCTCGGATGACAATATTGCAAGTCATCTTTGAGTTGTTGGACGCGCCATTTCATCCACGATTTTTGCCTTTTTTGAGATTTAACTGTAGCTAAAGATAACAGAGAGCACATGTTATCTCTGTATACAGTAGGTCAACGATAAATATCCAAAGTCTGGTGGTATGAAAAACATTTGGATAGTATGATATATTTCTACTATTTCCGATGTCATTTGAAACTATTTTCGTTCGATTTTGTGTACTTACAGATATGACAACATTGCATGCCTTAGAAACTCACTTTTTATTTGTAAATACATCTGGTATATATTGATAAGTATCAGAATCAATCCCAGGACTATACGCCAGGCTTTGTCACTCAGTGGTAGATACAGATCTTTCCCAACAGCAGGCGTCCTGACTGCAAACACAGTGAACAGAATCGCATACACCAGATTCATCGCAAGTTCCAGAATTGTCCACACCTTTCCATATTGATCCCACTTTATCGCCACGAGTCTCTGCATCACAGGATGCATGAGTACATCAAATTGGCGAGCGATAACAGCGGTTTCCAGGGGGGTACGTGCACATCTTGTTTCTTTTTTCAAAAGTGACTCCTCCAGGAGATTAAGATAAAACAACTCTCGTCTTGTGATGGTATCAGAGACGCGAAGCTGGTCTAATGCTTCCACTGCAAGACTTGGAAGTTTCTCAGTTAAGACAGTCATTGCAGAACTTCCATTTGCGTCGTAAATACAGCTTGAAGCTCCTTCGTCGATCAAGATGCGAGCAGTTGCTGCGCGGGAAAGTTCAGCTGCAACCTGAAATGAATAATTAAATTTCGTTTACTGAACCTTCAGGAAGAACAGTTTAGAACTGATAGAGCTATCCTGCCTATCCAGTATAAATAAAGTAAGTTTATAGTTTACTGGAAGAACAGTTTAGGCTGAACGTTATTTCGTAAGAATAAAGGCTTCCTCCACTCTAGTAGCAACACTGGATGATCCTTACTGAACCTCAACATTACGTTGAGTTGATTACCTGCAGTGGAGGGCGACCTCTCTCGTCCAACGAGTCGATATTTGCCCCAAATCCCAGCAGAGCTTTTAACGACAATACCGCGTCATTTTTTGCAGCAAAGTGCAAAGGTGTCTGTCCGTCACCACTCGATCGTGAATCGATATTTGCACCTTTTTGAAGTAAGAATTCCACCATATCTGCATGATCAGCAGCAGCGCTGACGTGGAGTGGTGAGCGGCCATATTTATCCTGTTGGTTGATATCCGCTCCTAGGCCGAATCGTAAAAAGACACTGAGAATTCAGCTCAATCTACACAGGAAAACCAAGCGTACTTACTGAGCAAGGCTACGTACCGTTATGGAGAAGAAATGCTGCAACGTCTAAATTCCAGCTTCTTGCGACCTCATGAAAAATCGTTTGACCATAAGTGTCAACGGCTTCGTTAATATTCGCTCCTCCATCCAGCAATGATTGCACGAATTCATAGTTAAATTCGTCCGTTTCGCTGTTGGATACAGCCAGAGTTGCAATATAATGAAGCAAAGCTCGATTACGGATCAATGTTCGGTCTGAGATGGACGGATAAATTGTTTCGTCAAGATCTTTACCAAGCGCAGCATAGATTGGTTCGCTGTGTTTTCCTGCATAGAATTAATCACACATCACTCCTTCTTAAGTATTGGCTGACAATACTACGAAATTATTTTATCATATTGTGTTAAATGATGGGTCAAACGCATGTATGCAGCAGTATCAAACTAAATTTCCCTGGACACTACGTGACATGCAAGTCTAAATTTTTAGGATAACCAGTGAAAAACAGTTGCGCTAAATTACTACGTAATTTCCATCTATCATAATGGCTGGGTCTTCATTTACAATTCAAACTGATCTAACAAACCTGAATGGACCAAGAATTTAGCAACTGATTTAAAAGGTGAAGAACCGCCAGATTCACGACGATGGGAATCAAGATGAGCACCATTAACTTCCAAATGTTCCATGTTTATATCCTATTAAGTATTGGTAAAGCTATCAATTATGAATAAAATAACAACTGAATAAGGTTTATAAGTTATGTCTAAGGCTGTAACCTCTGTCTGAATATCAGAATTCAATATTCGTTTCTGTAAGGCAATGAGAGTTCTTTTGCAATCAGAGCATGGGAGGATTTTAGGTTCAATCGAAGCTCTCAGTTGACTGGTTGGTCAGAGAATAGTTATGAGGTTTCCTCAATTTTAATGGGTTGATTAAGCTTTTTCTAGGATACATACAGCTGTGTGCATTGCATCGTCACTGTAGCGATCACAGCTGGAGAATTTTAATTGGAATGAAAAAGGAATATTCAGGAATAAACAGTGGATTGATATTAAATTCTATCACCCCTCGTGTTTGCCAAAATAGATTGAATATTTCAACCGTAATTACAGAAATTTCGACCTGTTGTAGGCGGGGCCTAAGAGTTTACAAAATGTTAGCATATTCTGGTCCCTGTCTCGAAAAAGTAGCAGTTTTCAGATTGTTTTTCTGAAAAATGCATCGTGTGACGATTTTATACCTGCCGAGAAAAGACATTATGAAACGAAAATAATGAGTGGCCGCTAGTAGACGACAATATTGTTCAACAATTTATTGCAATAGGGAGTTTAGGATTCACGACGCGCTTGCAAAATAAAGAAACACCACACACACGCGAGATACTGGGTATGCTTACGTGAGCGTAACTTGTTAAAAGCGTTTGCACGGCTTCTCGATGACACGAAAGCAGCGGATATTACCTCGGAGGTTCTTAGTACGATTAAAACGTTTGTGTGCAGCATAAATAGTTTGCTGTGGCTGATTTCAAGCAAAATTTTGACTAGTGATTCGACTGATTTGCGTCGTGGAGCACGTTGAGATTGTTAATTAATAAAGAGTGCTCGAAATGCTAAGAAAACGTTAGCAGATCGTACGAAATGTTTGTATTTGACAACATTAGATGCTTCGGGAGTAGAATTGCACTGTAAGTTGCAAGGAAAGTTGCACAGTGTTGCAGCTTCTTAAATTACGAAATGAACATTGGAAGTAACAAATAAGCACAGTACGGATTGAAAATAATAATATGAAATAAAATGCATCATTACTTTATCATTACAACTATCACTTTATACAACAAACCTGATCGAACAGTGGACTTTTACATAACATAAATAAAGCAAAACTCTGCCGATTGACTTTAGTATTCTGTGAATGACGCCATATTTAGTTCAAAACATTAATCGTCTGAATTTCGACTGGAATTTATACACAATTCAAATTCAAGACGGTAAGTGGACATAAAAGGTTAATTACAGGCCCTCTGGCATGGAAGGTTTAAATGCTTAATGGCAATGAATGATTTATATTTAGGCCAAATCAAGCTCTGGATAAGCTTCGTAAAGCTACACCATGGTTACAATAACTCTCGTTTAAATATACCTTCTGAAGTATTTTCTTCGTCTCTTTCTGCTGAATGTTTTTAAACCACCTTTAACTATATATGTGTACCAGAGTTGAACACTAAAAATATTCCTCTATTTCACAATGTTCCTTCACTTCCTTGTACCGACGAGTAAAGCCATAGCCAGAGGTAGTTTGATGGTCTGATTCGTGATAATTCCCGAACATTGTGATTGAAACGGCTTGAGATAAAAATTTTTGTATGGTTTACGCTTCGCTTCATATAACCGATTAATTTTGCTGTATCTTTGTTCTCAAATATTTATGTGGTTTGATTGAGATCACAGACTAATTCATCATTGAATTTCCCCTGATCACAATCTGGTTAAGTATAGAAATAAATCTATGATTCTATATAAAAACCGTTTTGTTAAATTGTTAAATTTAAGAACGACATTCCGGAGCTGGTTGATTTGCGGGAGGACATTTCTAAATCGGCAGGGAGTGTAAAACAGCTTTGTCTTTGTAAATTAGTATAATTTATTGCACTAATACATTACAAATCTTTTTATTGCGCATCATTTGTGTCGCACCGATGAAATGCTACAAAAGGTTGCGACAAATTTCGCAACTGTAGCTGGGGTACACTATTATGCTGGCTAAATAGGCTTGGTCGTAGTCCAGGCTTTCGCCTGGCCTGATAATCTTGAACCCTCAATATCTGATGGACTTTTTTTAGGCTTAGGATCGTAGGGTGAACGACTAACGCTTATAACGCTTACAAACACCCGTACAACACGGCTCATGTTTATAAACATTTACCCACACTTTGGTGAACAGTGATACAATTTCAATACAGTTTGAAGCATTACAAACATATACAATTCATATACAAACAAGTACGTTGAAACTCCACGTAAATGAATTAAATTTAACCATACAGTATGCAGATATTTGTTTCTTATTTACTGGAATATTGCTCGTTTGTGAAAAGACCTGCTCGTATAATTCTGATTGAATCTCGATTTTCTTCTCCGTTTTTTAAAGCACAAATCAAAAGCATTTGTACTGAGTTAGAACCAGGATTACTGTAAAAAACAGATGATCCATTTGATATGCATTGATGGAGAGACTATCCTTTTTCTCCAAGCATTATACCTGCATCTTTACGTTTTTTATTCAGTTGAGGAAAGTGTCACTTCAGTTTGGTTTGCCCACATTGAGGAAGACAAAAGTTGTAAAATGATTCCGTAAGAAATAATTCTTCATCTCTCCACATCACCCAGCCATTGCATTGAAGATGGTTAATATCAGCTTCGCCTGAGAAATGTGGATCCTGGCCAAAGTAGAAGAAATCATTGACACACTTTCACTGTCCTGTTATTATTTCTATCAAGTGGATTCTGAGAAGAATCTTTGTTGCTCAAGTTGGAACTTACCAAGATTAGAAAATATTTTTTGTTTCCATCTGTAGCTATTCCTAAAAGAGCTTTTGATGCTGCATCTGAATCACCACCTGGATGATTGAAAGAAGTAGAGGAAATGTCTGAGATTGGAATTTTATATGAATGAGTTGACATAGGTAAAATAAAATAATGCTAAATGGTAGCTATGAAAGGATGGGAAATAAAAAGATAAAAAAGGAATAGAACAAGTGAGAAGATAAGTTGAATGAGTAGATGGATTTCTTACCAATCATAATCGGAGAACCGAACATCTTAAAATGTGAGAGAAGTTCTGCAAATTTTAATCCAATTTCTCTTCCACTTCGGATATGAATGATCTTACTTGAAATCTAAAATGTTATGTGTGGTCATGGAAATTTATAAATTAGCAATAAAGACCATGATATAATTATAAAAAAGTACATTGCTTACATTGTAACAATGATCAAGAAATAAGCATATTTCAAAAGATCCAATCCATTCTCTTGAGCTAATAAATGATGAAGGTTTGTCTCCAATGTTTACTAAGGTTTCTTGAATTTTTATCAAACTTGGTGGAGTTCGTAGTTTTGATTCAATATGACAGTTGTTATTTATCCAGGAACACATTGTTTGCAGTGTGCGATAACCACATCCCCAACCCTAAAAACAGCATAGAATTGTTCACAAATATGAACATTAAGGTGTTAAATTACAGCTGAAATCACCTGGTGTTGTGGACTTTTGTGTAGTTGCATCACTGATCAATGTCAGTGCTTGAACATGTATGCTAACATATTAAATAAATCTAGTAACAACCCCATGCAACATGGTGTATTTTGATACTTTAGCTGTTACCTCATCATTCGTACCATCACAGCCGTAATGGTAATACTGATATGTCCCTTTGACAAGAAAACATTCAGAACATGATTCTGGAGGAGACAATCCAATATGAACGTCACTTAACTTCATGACGTTCCCATCAGTTCTCAGTTAATAATGTATATAAATACCTTAGATTAGTTAGATATACATAAATACTTCTCTTCGAAATTAAACCGCCGCCATTTTGAATTTGACCGCGCAGAGACTCGGAAGAGTACTCGGACTTATTTAATTAAGGTGGATATAAGCCGATAAAATTTTGATAAAAGTGTCTTTGAGTAGATTATCCTTGATCAATGATTTTTTTTAGTAACGTGTGGATAATCTTCTGTGTCATAGTCTTACAAGTTCCTCAAGTACATCTTTTGGTGGACGTAACGATTGCTATTCAAACAAGCCACACTCTACAAAATATTCCTTTATTTCCAGTGTAAATTTATACCTAATATCACGTTTTTATAATTTAACAAATTACAAGTCAATAACACCAAAAACACACGTTTTACAAAATATGCATAACTATTGTTACTGGTGTACAAGGGGTTAAACTTGATAAAGAAATCGTGAAAATACCAGCCAGAAATTCCCAAGATTTCATGACTATCTTATAGCCCAATGTACACAAAACAAAATGAAGAGTTTCTAAAACTCGCCAGCCACGAGTTTTTGAAACTTAACTCTATAACATCTTATACTTTTTAAAGACAACATGTAAAAATACATTAACATTTAGAGACATCAAAGCATCTCTAATAAACACAAACAAAATTTTAAGGACTTAAAATGGCTTCATTGTCAAAGTTGCCCAATTTGCCAGCCAGGAAACTTTGCCAAGAACCACGTCAGTAATATGATCAAATTAATCGTCGTTTATCTGCTAAGAATTGTTTGTTTTTTTTCTAAGAAAGACGGAAAACGAAGCATGAATGAAAGCGAATGAGTTAGCGTCACGGGGACATGAATTACTTCTAACATTAAGAAATTAAATACCAATCCTAACATGACAATGTGACATAAAATAAACGTAATAATATGAAAGAAACTAACTACAGTTAATATTCAGGCCCACCAGGACGGTGCAGGCAATATTTTGGCCTGATAATGGCTAGTTTTTAGCTGTTTTTAAAAGGGATCTGTTAAACTTTTTTTTTAAATTTCAGCCTTTTTTCTTCTTCTCTACCGCCCAAAAGGTGATGGTTTACTTCTTCGTTGATTTAGTGGTGGTTTTGGTCGTTTTTGTGGAGGATCGCGGAGTGGTTGATGTCGTAGATTTTGTGGGCGTCTTTGTTCCTCCGCTGCTCGTTCGGGTTGTTGTCGTTGTAGGTCGTGAAGCGCCGCCAGTTGTCGACGGGCTTGGAATTCGCGATGTTGCCGTTTTTGAAGCGGCAGTTGATTTCACGGGAGTCGTACGTGATGTGGTTGATTTCGGTGTTGGGACACGGCTTGTACTCGTGGATGTTCGCTTGGTAGTCGTCTTAGTAGTCGCTGAGGCTCCGGAAGCCTCCGGTTTACCATCGTCGCTGTGGACAGATGTATGACTACCAGCTTTCTTGACTCTCGATGTTGGAGTCGAAGATCTTGGCGAAGCAAGACCGTCTCTGCTACCAGCTTTCTTGAGTGAGCTACTTTTTTCTCCCTTGAGACTCGTCCCAGACTTCTTGCGTGGTTCCATTGAAGGTGCCGCAAGCGAATCTTTAAGATCAGCACCAGACCCTTCGCGAGATATCCCAGGTCTCTTCGTACGGAATGTTCCCATAGAGTGAGATGAGAGATCTGGTGATGCCCCCAGTTTGTGGATGTCAAAGTTGGTGCGGCCTTCGGCTAAAGCAGAGGAAATAAACACTTCAAGTTTGAATATTATGAACTGTATATGATGATGATGTAAAGAGAAGATGAGATGAGAATATATCACGATTCTTTCCCTACCTTTGCAAGGATCGTTCTTACTAAGAAACTCCTTCAATGTCTCCCATCCCCCCCCAACACGAACCATCACAGTACTTCTCAAGATTCTCAGAAGCCGGAGTTTCTGCGAATCTCCAAACTATGAAAAAGAAGAATGTAAGATAAATCTCAGCCAGATTCTGCTAGTTGTTAATTAGTGACAAACATTTTATGAAACCATCACACTGACGTATATCAATATAATATGTCAAAATACATGAACTTACCCGATATTTTCTTTCAGCAACTTTGGTAACCTCAAATTTGTGAGGGCATTCGCATTCTGACACTTGTCGCTCAATTTCATCGTGAATTTGTTCAGCCTCTGTCAAAGGTTTTGTTGACTTTTTCTGAAAGAAAAATTCAAATATATTTTAGATCAGCCTAGCGGAACTAAGGACAATCAACTGATGACTTGCAAAATAGTCACAGAACAGAACAGATGTTGGCCACTCAGAGAGGAATTGTAATTCCTGTGATTCATTTTGTTAATATGTTTCTGATAGATTACCATCATTCAAGATTTAGTAAATCCTACTTATTCTACTGTCTTAATAATTTAAAATTTCCATCGAGAATAACTGAAATATGATACAAGTTTGGACAAATCTTAGTGGGAACAAAAACTAGAAGTTATTTTACACGACTCTTCTTCCTCTTAACGCAACAACACGCGTTACCTTAAACATCGTCACTTTGTGGCGATAAGGTGAAAACGGCTGCTCTGAAAGCATCGAGTCTGGTCGAACTCGAGAATAAGTATGGATGACAAAAGACATTGGAACCAAGTAAAAAGATTTTGGTTCACTTAAATCATCATTTTCATTGTCTGTAATATACTCTTCAGCCTCTACTTGATCTGGTCCTTCATACGCAGCCATTAACACCATTTTCTTGCAATTTTTATTAGTTTAAAACTAACTTGATTTTATCACAAAGCCCTCACACGGCTAATTTAATTTGAAAATAACTGAGAGTGAAGAAGTTGGACTTTATATCGTGATCTTGCGGAATTGGATTGATATCAGGTTATTGAGAGACAATCAGTCCGACATTTTAATGACAAAGAGGAAATAAGCACTTCCTGATATGAATTTTGAGAGACAAGGAAAATGAAGTGCTTAATATTACGATATTCAAGAAAATATAATCATTAAAGGAAGTTGTTTGTAAGAGGCCAAACTGAGAATCAAATGACGATGTACAGTTTAGAAGATGCTAGACGATTGATGTTGTAAAAGTTTCTTTTAGATCAAAATAACTTACAGCTTTCAATGCAGCAACGAACTCTTTGTATGAAATAAGTCCTCTTCGTTCAAACTTTCTCGCAACTAACTGAAGTTCCCATCTTTCCGTCGGGAATGCTGAAACAATACGATGACATCATATATATTACATCGCTTATAGTTATACTAACGATAATTGAAAATAAGTTAGAATTATTGCAATAGTTTATCATAATAAAATGCCACTGTACTCGTTGCTAGGAAGCCAGTTATGAACTGTTCACGTGTCAAGCTTCCGTCATGGTCGTGATCATTTTGTCTGAAAATATCCAGGACACGTGACTTGCTCTCGTGAAGCCAATGGTTAAACTAAATGAAATCAAACGGAATATGAATTTGCAATCCATTTAGCAATCCTGCAAAGCAAAATTAAGAACATTCACACTTGCAGGAGCAAGACTTCGGCTGGAAAGACTAAACACAACAACTTACTCTTTTCTTCCACTCCTCAAAACTAAAGTTCGCGGCTAGTTTCTTTTGAGTGAGGTAATCCAATCTCTCCTGGATTCTTCGCATACGTTCTAGTGACATTAGCCATAAGTGCTGCCAATGTTTTGCGAGTTGTGCACGCGCGGGACTCTTGTCTCGCGTGAACGAGTGTCCACGACTGAACACCGGTTGACTTGACGTTGCACCAGGAGCGTTGCGCGGGATCCGTGACTTGTAGCTAGGTCGTGTTTTACTGGGTGTTTCATGTTTTCTTGTTGCTGTAGGCTCAGCTGCTAACTGCCGTCGTTTAGATGACCTCATGATCTGATCATAGTCGGGTTGTCTTGTTGTGAGATTGTCTTGGAACAACTGAGGAAAAGAAAGAAATACAAATGAAATGGTTGCAGGTGACGATACAGCAAGAACAGCCGAGCACTGGTCTGTGTTAGACAAGAGGACAAGAAAGACTATGAGGGAAAATTCTTTACCTGATGCTCATCAAGTAATGCCTTCAATTCATCGGTATTTTCTTCAGGTAAAGGAATCTTTTCCTTTTCCTGTAGTTGAGCCTCCTTTTCTTTCACCCAAGCAGACAATTCTTCAACCAACTTCTTTTCGTCTTCCATAGTCTTGCGATGTTCATCCAGTCGTGTCTTCCTCTGTTTTGCCCAACTGTTTAGTTCGGCCCATCTCTTCTTCAGCCTGCTTAGCCATGTTTGTATCGTGTGTGTCCCACTGGGATGACAGAATCTCAAAATCATTTCACCTTTCTTGATTGTCACCTTCACTTTATCCTCTTCGGCTTCAAGATCTGCCAACACAACCTCCATCTCTTCAATCTGTTTGATCACGCCATCATAGTTATCTGCAACCGGACCAAACGACCTCAATCTCGCGTCAATTCCCTTGAGTGTCTTCAACTCTTCTTTCACTCCAGATTCAAATTCTTCCGCTAAGGTCAGTGCATTTTCCAGCCGTTCTTGTTTCGTGTTTGACATCATACTCAATGCATCCCATCGTGCAACAAGATCGTCAAGAGTCTCAGCCAAGGCTGCGGGGTCCTCGACTTTCTGTTCTTCAATACATTGTCTTCCTGATTTGACCACAGAGTTGTACGTTTTCTGTCTAGTGGCAAGATCTCGTTGAAATGCCTTAAAATTAGCAAACGAGTTAGTGAATATATGTACAAGGTTAATTCTATATTCTTTGAAGACTAACTACTGTAATAACACAATACCTTATGATTGTCCATTAATATAAGCACAGTCTGTGTGTCACCCATGATCGCTGTCTCACTTGAGAGACCGGGTTCTACTGTTTCCAGCCAATCAAACAACGATTGCAATGCATCTTGGAACATTCCTGTGAATAGCAGAGCTTCCTCCAACTTTTGTTGCCTAGAAATAAGAAAATTGTTTTGTAGAAGATCATTTCACCAAACTATAGCCTGACACCTATTCATCCCAGTATATATAGGACACAGTAGGAAGAAATGCATTAGTTTAATTTTCTTCTATCGTACCTGTCAACAGACAAGGCACACAAGCCGTCCCAGCGTTCTTTGAGTTCAGCAATCTTTTCTTCAACGATCACAGCGTCATCAACTTCGCCCCGGTCGATGAGAACTTTCCCAGATTTTATCGCAACATCCATCTTAGCTTGTTGTGGACCCAACGTGCTCTGGAATAACTAGAAATTGATGGTGGGGGAAAAATTAATTCACAATTGACAATCCATTGTGTCATGGGAGTTTTGTTTAATTCAAGGGAAACTATCCAGCTAAAGGCCAACTAAAACAAACCATGCCCTCGCAAGACTAGAGATCTCTATCTAAGGAAAACGAGAACTCACCTTGTGTTTTTTCAGTTGATGTTTAAGAACAGCAGGATCAGCTCCGATGCTGTCTTCTGCCTGCAACTGATTCTCTGCTTCGGTCATGAAGGCAATCAACTCGTCATAAGATCCAAAGAACTTCTTTGACGCTCTGTAATTATCGTCGACATTTTTCTTTACGACGTTCAAACCGTTCAGCAGCTCCCTCCATTGTTTATCGATATCAGCCATGTTGTTGTAGATGAGAATAGCATCTTCTTGTAAGCAGGACCCGGTCACCTCGTTGCTGAGAGTTCGCAGTTCTCTGTACGGCTCTTTACGGGCATCAACTTGTACGGCACAATTCTAAAATAAAATATGTTGATATAAGAGAAAAATGGTGTGGAGATGATGCATAGTTTGCAAATGTTGAGGTGTTAGTGGTAGGGACTTGTAACGACTGGTATTGAACGGTATAAGAATGGTTTTATAGCTGGGGAAACCTACGTATATTTCGAAAAAAAATTTCCAAACAAACCTTGTATTTATTCTTCTGTTCCTCGACCTTGACAAACACTACGCTGATAACCTCAAATATGACAAGCTCTTCCTTAATTTCAGTTAACCAAGTAATCATCTCCGTTGAGCCATCATGCAACTTGGTAGCCTTTTGCAAAGCAAACTGCAGTTTCTTTCCTTCTTCTTCCGTCTTTGATGTTATCTCTTCCCAGGACCTCTTCACCTCACTCTTCATATTACGTAATGTGTTTGCAACAGCAGGGTCACTCGTCTCCAGGAGCTCGCTGCTTGTTTTCATAATCTGCTCGTACTTAGGAGCACGAGACTCCACTTGTCTGGCAAATTCCTGCGAAAAATTTAAAGTGTTGTTGCAAAATTGAAAACTTCATTAATCAGTTCCAGTTTTTTGTCACTCAGAGAGGTCTAGCAAGGCTCATTTCCTACCCATTCAGTGTTACTACAAGGGAATGGTAAACTAAACTATGTTGTTTTGGATTAATTTCGTCTAGTTTACCTTGTGCTTTTCAATTTGCTTCTCGCAACTTTCCGGGAAACCTCCGACAGGTCTTCGAGTTTTCAGGAATTCCCTGGCTTCCTTCAACCAGCCCAACATTTCTCGGACTTCATTCATAAAGTCACGTGCTATCTTTAAGGAACCAGTAAGATCATTTTCCCTCTGTGCAGACTTGGCGAGAAGTTCTTGCCAGCCATTTTGAAGATCATCCAGTTTATTCTTGAGTACAGCTGTGTCCATTTTGCTCGTGCCTGATTCGAGAAGTTTGTTCGCAGCGTTCGTGATGCTTTTCACGGTCGGCTCGTGTGCACTGATGTCATTTTGGATGATCTATAATAATGGAACGAGCATATTAAGAACACGTCATCCTCTAGACAATCATTACCTTACATGCATGAATGCAGTGACAGGTCTGTACATCTCTCGCTGTGCTTTACTATTAGTGGACGACATTAAGTAAACTAAATCACTTCTTACAGTAGATTGTGTTCTCGAAAATAAACATCGAAAGGCCTACCTTATGTTTCGACATTTCAACCTCAATCGACCTCACGTCACCATGAGGTTTCTGTTCCAACTCTTTGTCTAAAGATTGATTCGTGTGATTGATCCAAGCCAAGAGTTCTTCCAAGGCCAACTGGAACTGTCCCAAGGCAAGCAAAGCTTCTTCAAGTTTCTGTTGTCTTTCCATGACGATCACACGTAAAGCTTTCCATCGATCATTCATTTCTTTCACCTCGGCTTGCACCACGGGAACATCATCAGGTCGGCATTTCTCCATCAATGCTTGTCCGTGTTGGTTTGCAGTTGTCACATGCACTTGTTGTTCTGGTATCTCCCGTTGTAATTCCTAGAAATGATTCATAGAATGCTGGGTCAACATCTCATATCACATGGTGCTATAGAGCAACAATCTTCCACCCTACCCTATGAGCATCTAGTTGTTTCTTTACAGCTTTGACATCAGAACCAACGGAAGGAACTTTCTCTAAATTCTTCTCAGTTGCTTCGAGCCATTCACAAACGGCATTATGAGATTTCTCAAACTGTTCTGCCAGTTTAAACACTTCAGCCAGATCGTTCGTGCGAGCCTTACACGCGTTCTCAGTATTCTCCCAGAGATCGCTGATTTCTGTTACTGCGTTTTGGACAACCAGCTTATCTGCCTGACCGCAATTTGCTACCAGCACTGGACTAGCGTGACAAATCGCGTTTATCTGGTCCTCGTGGCTGTTGAGCTCGCTGCAAAGTTCCTAAAAGATAAACCATATCATCGGTTTGAACACTGTCTTTATCCAATTTCACACAGAATCACTGCAGTTCATAGCATGCGAGTGCCCACCCACCTCGTGTTCATGAATTTGATCCTCGACATAATGAAGTTCCGCAGCAGGTGGATCGTGCGTATCTAGATGTCCCTGAACGTCTCTCAGTGATATCCTCAGTTGTTCCACACCGTCCCAGAACTTATCACATTCCTCCAAGACACTCTCCAACGCCAGTTGACGGTCATTGGTTAGTGCTTCAATCTCAACATATAGACCTTTTACCCGAGACATCTTTTCCGTCATCAGCTCTGCCGTGTTGGTTCCTGGGTTGGTTTTCACAGCAATATCAACCTGGGCATTCGTTTCATCCACCAATATCTTGTCTTCTTTAACACCATTAGCTACATCCTACAAGCGTCAAAAGCACTTAAAGCATATCTACGCACAGCAGATGATAACGGGCTTCGTAATGCAACCACCAATGGCTAAAATAATCTCTTAGGCAAGCAAGCCTAGTTTATAGAAGTTGAATAAATACTACAAAGTTCTTACCTCGTGTGCATGCAACTGTTCCCTTACAACATCACCGTGTATCCCGATGGGCTCTAAATTAAGAAGTCCATCTTTTCTTTTCTCCAGATGTAATATCAACTCTTCCAACATGACTTGTAATTGTTCCTCTTGTTGCAACGTCATTCCAACTTGAATACCGCGATTTTCGATTTCTGCTCTGAGAGACTGGTACCTTTCTCGATTTCGTTCCAGTTCCTTGGCGGCTTCGGCCACCTCATCAGCGCTGCAATGCTTCGCAAGATCGTTGTGAGTCTCTGCGTAGTTGGACATCAAAGGCGCAAGCACAGTTATGCTTTCTTGAATGGCCTAAAATGTCAGCATATAGTTACATAAATACCTGCTATGACCACGGATCTCCTTGGTGGAAAAAGGATAAAAGGGTTAAAAAGGGGCTTATTATGGATAGCTCTTAAATACACACCTTAATCCTCTCCTGTTCCACTTCGGCCGCATGTCCCTTGTCATCCTGCAACTTCGCTACGTTTTCTTCCGCTCGTCCCAGTCTTGTAGTGACCTCGTTCACGATGTGTAAATATTGTTGAGTCAGTAATAATAGTTCAACTAACTGTGCCTGTCTTGACGACGCTTTGTTGTTGATATTTGCAAATCTCGTTTTGATGCGGTCCAATTTCTCCTTCACATCAGCACCTTCCTCTTCACCCAAAGCTATCAGAAGTGTCTGACCGCTGTCGAGAACTTGGTTTACCGTACCAGCATGCACTGCAATGTCGTTGGTGATTGGCTAGACAATTAAATGCAGAATCATTAGGCGAAACACTGGAACTACAGTACAGAGGAGCTTTGTGGTCGGTAACTACAGAGGCTAGCAGTTAAGAAGCTTTGTGATTGGTATTAACTCTGACTAAACGAACTTTATTCAGGGACAACTTACGTTCAATTCTTTAATCTGCTCTTTCACTTTATCAGGTTTCGACGACGGCGCCTCAAGATTTGATAGTTTCGTTTCAGTGGCGGTCAGCCATTCATCAACATTTCCCATGTTTGCCTTAAACTTCTCCAGTTCTTCTTTGCCAGTGAAGAGATCTTTGGCGACTGTCTCAACTCTTGATTTTAGTTTCTTCCAACGAACTTCAATAATTTGGACAGTTTCTTCAATAATCACAACGTATTCGTCGGCGACTGTCTTGGACAATCGAGAACCGATGTCCTGGAATTTCTTGAGGTCGGGTTCTTTGTTTTGGACGGATTGCTGCACAGCCTTAAAGTTAGTTAAAAATTAGTTATAATGTAGAAGTCCTATTTGTTCGAAACTGTTTTCACAAGAGGCTTAGTTGGAGACAAACTCGAGCAAATCCGGCCTCAATCATTCTTTAAAATTATCCGAAGAAATCTTACCTTTAATTTCTGTTGTTTCAAACCATTATCTTCACTTCCATCCACTTCATCCATAGCTGTCTCCGTCACTTCCAACCATTCATCAAACAAGACTTTCTCAGTATTAAATTCCTCAGCAAGTCTCAAAGCTTCGTTCTGTTTGTCTTCAATAGTCTTGACTCTCTTCTCAACACTCCAATATCGCTCTTTAACATCTTCCACTTTCTCCTCAATGATACCAGCATCCTCTTCGGTCGCACACCCTATGAGTGTCTCGCTTAAGGCTTCAAGCTCGGCCAGTTTAGGTCCGCAGGTATTAAACTCTTCAACAATTTCTCCAAATTCATTAATCTGTTCTTTTATCTCTTCTGGTTTCGCTTTAACCTCCGAGAATTTCCCCGCTTTGGCTTTTTTGTCTGTTTTTCTAAGACTATCAGTGAGTTCCTTATTGAGATCTGTGAATTTCTGTGAGATTTCTAACACTTCCTGCAATTGGTCGCCACGTTTTGCAACAAGACCTGTCAGCTCTTCCCATTGGCTGTTGATATCATGCATTTGTTCTTCGATTTCCTGTTTCTTGTCTGGGTCTGCGGTTTTCAAGAGCTCATCAGCAGTTGCTTGCACAGACATGAGGGTTCCTTCACGCTCTTTGATCATGCGCACAAGTAGCTAGAAAGTATAGATGGGTTTGACATACTGGTCTGATGATATGCTATAGTAATATTTGAAGCATCTCCAGCATCACTAAACTTAACGCTCCAAACATCTTTGATGATAACTGATTAAATTCTTACCTGATTTTCCTTAATTTGAGCTTTCAACAGGTTCGGGTCGGCGGCCGACACAGGTCCCTGTGACTCAAACAAATCACGTGTTTCTGAGAGCCAATCAAGAAGCGAATCTGCAGTCTCTTTAAATTTCCCGGATTGAAGAAGGGCCTGGTCCAGCTTCGTCTGTCTTTCCACCAAACCATGAGATATCGCCATGAGACGATGATTGAGTTCTTCAATAATCTTGTCCAGAGGAGTCGCGTCAGAATCTCGGTATCTCGCTGTGAGACCATATTTCAAGTCCTGCAAAGTCTGGATGCTTTCCTGTACTTTAGCGATATCATTCTGGCATGCCTGAAATCGCGAAAAAAACTCAGCGTTTCGTCCGAAAGTTAATATTATAAGTGCCCTAAAACCTGCCCAACCCCTTCCCTGTGAATACAAAAATTCCGTTTCTATACCTTCACCTCCTCCAGCTGTGCATTAATATCGTCAGGCTCACCACCGACAGGTTTCGCATTAATCGCCTCAGCTTTGTCCTCCAGTAATTTTAACTCCTTATCAATGACGTCATGTACCGCTTCGAACTTCGCCACCTCCGCTATAACGTCATCAAGCTGAGCCTGCAGTCCATCCACGCTATCAGTGACGTCATGATATTCCTTACTGATGGTAGATATTTCTTTAATCAAAGCAGGATCGCTGCCTAAACCAGCTCCAATCAACTGTTGACCGTCTTTACTGAATGTTTCAAACAATTGCGCAGTGTTTTTAACGTGTTCTTTTAATTTCTGAAGAAAGAAAAATATTTGAATACCCGAAGAGAAATCGCTTGTTCACACGCCTTTTAATCCGACAAAACACTAAATTTAAAACAAATATCCAACACAAGAACGATAGCTACCTTCACAGCATCATCCTTCTTCTTCAGACTATCCATATCCAATTGACCTGGTTTATTTGCGTCTACTTCATCATGGATGTAATCCAGATCGTTTTTCAAATCTTTAGAAGACTTTGCATACTGCTCCATCTCATCAACCAAATCTTGCATCTTCTTAGTCTCGTCTTTCACTTTTTCATCGACCTTGCTGCACAACTCCTGGAGTTCTTCATTACGTCGTTTCACGTTGGATCCATCAATATCAGCATCTTTTCCGACTAATTCATTTCCATACGCCACAGTGTTATCAAGTTGAGGTTTGATAGCCTCCAGTTGCTCTCCAGCATTCTTGATGCTTGCGAGATTGTTCCGCATTTGAGGCAAGTCCAGAACAAGTGCAGTTTCAGACGGCAAAGCTTTTTCAACCTTACCAATCTTCTCTTGGACAGCATTTGCTTGTTTTTCATACTCAGCGAGGTCGTCTCTCATCTTTTGTAGTTCTTTATCTTTGCTTTCTTTCTCTCCGTTCATTTCATTCCAGTTTTTATTCATTTCATCCACTCTTGCCATCATCTCGTCAACGTCAGCTTCACAATGTTCCGCAAGTTTAGCCGCAGTGGCCGTTACAGACTCTTGAACTGGTTGCTTTTCTTTCACCTCATCTTCAAGCGCCTAGAATCAAAGATGAATGCTTCTAAATCTTCCGCAAACTAGTTCAAACCGAAACATCTGTTACGGTGAACAACGTTATTGAAGCTCAAAGAATATTTGTTTAACTGTCCCATTGAAAATGGATCACCTTACCTTTAGTTTTTCCTGTTCTTTCTCGATAGGTTCCTGATCGTACGAGACGGGTTTCAAGTCAGCCAGTGTCTTTACTGTAATCGTGATAAACGTCACAACAATTTCAATTTCTTCCTCAAATTGTTCACTCAAAGTGACAACTTCCTCAATAATTTCAACACGTTTCGTGATCACTTGCAGAAGGACTCGCCATCTCTTTGTTGTGTCTTGAACTTTCTGTTTCATTGCGTCGCTTTCTGGACCAGGATTTTCCTCAGCCATTTTGTCACTCATCTCAAGTAATTGATCACATGATGACTCCTGTTGGAGAACCTCCTCACGAATTATCTACAGAAAATAACAAAGTTGAAGGTTCACCATCCTGGGCTTCAGACTCAGTACTGTTGAAACATATTGCAGTGATCATTAACAATGACTTTATAACATGAGTAACTGGCCAAGATGAAGGTTCTACTCTAAAAAGGAAACCAATATTATCCATAAAAGGTATGGATCACTCCAGCTACCAGTCTGACTTACCATAAGCTCCTCTTGTTCTGCCTTGAGCTCAGGTAATTTCGTTGACAAGGGTTTGGCATTTTCTAGCCGTTGTTCAAGCGAACCAACTTTATCGTTAAAGCTATCGAACAAAGTTTTAAATTCTCCATGCTTTGCTAAGTTTTCTTTCTCGTTTGTTAACGCTCCGTCAACAAGATCGTTCACCTCCGTATAAAGCTCGTTGACTTCCGTCACCTGCTCGGGGATCTCTGTATTACCATTTTGGTCCCCAGGCGTCTGCTCCAAAAGATCGTTGCCAGCGTCGGTGGTTTCCTGAAGGACGTATTTCAAGTTGGCAAGCTTTGCTTGTTGTTCCTAGTTTGAATAAAAAAATAGTTGTGATTAGCGCTTGTCGTCATATTCATCACTTCTCCATTTCGTAAACAGTCGTATATGTTTGTTGTAAAATGAGAAGGATACGGAAAATTAGGAAGCACAGATAAATCCTTTTTATAGAATACGGAAACATTTTAATTTCATTTTTCTGCCATGTTTCAGATGCGTTTAATATTGTTTACATTCTGCTCACACTCAAATTCGCTGCATTAAACTAAGCGACCTGTTACCACCTGTAAAGATGGGTAAATGCACAGGCCAATATATCTTTTGATAACTATTAGCAACAGACAAGCTGTTGTTTTAAACGCCAGCATGAGATATACAAGCACTCAGTCTAAATCCAACTGTCGTATAATGCCTAAAGGCTGAAGATACCCGCCATGCGATCATAATGTCCTTAAGGAATACGTTTGAAGACGGTCAATATAGTCTACAATGAACGTTGTATAAAAAGATATCTAATTACTCATTTGCAATAGAAAGTAACTATTTGAATCGCATGAGGGTTCACAGGAATTCTGAGGATTTTGTGTTTGCATAAGTCCAAGTGACGCCGAACAAGATTAGGCATAAAAATACAGTAATAGTAATAGATTATATAGCAAACATTAAACATATTCGTCATATCATCGCACTACCTGAAAGCTTTATAAATGCACTCTAAAATTATGTGAGTAACTTGAGTAAGGCATTTCAGCAAATAATTATAAGTTTGAGATATATAATACGTATTACGGAAAGCCGATCCTTATCAATGTTTCAAAATTGAAGAAGTAATTGAATAAGTACATAAGGCAACGTGAACAGGCATGAAAGCGTGATATTAGTGCGGGGACGATATTTATTTAGTTTGTTGATGAAACGCTGATGAAAAATCGCAATTGATGATATATTTTCAAACTTAAAGCACAATTAAAGATTTATGAGTGTACACTCAGAAAAACAGTGGCTTTTAAAATCATTTATAGGCTTTCCGGTCTATGTTTTGGCAAACGTAAAAAGTCTACAAAAGAACAACAATACAAGAGCGATGAAATAGGCATCGTCTACAAGGATACCTCTTTCGGGATTAAAGTTAACGTAAATGGACCAAACTTTGGTGGTTGAACGGGCAACGACTTCTGAGTGATGTAATGATGTCCATTCATGTCGTTTACATCCTCACATGAGTTATGAGAAAATTCTACCGTCATTAATCTTGAACCATTTGATAGGTGAATATCGTCTTTTTGTTTGAAGACACACTTTGAAATTTCCATCATTCAAGTCGTATGCGGTTAACACTAGTTTGCGTGATCATAGACGTTTTAAAAACTCTTCCCATAGAAAGAATGTCTCAAGTGTATCTTTCAGATGCAGTGGAATATGAAACGACGGACGCTCAGGTTCTTGTCTCGAGGCCGTGAAAGTCAAGACACACAAATTTATGTAAATATGTAATGATTCACGAATAATCCATGAGTTCGACAAGCGCCCACTTGAAACGCGCTGATGCCATAGGCAATAAAAGAAACTCCGATATCCTTCCCGCAAACAAGTCCAAATTTTTGATATTTCGCAATTATTTACTGCAATTACAGTCACATGTTTCCGCTGGAGGATTTAAAAGTTAAACAAAATGTCGAACAACAAACTCCGAGACGATTACAGCCATTAAAATTAATATCATGGCGGGATCTAGTTGCCCAGATACAATATTCAAATGTTGGCGTCTCAAAAATGCGATAATTAAAATAATTTTTCAATAGACAGAAAACTTCATTGATTTGTATCCAGGCATTCGTATGGAGTCACAACTCGAAAAGAGTTCTGTTACATGACAATGTAATGAGATTCCTCATCCATTTAGATAGCTTTCAACCGAAAGAAAAGATGTAAACAGTCTCAGCTTGAGTCAGTAAACACGGTAGACAAAGAAAAGGAAATACTCCGAATAAAATCTTTCGTCCTTCTAAATTGTTATGGTCAATTTAAAAAGGTCACGCACCCAATTTTAAAACATCACCGTAAAATATTTTGCGGTCAATAATACACCTCAGGTATGTCAATACAACCCGCAGAAGCATATAGAACGCAGGCATATCAAATATTCTTTTGAAATACAATTTCTTTGGTTAATCTTCTTTCTCTATGCAGTAAGAGGGACTCTTAATTTGGTAATGAAATACGAAGCTCCCTGCTGCCAAACGTAAACACAAAGGAAACGGAGGTTTACCATTGCAATAAAAAAGCGCAGTGTTGGGGTTGGAAAGCGGTTTAGTAGTGACAGGTGAACAGCTGTGTTGGGATTTTCATGACAGCACGCTTTATGCTTCATGATTTGTTATATATTCTGAAGCCTGAACCAACGTTTCGTGTGCCGACTAAGAAGATAAAAGATTTAACGGCAAAGCGTAATATGGCACTGAACCAATGAACTAATGACCATTATAAGTGCACACCGAGATGTGACGTGCAAACAAAAGACTCTCAGTTCTGTGCGATATTTTTATACAAGTTTCAAGCACAATTAATAGCTTTTATAAAACGGTCGCAAGTCGTGGAAATTCGTTTCCCATTCATATTATCACGTACAACCGCACGCAAATGATTCCTTCGCGCACATGTCCACTGTCACAGCTTTTAGCAAGAATTAATCGTAAAAAAAAATAAGTATTATTCACAAGGATCCTCTAAGTCACAGAGTTATGTAAATATTTTCCTACAAACTCCTAATGCGCGCATTTAAAGGCAAGCGCAAAGAAAAGGTTCAAAGCTCAGGACTTGTTGTACAAGGAAACGTTGGCCTCATTTCAATAAACTATTTATACACTGCCCACCACCTATGGTTTTAAGATTGCCCTACAAATAAAGCGATGACCTGTCGGCGTATTATTAAATACAGAAAACAATCTACAATTCAACTTATTTTGCTGCTGAGGGAAATTGCTTATGATTTGCCAGTAGCAAAAACAAGGGGTTGTTTGGGTGATTTTGTGGAAAGATATTTTGTCTGGTTTTAAAAAAATCAAGACGCAGACGGTGTGTGTTTATAAAACATGCACTCGCGTGATCAGTCAAGCTTTCACGCCAAAACAAAGAGTATGAATAAATTTACGCTCTCCATTAAAAGAGCTGAAAGAACGAGTCTTGATCTATGTCAATTCTATTGAGATATCTGTAATACATAGTAGTATTTTATAGCACAAGCTTACGCGATAGAGTTGGTTTGGCCACAAAAGCCATGCAACACATCAAAACAACTGTAAAAGTTACATTACATAGTAATTTGAGTTTATCAAGTATAAGAAGACAGCAAAGAGCGTAATTCATATTATAAATCATCGCGATAAAGCAAAATACTCATTCTTTTAAACTCACTCTTGGCCTTCGAGCTGTGGGCCTTCTGCGTCCCCTTAAACTCCACAGCACCGTGGTTATCAAAGAGCCCATACGATATTCCTTATCTTTCCTCCATATTTTTTTCCTGTCATGCAGTCTTAATATGATGTAGACAACAAGCCTAGAAATTTCCACGTCCACTCCCCCCTTTAGAATATACGAAAGCAGCAGAAGTCTGCAGAATGCATTGAAAATGTTCTCGAATGGCCGAAAAAATTTAAATCAAAAGAGTAAACTATGCCACAGCTGTTTCGACGATCACCAGTCTGTTATTTTTACTGAATAATTACTATTCAAATTGCAGTAACGCAATATATATATATATATATGGCGAATTAGTTACAACGCTTTTGTTTATACTGCAGATGCAATGTTTCATGCATTAAATCATGCGTGTTTTTTTACATTAGACAGATAGGTGACAATACTGTCAATTAAAACTCTTCATCTTAGGAGCGCTTGCATTTGGGCATCCAATTGGACGTATTTGCCGCCAATTTTCATATCATTTTTATCACCGCTGTGTGAAAGTTTTGAAAATTGTCTAATATATTGTCTTTTCTAACTTTATCTCTGTGGTTTATGATCATGATCGGCTGTCATTGAAAAAGCTTTCTTGCACAGTTGCACTACAGTTCGGTTTCCAATCATCGGAAACACGAGAGAAGAATTTTAAAATTCTTTTGAGCAAACATCTTCCAGATGTTCGTATGCAACGTGTGTTTGGTCAGATAAAAATCATATTTGTTTAGTGGCTATTTTCAGTAGGCACTTGAAGATGATACTCTGTGTCAAGTACAGAAATTCTCTCTAAATTTACTGCAAACTAAGATAGAAAATAGCGTTGAAACTCACCTCCAATTCTTTCAAATGTTCTTTAATTTTTTCGCTATCCTTTGCTGCAGGTCCCAGAGATTCCACTTTATCACGTATTACACCAAGTTCAGCCTTCAGTTCATCTTTACCATTCACAAACGTCTTTGTCGTTTCCAACTTTCTTTCAAGCTGTCCAATCATGTCATCCAGTTTTCTCAGAGTCTCTCCAGTGCGATCTTTGAGATCAGAGTAACGATCGTTGACACGTGACACATTATCAGGATTGTTGTCAATCACTAAGATTTCGTCTCCCTTCTCATTGATGCTTGGTAACAGGTTGTTCTCTTTCTCACGCAAGGCATCTCGGGTGTTCTGTAAAACAATGGTAGAATCGTCACCATAAAACGTTGGTCAAGAAGACAGGTTGATATGGTTGCATGGGGTTTCATTCCGGCAATATAAACGGTTTCCTTCAGCTCAACAGCTCAGTCTTATTTAGAAATAGTTTTTACGGTCAGCTTTTTAGATTTTTGTTCCTGATTTATGTCTGTATTTCAGTGTTTTCTACTCTTAATAATACAGAGAGAGAATGAAACGTACTGTCAGTTTTTCCATTTGTTCTTCTGCCTTTTGTATGTCAAGACCACATGGCTCAACTTTAGCCAAAACATCATTTGCTTCACCAAGACATTCTTCCAACGAGTTCACTTTCTCCTCATAAGCCGGCACAGCCTCTTTCATTTTCGGAATCTTGTTTTGAACTTCATGTAGAACGCTACTTACGGCATCCCATCGTTCTTGTATATCGTTAAGATCACTTTCGATTGAGCCGACGTCTGATTGACAATGCTGAACCAATGGTTTGCTTGACGAGACGAGCTGTTCAATAATTGGTTGGCATTCTTGGCTCTCCTTCTCGAGATCCTATCAACAACACGAGAATGATTATTGAAAGCCATGTCTTTACGTCTGTCTCAAAACGATCTAGTAATTTGTGTAGTTTACTACGGATCTCACCTTTGCAGTCTCGTCCTGTTTGTTCATAACTTGACGGTCAGATGATACATCTTTAATCATCTCCACTTTCTTTTCCATCGAGTCCAGTAAGATTTTCACCCGTTCAGAAGCCTCAGCGTACTGCACAGAACATACAACAACTTCTTCTAAGATTGTCAAACGTTTTGTCACCTTTCCCATGATGCCCTCCCATCGTTTGCTGACGTCAGTGATCTTCTCATCCAATTCTTGTTTGTCCGGACCAGCGGCTTTCTCCATAAGCTCCTGAGACTTGGCTTGAATTTCCTGGTAGACAGGCTCGTGAGCAACAATGTCTTCGTGGAGATCCTAAACGATACAATACGATTCATTAGGAAATGTTGGGAAAACAATGGACAATCCAGGATATATCCCTCGGCATGCAGTGAGTGGAACCCAGATTGTACTAACACGATACCTTAAGAAACTTTACAAACCTCAATATCTTTCTTTTGTACCCCACATTCCTCTGGATTGCCAGAGATCGGAGCTTCTTTCGCCAATGTTTGTTCCGTCGTCGTCAACCATCGTAGGAATTCATCAAGGTTGTCATGGAAACCTTGACTCTCGGTCAGAGCACTCTCAAGATTCTCGCAGCGTTTCTTCACATTCAGTCTGATTTCATTCACGGGCTCTTTTACTTTCTTTATTCTTTCATTAACTTCCTTTGTCGTGTCAGGATCATTGCTGTCCTCTGCGATACTCTGACCAAGCTTCTCGACCATTTCAATATCTTTATCACGCTTTGCAACATCTTCTTTTACACTCTATAAAACAAATAACATCAGATTTTTCCAACCAAAAGACTGTTCCACATTGACATTGATAATTGCAGATGCCGTTCAACGAATACAAATCCCAACCGATGCATTTAAAAAACAAAATCAACTTTTACCTCAGCTTCACGGAGTTGTTTCTTGATTTCATCAGGTTCAGTTCCAATTCCCTTATCACTCCAGTTCTTTACGACCTCGAATACAGTAATCACCCATTTCTCAATCACTATAATCTCCTCAACAAACTCGTTAACTTTACCCGAATCTATTTTCTGTTTATCTGCCATTTCTTCAAGGTCAGCGGCTAACGCTCCGTATCTCGTCTTGGTATCTTCTAGAGTTTTATTCACTGGACTGCTGTCGCCATTAAAGAGATCAATCTTAGCAATTGTTTTCTCACCAATCACATCCAAGTCTCCCACATCTGTCTCGATGTTGTTCACTTCGGCCAGAAGCTCCTTCAAAAGGAAAACAAACGTTTGATGGTTGGATAAACAGTTTAGGTTTTCTCTTCTGGTATAAGGACTGGAATTTGAAATAGAGAGAACGGCACTAAAGTTAACCACTTATGGTTCTATCTCATACCTGAACTTTCTTAATTTCTGTCTCGTTTTTCTCAACATCGACTCCAACGGGATTTACCGACTTTAGTCCTTCTTCACAATGCTCAATGACTTCAGTGATAGGTTCCAGTCTCCTGTCGAACTCTTTCAGAAGCATATCTACCGCACTCAATCTCGCTGTGATTTCATTGAGTTCAACTTGTAACTTCTCCCAACGTTCAGCCACTTCATCGAATTCTTCCTTAACCTTCTCGTCGTCTTTTTTGGCCAATCCCGTCACGTCTTTACCAGCATCTTCAAGAGTGGTGAACTCTGGTCTATGGGCGAGTATTTCATCGTTAATCTGCTTCGCTGTTTCATTTTGTCTCTTAACAGACGCCTGGTCACCAACAAGTCCCTCGAAGCTTTCCACTTTTCGTTCAGCCGACTTCAGCCAAACAGTAAAGACATCAGTTGTTTCTCTAAACAGCTTGGCCAAGGGAAGAACCTGACAGAAATTAAATTTATATCATAAAATATATATTACATGTATTGCGTCAAGCATAACTTGGTAGAGTAGAGCTATGAATACGACGTCGAACGTGGAAAGCTATTGTTACACGAAATCTTGTCATACACACACCTCGTCAATTGAAGCTTGGTTATCGGTTGTTCTCTTCTTCAAACCTTCCCATCGTCCCTTCAGGTCATCAATTTTCGACGTCAATTCCTCTCGTTCATCTCCAGGCTCCGTAGTTTCCACGAATTGCTCGCTCGTTTTTATCAACTGCTCGAAAACTGGTTCACGCTGCTGAATCTTATCCAACAAGGTCTGCGAAGTGAATTTACAAAAAAATTTTTATATCTGTGCCAAGAAATTATTTAGATTTATATCTTCATACCTCCAGAGATTGTCTTTGCTGTTTCACAATATCGTACACAGCTGAAGGTTGTTTAATCTCAGCTTCGATATCTTCAAGTTCTTTCAATTCTTTCATGAAATTTTGGAAGGAAACTTCAAACTCTTGACTACGCATCTGAGCACTCTGTAGCTTGCCACAGCGGTCACACACACGAGCATATAGTTCTTCGTAAGGTTTCTTGACTGCTTCAAGTTTGGCGCGAGTTTCAAGCCCTTTCATTGGTTCATCTTTGCATGCATTCACTAGCCAATCACATTCATCTGTGGCCCGCTGAAGTACCGGACGTTTATCCTCCATTTCAGACTTGATGTCCTACAAAAAGACGTTAAAAATGTCGTCATGTGGAAATGCAAAGACACACTTCAGCGGACATCAAAGCCTACCTCGATATACTTAAGTTGATCTTGTACAACATCTGGCTTGGATGAAACACCCTTTTGAGCGTCAATCCTCTCTGCAACTTCCGGTATCCACTCCTCCAATTCTTTCACGGCTGTCCTGAACGCCGTCCCGTGTTGTACTTCATCCTGAACTTTGGCGTGTTTTTGTGCAATACGTTCACTCAGCTCGGCAAATCGTTGCGGAAGTACTCGAGATTTCTCGTGAACATCGGCACGATCCGTCGACTTCTCGTGCATGTCGCTCAGCAGATCGTCTGCGTCAGTATTGACTTGCTCCACAGCTGGAAGAGCGTTGTTCAGTTCCTCGACCATGGCCTGAAAATTAAAGTTTAATAAATAATGGAATCTTTCCATAATTCTAACCTCACAGCCTTCAAATGACGTAAATACTCAAATACCTTCACTATTTCCAATTCGCCTTCGGCCTGCTCGACATCAGCGCCAAACGGTGATTGATTGCTAACAGCTTGTTCAACTTTACTAAACAGTTCTTCGACCGGAGCGAGAGTTGCGTGATATTTTTGGGACTTCGCAATCAGCCGATTTAAACGTTTTTCTTTGTCTTCAATATCGACCGTAAGATCATCGTAGCGTTTCGCTAAAAGCTCGGCTTCCTTCTCTACAACTGGTTGATCTATTTCGGCTGCGGTATTGAGATCTTTCCCTAGGTTAACTAGTGCATCACGATCAGATTTGTGCGAGGTTATGTCTTCTTTGAGTGTCTAAAGTAAAGATTGTAAACTGGTTTAGTTTGAATACACAAAGACGACATTTTTAGAAGCTCTCTAAGCTAAACATGCGGTCAACAAACCTTTAGTTTTTCAAGTTCTTCATCAGCCTTATCTTTCTTCACGGTTCCTGGTTCAATATCACCGACTTCCCGCTCTATGTTTTGTAACCACGGGGTAAAATCATCGACCTTCGTTTTATACTCCTCAGCAAGTGGATAGACTTTATCAATCTTTTCCTTCAAGTCTTCAGCTTTCTTCTTTATATCCTTCCAATCATTATTTAGATCATCAAGTCGTTTCACTAATTCTTCTTTATCCTCACCCTCGTCTAAACTTCCGATCACATTTTGGCCAGATTTACTAAGCTTATCGAACAGTATCCCCTGTTGAACTATATCATCCATCAAGTTCTCTGTTTGTACTTTCTGATCTTTTACTGTATTGTACACAGCAGAAATTGGTTTTTCTAAAATGAAAGCGGTTTGAAGAGATCAATCACTTTGTTTTTTGAAACCATTGCGACGGAACATACAAAATCTGTTTGCACAACATACCTTGAGTGGCGACATCTGATATTTCCTTCACGCTCTTATCAAATTCATCCAAAATCACGTCAAACTCCTCCGTTTGCATCAAGGCGTTTTGTAATTTCACTTCACGTTCATTCACGCGAGCATGTAGGATCTCGAAAGGCGTGGAAACACTCGCGAGTTTTTCATGGACTTCACGTACGACATGAGGGGCTTGGTTTGAGTTTTCAATCAGCCATTGACCAGCATCCTCTGCGTTCTTTATCGTGAATTTCTTAGCTTTAATTTCATCTTGAAGTTTCTGTGAAAAAACAAGGAGCAATTTCTTAAAACAGTTCAAATATTCACTCGTCATGACACTAGATAACGTAGTTTGAATGCTCACTTCAATTTCACTCAGTTGTTTCCTAATCTTCTCCGGATTTCTTGCAACAGGTTCTTTCAGGGCGCGAGTATCTTCAGCATTCTCTGTCCAGTCTTCCAGTTCAGTGACAGCGTCAGAAAAGATCTTGGATTGGACAATTTCTTCATCACATTTTTCAACGAGTTCATTCAACTTTCGTTTTAGTTCTTTGAATGTTTTCTCCGTTTCCGCGACTTCTTTCTCAACATCTCGTCCATCAGGGCTGTCTTTTCCGAGAATCTCAACCAAAGTCTTGCCTGAATTGTCAACCTTTACAATTGAATTTGAAAATTAATATTTCGCCAAAGCATTAGCCGTGTTTGGTAAGAGGATGTACAAACAGAGAGGATGGTGAGACTGCTTTATACTATGAGAAAGAGGTTACAGAGTTAAACGAGCAATTGTTGAGGCTCTCACGAGCACACGTCTCATTTAGCAAAATAACAGACCTTTTTGACATCTCCTTCACTCAATTCCAACAACGCTAGTTTCTCCTTCGCCTTCTCACGCTGTTTCTCCGGAAGATCTTGATCAAGACCAGACGCCTTACAATCCTCAAGAAATTTGTCCACTTCCTCAAACGCCTTCCTACACGACTTCTGCGCATGTTCATACACCTCAGTTGTATCCTTCAATCTCCCAAGTTGTTCCTCCTTCGTATTTAAAGTGTCCATCAATGTATTCCATCGTCTCTGAATGTCCTGTAGTTCCCCTTCAACAACGTATTCATCAGCTTGCGCAAGACCCAGTGTAGCTGTCGCATCTTTTGTCACTTCATCAAATTCCGGAATATGTTCTTGAAGTTCTCTCAAAGTCTTCGTCACCAATTCCTGTTGCTTGGCAACCGTTTGTGGATCACGTGTGATCTCTTCAACAGGGACGACTCTATCTTCAGTTGTCTTAAGCCAAGGTAAGAACTTAACAGTTGAAGAATGATAAGTCTTTGCAACAGGGCGAATCTCCCCAAGTTTTGCTTCCTGTGTTTGAGTTTTCTCCACAGCAGTTTCCCAGCGCTTGTTTGTATCGGATAATTTCTGTTCAAGATTCTCGCGATCCGGGCCTGGTTCAGCTGCTTCTAAAATATCTTTGCCGTTTACCATAAGTTTATCAAACATTGGTTTGTATTGGTCCAAACTGTCTTTCACTTCCTGAAATATCAAAAATATCACATAGAAACACTGTTAACTTCATCATCATCCTCACATATAAAGCTCGTCCATCATTGTCACACGAAGATTACTCATCACTCATTATAACCCCAAACATACCTTGTTATCTTTCGTCTGTTCTTTTACAGTATCATATACAGCCGAGACTGGTCGTTGCTTAGCAACAGCCTCTTCGATGGCGACCAACTTCTCCATGAATGTGTCAAAAGCAGTGTTGAATTCCTGGCTCTCGAACAGGACCTTGTCAAGGCGGGCTTGACGTGCTTGGATCTTTGATAACAGTTTATCCAAGTTGGTGCGAACATTGCTGATCTTCGTGTGTACATCTGGAGTGACCTTCGGGTCATCGTGACTGTGTTCAATCAACCATTTCCCTGAGTCTTCAAGCGAGTCTAGTTCAGCTTCCTTCTTTTCCAATTCATCCTTCAAAGCCTAATAGAGTTAATATTGCTTTAGTTTTAAACTGCTCGTTCAAAAGTAACACAAAAGTTAACGAAATAGCGAAGGAACGATGAGATTTTCAAAACAGTGAAATGATTGAATGTATGAATGGATCATAATATGCCAGAGATAAAATAGTTTATCGCTCCAAATCTACGCAGCATTTAGTGAAGTTTAACAGTAATCTCATGAACATTTGCGTAAGCTACAGCCTGGAAACTTAAACGTCAAAATACGTAATAAATCTTGCTTGATAAACAAAACATCTCGTAAATCCGAGGTGCCTAATCGCTTCAATTAACACAGATTAGCGATCCATAAATGAACAGTGGGTTCTGTTGTGGAGTAGGTCGCTTCACTGGACTCGAATCTTCTTCAGTTTCAGCAGCGTTTACCTTTCTTTCAAGCGCTTTTTGTAAACGGCAATGCAATTCCTTTAACACAACATGCCGGCGTTTTCTGGTGTCCTTGTCTGAACGATTTGAGCAGGTAGAGGAAGACATTTCGTAAACATCATTTTCACAACGAACGAACAAGTCAACAGATTTTACAATACAAGTCAAAACACACGAATTTACAAGCATTCATAGTAGTTCAACAGTTCCACAACATAATAAATTTATTAAGGAAGGTGTGTCAATCACATCATATCAACAATTAGACCGAATTTTGAATCACATGTTGAACACTCACGATCAATTGGATACGCTGACAGGAACGAAAGCGTTCAATAAGCATAAAGCTTTCGTAATGACGAGCTGCCTTCTCATGGTTGTTTGCATGTATTTTTAACAGAAAAAATCAGTTACACTGATTGGATGTGACGATTAATCTGAGACAAGCTATAGTCAGAAGCCGTGAGGAAATATAGAAATTGTTTTAAATGTTGACTATGATATATTGGCCAATAACTTGGCTTTGAGATATTGGCCAATAATAACAATCTTTCCAGAGTAAATTAATCTTTCCATTTGCTGAATTAGTTTTCCCAGGTACTCGTATATAATTTCTGGACTTATTTACAAAGAAATTGACCAGTCTTATGACGGTGGTGTGGGGAATGGGCCTTTGAGTTGTGTTGCAACAGGTACCCGTAAAAGCCGTAATAGCTGAACATAAATGAACAGTTGGGGGAGCTAGACCAAACCTACGATTGCATTTTTAATACATACCCAAAAATACCGACTTAAGTGGATGTTATTTCCTCAAATATCTTGCAAACTAACCTCAGTTTCGTGTAATTGTTCTTCGATAACATCGGGCTGCGTGCTAATAGGTTTCAGCTCCGAAGCTTGCTGTTTAACAATCGGAAGCCACTCGGTAAGATCTTCGTAACATTTCGTAAACTTCACAGCAACATCATCATACTTCTGGAGTCGAGTGATAAGATCTCCAAGATCTGCCTGAGATTTGGTGAAACTGTCAGTGGCGTCTGTTGTGTTGGTTGCGAGGCGTTCAGCTTCAGGTCTAGTGTTCAGTTCTTGTTGAAGTTCCTTGTTTGTTTTTGTCAGTTCTTCAACCACTGGTTCGTGTTTCTTTGCCTCGGCTAACGTTTCCTATGCAATGATATAATAAAAGAAATTCAGGTGTCATTCCTTAACTTCAAAGAATCTAAAGTATGTTTTCTCACATTAGGTTGTAGCTATACCTAACTTGATTTCATAATCCTTATTCTAACTTAATCTCATCACGGTAACCTGATCTTAATCCTAATCAATCCACTAAATTCAGGTGAGATTCAATTCTCCTCGAATTCTTCCTTTGTTTCAAATTCAACCATACCTTAGCCTTTTCCAGCGACTCCTTCAGCTTATCATCATCGAGCTGGTACAAATTTTTTGCATTCACAATTCCCTCCATCTTATCATTCACACTCGTGACATCCTCCAAAGCTTTGTGATGTTTCATCAAAATTTCCTTCACTCTCTCCGTGTCAGCCTTCTTTGTTTCCACTTTGCTCTTCAACTCATTCCATCGTCGCTCAACATCCTTCAAATCTGTCTCCACGATAACAACATCCTCACACACGTCAACCACATTTCCTGCCATGGCAACGCATTCGTCATGCATTCCTTCGTGGGCTTGCACGTCTTCTGCGAGCTCTGTAAATCGTACCTGTATTCTCTCGATATTATCAACATCCAAAGGCACCTCGTCTAAGCTCTCCAGTTTTCGTTCACCCTCACTCAACCAGTTCGTAAAATCATCTTGCGCTGTGCTGTAACTTTTAGTCAGCGGTAAAGCGTTTTCCAAACTGTCAACACGTGTATTCGCCTTATCGAGGACATTCTGCCATTTTGATGCTAAATCGTCAAGTTCCTCTCTCAATGGTACGCCGTCCGTCTCGTCTGGAGACGATTCCAAAAGCGCTTGACCAATTTCCGTGATTTTTTCATAAACAGGTTCTTGTTGTTTCAAAGATTGCACAACACGATCCGCATCTTCCCTTTGTTCCTTGGTTTTTTCATACGAACCTGAGATGGGTTGTACAGTCGTTATACCGACCTCCAACGTGGACAACTTATCTTGCAACTGTTGCATCAAGTCTTCATAATCTTTACCCTTTATTGAAGCAGCTTGCAGTTTCTTCAGACGATCTTCCAGCTTACGGGTAACTCTATCAAGTGGTATTCTCACCTCAGAGATCTTATCTTGAACTAACTTCACCACTTCAGGATTATTATTGTTGATATTCTGAACATCCTCTGCAAATTCTTCAACTGCCTCGACTTTTTCTTTATATCGTTCTGCATCTTCTAAAAGAGCTTCAGTTTCTTGTATTTGAACGGCAATTACACTCGGCTTTGCACTGACAAGAGACAACGCGTCAACCTCATTCAACAAAGATGGTAGTCCTTCCTCCACCGTTTCATAAATCATCCAGAATTTCACAATTGTAAGCACATCGCTTTGTTTCGACATAAAGTACTCCACTAGCTCGTCCTTGTCGATGTAATATCGTTCCATTGCGTCTTTCACTCGCTTTTCAAGCATCTGTGCTGACGGCGAGTTCTTATCAATACGTGTTAATATGGCCACGCTGAATGATCGTACATTCTCCAGGTCTTCTTCACTCTCAGCAACACGCTCCAGCAATCTTTCAATCCATTCAAGGAAAGTTAATACTTCATGTCTGTCGATACCAACACAGTGTTGATGTTTAAGAGTTGCTTCCGCCTCACTTAAAACAACGTCCAGAGATTTCAAGCAGTTGTTAAATTGTTCAACAAGATCTTTTACTTCAGAAAGATTTTCTTGTTTTTCTTTTGATGCAACTTTCAAGGCCTCCAAACGCTTTCTTTGCCCGACCATTTTCGTTTCAATCATGTCCTCGTCAGCTCCACAGATATCAGTGAGGTTTTTACATTTCTCTTCAAGTTTTTCAAATGCTGGTTTCTTTGAGCGAACTTCATCAACAATTTCTTTAAATGCTTTCAGTTTTTGCTCAATATTTTCGTTATCCAGTGAGTCGACGGTGAACTTTTCCACGCGACTTTCAGTCGTTGTTAACCATTCAGTGAATATCTCCGAACTCTTGTCGAATTCTTTGGAAACTGGAAGAACATTCTCAACTAAAGCTCTTCGTTCATGCATCTTGGTATTAAGATTATCCCAACGTTTTTCAAGATCAGATAAGTTCTTTGCCATTTCTTTCTTGTCAGTTCCTTCATGAAGATTATTCAATACTTTTTGACCGATCATTTGAACTTTTTCAACGATAACTTCTTGTTGCTTTATAACTCTTTCAAGTCGTTCAACCTCATCCAGCTGGTCACAGCATGTTGGGTACAACCCAGAGACGGGCAACAGGCCCGCTAACTCATCCTCCACACCCGCAATTTTCAGGCTAAATTCTTCAAAGTAGTCTGCGAACTGTTGAGCTTGAAGAGCAGCGGTCTCCAATTGATTCTTTCGCTGGCTTACTTTAGCACCTAATCTGTCGACGGGTTCTCGTGCCTTCGCAATACGTTCGTGTACTTCCTGGATAACTCCGGAATCACTCGGAAGGTTTTCGACAAGCCATTTCCCAGAGTCTTCTAAGTCTTGTACATCATCTCGACATTGTTCAACCTCGTTGGCGATAGACTCATTTTCATTTATCTGTTCCTTGATGATATCTGGTTTGGTGCTTACTGGAGCTTGTTTTTCAAACCTCGCTGTTTGTATTGGCACAGCTGATTCGAGTTTTCTAAAAACAGAAAGAATCAAATGGCGGTCATTGTATAACCATACGCCTGCAAACCACATAAGCTGACTAGGAATGAAAACAGATTTCTTATTCTTCTCATATAAGGAAGATTGTCTGGTTCTCATATTTATAATTTTCAATAACGTTTGCTTTGCTTCGCTTCAAAACTCACCTGACAAGTTCATTGAAAGTTTCAAGATGATCAACTTCATCCTGCAGTGTTTCCTTCAAAGCCTTCAATTTTTCTGGAACATCTTCAAACTTCATGGAAACATCATTCACAGTCTCTTTCATCGCGACATTTTCTGGATCAGTCTCCTCAGTACCTTTCGTTAAATCTTCGTACAACTTCGGAATCTTTTCGGCCACTGGTCGTCGTTCTTCGATCTTTGAAAGCAACTCATCGATCTTATTTATGTCTTGTTTGACGGCTTCGTCACTTAATCCATAAGGTTTTCTCTCAGCAAGCAAGACCTCGCATGGTTTAAACACTTCGTCGATGATATGGACTCCTTCTTCGAAATCTTCTAGTGCTTTTTGCTGTTTTCCAAGCTGAGCCGTCGCGCTTTCAATCTTTTTCCGCAACGCAGTCCACCGTTTCTCCGTGTTTCCAAGTTCTGCTTCTACAACTTTCTTATCCTCCTGCGCTGCATTGAAAAGTGCAACACCGCATTGTTGAATTGCCTCGTAATCGCGGGCACGTGTGCTGACGTCATCCTGAATCGTTCCCAGTTCTTTCAGAGACTCCTGGATGTTTTCTTGTTTCAAAGCAGTCCCTTCGATCAAGTCTAGTTTTGTTTCAGACGCTGAGAGCCAGTCAGTAAATGGTGACATAGCTTCGTCGTACTTCTTAGCCAAAGGCAGGGCTTTTTCAACCTCTTTTTGATAATCGAGACACTTTGTCGTAGCTTCTTCCCATCTAAAAAAACACAAATCGTGAACTTAACACCAGTGATAGTTGAGCGTTTCTAAACACCAACCCAGAAAAGTACAATTTACCTTGTTTTCAAATCTGACAATTTCTCGACAAGTTCTTCCTTCTCATCTCCAGGTTCCAAATTCTCGACCAGCTGCTCGCCTTCTTCGACAACTTTCTTATAAACAGGTTCATATTTCTTAAGATCTTCCTTCAAACTCTCAACATCAATCTCTTGGCTCTTAACGGTGTCATAAATCGCTGAAACAGGTCGTAGCGTGGCAAGTTTGCTTCCAAGATCACCGAGTTTCGATTCTAAATCCTCGCGATTTTCATCAAACTCTTGACCATGCATAAGGATGTCTTGTAGCTCGATGTATTTCTGATCAATCTTTTGTTGTTGCTCGTCAAGTTGTTTCCCAAGTTTAGCTTTCTGCATTTCAACGTTTGCTATGACGCTTGGTTCATTTTGAGCGTGATCTATCAGCCATTGTCCCAGTGTTTCCAATTGTTGTAAGTCTTTCTTACGATCCGTTGTTTCATCACGAAGTCTCACCAGTTGTTGTAAACGTTTCTCCACAGTCACAGGGTTCGTTGTCTTACTCACCTCAGTGAAGACAGGTTCCTGAGCCGTAGCTGTTACCCAGCCTTCCAGTTGCTCGGCTACATTACCAAATGCTTCATTCTTCTCAATGGCGGCATCCAGTAGTTCTTGTTTCTCCTCCAACTTTCTTTTAGCATCAGAAACACTTCTTGGAAGGTTTGACATATCCTCACGGAAACTGGCCTCCTCCGGAAACTCTCCCAGTTGTAACAAAGTGTTTCCTTTCTTGGTAACCTCACTGATATTGGGTTCAACTCGTTCAACAACATTGAGCATCACCTAAGAAGATATTGTTATTCAGAGTTTGAGATAAAGAACTGGTAAATACACTGAGCAACCCATCGGTTTCTATGAAAGGCTCGTCATTTGTTAATCTTGTTTTACTACAGCAGGAAATCATGAACATGTACACTGATGGATAGTTCTTTGTGTCGTTTACCAGGTGTGCAATAAAACTTATTAAACTCACCTTTACTTCACGTAGTTCCTCTACCAGTTCCTCCACAGGAGAAGCCAGAAGTATTTTGCCTTCAGCCAACTCAACAGCTTCATCACGAATTAGCTCCACAACCTCCAGACTATTTTCATATTCTTTCAAAGCTGCTTGTACTGTGTCTAAATTTCTTACTCTTTCCCCCAGGTTCTTCTGTAAACTATCATATCTCTCGGACAAATCTTTCACCTGTGCTTCCACTATAAATTCATCAGCAGACGCTGTCTTAACTAAACTTTCAACCACATTTCCAACGTTTTTCAATTCGGGCTCGTGTGCAGTGACGTCATCACGAAGTGCTTTAACTTCTTCCGACTTTCGGGTGACGTCATCCTTGTTCAATGTGACTGGTTCCAGTTCTCCAACTCGACGCTCGGTTTCATCAAGCCAGGGTGTTAAAGGTTCAGTGATGTTTTCAAACTTTCTTGCCAGCGGTAACACACGTAGAATTTGTTCTTCACGTTCAGGCACCTTCTCACGTAGACAGTACCAACGTATTTTGACGTCATCAAGTTTATGCTCCAGTACCAACGATCTTCACTCGGCTCCGACGTGTCCAAGAGAGACTGGACAAGATCGACCAGTTTTTCAAACACTGGCTCAACTTGCGACAGGTTGTCATCAATGGTGTCCGTACTTCGTTTTTGTTCGTCCAATGCTGATCTCACAGCTGAAACAGGACTCTGACTGTCAAATTCTTCTTCCAGTTTCCTTAGTTGTTCATTGAATTCATCAAAAACAACCTCAACATCCTTGGATTTCAATTCAGCGATTTGCAGACGGTCAAAGCGATCATCCACGCGTTTTGCAACACGATCAAAGTTCGCGCGTGTTTTCGTCATCCTTCCCACAATGCTGTTTCTCTGCTCGACATCATTTGTGTTGTCCGCCAACCACTGACCAGCTTCAAGCGCTGTTTCAAGAACTTGTTTCTTCTCAATAGCCTCGTCTTGTAGCGTGTTTGCCTCCTTGAGCTGTTCAGCAAGTTTTTCTGGGTTTGTGCTGACTGGTTCCAGTTTATCAAGTATGACCAGTGTGTTCTTGATCCAGATCTCAACTTCAGTGATATTTACTTCGTATATTTCTAGTCGTTTAAGTTGTGACTCCAGGAAGATTTTTCTCATCACGGCTTTCTCACGGGCGTCTGTGAAACGTTTTTCCAAAGTGGCAATACCTTCCTTAAAGACAGCGATCTTTGGAGATTCTTCCCCAACCTCCTTCACTATTTCACTGCCAATCTTTGTTACATTAGTTTTCTCAGGACGAAGTGCATCCAGTTCTTCAATAGATTTCTCAACAGCCTCGAGTTCTGACCTTGCGCTCTCCGCATCAGAAACTGGTGAATCATGCGTTGGAATGCTCTTTTCAGCATTCACCACAGTCTCCTCGATTGGTTCCTTCATTTTGTTGTATTGGTTCACTTGTTCATCCACATTGTTTACTTTAGTTTGCCAAACAGACACTCGGTCAAGGATTGCACTATAGCGTGCCTTTAGGTTTTCAACTTCAGCTGCGACAACTGTAAGATCTGCCAGCGGATTTCCAACTAACGTATTACAACTATCAGTCATTTCTTCGTTTAATGTCGCAAGATCATCGACCTCCTTTCGTAACTGTTCGGCATCTTTCGTTTGCTTTTCCAGGCCGTCTGTATCGACCGACATGTCAGGCAATGACTCCAACTTTTTCTCGAGATCAGCTAGCTTAGGTTCAAGGCTTTGTACCTTTGCTTGACATCGCTTTGCTTCGGGTAGGACTCGGGCAAGTTCGTGATCTCTCGTCTCCGCATTTGCAACGACAGTTTGCCATCTGTTTTCAATTTCACTAACTTCTTTTACGAGAGACTCTTGTTCTGGAGTTTGTTCCGTGTCTTCAATGATCTCTCTCGCATCTTCCACGATCTTCAGATACAGAGGTTCGTGTTTCTTTATATCTTCCAATCTTGGCTTGTGTTCCTGCTGTTGTTTCTTCGCAGTGTCATATACGGCTGACACAGTTTTCTCTTTGGCCTGTTCTTCTTCAACTGCTGTCAACCAAGACACGAGCTCCTCGGATATGGTTTCAAATTCTCGACTCAAAACTAACACAGTTTGCAATTCATTTTGTCTTTTCTTAACTTCCTCTTGTACCTCATCAAGAGGCTTCTTCACTCGTTTTACTGTTTCTTCCATCTCATTTTTCACCTCAGGTTCGACTTCAGTATTGTCAAACAACCAGTCCTGTTCTTCTTGAACACTCTCGAGAGCTTCAACGACTTCACAAACTTCTTTCGAGATATTCTCTGATTCTTGTAGCTGCTTTCTCACAGTATTTGGTCGAGTACTGATAGGTTCTAACGCCTCCACTTTCTCCTTCAACTTTGGCAACTTCTTATCAACCTCTGTGCTCTTCGACTTGAACTCATCCCAGTGAACTGCTACCTCATCTAGCGTCTGTTTTCCATCGTTTAGTCGTTTCAAAAGACTCTCATGATCTTCGTTGGTGTCTGTCATTTGCGATTTCACTTCAGGAGCGTTGGTTTTTTCCACCAAAGATTCGCCTAGTTCATTCATTTTGTCGACAGTAGATTCTCGTTCTTCCATTTTATTCAATGCTTTCTTCAGTGTGTTAATATTGTTACCAATCTCTCCTGGCTTCGGAATTCTTGGAACCACTTTGATATCCTTAACCTCAATCTCATCGCCCACAGGCACATCAAACACGGGGATATCTTTCACGGAATCAATTATTTCATCCACACCGCTACGAAGAGTGGCGACGCATTCTTGGAAGTCTGCCATCTCGTGTTCAACTTGGTCAGCTGTATGCAGTTTCTCAGAAATATCCTGTTGCAGATTTATCCATCGCTGATTGGTGGATTCTATTTCTTTTTCTAAGACTTGGATGTCTTCATTCATATCGAGTTCTCTGCCGACCTTCAGAAGTTCTTCAGAAACTTGGTTGAGTTTTTCATAATCAGGTTTGTGATGTTCTACGGCGTCATGAAGTTCTTCAAGCAACTCTTGTTGTTTCTCGACCGCTTCTTCATCGTGGATTAACTTATGAGTCGTTTCCAATTTCTTTTCTCCCTCACTAAGCCACGTGACAAACTCTTTATTCACGTTGTTGTAATCCTCCACTAGTCCCAGGACTTTCTCGATCTGTGTTTCGCGTGTTGATGATTGCGTGGTGACATCATCCCAACGTTTCTGTAGATCATCCAATCTCTTTCGAAGGACTTTTTTCTCTTTTCCCGGAGCTCTCGTTTCCAGGAGCTCTTCGCCTTTCTTCATCACATGATCAAATGCTGACGTATGATGTGTGATGTCGTCAGCGATAGGTCGATGTTTGGCTTTCTGATCAACAAGCACGTCATATTTCACAGATATTGCTCCTTGCATTTCCAAAATTTCACTTGTGCTCACAAGCCAATCCTTCATGTCATCAAACGCTTCTCGGAATTCTTGTCTTTCCAGTAAAGCCTGTTTTAACTCTTTCTGTCGATCATTCACTTTCTTCGTTAAATCTTTAAATTCTTGATCTAGTTTTCCTAACTTTCCGTTTACTTCATCCTTGACAGCTTTTTCATCTTCACAAGTTGAGATAATTTTCTCACCCAGTTTTTGCGCCTTTTCCAACAAAGATAACTGTTCGTAAACCTCATCTCTCAAGGTCTCAGTCTTATGAATTTGTTCGCGAACTCCATCAGGCTCAATGCTGATTGGTTGATCAAGCTCTGCGGTGTCGACGTCAGCAAGCCACGTCTCAAGAGTCTTAAGGTGATCATGGAATGTTTTGAAGACATTCATATCTCTCTCCATATCCGATTGTTTCTTGTGAACCTTCGCCAGCAAGCGTCGTTGTCTTTGTTTTACACCTGACAGTCGGCTTTGAACAGTTTCAGAGCTGGATGAATCTTTATCTACGGCTTGTAAAATCTCTTTACTGGAACGACGAAGTTCTTTAACGTGAGGCTTTGATTCTTCCAACTGAGTTTTGGCTTCCTAAATTTTGATGTGAACACGTTAAAAACTGTCATTTTTGACTCGCATATCAAAACCTGTCTAAAACAAAGCATTTGGGAATGATTTTTGACTAATCTCACCTTTATTTTCTCGAGATGAAGTTCAACTTCTTGCGCTTCAAAAGAGACCGGAGGTGCGCATTCAACCAGTTGTTCTACTTGGGAAAATACTTGTTCCAAAGGCTCCATGATCTCCTCTGATGTGCTCATTTCTTTTTGGATCACAATCATCTTTCGTTCACGACTCTGGAGCTCTTTCAACAACTTGCTATAGCGGTCAGTCGCGTTAGAGCTTCGTTCTTTGATCTTTCCAACTTCCTTTGGTTCATCATTTCTCGCCTGTGTCAGCCAATCCGCGGTCGCTTGAATGTTGTCGTTCAGCGGTTTCTTAGCTTCAACTTCGTGTAAGATTTCCTAAATAACATTTTTGGTTATGGTTTGCCCTCTAAGTGAGATCCTAAGAACGGACTCTAAGACAAATATCCATCATCTGCTAAAGCCAAGTAGAATCTTACCTGGACTGTTTTAATCTGATCTTTGATTACATCAAGATCTGTGCTCATAGGCTGCATGCTCTCAAGACTCTGCTCAACCTTGGGTAACCATTCCTCCATTTCTGGGACAGCAGTATTAAACTCAGCTGTCTTTTCCATAACTTCCGTCATCCACTGAATCTTGTCTTCCACATCTTCATCCAGGGCTTCTGTTTCATCCAAGAGTCGTGACACACGCTCAACTGGGCTTGAATAATCGATTATTTCGCTCGAGTTGTTCGCAGCTTGAAGACGAGATTTCAAAGGTGCTGCCTGTGAATTCACTGTAACGAGGTCGCTCTTTGCATTCTGAAATGAAATGAAATGCAAGCATGTTCAATAAATAGTTGATAATCTTCACATAAAGAATTAAAACTTGGATTAGCAGTCTCCATGAAACATTACAAGAGCTCTGACACAGTTATCCTGTGAAAACAAAGTTTAGTGTTCAACCTAGTTTTATTACCTGTAGTTTAGTCAAGTACTTCTGCAATGCTTCTGGTTGGGACCCAAGCTCCCTCGGTTTCTTAGTTCGTTTTTCACAGCTCCTGAGAGTATCTTCATAGGGTGATACAATACTTTGGAATTTCTTCACGAGTTTCTGCGCCTCCTGTATTTGTTGTTTTCTCTCGTCACTGACTTCCTTGATCTTTGCCCACCTCTTCTCCGTGAAATCAAGTTTTTCCTGTACGACAGCCACGTCACGTGTGACCTCATCTAACTTGCACGTATCAATCAATGACATAGCAGTATCAATGTACTCTTGGTACATGGGTGTGACGCGCTCAATCGTCTCTTCAGCACTCTGGAAAATATAGAGAGGGTATATTTGAAAGATAATAAAAAGGGTATAGAGTGAATTACATTAGAGAGAGAGAGGTACATTAGATAAGAGAGAAAACAAGGAACTCCAAAAAGTAGACCCCTAACCTTCAGTATATTCTGTTGTTTTGTAAGTCCCTTATGTTCCACGGGTATGGTCGTGATCTTCCTTAATCTAGCCTCGATATCATTCAAGTGTGGCTCTAACTCTTCCCAGGCTTCCTCGCAGGTGATCGCGGCCGGAACAACATCTTCAATAGTCTGTTGATGATCCAAAGCTTTGATATAAAGTTTAGACCAACGTTCTTTGAGCTCATCAAGTCTGTTGCGTGTCTCAGGAGACTGGCCGGGTTGTTCTTGGACTTGTTGAGTGATGTGTTTCAGAATTGTGTCGTAGTTTAGAACTTCGTGATACAACGGCTACATAAAATTATGGTTGCATTAGAAATATGGACAATGTCGTCAAACGGAGTGTTGTTTGGAAACAGTTAAACATTGGACCCTTTTTTCACAAGAAATATTTCAGTAGAACGGTAAAGACCCGAGTAAAATATCTGTTAAAAAGTGTTAAAACATGTTCTACCTCGTGCTGTTCTTGAGCAAGAATTGCGACATCATATTTTGCTGATACAGGTTCAACCTCGCTAAACGCTTTCTCAAATTCTTCTATTTTCTCTTGCACTCCGTCTAAATTCACCTCAGGTTTCAACACCACTGTCACGATATCATACAGCTTCACCTCACGTGATGTAACCTTGGTAACGAGCTTCGTCACAGGCTCTTCTGCTTTTCTGTATCGTCCTTTTAGCAGAGCGACTGTTGCAGGATCATCACGATTACATTCAATCAACCAAACTAGAGTCTGTTCCATCACAACCAGTTTAATTTCAACTGGATGCAGCTTGTTTCTGATAACCTGGATAGGGATAAAAATGCTTAGCGTTTTTCTTGGCGTTCGATGGGCATTTGGTTGTAAAAATTTACCTTTATTTCCACCAACTGCTGGCGAGCTTTTTCTTGCTCTTCACTGACTGGTTCCAAGGCCTCAAATTCGCTCGCAATCTCAGTGGTTGCCGTGGCAATTTCTTGCGATGTCGTATCAAATATGTCCATCTTAGATGATCGTTTTGTGAGCAATGTTTTCCTCTTTTGCAAGTCAATCAGAGCTGCGGTGTATTTTGTGTTTACAGTTACAACAGGTAATGGCATTTCAGCTTCGTGCTCCCCGATAGCCTCAACTTCATACTGTCCAGCTTCGACGTTATGAATTGCTTCCTGTGGGAAGAAATGAAACACATGTCACAACAGGCAGAAATACGTGATATAAAGCAATTCTTAAGTTCAACAAACCTCAATCTTTACAATCTCCTCCTTCGCCAGTTCTGGCTCAGTGACACTTGGTACTTCGCTTTCCAAAACAACACTGACCGCCGACATGGTTTCCTTGACTGGATGAAGAACGACATTGTACTGTTCAACTTTCTTCTCAACTTCACTCAGCTGTTGTTTGCGTTCCTCGAGTGTTGCTCTCAACTTATCATAACGATCAACAATGTCATTCACTTCGCTCGCGACTTCACCAGCCTGATCAGACTTGATGTAATTCTTGTCTGAGATTTTTACAACGCCATCACGTTTGTCACAAAGATGTTGCAATACTGGGCGATGGGCATTCACCTCATCTTCAAGACGCTGTTGGAAAAATAAAAATAAAACGATGGCTTAAACTGAGTATTTTTGTATAGGAGGGGAGTTTTCTTAGATGAATCTGAACTCTCTTCCAAGAGTTTTCTCTTGGAAGATATGAAGAGAATGATCTTCATACAGAGTGTAAATCGAGATGGTTTATTTTGATCTCTGCTCCATCTGTGCCTTGCACTTACTTTAAGTTCAGCTCTTTGCTTTCTCAACTGCGCATGATCACAACTGACGGTCCCAAAGGCCAGCATATCTCTCTCAGCAATTATCAACCATGGTACAAATGACGTCACGCTATCATGATAGTCACGCACAAGTGGAAACACTTCGTTCAATTTCTCTGTACGGTCAGCAGTCTTTTTCTGTATGATTCTCCAGTACTTGGTGATGTTAATAACTCTTTGCCTCGCAAGGTCCCTCTTCACCCCAGGCTCTTCGCCGTCAATGTAATCAAAGCTGGCGTTTTTCAAACACTCGTATAAAGCTTCAGCATTTTTAACGTCATGATTAACGTCCTGTAGGAAACGAAAACATTTCTCAAACTCAAAAACAATTTACATGTAGCAAACGCAAAGAAAATACCCACCTGTATTTTGCGTTGTTGCAAAATAATCTCACAATATTTCAGAGAGACAGGTTCTTGATTTCTCATTATTTTATCAACTGAGACACACCATGCCATAAATTGATCCATTGATATCTCGTAGCTCTGTTTCTTGTACAAAGCAAGCTGCAATCGCGCATTCTTTTCCGCCAACTTTTCTTTCAGATTGTCCATTTCTTGTTCGATATTATTCAATCGCCTGTCCACGGCTGCGTTTCTGTGTTGATTTTGCCCATAATTATCTTTCAACCATAAACCATTTTCTGTGGCCTCGTTCAACTTAACGTTCTTGTCCACTAGCTCTTCCTTCATTTCCTTCATAACACAAAACAAAATTACATTGGTTTTACCAAGACATAAGCTGACAAAGCCATGACCCTCATTAGACGTAGAGCCCTAAAAAATTACCAGCAGTAAAGAAGACATTTCTTTTACAACCGCCTACAATTCGTATCTCACCTGTATCGTCTTTAATTTAGTTTCATTGCTCTGCTCTGCACTATCAATATCTACGTCATCTAGCTTAGCCATAGCAACGGGCAACCACTTCCTCAAATCTTGTATTGAGTTCACAAACTTCTTGGTATGATCGTAAACGTCTGCAAGTAACGCCTGGTGATCCTGCAGTCTTGAATAAAGCTGGAAATATCTTCGTACAAGAGATGAGGTTCTTTCCTGAACTGGTTGGATGTCGACTAATTCTTCGTCTGTGATTTCAATGAGTTGACGCTCAATGTTGAAGAGTTCCCGCAAACCTGGTTCCAGATTTTCCAATTCGGTTGCCTTCGTCTGAAAAGAAAATTACGCACACGATGTTGAAGTCTGCTGGTGTAAATCTCGCAAAATAAACACCTCCTCCCACTTGAAGGCCTACAAATCACAGATGTTTGCTGCAGGAAGCAAGCGAGGTTATCATTGGAAACTAGGATCTTAACTGAATATTTAACAACGGCATAACCAGCAACATCGTACCTTTATCTTTTGCCAATCGGTCAGAGCGATTCTTTCATCAATTACCGCTGTTGACTCAGAGTCCAGTATTTTTTCAGCCGAATTAACAACGTCCTGAACACTCTGGAACTTGTCTTCATATCGTTTTAGCTCTCCTTGAACATTCTCCACGTTATACGTGTCGTTCGGGACCTTCACGCGAGTCTCCCGCCACGAGATATTGTGTTGATTAAACTCTGTCTTGATTTTACCCAGATCTCGTGAAACGCCATTTTCCTCGCATATTCGAACAAGATTTTGGTAGGCTTCCGCATAATCTTCAAAAAGCTCTGTCCCAGTTTCAACATCGGTACAAAGCGCCTAAAAAGAGATTAGCTTGTCGATTAAAATCCCAAAGCAGTGTCTATCTTTACTTAGTAACTTCTAAGCTTCATCCTAAACGAGGTTTTCGAACCTGTTATGAGGTGGTAGTTCAACTCCAAACATCAAACTCGAATCGTAAAATAAATTCAGCTAGAAAAAACTCTCACCTGCAGAGTATTGTGTTGTTGACGAAGTTCTTGTTCTTCAACGGGAACTGGCTGTATTGCGTGTAATTTTTGTTCCACTGTATTCTTATGTGAAACAAACTTTTCTTTGCCCAGTTTTAGTTTTTCTGCAGCAGGCAAGAGATCAGCGATGATGTTCTCTCTGTTATTCAGTTTTTCTGATACAGATGTCCAGTAACGTTTCAGTTGTGATAGTTTCTTCGGGATGTTTGCATCGGGTGCTACTTCAGCTGTTTTTTCCTCTGTCTTGTTTTCGATGAACTCGTGGACTGGTTCCAACTGTCGTAATTCGTTTTTGATAACCTGTAATTTATCGTTTTGTTTCGAGACAACTGAATGTGAAGCAGAGAGCTTCTTTGCTTTCGACAACTTCCTATCAACATCAGCTAGCCAATTAGCAAAGTCATCCAACACAACATTGAATGGTTTATCGTCCAAGACACTCAGCAGATACTGTTGTTTCAGATTTGCTAGCTCACTGTCAATTTCATCAATGTCCTTTTTAACTGACTCTAGGTCTTCGCTAACATCGGATACCGTCGTAGGGTTATCGGGACTGTGTTCAATAATCCAGTGCCCAGCCTGTTCCGCGGTCTTGAAAGTATCATGCAGTTTTCCCATTTCATTCAGGAGATCCTAAATAAAAACACACCAAAAATATTATAGGTTTTCTATGGAGAATATACGCTATAGTTCATGTATAACAACTTACTTCAATTTCTTGTAACGTTTTACTAACTTCTTCAGGTTTTTCTGGGAGTGGACTCTCTTTAATCAACGAACTTTTTTCCTTAATTTCACCCAACCATTGCTTGATTTGTTTAATTAATTCCTCAAATGTTTCCACAGCTTTGATATGGCGCGTTAGTAATGATTCTTGTTTAACCAGCTTATTTCTCGTCCTGCGTTGAACGGACAAGGTGTCCAGAGTTTTTTCACGTATTGGGGCATGTCTTGCTGACTTTACTAGCTTCTCCTCAGCGCTGTCTACTGTACTAATCAAATCCTGAGAAAAGAAAAAAACTTACTCATAATGAAGCGTATAATCAATGCTGCTCTTGACCAATCACGTTATTCTATTAAGTCACATGATGCCTCATTTAAGTTACATGATATTAATTCTTACTCTAACGGTATCGAGTTGCCTCTGTGCTTTGTCTTTGTCCAAACCAACAGCCATCTGACTGACAAATACTTCGTCAGCCTTCGTCACAGTCTCTTGGAATGGTACAAGGGCATCTTGATAGTCTCGTAAACCTAAAAACAATCAAAGAAAAGCGATCAGAGCCTTGCGCTTTGAAAAATAGTTTGAAGTTGAAGACAGCTTGTGATATAATACCTTGTTTGTAGCTCGTCAATTTCTTCGATTTTTCCTTTAACTCTTCATTCAGGTTTTCCCATCTGACGCTCGTGAGTTGGACATCCTTTCTGAGTTCAGGAATTTCTGTTGTGAGTTTCAATTCTTTGCAGGCTTCCATGAGAGACTCTGCCACCTTGTTGTACAGCTTATGAACAGGTTTGTGCTTTCGCACGTCTTCGTGGAGGTCCTGAAGGAAAAAGATTTTGAAAAACATTAAAAACATTAAAAACAAGACTTAAGACATGGCCACTTAGAGCCTTTACTATCCACCTTTTCCGGAGGTTTTATGACCGGAAAAGAAGTTCCTATCCCGTTTGGAGTGAAAGAACACGGGGTAATAAGCTAAAGACTAAAGACATGGCCACTTAGAGCCTTTACCATCAACAAGAAGAGTAGTGAAGGACCGACAGAGCTATCTAGATACAGTTTTACAAACTCTTACCTTAATTTGTTCCAGGTATTTCGGTAAACTGATCTGATCCACCTCATCTGTGGGGACCTCCTTAATAGCAGATTCAGTATCAGTTAACCAGCGAAAAAACTCGTGTTTTGTGTTTTCGTATTCAGCGCTCAGTGGCTCGATTCTGTTCAGTTGCCTCATCCGGTTTTCTGCGTTCCTCGATAAAATATCCCAGCGGCGTACAGCATCGTTAACGTTATCTTCAAGCGCATCACGTTTGGGACTTGGCTCTGTGGTGCACACGACATCCAAGACCATCTCAACTACGTCATCGTACAATGGTTTGTTGTTTGCGATATCCTTCAGGAATATCTGGAAAAAAATTAAACCACTGATGAAACCATGATGTCTGATCCTCTGATAGGATGCATGCCCAGAGGTAGAAAAAAGCATAGAATAAACAATCCTGATGGAATTTCAACATTCTACATCAATCTTTACCTTTTGTTCGTTAACTAAAGAATTCAGTTCATCATCTTTAGCCGTCAGTGGTCTCTGTCTTGCAACAAACTTCTCTTTCTCATCCAACCAAAGACACAAGTCTTCCAAAAGATCTTCGTAATCATCAGCTTCCTGAATGACACTTAGTTTACTGGACGGTTGCCCACTGCTTTGCCGTACAAGATCATTATACATTTCAGAAATGTCATTCAGTTTCGTTTTCAGATCAAGGACGTAGCGTTGATTGTCTCTGTTTACATTCAGAAGCCACAGTCCAGTGGACTGGAGCGACTCCATTTGAGGTTCGATCTCTGAAAGAGCATTTCTCGCAGCCTGGGAAAGAATTAAACCAACACATTATTTATACTTGGCGCTATCGTTTGCAGACGTCGTTAAAATGTTTAGAGATTTCCGGGTATATTAAAGTTCAGGGCCAAAACACCTAACCTAAAAAGGATAACAAGATATATTTCACTGACCTTTAGTTGTTCATTGTAATGTTTGATTATTCTTGGATCATTGGACCGTTTCCGTGTATTTCGTACAATCTTTGCGATCTTAATCAGGTGTCTTTCCAGGGCTTGTAATGTATCATAAAACTTCACGATATACTCAACTTCCTCGCGTGTTGCGATCAACATCTCGCGTGTTCCACGCAACAAGGTTTCGTAACGTTTCATCAAGAATGTCGAGGTTTCTATAATCTGTTGCGTCGCGTCAGAATAATTGATTAGCGTGTAGATCAATTCTTGGCTTGTGCTGTTCATAGCTGCAACGTCCTCTCGTTTGCTTTCGAGTAGTTTAATCAATTCCTCCATTTGATGGATTTCTAGGCGACCTTTTTCGACATTTGAGCCCAATGGACGATGCTCAACATACGATTTCAAGACCTATATGATAAAAAAATTGATACAGTTGCCTTTCAACACCAAATGCAGATCAAAAGATGATCTTTACTGAGACTTTTGTAAGAAAGAAGAGTTTAGTACTGACAGAGCAACTCGGTATAAATGAAGATAGACTCCTTTCTGTAGACTTCAAGGAAGAACAAAGCAGAATTCCTAGATGATATTTACCTGATTAGTGACATCACGAACAGGTTTAACTGCGCAGTGGTACTTCTTGGCCAGCGGGATGATCACACTTAACTCTCGAAGATTTGAACGAACCTTCATCTTTAATTCTCGCCAAAGTGTCACCACTTCACTGTATTTCTTTTCCAGGCCACTGCGGTACGCTCCTGGTCGTTCTTTGTTGATCACCTCACGACTCCATTTGATTGCGTCATTGTACAACGGTTCGTGATTGGACAATTCGTTTCGCAAATTCTTAAAGAGAACAAGCGCGGTCAAACCATTAAACTAAAATAGTTGGAAGACTGCTGTCTGCAGTCAAACATTTTAAAAGCTCTTCCACGTGAACTACACACTCTGATGACAAACACGGTGTTTAATAACTAATGTTTCTATCATTTGGAGGTTTCGTCTTCTGAAACTACATATACAAACCTCGTAAAAGTCACGTAGATTCAACAAGACATCCATGTTCTCCGACATCGGTTTTAACGATTTCATTGCCTTGTCGTTTGCACGTAGCCAGTGAAGCAGATCATCCAGTGTTTGTTCCGATGTTTGGCAGCTTGTAAGAACTTCATGTAGTTTGTCTTTTCTGTCACTGACCTTGCAGTCCAGTTCTTTAACGGTGTCTATCTTAGTGGTGACATTTGGTTCTATCGCCGAGGCAACGTCCTCAGCACTAGAAAAAAAAATGGAATCAAGGTCCCATTTACCCAAAAAACACTGAAACATTTACATAAAAAGTATCCGCGCTCCTGACAAGCAACCACTTGATAGGAAGTTTCGTTGTTTATGTTTGGTCTACGTCTGTCTACGTACCTTGCTCCATCCTTCCTTGCATTTCCAACAATCCATTGACCAGAGCTTTCAACCGTATGTAAAGATGGTCGTACAATATCATTCGTGACATCCTGAACTGCTTGTAACTCCGAGAGTTCATCTTTTATCGCATGAATTTCTTTCTCAATGGGAGCTCTGGCATCCTTCAGTGTAGCAGGATCACACAGTTTATCCTCGAGTTCCTTGTTGTTCCTCGTGTACCTCTCAGCCTCAGCCAAGTGCGCTTGCTTGTTCTCTTCAGTAGCATCAATTTTATGTAGAAGGTCGCTGACCTTAATTTTCACTGTCGTTAACTGCTCTGTGATCGAAGCCATATCGGCGGTGGACTGGGGATGATGAGGAGAGTAGTTATGTTCTTCAATGAGGTTCCAACCGCTATCTTCAAACGATGTTTCACCGTCTTGAACATCTTTCTTCAATGCCTTCGAAAAAAAAGAAAAGAAGTACTTCTCAATGAAAACGTGTGTTAAGCTTAATTCTCACATCTTTTTTATCAACTTACCATTAACATTTCAAGTTGTTGCTGCACTTTCTGAGGTTCTGCTCCGATCACCTCGAAACCACCCAAAGCCTTTTCTGTCTTCGCCATTACTTGAGCAAGAGACTGCAAAGCTTGCTGGTACTTTATAGCAAGCGGTTCAACATTTGTGATTTTGTTTCTACGATCCTGTAGCAGCGTAATCAATTGATACCAAACATTTTTTATGTCAGTCAACTCCTCTTCAATTTCCTTTGCTTCAGAACCGTCCAATTCTTTGACAGTTTTTTCACCAATGTCGAAAATCGTGTTGAAGATAGACTCATATCGTTCAACCTCAGTTTCAAGACTCTGTACAAAAGATAAAATAAACAAGTTTAGCAATCAAATATATTATAGAAGATTTTAATTTTAAAGCCATGATACCTTTAATGCTGTGTCTTGTTCATTCAAAATTTCTATTTCCCCAGACACAGGTTTTAAATTATCCCATTTCTTTCCAGTTTCCATCAACCATTTTAACACTTCTTCATAAAGAATACTCAGTTCACCGCTGTCGAAAATTTTCTGAGCTAGCAGAGAATTTCCGTGAATAACACGAAGGTATATCTCCCGAATGATGACAACAGAGTATGTCTCGACTACTGAAGTGATGATCACGCGACGAACGACGCGGTCTTGTTGTTCAGCGGATGGTGCAAGTAACATAACCTCTGGTCGTTCTTCAGTTGTCTCAGCTAACTCAGCAACTGCTTGATCCATCACGCTCTCTAATGGGACGTCTCTTTCAACTGATGCTTTAGAAAAGTCCACAACTCTATAGTCCTATAAAAAAATTCGGTACAGTGATAAGTATGTGACTATCATGATGTGTGGTATCCCTACCCTAAGACAGGAAATCCCAAATTAGAAATATTACTAAAGGTGTCTCCGTACCTCTTCAGGTAAACGTTCCTCGAACTGGACAGTTGTCACAGACGGTGCTTCTTCATCGGGTTCAATCTTTACAGGAATATTGATGGCATTTTCATCCAGCACTTTATTTAACTCTCTAAGTTCATCAATCACAGGTTTCTCCTCAGTTGGTTCTTGTTCCTCACCAACTATTAGGTCAACAGGAATTTCCTCCAATGACACAGAATACTCTTCTGGTGCCTTGCGTTCGATTGGTCTTCCATCTACTAAAATGGCCTCTGGTTCGAATAGTTTACCATCAATAACGTATACAACATCCTGTTTGGGTTCTTTTGTAACAGTTTTTACACCATTCCTGATGACAGTTCTGGTAACCATTGTTCTGATAATGATCACTCTCACAACTCTGCCTTGGTCATCTGTAAACTCTTCAACTGGTGTTCCCTGATCTAATGGAACGCTTTCATCAAATGGTAGACTCTCAACAGGAGCTGTTTCTGTTGGTGTGATGAACTCTGATATTGTTGGTAAAATACCCTCTGGTTTCTTTGCTTCTACTGGTTTACCATCAACTGTAATGGTCTCTGGTTGAACTGGCTTACCATCAATGATATATACCACTTCTTCTTTTGGCTCTCTGGTGACTGTCTTTTCACCATTCCTGATGACAGTTCTGGTAATTATTGTTCTGACAATGATCACTCTCACAACTCTGCCCTGGTCATCTGTAAACTCTTCAACTGGTGTTCCCTGATCTAATGGAACGCTTTCATCAAATGGTAGACTTTCAACAGGAGCTGTTTCTGTTGGTGTGATAAACTCTGATGTTGTTGGCAAAATATCTTCTGGTTTCTTTGCTTCTACTGGTTTACCATCAACTGTAATGGTCTCTGGTTGAACTGGCTTACCATCGATGATATATACCACTTCTTCTTTTGGCTCTCTGGTCACTGTCTTTTCACCATTCCTGATGACAGTTCTGGTAATTATTGTTCTGACAATGATCACCCTCACAACTCTGCCCTGATCATCTGTAAACTCTTCAACTGGTGTTCCTTGGTCTAATGGTATGCTTTCATCAAATGGTAGACTTTCAACAGGAGCTGTTTCTGTTGGTGTGATGAACTCTGATACTGTTGGCAAAATATCTTCTGGTTTCTTTGCTTCTACTGGTTTACCATCAATTGTTATGGTCTCTGGTTGAACTGGCTTACCATCGATGATATATACCACTTCTTCTTTTGGCTCTCTGGTCACTGTCTTTTCACCATTCCTGATGACAGTTCTGGTAATTATTGTTCTGACAATGATCACCCTCACAACTCTGCCCTGGTCATCTGTGAACTCTTCAACTGGTGTTCCTTGGTCTAATGGTATGCTTTCATCAAATGGTAGACTTCAACAGGAGCTGTTTCTGTTGGTGTGATGAACTCTGATACTGTTGGCAAAATATCTTCTGGTTTCTTTGCTTCTACTGGTTTACCATCAATTGTTATGGTCTCTGGTTTTACTGGTTTACCATCAATCATATACACCACTTCTTCTTTTGGCTCTCTGGTCACTGTCTTTTCGCCATTCCTGATGACAGTTCTGGTAATTATTGTTCTGACAATGATCACTCTCACAACTCTGCCCTGGTCATCTGTGAACTCTTCAACTGGTGTTCCTTGGTCTAATGGTATGCTTTCATCAAATGGTAGACTTTCAACAGGAGCTGTTTCTGTTGGTGTGATAAACTCTGATATTGTTGGCAAAATATCTTCTGGTTTCTTTGCTTCTACTGGTTTACCATCAATTGTTATGGTCTCTGGTTTTACTGGTTTACCATCAATCATATACACCACTTCTTCTTTTGGCTCTCTGGTCACTGTCTTTTCGCCATTCCTGATGACAGTTCTGGTAATTATTGTTCTGACAATGATCACTCTCACAACTCTGCCCTGGTCATCTGTGAACTCTTCAACTGGTGTTCCTTGGTCTAATGGTATGCTTTCATCAAATGGTAGACTTTCAACAGGAGCTGTTTCTGTTGGTGTGATAAACTCTGATATTGTTGGCAAAATATCTTCTGGTTTCTTTGCTTCTACTGGTTTACCATCAATTGTTATGGTCTCTGGTTTTACTGGTTTACCATCAATCATATACACACTTCTTCTTTTGGCTCTCTGGTCACTGTCTTTTCGCCATTCCTGATGACAGTTCTGGTAATTATTGTTCTGACAATGATCACTCTCACAACTCTGCCCTGGTCATCTGTGAACTCTTCAACTGGTGTTCCTTGGTCTAATGGTATGCTTTCATCAAATGGTAGACTTTCAACAGGAGCTGTTTCTGTTGGTGTGATAAACTCTGATATTGTTGGCAAAATATCTTCTGGTTTCTTTGCTTCTACTGGTTTACCATCAATTGTTATGGTCTCTGGTTTTACTGGTTTACCATCAATCATATACACCACTTCTTCTTTTGGCTCTCTGGTCACTGTCTTTCGCCATTCCTGATGACAGTTCTGGTAATTATTGTTCTGACAATGATCACTCTCACAACTCTGCCCTGGTCATCTGTGAACTCTTCAACTGGTGTTCCTTGGTCTAATGGTATGCTTTCATCAAATGGTAGACTTTCAACAGGAGCTGTTTCTGTTGGTGTGATAAACTCTGATATTGTTGGCAAAATATCTTCTGGTTTCTTTGCTTCTACTGGTTTACCATCAACTGTAATGGTCTCTGGTTGAACTGGCTTACCATCGATGATATATACCACTTCTTCTTTTGGCTCTCTGGTCACTGTCTTTTCACCATTCCTGATGACAGTTCTGGTAACTATTGTTCTAACAATAATCACCCTGACAATTCTGCCCTGATCATCTGTAAACTCTTCAACTGGTGTTCCTTGGTCTAATGGTATACTTTCATCAAATGGTAGACTTTCAACAGGAGCTGTTTCTGTTGGTGTGATGAACTCTGATATTGTTGGCAAAATATCTTCTGGTTTCTTTGCTTCTACTGGTTTACCATCAACTGTAATGGTCTCTGGTTGAACTGGCTTACCATCAATGATATATACCACTTCTTCTTTTGGCTCTCTGGTCACTGTCTTTTCACCATTCCTGATGACCGTTCTGGTAATTATTGTTCTGACAATGATCACTCTCACAACTCTGCCCTGGTCATCTGTGAACTCTTCAAATGGTGTTCCCTGATCTAATGGAACGCTTTCATCAAATGGTAGACTTTCAACAGGAGCTGTTTCTGTTGGTGTGATGAACTCTGATATTGTTGGCAAAATATCTTCTGGTTTCTTTGCTTCTACTGGTTTACCATCAACAGTGATGGTCTCTGGTTGAACTGGCTTACCATCAATGACGTATACCACTTCTTCCTTAGGCTCTCTGGTCACTGTCTTTTCACCATTCCTGATGACAGTTCTGGTAATAATTGTTCTGACAATAATCACCCTCACAACTCGGCCTTGGTCATCTGTAAATTCTTCAACTGGGGAACCTTGATCAAATGGTACACTTTCAATCGGGATTTCTTCCATTTGTGGCTGGACTTCTGCAATGGAAGGCAACAGTTCTTCCAGTTTCTTCGGCTCTATAGGCTTGCCGTGGAGCATTATTGTTTGGGGTTCAACTGCGTTACCATCAATGAGATAAACCACTTCCTCTTTTGGTTCTTTTGTGACAGTTTCTTCACCATTTCTGATAACTCTTCTGGTGATAATGGTCCGAATGATTACGATTCTTACAACTCTTCCTAAATCATCAGTGAACTCTTCAACTGGCACGCCTCGTTCTAATGGGAGTTGTTCAATTGGCGTTACCTCTGACGGAGTTATGGCTTCAACTACCGTTGGTAGAAGATCTTCTGGTTTCTTTCGTTCAAGAGGCTTGCCTTGAAGAATGATGGTCTCTGGTTGAACTGGCTTACCATCGATGATGTATACGACTTCTTCTTTTGGCTCTTTGGTCACTGTCTTTTCACCATTCCTGATGACAGTTCTGGTAATTATTGTTCTGACTATAATCACCCTCACAATTCTGCCCTGGTCATCTGTAAACTCTTCAACTGGTGTTCCCTGATCTAATGGTATGCTTTCATCAAATGGTAGACTTTCAACAGGAGCTGTTTCTGTCGGTGTGATGAACTCTGATATTGTTGGCAAAATATCTTCTGGTTTCTTTGCTTCTACTGGTTTACCATCAACAGTGATGGTCTCTGGTTCAACTGGCTTACCATCAATGACATATACCACTTCTTCTTTTGGCTCTCTGGTCACTGTCCTTTCACCATTCCTGATGACAGTTCTGGTAACTATTGTTCTGATAATGATCACCCTCACAACTCTGCCCTGGTCATCTGTAAACTCTTCAACTGGTGTTCCCTGATCTAATGGTATGCTTTCATCAAATGGTAGACTTTCAACAGGAGCTGTTTCTGTTGGTGTGATGAACTCTGATATTGTTGGCAAAATATCTTCTGGTTTCTTTGCTTCTACTGGTTTACCATTAACTGTAATGGTCTCTGGTTGAACTGGCGTACCATCAATGATGTATACCACTTCTTCCTTAGGCTCTCTGGTCACTGTCTTTTCACCATTCCTGATGACAGTTCTGGTAATTATTGTTCTGACAATAATCACTCTCACAATTCTGCCCTGGTCATCTGTAAACTCTTCAACAGGTGTTCCTTGGTCAAATGGCACAGTTTCAACCGGGATTTCTTCCAAAGGTGTAATAAATTCTGTCAAATTTGGCGAAAAATCGTCAGGTCTCTTTGGTTCAATTGGCTGACCATTCACGATGATTGACTCAGGTTTGACAGGTTTACCATTGATAAGATATACCACAATTTCCTGAGGTTCTCTGGTCTCTGTTTTTTTACCATCTTTAGTTACAGTTCTGGTGACAACAATTCGGACGATGATAACTTTAACAACTCTACCATGATCATCAACAAACTCTTCAACTGGAATCCCTTGATCGATCGGTAGGCTTTCCAACGGAATTCCTAAAACAGAGGGATCCGTTTGACACTTGAAACAACATAAGGGAGGTTAAAAAATAGGCAGATGGGATGAAATAGTACGATAATCATAATTCAATAAATGTATTATTAGATCAAGACCTTTACCTGCCAGAACCGGTTCCAGTTCCTCAGCAGACACCTCAGGACTCTCTTCCTCAGGCTCCTGCTCGACTACTTGCTGTCCTTTGATTGTTATGGTTTTTGTAACATACGTCTTTCGCACAATACGCTTCACACGTCTTCCTTTTTCGTCAACATATTCTTGTATTTCACCCGGTTCATCCTGAAAATGAGAGAACAGCATTCGATATCATTTTATGTTGATTCATGTAGTTCACGTATTAAACATTTAGGCATTCTGCTTCACTTTGCCTTATTTCGCCGTGTTCATTTACTTACACTTGAATCTGGTTCCCTTGCAACAAAAACAGGAGCGTCTTTTTCGATTGGTTCAGACACCTTGGTCTTGACGCCATCTTTAGTAACGTGTTTCGTTACCAATGTCTTTCGGGTTACCATGGTGACTTGCTGTCCCTCAATGCCTTTAATATTCTCAACATGAACAGGTGCCCTCTCTGGGCTTGTTTCAAACTCCAGATGATCTTCTGGGACCACTGTGGTCTCCTGAGGTTCCCCGAGGTTCCCATTTACCACAGTTCTTGTTCCAACTTTCTTTGTTGTTATTCGTCGAACTGAACGACCATCTTGGTCAACGAACTCGTCAATCTGAAACACGAGAAAGATTCAGTGTGATATTTTCCTACTGAAACAACAAACAATCAACAATAAGTCCTACCTTATTTGGTTCATCCATGTTGGGATATTCATTTGACTTCCTCGGACCAGCCTCCGCATGTCCCACGCGGCTTTTCTTCACCGTTGTAATCTTAAACGTCAGCGGATTCTCTTTATCGTGCATGCGTACACTGACAGTGTTTTCTTTTGGCTCAGCCACCTCCAAGACGTTGGGTTTAAACATAAATTGTTCGTCAAACTCAGGCAAGGTGTAGGAACGATCAACAGTCGATGGTTTGATTATCTCTTCACTTTTCCTGGGTTGTAATCCAAATACTGGTTTAGCAGGTTTCGCTTCAACAGGTTGGACAGGCTCATCAGGTTCGTGAGATTCATAGCGACGAGGTCTGTCTGAGATTTCAACTGGTTCCCAGTCTGGTAGATCGACTCGTCTTTGTACACGAATGACACCTATACGTTCATCAACTGCTGGCCCACTTGGCTGTTCATCTTCAACGACAGGTTCCTCATAGATTTCCTCACGGGGCTCTTCCACTCGTTCAGGTTTACCATTGATGATCATCGTACGAACTTCCACTGTCCTCCTTATAACTCGCCTCATTTTCCTGCCCTGTGAATTGACATACTCTTCAACCGTTTCTTGTGGAAGCTCGGGTTCTGTTTCCACTTGAGGTTCAGTGTGTATTGGGATGTCAAATTCAATTGGTATGAACTCCTGGTTGATTGGAGGCTGAAAGAAATCACAGAGTAAAATAAGATAGAAGCTGCGGGCAGAGAGGTTTGTTTATCGCATTATTCACTTCAGAGGTGAGGTCCTGTGAAAGTGTAAGAACTGCTTCTTAGGGTATATACCACAGAGTACACTACAGAACCAAAGTTATGTCTTTTAAAGTATGTAACTTCTTTGGGACGTTTTTTCACGTTGTCTAACCTTTTCCTCAGCTGGAGCGTGGCCATTGGTGTGAACGACTGTACGTTTGATAACTCGGGTTATTTTCGTGCTGTCTATAGTCTCTTGTGTGGTTCGTGATGGTTCTTTTTCCTCCGGCATGCTGAGTGGACCAATTGTCTTTTTAACAATTCTCTTGATCTTTCTTCCTTGATCATCGCTGAACTCTTCCGGACCAACTGGTTTCGAATCATCACGCGGTTTCACATGCAGTTTGAATGGCTGGGATTCCAAACTGCTTTCACGAGATGATTCAACTTCACCAGGTACCTAAGACACAAGTTAAAATGATAAACTGTGTTTAATAAATTGCTGCCGAGATCTTTAGCAAATAGGTAGAAAAACAAGCACCAGCATTACAAATATACTCCACCTGCACACGCCTCACAATCCGTTTAGTAACACGCCTCACTTTACGTCCTTGCTCATCAATAAATTCCTCCACTTGTTCTTCAGGCTCGTCGCCATTTTCTGTAGAGTAGCCTTGTGTAGTGGTTGTTTTAAACACTGTCTTTTTGACGACACGTTTCACTTTTCTTCCCTGATCGTCTGTATATTCTTCTACATGTTCGCTTGTGTCCGTTGGTGTTGTATCAAAGCTCTCTTCAGGTAGTTCAGAGAAGGCTTCAACCGCCACGGCTTTCTTCAACAATTCTGCTTCCTAAACCAACAACATTTAGAAATTTACATAACCAGAATACACCGACAAATAAAACAAAACCAAGTTCCTTACTTCAGGTAAAGCTTTTCCTTCATTTACGTGGTTTTTGGTCAATAGGAGCTTCTCCTGAAACTCGTCAAAAGCTTTGCTCAATTTTTCTATCATTGTCAGAACAGATTGTGGATTTTGGTTACTGCTGTTCATGTAGTTGATGAGATTTTCGCCATTTCTTTTGAGATCTTTCATCATCAGCTTCATTCTCTCGTTCTCGATATCAATTTGCTATGAAAACCGAAATCATTTTTCAATTGTGAATTTGTAATTTTCAAGTACGTCCCACAATAGACTCGAGGGAACTGAACAAGGTATTTGTACAAAGCATAAAGATGAAGAACCTCAATTTTTCTTCTGTTTCCAAGCACAGTTCCTTCACCCTGCAACATTGCAGACATAGTATCCCATGATTCTTTAATCCACGAACTGAACATTCGAACTTCATTTCTGAACTGAGACATTGGTCTTTCAGCAGCACCAAGCAATCTGTCTCTGCGAGCACGAACTCGTTCCAACACAGACTCTTGTCTTTCCCGCAGTAGAGATATCTGTTTCTTTACATCTTTGCAACCCGGGGCATTCTCTCGACCACGAATTAATTCTTCACCAGAACTGCACGCGTCTTTCACTGGGGTAAAGTTTTCTACTTTGGCAAGCAGATTCTAAAATCATATTAGGAAGTTTTTACAACGAGGAACTTCAGGCTTCATCGCCCTAAATATAGACAATTGCGGAAAAGTGAAACCAAAAAGGTATGCACCCACATGCACACTGACCTCTGCAGCAACAAGTTGCTTCTGAATGGATGGAAGATCATTAGCAATGGCTGGCTGGTTTGCTAATGTTTTCTCACACTCATCCAAAAATGTTGATGCTTCATTTAATGTTGTGAAGTATTTATCTGCGTTGTCCAGTGTAGTTTCCAGGTCTACTCCTCTTCTTTCAATATCACGCCATATATTATCATAACGATCATTTAATGTCTTGAGATCACGAGTGATTGGAAGGTCTGGCTGTTTCATAAGCTCTTCCCCAGGCTTCGCCGTGATGGTGATAATTACTTTCCCCATTCCCATCAGCATGTCGATGTTGGCTTTGTATTTTATTGCCTCGTCTTGTAATTCCTTAGAAAAAGGTATTTCCAAATTAGTAAGCAACGATGAAACAGTGTCTATATTCCCTGGCCTTTCTCTATCAGATCTAAACCAATCGATCTGTAGATCTACTCTTGTACAGTACAGCCCTTCTTGCTAACGATTTAGTATCATTACAACAGGAAACCTCACTAAATAAAACCATCAAGAGTTAATAATGGCTTCGTATCGGTTATAAAACATTGCAACCGTAGTTGTTTTGTAAAAAATTACATACTTGTTGTTCAGACATTTGTTTCTTGATAGACTTTGGATCAATTCCAAATGGTGGTAAATTTATCAATCTTGCTTCAAACAATTCAAACCATGCAACAACATCCTTTCTTGCTGTATGATATTTTATCATCTGTTCCCGAATCTCGTTGTATTTATAACTGGCATTCATGAGCTGCACTGACAAATCCTGCCAGTCTTTATTCAAGCTGTCTAAACTGCTCACAACAGGAGAATCTTTACGGCGAGGATCCTTGTCTAAGGTTAATAATTCATGAGCACTCTGGTTCACTGCTTGAACTAGTGGTACACGAGAGTCGACCTCCTTTTGAAATTTCTGCAATGAAAGGAAACTAGCGTTAGAACTCGTACCACTGTCGGTTGCATTGCTTGCGTTGTAGTGTTGTTGTTGTCTTCTAGTAAATGTCAGTTGTTTGTGTTCTGGATTGTTATTCGTTTTAAGGTAGTTGTTGTTGTGTATCTGTCAGGGAATTTACCACAAATTATGCAGACATACATACCGACAAATTTTCTTCAAAGACCAAAAGATCACTTGTCAACAGTTCACCCTTTTTAAGTCTATTTAGTCGAGTCACAATCCATTCATCAAACTTCTTCGCTGTTCTCACGAAAACCGTCGTGATTTCAGTGTACAAAGTTGTCGATAGCGTCATCACCTCTCGCCACGTGTTGTTCACATGATCCAATTTGATGTCTTTTGCTTTCACCTTCTTTTTGCGATGAAGTTCGTTGATTGCTTCAACACTCGGACGATGTCGGTCGATGTCGTGTTGAATTATCTGTTGAAAATAATGTTTTCGATTATTCTTCTGGACTGGATTGGACTGAACAAACTCACTTCACTCAGAGCGGAACTCATTTCCTTTGAAAGCGTTTTAGAAGAACAACAATACCTTAAATTGAAGTATTTTATGCTGATGCATTTCAATGTCTTCTTGCAAAGGTCTGAGTCCCTCCAATTTTTTCTTAACTTCAATCAACCATCTCAATAAATTCTTTGCATCTTCTTTTACCGTCTTCGTCGTCACAACGGAGGTCTGGAGCTCAGTGTCGTATGACGTCATTGTCGCCACTAACTCGTCATAGCGTTCGGGGACGGTTTTTCTGGGCGCCGCAGCGGTGGCCTGGGTACTGGATGTTGGAACATTGAGGCCGGCGACTTTAATCGCAACCACTTCAGGATAACGAGCATGAGCCTCGCTTTCTAAGGACTGGAAACAAATGAGAATCGTGAATGAGTTATAAATTAGAATGTAAAGTTTCGGAGACAGGAGTGAAACCTTACAGCAGGTGTCCCCTGACTTATTGCCAATCAAGAGGGAAGCTAGATGATACTTTCAAGAGACTCCCGCTGACAAGATAAATCGTCTGACATTACAATATCAATATAGACGCAATTCAAGTCATTCAACCAATCCGTTTCCGGCACAATTCCGTTTCAGTATTCCGCGATTTCGTCCACTCGTGACCACACTACATCTACACTAAATCTCATCTCTGAATCAACAGGTTGTTTTTTGAAGCGTAATCTAAGCTCATGCAGTTAATTTGTGTTCGCGCCTCTTGCCCCATTGTTTCAAAAACAGAATATTGTCAACACTTAGGGTATTAATTCGCTTCACATGTGCGAGATAAAAAAAAGCAAATTATGGTAATACGATATTAAGAATTCACGGAGAATATTGAATTCTAGAAAGTATGACATAGCATCAAACGGATTGTATTTCACAGCAAGAATTCCTAGATTGTTTTTTTATTTCTTATTGACAGGAAATTCGCAGGCCAGTATCAGAGACAGGTCCTGTTTTGACTGCTTATGACGGGAAAGGAATGTTCCAGCAGGATACTTGATATTATGTAACCTACGTCGTAGACCTCTGAACCCGTAAAAAAAGCAACGTATGGCTTATGAGGTTACAACAACTGAAGCAGATACGATGAAACCATGGCAACCATCCACTCAGAACATTCATTGTGAGGGAGAAAGGAAAAAAGTTATCGAAAAAACAGTTTGCTGAATACCGCTCGCGCAAGACCAGTCAGAAACCTGTGCGTAGTTTTTTAAGCAGAGCTTCTTGCCAGAAATCTATGCGTAGGAAATGCTAATTAGGTGCGGTATTTTCTGTCGTAATATGATACCATAAACCATACCTTTAATTCCTTTAGTTTCGAATCACTATCCTCGCCATCTTTTCCACTAGGATTCTGCATTATAAGCGCAAGTTTGTGTTCACAAGATGATAGCCACGGGAGAAGTTGATTTATCTTGATGTGATAATCGCGCAACTGTAGCCACGACTGATTCAAAACTGATCCTTTCTCGGACAACAAGATCAACAATCTGTTATATCGTTCGTTGATATCTGATAGTTTATTCTCTAGTGCCCAGGATTGCTCTTGTGCGTCTTTAGCAACGCCTTCGAGAAGCTCTGGTTTTTCAACCGCAGTGACGTAATTCTCAAGTTCCACTTGAAAAAGCTGGAAAAAAATAAAACAGAACGTTACAGTAGAGGCTCACCAGTATTAGAGCTGTAAGCTTGTTCACCTTGCATGCGTTTCCTGCACTCCGCGCTCAACCATGTGGAACACATGTGGCTGGTGCAATCAGGATTAACACCGCGCTCCCTGGTGATAGGAAGTGAAATAGACTTGCAAATTTCCCGTTTTGCATCGTCTCATGCACAGCCAATTAACAGACAATATGCAATGTTCGTACATACAGCAATATTATGAGCACCAAATACACGCATTAAATTAAACAAAAAACGAAAAAAATCTTTGGGTTTTTATGATCGTGTAACACGAAGACCACGAGATTCTGGTTCGATCTCCCAGTTAAACAGGTTAATATCCTGTTTATTAAAAATCTCTCAACTTTCATTGACGTACTTGACAGTTTACGTATATCATATGCAAGGAATCATCCCTACCATATATAGATAGTCTAGTGACTCTAGTCTAGAGCCTTCCTGAGCTACGAAATTCATACAATCAAGAAATTGTCTTAAATTCATTCTTGAAATCGAGCTGAAGCGCATCACTCAATGGTATGAATCAAAATGGATGAAGTCATCTGATAGATCTCAATCATACGATACGAATATAAATATATACTAACATATATGTAGATATTCCAGCGAACACGGGGAACACTCAGCCCAATACTAGACGTTACATATTTTGTTATCAGAAATAGATATCATTATAGCACAGTTCCGTTGTGAGTCCATGCATCAATGTTACAAAACAAGCACAATGTCACAAAAGTAAACTGCTTACACAGATTTCAAAACATTGTAAGGAAAAGTCACGACATTGAATATTTTAAACAGACACAACCGAAAGATAATTGCAGGGTATAGCTACTTACAATAGAAACAAAGTGAAACGAAATTCATGAAACATATTCACCTCGAAGATAACAAAGATCGCTCTATCCTCACTCTTATTACGCACTCTTGCTCTGACTGAAGTTTCTTTACGGATATATTCGATATTCTCCAGCAGACAAAGCTATGATGCTATTGATGCGAGAATATTCAAGACTGAGGTATCAATTTGCAATTTTTCGTGTTTACACTGATCATTTCCGACTAAACCAAAGTTTCCTGGCGAGGAACCATGTTTACTTACCTACTATTGACAGCTAACGAGCCAAAATAATTTTGCTGGTATCACTAAAGTCCTTAGGATGTCACCATGTTTAACTAACACCGCATGTGATTAAACCTTATTATACATGCAATTTCTTGCTACTTAATCACTTCAAAGAGCATCTTCCGTCAGATTAATCAACCCGTACTGTTCTCATTATTTCTGGTACAGTCTTACGCTCATGACTGACGTCCTAGCTCACAAAACATGGCCGCTATATTGTTCTTTATGGACTATTCTAGATTCTGCATTTCCTTAAAGCCTCCAAATGTAAATAACTTAACAAGTAACTAAACGTCAGGTAATGATCTGGTTTAAATAATGAACAAAACCTAATGTGCTTAAAAGAATAATACGTAGGCACAATATCGCAATATCTCAAACTTAGGAGATGAGCAGACGTCAATATTTTAAACCATAAATATTTGAGAAGTTTATAGACACAGTTTTGTAGTTAAACAAAGAACGGGTTCAGACATATTTCGAACGAGAAGACGGTGGTCGTTACGAAACCCAGGAAGACCAGATGTTCCCTCTCTCAGTACACGCAATGGCGACAGCATGCATGTCAGCATATGACCTGCGCCTTTCTCAAGTATATATACTATATTCACTCATTATTCAGAGTGTTATTTTTGGTAAACTATGCAAGTGATCTGGTCTAATATGTCCATCTTCTCCTCAACAACTACCTAAATTCCTTAATTTTGTTTCTAACATATTTCTGAAGGACAAATTAACTCCGGATAAGGATTAAAAAATTCTAAAATCATATAAAAACAGGAATTGATCGACACTTTAATTAAATGGAATCTCTATGGAAACGGTGAAGAAAAATGAAGATTCAGGGTGATAATTTCAGACTGATTTATGCGAGAACACAGACGTCAATATTTTGACAGCTAGAAAAACAAGATGGTCAACTTTCAAAGATCGAGAAAGACAGTTGTCTCAAAGTGTGTAATTAAAGTCTTTACAAAATATATTGACTTGATGTTTAGTGGTGAATACATGAAATGAAAATATTTGCTCACTCTACGACTTATTTTTCAAGTTGACCATCATGTGTAGCGAAAACTCTGTCCTTCTTACCTTAGCTTCGTGCAAGAAGACCTCTCCGTTGTGATTTACTTCTTTCAGATCAATTTCATGTCTTTTCACATCAGAAACAAAATCCTAAAGAATCGGAAGTATGAATAATTAGGCAATAATAGTTTCCTGCAGCTAATATTAATGCAGTATGCAGACAATGAACTTCTTCCAGAAGGCTGTAAAACACAACTCTACAAGTACAGCGTCTGGTGTATCTTTTCACAAGAGATGAACGTGTGATGCCCAAAAGAAATAAAGAATTTCCTCTCAAATATCGAACAGTTCTGCACAGATGTTTAATTAATATTGAGTTGCATCTTAAGACTAGGATTGCCTCTTGGGGTATATTTTACCACAATGAGAATTTAGCACGATTAGACTTGATATTCGCAAGAATGTTTGAATGAACTAAATTAGTACATATCACTCTGCTACTTCGCCGTAACGTTTTCTTAACGAAATCTTCAGAAATCAAATTTCTCTGTGCAAACCTCCGCCCCCCTGTGACCAAGAATCCTGATAGGAAACCAGCCTTCAATTTCCGTTTAGAGGAATTTTTGTATAACCTGGGCTCTACATAGTCCAGACGTGTATTGAAGTCAGTGGTGGTACCTTGTGACGTGCCATTCTATCCTCAACCGTATCTAGATCTGAGCCCTCGGTCATTATTGCATCCGCTTGCTTCTCCGCACGACCCAGCCATGCCTATAGAGCGAGACGTTTGAAAAAAACAAATTTAAGTCATCAGTGAACTGGGAGCGGAGTTCTTCTTTGAGACAAAATCACTTAATAAAATATGAAGTGCGTTTGAGCCATCCTCTATTATGGTTTCATCAATACTCGTGTTTACATTGTTTCAAACGGTTTCACAAAAGAAACAGTAAACCATAATTAATCTAGATTTTTCCATATTTGAAAATGACGAAGTGTTATTTTTCTTCTTCCCAAGTAGTCGTTATTAAACGTCTTCTGATTATGAGTTCGTCAGGTGGGATTAGGTTGTTCAGGCTTCAAGTCACAAAAAGTAAATAATCTTTTTATCTTCCCACGCTTAGATAGTTGCATAATTTCTACTTAATAATCCAAACTCTTGTCAAAATAATCGTGAAGTTCGGCTTCAGTTTAGAGGTAGTTAAAACACTTCCCTAGATCTTGTCTAGAAGGTGGAACGGAAAGATTGTGAAGCGAAATATTTCTGAATTATTATTTCAAAGATTGACCTTTAATCTTGTACAAACAATGATCTCGGTTTGGTGTTTAAGCGGCTCGGTTCTTAACAGGCAGAAAAACAAACAAAAACACCCATTAAGCTGGGAGGGTGAAGTATCGAGTTAGCGCACAATCATATGACATTTAGTAGCATGGGAAAAAGTCAAAAAGAATGGATAAACAGAACGATTAGGGGTCCCGATACGGTGCTGTGATTCTGCCCAAATGCAGTGTTTTTTTATAAGACTTGAGGCTTGTAGCCAATCAGAACACGGAAAGATTTCGCTAGGGATAAAATCGCAGCAAGACTTCCGAGTCTTGAAGGCACTGGCTATATATGCATAAATTAGATTCACGATTTTTGTACAAATATGTAATAAGAAAAATATAATGCCACAATCTCAATGGTTAATGCCACTTGAAATGGCACAGTAAAACTTGTTTCACTTTAGTAAATGCGCATTAACACTGTCTAGATGCAAGCTGACGTTTCGCGTTTAACACATTAAATTTGCTTAATACTGTGTATTCGAACAAGGTTCAAAAGGAATTCAATCGTAATCTTCCCTGCACCAAAGCCGATTAAGCTGTGGCCGTTCTTTTGTATTCAAAGTCTGATAAGACACGAATACAATAACCTAGTGATACAATTTTATACTCATGATGATCTGGGAGGTATATAACGAGATTTGAAAGGGATACAATAATGACAAGTTTAGCAATTAAGTGCTCTACTTACTACAAAAGGATGAAGAACTTCCTCAAACGATGACAGTTTCTCATGAATCACGACCAATCGTCGATAACGATTATCAGACTCTCGTTGTAGCCTCATCCATCTTATTTCAAGGCTAACCATTTTCGTATCGAGTTCAGCACGGGCAGAGGTCGGAAGGAAGCTTGTGTTGCCTTCCAGAAACCTACGACCTTGCCGTAATGTATTCTCTACAGGCTGCTGGCTCGCTAAGACATCTTTGGACAGTTTCTATCGGAAGGAAAATAAAAATTAACCAACCTAGCTGCCATACTTGGCTTCTTGCTAGCCCGTTCGTTACCCAATGCCGTATATTCTTGTCAAAACAATGCTTCTATAATAGGATATGAATAAATTACAGTCGAAATTTAGATGTAAAACACGAGAGGAACCGCATAGCATGTCAAAACTGTGTTTGTTGACACACTTTAAACTCAAGAATGCATCAAAAACATTTTAAACTGACCTTAATCCTTGAAAACCGATTAAATTAAAGTCAAAATTATTTTCGTGTTTCAGAAGAAGATTTTAAATGTGAACTATATGGACAAGCATCAGTGAATAATATGTATATTTTTAAGGGTTCAGTGGAATATAAATTCCAAGGCCAAAACCAACATTCTAGATGTGCAACAGTCTCTAAAATATGACATGCATGCGTGCAGCCGCGTGACTGCACATCTGCCCAGACAAAGAGTTAAATATTATGAATGTATGAAGGACATTGTCCCGCACAGTATTGATTTATTATGTTGTGAAAATTATAAGTAGTTTGGTCAAATTTTGTTTCTGTGACATTAGAAAATGTTGGTACATTGGTAGAAAACTTGCAGGAAACTACGAGGATTTCTTTATCAAACTAAAGTTTTGCTGGCCTATTTCTTTACAAAAGATCTCCTCCTCGAAAAGAACAGAGTTCACTTTTTACAAGGATTAATGCAGAATTTAGTTTACGATTGCACGTGTTTGACGAGGATTTTTCGTGATTATGTGATACGAGTGTATTGAACACATCAATGCTAAAATATATAACGTAGTCTGCTTACATCCTAAACTATGAATTAAAAACTAAAGAGACAATATATTCAACGTTAATGGAAGTGCAATATCAGGCCTCGGGTTTCCCATCTTTCAACAACATGCATAACCAGCTTACATTGAACTCATGTCAGATTCAACAAGGGAAATCAGTGGACTACAGATATAGCCTCATCCCCAGACCATCCAAATACGTGCGTGTTTCTGCGCGTGTCCATTGTTCTCTCCCACGAGACATTCATGCGCTGGAAAGTGGTTTTCTTTGAAAGATGTGAACGAGTAGATTAGTTACGGATGTTCATCCAAGAGCTCTTATACATCATAGCATTCGTAACTAATTACTCGTTCACATCTGTCAAAAGTTCACATCTACGACAGTGTTTATCGAGTCTCATATAATTCATATAGCTACAAAGCAAAGGACTTACTCTGTGTCTGTCTAATTGTTCTTTGAGCTCTGATTTGTCTAACGACGGCGCACTCTGATTGGCTAGAGACTCCTCTTGCGTCTCAACCCAGTCTAACAACCGCTGTACACTCGTATTCCATCTCGTAGTCTCATCGTCAATTTCTGGATGGCCGGTTTCTTCCATCGCATGTGAGATCCGGTCACGTGTGTCGTCGGCCAGGACCTGAAGAGCCTGGTACCTTTTTCGAATGGACTCTACCTCGTCCTGTATTGAAGCCTGAGCGTCTGTCGCCTTCTCGAAGATTGAATTGTCTGTAGGATTCTGGACGGTTTTGGAGTATTGCTTCAATGCGTTTTCAAAGTCCTGAGAGAAAATCAGACCTCAAGATTACTCTAAGATCGATTTAGGATTTCTACTATAATACGATTAAAATCCACTAAGATTGCCTGTAAATAATTTGGGTCAACCCGTTGTGACGAGGGAAGCAAATATACCACATCCAGCGGTAATCTCTTGCAGCCCACAGAAATTTTCTTCTCATCTTGTCTGGCACAACACAAGAGAAGACTATAGTCTTAAACAAATAGTTTGCGTACCTTACTGTCGAAGATGTATTGATTTCCTTGAGAAACAACGGTCTCAATATTCTTACCATGTTTCCGAACGTCAGAGAAAATTTCCTTAATTTTTTAAGATGAAGATGTCAGTATTAAGAATGACACTCCCTCTGAACATAAATTACCAGCAATAAATAATACTCCAGTACTTTCCTGAATCAATCTAACTGACCTTGTATCGTCGCAGCTTTATTTCACTCAACTCTCCTGAAACTCTTCTTAGTTCATCTGACGACAGCAGTTCTTCGGTTTGTGTGACCCACAATGCTTCAGTGTCGTACATTGTCTTGTAATTCTCTAGAGCCTCGATCGCGGTCTGCAATCGTCCTGATCTTGCCTGGATTTCATTACTGAGTTTTTCCCATCGCATTATCAGGTTCGCTGCGTGTTCAGATTCTGATGACGTGAGTTTCAAAGTGGCTTGTTTTAATTGATAGATACGCTCTCGTCTTGGCTGCATCACTGTCTGAACCTCCTGAAAGACAAAGAAGAGCATTATTGTACAATCATCATCAGTAAGCTACGACCAAGTTAAGTACGACCATTATCACTAACCTTCAGCTGTCTTAGTTGTTGATGTAAATCTTCATTTTGTTTGGTCAATCCTGGCTGATTACCTAACACTTCTTCAACATGAGAAATCCATCCTTCAAGATCAACCACAATCTCTACGACAGTATGTAGTAATTCCATCCTAAAAATACACAACTTACTACAATACAGTTCTACTCTCAAATGAACTAACATTTAAACAACAGCAGATAACGAGATGATTCAAGATACGCACCTTTTCTGATGGTCTTCAAGTCTTTGACAAGTACCATTCCATTTCCTCTGCAATTGTTCGTATCTCTCCAACAAAACGGGGTCGTTCAATCTTTGATTTTGTAAAGCCTCATACTCTGCTTCTCTTCTAAACAACCGTTCAGTTTGAATTTCCTGAAAAGAATTGAACACAGCTAATTTTCAGGCTGTTCAGACACAAAACAACGGAAGCTTATTATAAAAGTTAATTTGCCTTGACTTCTTGCAGTTCACTGTTTATTGCATTGATGTCCAACGGAATACTTCGAACTTTTGACTTTAAAATCTGATCTGTGGCTTCAACCCAATCGAGTAAATTTTCAATAGCAGATTCGTTGTCCTGGAAGATAAAAATGGATTCTACCAGTCAGTGAAATCTTATTTCGCAAAGAGAATCTGAACTGTGATGAGTGATAAATATTCTACACCTTACAGCTAAAAAATGATGAACAACTTTGAAAGATATCTTACCGGTTCACTGACGGAACTTTCAGCAAACGTTTTGCCAACATCACGACTTTTAATCATAGGTTCTTCAACTAAACTTGGCTGGCTGGTTCGTTTAGTTGACGAGCCCATCTCATCAAAGACGAGATCTTCGCATTCCGTCACTTCCTTTAATAATCTTTCTAAGTCTTCACTCGCTGAGTCATTCAAGTTTGGGAGTTTGACCTAGAGATATATTTCGGCTGAGTATCGGAATTCTGGGGCGAAAGATTTAAGGGACAAAGCCTCTTATGGGATTTGTGGAGAAATTTGGATGGTTAATAATGTTCACGCCCCACTTCTGCCCTCTTGTAATGGAAACTCTGACTATATCCAAGGGTGTGGCTCAGTGGTATGTTTTATAGGGTTCACTTAAGCAAAATGATACAAACCTTCTCAGGCAGTTCCAGGACTTTTACGTTAGAGGATACTTGTTGAGTTGAGAGAGTTTGTTGAAGAGATGAGTATTGACCTTTCCATGATGTTAGCAAATGTTTGTACTCAATTTCCAGGCTGTAAATGATGAGAAATAGTTTTATCAGTACTTCAATTTTGAATTTAGGAAGATAGTTTGAAGATAATACCTGGTCAAGTAGTCTTTAGCCTCAATATCTGGTGCAGGGATAACAAAGCAGACTGACGGTACAACACATTCCTTTCCCTGGCTTGTTAATACCTAGAATGAATGACATCATATTTAGCTTGTGCGGTGGTGTAAGACAGCATGGTACCAGCAAAAATATAGCTCAGGCCAGTTGATCATGGCATGATTTAATGAAGTATAGTATGGTTAATATATGGTTAACTATTGCTTAGAACTAACCTTCCAGTTTTGTTGCTGTGAGTTGTCCAATAATGTACATTTTTCTCCTTGTTTTACCTCATTCTTAAAGAAAAAATACAAAAAGATTTGGTAGCGAATTACAGTTACAATCAATACACATGCCCTTGAATTATCCAAAGCCAAATATAAATGAGAAAATTGAGCAAAACTTACTTGCATTTGTTTATAACTGGTTATTGTTTGTACCACAGTTTTAGATGTAGGAGGAGTTGATCTTTGTTTTATTGGCACAACTCTTTTACCCAGAAGCTTTAATGAGCTCAACTTGTCATGTCTATTAACAAGTTCTTGCTTTAATTCCTAGAAACATATTAAAATACAAAGTCAGGTATCCATTTTCATGTATAACATAAAACTACAGGCATTACAAGTCCTTTAAAATAAGTAATTTAGTATAATTGACTTTGGTATAATTGATTAGAGTGATCACACTTCCCTTTTACTACAACTACATCGAGATGGGGAAACTTGCTCAGGAAGAAATCTCATGTGTTAAGATTGTTTGATCATTTTGTATATTACTGGCTATTTTATGAGGAATAAATGGGGTAAAAAAGGCAACACTGAAAAATCATACTTTGTGAGCTAAAAAGTCAGGCACTATTGTATTGTTGTGCTTAATAACAATATGAATATTAAATGTTGCCTTTTTTTTATACACCCTGTATAACAAATGTCCAACAAATGCATTAAGATGTCAAACTTGATGCTACAAGAAAAAGGCTAAGCTGTACTTAGGCACGTGTGTGTCAATAGAGCAGCATAAACACTAATGGATGATCCATCATGTCCAGAAATTATTAAATAATTAAAGTCCAAATTTAAATAATAAACAAGTTATACTTGGGATGCAAGAGTTGCAGCACTAAATTGTACTGTATGTGATATAATACTGTACAAAATAGTGAGTTGTGGAGCGATCCGAATACACAGATCAACGGCACAAAATTATGAATTCCTACACCGATAATCTGTTGCAAAAAACTCTGGAAAATCCTTATAGTATTACATATTTCCTTACTTATATTTTTAATGCGTCTATATAGGGTTTATCCAGTTAAATATCACTACAGGGGTATTTTTAAAATTATTATTTAGTACGATGCATAGTATCACGATTCACAGAATGTCAATACATTCGAACAACACTTTGCTACATATTGTTTATAAGAACATTCAAGATAACTTTAAACAAAAAGTAGTTTAAATATCCGACGTACGTTTCATTTACATGGATAATTGCACAACTATAATCAAACCCGTATTTATCTCAGAGTGTATAATTATATCTTTATATGTCTGGCCTCTGCCGAATGAAATCGACACTTGGAATGAAATCGACAAACTAGTTCAGTGTGGTTCGGTCAAAGAGTTTTTTACTTAATTCATGCTTATTCAAAGTATACTAACAAAATGTATAAAACATTGCAAGGGAGGAGAGCATTTCGCTTCAAAATATCGCACTGTAAAGAATTACATGGCACCAGGAACACCTCTGTGCTTTGTGAACACAGGAAAGTTAAGAATGATTCCAACTGGACTACCGTGACGACCCAGACATTTTAATGTAAACAAAGAACTGACCTGCCGCACGCTTAAAATATCTTCGACCACCGAGCCAAAATATCGCTCTATTTCACCCTTTGCATCAGGATTAGCACTTTTAAGAATAAGAGCATAACGTTTCCGTCTTCCCCTCCGTTTAGGCGAGCTAGAAAACTCGCTTACAAACTCCTTAGAATACGCTACGACTAGGTCTGATGTCGGTATAAGTCTCGTTAGCGGGAAAGACTCGGAGGCCATGATATCGGTATGCTTAGGCGAGTTTGCAAGCACGACACGACCATAACGATATTTTTGCCATATTCTGTGGAATAAACAAGGGATTAAACGTCGAGGTGGAAAACATACTTCGGAAGTTGAGAGCGCAAATACGAACCTTCTAGGGTAATCGAAGTACCCCGTGACATGCGAAGACCATGGAGTGGATATATCATCAGAATTCGATTTACTCGCTTTTTGCTTACATCTTGATGCGTTTCTACGCTTCGAAGAAAGCGACGATCGATATAAGGTACAGAATAGAAACAACAATGCGATAACAAGCCCCAATAGGCTGAGCGTAACATTTTCTTCCAATGTTAAACCCTCTTGAGACATAATTGTACAGTAATATTCATCTTAGGGACAACGAGTAATGTTGTGATATAAAGAGATGAATGCTTTCGACAGCCATAAGGATTAACTCCACTGTAAAAGTTCTAAAAAAAGAAGCCATTCAATCCGCACTTCGTGGAATCAATGCACATATTACATTTCCGCGTGGAATTATAAATTTTCAACACAAACACTCAGAGAGACAAGAGATGGACAATCAGAGTGACACAAGTGATTATCGATCAATCCCGTTTTAAATTTCCGTCGTCATTGGCGCGAAAACACCAAAAATCCCAAATGCACAAAAGTAATTATCCAAGTAAACCACAATCTTTCTGATTACATTCCGAACACGCGATCGTCGTTCTAATGCACTTAATTTGCTACTTTCTCCACGTGCGAATTAAAAGTCGCAATTATATGCACGCTAACATTCAAGCGGACGGCATTGTTCCTGACATAAAATAGCCACAAGTCCAGAATAATCTAAAATGTAAATGAATAGCCGTTGTTGCACAACGAGCTCAATATTCAAACCATTTGACAAAGAAAACCACAACAGCAGGTGTAAAAAAACAGCAGCAGGAATTATCTGTTCCAGAAATTGCTCGCTTGCATCACTGGCAAGATGGCAATGAGAACAAGAGGTATGCAAAAGATGCTCTTCAGCAGAGTGAGCACAGAGAGTGAGCAAAGAGAAAAGACCCTGGGTACGAGGTTGGCTCTTCAGCACTCTAGTATTATAGTATGGTATGCTCTTATTAAGGATCAAGCACTTAAATATATAGAAACCAGAGCTAAACTAACACGCAATTATCCCCCTTGCTTTCACACAAAAGAACGACACAAAAGAGTTCTTATATAACATGGCGCACAGGTGAAAACAGACCTCCAGTGAAAACGATTTAGAGTCCACGTCAAAGACTTTATACTCTTATAGGCATGCAACTTATAAATAAGTTTTATGTAGTGTAATTTTCCTCTTTGATTATAAAGTAGTTTTTGTATTTCCGCAGCAAACGAGATCGACAGTTTAAAAATTTCACAGATTTTTCATTCACCACTTACCATCAATTCTTTCCATGTTATAGCAATTTCTGCTTTTCCATCGTGGTCTCTTTCAGACAGTTGCCTCAATTCTTCCATCTTCGATGCTAACCATAGCTTGTTTTCATTAGCTTCCGAGTAAAACTAAAAGCAATACCGTATCTTCCTTTTAGTATAACCAGCTCTACCATGATATAAAGAAGTTCACATCTAAAAATCTACGAACCTGATGATATGCGTGCGCATTCAACAGATGTTCCTCTAAAATCCGTGACAGTTCAACTACCCAAGTCCATTGCAGACGCAGAGATGTCACATAGGCCTGGATAAAAGGAGAAGGTGAATCTGAGTTTTTTGCTAATGATGTGAAACGCCAATAATCATTCACCAATCTCTCATAAGAGAACATACCAACCTCAATAGCCTGTGGTGCTGGATGACCAGACTGGATCATATGCTCTCCTTTTCCTACCACAGATCTCTGCTCGATTTCATGCATTTCTAATTCGGTTTTGAAATCCTGAAGACACAAAGAATATACAAAAACATTAACAACAATTCCTCAACGACCTGAAAAGACGTTTTCGCAGTCATTTACTTTTCTGTATCTTTCAGTTTCCTCGAGGTTCAAATCTTGGTCAGCCCAGTCCCTTTGTGTCTCAATTTCCTCTTTCTGGTTCATCCAAATCAGTTCCTTAGTTGCTTCGCTCATGAAGGTTAGCAAGCTTCTCAAATTCCGGGTGCGTACAACAGAGAGCGTCTAAAATAAAGGATAAGTGTGACATGATCGGAATTGTCAAAACTGATCCCGAGTTTCAAGGAGTGCAAACGAGATTAAACATACCACTAGTTCAGTGTACGCCTTTTTCAGCTCGGTTGTTGCTGGGTTAGAACCATCATCGCTCTATACAATAACATGCGGTAAGCGCGATTAAACCCAGGATGATGAATAAAATAAAACATATTTAAGACGAAGGCGCCTACCATTTGTTTGCAAGCTTTTTCTACTTCGTCTTTCAAAGCCATGATCTCCTCATGTTTCTTCTGTTGTTCCTTGTACAGTTGTTCGACTGAATTTAGATCTTGGCCATACAAAGAACTCTGTATTTCATTCTATACAAAGCCAGAATGAGAAATTTTTAAGAAAAGGCTTAGCAAAAACAATCCACAGGAATGAGATACGAAATGGTTGAAGATAGCAACACTTTCTCCACAAGCAAATTTCTCACCAGTTTCTCATGTACTGTAACCAATAGCGAACGGGTATTACTTGTTTGATTGTTTTCACTCTCAGTCAATGTCACCTCAAGTGAGGAATGGACAGGACTGACAGTAGATCTCGTTACAGACACTTTGGATGCAGGTGCCAGTTGTTGTTGTTGCCGTAGACTTGTCTTTGAAACTCTTTGAATGCTGGGAAATTTGAGAGGTGAAGTAACTTTTTGTCGTTTTTCAGCGCTCGGTCCTTGCTGGACATCCCAATCAGCTTTGGTTTTCCTCTCATGCGACGGGACGTCAAAATTTAGGAACAGTTTGGATGACTGAACATTGAACTTTGAAACTCTGCCTAATAAAATCTTCCATCGAGTTTGAATCTGATGAATTCTACAAAAGAAAAATAGGAGTTCGAAATATTCATGTACCCTTCACATTTCATTTACAACTCCAAACAAGATTCGTTTTCACCTTGTTCGTATTTCCTCAAGCCCTTGATAATGTCCAGTTATGAGATACTCAAAATTTTGATAAATCTTGTAAAGTTTGTCTTCAAATATCTGCAGCAGAAAATCAAGAATTATTAAAACAATTTTTTGACGATAAATGTACAAGGGCAGGAGGTTGAACTCAGCTGTACCTTCAGGATGACTTCCAGATTTTTAAACCTCTCGTAAGCAACATCCACATCAAGAGTACTCCAAATACGTTCTTCCTGAGAACCAAAGATATCAAAAGACCAGTGTAGAAATTACTCCAGTACTGTCGTTCAACATCAAATTGCTTGAACAAACCCTTAAAACTCACCTCTGTCACCTTTGCTTCCAGTTCAGGCAATGTTCTTTCCATTTCCTCTGCCTATATTCAAGTCAAAATCTCGGTCAATTGATTTTATCCACCCTCAGTACCAGAGAGTTATCAATCGATAAAAGAAATTGAGAATTATCCTAGAACAAACCTCGTGAATAATTTGTTCCGCCAGCTGATAAACCTTTCTTACTCTGCATTGAAATACAAAAGACATCGTGTTGATCAATGAACCCCTTGAAACTGATCTTTGGAAATTTACATGTGAGTTGTTGCAAAAAGACTACCTTGACATTTCAGTTCGCAAGGTCGAGCCACGTTCTTCAATACAGCGTAAAAGACGTAACCAAAGCTAGAGTGCAAAACGTGAAAAATTAAACTAAGCATTGCTAAAACCGATGCTCTGCAAATTATAATCACTCAAGTTATTTTACCACTTCAATATCTCTTGGATGACATCCTTGTGGGAATTCAAGCCAGCTGGACATTGGACCGTAAAACACCTAAGAAGAGAAACAGTTTAATTTCAATACGAACGAAATCAGAGGCAAACTATCTTCACTTTCACCCGCCATACATGAAGATCTTTCACAACTTCTTTAACATAATTTCGCTTTTCCTCAAGACGACCGAACTCCTCCGAATAAAACTGATCAAAATCTTGAATTACGTCCTAAAATAATAAACAACTAGCCGTGATGTTTCAATTCTTTTCATTTCTTGCAAGTTCCATGAAAAACAAGCGCCAAAGCCTACCTTCATTCCTTTGATGGTTGTAGGAAAAGTTCGACTTTCCAACTGAATCATAACTCTCTTGATCCAAACCACGAGTGCCTCACTCTGCTTGCAATATTCCTCATATTTCAGAACCTTCTCCTAAATAAAAACACGCACATACAGGCTCAAGAGACGCTGCGATTAATGAAATTACTGCTCAAAAAGATTTCAAAAACATTTCCAGGATTTTTACCTCATCTTCGCTGGATTCAAACGAGGCAACGGCTCGGGGAAATTTCTCGTAAAGTGAAGACACGTAAGTCATGATAGACTTTTCATCAGCATGTTCCGTTACAACATCTTCAACATCAAGTAATCTTGGTACTCCTAGTTCCTTCTCAGCCACAGTAAGTGCATTGCTCACGTTAATCTCTGGCGTACTTCGATTCAAGATCGACAAATCTATTAGATCTGGTCTGAAAGCAACATACAAACTTGTATTAAATTTTCCGTGAATACACGTGAGCACGATTATTCAAGTGATCCGTGATAAATAAAAGTACAAAGAAGCAGTTACTTTTAGCTTTTCTTAATAACTTCCTGTTGATACCTGTATCTATGAATGATTGCGTTTAAAGCCAGTCCATCTTTCCATGAAGTAGTAAAATTGAGAACTACAACCTGGGGATATCTAGAAACAAAATAGTGAAATACACACTCTTTTTGTCGTCAAATTGATCTTTATTATCTCCACAAGTTGCTTTGAAAAATTTTAAAGAATTTATATACCTTAAAAACACAAAGATGTACAAAAAATGCATATGAGCAGCTGGTATGCATACATAACATATGACAGGTGGTTATTCATTGAATTATATATTTTGCGTATTACCCTTCAGTTATCCTGCGACACCAGTGTAAAAGTTTTGCTTTTGGGGTCATGTCCTCCACTTGGCCAATAACTTTGATATCTGATATCTAAACAGACAGGATTGTTAAATGATTTATTTGAAATACAGTAGGAAACCAATTAGAGAGATGGCTTATTAGAGAGAGGGGTGATGGGGAAGAGGGGATATATTAGAGAGGGAGGACTGATGAGAGAAAGGGGGCTTCATGGAGAGAGAGCAAGAGGAAGGTAGAACCTGATAGAAGTAAGGGAAGGAGGAGGGGGCTATTAGTATAGGAGGACTTATTACCTTTAAGGGTTATTAGACAGGGCATGGGTTCATTAGGAGAGGTCATTAGAGAGGGGAGTTATGTACATATGAGAGAAAAAAAGGTCTTATTAGGAATAGAGTGGGTTGTCAGAGCATATTGTACCTGGAAATGAAGAATGATGATCCAAATAAGACCAAGAGTAATCTTTGGATTGCCATCAACTATGTCGTCCTGATGAATATTCACAACTTTCACCTTCAAAGAAAAATAATTAACATTTAGGGCATCCATTAATTTTTAATTACTATATCCTAATGGGCAGTGCCTTCCTATCCAGTAATTATATATCTGCAGGTATCAATAATATTCAAACAATTATGCAACACCTGTTTTCTGGAAAGAAAGTTCAAAGCAGTCTGACAGTTTTGTAGTTTGTGAAATCTCAGTTGACCTTTCTCTCTTGGCTAAACAAAAGCAAAACAGAAGAGGTCAGAAAACAATGTAAAATATAATCAAATCTAATCATGGTCAAAACAGGTATGTTTACCAGTTTTTCATCAGTAAGAATCTCAAGCAACAACAACAAATTATTCCCATCTCTGAAATCTTGATACATATCCATAACCACAACATTCACCTATCGTTTGTAAACAGAGATAAAATCAAAAAAACCATTTTATGGTTGTTTTTTTGTACCAGGTAATGTGAATGTGACTTAAAAAAATAATTGTAATATACAAATTTTATAGCTCGAAGTACATAAATTTTACATACACATGTCCCCTTCCCAATTTAGATAGTAAGACGTTTGATGCATCATTCAGGGTTAGAGGCAACTCATTAAAATTAATCAGAAGCAATAACACACGCGGTTGAAAAGGTAAGGGTTGCCAATATTTGCCCTGCTACTAATTACAAGATCAGCACGAGGTTTTTGTCTTTAGACATTCCGTAGGAAATGGAATTGATAATTGCTACATTGATGTAACAAATTAGTATTTAAATGCCACAGAAAGACACGTAAGCAATATCTCGCAAGCCTTGTTTATCAATTTCTGAACATCTTGGATCTTGATATCGCTTGATCACTTAACAATACTGACCAAACTGTGCACACTTGATGCTATTTTAAGAGTTGATATTCAAGTGTTTGGCAAGAAGCTTTCCTTGTTTATCAAACACAGCCTGGTGCAAATTTTTAGATGTAAAATGTTCCATGAATTACCCCGCGATTGTAAAGCGTTTTTTTTCGATAGTGTTTGTGCTGTGTTTAACCTCATGTTGTGCGTCGAATTACGAACTCTGCTGGATTATAAATTGATGTAATAATAAAATAAATATGTAGATCCCACGACAAAAACTAGACGCCTACACAAACCTTCTGTAAATGATGGTTGACCCATTTTGTAAACGTTTTCTTTTGTACGGCGTTTCTTTGGTCTGAAACAGAGCGACGTAAAACATCATATTCTGTCTCTTCGACTGAGCCGGACATGGCTGATGCCAATTTTAAGCAGGAACACTATGACAACACCACTTGGAGTTAGTTCACAGCAGCAGCGCAGAAAGTTTTAATATCCCTTGCATACAACTGTCATTGCTACCCACACGCAAAATTTGTCTTTAAGTTTTAATATGGTTTGTTTACAAAAGCCTTCTTTCGTCTAGTTCAGCTAGGGAACAGTCGAGATGAATTTGAATAGCAAATGTTTATTAACGATTAAAGTGTTCACTTTGAACATCAAGCACTATAAGCACCGACTTTGACAGACATCAATTTTTAAACGACGATTGTGCACACATTGCTGTAAAACACGTGCGTCGTTACCAGATCAACCTTTACAGTAGTTCGTTTTTGAGTGTTCACAGAGAAATAAAAGTCTTCTCAACTTTCAATTTTTTCCCCTTTTCCTAAAATAGGCTGTATATATTGAAGCACCGGAAATTGTTAAGTCCGGTAGAACGCTTATAGACACAAGATTATGTTACAAAAGTCTAGGAATTTATCGAGAATTTCCCAATCGCACATTTCTAATGTTCGCACACGTTTACTGCAGTTTTCATGCACTTGTTCATAGCAATCCTTGCATGCTTTGCAAACATATAAAAGGTCTTTAACCAACCAAGCCCATTCTGTCAATATTTACATGCAAACGCCCCTCGCTTTTCTGCAGAGGCATGTTTCCAAATAAAGAAAAGTGCTTTCTTGGGAAAGAATTCACATAAACAGTGATGTCTGTGCTGATCGCAAAAAGCGAAGTGAATTATGTTCACGGTAACTAATACGTTTACCAAAAGCAAAGCGATCACCCCTCATTAAATTCACTATAATGATTTTCCTTTTTGTAAATATGCAAAACAGGTACAATGTGCATAACCACAATACAAAATTATCATTAAAACTTTGAAATATGACGCTTCGAGACAATCATAGCTTCATAAAAATTTGCATTCTTGGAGCCGCCACAATATTATTAACCAAATTTAATCGTGTAGGTGCTTAATCGATTTAGAAATAAATATTGTAATAATATTGGTCTATTTTAAATTCTCGATGAATTGATCAATTGAGCATGTTTTGTTTATATTCAAGTTTTCCTATTTTATAATTTTAAGATGACTGTAAACTTAAGAATAATTTCACAGGTGCTCATTCGATCATGCAAAATACTATATAAATTTGATCAAAAGATTGATATAAAAATACGACTCCAGCGAAAATTTGTAATTAAATAAGTCAATATTTCAAGTATTTCGAGTCTAGTAATTTAGGCCAAATAAAGCAACGATCGCTAAATACTGTTATTCCATGGGAAAATACGAAGCAAGTTGGCAAAGATGCAAACAGCCAACAATGTCAACAAGATAGTCGAGTGTAATCAAACAACGGAAAATCAATGGCCGCCAGACGGCTGTAAACTACACATATACAAATACAAAATAGGCGATAAAGGGATGTGAATTAAGCTATCAAATTACACATGGCTTCAAAATTAAGCGTGATAAAAAACAGACATAAAGCGCGCATAGTCTCCATATAGCAACACAATGTTTATTATGGATTAACAACAACCTCTGTACAAAATAAAATCTGAGCCTCACAGACAAATACCTGAAATCCTGTCTACATATCTATCGGCTAAAGTTGGACTCTGTGACCTTGATCTAGAAAACTTTAACTGTTCGTTAACTTTTGATAGTCTTGTACGGGTTGTGACATAACTCATTTTTGCTTTCCCAAATGAAAACGTCAATAAATTGACCTCAGTAGCGCCACACTCTTTAGTTTCGCACGATTAACCTCCGTTCCCACAGTCTATTTCGACACAAGGGTCTTTCATATCCGCCTTTTGGAAATATAAGGAAGTTTAAAAGTTGTAATCAATATATCACCTAAAACATCTTATACAGCACTGCATGCGACAAGTAATCTTCCAGTAATTTCGTGTAGCACACGTGAGTTCCCACAACATCCCACGAATGAGCCCATTGTAACAACGGAGCTGTCGGAGCATGCAACCGTGCAGAATATGATAATTAGCTGAAACTTATTCTATGCTAAGATCAAGTACTTCACATTTTGTATGTAATTGTGGGTAAAAGTACACCGCGGTTATAATACAGATAATTGGCGTGGTCATCGAGGGTAATAGGCGTGGCCAGGCGTGGTCCAAACATGTAACATTGTGGAACACTAACACAGTCGTAAGCACGTGCAACATTTAACTCTGTGGTTGCGAATTATACCGTAAGGCTTTATTAATTTAGAACATTTCTTCTCCTTTAATATTACACTCAAATATATATTATGTCAACTACAAGACCTCACAATCTCATAAGCAAAACTGACCTACCCTATGCTATAGGCCCTGATATATAACCCAGAGCAAATGTGATTCGAATCACTTCCTATTACATTACATGCATTTCGCTTGAGACCATTTCATGAATTATATTAATAGTTCTTCTATTTTATAGGTGTGTTTAGTGAAGTTCAGAAGTATCTTTGAATACAATCTCTACAGTCTTTGCATACGTTATAACTTTCTTCAACACTTGCCTTTGGCTTGAATACTTTACGAAGTTGTCCGAAAAGACTCCCATTGTGGCTTTGGTCCAACTCCACACCTGAACAACTTCTGAAATCTCTTGAACTGATACCAGAATCATGTGAATCTAACGTTGAATCATGTAAACTTATCCCCAACTCACGTGAAGTTACATTCGTGGTGCACGAGGAACATACTTTACGCTCACATACCTCGCAAACCGTACAGGATCTGTAAAACAATGAAAATTTTGCGACCCGACAGCAAAAACAAAGATCTCCGTTCCGTAAAGCGTTGTATAAACTATCATCCTCCATGGCGGTGTCAATTTGCAGGTCAGTCAGCACACGTCTTATGCGTTTCGCTTCACGGAACCATCCCAAACTGGAGACAACGGGTTTTAGTTGTTGAGGTTCCTGGTCCAACATCCAGGTGGTAACTTGGTTAACCAGACGCTGCGGTGGACGCAAGACTTTGCGGCCTTTATTGCGGAATATTGTTGGCGTGCTATGATCAGTTGGTTTAGAATGTTCAAAAGCTGCTGGTTCTGGACTTTCCACCTTCTCGTTGATTCTTGGAAGAGTGCTCGTGAATCCTGGAGTATTGACAAGGGCACCAAAAGGTTTTGCGTGGTTCTCCTTCTCGAAGAGTTCTTTTGAGTGAAAAGAATATTCGGCTTCGCCATTATGTTCCTTTATCTCTGACATACATTGTAGCCAGTTACTGATAACAGGTCGAGCCTGAAAGAAGAAAGACACATGCAGTCACATAAAATCGAGCGATTTTTCGAGTGTTCCAAGATGAATAATATTGTCAGAAATAATATTATTCAGGGCCAATTAGAAAACGTCGTTTCTCGTAGGAACCAAACGCATTTAAACAATAGATAACCAGTTGAAATAACGTGCATCTATTGTTCTCATTAATGCGTTCGTCGCACGAGGGGAGCGAAGTTTTATTCTGGCCTGTTTTTCCTCACTAAAGAAGCGTCTTTACCCGAAGATTACCTAAGAACATAGAATAGCAACATTTAATAAAAAAACTTCACTTCAACCTGAGTTAGCTGAAAAGTAGAGAATGCGTCATGTTTGGACTCGTAATGTGAAATCTCATTCGTGACCACAGCTAAGAAATTATTCATTTCCATTGCTTCTTTAACTAACAACTCACAAATATCGCCGTAATAATTTGGCTGTGCCAGATCAGTTTGAGTTGATGCGTGACGTTTACAGTTTGCTGCAACCAGAACCATCCATTGCCGTGGACTTTCGTGAGCGAAATTTCCAAGGAATAAATCATGCATCAGTGATTCAAGTTCGCCACCAACTTGCCGTTTCAAAAAATCTTTAGGGCCACCATTCTCCAGGCAAATGGTTAAAACTCTACCCAAATCATTCATTTGCTTGAAAGAGCTCTCTCGATCTTCATCTTCAAGGATGCCACAAGAGTTGCTGTTTGGAATTAACTCAACCATTCCATCTCTTCGGATATAAATCGTCTCAAGAGCAAATACTATTTGACTAAAGTGCAACACCCTTGGGTTATCGGTCATATCTGAATCACTCGATAAATGTTGACATATTTCGTAGCACAATGCCCATACTTGTTCCTCTTCGAGAGGCCTTGAAATGCAATCTAACAGCTGAGATAGAAGCAAACCAAACTTGTATCTGGACATTTCTAATGACTTTCTTTAGACTATAAGCCAAAAGCTTAGTTCCGCTGCATTTATACCAGGGCTGTTATGACTCCGTTTTGCAGGAGATTGCGCTTTCAAAAGAAAACCGTCAGGCAGAACTGATTTTACACCTTACGCCCCAATTATCGCGCTAGTCACGCCCTGAATATCCCCCAACGCACTCTGCGTCGCGCGTCGTTTTCCATGTGTTTGAGAAGCTGCGCAAACTGGCTTATTATCGATAGGCGTACAATCGATACAGCGTACAATCGATAGGTAATTATTAATTTATTGCTAATTATTAGAATACTTCGAATACATAAATGCAACCGCGTACATCGAAGAGCGTGGGCGTGACGTTTCTTCTCTTTACTTCGATTCTGAAAGTAATATTAAAATTTGTGCGAGGATTTGTGGTCAAATACGAGGGAATTTAAAACCCAAGGATGACATTTGCCGCAGGTAGTATAGCTGGTCATCATATGATGCATGAGATGGACGTTGTCACGAAAGTCGCGGGTAAATTACTGGAGATTCAACACTCGCAGTATTTTGATCGAGCGTCGGTGCTCCGGCGACCTTTAAAGGTGGGTACCATGGGTAAATGTTACACAGTTTAACGAAAAATGCGTCCGAAGGAACGACGTCACTCATTCAACAGACGGCAAACAGTTCAACGAGTTGCTATACTTGAAAAATATCAGCGATTTGTTTAATTAGAAATAAACTGAGGAAATAGATTTCCGTGTAGTCAATGACAGGTGTTATTCTTTAATACAACCCGATATGGTTCTAGAATCTATACGTACATCAGAGTTCATTGTAGTATGAACAATGAACCTTTATGTCCACATTTTGTTTGTCATTCATTAATGTCGAAAACAACATCTATTTCTGCAGTATATAATCGGAATTGAAATAAATAAATTATCGTTAGAAATGACGTTCATCGATTTTAAATTTGCTCCATCTGTGCATGTTTATAGACGTGACATTTAAGTAAATCAATGCTAAATCTCCTGAAAAGTGTCGTATTTTTTCATTTAAAAATAAGTAAAAAGTACCCAACGTATTCTACAAACACCTTTAACGTTTTGAATCATTTGCAATGAATAAATATTTTGTGAAAAAGTATAAAATAAGAATTGAAATAATTCAGTTCTAGATCTTGCCTCTAACAACTTTCAAACAGCAGGTGTCATATTTTATTTAAAAATCGCGTATGTTTTGTGAATTTGTGGCTTTCAGCTTATTTTTGAGGGGTTGTTATTATATTTGTTGTTGCTTTAAATGATTTTATGGAGACAAAGGCATTTAATCCTTTGAATTAAGCTGCTAATGATCCATATTAAAGTATGTAGGTCAATACATGACACGAGGCATTAGACAATAATTGCATAATGAAAAAACACCTTTTAAAAGAACTTGTGAAATTATATTCTAGCAGTTACAGTCTGCTATGTTGATTTTTGTTAGATAAAAATCTTATTGACAGATTAGAATGTCTGGAATTTTTATATGCCAGCTGCAATTGTTGAGGATGATTCCTGAAAAAATCATGTTCACTTGTTTCAACTGTCTTATATTTATAAAAATGGATTTCTACATTTTTCCTTGGTTTAGAAGCCAAGGCCCAAGTGAGGTGTAATTAAGTGCTAACTCTGATATCTCAATAGCTTTCACAAGCATACTGTTTGCTCTGGCAAAATCAAGAAACAGGCGATGTGGAAGGAAGACAAGGGTCTTCGCGTAAACTTGGAGGATGTTTCTTTGCCGTATTGGTTGACCTGATGGCTTTGGGCAAAATTTCATTAGTCAGCGAACACAAAAATAGTCTTGCTGTGCAGGTATGTCACAGCAAATATTAGCCTGCAATGCATGCTAGAATATATTGTTTGTCTAATGCTAGATGGTCCCACCATAGTGTCTAGTCACTTATCATGCCCAGACATGCACTACAGGCCCTACAGTACATATCTAGTGCTGGCCAAACAAAACAATGTGCCATTGAATCTTGTTAGCTTTTTTGTTAGAATTCTTGTTACTTTAGCTGGCAGTGTATTGGACCCAATGTGCCATACATACCTTAGCATTTAATTTAACTCCAGAAAACCTCCTAAAAGAGTATTGCTTGTCAGAAAGTACATAACAAACCAGCATAAAATAATTATCTTCAGACATAAACAGTACTAAATATCTTGCCTTAGGTTGTTAACCAAGAACAAACAGGAACATATCTGGACAGTGTGGTGTTTGATGAAATGGTGAAATATCAAAATAAACACCCAACAAAGAACAAGGAAGTGTCGGAATATATATTGGAAGCTGTTAAACGAGATAATGTGGATAAAAACTGTGCAACTTTGACACTTGATAGTCTTGTTGAAATTGATATACTGGACAAGGAACAGAAGATGTTAGGACTTACTAAGAAATACCCAACTCTAAAATTTGGTATGTTATTATGAACTGGTAATTATACAGGAGAGGAGCACCCTGATTCTGAAGAAGCCTCAAAAATCACAAGAATAAGAAGCCATGTAGTATTAATGTTGTTACATGTCTGTATTTTTTTTCATTTCAGAACCAGAGAACTCACTGAAACATGAAATCTCAGAGATTCTCTTGAATTTTGCAGCACCTGATTCTTACATGCGTTGTTTACTAACAATCCTGAGAACATCAGACAAGCTATACCTTACCTCTGATCCTCTGCTATCAAAATATTTCAGCAAGGCAGACTATGAGAAGAAAGTCAAAGAGAGGGTTGATGTTATTTCAAATTCTTGGTCTTATTGAAAGAGCAAAACTTGTATTAGATTGTTAACTACCATCACGTTGCAATTCTAGCAGGATCGAGGTGCACAACAAATACCTAAATAATTGTGCTATCACTACACATATGGTTTCAACAACTTTTCTTCTCTAAATATATTTTATGTCAGGAAACAAACATTCCCAGATACAGTATTTATAAATGATGTTTCCTCACAAATTATCTTCACATGAAGTCACATTGTTTGCACCTAAATGGTATTTCTAAGTGTTTTCAAAATGTTGAACTGGCAGCATATGTTGCTGCTGATATCAGCAGCAATTCACAGTGTAATATAATTAATTTGATAGAAATATGTACAGAACTTTTACGAAAGCATTTTTATTAAAATATGAACTACATTAAATGTTACTGAATATGAGTACACAAAAACCCAAATTGGACTGGTTCTTGGAAGAAAGAAGACACTGAATAAATGTAAACGCTGATTTCACGTGCACGCTCAACGTACCTATTTTTTACACAACTTTCACAGAAGATATTGCTTCATCGACTTGATACCAGGGATGCAAGAACACGATCCAAAATGAGAATAAAATAATTCAGTGTTGACGATTATTATTGGCATATAAATCACATTGAATATCAATTTCTAACTACACTACATTACACAATATTCCCCCTACAATTAATACAATAATCGCGCTATATACAATGCTGAAGTCACAAAAACAATTGCAACATGTGCCAAAATGATTTCTTGGAAAGTATAGCACACAATCTGGCACCCAAAGATAAAAGAATTTCAAAAGAAATGTCAAAAAGCACTCGAAACTTAGAGGATGTCAGCATGCTTGTTTTAAATATACTGGAGCAAAACCGTCCTTTTCAAAATAGTAAATAGTGTTTAAAAATTACTCAGCTTACGCAATCTGAATAATCCATTCTAAAACGCTAGTCTCTGTTCAATTGGGAAAAAAGAGCAGTCACCTAAACAGATTATTGACTTATGATTATTTCACTGCTCCCGAAACTTTTTCTAAACCGATATTTCAAAGTTCGTTCTTCCACATATGCTGATGGATTTGATAGGTCATCGTTAGTGGTTATAGAAACTTCAGAATACTGCTGTAAATTTTGACAGCAGGTCCAAGTTTGATTTTCAGTATATTAACAATGTCTGCTTGCTGAAGTAAGAGGAACGCCTCGCCATCAATTTGCTACAGAGAACGAACAGGATGTCGCAATTAGTAAATTAGAAGTTGTATGATGGATGCTGTGATGCATGAAGTAAATCATCCTTACCTGATCAATAAAGACTTGGGCTTGATTTACGCAGCCAATCGACCTGATATGCTCAGCCACTTGTTCGCAAGTCCAGCCCAGTACGATGTTTCTTTCGCTCGAGCGAGCGCCGTGGTTGATATGTGGACTAATGCCACTATTATAAACATTGTTATACAAACTAAACGATAGCAAGTTCTTTGAAGACGATGGTGGACCACCACTACCTCCTGAATTATTCACGAAGGGCTTCATTCTCGACCCATCTAAATAATACAACAATAATCAGGATCTTAAAAGCCAACCTTATACACTAAATAATTCTCCCAGGCAGGCCGAAAATCGTGTGCCAAGAGGTCTATTAGTTACGAGTAAATTTCGTAGAAGGTTAAACTATGTGAAAACCATCAAGCTTACTTTCGACTTGAATTCCCTGGTCGTGTTTGCTTCTGGTTTTGTACGAGGGCATTCTTGACGAAGAAAATACAAATCATTATTGTTTGTTTCCTAATGAGCAGCAATTTCCAGGAATTTATTCTGTACTTACTCTGGTTTATTGGTGCTTCGTGTTGTGATGATGCTGGGTCTGGACGATTTGTGACCTTTCATGAATGTCTTCTGATAGCTCGGATGGGATTTGGGGAGAATGGGTTTGTACATCTTCTCGCGATTTACTTCATTCAAAGGACACCCAGATGCACTAGAGAGGAATGAAAACTCATTGTAACAACCTCACAGTGGATTATATAATGTTGCCACGTGTTATACGGCATTAACTAGGCTGGACTTACCTGTGGTGTGTGCTGAATCTTCCTGTAACGTGACCATTGCCGTTGCAGCCTGGAGTTGGACATACTCCCAGACCAGCGGCATAGCCTGGTGACGGAGGTTTGTTTTCTGTCGTTGTAGTATTGTTGCTGTTATGATGAGCTAAAACAGAGTCGTGAAAATCGATTTTAAAACTTGGATGGAATACGAAGATTTATTAAAAGTATAATTAAATTGTAATAGTTACACGAACCTTTCACTTTGCTTTGCTTCCCGAACGAGTTCTTGCGTCGTTCGTAAGACCAATCTGAATCTTCAGCCATAGAATTTGCAGCCAGACGATCAACAAGACACGATTCCTTGCTGAGGTTCTGGAGGGAATATGGACAGCCAAACTGACTGTGATGGGTCGTGTACTTTGCACCTTTGACATGCCCGATACCTCGACAACCAGGCGTTGGACACGCCACTGTGTTCAGCTTGTCTGCACTGGCTGAAATCAGGATATTTTTATGATTAATGCTACTGATTTTAGTTCGGACAGAGAACACCCGATTGCATATAACTAACACAACGATGTTATCGATGAGGCATTGATATTTTAGCAGAGTACATTAACTTAGCAGAGTGCATTAACTTAGCAGAGTACATTACGTGTTTCTGATGATTATTACTACTCAGTATTACTGTAGGTTGATAATCGAATCCACCTGATATGCGGGTTTGCTAGGTTTACTTACTTATCGGTGCTTCCAAAGGATAGTTGCTCTTTTCACACCATCCTTGCGGGTGAAGATCACTGGAATCAGAATCGAACCAATCATCGTAAATCTTATCCCAACCGTCAAACGTTATCTTCACTTTAAGACCATCGATAGCGGAAATTGTGCCGACACGGATCAACGATGGATTACGTTTATCGACGACTTCGAGTTTGTGACCGACTTTAAATGAGGTCGGCGCACGCTGCAAGAAGATATTTCAATCAATAAACACTTTGATTGGGAGAAAAAGGAGACAAAATAGAGGAGAAGAGGGATCATTAAAACTGGATACTCAGGATACCTCGCCCACAGTTTAGAACTGGTTAAGCAATACTACCTTGATTTAAAAAAGTTTGAAAATACAGTAATTTTAAGGGGTTATACTAACGTGTTTGAAAAGATCAGCTGATGCAGCTTTGCAGCCCGTAGCTCGAAGATACTGAGACCAAACAAATGTGTCGACTTCATCGTCTGTTTGATAGAAATAAACGAATAAACAACTGAATAATCTTTCACTGTAGAACTCCGGTGTGAAATAAAATCCAGATCACGATTAAGAGCATGGTAGTAAGAAAGCCTGGGTGATCGAGTAGCCACCATTAGTAGTCTTACCATTCGGTGGTGTTAGTCGTCTTCCTTGCGAGTTACACCAGCCCACAGGGTGGATATACGGACAATCATCGTTGCACCAATAATCATAAGTGTCATCCCACTCATCAAAATGAACAAGGAAACGATTTCCAAGCACGTTCGTCACCGTAGCAACGCATATCAAATCAGGGTTCTTGCGATCTATCGCCTCGAGCTTCATATTTTCTTTGAAGCCATGTCGCGTTGGAGATGGCTGAAGAAGAGGTGAGAATGTTTTCAGTAAACGATGGGATTTTTTGATGGATGTGATGTACGAATTCAAAATAACAGGTCAGATGGTTATACCGGTTTGAATAAATGATCAGGCGCTGCGATTGCATTCGTGTCTTTGAGATACTTTTCCCAGGAGAAGTTACTGGCCGTCATGCCTGAAAAAAACAAAGCAAAGAATGAGTTTCACGAGGACATCACGTGTGCTTGCACGTGTTCCATGTAGAGCGCTTACTTCGAGGTGGATGCAGAATCTGGTTATTCTTCGAGCACCAGTTAACAGGAAAAATGAACTCCGAATCAGCGTTCGCCCAGAAATCATAACTTTCCGACCAGCCATCAAAATGCATTCTCAGGCGAGCACCTTTGACTTCCGCCACAGTCACAACACAGAAATAAGAAGGATGCTTGGGATCTATTGCTTCGAGCTTCATATCTTTTTGAAATTCATTCGCGGGCCCAATAAACAATTCCTTGCCAGGATTTTCCTGTGGTGAATGGAAAAAGGTGTCGAGGATAAATTGATGGAAGTAATTCAATTTCAATCACGTCAAAATATCAACATAATACACTGTTTGTAAAAACTTAGAGAGGCACACACCTGCGCAAAGCAGCTAATATCAGCAGCTTGTGAACTCGTTTTCTCCAAGTATTCTGCCCAGTTGAAAGGTTTTGGAGGGTTCGAGGAATCTGAATGAACAGAAAAGTCATAGCTGAAAGGAAATCCGTGACGCGCAAAATCCTAATCACTGGTATTTTCTCTTAACGACGAACAATTTGCAGTTGAAGACAGCGAGGTCTTACCCATGGTAGCGTTGAAATACTCCAGTTTTCCCTTAGTTTTAGCAGTTCCCGTCGTCTCTGTTCCACCATTTGTAACAACTTTCATCTTCTAAACGAAATGCTCGTTCTAACTACGTGGTAATGAATGATCACGTCTCCTCGATACAACTGCTAAAAGACCCCCGCCCCATGCAGTAAACTAATGCTTAATGCAGGCTCATTATAGTTTGGTTTAAACATTCGAAATGCACAGCATACCCCATTCATCGAAGATTGTTTAACGATGGTCAGTTTTCTGCCTTTTCTCTTCTTTCTTTTGATAACCTTGCCATCGAGAGCCTTCCCGGTTCTGGCAGCTTCGCGACCCTTGTTTCTGCGTCCTGTGTACACACCAACGCAGGTCAGACCACAGAAGCGACCAGACGCACCGAACTCTGAACGTAAGCCATATTTGCCGCAGATTTCACAACAGCAAAACTCGTCGGAGTCTGGGGGACCCTCCAGAAGCTTCTTCGACGAGTTTTCTGTGGTAATTGAGATCACACGTGAGTTTTACTGATTTGAAACGAAACTCTCTGTCCTCCGCTAGCAGAAGGGGCATTCTAGCTCACACGAGACAAGGGGGTGCTCAGGGTGGCGGGGTAATCAGGGTGAAGGGTGCAAGATAAGCCAGTGCAAGGTAAATTAACAGAATGTGTGATGACTTTTTCCCTGAGAAGACAGTCACCATACATTGGGAAAGTTTGGTGGATATGATTAACAGGGGGAACTGGGAGGGTGTGAAATTTGTAAGAGTCCTTACAGAGCTCATGGTTAACAAGGTATTACCAAAACAAAAACGTATACACAAAAAAGTATTTTCTCTTTACCTTCATCTTCTGGATTCTTTTCACCATTTGGTTGATTAGGTGATGGTTCTTTCTTTAGGTTTTTATCAGATGTTGATGTACTGAACTCAACTGGCTTTCCATCCTCTGTTTCAACCGTGCTGATGATCTCCAAACCAAATTCAGTCATTTTGAATTTCAGTTTACTACCTAAAATTCAAAAATTAATCTGTCAGTGTTTTGGCAATGGACTGTCGACATACAGTTAATCAGCTAGCAGTCTGTCGATTAATTGATTGGCAGATCTAATAGTTCATTTATTGGTCAGTCTGATATTGCATTGATTGCCCACAGGCCAGTATTTCAGTTCATTCATTGGTGAGCATGTTATTCCATTGATTGGGCAATGCAACTGTTCATTAATTGTTCAGCCAAGTTTGCTTTCAAAAAGCTGAAATTTCCTGAACTTTTCATCATCTTGAACTCAAACTTGCAAAGCCAACTCAACGTGGATTTCCATAAATTATGTTCAACTTCAATTTTTAGTGTAAAGTAAAGAGGTCATTAGTTCTTCATCTTCCTAACCTGGCAAATCAGCATAACCATCTTTCCAGTCCAACGCAGAAAGAGCATGATCACTATGAGCTTGTTCTCCCTCACCCAAACCATTCGGTTTTACATCAGCATTTCCTTTTGCAGTGGGTACATTGCTAACCTGGCGCACCTTTCCACCCATCAGCTCACGATTCGCCATTGCATTCATTGCATTCATCGTATTCACATCAAAAGGTTGTTTTTTAGGAGCGATATTTTGATACATGGTACTGTTTGGTCTACCAGGTTTTGATGGTGAACTGGAATGTACTTGGAGGTTTAGGGTGTGTGGATGTACTGGTGGGTGATGTTGTGGGATTATTGGAATGAACAATGGATGCAAATGAGCTTGATTGTGGACTGCTTGTTTTAAACGATGTGGGAGTTATATTTTTGTTAAGCTCATGAAGTTTACTTAGTGGATTGTTTGGTGACATGTTATTGTGTATGTTCGCCGTTTGTGATGGTGCTGATGACATAGCTGGGTTGTGGTGTATTGATGCCACAGGGTAACCTTAGGAAAGCAAAAAATGTATATAATCCAACTATATACAGTAATCCTAACACTTCTTGATCAATAAACTATGATCTTAACTAGTTAAACTAACTAAAAACAAAAAATTCATACCATTTTGTCCATTAGATATAGTTGGTTCTGTTTTGATTTTTTTCATTGGTGGTGTGTTAAGATTTGGATCAACCATAATCTGTTTTGGTCGTATCTCCCTTGCATAGCCATAATTTGTTCCCAGCATGTTCTTGTTTGGTCTGTTTGGTGACATCTGTATAAAAAAGTAATAAATATACTGTTAATATACTGTTACACCAAGGTTTAGAGTAACTATACTCCAAACAGATTGTAAATTGTTCAGCATTTGCAAACTAAACACAGAATATTACAATACATAACTTCAACTACATTCTACTGCTTATTTAGCAGACAAAATTAAAATTGGTTTTCTAACTTTCCTTTGAGTTGAAAAAAATAAAATGATAGCAAGGCAGCGTTTTTCAACAATACAATTTTTAGTTGAAAAAGTCCATTACATATAGTGAAATTGAAAACGTTTAATTCGCCATAATTAATATTTTGTAATTTTACCTTTAATTATGGCTAAATAATCTGGTATTTCCAATTAAGGTTTAAATTTCAAAAACTAAATTTTATGAATTTAAGGCGATTTTCAACAAGAACAATATTTCTAAATGAAAAATTTTCCCTCACAATAGCTCATTAAAAGTCGCAGGAACGAACTAAATTACAAGTTCCGTCTAATATTGCTTTTATTTATTAAGTAGCAACAAAACAGAATACAAAATAGAAAATTAAATTCTAGCGTAACGCAGTAATTTTGACGTCAATTTGGGTCGTAATTTTCCACGAAGATCTACAACTTTCGGAAAAAACGCCCCGGAAAACTTGCTTTGTTTTGATAATAATTATTTGAGCATTTCTTCAGAACCGTTTCGGTTATCAAACATCAAAGTGGATTTGTCATTTTATATTAAAAAAAAACTGGTTCTGAATTACCCCAAAAATATCCGAACTTCTATTCTAGGCAAAATACTATTTGAAGTTATAGACTTATAGATCGAGGTCTCAGTAATTAAAACCCGACCAAACAAATTAATCCTCTTTTTTCAGATGAAGTTATTGTTATGCATTTTGAAAAAAAGACTAAGCTTCTTTTGTTTGCATAAATACGCTCGAGTTGCCAAATTATGTACGCATAAAAGCAGAATAATATAGACATTTTTTGAATTGTCGATATTATTCTAAAGAGAATTAGAATAACGTGAAATGTTGCAAATATGTTGCAAATGTTCTCATTGAGAAATGAGAATTCGGACTAAACTTTAAGAAAAGGAATTTTATACCAGCTGTTTGTAAAAAACAACAAACGAAAACGAAATGTATACAACTTACATCAGTAACGCAGAAATCGAGAGGGGCATAAAGCGACATTTCTCGCGACAAAAAGCAAACTTTCCGCTTTCAGTCCTGAAGAAGCAACGCTACATTCATACCTATTTTGAGATAGCACGTTTGAATCCCACGAGTTTGCAATGAAATGTATAAAATCCCGGCAAATTGCGGTTTTATATTTTAAATGTAAATTGAGGTCGTTTCTCGCCACTCGCATCATGTGACCAGATGGTATTGATTTAAAACACCGCTTTATCGTGTTTGCAAAAACATTTCTGGACATCTATATAAATTGTTTGCTTTTAGTTAATTCACGCTGATATTAGGAGCAGAAGAAGGCCAAAGCCTGATCTAAAAACACTAAATTATAGCTGAGTAAATTGAAACTGACAGCTCTGACCTGAACCATAGTTAGAAAACTATTTCTACGAGTATGATAAATGAATGTTATATAACAAGGCAATTCTAAACCACTTTCCGTGTGCCGACGCGGCGAAAACGGCCATTGAGACTCTCTAGACATTGCTATTCCGGTCTTTTCAAAAGAAAACCCACTATTATACTGATTGTATAAGGCGGTAAAAACAAACGAAATCGATCTTGCTATGAGTCGAAAACAAGTTAATATATTACTGCCAAAAACGAGTAAAACTCTCAAAATTTGAATTACAAACTAGGCAGTTTCGCTTCTTATCAACCATCATCATTAACACTATAGGACAGGTCGGCTTTTGTTTCTGAAAAATGTAAATAAGACATAAGTTCTGGTAGTGTCGTGGTACAAGCCATTTTTACATATATGTAAAAGAAAACACGCTTGGGAGAAAAGTATCCTTGTTTTTACCGCGTTTTCACATAGATATTTCGATTGCATTCACCTTGACGACGAAAACAAATACTTGTATGTGAAAAGTGAATATTGTTTCGAAACGCTTTTGCAAGGCCGTACATTTTGCCGTGGGTTGGCTTCGAGTGCATTGTCAAAACACAATTTCTTTCAAGTATAGTGCCTTTATAAGAAAGAAGAATAGTTTCTCGTCGGATAGACGAAATCTGGAACGTTTGAGGCTGATTTTCAAACGAGACATGTGGCATCGTGCAATGAAACTCTATATCCACGCTTGACAGGAGTCCATCGAAATCCTGCTTTGCATCTCGGCGAACATGTGAAGCGATAGTGTTAAAACTCTCGCTAAACACGCTTCGGTTTGCCGAAAAACTAAAGTTATAAACTTAGACCCACGTAGATTATCGACCATTCTAGGGTTTCTTAGGAAAAACATATCGAAATATCGACAATTTAGGCATGTTTTTATTAAAGTTATGAGCTGCGAACTCAACCATCACGCCAACGCCGCGTTAAATATTCAAAATATATTAACTTGCAAAGTTGTTCCTGAAAATTGGCTCAAATTGTTAGTATACGTTCCCTCTTTCATTCGAAACTACCCAAAACGATTCGAAATGGTCTGCCTTCTGTTTTCGACCTAAATTTACTGTCATAAAGCTAGAGAAACCCAAAGAAAATGATCAAACTGCATGACCATATACTTGACCTCGACAGACTCGTGTTCCGGCTGTAGCAGTCGGCTATTCTTGTTTTCATTTTGCCCATCAATATTCGCTTCTTCCAAGGAGGCCATTAGATTCACTTTGGAAATCATTCGAAGCTCTAAAAGGTAACAAATAAACGTTCTGTGAGATAATTGCTACATTTGGGGAGCGATGTCGCAAATTTGAGACGAAAACGAGATTTGTGAAACAAGCTGTCTTTTTCACCATGAACATCATGGCTGACTTATAACAGAGGGCAAAGCCTTCACTGATTCTGTGAAACTGCCCCAAAATCAGGAAAAAAATCGCGAATTTCGCTTGAAAATCGGAGGCCTCGTGAAGGCAAAAACGCCAGAGTGGCTTTTGCTAGGTTTTGAAAGGTTTTTAACGACGAAAAATGAGGAAAACTAGATACTCACCAAAAGAAACAACTGCTTTGTGTTTCTGCTAAAACCCAAGTTACTCTCAGGGGGAGATGCATTCAAGCTTGTCTGCAATTAGCCAATCAGAAGCGGCCAAACACGCGTCACGTGACATGTTTTATTATTATAACAACCTGAGAGGCTAAAAATCGAACACGAAGTCAAATAGACTTGCGTCGTTTTTTTCCTTCAGAAATCAACGTATTTTTCAAAATAAGCACACTTAAATATCATCACAATACACCGCAAACGATTTCTTCCTTAACATTCAAACGAAGTTGTGTTTTGAAAGAGCTTTTTCGGGCGGTTTTGCACAGGTAAAAGATGACCTAATTGAATTTCCGAACGAGGTCAAAATACAATACGTCACGGTTCTTGACAAAACTCTTGTTTGTTCGAAGAAATTGTGACTATCCTCACAATATTTAAACCAATGCAAACAGCAGTGGTAGGTAGATATGTCAGTCGTTCAAACCCCCGAAATTCCGTCGAACGAGCGGCGACAACTCGTTTATTTGAAGATACATAAAAATCCTCAGTTTGCTTTTCATGTATATGTAAGACTCAACAGGTCACAAAAACTAAAGGGGAATATCAATGATATATCAGTGGTGTGCTTATTTGCTTTTCTTTTTAAAAATGTAGATAATTGCCAAGAACAGAAGGCTTAGACAAAATAAAAGAGTCATTTCAGTTCATTACGAAATCTCATGGTTTTTCCAATCAATAATTTCGCATGGACAGAAAATAGATTTAAAAAACGAAGGGTTTTTTAGTCAAACAGTTTAATAAATTTAAATTTACGAACTACATGGGTAAGATGAGGCAATGAAATGCGATTATCCAGAGCCATAATGACCTGTCACGGAATGCTGTCAGAATTATTGTCAGTATTAAATGCATTCCAAAACTTAAAGTGCCACTAAATTTGAACAGTTTAAAGTAGACTAGCCGGCACGTATATTTTGTGTACTCTTGTATAATTTATGGTCAGGTCTTTATGAAGAAACATATCTTTAATTCTAAGTGCCAAGACAATGCACAAAATTTTACGACAGAACGGCTAAGTGTTTTACATAATTTTTTTTCAAACTTGAGCATGGTGTATACAGATCTGAACTGTATCAATTTACACGTCTACACCGTTTAGATTTCTCAACACAGATTTTTGGACAATAGCCAAATACAACAATCTGAAGAATGAATCGAACAAGAACACTGTCATTGGAATCCAATATACATTCCATTTCAAATTAATTTGCTACATTTTCGTTCGATATTGCGTGGCGAACTTGCTCACTCGCAATCGTAGCGACAAATTTATGCAAGTTTACGTTAGGATTTTGAATAGGAAGTAATTTGTGGCTAAATTTAAAGGGTTTTTAATACTTATCTAGTCGTGTATTCTGGTAAGAACAAAACGCTATCAAATTTGCGCTATTTATAAAATTTATATCAGATACACTTACTTCAAAGTGATGTGCAAGCGATAAATTATGCTCAATCATGAAGATACAACCCGAAAATCGTCTTTTAGTTCTACAAAATAATGCTGCACGTATCTCATGAATGCACGATCGACACATTGGTTAAATTGAAAAGGAGTACTGAAGATTTAGGCAAGGGACAAAATTACTACTGCAAACTGGCCTGGTCTTATCGTAGCACCCCGTCGAACTTATAGTGTTGTGAAATAGCGGGACTAGTTTATGGTCTCATCAGTTCATCTTCGTGTAGATCCTCAATTAGGATTCCAAATAAAGGGTATTCGCGGCCATAATGTGTGTGTTTTAGCTACGGCCTGTACAGTCGCGGTTAATAGTACAGTAGACCCATATGTCCATGTAACCTTTGCCTACACATTCACTTCCCAATTTTCATTTTGACACATTCCCAACTCAATGACATGGGAAAACGTGCTTCGGAGGAGTACCACTGCTGTGCAAACATCACGTTTCATCACGACCACGGCTAGAAATATTTCAAGCTCGCGATCTTCTTAGAATCGTTTCAAGAATGTCGGCATGTGCTGTTGTCATGAAGTTTACATAAAGACGAGTAGTTTTCAAACTTAGAGTACAGACTACAGTTCAGCCCAGGTTTGACCAGGGCTGCGACGAATATATTCATCTACTGGTAAAGCTACTTTTTTGTGTGTGTGTGAGACATCTTATTTGTTGATCTGTGCAACTCAAGAGCAGTGGTTAAATCTTAGAGAAAATCGTCGTCATGAACAGCTCAGCATCTAACCACGCTCCTCATATTTCACCCTGGAAACACGCGAGCAGAAGTCCTTCTTTCAAAGTGCAAATTTTAATACCTTAAACAAAGACGTCACCTGCTGTTTGCAAGAATAATTAACCAAACAAAGAAAAGGACGCATAGCGATCACAATTAAATACTGAATTCGTGATTTTACTGAGACAATGATTTAACGACGCCTATAAATACAATTTTAACAACTGATACGATGTTTTTCAGTAGAGCGGACAGTAAAAATTTTGATCAGTTCGCTGTGAATCAGTGAACGGATATTTCAATCTGTCAATTTTTATGAAATTATTCAACTAGACGATATTTTCGGCATTATCGAGAGTTTACTTTTTTGTTTTGAAACTACTTTAAATGTCGATAAAAATGTTCATGTTGTTGTATAAATGGTTTGATTCTAATGCAGGACCGTTGAGAGCGCTATTTCTATGGCGAAAATACTTCGCTGGCCATTTTCCCAAACACACAAATCGCGCGTTGTTGTGACCGAGTCCAATCTGTCATTTGCAGTCTAAGTCCCAGTCACTCCTGGACAATGAAATATAGGAAATATACGATCGGGAATGATTATTTAAATCAGCACCTGAGTGTAAATGAAGATCAAGAAAAAAACACCAAATGATCTCTCCCAACATCTACATCCCCCCGTTGGCAATCGTGTAAAAGTATTGTATATGAAATAAATATAAATTACTTTTGTTTCATCGCGCTAAACCTCTTTGTTTTAAACAGTTTGAATATTAAATATATAACTTTTGATTGGCCTAATCTTTGATATGTATATTTTGGATATTGGCATTGCTTTCTTTACCGCATTTTTCTGCTGTTCAGTAACTTTCGTGAAATCAGCTGAAACGTTTTTCCTCGAGTATAAAAAATACGACCGATGAACTTTCATTTGTTCATTCTGCCGATAAGAGCGAGGTGATATGCGTGTACGTTGAATATTAAAACAGTTCTTCACCGTGTTCCGGGCAGTTGACTCTCTCAACATTGGCGCATAATATATCAAAGAAGAATAATCATTCTTGACACTTTATAACTATTCCAAACCATTTTTCAGCTATGTGTTAAACAAGTTTGCTTGTTGTCATAACTCATAACTCTCTCGACAGAACTCAGCAAAATATAATTCTCGTTTTACAACGCCGACTACTTGACGAAGTCAAGCACACAATATTAAAGTATCTTGGCTAGAATCCAGAGTTCGCCAACAGCGTCATTGAATTGATGTTCCAATGCACGTTGGGTGAACAAGATGTAATATTGTTCACAATGGATCAACACGAGTCTCCTCAATATCGCATCGTGAAAAGTCATAATGAAGAAAGTCTCGACAGTTCTTCCTAAAGACATTTGTTTTTGTCTGAAGTGTTTACATTTGACGAGAACTCGTAATGAACATTTTTCACTCATTCACAAGATCAAGTTTCGTCTGCGTGTTCAACGGACTCATCCACGCGTGACATTCGCGCACAGAAGCAGCTAGAGTACATAATCTCCCGTCGGGGGTACCCTACGTAAAGACAATACTACCTAAACCTTACCGACCTTATACTTATTGTCTTTTCCTGTTTGAATTTGACGGAGGAATCCATATTGTATTGCTCGTATTGATTTCCAAAATCTGCAACGTAATATGAGGAAGTTACATCGCAATTAATATGAATCCAAATGTGGTCAAGATAATAAAAAGTATACTCCAGAGTTGCAGTACAAGCTGTAAATATATATAAAGCGCACTGGTCGGTATTTAGATGTCATTCAGGACGGTTCTTGTTCTGAATAGTTTCAATATTTTCGAAGATAAGAACGCTGTTGAGCCAATATACCCAGGGATTACAGTTCGTTCCCCCCACCCCTCCCCCCCACGGAAGTATAGTGTAAACAAAGGTAGGCGCATTAATGTACAAAGACAAGCGATCGCGTGAGGTCAATACCAGTCGACTTATCACGCGAAACAATTTCACAACCGCCTGATTAACTACGGCACCTGAACGAACCAAAGCAAGACAAACGGGATTCTTCGTCGACCTTTTGCCAAGGTAAGTCATCACAGCTGCACGTACAAGTGAAATGCTTGCACTTTTAGCCATGATCTCATTCGATGATCGGGCGATTTTCAAACCGAACGCTATGAACTACACACGACAACGCGATAATCTCATGTTCGCCCGGCAAGGGATAGCGTTCCTTGTAGGGCTGGAAATCTGATCAAATAAGCATGTATATCTACACGAATGGCCTTCTAGCTTACTCAGAGGCCAGGTTTAAGTGTTGAAGGCCAGAAACCTCTGGTGTATTCGAGGAATTTTGCGTATTTGGGAGTACGCCGTTGTCGAGATATCAAATTCTGAACTAAGAGCACCTGGTCGATAGAAACATTGAATGAATCACTTGACGGCCGCGAATGGCGAACATGTCTTGAGATCGCCACAGAAGGTATTACTGAGTTTCGTGACAGCTCTGAAATAAGCGAGCTTGTAGCGTGTTTTGCGAGCAGACTAAAGGGTTCGTGAGGTGTCTCTGACGGCACCTGGCCTCTATTGTAGCTGTGGTCAAATCACAATAAAGGCGCCGCATCGAGTGCTCGCTGAAACTCGAAAAAACGCACGTTGCCTCGTGCTTTCGTATGAAAACCATTTCCCGTAACGCTGGACGACGCTCATTCCCAACCAGGCCTATTTTGGGCCGCTCTAGGGCGGTTTTAAGCACTGTTCTGGCGTACACACGCGAACAAAACTCCACATGTTGAATATTTAATTTGGACCAGAGATTCGCAATTAACACGACGAAGACACGCGATTTCTGTTACCCAAGCAGGAAGAACTAGTTGAAAACCCATAACCCCGAATGTGTACCGTGTTCACAAGCTAAATTCATTAAACTAGGCTGCTAGTAACACTCGCTAAGCTTCAACAAGCGGACATACGATATATATCGTAAAACTAATGGCGGACATTATTTATTCATAATGCTAGAATAATTATCTATGTGTCCAGGTGAAATTTACGTTTTTACAAAAAAACAACAAGCCGTTTGTTTGAAGTGAACAAGATAGGGTTTCCCTAAGCGTAGCTTAAGTTATATCTCGTATTAATATTGGGATTTATTCCGTTTCTGGCGATCTCTTAGAGTGGCGCGCTCGCTGAAATGGCGTGTTAGATATTGAGTCATGTTTGTACTGTATATAAATCGCGTTTGTACAAATTTGCTTTTAGCGTTCATTGTTGTTGAGTTATAGAATACATTCCGAAAAGAAAGCTTTTTCCACGAACATGCGTTCGAAAAAGAATAAGGCGCTTTTCTAAGAAAAGCCAGGAAAGCGCCACAGTTGAAATGAAAAGTGATATTTAGGATGGCAGTCAGTAGCGGCTTAACCGGGCTTACACACCGACGTACACAGCCGGGCTCATTTCCTTTGAACTAAATGACACATGTGCCAAGCGACAAGCACTCGAAAAGACAGGCGCTCGAGCGTATGATATTCGTAATGACTCATCTCGCCCACAGACACAGTGCATTCCGCATTTCACGATCCGAAGCGAAAGTTGGAAGTGCAAAAATGTCTCACGAGATAACGAAATCGGCATCAAAGCGAAAACTGTTAGCCGCGAAACTGCCCCCCGAAGCGAAAATGCTCAGCATTATGAAAAGCAAACATTTATTTGCGTCTGCTTTGATTATAGAGACTAACTACGGGAAAAAACTGCTGGAATATGAAAAGCGAAGAGTACGATACAGAATATACAAGCATCCAAGAGGCACCAGAGATTGAGGATAAGCCTGTGAGAAGAACATATCCTGCTTTCATTGAAGACAAAACCTTCCTTCCAACATTCAGCCTTTCAACAAAAGCACAAGTCCTGGATGATGAAGAGGAGGATTATAGTGAGTTTACACTAGCAGATCAACTCAACGACAGTCCATCATTCGCCTCAGATGTCCTTGATGAAAGCGAGAGATGGCATGTCTGTCATAAATGTAATAAAGTATTTGGAACGGCCAAGGAGTTGAGAAGACATTTACCTCGCCACAAGATATCGAAGAAGGTGTACGAATGCGAGATATGCTACAGGACCTTCACTCAGTCTAATCATCTCAAGCAACACATGCCTGTGCACTCAGGTAAGACTGAATTATAAAATATATTTGAACGGCCAAAAGGTCGAAAGATTGAATAACTTGCTTCGCGCGCTCGTATGCTGTGATATCTCTTACTATTTGATATCGACAGGATATAATAAGATATTACAAAACGACTCGAATTACAACAGTCAATAGCTAGAGGGCTCAAGGTGTCAGTTGCTTATACGACGCTATCTGACTCCTGAAAGAGATACACGCTTATAGATACTATACACAGCATGCTTCTCGGCAGTGTTGCTTCGTAGAGACCTAACCGAGACAAGATGTTCACTCGCGCGGTAGCCAGGGCCCAGGTATGAACAAACCACCGGTTTCAGCCAATGTTAGCCGGGATCCCTCTAATTCACACAAAGACGTGAAACACTAACGTTAATACACAGACATGTTAGTGAACTGCACATGCACTTTGTACCGGATTCGTGGATTGTTCAACGGTCGATGAAGCTTCAGTGAAAAACAAATCATATTCCCCTTCTTTATCTTCTAAGTACCACTAAAGACTAAAGGATACTAGAATTTTTCCGCCTACGCTTTCATTGCGAGTCGTAAATCAAACGAAACGAACGACAACAACCACAGAAAGCGACACGCACGCACGGGCCAATATAACAATCATAGGTTATGTGCTTGCCAACAAATTATATTATTTCTTTTTAATTTGAGAGAATTGAGCGAGCACGACACCAGCTACCGCGCGCAAAATTGATATGTCGAGTTCTGGACAAATTGAACTCTTTTTTTTCGTTTTTCAAGTGCGTCAGGATAGCTTCTTTAGTGGGAAAGTTTTCAATTATCCACATGCTGTTATCCCTCCCCACTGACAAGCTGCTAACATCTGATCTAACTTAATGAGAACCCGAAGGCTAATTGCGAGGATGTTGACTCATTTAAACAGATCCTATAGCATTCATGTGTGTATCGTTTCTGTCTTAAAGCAATGTTCAGCGATCGTATGGGCTCAAATTTCAATTCTAAGGCATTTCAACGCGCTAATTTACTCAGTTTGACCCAATTCACGAGTTAATTTTCCTCTTGTTTGGTCTACGGAAGGGAAAATTGCAAATAACGCGAAAATACACACGATACATCCCATATCTGGTAGTTCACAAAGCTCTTGTTTTCGTTGCCATAATGTGGGAAAAAATCAAAAGAAATAAACCAGGCGACAGGCAGCGTGTCATCTTAATGAATCATGTTTCATTTTAACATTCCTTTTCACTAAGATTTTTTCCTTAATGCTGAAAGATTCTGGCCAGGATTTCCCGCAACGCAATTTAATAGCTTTCAACATTGTTTTTTTGTGAGTTATATTTTGAGATACGGATGTCAGATATGCAAAAACCTTGTAAAATGAGAGCAAAGGTTTTTGTAAATATTTGCAGAAGGCGGTTGACTCCAGTTATTGTTATTTTAATGAGCTGATAAGACGAATATTTTGGCCTTACTAAATTGCCAACAAACACTCAAAATAGCCCATTGTCACAGACCTAGTGCTTTTGTGAAGGAAAAGAAAGGAAAGACAATCTAAGAATTACTTTCTGTGGAGTTTTAGGTATTTTGAAAACACACTACTGTCTACTAGAGATATCTCCATCCAATCACAAAATTGAACCAATTTGATTTCAACTTTCAGACTATATACCTATATAAAATTTAACTTTCAAAGTTCAAACCACATACCTGCTGTTTACCATTTCGGAAAATTTCCATCTCTATCACCATGTTGTTTACTTCTGATTTCTCATAAACCTGGGAAACAGAATAAAGCAATGACATAAAAACCAGTACATCTTATCAGGTTGTAATGACAGTACTCTCATAAAACACTCAAAAGCCCCCTCACACTACTAGAAGTCCCACAGCTAATGGTATGATTGATTTAAGAAAAACTATTCAAAATCAACATAGACAGGCTGTAATAGAATAGCTCCTGGGTGATTATCACCATCTTACACGGCAATGAGCAGGAATCAACTCCCAAAAGACGTCTGGTTAATTAAACTGTAATTCCCAATACTGCTGGCAGCATGCCCAATTACAAATGTGCCCCACTTTACCCTGATCCTAAACAAAGCTACCAAACAACGGTGTATATGCTTGTCTTATCAACAAGTTGACTTAAAAAACAATCATCCCGCACTGATTGTTATTTAATCATCTGGTGTACTACCTGTGTCCGTCATATACGAGACCAATCACTTTGCTATTTTTTTACAGGGGAGAAACCCTTCAAGTGTCCGCAATGCGACATGACATTTACAAGATCAAGTAGTCTGACACGACATCAGATTATTCACAGTGGGAGTAAACCGTACCAGTGCAAAATATGCTCAAAAGGTTTCAATAGGAATGGAAACTTGAAAGATCATATGTTCACTCATGCTCAACACAAGCCCTACAAGTGCAAAATCTGCGCTCGGGAATTTGTCCAGTCCAACAAGTTTAAGTCTCATGTGCAAATGCACGCTGGAACCTCCCTTGAGGAGTGGGCAATGTTTAATGTGAATATTACCGACGAAAGTTTGAGGGAGTCACCGTGAAGGAAAATGGATTTGTGGCAGGAAATGATCGATGAATGAATGGTTGGTTAAGAGAGCATGTCAGGATTGTAACGGGTCAAACATGTTCAGAAAGCTCCTTAAAAGCAGGGACACTTAGGAATGAATTTGGTTTTGCAAACAAGTTTCTTGAACATGCATCACTAAATTAATCCTAAATAAGCTAGAATTAGATTTCTGGATAATTTGTTGCAGTGTACCAGAGGATGGCCAGTTGTATAAAGCTACGTTCTTCATTCTCAATTCTAATAATTTTGCTTCCAAATACAAGATTATTAAATCTATTGAAATGAATTATTACCACCATTTTGAACCTTGTTGAGTTATGTACAGAAATCCCAAAACAACACTCAGTATTTTCATAAAATACAATACAATGATAACTGCAATGAATGTAAGCATTTTTATTTTCCAACATTCTAGTCATTCTTAATAATGGCTACCTATATAAAATCACTGTGATAAAGTTAAACTTGTAAATAATAATGCTAACATCATTACCATTGAATTGTATTTTGTACAGACGTGTCTTAAGTTATTAGCTGTGTGTATAATATTTATACAAAACATTAGATAGTTATAAATATTAGGGGAAAAGAACATATTTAAAACGTTGGAAATATAGCTAGACTGTAAATTTGTATGAAATGAACTTTAAAGGAAGATGTATTTTTTCTATGTAAAATTATATTAAATATATAGGCTTATTGTGTTAAATTTCTTTTGAAAATGTGAAACAGAGTGCATGTAAATATATAACAATTACATGTAATAGTTAGAAATGAAAATATATCGCATAATCTAGTTGTATTTGTGATATTATTGCAAAGTGTATAACTTTACTGTCTTTACAGATAGAGCCCCTTTAAGTCATCAACCACCCAGCCAATCGACTAAAAAGGAGCGTCTTGTTTGTATATACCAACCAAACACATGCTTTCTTTTACTCCTCACCTTACTAAAAAGCATCTCCAAAATAGAAAACAATCAAATTGAATCCTCTTGAGTATTCTTCCCCTGTTTTTAGTTTTTGTAAAAGTTAACGGTTTTATTTAAGTTCACGTTTTAGTGCGCTAGACTATATGCAAACACCTCCAACGAAATACTGCTGACCGCTGCCATATTGGAAGGCCACTGATCTCACACTCGCAATTTTTGCTGCATTTTCTTCTTTTGATAGATATGAAAGAGTGAATTAGTTACGGATGTCGAAATAGGAGCTCGTAGACATCACAGCATCCGTAACATATTACTTGTTCACATCTATCAAAAGAAGAAAATCGCACAAAAAATGAAAAAACAATGTGCACAAAATCTCTAAAGAATAAAAGATGCATTTTATAAAAATGTGACATCATCTTGACAATAAAATAGCTATCACGAACAGCTAATAGCAATATAGATACTCCTCCTAGCCTACGGTCTATAATATAAGGGTAAAATTTTTGCAGATTATGCATTTAAAATATTGCTGAATTTACACAAGGGAAATGAGTTTGAAAAGTAAAGAGTTGAGATTTCTTTGTACACAAATGGCCTGTTTTTGCTGCTCATAGTTGTTGGTTTTATTTTGTTTCCATTCATTTCTTCTTTTCTTTAATAGCCTAAGTTATAATCTAAAAAAAAAGAAAGCAGACATAAATTATTAATGGTTAAGCACAGTTTTTGCAAGAGAAGATCCTTTTGAATTTACCTCCTTAACTGCCTCTTTGATAAATTCTTTACGATCAGTAAGATCAAAAGCCGGATAATGGTCGTAAACCTGTGATAGAAAAACACAATTTTACACAGTTATTTGTCTCATAGAAACATGAGAGATTTCTCATCGTGTTGCTTACCTGTTTGCATACAGATTTCATAGTGATTTTTTCAAGGTCTGCTCCATCTAATAGTTCTTTGACAAGTTCAACAATTTCCTCATTGCTAGGTGGAGATTTCTTTGCCTTTTTGCTTAATGGTTCATCATCTGAAGATTCATCATTGTCTGGTTCTGCTTTTTTTTCTTCAACAAGGAAAATAAAAATTTTAAAAAAGTTCATGTCATTTCATGTACCTGTACGTTGTTACTACCTTTTGTTTTCTTTGCCTTTTTTCCAGGAGATATTTTTATTGAAACAACCTTTTTCTCTTTTTTTGCAGGCTTTTTAGTTTCCTTCTTTTCTTTTGTTGATGATTTTGCCTTTTTCTTTGGAGGCTGCAAAAATGAATTTACGGAATTGCTGATTAAATGGTCAAATAGTAAAAATCCTAATCTTAGGACAAATCTCTGATCTTTGAGAATCTGAAACCTGCGAAACTATTTTTACCTCATCGTCCTTCTCTTCATCACTATCTTTATCTGACTCAACATTTTCATTCGACTTTGCCTTCTTTGGTTTCACTTTCTTTGCCTATTTATCCAACATGCAATAACAAGATAATAAGACAACAAGAATAGTCTTACATACTGAAATATAAAACACAGTTCAACACACCTTTGATTCCGGTTGTTTCTTATTTTTCTCTATAAAACAATAATACAACTTTACCACCTGAAGAAATCTTTCAAACAAGTATTCAAAGAATGATTTTTGATCTATCATTTAACCTACTGTTTTTAGGGCCTTTCTTGACAGGTACCTCCTGAAAAGAGTTTTAGAATTTTGTAAAAACCATTTATAGCACACAACTATACCATGACAATAGTACAGCAAATAGTACATACCTTTCCTGATGCTTTTGGACATAACAGGAAGTCCATAACTCTTTCTAAAACATCTTCCTATTAAAAGATTTAGAATGAAATAGTTTAGTTTTAGACATCACTTCTGGAAACAGAAAAGCCTGGTACTGACTTGTGTGGGATATTTTCAGGAAGAAAGGCCACAATTAACTATACCCCACCTTAGACCCTTTTTTTTCAACATCCAAAATTTCACACAATCTCTTCATACTATCCTGTGTAAACCGATCAACTTGCTCCTTTTTCACCTGGTATTCTTTCGAACCCTGCAGCAAAATGACAAAATTTATCATCCAAATTATCTCTGTTGGTGCACACGTTTTTAATTCAGATATTTAGGACCTTAATTATAATTCTTTTTACTAACCTTCTCAATATTAAAGCCATTAAATTGTTTAATATGTTTCTTTACCTCTGAGGCCTGAAATCAGAGACAATATTCATATTTTAAAACACTGGCATGCAAGGGGAAGACAAACTCCGCAAAACAAGCTTTAAAAAATACTGAAGTACAAGCACTTACAGTTCCTGGCCTGCCGAAAAGTATTTTATGAAGTGGTTTTAGTTCCTCCCCAGGAATTTTACTTAGCTGTAATTGAACTATATTTAAAGGGAATTAAAGACAGGTTAAGATACTGATCTAGGAACTAGACTATATCTGCAAGTTTCATCTGTGCTGTAAACCTACCTCGTGGCATTGATCCTAACTTTTCACCTTTTCCCTGAAAGAGCAGAGAACAAGAAATAAATATATGTCAAATCATCAAAACATAAATAGAGATAGGAAATTTAGAAGTACCTCAGGAATATCTGTCTTTCTTCTTTCTTTACTTTGAGGTGCTGTGATAAGACTTGAAAGAAACTCTGTTGATTTCCTGACACGTTTTCCTTCCACTACAAGTGGTGCGTCCAGTATTCCTGATAATGTAACACAATGTTTTATGAAAAACAACATAATATCTCAATGATGTCCTGCTGATCTGATAATGGTAGTAGAATGTCTGAAGAGGGGATTAACCTTCTTTTCTTTTTTTATGAGGAAGCATGCATTGGATAATGACCCAGTTTTGGATTTATAAGTGAGCGGACTTGCTGGTCATTGTGATTTCCACTGTACCAGATCTTGCTCTCGCCATGACCTGCTCTTCACAGGTAATGCTTTTCCACAGGCTAAAGCTTCTTTACAATTTTTATTATAGTGCATTGCACACAGCTGTAACTGCAAGAATTCAGGGTATTTACACACTGCTAAATATGTGTTGTTGTGATAATTGAATCTGGTAAACATGGTGTTGAAATCTGTTCTGAGAAGCCATGCAACAGGGGGGAAGGAGGTGAAAATCAAAGATAGTTGTAGATGTTTATCATTGAAGCGATAAATGCCTAAAATGAAATTTACTGGGTCACTAGGTCTGGGCACCAACAATAGATGATTGTAGTCATTTAACAGAAAGCAATAGGTTCTATCCAATTGGTCTTATCCTGCAATAAATCCACAACTCATCTAAGTCCTGCTATTACACTATTTTATCTGGCTGAAGAGTTAGCACAAAGATAACATGAAAGAAAAGCAGCTGGTTGCTCCAAAATTCATATAAATTATCCCTTTCTTAGATTTTAATACCGCATATTAGGCTTCAAGAATCTTTATAAACAACCATTAACAGTCCATAATGCTGTACGTATATGTAAATTACGCAAGAGGACTCCCCAAGAGACCTGTTTTGACTTCAAAACAAATAAAAATCAGCAGCCGGCAAGATTTATCTAAATAACATTAAATTCTATGATTCGAAGGTATTTAAATTCCGAAAATTTACAAAATCATACCAACTAATTCTTCATCATCACTGCTTTCCTGCTCCGATTCTTCTTCTTTCTTTTTATCTTCCTTCTTTTTATCTTCTTTCTTATTCTTTATTTCCTTTGCAGGTTTTTTAGCTTTGTTAGGTGAATCATCGCTTGACTGTGTTGTATCGCTTGTCTCGTCTTGCGATGCGGCAGATTGCTCCTAATAATTACGATAATTTAAGGCTTTCAGCAACGAAATTCAAGCATTCAATGCCGAAATGGTAAGGCACATATATTCTGTTTATACTTTACCTTTTCACTGCCGTCTTCCTTTGTGTCTTCCACGTTATTTTCGTCAATTTTTTTCGACTTTTGATCGGCCATTTTTGCAAATTTGCAACATCTAATGATCAACAAACATGTGTATCCTGAGCATTGCGCGCCAATTTCTTCCAACGGAGACTATTTCCCATCATCCAGAAGGAAAGATATCTGGTCTCAAAATCATGTCGGGTAGTATCGTATTCATTCGGAAAATAATCCCCATCCACTACAAGTTGATTTCGGAACTAATCGGAACAGAGTCGATGCTCATCGACTTCCTTCGGAAACTAAATTCATTTACTTTGACTGGACTGAACACTCCGTGAACTCTAGGTAGAAGACCACTGTCGACTTCTCTAAAATGGTCTAAGCTATTCCTAGAAATTTCTCAGAATAGTAGAAACAAGGTGGCGTTAAGGAGACATGCAAAAACCCAGCGTGTCACAGAGTTACATCACTTGATAATTAGAGAGGCCGCCTCCACATTCTTCATTTCAAACACATAATGAAGTCGGGGGGTTACTTTCTTTTCCTGACATTTTCTCGTACCTATTGACCTATAGCGGTTCATTGCATGTTATCTCTGTAAACGCAGCCCCGAGGTATATTCTGAATGCGCGCTATGTAATATGAAACTTCAAAAGAAAGGGCTAATCGCTTTGCGAACAGAAAAAATGTGTGGCTATTATCATAAACGCACCATGACAACAAATCATCATGTTTCAAATTACAAACATTAGCAGGGATTAACTTTAGCGTCCTTTCAATATGGTATGCTATATTTATTATTCCTCTGTGTAAATCACATCAAACAGAAGTGGTGATTTAACCAAAGTCGACTCTTCTTGTAGAATGTAGAGAGACTATGATTAGGCTTAAAATTCCTCAAACATTTGGGGAATGTCATAATCATTCATCACTATTGATTACATGACTTGTAATATCTACTGGCAACAATATGGCGACTAGAAGATCTGGCATTCCAGTAAAGTCTGGTAGTGGACTTAAGACGCAGACAAGCGTCGCTTTGCAGTCAAGTTCTCCTCGAACGTCAGGTATTCCGGTCAAGAAAACGAAGGTTTGTTAGCTCATCCTATCTACGTTTGACGTTGATTCCCTACAAGTCATATCTCAAAATATAGTACTGTATCAGTATTATTATATACCCATATCCATAATTTGTTAAAACAAAGTATATGCCGGGTTCTCCTATCGAGACGATCTGCGCTAAGATAGCATCTAAAGATATATGCAACCATATCTTAATTTGCGCGAGTTTTCTTAGACGTCTCTAAGGAGTATCAGGTAGATGACAAATGAATGAACTGATTCGTCTAATTGAGAATTCAGGCCCACGCTGAGCAGTTCATTGATTAAACAGCGTCTTGGGAGGTTAGCAAATGCGCAGTTATCCAACAGAGCAAGATCTATTTTCATAGAATGTGGCTCCCAGCAAATCATCCAGCCTGGCTCAAACAAGCAACACTCCAAAACGCGAAGGTGATTTACAGGAAGAAATACAAAGGTTGGAGAATGTCGTGAAAGACAAGGATTCAGCCATAAATGATCTAAATGAAAAGTTGATGGAAAGAATGAACGAGTGTCAGGTTTTACGCGAGGAGAACGAAGCCGCCAGGGAGAATATTAGTTTTTCAACTGACGAAGGGGTAATTCTATAGACAATGAGAATGAAACCTCGCCTGGATGTGATTTTATACTGTATTTATTTATGTTCGTATAATCTTTTTAGCAATTACACAAAATTAAAGATCTCGAAAATCTCCTCAGTGAAAAGGAAACATTCATTGAAAACATGCTGATTAAAAAACAAGAATTGGAGAGAAAATTTGAAGTCGAACTGGATATGTTGAAAAACCAACACGAAATTGAGATGCTTTCGTTGCAACAGCGTTTAGAAGAGAAACATGAAGAAAAGATGGATGAACTGCAAGAAATGCTGAAAAATCAAACAACGGTTAACGACCAACTTCAGCGAGAGATCAGTGGAAACCATGACCAAAAATCTTCAACAGAAATTAATCGACTTCACGAGGAACTGATGAGCACGAAATTGAGGTATGAAAACCAGATTTCTGAATTGAAGCAAGAATTGGAGATGGAGCAATCAGAAAAAGATGATTTGATCGTCAAGCAGGAGAATAGCAGGAAAGAGATTGACAGCGTTGAGGAAAGGCATAAAGAAGAAACAGAAACGCTAAAATACATCATTCAGGAGAAGGATATGCTGATTGATGAGTTGAAAAACACGACAGAGAACGGAGATGAAAAAACGCTCGACACTAAGCTTTATTCTAAAGAAGATGTTACAAAGAAGCTCGAGGAATTGCGACGGGAACTTACGACGGAGCACGAGCATAATTTGGAGTTAGCTAATGAACTGTGGAGGAAAAAATTTGAGGAACAAGGTACAGGTAAGGAAGAATTGAGTGGTTCAATTGTAGACGTTCTTGCTGTAGCTTGCTGTACTTCTTGTAGATACAAGACCTCGAAATCAAATTCGCTAAACACATCAGTAAGATCGTAATAGATATTTTTATTGCCTTTCACAGATTCAGACAAAAATGTTGAGAAAACGGACAAGTTGCTTGACGAGATTTCAGATCTGAAAGACCAGTTGCAAGAGGCCAATGATTTAAATGATGAACAGACGGAAATCTTGGAAGTTCAAGAGAAAGATATCGAGGAATTGAAGGAGAGCAACAAAGAATTCCAAGAAAGATACACAACTCTTTATCATGAAATGGAGTCAAAATGGCAGAACGAGTTTAGCGAGAGTGAGATTATTGAAAAAATAAAAAGCCATTACGAATTGGAAATTGAACGTCTTCATGGAGAGTTGGAAGATATTCAAAATGAAAACAGTAATCTTAAAACTGAGGTAGATTTGATGGCTCATGACTTTGATGGAAGTCATTCGAGGGCAGGTGCTCCCGTCAGAAAATCCTCGTTCACTGCCAGGTTGGATATGAAAGCAGAGATTGAAGATTATAAAGTGCAAATAGCAGCACTTGAACGCGATCTTCAGCATGCTTTAAACCAAAACGAGAGATTGAAAATTGAGAGCGGAGCAAGAAACGAAGCCGGGAATGAATCTAAACTTGAGGAACTTTGCCAGTTCAGTAACATGATCGATGAACTTCAAACAGAACAAGTCGAGCTCCGTGATAAGCTTGAGAAAAGTAAAACAGATAAGAGAGAACTTGAAAGAGATTTGAAAAGTCGGGATGAAGAAAGAAAGAAATTTGAGGAGGAAATGAATGCAAAGATAAAGGAAATTGATTTACTTAAAGATGAACACAAAAAGAATATTGAAACATCTGAGGTGAAGCTTTTGAAACTGGAAAAAAGTGTTGATGAATTAACAAATAAATGTGAGAGAAGTGAAAATGAACTTACAAGGATGAGAGAGACCTTAGAAAACTCGGAAAACCACGAGCGTGATTTGGAGGAAGCTCTTCAAGAGTTCAGGGACAAGGAGGAGACAATGACTAAAAAACTTCAAGAAGCTAAATGTAAAATTTCTACTCTCGAGGATCAGTTAAGTAAGATGAATTCAGAACGGGAAGGCGCTGGGGAATCAAATAAGGTGAAAGAACTGGAAGAACAACAAGTGACTGAAGCAAGAAAAAGAGTGACTGAGTTAGAAAAAATGTTAGCTCAAAGCAGAATGGCCAGCGAAGCATTACAGATGAAATATGATAAACTTTTGTCGGAGGGGGAAACAAAAACGTCTAGAATTCATGAACTTGAGGCGGCTTTGAGTCAGCATGAGAATAACTTGAATCCTGAGTTTAAGAACGACGGAATTTTAACAACAGACGATGTTGGAGAGCGTGGTGAAGTCGAGATGCGACAAGCAAATGAGGAATACGAGTGTCTGAAGAAGAAATACGATCAAGAGAACGAAGCGAACAGTCTCAGGATCAGCGAGATAGAAACGTTATTTCGGCAGAAAAACATGGAATATGAGACACTTAATGTGAAATATAACGAACAATGCAAGAAAAACGAGAGTTACGAATCCAGGGTTGTTTTCCTTGAAGCAGAAATAAATGAGCAAAAATCTAAATTCGTTGAAGTGGAAAGTTTAAATAGTAATTTGCAAAATGAAAATACAGCAATGAAGTCGAGGGCTCGTGAGCTTGAAGCTTCTTTGGAGAAGTCCCAGGATGAATGTGTCAAATTGACTTCGGGAGGAAATGAAAGATATGAAAAGTTTTTGGAAGAAGATAAGTTGAAAGATACAAAAATTGACGACTTAACGAGAGAGAGCAGTCAATCGCGAAAACAAATCACAGCTTTTGAGAAGAAAGTGGCAATTCAGGAAAGAGAGAAAAAGAGTTTGGAGGAGAAGATTTGTTTGTTTCGTAAAGAAATGGAGGAACGGAATGAAGAGGTTGAAAATTTGAAAGAGAAATGCGAGTCCTACCTCGCGAAAAACAAAGAGCTGAAGGAAATAGTGGAAACTCTGAAAAACAGTGAAGAAACGTTGAGAACATACAAAGAACGAAATCAAGAGTTGTTGAGTGTCATTGAAGAAGCAACTCGTGAGAAAAAACATATGCTCGCTAAACAAACACTGCTGATTGAAGAGAATGAGGGACTCAAAGATGAGAAAGACACGCTTAAAAACGAAATGGAAGTTTATGAAAGTGCGAGGGAGAAGGATACTTCGACTCACGAGCAGAAATTTGAAACACTACAAAAGAAGTTGAAAGAAAAAGACAGAGTTGTGAACGAGACAAAGAAACACTGCAGACAGCTCAAGGACAGTGAAAAGGATTTGAAACAGAGAGTGGATGAGAGAGAAGAGAAATGTTTAGAGTTTGAAGGAAAAGTTGAGGAATTAAACGGGAAGTTAAAACACTTGTTAAAAGAGAAAGAAGATGGGGATAAAACAAGAAAACAAAGTAGAGATTTGAAAGAAAGCCTTGAAGAAAAGAACAAGAAATGTTTGGATCTAAAAGAAAGACTTGATCACACGAATGGCGAGAATACAAAGTTGAAGCAACTACTTGAAGAAACGAAGATAAACCACAGTGAAAATGAGCAGGCCTGGCAAGAAGAAATAGCAAGGCAGAAGAACACTTTCGCTCGTGAGTTAGAAAATATCCAAGAAAATACGAAGCAGTCAGCTCAGGAAAGCGGCAACGAAAGTGAGGAATTACGTCGAGAGATGTCTCGACTCAGTCAGGAGAATCATGCATTGAAGATACGACTGGACGACTTGGCGATTGAAGTCAGCAAAGAAAAGGAAGAAAAATATAAAATGGAGAAATTAAAAGATCAGTTTAGGTTTCGAATGCAAGGAATACAGGAAAGATTCGAGGCTGAAAACGAGAAGATGGCTACGCTTCAAGACGAACAACGACGAGGAAAGAAAAAGATAAATGAAGAGAGGAATAAAGTAAGCCTTGTTCTTTGTAAAATATAACTCAATATAAAGCTTAACTCAGATGTTTACTGAGGATTGATTTATGCAGAACATCATCGTATCAGTTGATTTCTGGTAAAATAGTGAAACTTTAGTATTTTGTTTAACCAGATAGGTCTTTTTTGTATTTTTTTCAGCTGCTGGAGACACTGAATGAATACGAATCAAAGAATATCAAGTTGATTTCTGACATTGAGAAAGCATCCAGCGTTTTGATAACAACCAAAGAGAAGTACGCGAAACTGAAAGAAAAATACAGCGCGCTTGCTAAAAAATACACCAAGTTAAACAAAGAAAAGATGAACAAATCCGACGTACAGGTTGGACCTGATGCAAGCGTTGATTTAAGTCTTGTTGTGGAAGATTTACAGCAGTAAAAGCAGCGAGGAAACGAGCTTGAAATTACGAGCTGAGTTGGACAGACTACAAGAAGAAGTCGGGAGAAACGAGTATCAGGTGAAAGCTGTGAGAAAGGCGAACGTTGTTTTGATGAAACAAAGTCGGTGTTTGTATCAAGAATCCGAGGAGCATAAACGAGTAGACGAGGAAAGGAGGCAGGAGCTCCATAAATATCGTGAAATGGAAACGACTTTACAAAACGAGAATGAAACGTTGAAAAAGCGACGGGAAATGTTGGAAGAACAAATTACAAAATTACAAGAAGAGACAGCTAAACTGAGACAAGAGAATGATGAATATTTCCTAGCGAAAAATAAGACTGAAATAAGACTAGGGGAACAAGCCAGCGAATGTGTTTTACATTCTCGTCAGCTAGAAAGATTAAAAAGAGAAAATGAGTTTTTATACAACCAAGGCAGAAAGCTGCAAGCTGAATTGGACGTCGGTAGAATGAAATCGATGAATGTGACGGCTGGTAAACCGGATGAAAAGGAGAACTTCCTCCACGGTTATGAGACGGAGGCATTGAAATACCAAGAAGGAAAGGAAACTGTTACAAACATTGAAACAAGAAAATTGTTGCAAGGTTTGAAACTGAGTGAATCTGTGAACAGTAACGCGTATGAACTAAAAAATTACACCCCTCCAGTGTTCAACAATGAAATAACTCTTGGAGATAAGGTAACGTTTTACATCACTAGACATTTTTAGCTCAGGATAAACGATTGAATATATTTCTTTCTCCCTAAAGGTTGTTGAACTTTCAAAGAATAACGCAGACACAGCGTCGTCTCCTTCACACAAGAATTACTCCGGAAAAGACACAAACCTGCAGATTTCAAGAAATATTATCAACAACGATTTTGTCACTGAGAAATATCTTGGAAAAACCTACTGGGATACCCTGGAGTTTTTAAAGAAAAAATAGCGTAGTTTAATTAAGAAATATAGATAGAACTGTCTGTATATTAACAAGTGTAACTGAATATTCAATTCAGACTCTTGCAGTTGTTATGAAAATGCTTTTAAAATACAGTATACTGTATGTTTGGTACAGGCTACAGCACTTGACCTCTGCCAAATAATACTAAAAGAAAGTAGCATGCATATGTGATTTGCACGAGATATCCCCGTGACAATGTCGCAATTTCCGCGTATCGTATGTCACGTATAAAGAGGTCCAATATTTCGTATGTATTTGAAATCAGATACTTAGAAAAGCACGGGAAAGTAGGCATTCATAATTTACTCTACGCAGTATTTGTTCACTGACAGGCAATAAAATACTAGAAATGCGCAGGGATTTTAGTGACAATTCATTGGTTTTCTTCAATATTCAGGTGGGTACGTCAGGGAGTAAATTCTTGCGAACATTATGTGGTGTTGGTATTGTTATTGGAATAGCAATATCATGGGTTGGATCGACGCAATTCGCAAAGAGTACATACACAAGTACATTTAATGCGCCGTGGTTCGTCGTTTGGTTTTCCACCAATTGGATGACCTTAAGCTTTCCTGTCGTTTCATTTTGTTATCGACTTGCGAATGGCAGCAGTTTCCTCAATAGCTTTGGCAAGGCTGAAAGTATCTTTGGTGAACGAGGGTTATGTCCATACACGTTATTAACGCGTTGTTTACCGTTTGCCGTACTCTGGGGAGCTTGTAACTACATGTATACCAGATCGCTTTCATTCTTATCTGCAACAGATGTCACGGCGCTGTTCAGCTCTACGCCAGCCTTCGTCTTTGTTCTTTCACTCCTCCTTCTGAAGGATGAAATATTCTCGTGGCGACGTCTCCTGGCAACGCTGATCTCTATAGGAGGAATAGTAATTATCGCCTATAGTGATGGTTTTACTGGACCAACAACGACCGGCGTTCTCCTAGGTGTGGGTTCTGCTGTACTGGCTGCGATGTACAAAGTGACATTCAAGATCTTCATTGGAGAAGGTGATGTTGGACAAGTCAGTCTATTCCTAACTTGTCTTGGTTTAATAAACCTCCTCTGGTTTCTGGCCAATATTAGAAGTTATTTATTTTACTCACTATGAACATATAAATTGGCACCATATTCCTTGGTCATATCTGTGTGGCTCGGCAGCATTAGCATTGCTGTTTAATTTTCTTATAAACTTCGGGATAGCATTCACCTTTCCTCTCTTTATCTCTCTTGGAACCGTTCTGGGCATTCCTATAAACGCCGCGGTTGACGCGATCTGGCGAAGTGCGTCATTTTCGTGGTTAAAGGGGCTCGGTGCTGTTTTGATTATTCTAGGATTTTTTCTAATGTCACTGCGTGGTAAAAACGAGAAATCAGAGGAGCAGCCAAGAGTACCTCAAATGAGTTCAGCTTTGTTTGTCCATGACACAAGAGAACACCTTCTAGATTCTTCTTAGCCCAACCAGCAGTCGAAATCTATTCGATCCCAAAGGCAGGGTACGAATTGTACACGATTAACTTGGATTGTGTGAACAGGCGTTTAAGAAGCACACACAAAACCGTACAAATATGTGAATCTAATCTAATTCGTCTATTGAGAACACTGTCAAGGAGAAATTATACTTGAATGAAAATATTTATAACTCGTAGAAAGAATTATACCGCTCTAGAACATCGCTAACGAAGAGTCATCGAGAATTTGAAAAACAACAAAAACGACACTCGCGAGTTTTCAACTTTAGCAAAAAATTAGAAATTAAATTTACTAACTGACCCTGGGTCAGATAATTAAGAAATATGTACAATAAGCGCTCAATTTAGTAAATATTTTTAAAGAAATACCTAGGGCTAGGATAATTTTATGATAATAATTGTGTATATTAGATTTGTGTTTTATTCCATCCGACCATCAGTTTCAATTGTAACCAATTCTTTCACAATTGCAGGACGAGGTATCAATAAGATTCAGGATTTTTTATGAAGTTCATGAGAGGGCTATTGCCTTTTAAAAAGTGTAAAGTGATGAAAACTCTTAGTACAGTACATTGCCTAAAGTAACCAAAAACGATTTGATTTCTGACAATAAATTCAGACATTGCAAAATACCAATAGCAAAATTAGAAAGTCAGATTTGTACATGACAATTTCCTGGAATCTTCAATCACTTCAGGAGGATTTTTTGAAACACATCAAGACTGGAGTCACAACTGGGATTTAAATAGTCAATCTTTTGATGGGAGGACTCCTGAAATCCATTCTTTTATATCTGACATTTCCTGAAATTTGGGATTGGAATCAAAGTCATGTAGATAGACTGTGGAATATTATAATTTTGTGAAGGATATGATTGCTAACAGTTTTAGATTCTTCTCTGGATTTATTTTTAACTCAGGTGAATGTATAATTGGACAATTGCATTTTGTTGAATTGAATATTGCACGGATAGATATTTGAGACCAAATTTTCACTCTGTTAAATACTAAAATTATCTCTTGCACCAACCTGTTCATTGGAGCTATGCCCAAGTCCAGGATATGTTTTGAATTCATTGTTTGAACTGCCTAAGGATTTGATAAGGTCAGAAGACATTTTTCCAAAGGAAAATGGTACCATTGGATCAGCTTCACCTGTAGACAAAACAGTATGTTTTATGAGGTCAAAAAAATCAGTAAACACTTCATTATAAAAACATAATTTTAAAAGGTTATTTTACCATGACACTGCAATACTGGTGTACTTGAATGCCATTTCAATGCCTTAAGAAAAAAAAAGTTATTTTATAGTACTATAGATAATTTTAACAACAAGCTGTGCCCAGCATGTGGACATAAATGCATATACCTTTGGGAAAGTTTTATGTAAGGGTAGCCATGTACTAAGGCAGAGAAGTCCGCCCAATTGTTTATCTAATGTCAGAGCTGTGTACATTGATACTGCACCACCTTGAGAAAATCCACCTGGTATAATAAAATATAAAAATAATTTCATGCTGGACCATTGAAATATAAATCACTATTTCAAAAATCTTCATTCCAAGAAACTTACCAATGATAATTCTATTGCATGGCACTAGTTTCTCTTCCTCAGCAATCAAACCTTTTACTATGAAGGTAAAGCATGGCACATGAATTCTCCTCAACTCTTTATTTTATACAATATATATATCCTAGTTGTAACTTGTACATACATTTATCAGCGGCTTTTTTTATTCCAGCTTCATCTTCTTTGCCAGTTGGTGTAAGAGAATAAAGATCAAACCTATACAAAAACCAGTAACTTTATAATCCTTTGACGCAATAAACTACAGTATTTCTATCGACAATCTTACCATGACGGCATCATTAATCCACCATTTAATGTAACAGGCATGACTGGGCTGAAGAATGATATAAAATGTAAAAACAAGAGAATTTTACAGTTCTTATTTCCATTAAAAAACACCTACGCATTTGGGAAGACATATTTGATATGAGGCTCTTTGATTGCCGAGAAGCCTTCGGACCAACCATAGCCATTATCTCCAAGACCATGTAAGAATATTACCTAAAGAAACAGCATTATAGCCATGAATAAAATATACTTTGTCTCTAAAGAAGACAAACTCAATCAATATTTATGCCTGAAGAGTTTTCTTTCATGAAAAGTATTGTAGTGTTGGGTTAAGAAAAGGAAGTGTCTTTTCTTATGCAGTGCTGGTTTGAGATGGGCATCTGTTTAGAAAAGAAGTATTTTCAAAAGGATGCTTCATCTGGGCCATTTTTTAAAATACCAGGCAATAAACTGCAGGAGGTCAAATCTAATCAAGATTTGATAGCAATATAAATTATATATTATGAGAGTTTCTCACGTTGAGATGAGGTCATTTGGCCTAAAAGGTTCCTTATGACAATCCTTTCATATTTAGATATAAAGATTATGAGCTGCTACTAACATTTGCCTGCAGCAGAAGGGAATTTCTTGACTGAAATGGCTAATTTGACACGATAGGAACTCCAACAAACAAAACACAAAGACCAACATAACATCTCTTTGTCGAATTGTTGCGATTATATAAATTGAAATACAAAATATTGAAGTCTTGCACAAGTAAACAAACAATCACATTTTAAAAGCACACAAACCTAAACCCATGCTGGTTTGCTGTTAGTTTTATATCGCTTCATTTTTTTAACTTTCATGAATATAATAACACAAAATGATTTGAAAATTGAAGTATCAACTTACCGTGGCAGTATGCCTTGCAGTTGGCTTCACAGTAAAGTTTGCAGCCATCTTTTTAGCAATATTTAACATGTACAAAACCAATAAATATATATAAAATAAATCCAGCCTTTTTCTTCTAATTTTACACTTTTTTTTGAGATAAAATTTGAAGACAAAACTTTTAAATTTCTTCTCAAAAACTGAGACAAAATTTCGAAGAGACGCGCGGGGACTAGGTCGAGCGCGCAGGATTCCAAGATGGCGGAGAAAACACAAGGAAAGGCTCGTAAAAGAACGCATTTTGAAATGGAGAGATCACGGCAATCTCCCTTCCAAAATCCCACAAGGACCGGAGAGTCTGCTGCCGTTGTATCCAAAGCACCTCGCGGTATCAATTCCGCAGAATTTGCCGAGTCGAGAGCTTTGGAAATTCACAACATGTTGCAGGCTCTATCGTCCGCATCTAAGCAAAGTAATAAACGGGTTTTTCAATCATTACCTCGGCACATGAGGCGACGAGCTGCAAGTCATGACTCAAAGCGAATGCCTGTTAGACTTAGGAATGCTTATGATAGGGAGGTTGGTAGAAACTTCAGTTACCCTTGCAAATACATACGAATATTTTGCGCAAAATAAAGTTAATAAACTCGATATTAAACACACGAGATTATAAAACGATTGGCCACTATTATATATTTAAAGGCTTTGAAGTCTCAGGAGAAATCAAAAGAGCCTTCAAAGCAAAAGAAATCGCGCAGGCACCGTAGAAAACGCAGCAACCTACTACAAGAATACAATAGACGAAAAAGGAAACATGCCTGGCTCGAGACACATATATGGCACGCAAAAAGATTTAAGATGGTAGAACAATGGGGTTACAAGATACCTTGCCACCCAAATGATAAAAGTGTGAGAGCTTCTTACCGTGCTATGGCGAATGGTTGCTTATTGCAGGTATAAATAAGTAAGCCACTGACAGCTGGATAACTCCATCCCTCCAAAAATAAAGATTTAGCAAGTGGGTTGTTCTCTGCCTTTCAGGATATTTCTTATTATCAATGCACTGAAGTTAAAGGGAGACAAGAAATTATCATTGCAGCAATGAAGCACTTGATAAGCTCAGATATTGGTAATTACAGAGAAAACGAAATAGTTTATACCTGCATTTTTATAAGAGTACATGCATCATGTGGTTGTATTCAGAACTGTACCATCAAAGCTGGTTCATTTTCTTGTAAGGTTTGACAGTGGTTGGCAAGGAGTACTTAGATGGTAAATATGAATCTGAAACGATGCTGTATAAATATGACAGATATCCATACCAGGCAATTGGTCCAGTCATGTGTCTCTGGGAACAGCAGGTAATCTTCATAGAGTTGACTGCATTTACGTAAATCACAACTGAAATTATATATCCATCCATTCTCTCTTTCGAGGTCAATCCTGTGCCAGACATGGTAACAAGACTTTGGCTGTGGTCACATCCATCATGTTCAGATGAGGTTGTAAAGGAAATTGTACATGCTTGCAATCTTGAAGAACCAACTGAATATATAGACACCAAACCATGGTTGTCTGAAGGACATAAAGAAGAAACTGAAAATAAGGTGTTTTGCTTAAAAATTGATCTAGAGAAGACACTATGATCATAATAATATACTCAGTCATGGTTTCTCTGATTAATTAAATCATTTTAGGCAAACACATCATCCCCGAAAGCATCTGAACTCACAGTTACAATCTTACATGAGCAACTGGCTAGATTACGTCTTATTGGTCCTAAATCTCACACATTACTTTCATGCACACTGGAGTTGTGTGACTGGGGGTCTAAGAACCGTGGATCTCGATGGTGGGAGGTGTACAGCAAGGGTGAAGAAAGGATAAAGATGTTGAATGAACAGAACAAATCCTGGGAAGACATGAAGAGTGTTTCTTCATCAGGGGTGTTAAAGTCTGGGTCTGTCATAGCATTAGTTGTGAAAGACCCAAGATTAGGCTTGCCTGTTAGGAAATCTAGTGTTGATATGTCAGCTGAAGAAATATACAAAGGTTGGCATATAAGATCAGTGCAATATCACAATTAAAAAGCTAAGCAAATTGTAGATGTAAAGTTATCTATCACTAAAAAACCTTACCACGGAAAATCCTTGAGAGTTGCTTATCTGATTAATATTGTATTTAAGGAGAAAGTGTGAAGAAATCAATGTTAACCAGTATTTCAACAGCTTCTGCTATATCACCCCTCTGGGACACCACAGTTCGACAAGAAGTAAAACAAAGCAAAATGCCAGAGAAAGATTTGAATGATCATCGTTCTAAGCAGGCTATACCTGGCTCAAAAATTGATCTTGGAGATGATACATCAAGAATCCCAATGATGTTGATTCAACAACCTGGTAGTACAGGTAGGGATGATTGTTGCTTCTTACAGATGTAAAGTCATAACCAGACAAGGATTCTAAGATGCGTTGTTTTACCATTCACTTCTCAGCCAACCACAAGTCTGGTTCCATCAACTTTGGCAGTGGTTATGACATCATTTTCCCGGCGGGTTGGAGCATGGCATTCTGGATAGCTTTCGTGTATCGTGGCGCACGCGTGGGTGGAACACGAGAGTTGGAAACGTGCTCTCGCGAACAAGGAATCCCGCATTTCCCGCGTGATTTTCCCGACACGCATGCCGGTCGTGAGTTCAATGAAGAGCAGAAAAAGAATGGTGAAGAGAAATACAAGCGTTATCCTCCCGCTAAGCGACCAAACTATAAGAAATTAGGCATGGCAAGTCCATTTGCCCCGGACTGGAAGTCCCTTGTTAACGAATGGAGTGAACGGTTAAACAGATGACGTGAAAAATGAAGTCGCTAGTGAGAAGTCTTTAGATCAGGATAGTCAGTCTGAAGAATTGAAAAATCTTGAAGTGAAAAACAAGGAAAAGAAAGTTGAGGAAGATTTTGAGAAACTACCAAAGCAGGATAGTTTAAGTGATGATGAAGAAGACAGGGTGGATGCAAGTCATTGTGTCACAGATGATGAGATTTTCCATAGTAATCCCAGTAAAGGCCAGAATACGATAAACAAGAGAAATACTAACAGTGTAGGCACTAGTGGAACTGAGGATACATCAATTTTACACAAGAGCTCACCTGATAGTTGCGAGAAGACTGGTGTTGAAACACTTCATGTTATCCGGTCGTTTTCCGCGCGTCGACGTCTTCAAGAAATCACATTCAGCCTCAAACAACCTAGGACAAAGAGACATGGAAAAAACAACATATCTGAAGAGGAGATTATCGAATATCTTGCAAGAACTATCAGTACTTACCCTCGTTCGTTAGTCTGTCTTACATTACAACCAATAAAAGGCTGTCCGGAGGAGAATGCAGTGATATTCATTCCGTCCACTGAGGATTTAGTGAAATTAAAGCAAGACAAACGTTATGAAGGTCCTACGGAAGACAACAAATATAAGAAAAATTCGACTTTGATTGATCAGTGTTCGAGAAAGGCTATTGGTTGGATCACTTCGGGCCAGTTCTCTTTCTCACGCGGTCAAGGTTCTGCTATTGGCTACTGTTCATACCCAGGTTTCCGTGAACTTATAATTCAGGCGTTACAAGAAAACTTCAGACCAGTAGTGCTCGTACGAAATACAAAAACTTTTCAATATCGCTTTGCGGACATTGCAGTTGTGTGAATATTAAGATGTTGCATGAATGTTGAGTTATTTATTGATAAAAATATATTATTTCTCAAGTGCTGATGCTGTTTTTTTTTGTTTGGGGAAATAGGTAAAGATTTTGTTTTTAAGGTTTGCTAAAATCGCCAAAACGTTTCCACATGCGAAGACCTTATACCTTATACGAATCAAGCTTACCAATCTTCTTTTGTATCCAAATCAATAATTCTGAAAGAAATACATATTTCGCTACAATTGAAATCATTATTGAACTATGTGGTTGAAATAGAAAACATGTTTTTAAATTATTTTTATCAGTGCAAACAGATAGCGACGAGGAATTGAAAACTTTGCCATATGATAAATGACGCGAGTTTCTCGCAACAAAAACAATTATACCTATCGCTTTGTAAATCTAAAACATAATAATTACAATATCCTTTATGAAATTATATACTTCGGCCAAATTATTATTGCAAGTTCGGTATTTTACTGTCGACGAAAAGAAGTTTTAATATGCTTATTAAACACAGAAGAGATATTCATCTTGGGTCATTTCAGGGCTTGATTAGACTTTTGAAGTTCTAAAAGAGAGGTGGCAGGTGCATATTGTATGTACATTAATTTCCATACGAAGAGACAACTCATCCCGCTATGATATGTAATGAATATTTTACTAGTTTATTTAGAGGAGATAAAAAATTAAGCCCACATTAGCATCACACAAAGAAGGGACGAATGCAAGATGTTTCATCGAGTTTCCAGCTTTATTTTCGTTGCTTTCTCACTGGCAAATACAGTTTACAGCAGAGAAAAACGATCTGAATTATGTTTTCGTGGGGAGACATCCATCCACGAGTTCAGAGATCAAGATCTCAAAGGTCGTATTGTGGATTTTAATAACTACAGGGACAATATTGTATTGCTCGTGAATGTAGCGACATTCTGTCAATACACGTTTCAGTATTTGGGTTTGAATAAATTGCAAGAAAAATACCAACGTTCAGATCGATGTGGTTTGAAGATTCTGGCGGTTCCATGCAATCAATTTGCGCATCAAGAACCAGGCAATAATGCAGAAGAGATATTCAACGGTCTGAAATACGTTAGACCAGGTCGAGGCTTTGAACCGCAGATGTTGATGATGAAGAAACGTGATGTGAATGGAAAGAATGAGGATAGTTTGTATACATGGCTGAAGGTAAAGTATTTTGATGTGGTCTATGGCCACTTCATTTTCAAATTTGGCAGCAGTAAAAATGCGGGAGATCTTTAATAGTACTTAAAAACAGAAAGACATTATGTTAGAACAATCCACGGAACTTTTAGTCCTGAAGTGGAAAACTCTAATTTAGGACTCTGCAAGATTCGTTTTATAAAGCACACGGTCTCCGAGACACATATTATATGTTTTAGCCACACAGGCCTGTGAAATGTTGCTTTCAAACAACTCTATAGCATTTCCAAATCACATCGCTTGTTCATGCTCATCATTTATTAAAATGCGATGAAAATATCGAACGGAAACGTAATGATCTTCATTTATAATAAATAGGTTTACTCATTATTTTTCCTGCATGTCTCGTTATTAAATTCTTGCTTACCAAAACTACGCAAGAAATACCAGAGTTTTGGACAGAATAACAGGCAGAAAGACAAACAAATTCGTATGTGATAACTTTTCAAGCTCGTTATGTAAATATGAGGGACAATTACCTATCTTTTGATAAAAAAGCACGTTAAGAGAACCCATATTAGCTGTAACTGTGTTGAAGACAGGTGAAAGACAGCGTGAACAGTGGGAATCTTCATAGGAAGCGAAGGCAATGAATATAGGACACTCTTAGTCGAGCTCTTAGTCATTAGATCCCGATGAGATTGCTGTGTTACTGAACTTACGAAAACATTTTTTCTTTCCTCAGGCCAGCTGTCCTTCCCCAAGCCCAGAGATAAACGAGAAGTCAGACATTTATTACAGTCCAGTTCGAAATGATGACATCAGCTGGAACTTCGAGAAGATCTTACTGGACCACAAGGGACAACCAAGGAAACGATACACGTCAGCCGTAGAACCTGAAGAACTTGTTTCCGACATCGAAGAATTGATTGACATGTGTCTACCTGAAGACAGTTAAAAGGACAAGACGAACAAAACGAATAATGCTAATGCTTATGTTATACGATTCTGAACTTTGGAGCCTTCCGAACTTTTGCATAGACAAGTAAAAATATAAATATACACATTGAAATTGATTTCTCCGCTTGTTTTAAGGCAACACTGCCATTCTTCCGATCGCCATATTGTTTTAATCTAAAACATAAGACTCGCACATTAAATCAACAATTATTGAAAATTTCGATTTATTTTACCGTGATTGACTACTACAAAATGTGCCGGACTGACAGCTATGTCTACAAGACTACAAAATTCTAAATTCCAAGAACAAATTCATTATTCATTGCGCTGGAGTCGGCGCGTCCTTGTTCCAGGCAGTCCATTGAATAAACCAATCACCATTCACTTTCTTCCACAACGTTATCGACCTGGAAGAATCAACCGAATTCGAAATCTCGTATTCTGTGACATATATGATACCACAAAGCTAGACTTGAGCTGTGAAATTGGCAAGAACTTACTTGCTGTTATCCATGACTTTGCCATCTTTATCGTAAGTAACAGCCGTATTCACAGATGTCGCCTGCTCACCGAAGGCGACAACATCAATAACCTTATTGTCCACCTTGCTTATGTTCGCCATAAACTGCTTCATCACCCCCAAAAAGCCTCTGAACGCTAAGTGAAGAGAATAGTTTAAAAGTTTATGTTGGCAAGGCTTTGAAACTTGTGGGCCAAAAAGTGTGGTTACACCCATGCAACATTCCTTGCAACTTGCTATGCAATTCTACCCCCTGAGGCATCTGAAGTTGACAAATACGAATATCTGTTACGATTTGCAGCGCTTTTATAAATAAATAATTAGGTTTCTAACTGTGTTTCAGTCGTATCAAAGTATAGACATGCTTTAGAAATAAAAATGTAGTCTGAAAGGTATAGATCAACGATCTACGGCATTTCTGCAGTTGTCATGTAGTTAGCTTTCGGCTATTTAAAAAGAAAATTGATGAATAACTTATTCATATACTCTCTGTCGTATTGACAGAAGACAGGAAACATGTACAGACTTAATTTTTGCGCATAATAATAACCAAGCTCTATCACAGGTAGTCTCGAATTTTTGTTCTTCGACTTATCCAGGCTAGTTGTTGAAACGCAGAAAAATAGAGATCTAGAAATAAACTTTGCTAAATTCTTAATTCCTAAAACCTGCGGGCAATCCCGTTTTATTCTTAGACAAAACAATCAGGATAATTATGAATGATATGGTCCGTTGCCGACCCCTAAGTTATAACTCCGCATTAGAAAATACGACTGTGTGAAACACAGAAAATATCTGCAAACTCTTTATGTCTCTAGCCAACATAGTCTTTTCCCTTCGACAAACAAGCGCAGAAACAGTTAACTTAAGAGTATATATACCTTCTTTTCCGACAATCATGGGTGCCCCAGCAGGCAGGACACGGCAATCGTCCGTGTAACACTTGGCGATATCATCTGGTGTTGCTGTTAAAAACATGTCTTCCATCTTCTTAATCTGTGCTTCAATTTCTGCCTTGACATCTGTAGAACGATCAAAAAGTTACCACCATAGCCAAAGGAGACATTGGTGCGTTTAAATACAGCTATATACATGTTCATGAGACTAAATACTGGGAGTTCTTCATGTAAAACTGGTTAATAAATAAAGAACAGTGATTCACCGAATTTAGCAGGAATCGTACACCAGTAACTGTAAATTTTAAATCCGTACCTGCCATTTCGATGCTAATTTTGAAAATGATTTTTGTTCAAGGAAAAAACGAGACCAACTCCTTTCGACAGCAAGCGCAGTGTGTGTGTGCAGGACGTTTGCTTGGCGAGTTGTGGGATGTGGCTTTTAAATAAACAGGAACCCGCCTCGACCAATAAAAGTCATTTCTTTAAGACAACGATTACACGTCGAGGTATGCTTCAGTGGTTCTAGTCGGCAAAAACTTATTGATCTTGGGATTAATATAATTAGCAATTAACGAAAGAAGACAAAACACTTGAAGGAGCAGAGTGGAACCTCACCAAAATGATTGGCTTCATGATTTGTCTCTAGTGCAAGAAAACCTCGTCCTCACCTTTACAAGTGAATCTCTTCGAAGTTCGAAAAGTAATAAAACTGCTTTGAAGTGTACAAATTTAGACGAGACGTCTTTACGTCCAAACAAAACTTCGTGGATGAAATTTTGTTTTTTGATGCTGGTTGTCAATGCAAGACTTAATTGCCTTGCGTTTGATTTGTGATTGCGATTCAAGCTGCGTGCTGCGTGCGTTATCTTTTTTCGAGCTCTCTTAAGAAACGATAGACATCTTTGTGACATTAAGTGGAGTAAAAAAGGCTTAAAAAGTAAAGCCGACAATGCTGGAACCAAATCACAGCAAGGCCTCAAAACCATGCCAAGTTACAGCCTCTCAAAGTCGATTTTTCTTAATTACCTATAATTATAGGATGTTGAGAATATTTCAATGACATTGTGAGATGCACACTTACAGTGTGTCGTCATTTTACTAGGTTCTTTCACTATTCGTATCTAGAAATAATGTAATGATCTAGAAATACGCCTTTGCAGCGATATTATAAGACAATCCTATCCTAACTTAAACCCAGTAGCGTAGCCAGCTTGATGATTTCTCTCGCTATGCTAATATTTTGGGGTTCATTGACTGTAAAAACAATAAATTTCTAAAGAAATGGATAATAAACCATCACGCTGGCTACGCCATTGACTATCCTGTTATTTAATCAACCTGTTAGTTAATCTTTTTATACAAAAGCTTTAACTCTTGGCGTTGTCCTTACTTACGCTTGGATTTCCCTACCTATCTCCTACCACTCAATACCTCAGTTATCCTTAACCATCCCTCTGTTAACCGTCATTATCCTTCTTAAACAGCAAGCCCAAGATAACTTTTATCTCGAAACAAATCTTTAGTCATCTTTTTCAGTAACTCTGGTCCCTCGCGTAAACAGTGTTTAGGATTGAGGATGAATGAACACGCGAATTCAATCTGTTCTACGAGACCAGAATATGTCTTGTTCAACCGTAATGATTGCAAATTATGAAATCCTGAATTTGTTCGTTGCGAAGCACCAACACCTGATGTCCCTTCCTGAAAATTAAATATATATTTGGGCAAGAAAATCAATAATGCATCAAGAGAGAAGCTAAACTCACTGGCTATTTAACAAACTGAACTAACTAGAATGCTCTATCAGTTCTGAACTGTTCTTCTCAGTAAGGATTATCTCTTATTGATCCAGTCTATTATTTCTAAAGTTTTCTAAAACATACTTTTTTTGCAGTGGCTTTAGCTTCTCCAGGGGCGTTTGCCTTCACTCGTATTTGACCATTTGATGGCAACTGTGCCGAGAGGAAGGTTGATAATGCACGACACAGGAAACGGAAACTACAAAAGAGAAAAACAGAGTTGTCTTTAGCGTAAATCATTGCTGAAGAATATGAAGTTGATTTGGGGTGCAAACCTTGGAGTTAGTGTAGACTTCCTTCCTAGACCAATTACTCCTAGTAGTCCCGTTGTATCCCTGTCTTCACCAGCATGAGTAATATAGGGTATCAAGAAGTCAACTTGTTGACTGAGATCACGCAGGTTCACTTCATAATCGACTTGTCGTACAAGAAGTTGTAAGATCTTGTACCACAATAAAATAATTTTGCTTTCAGTGTCTGGATTACTGTAAAACAAACATCTTTTCATCAGCTCAAGAAAGAGGGTATATTCAGTCAGTCATGAAGGAATGACGTAAAACACAGACTTACTTTTTACAATTCTCGCTGATTTAATTACTATACCAAACTAAATGTATTTATACTTGAATTCTTTCTTACACTCCAGTGAAAGGAAATAACAGAAACGTCGTCCTAACCTTGGCTTAATACTCGCCGTCCAAGCATTGAGTTCTTTCAGCATTATAAATTCTTCAGCAGCACTTTGAGATCGAGACAAACATTGAACCGTGTGAGTGAACAGTGTCAAAACTGCGCTGTGATTAATACATTCTGGTTGGGAAATAAAAAAAACATCAATTGTTTGTACGTGTAGATTTCAAGTAGTAAGAATCAGTTTATCCTGGACTGTATAGATCCCAGCTTTCAAAAACTATCTTATGTTGATTTTGTATTGCAAGGGATAAATAAAACGTCTGAGAAATACTCGGAAAGTATTCTGTTGTAACTGGTTTACATGCACAGGATTCATTATTCTCTCAAATTTTTACTAACCTTGAACAAAGTCTCGTTGTGAGAGCTCAGGTACGGTGACTGAGGCGAGAACATCAGACCATGGTTCTACCAAACTATCCTGCGAGACATTAGCGTCATTACTTGGCGGTAGCTTGGTGTTATTGAAATGTGTTTCTACCGCTGCTTCAACGACCTGCACCATGAGACTAATACTGGCTAAAGAACGACAGGCAGCCATGATCATTGCTAAGATAACATTGGTCTGAGTAAGATCATGAATCTTCTCCTGAATAGTTTCCAAAGCAAGAACAAGGATCTTTTCTTTTGGTGATAGGCTGTTGAGGAGATTAAGAATTTCCACGTAAAGGTACATAACACTCTGGCTGTTTGTGGCATCTGAAAATTTGAAGAAAGATAAAGAAACCAATGAAAAATTTAGTGTGATTGAAATGATTAATTTCAGTAATTTTACTAATTTACATTCAGTTTTTGATGCGATGTTCGTTGCGTTCATGCGATGTTCTAACTTACCTGAGGTGGAAGCCAGCAGCACACTGTCCATCAGCTGCTCAATGACAGGGCGATACAATCCAGCCGCGTGCTCTGGATTGGCTGAACATTTGCATAGTAACTTCACCATACTATTGAAATAATGAAGCCGTTTCTCTGGGATGTCCTGGACAGAAAGAGAATCGGTAGACATTGAAATAGAATGGCTGGCAAATAACCACTGGGTTTTATTACTTACTGCTATGCAACAGAATGTGGATAACTTTATAAGCTATCATGGTGGAGTTTATCGGTTGAAAGAAAGTGATCAAGTTGCTTAAAGACCAAGAAAGGCCAAAACATTTCAACAGATTTTGTATATTCTCTGTTGTCCTTACTTACTGAATAAGAGCGCTCGCTTTTCGACGATGAAGTTAGCAAACAAGCAGCTTCAAGCAATCTTGAAAAACATAAACAAATATTGATAATCGTTATTGCATTAGCCATATTAGAATGACTAAAATTGTGTCGTCTTCCTCACCGGATGCTCTTCCATAACAACGAAGAAGGTTTTAATATTTGAACGAAATCACAGTTCGATACCAACCAATCACAAACCGCACGGAACGTGCTGCACAAAAGAGAGAATAATAGCGTTGATCATCACGTTTTTGTTGCTGTTTCGAAGGCTAGCTTGATTTCCCGGGCAATAATTTCTGGGCTTTCATAAATGCAACAGTTCAAAACCGGTTAAAATACGATTTAATGATATGAAATATTCGATATACCTTCCACTCATCAGGTCCCACACGAAATTCACGGCATTTTCAAGAAGAGATAACATTTTACATTCCTTGAGGTAAAACAGAAATTATTTTCTTCTCTCTTTTATTCCTTCTCTTAAAAATATCTTCGGTTTCTCACCTCATTCTGAATGATGGATTTCTCGTTACCAAGGACAATGATTAGGTTAAAAAGACGATCCTGACATTCTCTGAGCGTTGTAGTTCCTTCGACACTTCTAAATTAGTTTTGCGATTAAATTTTTACCAATTCACCTGATGCACCGATTAAATTTAGTTTTATTACAAGATAAAGATACTTTTCCCAATTGATTCTGATTTACGTGCATGATATTTGACGTAAACCTGGCAAACATTAATACATTAGAATATAATGCGCGTAAATTCTTCATTAACATTTAACAAAAGCCAAAGTCACCGACAAATGGTATAATTTTATTGACCATTTGTCGTATAAACATACCTAAACCTTTCCAAAACTTCTAACCAGGATATACTGGGAAAGATTTCGATTAGAAAACCCCGACAGCTACCACTGATGGAGGAAATCTGTGAAAATATCGAGAAAAAGTTGATGTTTCCAAAACTGATAAATTGGTTCATTTTAGAGTTGGTGCAGGAAAATTGATGTCGCGTTCAAACCTGTAGCATCGACTCCAAGTGGGACACGTTTGGGGAAAACACATTCCATGACAAGCACGTGAAGCTGGCGTGGTACACTCGCAGGAAATGACCCGGCAAAGAATGTTTCGTTGTCATTGAGCTGTAGAGGTCAAATACCAGGGAAAGTATGTTCGGTTTTCCATTTAATGGGGCTGCAAAATGGTGGAAAATAAAAACTTCTTAAGATATGAACTACAGTAGATTCCTCCTTAGGAACGTTGAGTAATCATGCAGTAAGCAACAGTCGTTTTCTTACCAGGAAGAAAATTCTGAAAATATACTAGAACTCTGATGTAGAGTCCCACAAACTCAAGAGCTTCTGATTCCTCCATCTCGCTCCAAGGAAGAACTAACTCGCTGTATATGAAGATGCATTGAAACGATTGTTAGATCAAATATAAAATAAAGGTTATTCCGAGTAGGCTCATTGTTATTCATTCACAAAACAGCTGGAAATGGTTCTGGAAAACACACCAAATAAGAGAGCGAATGAGATTTACAATATTCACAATATATTTTACCTGTTAACTTCACATGGCGAGATCCAGGGTGAAAAGAAATCAGAAATCCTGTTCCACAGAAACTTAAGAACTGCAAATGCATGAAGTAAGCGTTAAAAGATGCTTATAGCTTCCTTAATTATACTGGGTCCTCATTGGAGGTAAATAATAATATGATAGTTATTGCAAGAATAAGAACTCGGTGAGTATATGACTACTAGCTATGTGTCAAATACACCGTAGACAACCAGCTCTTTACCTTCGATGTTATTTTCAGCAAGCTGGTGTTCGTGAGCAGCAATTGTATGACGGGATATATATTCACACAAGGCAATCAATGATGGCAGATACGGTTTCCATAATGTGAGTATGCCTTCATTGGAACCAGCGGCACATGATAACCGCTGATCATGGAAATATTCCATGAGCCATATCATTGTTTCGTTGACCTAGAGAAGCAGAATCCAATTAATATTGAGTCGTAGTGGCTAACATCGTTTCAAGATTGCCTGGATATAGAACTACCTGTTCATTTTGAAGTAAAAACGGTGGAGTGGTATTCAGTGTCAGCTCTCGCTTGGCCATGTCCTTTACTAAGACTTTGGTGGTGATTAAGAATTCATTCCACGCGTTCAAACACACAGCGTGATCAGCAGAACCTATGCAAGTTAGAAATCAGGAACAAATGAAAGTACAGGGCATTTAAGTCCAGTATCACAGTTTCATATTGCGGTCTGTGGCAGACGCATACTAATTACTAATTGTAGTGTCACTGACCAGAGTATGAAACTGGATAAACACTTGGTGTTTAACCGTACTTACCATGAATCAACAAACTCAAAGTCTCCCCAAATAAATCAGGAAATTGATGTATCAAAAGCACGCTCACTTTCCTCAGGTAAATCTGATGAAATATGAAATAGAAATTTAAAATTTTTTTTGCAGATTAAACGGATCTGCGCTAAAATTTAATCCCTTAAAAATAATCCCTTAACAAATCATTTGACTTCATTTTGTTGTGAAAATACCAGGTGTTACCTCTGACAGCATAGTTGTCTTGGCTGGAGGCTCAAATCCGCAATCACAGAGAGCAGCAAAGAGCACTTTCATCATCGCCATACGCTCGGAAAGTATCGGTTTTGATGCGAGCCAACTTCGGAAATCAAACTGAAACAAATCACTCCAGTTAATTCCATATTTCTCCTACTCTCTGTCCAATGAAATTCTGTTCAATTTCATTCTTTCTCGCTCCACCTTATTCCACTCTATATCCTAATTTATCCTAACATATCAACGTATAGTCATGGAAGAACTACCTTTGAAAGTAGAGAAAACTTGACTTCGATATCCAAACTGGTCTGAATAACATTTTCGTACATCTCCGTGAAACTATCCTCACATGTGCCGGGTTGAAATATCGGCAGCAATAAACCAACGATTTTCGGTCGTGCCAAGATGGTTCTTAACAATGCCTCGGTTTGTGTCTTATTCTCCATGATGAATGTCTAAATAAAAAACAACGAGTGAAGTTCTTTGAGATGACAAAGCGTGTTGAGGTTGCGAGCAGACCAGAGTGCCTTGGCGCGTCATGACGTACCCTGCCAATCAGTTCAACACAGGTTGAGAAGAACTGCATCGTTGGAGGAAACTGGCGCACGGGATCAGAAACCATATCAATGAACATGTAAAACGTCCTGCAACCAATTTCTTCAAACGTTTCTGCGAAAGAAAACCAAATATTCTGATAACTTCGTGAAGATTAAACTAAATGCATTCATCAGAGCACGAAAATGTTATTATAAATGATATAAATTTCATATTTAGTGGAGAAATTTAGTGTTTGTCAATAGTTGGACCTGGATATATACTGACACAAGTACAAGTACGCTTACTAAGAATCAACGGGTTTTGACAACTTTTCCATTGTTTAAGAAGCAACCTGAAATGAATTCATAAAAGCGATCAGTAAATATGACAAGGAAAGCAAACGATTGCACTCATCAAGTTCATTGGCGAGACAAAAAATTCGTTTCTAAACTTACGTCAGTGTTTTCTCGACGCTCAGCGCGTTAAGACAGATCTCAGCTGGCATCTCATGCAACATCTCACGCATCAGAATCTTGAACTCCTCACGATTTAAACTGGCACGTTCACGAACTGGATCGCACGATTTCTTTTCTCGATACTGTCATAAAACACGCACTCAATTAAGCAACAAACAATGAGAACTTGATGAGCATCACAATATATAAAACTAGGGTCACATCAGGTCCATCTAGGGTCATCTCGCCCGGCGAGGTAAAAATTTCATCCATAAACGCACACTTCACTGCTTCTTACCTTCACAATAAGACTGGCAGCACCTTTGCAGCCTTTCCTTGAGGTACTCTTCTTATGACATGGCATGGCTATTCGAAGCTATCAATAAAGTTAACACAGAAATATGACCAGTTCTCCAGAGGCATGCAATCTCTCAAAAATGCATTATGAATGTGAAATACCTCCGTCTCCACGTTCTCAAATATATGACGTAACATGTCCATGTATTCAAAATCAAGAGCTGAGTTTGTTGACAGTTTCATCATGAATTTTCTACGACAATTAAACAAGAAGATATTTGATTTGTTTTATTCGATCATGGTAATGCATTTATGTATAGAGGCTGCATTGCTCTCTCTAGGATCATACAGTACAACATTGGTATATTGTTCCCATGCAATTACTGGATGAAATGTAGATTAACGAATGAAACGGATTACCTTGCGTAATCGGAGAGAACAGCGAGGTTTCTACCTAAGATGTCCATGATTTTAGATCTATCCATGAGCACGGAGACCGGACACTCCGGTATTGGAGTTGACAGGACTCTGAATAATGGAGGTTCCATGATGTCTTCTGAACTTGATGATTTATGAGGTAGTCGTGCTGCGGAGGAGAAACAAAATACATATCAATCCACCTTTCATGCTTTGATCCACAGTTTCAAGAGCTATATTCAGAGTCAATTTCAGAATCTTACCTGGTTTTTTAATCAAGTTTCGTTTTTGAATTGCGACAATCTTCTTCTGTCGTTCCTTATTAAATCTGATCCAGTATTGAAGCGAACCAACCAACTGCCAGTCGATCAATCCAAGATCGATACAGTCCAGCCACAAATTCTAAACAAGCACATTGCAAGACTTTTACTATTCTCAGCGTGTTTTATAGAGATGAAACTGGTGAGGATGGTACCTCAAATCGTTTTAATATCTTCGTCAAGCGATCAGGATCATAAGCTGGTGGCAATCCTTGTATAAACAACGTTGGATCGTGTAGACGTGATTCATCAAGCCATAGAGCTAGAGTTTGAAATAATCTAAATAATAAAAATGCGATATTGAGTCTTGGATATATATTGACCGGCCAAGCACTTCACTGTCCAAAGGCCTCACAAAGGGCTTGATTCATCGTCTTTTTCATCATCAACAAACCTTGCTAACTTTTGGTGAACCTCAACACTTGTTTTGTACCCATTTTGTTCACCTCCTTCATCAGTTTCATCGCTTAAAATACTCCGTTCTTTGTGATACTCTGCGGTACCCATCAATCTTGCCTTCAATTTCTTTTTAAAGAATGTAAACTCTCTTTGTTAACTTTCCTAATTCAGCGATGCAATAATGTAATTGTGAAATATTCTCCGGACCATTTACCTTCAGATACGTTGTGTTTGCTGTACTTTCAAAGAACCGTATTCCAACACTGCCACGCTCAGGAAGGCTAAATAAAGAACAAACATCGTCACGGTATAAGAACAATGATAGGGAGCTTTAGCAGTATTACAAGTACACGATTCGTCATTTTCGCGCCAAACTCTGTGCTTTTGCCTACGCCATCTGACGAAACTCGTAGTCGTTGGGCATTTGAATACTGAATTTATCGACAAACTCGTACTCAAAAGCTCGACGACTACGAACGAGTTTTGGGTGATGGCGTAAGCAAACAACAACTATGTCCAAAGTCGTATGTTTGGTGGTTCGTACCCAGGACCAGCAGGAACGCGACGCAAAAATTGTAAGAAGAAATTTTGCCAGATGACGGCCAGTATTGGTTCTTCATGATCCGTTGATAATGCCAGATCTGCCCAGCGGTATATGTCCAAGTTGCAAGCTGGGATAGGAATAACATCTTTCAACGATGATGAGGCTTTCTGCAGAAGAGAGCAAAGAAGGCTTATTCAAGGCCTGGTAATAAACAACGACTATTCATGACATATCTGATTAGACAAATAAATAGACGAAAGCTCTTTTGTAAAGAGTTTCTCTGAGCACGTAATAACAAACCTTTACGGCAGTTTCGATACACATCTCTGGCTTATCATGAAGTTTGTTAGCAAGACTAGACTTAAGACCGCATTGCTCTTGATACGCAGACTCAGCAGAAAGAATGAAATAACAGAAATACACGAATTGAGAGTTTGTCTAATAAAAGAAAAAGAAAAAATAAGCACTTTAAGGTGTATTTTCCTAGATACTTTAATCAGTTTGGAACTGTTCTAGAGATCCAGCATTTATTAATCCTATATGCTAGCATTGCAGAACTAGTACACGAATTAAACCCAATCTAAACTGGATAGCTACACGTGTTTTAAAGTGTTTTTCTCAAGGATTATCTGTCCTTTTCTGATCCAGTAATACAGCACTCAAGAAGGCTATAAGACATAATAACTTATGGAGAAGATATTGACTGATACACTTACTTTAATATCGACCAAATTTGCAGATGATGGATATGAAATAACGAATGAAAATAGTGACGACAGGAAACCATGATCTTTCAGGCTCTTCAACGTGTCCTAAGAGTTAAAAAAATACAAACAAATAAGCTTGCTTCGCCAACAACACGAGTTGTTTACATGCATTACAATACCTGATGTTTTTTGATAAAGTAATCCAAGACTAACATATGAGCGTCAGAATTTCTGAACACACATTTTAGTAGATTGTTTAACAGTTGTAAAACGTTCGCATCTCTGTAAAAGAAATATTGTAAATCAGGTTACTTCACTTAGAACTATACATTAACATTGATAGGGATTGTACGTGTAACTCACGTATTCCAGTTTGGTAAACAACACAATGCTCTTAACCAAAACTCAGTCGCAATGAGAGTACGGTCAGCATCGGGAACAACGCTTGATCTTTTAACGTGTTTCTGAAAAAATGGGTTGTAAATGTAGCATTTATATGAGGCTGTTTTATGTAAAGTTTTGCGTCATAGTCGATATTTGATAATCGTTAAATTTAAACCTGAATAATTCCAGACAATATGTCAACTACGTCTTGTTCTCTCCATTGTACTCCAGAATGAATTACACTATCGATGATCCTGGTAAATCTATCAAATTATGGCAAAATTGTAACAAAATATTACGACAAAGAACCAATAATCACACTAATTAACTGATTATTAAATATATTAACAAATAAACTCAAGTTGATCTGTGGACCACGCATGCATACCTGCTGTTTTCCGAGAATGCTAGCAGCTCTTTTGTGAAGAAAGTAGGAACAGTATTTTCTATGATTCTACACGTGGGGAACACGTGACCTTCGTCCAGGATGACTGACATATAGGTTAGACCAACGTCGCTAATCTTATGAGGACTATTGAAGAAAAAGAAGCAAAGATGATGAATGAGTGAATGATCCATTATGAAACACGAAATTACATGAAATTACAACTCACTCATGACCATATGTTGACAGTTGTAATGCCACAAAACAAGCTAAAGGTCCATCTTTGTTTGCTGAGGTTAGGACGTTCACCAGAGCCTCGTCTGTATCCAAATCGAGCGGTTCAGGTTTAGATAAGTTCTTAAAGAACTCGCTTTTGTCGTAACTGGATGTAACTGCAAGATTTAAATACATTAAACTTGTACTATTTTCACCTCAGCCATTATCAAGATATGAACACAACTGTACCTGACTGTTCAGCGTTGGATGTACTTGCAGTGTTGGTAAACTCCATGACCGTCGGAGGACACTCGACTTGGTGAAGATGTAAAAACATCACGACCTCCCATAACCACTTGTAAAGTTCTTGGTCGGTGAAATGCTGCAAGATACGTTGGTAGGGATGCGTAGCCACTTGCGTTACCTGAAACACCAATAGAAATATGATAAATACTACAAAGTAGTTCAAATTAAGATGAAACAGTGAACCATACAATTCACTGTAACCCGCACGGCTTACCCGAATTCGTACTATTTCTCGTTCAACTTTACAGTTTTGTTTATCAAATCATGACTGGAAGAAATATCGTTTACCTGCTCAAGAATACCAGGAGTTTCTTTAAAAACATCCACTTCAATGCCACCGGGTCTATTTGATAACCGTAATGCGCATGTCTCAACAAGTAGTATTGCTATGGCTCTATGGATGCACTGAGGTAGGTAGAGGGTATCGCTGTCTAATGCCTAGAAATTGGAATAAATACAGCAGGTTAGAATAATAACAATCAAACCTAAGCCCCGATCAGGCCTGAGCGGTGCTCGCTCAAGATGAAGTACGGTATGTTCGTTGATACCGTCTGCTATAGTGCAGCATCAAACAGAAATAAAAACGGGGTATTTTTATAATCGAATGTTATAAGATACTGGGAAACGCATGAGCCTGATTCAAACCTGATATTGCCAGTTAATATTCGTAAGTAAATAGCGGGATAGTTGATGTTCAGAAGACTCAACTGCTGAATGAAGCAGCCAGTTTCTAATGGTGTAAACATCACGCACTTTAGGTCTCCATGTTTCTACTGGCAGAGCCTGAAATAATCCTACGCATTCCTGTTGAACAAACAAAATAATAGTCCCTTTACTATTGACACTGATCACTACGACACAAAAAGACAAGTTCAAGACGACGCTAATGCCGGTATTCTAAAAGCTCACTCACACTCAAACTCATTGAGTGGGAGATCTTAATCTTCTCATAAAGTTTCAATGGCGGTATTTCCAGCCGAATAGGGGCTTGATTTTCAGTGATTTACCTTATATCTTTCCATCTATTCAAAAAAAACTTTCTCATTGATCAGCATTAACAAAATTGATATGTCACACTCAATGAGTATGAGTGTGAGTGAGCTTTTTGAATACAGGCGTAAGTGTAGATTACACTGAAATGAATCTGGAGAATTCATCCTCAGATGAGGATTGAAATTAAACATACTCTGCCGGAAATAATGCAGCAAACAAACCTCTCTCACACTGTCCAAGGTTGCCTCAACTCTTTCCAACAACAGAGACATCACAAACGCATGTCGTTGGCAGATTGAGCCAAGGAGATCCTTTCCTGTTTTAGGAAGAAAGTCTGGCGCTCCGCTATTGAGATAGCTTACCTATTCATGGATGAAATATGTATGATATGGTATGCAGTAGCACTGGTTTCAATTGAATTGTATTTTTGGGCATGGGTTTTACCTCGTATATTTCACGTACAACAGCATTGATGAAATCAATATCCACGGTAGACCGTTCCCTTGCCATGTTTGCAAATGTGGTCAACAAAAAGACAATTTCTGGTTCAGTCATCGCTTTAAAACTTTCCAATAAACTTGCCGCTTCTACAAGAAAAACACGAAAGTTATTGCCTCTTTAGAAATGAGACAAAAATACGTAAAAAACCCTACCGTTTTGATCGGTGTGTGAAGATGCTATGTATTCAGAAAGAGAGCTAAAGCCTGCTTTATCTGATGTCCCTCTGTGAAGAAATCGATAACAAATCCAGGTCATCCTTGATGATAGACTATAGAATGGCATATCGATAAGAAACTGCCACACGCCAAGCCTGAAATATTAAATATAAAAAGAGTCACAACAAATCGTGATTATTGTATATTGTATATTGCATCCAGCAGTTCATGATGGAAAAAAGGAAGATATATTCTGTCATTATACTTGTTAGCGGAAAGAATCTGCTGTGAAGCTCTGATGAAGAACTGGTCGTATTCCATCTGTAGCTTTTCCAACGAGTAATCTGAACCAAACGCCAGATGAAACGTTATTTCATTGTCGCCATATTTGTTCACATAGTCAGTTTTGTATGAGGACCAGTAACGTGACACGCGCATCACTATCGAACTAAATAAACAGAATAAAATATTCTCAACTTCATTTTGCAAGCCTCTGCAAGTCAACTTGATCACGAGAGGCTATATGTTACGTCATAAGCTATTTCATGATTACCTAATCGCTCGACCCAATCTCTTAACAAACTCTCGATAACGTCGCATACTGTAAAGTGTGAAAGCTTTGCCTAACATTTGAATGAGACACGTGGAAAAGGCGAACACTCGGATAACTTTCGTCCCCTTCTGGTGTCCCACATCATGAGAACCCCAATCGGGGGTATGAGTACCTATAAAGCAATAATAGATTTTGTCAGGGTTCCACAAGAGACGAGCCTTTAAATAGAGGACCTTAAAGTCTATCTAGGGCCTGTTTACATGGAGCGAGTTATCCCGGCTAGGCGAGGTGAAAACTGCATATAATGGCCTTAATGAAAGACTAATCAGGTTAAACCTTTGATGTGATGCGCTTTTACCTCGCCTGGATCGCTCCATGTAAACAAGCCCTAAGTTTAGTTTGTTTCAAGAATTGAGACGATGATTAAAACATTACCATCGCGAGTGTCTCCTCCAATGATGATCTCAAACAACGCATCGAATGCGAATTGGGAAAACAAAGCGACAAAATCATTTTCTGGAATCAACATCCACGATTCTTCAAGGTTCAAATCCTAAGATAAACATTGAAAAATATCTTGAAACTATATGAATACAGAGCCCACGAATAGCAGTCTCAAAAATGCTTGCTTTATTGATCAATAGAATATTGAATGTTTCCAATAAAATCAGATTGAACATTAGATCTCCGAACCTCTTCTCCATCTTCATCGACCATCACCCAAGAAACGATCGTCGGACTTTCTGTTATATTAAAAGTAATTTTCATAAGATTTGAACGAGAATTTTTAAGAGAACTTGTATTTCACATGTCGTGATCAACAAACCTGAACCATCCGGGGAAAGAACAGACTTCATCAGTAGCAGGTATTTCTCTCGTAACCTTTGGGAAAATATGAAAGATGTAACGGTATATGGATTACTTTCTTGTATAGAAATGATGGCAGAAGCAGCAGATAAAACAAACTCACTTTATTGGCAGGAGTAAGTTCGCTAACATCGTGACAAAATGATGCAAGAGCGGATTTTGCCAGAAATACTCATCGTAGCTCGCAACTGGTGTCCAGGTATGAAGAAGAAGCGGTTGAACGAAGTGCGCTAACTTTCGAGTCACGCCCGGAGGACATCGGAGCACGTGATTTAGAATAAACACGTGATCTGGAAGAGTCGCTACTCGCAGTAGTAAACCAACCTAGGAAAGTAAAAAACAATATTTTATATTTGATAAAAAACTGTTTTCCTTCGGGCTCGGTAAGAATCACCTCCTGTTGATCAAGTGTTGGTACACTAGAGAAACATGAAACTATACAACATTAATTTACCAAATTTTCAAGCCACAAGTTGATATCTTTAATGAAATCCTCGTCGTCGGTTGGTTTCCTCATGAAGTGAAACAGAGCGCTAATACAGTCACGAAGATGTTGTATTTCTCCAAGCACGGCGTGAGATACTTGAGATGGATCAACTCCAGCGACCGGGGAATCTTGAGTCACACCACAGAACACGGGAGACTTTGCATGAAGTTCGTAGATGTACGACATGATGTGTACTCGCGCTAGTTCACCGGAGTATTCAGCCAGGGTGAATGTCTACAAAAACAGGCAGAGTCAGAGAGGTCTATCTTCGATTGAACATTACATGAAAAGCACCATTACTACAGTATATCCAGCCACACATTATCCTGATGTCTTGTGAATATATCACGAGTTTGATTGGCTAGTTAGTTTAATAGAGGAGCCAATCAAACTTCGTGTACCAACAGGCGTTTGACGTCATCACGGGAAAGGTAGATTAAAATGCAGTTACCTCATGAACGGTACTTTTCAATGTGTCCAGAGTTCGGCTCATTTCCTTAGCTTGTTCCGAGTTAAACACGGCAACCTCGTAGGAATGAGTATAAGATACCTTCTGAAAATCTTGACAAATACCCTGAAAAAGAAGACATGTCACGTACAGCAATTTCTGCACAAATCCTTGGTATCAAAACCTACGTTTCTTTGGTGAAGATCCTGATGCATGGATGGGGAAAAGACTCTACCTGCACCGTTGCCGTTTTCGTTTCAGTCGACCAAATGCTCTTCTTCTGATCAACACATTTCAACCGTAACAACTATACCAAGAACATAATTACTACCGATTAAGAAAACGGAAATCATTTGAAATATTTTGGGGAAAATTATTTATTTATTATATTTATTATAATGAAAGTGTTGATACAACAAAGCACAATACCTCAATATCTTTTTTAATGCTGCGTAAATTTTTGGACGTGTTTTGATATGTATTTAATAACTCGAAAAATTCACTTTCTCGTCTGGGTTCCAGAGTTTCCTAGCGAGAAAATTGAGTGAATTTTATAATAAGATGATGGAAACAGACTATATTATAGTAACAAAGAAAATATTGACTATTTTACCTGTATAAAACTCTCTACACATTCCTCAAGATACAAAAGACTTGGATTGTAATAAAATGACTTTAAATCATCTTCCGTGAATGCTGTTATGGCCTCTCTTCTAGCTGTTGACACTTTAAAGGAAATGTCATTTGGTTATACATGAGAAATACAAATGAAATCAAAGTCTTAGTGAGATGAATAATTTGTGTTGGATGCATCATCCTTGTAAAATCTGAATTCACATACTCAGGAACCAACTACGCTAGATTACCTTGTTGCTTGCCAAAAATATTATGAATATTTTCATATACATTTTCATCTTGAACAAATTTTTCCACTGGAGGGATTTGTTCTGTTACAGAAGAAGGTACCTCAGACAGACCAGGGTCTGTCATATTCTCCTCCGGCATCGATGATGATGCTAAATCTTCTTGAGGTAACACCACACTCAACCCACTCTTTTCTTGAACTAAATTATCTAATTGTTCTCCTATTTCTTTCATTTTTTCACTTGTATCACTCCCCAAGTCATTAGTAAATGTAACCTCCCCAAGTGACCCCTCTTGTCCTTCACTATTAGGAATGTCATTTTCTTCAGATACCCCCTGAGCCACCCCACTATCACCATTTGACTCTTCATGTCTTACATCGTCCATTAGCCTTTTATCTGTCTGATTTTCACTATCCACATTCAACACATTATGTACGTCACCTTCTCTAATAATCCCATCATCCTGAACAATTCCAACATGTTCCTCAGTGAGGTTTTCATTGCTAGATTCATCATTATCTACTACAATTTCCGTATGTATCTCATCAATATTTGCCTCTGGGTTGTATATTTCACTACTAATGGTTACTTCTTCTAGGATTTCATTACCAGCATTAATCTCTTTATGATCCTCCTCAACAATAATCTCAGAGGCTGGAGACTCGCAAGAAGTTGGATCAATTCTAGGCTGCCCTTCTTCTGAACCTATAACATTTGCTTCTTGTTCTGGTGCAGTAGATATTGACGCTTCATGATCTGGGTGTTCAGCGCTGTTATTCTCATCAGCCTTAGTTGGATCAGCATCATGTTCTGTTACGACTGCATCTAAATTGAATGGAATTAATTGCCATTATTTCCTAGTATCATATATACTTCTTTGTACACTTTGTACCCATAACAAAATTACATCATCCGTGATTTAAATGACGTGACTAAATTTCAGCCCTTTTCGTCCTTCACAACCACTATCCTGGCTAGAATTCAAGCACACTGATTGACGATACCTCATAACATATTGCTGAGTGACCTACTAGTTATGAGGAGAAAGAAACGCAATTTATGGACTATAAACATTAAACACATAACTACGCAACAAACAGTCAAATATCATAACACTCATGAATAAAGATGCCTTTTTAATAATATTTCAGATGCATGCACCCCGTAAACCCTTGCAACACCTCTTTTGTTTTCAGCTGTATCTTCTCCAACAAATCCAACGTTTCTTGTGCTTTCTGCGTGTGTTTTTTTTGCCTTTCTTTTCTTCTTGACAGGACGCACAGCTTCCGCCATCTTGTGAGTCTAAGCACAGTGGTCTAAGGTTATAAACATTACGCAATATAATTTGGATACTTCAGAATTTGGTTTACAGCGGTTCTCAAGGCAAATGCCTGAGGGTGTTAATAGTTTATAATTCTGTGGTTTAACCTGTTCATTTTCCCCATGCATTTACATAAGAACACTTACACTTGGAAGATATTTAATTTTGCGTCTTTCATTTTTAACGAATTTCCAGACATTTTTTGGTTTTTTAGTTGTAAAAATATCCGGAAGTTTGAATACGCAAATAAGGTAAAGTCATTGTAAGATATGGGAAATAAAAATAGCAACACATTGTCACTGAAGGTAAACATGGCGTTCAAAAGGACAATCGCTGTTTTCTTGTTGTTTTCAATATTTTATTTCTTTGCACTGGGCGAAACGAAGAAGAAAGACAAAGAGAAGACTAAGATAGGCAAAGATGTCTTGGATTATACAGAATCTGATATATATCGCCTTGCAGACCAGTGGGATGTGAGCTCATCAATTGTTTCATTTTGAACTCGTAAATTTCTACTATTAAAACATAGCTGGTTAATTTTGTTTGTACACGTGTTACATACCTTTTGATTTTTACGAGAGAATGTCGTATACACTGTATTTTACAAAGATAAGACATCCAACGATCGTTCAACTAAACACACTGAAACCATCTGCTTCTACTTGAGTTGTATTCTTTACGAACATATTGTTGAAACCATTGTCCAAAGACAACTGACGTTTTTCATTAACGTTTCTAGGAGAATGATGAAGAATATGATCCAGATGATTACGATGACAATGATCCAAGAAAGCCTCCTCCCAGTAACGCTGGTTTTGACCCGTCGCAATTCAATGGTGATCCAATGGCTATGATGAAGCTTGCTAAAAAAGGAAAAACTGTCATGGTCTTTGTGCAAGTTGGAGAAAAATTTGACAAAAAGGAAGCTGATAAAATCACAGAAAGATGGCATCATAGCTTGTTTAATGCTCAATTTCAAATACAAAGGTTATACCACTCATCATAGAATTTCTGACACCTTTAGATCTCCCAACTCTATTATCCACCTATACCCCCACCTACCCACCTATACCCCCACCTACCCACCTATAACAATGTTTGGGTAATTGATTCAGTAACTTACCAATCCTGGTCATATTTATTCCTATAGGTACATGGTATCTGATCGCAGGGCAATATTTCTGTTACAAGATGGTAGCACAGCATGGGATATCAAGGATTTTTTAATTAAACAACCTGAATGTGAAAGTGTAGAATTTGACAATCAAAAATTTCCTGGTTCAGCTGCCAAACCAGACGGTGATGACCAGAAGACAGAACTATAAACACATGCTCTGAATTTTTTAACTTTAGTTAATTTGTGGTATTTATGAATATAAAATAAAAAACTGAAACTTGTAGTTCGGTTGTTTCTTTATTTTCAAAACACCTCTTCCCACTTCAGTTCACAAGAACAAATCCTTTGGTTTTACCTAAGTCCTAAACTAAGTACAAAATATCAACTTTGTATTTATAAAATTTACTTTATCTTCAAAATGAAGTATTAATTAGTTACTTGTTTTAAAAACATAGTTGACAATTTTTGAGAAAATTAAACGTTAAAAACTGTTTCAGCATCTTCGTTCATAAGCATAGCTATCTATTTTCTACATCATAAACTGTTTTTTACGGTTATATCCTGATTTTCTTAACTCGTTAGAATGACTAGTTATTCAGTGTTGGTGGATATTGGTGCATTTAACTAACTAGCACTAATTAACAGTTCGCTTTTATGATTGCAACCGAGTTTTGTGCACTGTGAACTACATAATTTCACTTTTATTTTGCGACGTTATTTCCATAATATATGCTTTTTTCTTTCAAATACGTCGATAAGATACATAATTACTTTCTAAAATACATAAACCCTACATACACATTATATATGTATATTTTTACATTAAATATAATAACAATACCATTGACTATTAAGACTCTTAGTCCGAAATATCCCGCGGTCCAAAAGAGGCGTATATTCTATAATTTTAGACCACAGTTCGAACTCTATATTAGTTACATAACTTCACCAACATATTTTAATAATTTATAACTAGTACTTTGTATAAATAGCAAAATAAATAAAATATTCTTAACTTAAGAGTACTGCATGTACAACACTTCATCCGCATAAGGATACAATTTCTTCTCAATTTGCGAAAGTACTTTTTCTCTAGTCTAATACGGCAAACAACTACTAAAAAACACGAACGTTTCAGCGTTCCTTATGTCACGGATAAAGCGAAGAACATCCAATACTATTAGTCTTAAAGACTAACTATGATATGATTATATCAGTTGATATTATACAACAGTTACATATTGAAACTTTGGTTCCGTCATATAGACAACTGTCGTTTGAGTTGGAAGATCATCTTGGATGAAAACATCATCATCAACAAAATCTTCAGACATTGCGACCGACAAAGCATTATCTTTACCGAAATAAAGTCTTAATGCTACTATACAAGAAGCTAAAGCTGATATTCCAGCTACTGTTCGCATTACAGGACTTGAATTTCCTGCGCTGTCATAGATCCACCCTGAAGCATAAAGATATTGAATGTTAGTGACGCCCATGTTAGTAGTGTTTAGCAAAAGCAAGCAGCATTCCGTAGTTTAACTCTCGTCAGTCAAACAAGTGAAAATTTGAAAGTGGTTTTACCTAAAAATGGCGGACCTCCAAGAGTAGCGAAGGAGCCTATACAACTGAACAATGCAAAGGCATGTTCCGAAGGTAGTCCGTTTGTTACTTCAGTAACGTGGAGAGGTAAAACAACCCAGTAAACACTGTCCACAACGGAGATAAATCCCATGTATATCATCATAAATGTAAAGGATTTTGTCGTTGAGCATAAAAAGGTAGCGATACTAAACAACGCCATAACTGATAACATAAGATATCTGACTTTTCTTCGTCTTGCTGCCAGATCCCCAAGACGTCCAGCAAACGATCTAACGACGACAGCAACAATTCCTCGTACAATCATCAGCCATTTCGATGTTGATAATGGATGACCGAGATTCGTTGCAAATTGTACCTGGAAAGACAAGGAATGGATTAGATTTTGTGAAAGAAAAACTATTGAAAATTGAAAGAATGAATGGATTGAATGGTTATTCGCTGAAATTAATGAAGAACGAAAAGAAAAATGATTTGGAAAAGGGAGACTCACCATGAATACAGGAGGCATAAAGACGACAATCACGAATACAGTATGAGCCAAGAGAAACACCAACAACTTTTTACTCTTTAATAGTCTACAGTAAATACTCAGATCATCCTTTGAGAACTCCTTCGTGGGCAAACTGATGACTGTGCTAACGCTGAAAATCCTTTCGCTTGGATATTCCTCGGCTTTCCCGGAACCGTGGTACACAAGAGCATAACAGATTGTAATAAAACTTATGCCAGTCAAAATCCAAAATGTCCTTTGCCAACCAAGTTCTGAGAGCAATATTGGTAAAACAAAGGAGAAGACAACAGTGCCAAGAGCGTTCATGCTGGATCTTACACCAAAAGCGACGCCTTGATAGCTTTCAAAGCATTCCTTAATAGTAGTGAACGTTGCACATCCAATTACTGAACACGCAAAGGCGATCGGGATAGAAAAGGTTAAAAACAAGTAATACATATCTGGGACCATCGGTGAACAAATAAACACGGGAAGAAGGAGTATTCCAGCTCCGATAACGGTTGAACGAATCCCGTATCTGTAGCGCATACGTAAGCTCCATGGGTATAGAAAGAAACAGCCAAACATTGCGGATGAACCAACCCACGCTATACGAGAGAAATAAGAAAAAAGAATTCATGATATTTGTCTTTTGAAAAAAGCCTATGCTTATAACTTTGTAAGACCTTTTAAACTAGACTGTTTGGACTGTTTCCTAATTTTAAAACTGAATATAAAAGACCAAAATATATTATTCTATTTCTAGACACGATAATTGAGAATTAAAGCTTTTCACATAGATAAACTGTATAGTATAATAGTTCACAGTTGTATATGATTTGTGTCTTTTTATATAGTTGTCTACCAATAGATTTGATTATGGTTATTGTTCATTGGCGAATAATAGGAGCGTTGTATTAATAGCGAAGCATAGTATAGCGATATAGGTTAGGCTACGTTTTTTTGTAATACAACTGGGCGAAAATAAACCGCATTGAAAACCACTTCGTCATATTCATGAAGTTGTTGTGGTCGTTTCAGCGACTTTAATAAATAAAGCCAACGGATAACTCTGTTAAGATGTAAATGTTATTACAACATTCCTGGCATTTCTTTCAAGAATTCCGTAGATTCATGACAAGTACTTTACTAATGTCAAGTTTACTCTGTAGCCAAGGAGATTGCGGTATTCAAGGATTATGACCTTAATTATTTAATGAGGGGTAATTTTATTTAGAGCTCAAGGCGACATTGGGAACATTTTACGATTCAAATAAATGGTCCAGTTTTTAGCCGTTTATGCAGAATGCTATTGCGGCTTAAAAAAAACTGTAAAGTCATACCATCGAGAGGGAATTTTTTTCTCAGAAAATGAATGCCAAAACGTCAATACCATGCACTGCCCACTAAGTTTCTTTCACGTATCTTTCATGTATTTCCCTCGGTATCTCGTAGCAGCAATGACATAGATACTGCCCACATTTTACGATCTTATTTCATAAACTTGCTTCCTTACCTCACCTGCCGAGGTGGGGGGCTAATTCTGTCCCATGATTACGAAAGAGCTCTTTTTTCCGCTTTTTTGAACTTTGTACTAGAACAGTCTTGTATTTATATATTCCGAAAGCATTATACATGAAGAATCGTTGTTAAAACGTTTGATACAACCGTGGGTTAGACTTTAGAGAGCAATTTCACCATGATTCACTTTACCAATCAAATTAAATCCCATGCATGCAACATTCATTATGTCAACTCAATTATTGAAAACCTGCCGATGACTACCATCAGTCTTTTGTATCTCAATATATTCTTATTTAGATTTAATATATATATAGAGAGCAACCCAAATATTTATGTATAAAGATGTATAAACATCTGAGTTGTCAGTCGACATTTCTGAGAGGCTCTCTATATCGCCAAGACGATATCAAAACTAGCTCGATAACCCTAACTTAACAGAATTAACTAAAGATTATCGAGTACACTTTATGGATATACCAACCTGCCATGCTGGTTTTTTCATTAAAATGTTTCACGAGAAATACCATCAAAACGCCGTAGGAATCAAGAAAGCCAAAGACAAAAAACGTAATCAATGATGCAAACGATAAATAAATCCATGATTGACAACTGTCCTTCTTGTTCTGAGATTCAGACATTGTCGTTTCGTTGTGTAAAGAAAATGCGTCTCTGCTATCTACTTCACGCGTGATTTCAACTCGAAACACGTGGGAATAATGGTTCTTTATATGTCTCTGCTACTAACGTCAGCAGAACGTCTGCAATTAAAGAATAAATAGCAATTTAAAAATATTGATAAAATACAAACAGGATACATAAAAGATATTGATCTCCCCAGACATGCCTTATTGCCTTTTTATTCTCCTTTTATGAAATAATATATCCTTAACATCCAATTAGATCGCCGGCTATAGCTGTGCGTTCCAGTTTAATATGAGACTTTGTAGCAGAATCTTGGAATTTATAGCTAGTGTTGGTTTATGCGGTGGGTGTATGTGCATATATATGAGATACGCGAAATGACGTGTTGACTCAGCAGGTTACGAACTGACAGGAACTATGATGTTCTCATAATCTAATTATACCAAAATAAATTTAACGATTGATAAACTGATTTGCCTTTTCAATCATCTACGAAACTTTCGACGTTTCCAACGTAATCCGATGATCGACATTTTGCGGATCGTTTGATGAAGACTACCTTCAGGAATGGAATTCGCTTCGAGTCATTGATAAAACTTATTAAAACTTAGGTCAGTCTTAAGGTCATTCAGTAAAAAGCCAGATGAGAAAGATTTCTTATTAGATTAGGTGTATTAGGTGTAATTCAACGAATTAACAAAAGATGGAATAAAGAGATGCAACCATCCTCATCAGAGCTTTGACAAATCTCATTACTGCATCGGCATCGGATGAACTGAACTCATCAAGAATTTAGAAAACACATCAGCAAACAATGTTTATATACATAGCTTCAAAAACTAATATACATATGCACAGTCTATATTCATTAACCATTTAAAACGGACACCAGCCTGTGATGTTTACTAAATATATTCAATTTGATTCCGTTATGTAATTAAAAAATAGCGGAGGAGTTATCGTGGATGGTCGAAAGTGACTGGCGCCGAAAAGTCAGACACTATAGCCGGCCTATAGTTGTTTAGTAACACCAGCGTGGCGTAATCGATTGTATTTCTGAATTGAGGCGTTCATTTCCGAGTAGGATTGTGTGAGAATATATCAATGAAAATGATTCAATATATGCTATATCGATGCGATTATTTGAACTGTTCATAATACCAGCGAAACTGCGAAAGTAATACGTGCGGGTGAAGATTTCAATCTCGCAATCCTCCTAAACAGACGTGACCATGCATGCAACTGAGAATGATATATGATTCAAGGTTATCATTATATATATTGGTCAACAACTGCCAATAAATGAACCTATATTTCCGCGATACGCTCTAAACGTGCTGCCAAGCCTTTACACATCTGGTGGCGTGTGTTCAGCCTACAAGGTTACAACAATCTTATCTAGCGATTAATCAACACTGTGGACGTGGGTTCTACGTGCAAGAAAACTAGACAATAGACAACGTATGATTCCGTATTGTGTTATGTAGTGGGATTTTTAGGTAGAGTGATGTAACCGACGCAAACATTCATTAACATGAGAATGACCGTTATTCTTTTTCCAGTGCCTGTTTGTTTTTGTTATATTTTCAATGTATTTACGCTGTACATATCTAAACCACATGCATGCGTGGATTTAGACGGCATGCCTATATACGCACTGGGCCACCCGTAGCTTCTTCAAGAGCGAACCTGTCAAGAGAGAGCCGCTGCGCAAGAGACTGAAAACCGTAAACGTTTGACGGTATATTCAGCCTCGTTTAAAAAAAACTACCTATCTCAAGTAAGCAAACATTATTAGACATTCTTTCCATAGCATTGATTTCCTTACGGAAATTCATCTCTTATATTATACTAGCTTGCGCGGTCTCATTCTCACTTGCATTTGCCAGTTTTATTCAATTCTACACAATAAATCGCGTGATTGTATCCCAAGAACGGTGATAAAACGCCGGAACTAAGCTGTGGTGGATTTTAAAAAATGAATTAAAAAATTTGCTAACGGGCACTCAAACTGAGTAAACAAATTGAAATAGGAACAATTATCACTCCTATATGGCTTGTCAGCTTGACGAATTCAAACGACTATAATATTATAATATACAAAATCACAAGTGTCAATACATACAGTGTCTATAATGTTGTCGATTTTATCTTTTCATTTACTTCACTCCAGTATTTAGCTAATGATCTCGTATTCGTTTCACTTCTGCCTCCGACACGAACGATATTCCTGCTATAGTTCGCAGTTGACCTTAAACTCTTGCAAATCTGATGCCATGAAAGCGTAAATGGAATTATTCCGTTACACGGTGAGGTATTTAGTTGGCAAGTGTTTAAAGGCAATCAATATTTCATACGTATGCGTCTACCTGTTTGACGTCATTCCAGCACAAATCTTCCAATTTCATAATCCCAAAGATATACATGAGGGTGACAAGAAAAGATAACTGGATTACTTATCAAATTCAGGACTGTGTCTTCTCACGTTACTCAACATGCATTTATGTTGTATGAAGACGTAAAATCATTTAATGTCATATTTATTCAATCCTGTTATTCTAAAGCGTATATCACTTTTTATTATTTGCAACTAAAGTCAGATACTGGCCCTATTAGTATAAGTAAGTATTTATATACTAAACAAAGAAAATATTCAACCTTAGTCACTGATGTACGTGTAGTTTTAAGTGAATGCTTTATGATCTTTATACAATATTACAAAGATAATTATAGGGTGTTTTATATGCAAGATTTATAATCGAGTCTGACCGCAGTACCAAAATGTCTGGGATCTATTTTAGTTGGTTACTGCACGCCGAGTTCCTAAAATTGTGTTGCGTGCGTGAATATATTTCAACTTCCTAAATATTCATGGGCGTGTTTGAGAAATGGGAGAGCAGGGACGGTTTGCAGACGAATATTACTGCCGCATATTGTATTTTCGTCTTGTGTCCAACTAAGTTTTCTGGAACATTTTCATAAATGGGAAAACATCATCGTATCAATTTCAGCCTGCCCTAATATCGCGTCGGTAAATTTAGCTTGAACCGATTGCTAGTTCCTCTTTTAAAATCTTCACACGAATGTACGGAAAGGATCTCAAATTTTTAAAATTGTGTGTGGATGAAATGCAGGATATAAAACACCAGGACACGTTTTTGGCCTTTCTGACGTCAAACAAAGACTAAATTTTATAATGTCCGTGAGTTTCTGGCAAGCACCGTTTCAACCGGTCATCCAATATATTGTGAACAGCTCGCAGTTTTCTTTTAGTTTACACCATTAGCCAGGAGGGAGGAACACTGACTTATAAAGGTTTAAAGGATGAAGCCAAACGAAGCTCACAATCGTCAGATGTGAAGATTTATCTTCTAAAATAACTAAAATATAAGCATTCTTATCTCCCGAATTGAGGAAACGTAAACTCAGGAAGGAAGGAAGCAACGTCTATCAAACTCAAGGGAATCTTTATAAGCAAATTTTAAAATGGCGTCAAAAAAGATGTCTTTATTGGGAGTACTTTCAAAACGGAGCTTTTACTATATTGGACACCGTAATTCAGTCTCTTGCATGCTCAGCATCAGATTCTTCACATATTTGTCCCTTCATATCTACACAAGCAATCTCCTTAAAATGCCCGGAAGGCTTATTTCATTTTTTTATTTGTCGATACGAGTCATTTGACTTTGCTCGTTTAGTTCAAATCTATTTGAAACAGATTGAAGATTAACAGCGCACTTTGCCGTTTTTGAACAAAGATCTTCTTCCTGATTTTCTGATCGTTATTTTTACTTCTATATAGACCTCATTCCCTGCCGGTCACGTATCCTCAAAAAGCACAAATGAATTTATCGTGAATTTTGAAATCGAAGTTAAATAGTTTCCTTGAGAGTCACTATCCAAATTTTACACTGAAAACCTGTGGATAATTAGCTCATTAACGCCATACAATTAATCATTAATTAAGAAAATCCAATTTACCGAAGTCTTCGACTGCGCCAATCATAGCCGGTTATAGTTACGTTATCATACCTACATGATAGCTATAGCATCGCAATCAATGTATACGCTTGATATTTTGTAAGGAAACTAGGGGCGACAATTGTTTATGTTAAGATGGTGCTGACTGTTAAAATGATCACAAGGAAAGCATAAGGTATAAGGATGGAATAATCTAGAAAAACCCCTCAAAAAAAACTTGCAGGAAATCATTGATGCCGGAAACATCGTTTTGATGAAGTGTATAGGAAACTGACAAGCGACAAGTCATTGACCCGAGTAAGATTATAACAAAAAATCACATGTGTTGCTTTGTTTGATGCATATATCGAACGCTACATAACTCATACTTTCTTCATTGTTCCTCCTGGTAGTCGCTAAATCTCAACCAGCCTCACTCTTCACTCATTACTGTACGTAATTTCCTTACAATGATGGAGAATGGCTTAACCGCATTTGTCTGACTGTTTCAATCCCATATGTTACTGCATGCGAAGAAACGCCATCGTTTATGATATCAGACCTCCACTTAAAGATTTGACAGTTCGTAAGGCGCGTCTCTTCACAAGTTATATTAATCACGCCAAGGTCAGAACCTCTTAAAGTAAAGTATCATCGCCTGTAGGTATTTATATGACCTTGATGCTGGCTTTTGCTAAAGATTACAGCGCGGAGATATTTGCAATCGCAATTTTGGGATTATCTTTGTACCTTTCGCTTTTCACAATGCCGACTATATATTCTAGATAGAATCACGAATGCTGCAGGGTCAAAGTATATTGCATTGATTAATGATGAAGCAATTTTTGGTTTTCTTGAATAATTGATGTCCGATTGTGCGGTGCCTTATAAGATCTGCTGAATTATGACATTCTGACCACTGCAGTACTCAATTGCTACGAAACTGGCAAATCCACAGTATATTGTTTGTGGTACAGTATTGTAATGCATCTCACGGCTCCACCCGTCGCATCCGTGCCGTTATATACTATCGACTTGTTGTTCATATACACTCCTTTTTTAAACGTCAAGTTCAGCTCTAAAAGGATGGCTGGGGATTTTGCCTGTGGCTTTTTGTCCACACCCGCAAATAACCGATTAGGAAAATGAAACAAATATATATTTGAAACGAGAAACCGCATTTAAAAAAACTTCATGAATGAAAAGCGTGAACAACGATCACATTAGCTATCAGTTTTTGTTAACAATTATACTACGTCAATACGGAAAAACCAGCTACGTTGTTGTTGGAATAAAGCACGCTGAATTGAGCGAACGTTTCCTCCTATATCTGCCCATGCAAGGTTGAGAAATGAGAGAATTATATCAATGACATTTAATATGCACTGATATGCAATGGTAATCATCCAGCGATACACTTTTACACTCGTGGTTAATTTGAGCTCGTCACTTTTAATTCATTTCTTCAAAAAACTTTTCATGATTAGGTTTTCATAACAGATTGCTCGAAGCGCGTGTTAAAAAAAACAAGAGGAAAACCGCACTCGTAATCACATTCTGGGATCAATTTCTAACACCTCGACTTCATTCCGTCTCAGTTCTCAGCTGCAAAATATCTGCAATCATTGACTAATCTATATTAACATTATCTGTTTATATGTAATCCGGCAGTTCCTTTCACAAAATCAAACCAAAGCCAATGATTCAAATATGTTTACCGGTTGAGTTAGTCTACAGGCAGCTACCACAGAGTGCATGTTCATGCGCCGTTCATCTCACATTTACGTACATAACATAATTAAAGGCTACCTATAATACTGCTTCAACAAATTAGCCGCGAATGCTTTTAAAAGATTTAATTAGTATCAATTAAATATAGAATCGGTTCCCAAACCAAATTTATGCTTTATATCCTATAGTACTAAAAATAAATCGCCTACCAGGCCACCCCAATCAAGAGAATACGCTCAATCCAAATTTCCTTATAGCTTTTCAAATCTTTAACCCAAGGTTTATGCATATAACTCCTCCAACAAAACGTCTCTGGATATTTCATCAAACCAACTTTAAAAGAATGTTATTTCCTCTCCTAAACGAACTTGTTTACTGAGTTAGGACTACGACGCTGTTTGCTGCATTCATATCAGTTATAGAGCTCAGGATTTATGCATGACGCTTGCAAGTCGTTAAAATGACAGCTCGGCCAAGTGGCATGTGAAGTAGACTACTTATAATTCCTATGAAAGATATAAAGATTGTTTACGTCTTTCCTTTATCTGATAAAAATTACGAATATGCTTGGCCTCGTTTCCACGAAAGACCCCGATTAGCAGTCTGCATGTACAAAAAACGCATGTAAAAACCAGTTTTCAACTCATAGACTAGAAAGAAGCATATGCTTTATTTTACATATTTCCCCAAAAAGACTCATATTTTACGACTTCAAAAACACTTAGGAAATATTATTCCCGCTATTTGACATTGAGATCTTATCCGTAGCTTTTTTTTTGCAGAATCCTTGCTGTTCTGCACTCTACGCTAACGACATCACACCCGTTGATAGTTTTACGATTAACGATATAATCCTTGCCTCGTGCATGCGTAGTTAACATGGAAAGACGACGTTCACTGCATGAACTAACGAAACCGTCAGTGTGTCTGTCAGACGTGCTGCAAAGCCAAGGTCACGAAACTATATTTAGTTGCCTGAAGGCATTTGGAATATTGAACTTATTACATCCTAGTTTGCGTTGAGTCAAGACTGTTCCCACATTGTTAGTAACGACTAACAAACAATATTTTTCAATAATGAAATCTGAGCAAAGTGATCAAATATGGCACAACTTATTTTTGATAAAATGATGTTCGTGACTTACGATCGTCACCAGTCAGTTCCTAGCGTGTTCACAGGCGACTTTCATTCCCGCATCGCATGCTAATTAGCTATAGTCCACATGCAAAGGAGCGACTCTCAAGGTTTCAAAAGTATTTCTCTTTCAAACTGTGTTATTCTTCTAACACACCCACAAATTCTCTGTAGGGAGTTTTCTTCGAAACTAACAAGACAGAATATCCACGATTTCAATTAAGAAAAATATTTTGGTGTATTTGAGTCTAAGGTCGAGCTGTGACAACATCGTATGGATTACAACGTCTTCTGAGCTGGTAGATTTAGCAAAAAATGACCATTAGCGAGCCTAGCTCGTACCCTAGCTGTCATTTTAGATCGTTTGTTAACCAAACATTAAATATCAACATAGACACATACATGTTGTTATACTAACACCTCTACATCAGGTGGTAATTAAGAGATGAAACATATATGAGACGGAAATCATGCAAACACATTCAACACTAGGTGCACTGTTGATGGACCAGAAACTCTTTTTATATAAACAACAACAATAATACAGATACTCCATACATAGCACAGAAAAAAGTCTTCCCTTACCCGCTGTTCAAAAAGATACCTAATATTTCTTTCAATCATTCAATATAAATCCTTTTATTTAATTTAACGGTCCCTGCAGTTTCAAACAACGTCTGTCCTTATCACTGCACAGAGCACCTTTTTTCATTGAGATTTTAACAAATCCTCTCTGAATGATCAGATGATTGCGTTTCCTGGTTTTGATCACGAGTAAGTCAACATGCCTCACATCTAAAGTTCTCATGTGTAATATTCTATTCTGTCTGGGTCTGTCCAGTGAAAAGGGCGAATAACAATATGAATTGTACCTTAGCACCAAACAGTCAAATCCCCTCGGGAAAAATGCACACTGCTTCAACTTGCAGGCGATGACGATCGTTGGTATGTATTCTCTTTTGGAAGAAGGCAAATGATTGACTGAGAGCAATTTTACAATGTTGAGACACTTGTTTCAGTCGCTATATATTCAGACGAAGTACACTTGCTTCTAACAAGACCTAACAGTCAGTGATCTACTTACAACTTCGGCCGAGATTTTGTATCCTCCGGACACTAACGTAACCTCACGCGACACGTGTTTCCTGTTTCAAAATATTCCCCTGCCAAAATTAATTGGCGCTAACAAGCTATTGCATAATGTAGTTTTTTATTTACAACAAGAACGCCGGCAAAGAGCAAAGATAAAGCCATAAAGCGGCTCATTTTGACGCAAATAGATTTGTTCCTGGTTTTAAGGATGTTTACGACGGGTTTTGTACTGATTAAGTGTTTTCATAAAAATTTGGCACGAACTAAAGCCGCCATGAAAACACTGGTTGAGTTCTTTGTTTACAATACTGACTTAGATTTTTCCCACCACTGCATTAAGTGAGATGACAAGAGGAGAGAAGGACGAACTAAAAATATCCCTTAAACATGTTTACTGAATGTGTTTATATTTCAGTAGTTTGATGCATGGCTAAGTCATTATGGAAAAAACAAATGGTAAGGCGATAAAGAGTAATGACTTGTCAATGAAGACCCCATTAAAAAAAGATTTTCAAATTTTAAAAAGAACAGATAGACCGGAGACCCCTTGTTGGGAAGTTATTGAAGGTATTTAATGGAGTGGTTTATAATTCCAGCATATTCAAATTGATCGAACCGCAAGTCAGGAAATCGCAGGATGATTCACAATCTTCGAGCAGAGGTGGCCCTATTACATTCTCTTCATAAGGCCAGGATCGCTGCAACCACAGGAAGGTATTGGAGGGGGGGGGGGAGGGGATTGAGGAAGGGCAGTTTGCGCAAACTGAAAACCTTTGCAAACCATTAGCAGTTGAACTTGGCTTCATGGATTGCAGGGTGCTTCTGGGTGCTTCTGGGTGCTTCTGCCCAACGACTGTGCAACAACAACATAGCTCGTTGACTGCGCTTTTTTTTTAAGCAGACACAAACCAATACAATATCCTGCAAAGCTACAGCATCCTCAATGGATTTCATAGTCGTAGTGTACGTAATACAAGCTTAATTAATGAAAATCTAGTAACATAATACAAGCTTAATTAATGAAAATCTCCTTGCCTGATTCCTGATTGCATGGTCAATTCATGTGTGTATGATGAGGTCGTATATAATGGCGCTGAGTGCTAAATACGAAAATCATTAGAAGCAAACGTTTGCGTTATATTCTTAACAGCATGATTTTATCCTGGTGGTCTTTCAAGTAATTCTTCTCTCATCAGTGAGATCACACTGACACAGAACAGCTTATATCTGGTATCCATCAACGTAATGCATTACAAATACAACCACTATTGTAATCGTATTGATGGCAAAAAGCCACAAATATTTTAGACAAATATATGGAAGTAAAAATAGCTTTGAACTTCAATATTTATTCTCACTGTTCATTCAGTTTCATTGCTGCTCAGTCAGGCCCGTTTTAGACGTCGAACTGAACTTTTCATGTGCCCAAACGCCGATACCAAAGAAAGACGTTCGCTGCATTTGGTTTGACACATAAAAAAGTTTGACGTTTATTTAATGCATTCTTACCGCAAAGCAATGCATGACCTTGGATATTAATGCCTCCATTTGTTAACAATTAATAGGCATTTTGTTCGAGTATATCAAGGAAACTGTGATTCCAACAGTGATTTGTACGACATAAACATCCTGCTAAACTTATGCGAGGCAATATGCTTTTAATAAGGTGGACAGTTTTGTGGAAAAAATGGGCAGTATGTGTGCAATGTTTGTATATTATTAATCAGTTTACTAATAAAGTACTTTAGCTAAACTTACAAAAATGATTTAAATGCAAACGAGTGCAAGTGTAAATAAAGGTGGAGAGTCCCTCGAAAGGGGGGGGGGCGGGTTGAGGGGGGAAATGCAGAAGGGTACTGAGAGGTATACACTCAAACCAATAGAGGCGCGTGGTATTATAGGAACTTCCTATTAATCGGAAATTCGTAAAGGTCAATTCGAGATAAATTCCCTATTGTGAAGTTATTTATTTCCTTACACAGCTGCCTGGAACTGATTGAAAAATGTGGTGCTATATGTTGAAAGATGAATCCCTTGCATTCAGCGCAATGACGCATTTGAGTTCTCGCGGAACGTGCATTCCCGCTATGATTACAAAGTAGCATAATTTGCGCTGCTTGCCGAAAAAGTTAATAAGTATATCCTTAATGATTGATTAATGAATGTTTTAACATTTGACGCTGAAAATACAGTGTAGGTTTTCCTGCATTTGAAATCTATACACGGTGTTAATAAAATATATTTTTTCTCACATAATATCAAACACTACACATGCATGTAGCTAAAACTGAACAGTTGCACTGAAATCTGCAGGAAAAAATAGATATGAGAAAAAATTGCAATTAATGAATGAATTACTACCAATCAAGATGCGCCCGTTTTTACACAGTATCTCGAGTCTATTAGCTATCATTCAGTCTGACAGTTCCCCTTTCGCAAGCAATTGTGTTTTGTGATATTTCATATTTGCGTTTAAATATTTCATAGTTAATTTTTTATTTTAAGTACAGTTTTTAGAATAAATACTACTTGTAATATATTATTATAATGAAACTTTTATTACAGCAATCTACGACGCAGACAGCATATAGCTATCTCATATAGCTATTAATATATAACCACTGATATGCGCAAACAAATTTCATAAAATCTTTACTACTCAACGAAATTAATCTGTAATGATTCCTACCTTGTGGATTAAGTCTCGGTCTTTTTAGCCTCGTTTTAACGCGTCTGATGAATGAGTATGTCGATGCATCAAATGCAATTGAGTTTTATCCACTAAGAGTTTGATATTTTATGCGCACTCTGACGACAGATCGTGACCCATATATTTAGTTCAATGACGCAATTTAAATCGGATGTTTTTTGGGGGTGCTCACATTACTTGACGTTGTTAAGGGTGGGGGTCAGATTGATATGACATATGTGAACATGCACACCGGTTTTCCTAATCACGAGAAGCCACAAAACACGTGAGCAGTTGGCGTAACGTTCTAATGAGAGTTCTTTAGGGAACGGCTATTGTGTATTTTAACCTCGGACGCGTGGTTTGCATAACCCAAGTTTGGATTTCTTTAGATTTTATCTTTTATTCTCAGAAACGTCAAAGGGTATTTCAGTTATTTACTTATCGAAAGCCAATGATATCGCCAAATAAATAGTAAACCCAGAAAGGACGGAAAGGAGCGCCGTGCCAGCGTCTTCAAACAGCCTCACATTAAATGTGGTATTACAACTGCAGAATAGACAAAAAAACTTCTCGACGTTTCGACCTAAGGGCCTTCGTCAGGCCGGAGAGTTGGTTAGGGGCTTACTAAGGCGATTCAGCTGAAACGTCGAGAAGTATTTTTGTCTATTTTAAGCAGTTACTTTTGGGAAAAAAAGGTAGAAGAAAGTTGGGAGAAAAACGGTTAAATCGATTGGTTTATAATGTTTTGATGACTCTTTAAAAAAGCTAGAAATAATATTAAAGAAGACATAAAAATTAGGATCTCTAAGTTTTCATAGCAACTATAAAAAATTATAGTGAAGTTTACGTCATAATTCTGCCTCCACAACTTCCCATTTTTGAGAGAAAGCTGCCGAAAATCATCTTTTCAAAAGATGTCCTAATGTGGTAATATAATTGATGAAACGATTAGGGATATCTCATCAGTTTATCCATCTCATTCCGGAAACATACGCATGTTGGCATGGTTTAAAAGCCATAAAAACATCCTACTGAAACACACTGAAACCGGACGAAGTATCATTTCTCAGATGTGACATCAGAAAATTTCTGGTTTTAATAAATTATATGACTACAATACCATAACATTTGACCGCAGGGAAAGAGTTTTTCAATAGCTTGAAACATATGCTGGAAACTTCATGGGAGAAAACGCAGTCTTTACTGCTAGTTATAACGAAAACGAGGTAATACTGAGTTGATCATACCCAGCACATGACCGTCCCCCAGTCTTTTCCTTCCCACACCAAATTAAAAACACGATATGCCAATATTCGAAACTAACCCAGCCCTAAAGCGCTTCTTTTCCTCAAAGAGGATCTTTTAAGAGCATAAAAAACCGATGACACGACAATATAATAAAATTCAGGCACGCCACAGATCAAATGACGTGAACTGAATATCTCCGTTAGTCTTCGATTAGTTAGGTTTTTCCGCAATCAAGAACTGTAGCATAAGGTGCGAGTATATAGTGATAGAGTCTTTATAGAAGCAAAGACTTCCGTTGAATGTTCCAGCAAAAATCTTCACAGACAGAATGACAGATCACGGGGTGTAATTTGACGATTGATTGAATATGATGATAGCTCACGCGAATCGCCCTGAAGACACGACCACGCATGTCCACGCTTCTCACCAGCCAAGTTGGCTGTGAAACAAAATTACTTCCAATCTCTGAGCTTCTCAAGATCAACATATTACATTAACACCCACACTGACTGGATTGGAGCCCTCATCGCTGACAAGTTGGGTTAACCAAAGATCGATTTTTTGCTTATCAAATTTTCAAATTATTGGATTATCTTAAGTCGATAACTTATATAACTGTAGAAACTTATAATCACACTTACTTATCACTGTTCCAAGCACAGTGGAATGTAGAATATCTGTATTTCAATCACAACGCAAAGTTAATTCAGGCTATAGTATAGAGCCACAACCGAAATCCTTCAAAGTTCTTTAAACACTTCAATATTATACCAAACAGACCTTCGTTACGTTTGTTTTGATGGACGTTTTTAACATTATGCTCGTCAACGTCTTATTTATTTAGTATCATCGTACGTTTGTTTTAGGGCCTTCCCATGATGTAACGTTGAAATCAGCTGAGTATTTGAAATTCTAAGTATTTTGTCAGCGACTGAATTACACTCAGATATTGCGACTATAACCTTGAAAAGCTTTTTAACACATGATACAGTGTGTCACATCTTTGATGACTATCTTATTTTGTTACTGACTGAATTATATACACTCAGATAGATTCAGATATTGCGATAACCTTGAAAGACTTTTAAACAGATGATACAGTGTGTGTGTGTGTGTGTGTGTCGCTACTTTAGTCGCACCTTTGATGACCAATATGGAGGTATTAGAGCTATTTGTGATTATGCTGAATATACAGTCTGAGATGTCACGAAGTTTGTTCAGGTTTTACGATGCGTCTCGTGGTGTTTTCATGTTGTCAAAACTGAACATCCAAACACACGAAGTTTGCATAGCCTGGATTTAAAAGGAATGTATTTACGTAACAAAACGTTTAATTATGGACAACCAACTACTGACAATGAAATCATTGTCATACGATGAATTTGGATAAAACGAGACAACAGGTCTCTTCAACTCTTATCCTAGACCTAGGGTCTGTTGTCTCTTTTTCCGAACGACCAGAGCATTTTGCGCATCGTGATTAGAGCTAGCGGGGACTAAGCGTTAGACTGACAATATAAGTTTTGCATAATGCTGAGATAACACAAAAATGAGCAATGAAGCATATCAAAGCAATCTGTTTATTCCGGCCAACGAAATCAACAAAAATGAAATCATCTATTATGGTCGAAACGAAAATGAGAAGATATAGAGGCAGAAACAGGAAGAATATTGATGCTTCGACCTTTTTTCTTGCCAGAAAAGGAGGCCTCGCCCTTTGCAATGACCTTGGCAATCTTGGCACCCTGTTTGTATTTTATTCGATATTTTTTGTAAGGTATATGTATGTAGACTAAGCTTTCACTACAGTACTTTTTCACCACGATCACATCGCCACACACAAATCACTAATGTATGGAAAATCTTTATCAAAATCATGTATTTCAGACCTAGGACTGTCTGGAGTGTCTGCCATAAGTCTTCACAATCAAGACCGTGAGAATATTGCGTGGTGGTACAATCTTCACATTTAATTAACTTCCAATGGATACCTCACATCTCATTGTGATATATATCTTAAAAAATCCATTAATTTAAAAAAAAAATCAAACTCTGGAAGATGAACAGGCACCTGCGAATGTCTTGAAACTCAAAACTGCTGCCGATAAGGACTTCGTTATCTTTACTTTCATTTGTCATTAAGAGCAATTAATTCAAAAATTGATGAGATTGCCTGCATTCGCGTGTCAATATTAACTTTTCCAGTTTGTTGATAATAAAACAGTCGCACCATCCCGCTAGTTGGAATAGTTAAACACCCCATGTCAATGTTACTGCACACATATACTGCACTGATAGATATGATACTGTACAAAAAGCAATAAACTATATATTTCGTGACAGAAAGTACGTGCGATTGTTTCGTCAATATCACGACGAGTTTCTTGATACGCTGCACACTTTTCTTGCCGGATACAAGCCAACGTTTATGGTTTTGTGAGCCACGGATATTTGGCAAAGCAAATGCAGAAAAGTGTGAATATGACATTACGTCATTCTACTCAAAATTTTTCCTCTTAACATGTATTTTATTTTAAATTCAACTCGACTGGCCAAATAGAGTCACGTCGCGTTTCCGGCTGGACAGTAACTGGGCTATACCTAACTAAAGTCGTGCAAGAATCACGACAAACGAGCAAGAAAAATCGTCAACAGTGGTTTTAATTAATACACCACTCTACCATCAGTATGCTACAGACGACTATCAACCTTGCAGCTGTGAAAAGGTCTCTCGTGCATAAGTGAAACGTGCACGTCATATTCGTATTTCTTGTGTATATCAGAAGAATACTTGGAATAAGAATAACTGAGTGTTTGCTTGAATATGATCTCAATAAAAGATCAACTAATATCTTGATCAAACTGGGCGCATATATAGATAAAATTCATAAAACAATACGTAACGAATATATATACAGCTACATTTGAAATATCTTAACATACCGAGATGTAGGTCACAGCACTTGCAATCGTGTCGATATTAGTTCTACATGCAGCCAGAGTACTTTAAAAATGGACAGTTCTGTAAAAGGAAATTACGACCATCAGAGTTTCTTCCCTCACCATTCAGATCTCATTACAGGTGATGGTAAGAAAACATATTACATCGAGTTAATACTCTTTGACTCGGTTATGTTGATATAACAACTGGGGCTGTGGGCGAAAAAAAATAGCGACAGCGCTATATGTTCCGGTTTCTAGTGTTAAACACGAGATTTAATTGAAAATTTATCTTTCCACAACAGATATAATCTACTATTGGTAACCTAATTTTATTTTCACCTCCTACAACAACTTACATGGGTATAATCTTTGTTAAATACGGAAAAGTCCATACCTTTGAACGAGCTTACAACAACACGACCATTTCCAACGCACTCGCGAGACGAAATGAACTTTCACCTGCGTTTCAAAGAAGCACTTTACAAGAGCCTTTCTTATGCAAATGTTTTAGGCAAGCTAACACACGTCTCAGGGGAAGGCTAACAATTGAAATGAAAATTAGCAAATATAAACTTCATCTAATAAATCATCCGATAGCGAAGGATCATTGACTCCTATCACACCGTTTGAAAAGATAATCTTCGACAGGAAGTCGGCTCTTGCGCTTGTGTTCTAAACATACAAAGATCGTGTACAATGTTTGCTTTGAACTTTCAATAGAAACACTTTATTTGATAGAAATCACTTTAGGTCCCTTTGAATTTGATTTCCGGAGCAGTTAATATACAGCATGATTGGATAGCAGAATTATTCACATTCTTTGGTGAAATTCTCTAAATTCCTTTTAACATCTCGCTATGATGGCTCGTTTAAACCTGTTCTGAATCGGATTTTACCGGCACAAAGTTCGAGTACCGGGTATTTATATAGAACATGATAGTTCACATTCAGTCTTCTTAAAAGATTGTGTCTGCTTGTTATATGTCTGCATGTTAAGCTTTAGTTGTGTTCATGTTTAAATTATTTATTTCCTCTAGTCACTTCTGATAAATACCATGTCTACATATTCCAATAATTATTACGAAACATTGGTTAGAATTATCCGGAAGAATTCCAAGAGAAGACTTGGAATCATGTTTATAATTTAAAGATGAATACAACAAGAAATTTTATTCAATAGTGCAATTTGGCACACAGGGTATATGTTCTCATTAGCGCCGTGTGCTGCCTCCTGCTGAGAACCTGGATATAAATAAGATGAAATCATTTAATAGGAGTATCGCTTCTTTAACTACATTATGGTGATTTGCAACTCTGATGGGGTCGTGCTTTTCGCCTTTAATTTTGCGTCTCTTCCTGTGGGAGGATATCATAGGAACACAAGGGAACCCACAAATTTTGTTTGACGAAGTCGTTTTAACGCGAGTTTCCTGGGTGCAGTGCTGGGTGTAATGTTTGAACGGTCAAAGAATAACGATTGCTGATGAATTGTGGTGCAATAGTTCTCGGTGTTTACGATATTATAATAAAGTGGGTTGGTCAGTAACTTTTACCACCCTAACGTGATATCAAGTGGGGATGAGTGGGGATGAGTGGGGGTCTGGGTGGGGTCCGGGGGTAGTGCAGTTGATACCGTTTCTCGGTTTTTCTTGAAATAATCAATCAAGACATTATACCCATCAACACTTTATTATCTCAATTCTCACGTTGCTAAAGAAACCTTGACCAGCCGGCCATTTAGAGTTAGCTAAAAGAGAAGTCAACACATTCAAGATATTTTGAGGAACCACATATGATTCATACACGGTTGATTACATTCCACAGATATCTTGTTTTTAGAAATTTGCTTTCTGACATAGCTATAACATTCTAATGCTGCCGTTTCATACACGCTGTTGGGTTGGTAAATCTGTCGAGATTTTGATCTTCCATTTCCTGTGAAATTAATTAATCCCAATCTCAAGTTTTGACATCATCTTCCTTGACATTGATGACTGGATAAATCTGCGAGATTCTTTGCTCCGTGACTGACTGTGAGACTAACGCGGACTCAAAAGATTTAACCCACGTATAACGTCCCAAAACACTATGGTGCAACAACAACATCTAAAACCGTGGGACTGAAACAGGAAAAAATCAGACACCTTTTTTTTGACAAAACTCCGTGCTTTAACAAGTGTTTGCCATTACTTTATTAACTAAATATTGAAACTGATTAACACCATAAAAGGGTTTTCAGGCGAGTGCGGAAGTCAACAGCTTTGGCTAACACCTTTGGCAATTTCTAGCATACTTTAAAGCCAAGGTTATCATGGAAAACTGTATGAGTATTAGAAAAATGCCGAGAAAAACACCAATGCACCTGCGTATACTTTTAAATTTATTATCGTACGTGGAAATATTAAAATTTTAGTCTTAAACCAATACTATTATTCTGTCACATCAGAAAACTGCAACGTGCTTCTTCTGAAAAATATTTTTAATATTTCAACGAGGATTATGCAAAGTCAAGGTTACAAGGACGCAACAGGAATCGGAAATGGATTTTTGCATATGTAAGACTCTTGAAATCAATATTTAACATCAAGCCGATAAAAAACGTCGCCAAAAGTAAACATATTTATAATGAATGACTGAAAATGCTTTTAACTAATTATTTGCTTGTTAATGGCCATTTAGGTATTCCGTGAGGCCTGCGGTTGAAGTTTTTACTGAAGATAGCACGGATTGTGCAATATGAACCTCTTTCATTCGGCACGTGTTTGTCGGCTTACAGATATAGAGAGATATATATACCTAGATAAGATAATACTTTAATCTTTAATGCTTTAAATAGAATAATTGCCACTGGCAAGTTAATCCGAAGATTGCTAGTCAAGGACATATTAAAAGTCACTTTAAAAAAACCCGGTACAAATTGTATCACACTTATACCCTCATCAACACGCTGCTCTATCATGTTTTCCTTATCTGGAGGACAAAGTAGCGAAGGTTTCATTCAGATCACCGGAGGGAAATGTGCTATTATGAAAGCAGTTTATTTGTGAATCGACTCAGCACGATGTCCGTTCTCATCAGAAAACAGTACAACACCTGCTGGTATTCGCTTACAGTGAATCTAGAGTTATCCCTGGAAATATTTGACCGGGATTTTACATGGGAAAATCGTAAACCACGGGGTACAACTTTGGTTGGGAAATGTAGAAAAAAATTGTTCTGGTGCAAGAATATGACTGAAAATCTATCTCCAATTGAGAAAACGAACCTGGACATTTTAAGCCAAAGTTCAGGCGAGATAGAGAGGGCAAACAAGCAAACATATGTTCATGTGAATTTTTTCTAGAGAATATCCTCCACAGGGGGTACTTTCCCTTGTTTCTATATTAATTATTAACAACCATTTCTATATAAACCAATCACAATGCCCTATTCAAAACTGCGGAAAAACAAATTCAGTCACAAATGATCTTTTTTACTGCGGAATGCATTCTGATGCTATAAACAAGATTAAAACCGCGCATGAGGTCAGATCTCTGACGAGCTAGAATAACCCTGAGGGTCTATTTATAAAAGAGTTTGTACCAAGGCAACAAGTTGACTTCACACACGTCGACATACTCATATAAACATGCCATCAATTTGTAATTAGATTTCTATGAGAGAAAAGACAAATACACGTTGTATCCCTCCATTGTAAGTGCCATGCACTTACAACCGAGGTTTAATCCATGCATTTATATATGAAACATGATTAGAAACTCAATGTCTGGTAATACCCTCTGATAAAACTCATTATCACTAAACATGAACTATTTTTTATTTCCAATATTCTTACAGTTTTACCTAAATTACTAGCTCATATGACAATCTATTTGCATAATATTTTAGTAACAAGAACAAAACTAAATCCAAATTTTCACACGCCAATATTCAACTAATCTATAATTCAAATGTGCTATCTTTCATTCGGTCTTGTCGGGAAACCTTTATGAAAAACATTTCATCTGGAAATTTCTATCCTAATCTGTAATTTACTAATACGGGAGCATGCTTATTCTATTTGGGGTATAACAGCTACTGATAGACTAGACAGTTCACACATATTGAGATTGTTTATCTTATAAAGTTTATGGCTTGGACTAATTTGAAATATTTCTCATTTTAAATACACAGTCCAGAGATCGCGTTTGCAAAACAACCCCTTCCACTTCAAAGCAGCACACATCAATTATTTCCGGAGAGGTAACGGGGTGAGAGCAGTATTTTGTTTCTTATAAAAAATTTCCCAACAAATCTTGCAAAAAGAGGGATAAATGGGGATATTTGGGTATAACAGGATTGGATACATTGGGATCATGATGAATCTTCATCGTCTTTATATCTCGCCTGTCGTATCTGCATGAGTTTCTTACGAGCGACCTCCAGTTCTCGTTCTTTGCGAATGATTGCTTCTTGCGCCTGGATTTCTTGGGCAATACCGCCGACCCATTTTTGGTTGATGATTACGGTCACGCTTTGTTCCTCGAAGACTCGTGCATTCTGTGCGGCCTTCACGAGATCATCCGAGGCTTTCCTTACAGCCTTTCCTGCGACCTGAATAAAATGATTGTGTTAATGAATGACCTTCACTGAGACAGATAATCAATATTTACCTGTAATCTTCTTTGCCCTGCGCTGTTTGGATCAGCCTTCACTCGACAGGCAAGCAAAAGTTGCGCGGTTGAATTCGACACTTGTTGAGCTGAAGCGATCAACGTCTCTTGTGTAGCGTTTCCTTGAACTGTAGCGTTGGCGGACTCGCAAAGTGAGTTCACTGCTGTGGCTACCAAACGAGCCTGGGAAAAAGTGCGGGAAAAACAATCTTAGGAACTGCTCGTCATATATGATAGAGCTTAACATGAAGTACAAAAACTTACTGCTGACACCAATCCTTGTGACCACTGTCCATCCTCGTTTCGATCACTACTAGCTGAGCAAACCTTTAAAATATTTTAAAACTTGTTATAGTACTTCGCCAAAACGTTTGTCGACATTAAATAGATAGACTATCTCTCACAACTGGATATAGCTAACAATAAATAAACAATATCAGAATGCAATATGTTTAAACAATTACGTGTCACCTACCACACCAGAGGCGACTAATTCTCTCTGAGCTGTAGCAGCAGACTTCACCAACGCACTTGTCGCTGCGGCAATTGCTTTCGCAGCTTCTAAAATTTGTTCCTCGAACGCCAACGATTCATCTGCTTGCTGAACAAGACAAGTAAACACGAGTAAACAAATGAAAAGTGAAAATAATTTTCATCAAAGACAGGAAATATAAAACAAAGCCATCTGAGTATCTCACTGAGCGAGGAAACTAATGGCAACAACAAGAAACATACAAGCGCTGTCCTCCAGCAAACAAACTTACTCTTGGTCTCTCACGAGGTTTGAGTTCAGCCAGTTTCCTCGCGGCAGCTTCGATGGCAGAGGCTGCACCCAGCAGTTCATTTTCAGCGATCACATTCGGGTCTTCAGGATTGACCCAATCAGAACCTAATGAACGACAACAGTTTAATCACCCTTCATCCCCCAAACTACAACAGAAAGAGCACATTTCTTGAATGTTTTAATTTTACCTTTCAATGTTTCAGCAGATTTAACTAATGCTCCGAGACAATCAGCGACCTTCCTCGATGCTGCTACCAGACCTTGCTTCTTGTCATTCGTTGGTTTTTGTAAAACCTGGGGGATAAAAAATAGCGATTCAAGCAACTGATACAACTGAAAACAGAATACTAGCATTGTTAACACGGCAATGGTAAACGCTGGAAAACACTTACGATGTGAACTTGAGCGAGCATGGAATTAAAAGCAGTTCCACTTTCTCGACCAGCGACTATCACAGCATTTCGTACATCGTCGGTTTCTGCTTTGGCTGCGGCAGCCTGGGGGGATTCCAAGAAGAATATTTAGATCTTTCTGATCTGAGCTTGAGTAAAAAACCTGGAAATAGCTAGAAAATAGTAAGAACTTATCATTTCATACCTTACAAGTTGTTAACAAGTCTGTCACGGCATTGCGCCCCATGTTTGCTGCGGCTGCGATATCTTCCTGGTTACCAGAGTTACCGGCAGCCACGACCTTAGCTGTTGCCAAGGTGACTGGTTTGGTACTTCGTATAAGATCTTCAGGCGAGGCTTCCTTCACTGGCATCGTTGGTGAGTTGAGGACCTGGGAAGAGGATTGCATATTAGAGGATGTTTGAACTAAGACGATATTCATCGCAATACACAACACAAGATTTTAATTAATAAAACTATAACAAATTAAGTTTCCTCATCTTACTCTAATCGATTCTAATTAAACCACTAATTGAAATTAAATAGCAACATTTGGCTCCAATTAAACTTAATAAGTATTACTAATTATACTCTAATAGAGACATAATTACTCACAACAACAGCCTGTTTAATGGCGTCCATAGAGGAGTCTAAAGCTCTTGCACCACGTGATGTTTTATCCTCGACACTCTTGACTGTCATTAATAATGATGAAACCTTCGAAATCATGTCCTGTAATAACATTGAGTTAAGTCACAATGATGTGGTAAGTCAGAACTAAACTCTGGAGTAAAGATTATAAGATATTATTACCTTGGTCGCGTTCTTTAAGTCTTCCCCGGTCGCAGGACCTTCACCGTGTTTACCCGACGAGTTCTTAGCGCTATCAAGAAGATTGAACAAACTAGAGGCAACATCTTTGACAGCGTTTAACAACATGACTTGTGCGTTCGTATCATCAGACCCAAGTGCAGCAGCGCCTAGTTTCACAACGTCTGATAACTTATTGATGCTCGTGACGGCAGACTGCGCTGCATTTGCCAACACATCTTGGGATGCCTGTGCCGCAGGAACCAGAGCTTTCGTATCTTCCACCAAAGCTTTAGCATTCGTAAGAATTTCCTCCCTGAAAACAGACGCAGGACAAATTTAGAGACAAGAGATGGTGAAACATTTAGCAGTGAAACAACAGATTAACAATATATTTTTTACACAACGTACCTATGGTCAGTGAATTTCTCGCCATCCGTCTCCGGGTTCAAAGTTCCGGCAGTGGCAAACATCACTGTCGTGTCCAGGTCACTCACGATTCCTTTGATGGTCGTTGCGGCGTTGATACAAGCCTGGGTACCACGTGAGCCAGACTGGAGTGCGGCTAGAATGTGAGATATCTAAACAGAAAGACAAAATGTTTTGTTGTTTTCCGACGTTCTCTGGCATTACAACTGGAGGCTCGTAACAGATACATTTACACTTATTCTTAATCATATACCTTTTCTGCGACCTTTCGGGCAGCGTCGGCAAGGTCTCGCATTGAGATCGGATCCCGAGGGTTAGCTTGGACATCGCCGCCATTTTGGACGAGTTTCATGCACGAAGCTCCAAGGGCTTGAACACCAGTCCTCACTCTCTCAGCCACCTCAGGACTTGACGCAGTCTGGATGGCTCCCTGAGCGTCTTTAGTGAGCGCGTTGTAGAGACGAGTGACATCTTTACCCAAGGGACCGAGTTGGTTAGGATCTGTTCCTGCGCGACCAACCTTTGAGAAAGAAATTTACCAGTGTTACCACAAGAGGAAAGCAAACTAAACGAGCTTTTTGTAAACTGGAGTACACTTCATATGCAAGGGAAGCTACGGTACTCCATCACCTACCATCTCCTGTCCTTTGCGAGATAGATCTTTCATTGTTTTGGTCATTTTCTCTTGGTAGTGAACAAATGGTTTGGTTTCCTCAACATCAGGTGGAGCACCTTGTAACGCCTGTGTTTTCATGATCGCAAGTCAAATATTGAATCAAACATTACAAAAGTTTGTCCAGCATTAAGAACAACAAATAGCGCGAGAAGCTGTTGGATGACTATGGTTATAATGGACAAATTAAAGGACTTCGGAGGTTACGTAAGGGCAAAAAGGATTAGAATAGTTTAGATTAAGTTAGTGTTAGTATGATGAGGTTTGTATTCGTTATATCCAGGTCAACGTGGCCAATGAGAAATTATATCTTCCTGGTGTAAATCTTATTATATCTTCCTGGTGTAAATCTTACCGTTTTTCCGCGAGCATTAGGCTGCATCCATACATTGGCTGTATTCTGCTCAAACTACAAATATTTTATCATTGATTTGATCGATTAAATAATCATTGATTAGTTATTAGTGATATTATAGATAATCAATAGATAATCAATCATTGTAATCATCAATATTTATTTTAAATTGTAGGTTTTCCTGGACTTCTAAGACGCTATTGCAATGCTGCCAAGCATAATGACACATACCTCGTTCATTGCCTTGCTAATGGACTCAACAAGACCAGTGACAGCTCCAGTTTCGCTTGCGGCTTCCTCCAAAGTATCAGTGAGATCTTTTACAGCATCTTTCATATCATTAGCAGTGTCGTCCACGACAGGGTGAGTGTTTGCACTCTGGATAAAATTTTCGTCAAAGTATTCATCATTAGTGAAAGAAAAGTGAAACTAGAACGAGTTTCAGGCTGTTTTGACGAGAGGACAAGCATTATTATTACTACAGAACTCTAACAGTTCAGTTGGAACTGGAACAGGTGGCATTTAGTGCCAAACTGGCGGCGTTTATAAAACAGACTATATTACCTTGGGATTGCCACCTGCATCTTTAACGGCATAAAGCAGTTCGGTTGCGGACTCTGCCACAGTTTTCGTCTGATCGAGTAGATCTGTCTGTTTCTTCGAATGGGGCATCTTTGAGGCAGCGCTGATGGCAGCCTCCGCCACTGGTTCGATGAAATTGGCGAGTTTAGCAACCTTAAAGGAAATATTGAATGTTTTTAGAGAGGAAAATGTAAATAGTTCTTCTACGAGAACTATCATTCACGAAGACTACAACACAGTCTATAAATATGGCTGAATACGACTGCCCTGTTCAAAGATGAACGTTCACACCTACCCTATGGCCAATACTCTCGGGCGTATCTTTAGCAGCGCTGGCGAGAGGATCAATGGCATCCCGGATTTGAGCGACACTTTGTAACATACGATCCTGGAATTCCTGTGGATTAGACACGAGAGATGATCAATGATATTTCACTTTATTCAAACTCTTCAACTGATCTAAGCATCACGATTTTATTAGGGTGAAATAATAGCTGAGAGTTAATTTCTTGGGAAAGAGCTTAATTCCTGGGTGTTAAAGATAGAGATTTAAGTTACGAGATCAAAAGATCAAGCGAACGAGGTTAAGCGTCAGATGTTTTAAACATAACGGTTTAAATATTTTGAATTTCTAAACACGCATTTGGAGGTAAGATCGGATCTTTGAATTAAATTTGACTAGAATTGTTTATTCTTGTTTTGTTTAGCCACAAATTTAAAAACCTAATGACCGATTTATAATTATAGTTCCCACGTTTAAATGAAGATATTTTCCTATATATTAATTATATTAAATACTATTTTAATTCGGTATCATCAACACTTTTAAAAATAGACTGTTTTATGATTTCTATTGAGGAGGGGTCAAAGGTGTAATATTCGGACCTTTAGAGTTCCTTCAGGGACTGGTTCAAGGTTCTGTCCAATGGCAGCCAACGAAGCCTGGTCAAGTTTGTTTATGGTACGATTGATGTTCTCAATAGCTTCTTCACACTCCCTCTGACCTGGAGCACTGTCCCTAGAGGGAAGACAAGTCTCGAGGTGAATACACTGCATCCTGTTAGCCCAAGAAGCCAAGAAACACAATACTTACTTGATAGTTTGTAGTAAACGTTTCATAGCATCAGCCAAGGCTTTGCCATGTTGGTTAAAGAGCGGCCATCGTGAAGCATCGTTACGATCCATTCCTAAAGCATTTGCTGAGTTGAGATAATTACTGCTTGAGGTTACCAACGATCGTCCAGACATTATGATTGGAACTTGGGTTGAACGAGCCTAAAAAATGAGAAATTAATCTTCGAATTAGCTCCTTGGCCACCCACTGAATCTCTAGTAGCTTCAACCCATTCTATAACTACACTTATAACTGCAAGCTTCCTCCTGGGGTAACACAGAACAAATAAGGGATGATCCTCATTGGAACTGTTGAAGAACAGCTTGAAATAGACGTTATCTATTTCCTACTGTGGTAAACACTAGTTAAAAGGCACAATGCCAACACTTACTTCCTCGCTGATTTTGGCGGGAACAGCGGCGAATTCAGGTGATGATGCGTATGTATTGAGATCATCGACGCTGTCTATCAACGGAACAATGTGTTGGGCACAATCCTTGCGGTTGTCGCTGTTTGGTTCCTTTGCTAAAACCTACAGCACAAGGAATGATTGGTAAGCAAGCGTGAATAATCTCCAGGATTATGATATGAGAAAGAAACCAACCAAGTCTTACCTTGATGGATTTGACCAGGTTCGCTGTGTTGTTCGCGATATCTTTGGCTGCTTGGACGAAATGTTTCTTTGCCACAGGATTGTTAGTTTTTGCAGAAGCTGCTTTACATACGTTGCAAAGATTTGAAGTATGTTTGGCAACCGCTGTGGCCGACTGTAATATCTAGATTAGCAAATCACAGCTTAGTTTACATGCTTATAGTTAATCCAGGCGTTAATCCTAAATTTAATTCATAATCATGCGGGAAAATGGCAAACATACGTGCAGTTAATCAAGTAGTAAGTCCATGTTCAGTATCCACGAATATAATCCTAAGTTTAATCCTAAATATGACCCTAATCCTTACCTCGATTACTAACCCCAAAGGATTAGATTAAGGATTAAACTGACCTGTTGTTGAGTGCTGGCTGGATTGAGCAAATCATCGCAAGCTTGCTGAATGTCATGTCGTGCTCGAAGGAATTGATTGGGATCAACCAATCCTGGTTTACCAGCGACACTTGAAGGATCCGAAATAGCGACGAGGTACGCAGCCTGTGCAAGAAAATACAATAAGATTATTTAACTATTAAGAAAGTCTCTTGTTGGAAATCCAGCATAAACAAAGTTGGTTCAGTTGAAGTTCGGTTGTACGGTACCTGAGAAGCGGCCTCAGTAAGTTTAATAACAGCATCAGCAACTTTCTTGATGGCGTCATCAAAAGCAGGCATATCGCCTTTCTTGGCGTTACCAGAAACATCCGTCATACCATCCCGCAATGCTTTTGAATTCTCACTCACAGAATCGAGGCAGTCAAAGAATGAATAATCATTAACTGGTTCAACAGGATTCTCCAGGAGATTCGACACGGCCTGGATGGAAAAGGAACATTTACAGAGCATTTTATAAAGGTAAATAAGAAAGCATTCTGTAAATGATGAAATACTAACTGTTCCTGGATTTTCAGGAGAAACTATCATTTAACCAATGCCAACAAACCTGGATATTTCTAAGTGCACTTTCACATTCTTTCTGGCCAGGAGCGGCCGTCATTGCTGTGTTTAATAAGTTGTTAATACTGTCTGTAACAGCCCTGAAATATAACAACACATTATTGAAGTGAATAAATAAAGAAAGACACGAACAACTTAATGTAAAACACGAACCTTGCAGCTCCAGCTAGAAGATTCTTAGAATTAGGAGCGTTTGGATCAGCGGCGAGAGATTTGGCGGCAAGAAGAAGTTTGCTCGATGCCGTTGACGTGTTCTTCAAGCTTCGAACTAAAGCTGACTTCGTGTCCTCGTCCTAAACGAAAAAACAAAGACATTGTCAGACTATGATCTAAATATATCCATCTATTTTCCTTCGCTCAACGAACCGTAGTCTGTCCAGCCAGTTGCATGCCGGGATTCATGAGATTCTCAAACGACTTGGAGTATTTCTGAGAGGAGACGGCAAGCTCGTTTGGTGTACCACGTGAAGCTTGCACAAGATCACTTGCGGCGAGGTTTAATAGAGCTCCAGATTCATTCACTTTATCTTGGAGTTTCTGGTAACTTTCATCACTTGGCGGGAACTAAAGAGAGATTGGTAGAATATCACGCGTCACGAACTCGCAGCGATGAAAAAGGCTTTCAAAGTTCTTACATCTTCAGCAGCAAGAAGTTCACTGGCTTTAGAGACACGTTGGATTGCTTCGTCAACATCTTTCTGGCCAGGAAGACAGTTGATACAGTTCTTCAACGACTGAGAAACATCTTTCGCCACCTACACGTAACAAGGAACTGTGTAAATCTATCCACACAAGACCCACATAATTCTAGTTTACCCTTATCTGTTCCTTCTAATCCATCACAGAGAACCACTTCTACATCCAACATTATCCCCAAATATCCCTTCATATCCTAGCTCAATCCATACACAATCCATTATACCCTCACCTGTCCTAGTCTCTGGGGATTGTCAGGATCATTAGGGTTATTGGTTGCTTTCTTCGCTTCCTCCAGCAACTTTGCAGAAGCTCTCATCACTTCTTGTGCGGCCTTGATAATATTCTTTTGATCATCACGGTCTTCCAGTGCGGCGGCGACTCCTCGTACTGCATCGGTAAGCACTCGGAGGGCATTCGCGGTGTCTCGGGCTGCGATGCCTGTGTAATTCTCGTTTGCCTGGTGAATAAAATGAAATAACTTGCACTCTTAAGGTCTCAATTTAAAGAACGAGGAAATAAAGCAGCAATCCTTTAAAATGTTTTGTTTACTTCAACTAGATTGTTGAAATATCGTCAATGCGATTTCCACGCACTTAAACTGCGTTATGCTACAACTTTCAAACAAAATATAATTCTTAATACCTGAGCGGCAGCTGTGAGCAACTGAGCCATGGAAGATCCAACTGTTTTTGATGTTGCACCAAGATCTAATGAACTGCTTTCCAACTTGAAAAAAGAGAATTAAAGTTCTAAACAACTCTGCTGGAAGTTGATGAAATGTAAAACACAAACGTACTGATTCGCCAGGTAATGGCAGAAGCTTTCCTTCATCAGCAGATTTTTCCAGAGCCTCCAAATCATTAGCCAACGATCTCACACCTTCCAGTGCGCTATCAATCTCAATTGACCCGCAAGCCTCAGATGCCTGGATGAAGTTTCATTACGATATATTTTAAAAACAAGCAAGGCACGATTTGTGAACATGTGAACATGCACGAGAGATGATAATACCTTGTTCGCGGCGTCTCTGAGCTCAGCTAATGCTGCTGCAGTTCCTTTGGCGAAGGAACCCAGTTGTGTGCTTGCTACAGGATCTCCTATGGTTGGTAAGGCTGCTTTGGCTGCAGCTACGAGTTTTGTACCAGGCTAGAACACAAAGGACATTGATCGAATCTCATACTGTGTGGTCTAACATTAAGTACTACAGAATGAAAGACCACTGAACATACCGGAATAAAATCTTTTGAAGTGTTTATCAAGTTCAACTGTGTAGTTGGATTATTAGGATTGTTCATGCTGTCTTGAATAGTTTGGTTGAGTTTTTCCACATGTTCTTCCACAGGCTAAAACAAGAAGACAGCCACAGTGAAATATAACATGATACAAACTATACTACAACACACAGCGTATGTTTACCTTCAGTTGATCTTGAAGCATTTGTTGTGAGGTCGGATTACGGTTGGCTTGAGATGTGTGGTCAGCGGCAGTGAGGAGTTGAGTTGACATGGCTGAGGCCTGTTTTGCGGCGTCCTGGAGGAGATTATGGTTCATTTAGGGTTAAGAAGACGGGGATAAGGGATAAGACGGTATGATGAAAGGAAGATAAAGTATTAAAACATCACTGCTGACCTCTAATCGTTTTATCAATTTCTTTTTCAAAGCATTATTCGCAGCGGCATCTGTGGCCAGACGAATATCATGTGCTGCTTCACGTAACTTCTGTTGTTCCTTAGCATCATTAGGATTCCTTGCAGCACCCTAGATATCCCCACGAAGTAAAAAAATGTATGTTTATGTTTCCTGGTCAATCATAGGGAAAACATGGAAGCACTTCTTCGTTCATTCAACTGACCTTGGCTGCCTCAACCATCTTTGCTGTGGCATCAGCGAGGTTCTTGGCTGCAGCTAAAAGCCGTTTCTGTAAATCAGCGTCTTCTTCGCCCTCTGCTTGAGCTTTGATACCGTTCACAAGGAAGGACATTGCCTAGGAAAGAGAACAATGAATATCTGCTTCAATATCTCAATTCTCCATAGAGTTTATTATCTTCTAACTAACCATCATTTGCAGAATGAGAGGACTTGAAATCAACTTCTTCCTGCATAATAAACAACTAAGTATCACTTTATCTTACCTGTGCTAATACTTTAGCTTGCTTCACCATCTCTCCAGCATTACCCATACTGTTAAACATGCGGTCAGTGGCTTTAAGAATATCATCACACGCGTCATCATATGGGCCCACGTTACGATCATTTGGTGATCCCTCTTGTACTTTATTTAGTAGGTTGTTCAATGCATCACGGACACCTTTGGCGGCATTGGCTAAGTCGTTCAATAGGTTCGGATCAGACGAGGCGTCCTAGAGAGAAAAATGAAATATTGAAAACGAATGTTCTTCTCAGAGGAAAACTGTTTATTCATCAACAGAGCACCAACCTTGCAAGCACCTTCAGTTCCCTCGACAGCTTTCGACACCAGCTTGGCTGCCTCAACAACCTGATCTTTGCAAAGCTGACTGTTGATGGACGGCGCCAAGACTTTCGTACACGCCACCAGTTGCGACGTTGTCATGGCAGTATCTTTAGCTGAGCCAATCACCTGGCTCTGAAGTGTCACATCATCACACTTGCTGGCAATGGCTTTCGCTTTCAAAACCAAGGCGGCCGTGGCGTTCGCAACAGCCTGAGCAAGAGCTAACAACATTTCCTAGTCGGAAACGACACAACGTTAATTCCACAGTTCAGGATTCACCAATATTTCAATATAAATTACCTGAATTCCTGACTCCACTTCTTGCTCACCACCCATCGAGTTCAGGACATTCGCGCCAGCAGTACCAACATCACCAGCAGCCTCCAGCAGCTTCTGACGGTTTTGCTTGAAAAATATAAACTTCAGGATCAAAGCAAAGAACTTAATTTATACAAAGTTCATTAAGTTTGGTCTTCAAACCGCGCCGACGATATTTATACGGATATGATTGTGGGAAAACTGAAAGAAACTTTCATAAACGCAGGAAATTTAAATAGGAAGAATACTTATTACGGGGAAAAGGGCGGAGATTGATATTGAAATGGGAAGATTTCACGAAAGATTCACGACTCTCAGTAGATATTAGATTATCAACATCGCCTCAGTCATATGCACTAAGAACGCTCACAAAACACGATATATTCCCTTAGGGTGGTGTTAATAAGGAATGGCCTAGAGGCTACCGCGCAGGGCTAATATTGGAGTAAACATGACTTGCTTACATTGTCAGGTGCTCCTGGACTTCCGTGAGCGGCTTTGAGTAGGTTAGCAAAAGCATCAGCAAGATTCTTCGCGGCATCTTGAAGCTTGTTTCCATCGTCTTCATCATCCATTAACGCAGCGATCATTTGAATACCTTTCGTTAACTCCTCAAGATTGGATGAACTAATAACGAGATACAAAACTCAAAAAACAACTCGTGATCAATAATAGTTAGGGATCAAAGAAACTTACATTGTATCAACAGCTGCGCTCGCCTTGTTGTAACTGGATTCATCTGGTTCACCTGTGATAAAGAAGAAACGTCAGTTGATAGATTTTGACAAAGTTTTAGAGTGTGCAAGATGATGAATAATCAATCGCATTTTTCCCTGAAATGCGGTGAAAGAGATCTCAGAATTATTTTAGACTATATACCTGATGTTAAGGTGACAATTGATGCTGTCGAAGCAGAAAGAGCTGCGAGACGGTTGGAAACATTTTGTCTGTTTGCATCCAGATGATTTTGTTTCCACTTGAGTGATTGCTGCACATCAATAACGAATAAACAGACATTAGACTGAGAGTAACTAAAGTATGCTTCAGCCTCATAAAATGAGAAGAATCAATAAGTATCTCTCCAAGTTTCTCATGGTTCCACTCACCGGATCCTCCCCTAGCGGAGGCAGGTCAGCGGATTTCTCCATCTCGTCACGCGCAGACCTGACCGAGGTCAATCCCTGACTCACGTGTCCAAAGAACGCTTGTTGGGCGTTTCCAGGTTTATGGATCTTTGGTTGAGTTCCACCAGTCTAAAATGTATTAACGCATTCAAAATAAAGTGATGTTCACCTTCATAGACAACGTAGGCAATGTAGCCATTGCTAGAATGAATTGAGGTGAAGATGGGAGCTGATGCTTACCATAGGTGCTTGATGACCTGACATAGCTTGACCTGACTTTGTGCCATATTGTGGTGCCTGCATCTGACCTACATCAAACTGGGTTGCTCCAGGCCCACCAGCTCGCATGATTCCAGGCAAGGCAACTGAACCTGGCTCAGCATGTCCTATCTTGTTACTTTGTCTCTCAAGTATTGTACCCCTAAAGAGAAGGTTTACCAGTTTAGATACAGTATGTGTCTTGAAAGAAATACACCTGTCGATACCATATTAAATTTTCTCTATACTAACTTGGAAGGAGTTACAGAGTCTTCCAACATAGTTGATTCTTCATCAGCATCCATATCAAATCCCTCCGTTCCACGTTTCTATGTAAAAGCAATAGTTTTGCAATGGATATGAAAATATACAAACAACTTGGTTAAACAAAAGACCAACCTTCTTAAGAATAATATCAATATAACCAGCAATGAGCTGGGATATTTTCTCTCCTTCAACAGTTTGGACTGAATAATAAGACTCAGTGTAATCACCAAAATCCTAGGAAAGAAGACAATGCAATGTAATGAACGAGGGTCCAAAAATCTTCTTTCCCAAAGGGCAAATACTTTGCAATATCACAGAAAATAAACTAGTTGTTAAGAAAAATGTTAGAAAAGATAATTTATCTATGCTACAAAGTCATGTTTGCATTTTTATTGTTTCATTTGTTGAAATAACAAACCAGTGTGAAGCTGTTTGGTGAAGCAGCCCATCTTCTCACTGTGGTAAGAGGCCACGTTTTCAAGATCTAAAATTCACAGTCAAGATACAGTAAGGACTTTATTCAGTACTTATAAAGCTTGGCTATATCTTGTTCCAGATATTGTTGTATTTTGCTAATGTTTCTTCACCTCTTTTGTTTTTTCATCAAGTCTCAGGACACTTTCTTTAGTTATTCCCAGCAAACGTGGAACAAGTTTGTTCTTTCCTTTCATCTTTTCCTGATGTTCCAAATACAAAAAAAAATGTCAATGAAGTCACACAACAGAAAGGGCATAACACTCTTCCTATATCCCTGTAAAGCATCTACCTTTACTAAGAAGAATGTGACACCATAAGTCTTCAAACTCCGACATAATTGCACATATCTAAACTTGGCTTGGAGCTCATCAAGTCCATGACATTTCTTATGTTCCTGAACAAAAAAACACAGATATTATAATAAACGAACATGGGAAAGTTTAATAGAAAATTCCTGAAACATACTTCTTTGATTTTCTTGTCAATTCCCTTTGACTTTCCATATTCCTTAGGCAGCATTTCTTTAATTCTTAAAAAGTTTTGAAGTATTTTCTTTGAATCCACAAATCTTGCTATGTAATAATATCACACTTTATCGAACTGAGCTAGTTAACTTACTCAATTTTTCCTGATTTATAGAATTGCTCGGAGTAATCACCAAATTGCAGTTGAATTTGCAATGCTCCAAGCTAGGAAGGAGTCATATATGAAGATCAGATCAGGTTCAATTCATTTCATAAATTTCAGGTTAAATAATTTCGTTTACCTGAGCTGCTTCCTCTTGGGTGCAAGGATGGCTTCCTTTGATGATTCCGTCACGACACTAAACAAGAAAAGTCAAATTTTGAAAATCACATATGTATTTTATAATTCTGATTCCCGCCACATTCAGTGTAGAAATTACTACCAACCTGCATATACAGAAGGTTAAGTTGTACAGGATCTTTGATATCAACATTTTGATCAGAATAGAAGAACTTTCTTTTTAAGAGCAGCGAATGACTGTCATCAATTCCTTGTTCACGCAATGTTTTGTCAAGATCAAGCCACTCAACTATTGAAAAAAAGCAAAGTTGAAGACACGAAAGCTTTCACATAATACATTGTAAAGGTTTTCAATTGATTCGGGATACCTCAGGAGACTACTCCTGCTCTTAAGGTGGTATTCAGCAATAATTTTTACCTTCATCATCAGTGTGAAGCTTCTTCTTCATTTCATCCATCTTTCTTCGATCTCTTTCTTCAATTTTTTTCATAGTCACATCCTTGGCTGAATGATGTCCTCCTGTTCCTGCTTTGTCCTGGAATTAAATAATAATAACTTACATAACTAACTCATATTCATAGGTAAAGCTTGAAAATTTCATAAAACCCAGATCTACTTATTAAACAATAAATCCTCACTTTTTTCAAAGTCCCTCTGTTCAAAGTGGCAGTTTTCATCTCTTCCTCCTCCAGAGTGTCCTCATACAGCACCAAAGAAAACTCTTCTGCATTTCCAACACCTGAATAAGACATCTAGGGTTGGTATCTTGGAAAGACACAACTTTATATTTACAACAAAAAATGTATAAATTGAATGGTAGTTGAAGTTATTCTGTCATGTTTGTTTTATTTAATTCTTACCCATCTTTGTACACACAGACTGTAGAATATCACCAACTGTTTTACTGTCATCAATCTATTGAAAGCAATTTCTTTTTTTTAGTACTCCCAGTAGGAGGGAATATACTAGGGTCAATCTCTTCAATGATGAAAAATAACAGAACCACACTCACCTGCACTGTCTTGACAGCACCATCCATTGTGTAAACCTTCAGGAGACGAATCTTGCTTTTGTATTGTACCATATCCTGAAGAAAGAATTTTGTGTAAAAAGAGGGAGCTAGAGGGTTCGCATTGGGAGATAATTTGCCGATACAGGGCTAGTAAATGAAAGAATATAAAAAAAGGTAAATGGTATATCATACCCCACTTGCAAGTGGATAGAAGTTAAGTTGTCTTGACGGCTCCAACCAACGACCCCTCTCATTTTCCTCTTCCAAGAATAAGCCATAATTTGTTCCTGAATTATAATAACATTGAAAAGGATTGACAAATCTTAACATAATAAAAAAAATAAATAGAAGTAAAAGCTTTCTCCTGAATTGTATAAATTTTGAAACATCTACAGGTACAAACTTACTTTCTCCTTCAGTAGCCTGGGGCACTTTTTCATCAATAATCCTTAACGCATCTTGGACTAATAGGGTTGGTTCAAACTAGAAAAAAATACTCACTATTAGTACTTTACCATGCAAAGCATTGTCGAAGAGTTCAATTGTTCTGCACATACCTGTAATGTTTTAATGGTCTTTTGTTTCACTAAATTGACCTTCAGTGAAAGGGTAGCCATGTTCAAAGTTTAACTATAAAAAAACAAACCAGTTACAACAGATTTGCCATTCAATCATACTTCATAACAATAAATTGTTGCAAATTTCACAATGTTGACATGTTTTACAGATATTGACATGTTTCACAAAGTTTTGACATGTTTTAAAAAGTTGAAACTGCTCATAACTATCATATACAAATATAAGACCATGTATAATGAAAGAAAACAATCATAATATACAAAAGCATTGTGAAATAGACAATAGTTGTCTTCCTTCACAAGCATGCAGGCATCTCAAAATTTTTGAAATAAAAACAAATTAGTAAGAATTCAATATTATCCTGTGTTAAACTGATAAGTTTAATTCAGGTCAAAACATGACCACATTTGGATCAATAACAAAACGTCCGACATTTCTATAAATCATTTTTAAAAACAGAAAATGAAAACTTTGAGGAAAAGCAAATAATCCACAACTAATTGCTACATTGATCATTAATTGATACACAAGTCAAACAATGTTTATATGTTAATAAGGAGATTCCTAATCAACATTTTCCAACAACTTCTGAATTACTGGCCAATTTTAGCAATTGTTTTAACACATATTTTAATAAACAGACTTCTTTAAATAGCTAGCGCTAATATACTGGAAAACGTTGTGCCAAAATACTTCGCATTATATGAACTAATATGGCCTTTCAAACGTATCTAAAAAGATCCGAATGAAAACAAGCCGTTATTTTCTGAAGTGTGCGTATTTCCGTCAGGAAGAGGATGACCTCAAACCTCATACAACGATAGGATTTTACAGCCGAATAGTCTGATATAATTAGTAAATGTGGCTTTGCATGTTTGTATCGTTAATAGACTAAAATTACCTCGTCTAAACCATAATTCTACAGTTGAAAATATGCACGAATATACACCTAGTTTACATTCACAGGTCACACGGGGAACCTCTTATGTCTCAAACATATATTTTCAATAAAAATTGACAAGCGTAGTACAACTTTCCAACAAAATTTTCATTCCACAAACGTGACTGTGTATAAAATATACATATTTCAATTCATATTCAAAACAAATCTACGCTCCTAATGTCGTCAAATTGTACATTAAACGTATACTGACAAACAGAGAAACAGAATTAAAGCAGAATACAAATTGTACACACTTTCTCATGCACATTTAACCCGAAAGTCGAGCGAAATTATGTTCCATTATACTCGCGTTTGATTGATAATCTGTCGATAAAATTTCACTTACAACTTATCCGATGTCCCCTGTTCGTGTTCGACGTTCAACGGCGTATCACAAAGTGCTCAAAATAAGGGAAACAAGACCAAATATTCAAGGATTTCTTGTATAAATCTTAGACGAAACACTCCCTCGTAAGATATGTCTGGAATATTTCGGGATATTTAATACCCGTTCCGAGCGAAATGTAGCGAAATCTGGGGAGAGTTCATCTCCATCCGAAAGAATGACGGCGCATTCCGACTCACAACGGAACTTGATGCGTGTTTGAAGCAGTGAACGCAATTTCGTTTTAACGAAAACGAGTTAATTTGTTGAACGTCCGAGATGAAACCTTTAAATGTAGATGTTAATGTTTTTCCACACAAGGCAACCTTGCCACCAACGAAACAGAAGTGATTCTGTTTCATTTTCGAGCTGATAAATCCCTAAAGGTTTCGTTTCTTGTAGTTTCACTGTTCACTTTACTTTGAGTTTCAGAATCCAAACGAGGCTAGGAAAAGAGACAGAAAATCAGAAAATAAAAACAAATGTACACCTCAAACTATTTTAAATCTGCGAAAACGACTTGTTTTAAAAACTACGACAACAAGGAAACATGACGCATTACTTGACTCTTGAAAGGGTCTGTGTCCCTGTGACCGCAATTTTTGCAAATTAGGGTGTGTCAATTGATCTCAAAAGAGTAACAGTCGATTTGAGCTCATACGAATAATCTGCAATTGATATGTAATGGATAACTCAAGTCCATGAAAAGTTTCATCTACTTAGGATTAAGGATGTGTATTAAGAGATAAATGTTTAAGCTTTAAGTGAACCCAACAGGGATGCATACAGCTCAATGTCTCTAAGCTTAGGAGAGAAATAAAGCAGAGAAATACGGAACAAATTACAAGTGTCAGTATCTTTAACCTTCTTGCAAAAGAGACGGTGATTTTTCACACGTTGACCTGCCGCAAATTAGTTAATCACAGGCTAATGAGTTTTACAGTGTTGACAAGCAAAATCTATGATCTAAATGCGTTCAGTTCGAAGTTTTGATCCAAAATTAAATACTGTAAAAGATACGCAGATTACAGTTTGAGTGTAAAATCACCTGCAAACACCGAGACGTATTGTTGATTTTCTTACCAAACTTTCAAGAAATCGACTGACTCCGACCCTCGGCTATCAAAAGGTATTTGGTTTCGTTCAAATTGGAACGTTTTGCGTAATTCACAGCTGGTATGACGATGCAAGGAATGTTGTGATCTCAGGCTGACTTCATTTATCATTTAGTGTTGTGTTTCAACGGCACAAACCTTCAACGGGAACTGTTGGGCGGCTTTCATATCAACCATCCCCTTATTTTGCAAAAGTTTGGGGATACTGCTTTGAATTGAATGCAAGGCGAATAAAGAATAAAAAAAGAACAAAAAGTGAGTATTTTCCTGTATGACCTTCAATTGCGCTGTGCAGTATGAATATAAAAGCATCTATTTTCTGTTCCATCATTACGGGAAATATTTTCAGCTAAATATCACGCAATGTATTAAAATTTGTCACTACAACTCTGCGTGATCGCGTGTAAATGTAGCAATGGAAAATATGATAATCGCGCAAATTCCAGCACGACAATGCCAACGATTAACATTCGGTGCGGCAATTTGCGTATACTTCATAATAACAAATCTAGAAACCATTGTCTATATGGATGCAATACAACGCAACAGTCTTACAGCCATAATAAACATGCATGATATACTTTTTTACCTTAGAAAGTGTAAACGCATTCAAAGCGGACAATATTTGTACAAAATCATACGATGTCGTATTCACATAAATATATTTAAGATCATTAAAATTCACGAGAAAAATTGAAAAGAAATGACTGTTTAATCATCGTTTGTAACTCGTCTACATATTTGTATTTATTTACAGAAACGTCATCTTTCGTTTTCTTGGCATTGTAAATGTTTATTTTAAAATTACTTTGCCCATGACCTCATATGACGAGTCGTTAAAACAAGAATGCTCATGTTATACATAGTAAATCAGTTCAAAACATTTCTGATTCCACAGCTGTTGCCTCGGGTAGTAAAGCACTTCGACAACAACCGTGCTTAAAAAGGTCACGAAGGATTAAGTGAAGTTGAACATATATAGCAAATAGTGTTGAAATTATTGACAAACCAATTCAGATGGTCTTTTCCGGCGAATAAGTACTCTACTTTAACTAAATATAACGGTTTATTCACTACATATCTCTGATAGTCTTTCAATAGTAAAAGCAAAAAAAGTTGCAAGCTTTGCACATGTGCACGCCACGAGCTTGACTTTAAAGTAAAACTTTTCCACATACGTTTTTGAATATTTTAACTCTCTTAATGCCCACAGGCTCTAGTCAGTTTTAAATTTTTTATGAAGAACTTATAACCCTGGAATCGGCGAACTAAATACTTTACCAGCTCAGCTCATAATGTAAACTTGTAATTTTGTGCAAATACTCTCTACAGCTCTGACCACACTACCACTGAGAGCGGAATTTGTAATATTCCATATTGGAAAGTAATTAGCAACTTGTTCCACACCTCTTAGATGTCGATTGTTCATAAACGATGCTTACGTCCTTCTTTAAAAAAAACGGGAATAAATCAAAACGACTATTTCCTTCATATAGTTCGTCAAAAAGAAGGCGAGATCTCGACCTTTGCCCTGAGCGAAGGATTTGCCATTTGGAACAAATTTCAGAGCTAAAAATTTTCTTATTTGTACGAAAATCAATTATCATCTTCCCTGGCCGTATGCACGACAAGCCGACAGATAAAGAATTCATTTCAAACTCAAATGTGGTCGGGTGTTGGCAGATGAGTGATTAATTTAATTTATTGGTCGCATAAATACCTAATATATCTATTATTAAAATGGTTTAGGAACATTGGCACGTTGGGCTGAGTGGTTGAGAATTTAGTCTGAGTGCAAAATTCGATTAAGGAGGAGATTAGAAACACATTTTTTTAAAACGCAATGATAAGGCAAATCGGTTTAAAACTTTTTAATCTTGAGAAACTTTCAACCTATTGTGAACCTAGCTATTTTAACATGACAGCTGCTTAATTTCAAAGTTTTCTCATCGTTCAAAAGCCGTGAACGGCAGCATACAACAGATAGAAGATAGTAGAATGAAATAAGCTCAAAACAAAACACCAGGTGAAATTAGGGGTCATCCAACATACTATGATTGATTTGATCCACAACAGAAACGGTCGAGATATGAAACAACTGCGAACACACGTCCATCTCAGAAGTTTCCATTCCCATTTCATTCCCATTTTGGGTCCCGTGCAAGATTTCCTGCGTCGTTGTGTAACCAGACCTTAATTGATGAAAAAAAAAGTTCATTCGTCATGGGTGGTTCAAATTGATTAAAGGAGAAAAAAGCATTAAATTTAGCTTATTTTGATAACGTAAATATCCTTCTATTCAGCAAATGAGGTGAATGGACGGTTGCTATCTTGAATATTTATCGATAAAATACACGCCCATACAGTATTTCTCAAGATTCTCAAGTCTGTAGTTGTTATTTTCTGCCGTGTTGAAACATTGGGCTGGGCACAGTCCGTAATTCAGCCTGTTCTGAGAAACCTTGTAGCATATCTACAATTATAACAAGCACTTAAGTATTCATAGAAGCTATGGTTATTCGCCTGCTAAGATTTACGGGTAAAAATAGGTTCGTCCAAACCTGTCTCTCCTGATTTCCCAGCGAGGATGTTGAAAAACTAATACATAAATACATTGTTTACGAGTGCACTAAAAATAGCCGTACAAAATGCATGGGTTGATTACCTTATACCGTCAGATTGTTGGTAATAACGGAAGCATATTTCTTCACAGGTCAGTTAAAGTAATTACTTGTAGTCGGAGGTGTGGGTCCGCACACATTGTTCTGTAATGGAAGGACAACAACAACTTCTTTCAGAAGGTAAATTTAGTTTTCTGTGGAAAAATTGCTCATGCTAGAGGTTTTTTAAAAGAGAATAAGGTTAGTCCTGGTATCCTCTTTGTTTGGATCTTCACTCCGTCAAGTTAGCTAATAATCTCTTGCCTAACAAGGCGGACTAAACCGAAGCTAAACTGGGTTATTTTGTTTAGAAACGACTGGATATAAAGGTATAGAAGCACCCAATCTAATTCGAAAAGACATCACATCAAATGAAGTGGAGTCTACAGAACAAGATGTGAAACTAAATGAAGAAAAAAATATCATCTTAAATGGCGAAGAAGCTAGCTCCAGTGAAACAAAACAAGATGGCGAGATTCACGTCAAAATTGAACCTGAAGATCATGCACAAGAGGAGAAAAAATCTAACAACGAGGGTAAGGAAAATCCAATTTTTTAAACAGAAATTACATGTAGGTGACTTTCACACTTCTTAATCAATACCGGCTGTAGCTTTTGTAATTTCCGTTTCTGAAAATTCAAAAATACTATCAAAGCTGCATTGAAAACAACCTGTTGGTTTTAAGATGGAGACACTGCTATTGGCAACAACGACAAAGACTCGAGCTCAGAAAGCCAGACGAAGGCGGACGAATGCACTGCTGTTGAAGACGACGCTGCCAGAAATGATCAGCAGACCTCAGAAGAAAAAGAGCTTGAAACGAACGACTCAGAAAAGACGAAGAATACAAAGACAGAGGTGAAAGCAAAGGAAGAAACAAAGAAAGGCAAAGAAGAAGCTGAAGAGAAAGTGAGAAATGGTAACCATGACGAAGTTGTTGTCGACGATGGAAACAACAACGAAAAAAGAACTCGTTTCAGTTCAGAAATCACGATACAACCAAAAGCATATTTCCGAGCGGGAACTGAAACTGTAGTGACAATGGTAGGTCGAGTTATAATGAACACCATGCATTATATCATCTTCTGTTATTCTGACTAAAAGGTCATTTGTTTCTTCTCAGTCACCAGGGTCAACGTCAGATGACGTATTCAAGAACGAGTCATGTGAACCAACAGATTCAGTCCTCCCACGAACATTTTTACCTCTTACCGTATTCACATGTCTGTTCTGCCCCATGATCGGCTTATTTGCAATATACAAATCTTATTCGGTGAGTAAAAAGTCGTGCTAGTTAGATATACGATAGGATGATGCCTTGATGGTATCGATGGCAGTGATCATATTAATGAGTGATCATGGAAGTGATCATATTAATGATCACATCAGTGATCATGGAAGTGATCATATTATGATCAATAATCACAGTCGTCATACCATTGATGCATTGTAATGATAGTAGTGGTCATGCAAACGGAGGTGACGAAGGTTAATGTTGATTAAGTATTGATATTTTTAGGTGAAGCAATTTATCAAGAAAGGCGAGATAAGACGGGCGAGGGAAGCATCCCAACACGCAAGGCAACTTGGTATACTTACTTTAGCCATTGGATTCTTCTTTGTCCTCGCCATTATAACGATCGCCATCTTGGTCAGCACTCTGACCTGATTCTTGAAGATATGTACGAAAATAAAGGAGAAAATATTAAAAATAGTATGGTTATATTATAAGCCTCTCATGGCAAACACAGTCAACGCTACTTCTACAAGACCTTTCTACTACCGACATTCCTTTTCTTGTAAATATGATAAGCAAAACTATCTGTAAATATTTTTAAATACACTGGAGTAGGAAACTTTTCAACTGAATGAGTGTAACAGGGTGACTGACTTTTTGCTTAATATGACAGTTACCAATGAATATAATAAGATATACGGTGGGGAGTTAGGTAGCTAACTAGCTATAGAGGGAGTTTTACTCTTGCCTTGGTATTCCTTGAGATGAAGGACTCATCTTAATGCGAGTCTTTGTTGACATTTTAAGCATGCTATCCGCCTACTAAATCTTAACTAAACCAAAGTTGAATGAAGTTTTAGGCTTAATAAACTAAATAAAGGTCCAAACTTGGTACAATCAATCTCGCACTTATACAATAAAAACAGAGCCAGAGGAGAATGCATATAAACAAATGTATCAGAGACTTAGGATTACTGTTGTCTACAAACTTCCGCAAATGTTTTTTTTTATTTTATTCTGTTTGTGTACGTAAAGCTTATTTAGACAAAAAATGTCATTGATGTCCCGTTGCGATGCAAATATATAAATGTGATAAATTTAGTGTCAAATATCAACCTTCTGCATTTCGCAACTGCGTCTTAGGCGGTCGATGGAAAGCCTGTGGTTGACTTTATGAATTTAATTTAAATGCAGAAAAGTCTCATTTTTTGACGACGAAATTCGACAACTGCTTCATAAGATACGACATTTATTTTACTCCTGGTGTACGGCGCGATCAAGAATACTTTTATATAAAGCTTGATCGAAACTGATTAGTCATGACAGGGCAGATTTTAGGGTTGCCAGGAAGGTTAGCGTCCTTTTGGATACTTCTTGGCATAATTCTTGCGCTTGTAAAACCAATCGCATCCCTGAATCCTAATGGTAAGAATGTTTGCAAAAAAGAACAAAGGTAAGTGTGATTTTGGTATACATAAAGAATGCATCATTATATTTTAATGAGCCAGCTATTTATATAAGCCAGCTATTTATATAGCTAAAACTCCTCGAGTAATATACTGTCCTAGTAGTGTGTGTTGCTTTCCTTTAATAGTCGACCAGAATTATCGGTGTGAAAAGGAATATTTCGTTAGTTTAACAGCGAGAGTTTGAAACTTCTGTGGCGCTACAAGCACAAGTGAATAATAACGACATAAGATGACGCGACGGGATCTTGAAACTAAAGTCTAAATACATCAAATCATCAATATTCGCGGCTGTCTGTACTGAAAAACATTATGACGATTCTGCCCGTCTCTCTCGTGGAGAGCATAGCGCCGTAGGTTGTGCTATGTGTAATCTTTTCAATTTATTTAAAAGGTCAAGAAAGATTCTTTGCGTTAAAGGTCAAACTACCACGAAAATCTCCACTCGCAAGTTCAGCCGCAGTTTTGTGCGCGCACCCCGTGCCCTGCGTATTACATCCGCAGTTTCTCGTTTCTTGCTTCAATGCTTTTTAGACATGTTTAGCAAAAAATCCTGACAATATTAGCGATGTGCGAGATTTATTCCTCGGCTGAGCGCGCTGTCTCACACATTGCTAATAGTCCATTACCACAATGCATGTCAATGGTGATTTTAGATATTTTAGAAAGGAGTGATACACTACGTCAACGGGTAATACTTTTTTCTTTATTTAGATTCTATGTGCAGGTTACTAAGTCGCGCACGATTCGTGTTAAAGAAAGATATACAACGACATGCTGGGATTGGGATTTCAAATGCACCAGATACAGGTAGTAATGTGATCATTTTGATACAATATTTGGTGAACAAAGTCAAAAACAGGGTCTCCAGAACTTTAGCAGGGAAGGCCTCATCTCGCAATATATCGATCGCACCTTAATTTATTGTTCCGGAAATTAATTTCTTTTTTCCCATAATATAAAAATCATATATATAAAGATTTGGCGGAAGAGCACGAGGTTCCCTCCGTCTCGTAGCTAACAAGACACAATCGATATTTTTAGGTGGGTGAATAGGCAACAGTATTATACAGTGATTGAACCGAGGACAAAAATTGTGCATGTGTGTTGCAAAGGTTGGATGATGAATGGAATTGATTGTTCAATCGGTGCGTATATTAAAAGCTTAATTCTATAATTTCACTTGTGTTTTATTATAACAAATATCTAATAATATATTTACACTTGTTCATGTAGCAATCTGTAGCAACGGCTGCCTTCATGGCGTGTGTGATAAACCAGACAACTGCTCGTGCAATAAAGGTTACTACGGACCATCCTGCAGCAGAGGTTAGGAAATTCTTCAGTAATTTAGTTCTACAATTGGATTGATTTTATGGAAAGAGAACCCGGTCTCCGGCCTTTTTCACTCAGTAAATCATGTTTCATTTCCAGTCCCTAATATTTGTTTCATTATACTGAAGCAATCTAGGACGTTCATAAAATTGTGTCAATCAAATATTTTGATTTTATTTCAGGATGCCCGTCTCATAAATATGGCGCTCACTGTCGTAAAGATTGCCAGTGCAAAAACAAAGCGAAATGCGACTCTAAGGAAGGGACATGCGAGTGCACAGAGGGTTGGTCAGGGGTAACTTGTGACCAGCAGTGTAAACTTGGGACTTATGGCAAGAGCTGTGCTCATCAGTGTTCATGTAATTCCAGCAATGTCGAGACACCTTGTGATATAAAAACTGGGAAATGTTTTTGTCGTCCAGGTTTCACAGGTGGCAGGTAAGTTCATCGATGTCTTCCGCGGTAGCGGGGTTGAACTGTGCATGTTTATCATGTAATATCTGCTGTCATCTCTGATATATCGCGTAATTCATGCGTCTCAGCATTTGGTTCATTTATGAAAGCATCTTATATCTGCTTTGCAGTTGTGAAAAGAAGTGTCCTCCGAAATTGTATGGCCCTGGATGTAAGCAGACGTGTCAGTGTGTAAATAATGGAACTTGCAACCATATTGATGGAAGTTGTACTTGTTCTCATGGTTGGACGGTAAGACGAAGGAGAGACCAATTCTAATCTATTGAGTCCCAAGTGCATCACATAACCACACCCTTTTGTACCCGTTAGTAAATCATTCTTGTTCCACTTTACGAATAATTTTGCGCCTAATTCGTTTCTTCCCAGGGATTGATATGTTCCGAACATTGTCCAAAAGGGTTCTATGGAAAACGCTGTTCTTTAGAATGTAACTGTACGAAGTCACCATGTCACCACGTGACTGGTAAATGCCAATGTCTGGACGGCTACATTGGTGATAGGTCAGTTATCTCAGTTACTTAAACAGCACCTTGTGTCTTGTGATACCAAATGATGGGACCGAATTTCCTGATTTTTTTCAGATGTCAAGAACCGTGTTCGAACAACACTTTTGGACCAGGTTGTCTCAAAGAATGTGACTGCATTCACAACAGCACGTGCGCAATTGATACGGGGCAGTGTAATTGCACGGCTGGATACGCGGGGATAAGGTGTGAACGCACATGTGATCTAGGAACATCGGGGAAAAATTGTCATACCAAATGTAACTGTACTACTGGACAAGGACAATGTAATCCTTTTACAGGCGTCTGCAGGTAACTCACGCGAAATCTTGCATCATCATGAGTGGTTTCATCCAGTCTCTTGTTAGATCAGTTATCTTTAATTTCAGCTGTCATCACGGTTTTAATGGAACCTCCTGCGAAGACCGCTGTCCACCAAATACATACGGCCCACGGTGTATGGGAAGATGCGATTGTGATAACAATGCAACATGTCGAGTGGATGATGGATCATGTGATTGTGCTGAAGGATGGACTGGGGTCAAGTGCTCTCACCCATGTCCTCTTGGGTAACGCTGATACACTGTACTGTAGATATACTGGATTGTGGATACACTGGACTGCATTGTATCAGATGTGCCCGTCCTGCTTCGCCAAGCTTTTTTGTGAAGTTATTCTTTATATTTAGAACGTATGGAAAGAAATGTGGGGAGAAATGTCGATGTAAAAACGGGGCCGTCTGTAATCGTGTTGATGGAAGCTGCACATGCGCTGGAGAATGGCAAGGAGTTTATTGTGACGAAAGTAAGTTCCAGGAAACTGCTTACTTGTTGTGATTCATTATCGAACTGCGTTGAGGACGATATTTCAGACGTACTGTAAAGGAAGTCATATATGTACGATAAGATTTCAGGTACTATTATCCAAAAATGTTGTAGAATGCCAAAACTGGACGTACGGAATAAATTGTACAAAGAATTGCACTTGTGCACGGAACACGACGTTGAGGTAGGAACTGATAATGATTCGGTAACGCATAACATGCTTATCTGATAAGATCGAAATCTGCGTTATCTGAGGCGCGTCATTATAACCTCTTGCAGTTGTCACGGTATAACTGGTCATTGTGAATGTAAACTAAACTATATCAACGAAGACTGTAGCAAAAAGCAAGGTATACTCTTGTTTGTCGATGTTAATCTAACTTACTACTCCAAGATTTGGTCTTCACACTATCATCCGTTGTGATTAATATTCTTTCATTTCCTGTAGTTTGCAAGAAAGGTAAATTCGGGAAGGATTGTAATAATCGTGTCGGTGCAACGGCTTAGGAGCTTGTGAAAATGACAATGAATGTTTTTGTGATGATGGATACGAAGGAGAGCATTGTACAACATGGTGGGTTATTTGAAGGAAAACGTATGACTGCAATGGATGTCAAAATTGAAACCATACAGGTTTATTGTAAGAGATATAAATTATTTTTAGACACAATCTTTATCTAGGAATCTTTATTCTGTATTAAGAGTGCCCTGATGGAACGTTTGGAAAGAAATGCCAGCAGAAATGCTTATGCGAAAAACACAAACAATGTAATCACGTCGATGGTTCATGTAATTGCACTCTCTATCCTGGTTGGACAGGACCAAGATGTAATGAAGGTACAACTAGTGGCATAGTTCTTAACAGGTCATGTAATATCCCTAATTCACCACTGTTGCCACAGGAGGAGTGCCCCAAAAACTGCTTTCTAAGAATTTCAAACATAGATGGTCTTGTTTTAACGGCTTCCAATTTTAATGCCTTTTTCAAGGTTGTCTTCCTGGACGATACGGCATAGCATGTAATCAGACGTGTAAATGCGAAAATAATGCAACGTGTGATCAGGCGACAGGCTCGTGCGAATGTCTTGCAGGCTGGAATGGAACTTATTGCGACCAACGTAAGTATATTCATAAGACACATTTATCACGAGAATGTTCCTATAAATTTCCTTGAATTCTTGCAATGTTTGCTACCGAGTTTGGACACGTCATGCTCTACCGCCATAGCTTGCTCAAAAAACAAGTACGGACGAAACTGTGCACTGGAGTGTCAATGTTTCAACGACAACACACTTTCGTGTCATCCAGCCTCTGGAAAGTGTAGTTGTAAGTCTGGTTGGACTGGTGACGTTTGCACGAAAGGTAAGCGATGAAAATACATGTAAATAAGATGAATTAACCGTTAGACTTTACTAGATGTTTACCTGTTTAGAGTGCTCTGATTATTTCCATGGGTTAGACTGCGTTCAGCCATGTTCTTGCAACAAATCCAACACTGCTTGGTGTGAATCTGAAACAGGAAAATGTCATTGTCTATCTGGATGGAAAGGTCGAAACTGCAACGAAGGTTAGACCTTTGTTGCGCGTCCCGCTTAGTTTCGAATCATATGAAGACGAGTTGTGACAAAGAATAAGTCCTATATTCATTCTTCCTCTTTCAAGCATCCGATCTTAATTTATTTTCAGTTTGTGGAAAAGGCCGATATGGTTGGAAGTGTGATTTAGAATGTAACTGTACAGCTCCGATGCATCAAGATGGTATCTGTAATCACATCAATGGAACATGCCTTTGTCCTGAAGGACGATACGGAAAGTTTTGCGACGAGAGTAAGCAGATTTGTAATGCCTCAATACAATTAACAGGAGAGCATGAACTAAATTGATTTTCATTCATAGGCGCTTCTAATTCTGATGCCTCACTTGGAAACGAGGATCCCAGTGCTGCTGCAGTGATAGGCCCTATCATAGCTATCGTCATCATCAGTGTCATTCTGGTTGTAGTAATGATTGTATACGTTCGGAGACGTCGCACAGGAGAACTTAAATGTCACAGAACGAATAGTTCAAACATTGTTAATCATGAAGAAACGGGAGCAAATGAAAATGAAGGAACAGGTACACGTATAGATCTAGTATCAAAGTATCTCTCCGGAAAACGCAGTAGAACTAAGAATTTGTTTTGAACAGAGTCCAGAATTCCCAACCAAAATATTCCTGAGAAACAGACACATTTCACATGCATGCGAAGCTCTACTCTATATAAAAATCTTTTTAAATTTAGGAATTAAAGTTATATGATCTCAGACTCTGGGTCCCTTCTCGAGACTTTGAATATCATCTTTAGTTATCGCAGTAGGAAAACTATAAAAACTTACTTTGATAAAGATACGTCCTATTTCGTTCTTTCCTATTAAAAGAAAAAAGGAGAAATGAACCATACATTGAAAATAGATAAGTGATGAAACTTTTACAACTTTATTTCCGAATAAACCTTAAAATTGCAGGAGTGAAATACCAAAATATTTACTCTTTATCATCTTTTATTCCATCTGTTCAGGGATGTCTAATCCAGCATTTGATAGGGATATCACCTTCAATCCACTTTACGAAGGATGTGATTTTTTGGAAATAGAGAATCAGCCCGAGTTTGCTCCATCTTCACTTGTTTCGCCCAACCCCTTATACGGCGATATGGATGATCTTCCGAGTCATTTGACCAAGCGTATAGGTAAAGGTTTTTGACTTCGGCTGTTTGGAGTATTGGACGGCGTTTCCCTAATAGTAACACTGGATTAATACGAGATATGTTAGTAGTAACACTGGATTAATATGAGATATGTTAGTAGTAACACTGGATTAATACGAGATGATTCTTACTAGAAATCTGAGAGCAATTTAGAGCTAGGATTTAGGAGCTATTACTCAGTACTTAATCAGTTTCTTGATAAAGCCTTACTGGAAAGTCATAACATACCCAAAACTCAACGCTACATCCATCGTTAATTCAGTTTCAGGTTCCTCTGAGAACGCTCTGTACGACTCTGGGGCTCCCCAAGAAAGACCCGAGGATGAAGACAATTACGCCTGTATCAGTGATAACCCAGCACCGGCATTGCCCAAAAAGAAACAGGAGAAAAAACCTATTTGTCCAGTTAATAACCTATACAGTTTACCAGTTAAAAAATCGGACCAAGAGGTCCCGACAGCCGGCCGACATGCGGTGATGAATTTATGTGACGAGGATGCTACGATGAACCCAATCTATGATTCTGGGACTGCCTAATTTATAGATCGTAAAATAATGCAGAATCTACTATATTATATAACATTCCATAATAAATATTACACTGGGTAAAATTGAATGATATTGTGATTCGAACGCACATCAGGTGGTATAATTCAGGTGGTACTCGTCCAATTCAACGAAAGGTTCTTCTACACAACAATTCTTGCGCAGGATACTTGAGATATTGTGATGAAAAATTTAGCACCTCTTTATTACATTATGATTGAAGATATTTATATTATTGCATCATTATAATGGGTAGTATTTTGTACCTATTTATCTATGAAAATCAACTTAACAGTGTATACATAATACAGTGTATGATACGAAAATAATTTTCTGATTGAAATATTGGTTAAATGTTTCTACATTGTGTATAATTGTCGTGAATTTAGTTGTCAGTACTGGAATGCCATAAATACTCTTTAATTGAATAATTTCTAAAATTGTAGATTATATTGTTGCATCATGTACGTTATCATTCATTGCCTGGTTTGATTCCTTGCGACTTGAAATAATCCACACATTGTTTTGGTACTTCAGCAAGCACGGCTTTGGCAAGAGCCACAGGATCCTGAGCAAAGCACAGAATGTTTTTGCATTCAAATCATACATACATTTAGGCCCGTATTCAAAAAGCTCACTCACACTCACACTCATTGAGTGTGACATATAAATTTTGTTAATGCTGATCAATGAGAAAGTTTTCTCTCAATAGATGAAAAGATATAAGGTAAATCACTGAAAATCAAGCCCCTGTTCGGCTGAAAATACCGCCATTGAAACGTCATGAGAAGATTAAGATCTCCCACTCAATGAGTTTGAGTGTGAGTGAGCTTTTTGAATACAGGCGTTAGTCGTGCAGAAATAGAGAATACTGATCAATGCATACAAGACATACAATACCTGTTTAAAATCTCGGAATGGTACAAACTGCACAATATCTCTCACAGCGCTCCCGCTTTTCGAACTACTGAGGCTAAAAAGAATTCAGAATTCTTCAGTTAAGAGCCAATGTTTTGTTATAAACATCAGAGTTCAGACCATCATTCTGCAATTTCATTCTGCAAAGTTAACCGTTCTGCAAAAGCAATATTATCAGATCACTTACAATCCTTCATCACAGTCAAGAGTGTTCATATCAGTGAAGTCGGCTTGTCCAACACCGACGATAATAACAGACATTGGTAGTTTCGAGGCACGCACTAGCGCATCAATGGTATCAGACATGTCTGAAAGTACGCCATCCGTAAGCAATAACAACACTAAATACTGCAAAAAAGTACAAAATCACGAGTTAGATATGATCTAAGTGTAATGAAGAAAGCCTTTTCTGTATGGAAAAGAAACGAAAGAAGAATATATGGACATACCGAGCCTTTTCCAACCGCTTTTTCTGCAGAATTTGCAACACAATTTATGATTGGAGCAACATTAGTTGGACCATAGAGCTCAACAGATCGTATACAGTTCTGGTAGGCAGCCACCAAACCTGATATCTCTGTAAAATATAATATAGAAACAATGTCAGTTTACGGCCCACTTTTCAAGACAGATTGTGGTCCAGCTTCTAAAAGCAGTTTAGATATTGCTATTGGAGATCACTCACTGCCTACCTTGACAGTTTGGATTGCTTGGATTGAAATTGAGTGCAAAATCATGCAAAACTTGCCCATTGGGGGGTAATTTGGCCCCAAAACCATATGCAGGAAACATCTTGTCACTAAAAAATCAATCGTCAGCGTCAACTAAAAGGACAACTAAAAGGACAGCTAAAAGGACAACTAAAAGGACAACTAAAAGGACAGCTAAAAGGACAGCTAAAAGGACAACTAAAAGGACAGCTAAAAGGACAACTAAAAGGACAACTAAAAGGACAACTAAAAGGACAGCTAAAAGGACAACTAAAAGGACAACTAAAAGGACAACTAAAAGGACAACTAAAAGGACAACAAAAAGGACACTAAAAGGACAGCTAAAAGGACAACTAAAAGGACAACTAAAAGGACAACTAAAAGGACAGCTAAAAGGACAACTAAAAGGACAACTAAAAGGACAACTAAAAGGACAGCTAAAAGGACAACTAAAAGGACAACTAAAAGGACAACTAAAAGGACAGCTAAAAGGACAACTAAAAGGACAACTAAAAGGACAACTAAAAGCACAGCTAAAAGGACAACTAAAAGGACAACTAAAAGGACAACTAAAAGGACAACTAAAAGGACAACTAAAAGGACAGCTAAAAGGACAACTAAAAGGACAACTAAAAGGACAACTAAAAGGACAACTAAAAGGACAACTAAAAGGACAACTAAAAGGACAACTAAAAGGACAGCTAAAAGGACAACTAAAAGGACAACTAAAAGGACAACTAAAAGGACAGCTAAAAGGACAACTAAAAGGACAACTAAAAGGACAACTAAAAGGACAGCTAAAAGGACAACTAAAAGGACAACTAAAAGGACAACTAAAAGGACAGCTAAAAGGACAACAAAGGACAACTAAAAGGACAACTAAAAGGACAACTAAAAGGACAACTAAAAGGACAACTAAAAGGACAACTAAAAGGACAACTAAAAGGACAGCTAAAAGGGCAATTAAAGGACTGCTAAAGGACTGCTAAAACTTAACAAAATAAAACTCATTCTTATATATTCTTGCATATTCTTACGTATCATAATCCTGACAAACAGTGCCCACAGCAACCAAAGCTTGGACATATTCATTTGGACTGTAAGGACTTATAAAATGGAGTGAAGTTGGATTTGTTGGATTGCCATTTGAAGCAGTAAAGTCAACACCAACCTACAACAGTATGAAAGACAATTTAATTCTGATTCCAGTTTAATTTAAAACGAATGACAAGTATTTATGAAGAGCTCTTTCACTGACCGTAAAATTAACTTGACATCCACCCATAATGTAATCCAAAAAAGTATAATCCTTTCGCACATTAAAAGTTGATAAATAAAGTACACCAGAGTTTACATATTTTTTCTTCTTTGCTTTTTTTTCTTCATTGATCAGAGGAAATGAGATCTAAAACATACAGATATGCATTTTATCGTAAACCTGATGCACCCTAGCTTATGTGTATGTACAGTGAATATATGTATGCACAATACAAACCTCTCTGTCTTTAGCTGGGGCAAGATCTCTTAGAGTTGTTTCAAAACATCCAATCATGTCATGTTCAGTATCTTTGTCCCAGTCAAAACAATCAATCTGTTTTGAAACATTTTTACCAGAAAAAGTTAGAGAAAAAAATAGGAATAGCACAGTTTTAAATAACATCTATAATTTACCTTAATTTTCTTGTCATAATCAGCATTGCATAATTCTGTGAGAGAAATCTCTATGATTTTGAAGGAGGGATTCAATGTATTTTTACAAATCTATAAGTTGTAAAGAAATATTTCATCATGTTGCAATTTCATCCATTGCTGACTTATGCCATTACAGTCATACAGTATTGACTTATTTCTAAACACTCTGATATTAGGAATTTTCCTGATAGTCAATCTGTTCAGGAGTGACTTGTATTAGGGATTGGCTCTCAAAATATAAACCTGGATATTTACTGTACCTCAGTCTTATGGACAGCCACTTTTGTTCCGTCTGGCAATTCTTTTGATATAACCAAGTATGGATCTGATTTACCAAGGAGATCCTATAACAAAAGATTGTCAAGAAATGCAAAAAGGTTTAATATTCTTCAATAACAGAAATGCATAATTATCAAAATAATTACTTTTTTGTCCAAACTTTTTCCATGGAATAGTAGTTGTACTATTTCATTTGACTCATTTATTTCTTCTGCAACAACCTGTGACACAAGAAGTGGAATTCAAACATATTTAATGGCTGATGAACTAGTAATGATCGACACACATTTTAATCAGAAATAAATTTTATTTATTAAATATTTCATGCTAAAGTATGAACTTATTATGAACTGTAATTTTGTGCCAGGCTGAGTGATTACATAATATTAAACATACTGTAATTGTTCCAGCATTTTTCCCTTTTACTGTCATCTTTTCTGTGTAATTCTTTCTTGAAACAATCTATTATGAAGAATAAAGTATTATCCTTATGACATCCCCCCCTTCTAATGTAATTTAATCATTACTTACTTGACCTAGTGTGCATTCCAAGGTACCCAGGAGGTCATCATCTTCAAGTTTTGCAGTCTCATTATCAACATCATAGACAACAAACTTCAATTTTTGCACCATTTCAAAATAGTAATTAATTGTGATGGTTTTGGTGAATTCTGGATTGAGGTTATTACCCACTCTCTCAGTTCGACCATACTACATCAAAATATTTCACAAAATTCAATTGTTTCATATGAGCATACCAAATGGTATTAAAGAATATTCATACAGCATCAACAATCTAACAGCGCATTGAGGAGTGTCGGCTGTTCAAGCGGATTTATATACTCCATGGTACTCTTAATCAATTACAGTAATATCTGCACAGATAAAACAATTGATTAATTCATGACAATATTAGTGTTTGTATGCAGCGATTTTAGATACATTTGTTTATTTAACTAAAGACATTTTGGTATATACAAAAAATAATGAGAACATTATTAGAAGATTCTTATATTCATGTATCAATTATCTATTTGTTGCAAATCATGTTTATACCTCAGTCCAATCACTTCCTTGTTGAATGTAAACAGCGCACAGGGGATCAGATTTTGAGAGAGCATCCTTGTCTAAAAGTCCTTTACAAGATATGTGTAACGCTACTTTAGTGACACAAGTTTCCATTATTTGTAAAAATGTTCGGAAAGATGATTTGGAAAAGGAAATTGAGAATATTGAAGCAATTAATGTGACCTTCCTTTTGATTCGCTGATCTTCGGTTAACCTTCGGCTCCACTTCGGCATGATTTGGACACTCCATCAGCATGCACGACGTTTAGCGCAATGTATACGTTGAACTTCTGCGATATCTTTGCCAGTTTATCTGCCTAAAACTCCATCTCTTTTGCTTGTGAGAAGAGTTTTTTCTGCTTTTTCTGCTATGCCACGTGTTTTCATCCAAATACCATGTCTTCTTTTCCGTCTTTTTTGTACCCCTTTCTTGCAGAAGGAACCATAGTCAGTGGAGGGGAGGAGGTTAGCTTTGTTGGACCTCAGCTTGTGGTTTGGTACCCCTACGATGCTTCTTTTCTGCGTCACTCATCTAGAACCCTTTATGGCAAAACAATCTCGAAATTTCTAAAGTATCATTTTACCCAAATTTATTGAAATGACTTCGTTACCTGCTGTGAGGGCAACAGGGGTCAACAGCAAACTCTGCGAGGAAAGTTGACACAATTTTCTTCAATATTTGCCGGAAGAAGCTGCCTTTCATGTTTTTACCAAAGGTAGGTTCTAGCACAGTTTTGAGACATCAGAACGACAAGAAGAATAATTATAAAACACTCAAAGAAATCGTGGTACAAATAGAAGTCTAGTTTAGCCTAGACCGTAATCCTACGTAGGCAAATCTTTGAACAACAAAACATTTGTATAATAAACTCTAATACATAATCTGTCAATTGGTTTTCGTTAGTTAGTTAGTGATATAAACAGTCTATGAATGTACCGGCAGTTATATCCAAATTGTATTCATAGACGTATTTAGATTACAACATTTCTGCGTCACAATGTTGCTAAATGCAACTCTATGCATAACACTATTCATAACTATATCTGGGTTATATATTCCGCGATTTGTATTATTGTGTGTGGATGTGTGACAGTAGCTATAGAGTGAGGCTGAGCTAGATAAAAATGATCTAAGCCCTTGAACGAATCGGCATATTGTCAAACTATGCAGCCGTACCATCGTCCGATTCCATTTTATGGCAAATTCATTTGATTTTTGAGACTTACATGATGATCTATGAAGCCGAGTTCGCGCGGTAAATCTCCAACAATCATCCTAATTTTCAACACTCTAGACAAAGTACACAATAATACATATTCCACTAGAGAAAAATGACGGAGGATATTGACGAAATATTAGAAGGACTTTCTTATGATGACCTGCAAGCATTGTCAGATGAAATTGATCCAGAGGTAGGCTCATAAAACCTCGAAGTACGACCATTCATGAAATGTTGAAAATGTATTTTATCCTTCCTGGTTTAAATCATTTTCCAAGTCCAAGTCATCTTCTATGCATCACTCAAATATAAAATATTGTCCCTTCGTCTTTCATTCAAGCATCATCACATAGTTCCAATTTCGTCTCATCTTCGTTCAAGGACCATTCTGTCAGTCTCGTTTATAACTTCGTCTCATCTTCGTTCGAGCACCAACCAAATAAGTGTTCCAAGTTCGTTTCATCTTTGTTCAAGCACCATTCTGTTCTCGTTATAACTTCGTTTTAACTTCGTTCAAGCATCAATCGAATATTGTACTCCCAAGTTCGTCTCATCTTCGTTCAAGCACCATTCTGATCTCGTTATAACTTTTTCTCATCTACGTTCAAGCACCATCCGAATATTGTTCCAACTTCGTCTAAACTTCATTTAAAAACACTATCAAAATGTCGTTCGAACTTCGATGAAACATCCTCCAGAATTCGTTACAGTTTCGTCTCAACATCGTTTGAACATAGTCCAAATCTCGTTACAATGTCGTTCAAGCATCATCCAAATGCTGTTTCAATTTCGTCTCAGCTTCGTTCAAGCACCTTTCTGATTTAAGCATTTCCCAAATATTGTTAATCAAACTTTGTGTTAGTTTCGTTTAAGCATCATCCAAATATTGTTTCAACTTTGTCCTAACTTTGTTGAAGCATCACCCCAATCTTTTTCCAATTTTGGTTAGCAAAATCCTCCCAGGGGTATATGACAAGAATCCATGAACCTTTCTTTATTTCACAGCATGAACTTCTACCGGTTCATGAACGTCAACTACAACCACCCTCGTCCCACAAGTTCGACATTAATAATCGAATTAAAGAAATGGAGAAACTCTCTATTGAAAGTATCGAAGGCGACAACTACCTTCCGCTTCATGGTCGAGACTACAAGCCTCGGCCGGAGGTTAGAAAGAAAGAACCTGAAGTCGTACTTCCTGATGAATGGGATGAAGCTGTGAACCAGGCAAATGAAAAAGATTTGCAGGATCTTGCAGGTAAAAGGGAGTCTCTTGGATCGGGTCGTGTTGAGACAGAAAGTCGTGATCTTTCTGGGTAGAAAAGGAAAAGCAACTTTCCATAACATAACGATATCTTCATTTAAAGGTATCTTAGGTATCCACAGCTTGCTAACTCAAGAGCAAAGTTCGTCAACAGAGGCTGGAGAAATGAAAGAATCATTAAGAGAACTGGACGAGAAAAAAGGTGGGTTACTAGGTTGCAATGATGCGGCGCTCCTAGAAAATATTTGTATTCTATAATGGGGTTACGTATACTGTCGATGTCGAAAACATGGAATTATGAACTTGAATCGAAGTATGAGTATTGAGTATAGCAACTTCATTTGTCCAGATAGCGCTTGCAGCTCTTAAACGTTTTTATCCACGTAACACCATTCATCATGCGAAGATTTTTGTCCCTAGCGGATCATGCAGTATATTCCATCCTTCAGGAGAAGGTTTCCATTCAGTTGATACTTATGTGGATACGTTTAGGTCAGTCATACGAACCATCCCAAGGCGTTTCGGATTACTACGGAGAACTGCAGCAGGTGGATGTGACTGGTTTATTTCGTAGACTGAAGGATTTTGATAAGACTTTGACAGAAATTATGTTGAACAACATGAAAGAAGTGGACGACGTTTTGGTGGCCATCGCAGAGTTCCTTGCAAGAATGGATTGTGTGACAAGAATATCCGTTGCAAATACGAAAATGAGCAACAACATCGGATTGGTAGGGATCACCCCAACTAGTAGGGATCTCGGTGTATATGACTAGTAGGAATCCCAGTGCCTGGTTGGTAGGAATCTCAGTGCCTGATAGCTTGGTTTATAGCTACCAGTACCAGCTGTTTGCTGCCTTCGCCCTAGTCAATTTGTTTTATCCCAATATTTTTTATCGTCAAACTCCCTTTTCTTTCACAGAAATTTGCAGAAGCATTACAAAATAATAGCAGTCTTGTCTACTTAAATATGGAATCCAACATGTTGTCAGGAGATGTGATTGTGGTACGTAATCCATGCTTGTTTGTGAGTTCAGTTCCTCGACAATATCGCAGCTTAACCAAACGAAGCTTTGCTGTTATAGAGAATACTTGAAGTCTTAGAAAACAACACAACACTAACAGAACTAAAGGTGGCCAACCAGGTAAACAACCGGAGAGATCTCGGACTAACTCTGAACAACTTTGGAAAAGAATTTAGTTTAGTTTAGATATGATCTTTATTCGCAGGATTCCAAGGAAGAACAGTTTGGAACTAACAGAGCTATCCAGTAAAAATAGTTTAGTTTTAATTTCATGTAGACTTGATGACGAAGCGTCGATTCTTTCTGTGAAACCAGTTTAGAAGTAATATCTGGTTGCAGTTTACACAAAGCTAGTAGTCTACGTTTACTTGTGAAACGTTCAAACGGAGAACTTTCACATTTTTTCAATCATGATTTCTCCATCACATTTTGACAGTCAAAGGCGGCTGGTGCAAAAAGTGAACGCGAGATGGTGAAAAAACTAGAACAAAACCAAACTCTGCTCAAGTTTGGCCACGCATTTCTGACACCAGGCTTGGGAAACATGGCGTCTCGACTCATCTTACGAAACAATGACAGAGGTATTTGCTGATTAGCTGACTGGGTTAGAATTCCGAGGTGTGAATAGTATTTCTTACTACCTCATAAATGCAAATATTTATTTTATTCAGCACGTAAAGCAAGACAAGCAGCAGCAAAGAAATGAATTGCCACCGAGGCTGAAGAACAGAACAGATCTGTGGAATAGAGCCACTAAGCAGCATTGTCTTGAACGGGTCAAGTGAGATGGTTTGCACAAGGATTAATTGAGTTGGATTTTATAAGTTGTTGTATATATGTGTCGTTTTTATATTGCAAATAATATAAAATAAAGTTTTTTATTCTTTTTGATGTCTGCATTTAGCTTTCTGCATAAAACGGGCGGCCAATTTCACAATTGTTAAATATATTGTAGCAACCATTAATGCTAAAATTTAATATACAATATACATAAAATACATTACATTATTGCTGACAAAATACCAGCCAAAATATTATAGAATTGTGCAAATTGCAATTTCATTACCGGCAAATTCTTCCAGGCGTTTTAAAACCGTTTATATTTACATCATTATTATCCTACCTAACTAAAATACAAGAGTTTTATCACAGTATAAAGACATATGTCTTTATACTGTGGTTTTATGAATCGTTTATTATTAAAAGGCATTCAAACAAATTGTAGATCATTCAAGGATGACGGATCATCTCTCACGTCAGGCTATTTCCAAATGCACTTAATAACCAGAAATTTAACGAATATGATACCGAAAGTTCCATAGTGAAAGTTCTTGATTAGAACCGCCTATTTTATAGGACTAAGTTGGGTAACTCAAGACCTTTGTTTTGATAAATAATCCGCCATTTTCAGTATCGTTCATTTCACCAAACTCCTATTTTGAGTTAAAAGCAACAATCGATTCTTGAACAACAGACTTATTTTATACTTTGCTGTTTTAGCGTTTAGTTTGCCGGCGAAGATTACTGATTCTGACGCTACTTGTGACGCTGCTGCATGCAAAGATTAAATATTCAACTGCTTGGCAGAGTTTCTACGCGAGAAACAAAGCTTTCTGGTGCATGGAAGCTTGCTTTCAGCTTCTTCGTTTTCAATCATGGGAATTTCAATCGTCTCTCGCCAGTATATCAAATTATTCAGTTTCATTATAAATGATGCTCTAAAAATGTCAAAACAGTCGCCTCGTAATGTTCAGAGGCCCTTGCTTGTCGTATGCCGTGACGCTCACACGGATAAACCTTTAAAAAAAAGTGTAGCCATATTGAATCGTGAAGGTAACGAGAAGGTAAATCCATAATTTCCAACGAATAAAGTATATTATAGGAGCTACAACAATACCTGAAGTTGATAAGGCTTGCCAACTTTAATCAAACGGTCAATCAACAAACTTGTGTGATGAAAATGGACATTTTCATCGATTAAACCATGAACAATTAACAAGCGATGTTCTCTTTAAAAAAAATAAAAAAAAGACCTCAGCATTTCTCTGCCAACGCTGATATATACACTGTTTCATTACACAAAATCTAAATACTACTTCAACTTACTGGTCTGGAAAATTCATAGCCTTGTTCAAGATTGAACTTTCCTCGTACGCAATGGGATTGTTCTGTGGCGTGTTCATGTAGCGCTCGGTATAACCAGTATCGTAGGCCTCCCAGTCCGTAACCGGAGCTCCTGCAACTGCCACCTGAAGGATGGTAAATAGCAGAGATTGTTAAGTTGGACAGTACAGAAGTATAATCATGTAAGAGCAATTCTAGTTTGATTTTATCATCGAGTGCTAGTGGTGAAGAGTGCAGTGTGTTTCTAAAACTTTCCAGGGCAGAAAGACACTACAGTGTTAAACTATCAACCATTCTCACCTTAAAGATATCTGGTCGTTGGATCAGGCCTTGCAATGATAGATAGCCACCTTAAATGGAATGGGAATGTTAATGAAAATGGCACTCAACGCACTCACGTAAACGTCAAAGCAGAAAGAAAGGTGTGACCGCTGCAAGTCTGAACTCTGCTGGTTAGCGAAATAGCGAGAATTTAAAAACAAACCTACCATAGGACCATCCGTGTATAGCTACGCGGGTTATATCGATATAGTTAGTCTGCTCAGTAATATAAGACAGAGCCTCGACCTGATCATCAATCTCCACGCGACCCTGGGAAAATGCAGTGAAAATTTAGCTGCGAAAGAAGCAAGTAACGATGTATACTCTGCAGTTGTAACCAACCATGTTAGTTATGTATTATATAAAATACATTGAGTGACAATGACCCTATTCATGTCTGGGTAACAGTGGATTACAGATATTAAATATTTGATATTTTAACAAAATATTAACAACTCACTAAGCTGCTCTTAAGATGACTTTCAAACAGTCTTCCTCGATGAAAGGAACCTCGGCAATCAAACGCTAACACGACATAGCCCAGCATGGCCAACGTCTGCAGACGCAAGAATTGAATACCTTTGTGGCAATCAGTCACTAGCTGTAAAGAAATAACATTAGTAAGTAGGTAGGTGGGAGGGGGGGTAGGGGGATTGTAGGTGGGGGGTTGTAGCTGGGGGTGGGGTGAGTTGGGTGGATATCCGTTCCGACACTAGCAAAATGTTTTTACAAACTACTAACTTGAACAGCTGGTCCACCATAAACGAACAGAACCGTAGGATATTTCCTTTTCGGATCAAAACTCGGTGGTTTGAACACCATGCCGTAAACATCGTGACCTGTAAGATGATGTTACAAAGATTTAAAAACGAGACATGCAGCACGCGGCAACGTTTCATGATTTGATGCTGAGTATAACGTACCATGTTTGGGACTCTTGAAATTAAGCAATTCAGGACAAAGTGTTTCATTCAACTGGCCTATACAGCAAATGATTTGGTCAAATTATTTTTGTATGTTCAGTTTACACACGGAAGAGATACAAAACAAATATTTTACGCGCACCCAATATTATTATATATACTGAAAAAAACTTCGTATCCAGTACAAATCTGACCGTTCTTACCAGGAGGTTTGATATGAAAACAAGGTCTAGCAGAAATCACTGATCCTCGACCATGAGGTAGAGGAGTATGAACAATCTGATAGACGGTCACTGCAGGTAGATCTTTCATTGATGAATACACAGTCACAAACAAGCTACATTCCTGGAAAAGCAAAGAATGTTGTAACATGAAACAGGAAAACTGTTCAAGATTGCAAATTGCAATCCCCCATGTGAGATAAAGGTATATTATGTACAATAATGTACAGCAGTGTACCTCGTTCATGGTTACTTTATGATGGAATCCAGGTTGGGTAAGTCGTACAGCTTCTTGAGAGGGGTTCTCATATGAAGCAGCATAACTGGCAAATTATCATAGAATTGAACTGTTAGACATCTTAAAACACTGTACATAACTTCGAGGAATAAATGAGTATAGAAATACTCACAGATGCAGTTGAACAGGCGTGTCTTTAGTTCCCATGAAGTACACAACACTCTTAGTTTCATCCAACCAAATCTACAATAGAAAAGTTGCATCATTAGAGGCAATCATTGAATCCCACTGTACTTAATGATATTTCAACTGGTGATAGCATACAATAGGTGCCAAACTGAACACACCTTGCTACCATCTACTTCCCAATCACCAGACGTAAACTGGTGATACGTTGCTTCGTGTTTAGTGATATCATCAAAAGTTTGTTCCACAACTTGGGAGCAATTAACATGAACAAGGTAGAGATGACGAAATCCTGACATTTCGCTTGCCCACAGAAATTTGACGTGATTTAACCCTGTGGTTGGTTGTGGAAAGAAATGCATGATATCACATACCTAAAATACAGAACAAAAACAATTTGCAAAGCTGTACTATTGTAGGACCTGGAGGTTTATACATGTATTTGCCAGTAAAGGAAAACCTGCAGTTGTATCTTAGTTATTATTGATTTCAAATGAAATAATTCCTGCAAAGTGTACAAACTATTGGCCTTCAATAGATGACTGGCATTTGTAATTCTGGTTGTGTATACTTAATATTATTGAACCTACATTTATCCAAACATCTGAAGTCTCATCAATAAGGATCTTTATGGTATCAGAGGGATCTGTACCATCATAATCCATGCTATTCTCAGGCATAGTTGGGACAAAGAGGGACACAGGTATTACAACCAACACAAGGCGTTGCTGAGACCTGTCCAAAAGTTGTGCCCAAATACTAAAAGAAGAAAACACAATAAACCATCTGAATGACTGGCCAAAGGATGATAAAGATTGACTTGGTCGTACCCTTCACCATCTGGCAGCCAACCACAGCGGACAATATACTCTAACCAAGGGAATACTTCATGTAACGAAACTTTCAATTGATATATAGTTGTCTTCTCAGAGAACTGTAGCACAACAAAAAAATATGAGGTGTATAATAACATGTACTATTGCCTGCAGATGCAATACAATACAATATACATTGTCTAATGTTCCACCTAGGGTGGTAATCCAAGGTCTAATCACACAATGCATATTTCAAACTAATTTTGTAGCAACCAAGCTCACCTGTCCGGAATCCTCAATAGAGAATTCAACAATCTTCAAACATGATGTTGAATTTTGTGTCCCTGAATACAAACAAAATTTACAAACTGAATATGGGTGCTCAGGGGTGTAACCAGGTGGCTATAAACAACAATAACTCACCAGCTCGAGGATATCTGTATGACTCAGCAACACATGGAGCTGTCGCCTCAACGCTTGGCGTCATTGTCAGAATCTCAACCTCACTTTCATCAACCTAGAACAAAACATGTTTCCCTTTCTGTTTAAAACTTAGATTAAACTTGTTGAATAATGGACATCTGATGATTTAATGGATAAAACTTCATCATCTTATCTTATAAAAGATCTGTTTTTGTAGGAGATTTAAGCAATGATAGAAAAAATGTGGGAACACCATACCTCTTCATACAAGATGCAGAATTTGTTATCACTTTTCATTTTTGGATTCCACCAGTACCCTGTGTATCGATCAAATTCTTCCTGAACTACAAATGATGGAACTCCTGCAGAAACTGTTTCATCAACAGCGCTGCTTTGTGGCAAACCAGAGTGAGTCCACGTTAATTGCTTTTCTCGACCAGTTGTTACATTACAAACCCACAAGTCTTTGTGATGGATAAATGCTATGATGTTAGGGTTGGAAGGGGATAGTTTGGGATCCATTCTGGATTCTTTGTTCTGAGTTTTTACCTCACCAGGAACGAGAGGAACATTAGAGTCACCAGGATTCTGGGAAATAAAATTCATGCTGTGTTTAACCCATGCAGATATCATACCAAAATTAGATTCACCATTAGGGGAGGATTATTCCCTGTACCTCTAACCATTCACAATGCAAAGGGTTAACTACCTACCTACCCTAGTAAATCAGGCAAATGCAGAGCTACATATTAACATATATAGCAGGAGCACTTGATTCAGGGGGTGTGGACTAAGTGTATACTAATATTAATACACAGTATCATTGGAACTATCACTTTCAAAAAAAATCAGAAAGGGATTTAAGACAAATATATGAATATGTACCTCCCCAATTCAGCATATAGCTACAGCACTGATTTACACTACTTTTGCATTTTATTTTATTTTTCACTTCATTCTAAATACAATTCATGCTCTCGTCCGTCTCAAATGAAATACTTACCGACGGCAATACATGATCTCGGCACATATATAAACTACTGCACGCTGGAAATAGAATACTTCTTGAATTTTTATCATATTCATACGACGTAATGCCAAAGCTTCCTAAGCGCTTGCGTTCCCTGAGCAATTGTTCTTCCCGTGAAAATCCCTGAAAAGGTCTAAGACTGTCCAGGTCCAGCAGCAAATGCCACTTGGCTGTAGGAACTGCAACCAACTGTTCTGTCTGTTCTCCAGGCTTCAAGTCCACATAAAACAACGTATATTCACTACGGTTCTCTGGCAAGGCCAGAAAGTATAATTTTGTATCGCTAAATGTAAAATTATTTGGGGTTCGGCTCGACTGTCTTAATGACAAAGTTCTGGTTGTTTTAACAGCAGTCAAGAGCTCGCACCAGCTACGCTTGCGAGAAGTACCGTTGTACATTATGCTTTGATATATTGTGGATTAAAAACAGTCGTTATTTCTTTCGCAGTTTGTCAAAAACAAAACATATTTTCGTCATTGCGAAATAGTGACAAATTTCCGCCATCTTTTCCTGTCAGAATACTCGGTTTCAGGCCCCCTCGTTACATTGGCGCACCGAGCTCTATATATCATTGCTCACTGGATTGACTCACTCAGCACTGAGCGATATATATCAGAGCTCACTGGATTGGCAAAGTGCTGAGCCATACAAACTGAGACTTAAAAATTAAAATATTGTACACTATTTTAATTAAGTTCTATTATTTACAACTTTAGTTCTGATCACGATCTGCTTGCAATGAAAGAACTCATTCACATGATTAGAATATCCGCATTTTACAATATGTGTGTCAAACAATTCTTTTATTTCATAAATAGCCAAAGTTATGATCAACAACAACTGCTTGGTTCAGGATTTGGCATACGCAGAGAATTGTTCATTTCATCTGGAAGACTTGCCTCCTGCAACAAAATATAAGAATAAAAAAAAATAAAGATGGGAATGAAAAAAAAATAAAGAAGGGAATTCTTTGATTTGAAGAGTTAGATCACAACAAACCTTGCTATCTTTAAGATCTTTGATCAAATGTGCTAGACTTTTGAATGCCTTCAGGAAACAAACAACAGTGTTTAATTAAATGAGAGATGATACTGTTCAAAGGCAATTTAAACAAGTACCTCTTTGACTCCCATGTCAGTTTTTGCACTGGTCTCAAAAAACTTTAAATTATTATTCTGTGCAACCTAATAGAAGTAAATCAGAGTTTTCAAATGAGCTACATACAATTTTTGTCTCACAACGCCGGCAAAAAAATGAACAGGCATTTCATTACCATTTCCCCTCTTTCTTTTGATATCACTCTTTTGTCATTAAGATCAGCCTTGTTACCAACTAGCACTTTGCACACATCTGAACTTGCATTCTAATAATAAGATATTATACAATATCATTCTTAAGACATGTTTTGAAAGTGAAATATTCTCCACCTACGCAACACATATAGATTACAAAATGAACTAACATCATCAATGTTCCTTAACCAAGAATTGACATGACTGAAGGATTCTTCAGCTGTTACATCATAAACAAGAAGTACGCCCTACAAGGGTAAAAAATTTACAGCTTCAGCCTTCACTCCAAACGTGTCAATTAGATTGAATAACACATGCTTGCCATTGCTCCTCTGTAGTAAGCACTTGTCAATGTTCGGAACCTCTCTTGGCCAGCAGTATCCCTAGTATTAAATTGAGACATTAGAGAGCATTAGAATCACTAATTGAACATGAATTAGAAATGTGTATGCTGCAAATCAAGTCGTACATTAATGTCATCATTATTCATACCAAATTTGCATCCTAACTTTCAAGTCATCAACATTTAGCATTGTAGTACGGCAATCAATACCTGCAAAGAATAAGTAAGATTATACATGCCAATATGAGAAGCCTGGTAAACAAAAGTGAATGTTGCAATTTTTGTACAATGTATCAATTATGGGGCTGAAGAACCCACCTATGGTGGAAACATAAACATCAGAATATATTCCTTCGGTGTAACGATAGATTAGACATGTTTTTCCTACGCCACTGTCCCCCAAGACTAGGATTTTAAAAGTGGAATCGTAATCATTGTTTGTCGACATCTCCACCAGACCAAGATATAAATTAAAAGTTTGTTTCACTTCGTTTATTTACAACCCAGATCACGAGACGGTATTTACTTCCGTGATGAAAAGCCTCAGGGTATCCAGCAGGGGGCAACGGCCTCAACGCGAATGATTCTGAGATTATTTCAGAATATTATTTAACCTTTCGCATTTTGATGCTTGATCTCTTCAATTCAGATGCGTCTTCACAAAGGCAAAAAAAAAGTAAATCGTTGTAAAAGTAAAACTGCCCACTTGCAACTTCTCAGTTACTATTCGTATTTCCACGGTTGTCGAATAAATTTCACCAAAAAAAATCTGAAGATATTCGCCTCGATTTCGATTAACGCATGCGTGAAGTAACTACCACGCACTTTTGGTCAAGCATTTTGGGTTGGGGTGAACTCAAACCCACTCAGTGAATCACAATCGCGCATAACGCAAATCTATATGTAAGAATCTCAAACTTTAATATCGGTTGAACGCCGGCACGGATTGGGTTGCAAACGCTACCACTTTTTTCCTCTTATAAAATACAAAATTATATCTTTTAGAAGATACTTTTATTTAAGATTCCTTAATATGATGATTTACACGCCATGTTTCTTAAAAAGCCCCTCGATGGTTTGGTAATCTTTCAACATCTCGTCCGCGTCAGCGATGATTCTTTTTCTTACTTCCTCATTAGCAACTTGGTTTGTCTCGTCCACCACTTCAGAAACATGCATTCCAGCTGCTTCAATGAGTATTTTGCTAACGGTCAGAACTATATCACGAGAAATTATCATGGATAAGGCGAACTAATACGAGCATTTTGTTTCTCGTATTACTTCGTTAAGTCATACAATAGAAACAGATAGAAAATATGGAGTTGTTACAGAACTTTTTGCACAGTTTCCACGATAATTTGAGCAGAGTTTTCCCCAGCTGAAGATGAAAGAGTATGGATACCTACCGTATGGATTATCGTTTCCAATATCATTAAACTTCAACAACAATCCTTCAACACTCTGGATTGCTTTGATAATAGCTGCTGAGGTTGTCTCGTTGTAATATTGAATAAAAGATAACGATGCTTTGATCGCTAGAGCTTCAATATCTTGCTCGGCTTGATCAACGTCTGAAAAAATAAACAAGTTTAAGAATTCGTGGGATACATGCTGTCTACCTGGGTTTGGCCTTGGGCTTCTTTCAAAATGAAAAGTTAATTACACAGACGGACGAAACTCTCACCTCCTTTAAAGTTCGCCTTTTTAAACAATTCTTTCAAACGTGATGCAAAGAAGTCCATGACATTCTTGTATTCCTTAATGCTCGTAGTTACAGCCTCTTTCATGGCATTCCTCACCTCCTCTGAAGCTTGAGAGAGAGCGTCTTGTATGGCATAAGCCGTTCCACGACGTGTCAATTCATCGCCTGAGAGGAAAATACCAATTCACGGATTGCATTCCTTTCGGGAACGACTACAAGCCAACGTATAGGATAAATTGCATATAATTTATTGCACACTACCTTTAGCAATGTTTAACACCTTGTGCAATATGCTTAAAGCTTCGGTCTTTATTTTTTCATTCTTGATATCAGTGTTAACAATAGCGAGTGCAATGGAAGAGCGAATATTCTTCTCTGCCAAAATGATTGCCGCGTCAATATTCTTTGCTGTTTGTTCAGCAAGAGCACGGACTTTGCTTTGCATATCTATAAAACAAAGATTATGCTGAAATGATCGATCAATGAATGAGATTCCGCACCTTTCTACAAGAAAATAACCTGGAATTTGGTAGTTGCATCAAGCACCATGCTGACCACACTAACCTTCAGAGCTGCGTTTCCGTCTGTTCTTCACAAAACCTCTTACATCATCAATTGTGGTAGCCATGGTTGAATCCAGGATCTTTTGAGCTTCGTTCAATGATGTAAGCACTGTCTCTTTAACCTAGAAAGAAAACATGGCATGTTAGTGTCTATAAAAATTGCGAGGAACAATTCAAAGTAATCATTTTATGGTTCAGGTTTTGTGTTGACGTGGAACTGGCACTACAGGATTCAAAACATGGTTTCTTACTGATGATTTGAACAGATTAGAGGGATGATCTTTTCAATGAAAAAAAGATTTAGAGCAATCGTTACCTTGACGTCGATATCACGGACGGCATAACGAAAGATGAAAACGGCAGATTTGATGTCATCACAGATCGAGGTATCAACTGACGCTGGCAGAATATTTTCACACGTGAGTTGATCTGTTTGCCAGGATAAACTTGGAAGCAGCAACGCAATCACAGAAAACGCTAAAATCATCCTGAAGATAATTTCCTGAAGAGTTAAATAAAAACATGAATCACATCGCTTCGTAATAAAACTGAAAAACACTCATTACTTGACTACCTTCTACGACATACCTTGTGCTACGAATGCAATCAAATTCTTTTGACTTCTAAACACAGTAAAAATGTTCCCCTTTTTTCGCTTACGCGTCACTTATGAAAACTCAGATTTGAAAATCTATTATCTTTTACTTATAAATCTTCACTAATTTCCACAGCTGTTCGGTCAAACCGTTAGCATTGGCTAATACCTGTCTGATGGAAAACAAGAAACGACACAAAACAAACAAGTAAATAGCAATTTCATCGTTCAATTTTCTGAAAATACACGTGAATGCAAATTTGTCAGACTGTTTATAAAATTTATATATATACAGAGATTGATATATTGTAAAACTCTATAACTCCCCCATGATATTCCTGACTAGTTTTGTATCAATCAGGCGAATTTCTCTCCCTCGTCTCCATTCAGCCCTTCCGAAGGGGTCTCGGAAAGAAAGCGGAGAATTGGGGGAGAAAATTTCGCCAGGAAGACAACAGCGTCTAGCGTTCATATTAATAAATTTCAACTTGCCGAATAATTATAAAACGACAAAAGATTAGTGGATTGCATAGTCTACACTTGTTTATCTATAATTAATCTAAACAAACAATTATTAACAGTGTTGACAAAATGATTACTTTTCACGTATTGCTTTCGTTAGAATCGACGATTGTGGTTTTGCATATTGAAAATTTATCGAAATATTTATATTTTGCTAGTATTCTGAAATCGATCCATTTTACATTTTGAATTATGATTATTTTATAATTACGATATATTAACGAAAAATCTGCACCATCTTATGGCATTTGCTGTCTAAACTGATCCAGTAAATACATTGGAACATGTTCTTCAGCCACCTGTGAAAAGATTGAAATATTAAGTAGTTCACCCAGCCTCGTTCTTTCTAAAACAACCGAACTAGCTTTGCTATATTTCTGCTTCAAGATCTGTCTGGTTCTAAACTGATCTTTCTGAAAACGACACTCTTAAAGCAGGATGGAACCAGAGCGTTTGCATTTAAAGACGAGGCCGTTTGGTAGAGTCGAACAGGAAGTATTTTTCCAAGTGAATTAGTTAAAACTATTTTCGATGTTTTTCACTTCCTATGCATGCAAAACAAAAACAAGCATTGACCTTTCTCGATAGTTTACTGTAGTGCAAGAAATCTTCGAAAAACGCCAGAGCATTCACAACATCATCTGGAAGGTCGACAGTTTTCCCACTACACAAAAAGTCGAAAGAAAGTCAAAAACAGAACGAGGTTAAAAATCACAAGTTAATATTTCACATGCAGTTCTCACCTTGCAGTCGAGTCTACGGATGATTTAATATACTGTCCAAGACAGGCTAAGAATTGATGAGTGGTTTCGACATGGTATTGTTTCAAAGCTGTGATTATACCAACAATAAAAGGAACACAATCTACACCTTCGCCTGGCTTCCGTGGGACCATACCAGCTTAAAATGAACGGAATAAAGTCGAATGCAGTTCTTTGTTTCCTGTACTTTGTTGTATGGTACTATATAATTCGTACTCTTACCATCCAGAGCTGTACTTTGTTGTGCTAGACTGTACTCTTACTATCCAAAGCTGTATTTCGCTGTACTGTACTGTACTGTACTATACTGTACTTTTACTATCCAAAGCTGTACTTCCCTGTACTATACTGTACTTTTATTATCCAAAGCTGTACTTCGCTGTACTGTGCTGTACTAATGACGAGTAGATTATTACCACTAAAAGAGAAACTTACCTAAGTGTTTGACATAAACCAACTTGGGTAATTGAGAAACGACACATAGCGTAGATAACAAAGGAAGAAATCCAGTTCTTTGGGTTGTAATATAGATCTACATACAAACAACACAAACAATGAGATAAATATAAAGTTTTTCTAAAACTAAAGAGGTCGAATCTCAGTGATCTACATTGCAGGACAGAAACTAAGACAAAGAAACAGACCTTCTTTAGCGGATCGTGAACACCAGCAGACTCGAGATATGTCGACAGTTCAGACATCAATGGACTGTCTTCGCTTGGGTATGGTTTATTAGGATCTTGATAATGTGCTTCAATATCTTTGATTAAAGATCTGCAAAAGCATGTTAGGTTAAGATCACTATAGATTTAGGATTAAGATTAAGATGAATCCAAGAGGATAATTCAGGACCATCCAGTTTGCCTAAGATCATATACTCACTGGTTCATAGTGTTTAAACTACTTTCAAAATGTTTCGAGTCAAATTTACAGGAGAAGTTTAACTCGTTTGCAATTTGTCTTCGTAATAACTGCATCTGGCCAATCTAAATAATGAAAGTACGGTTAGTATACGCGACATCACCCCCGGATCAAGAAAGCGGGGAGATTATTTTCAAGACATAACTATACCTTCATAATAGTCTCAAGAAACTGCGGCCATAGCTTGGCACACTTTTGACAAGCTTGTGGATAGACTTTCAGGGGATTTGCTGGAAGTAAAAAGAAATCATTTAGACCCAGTGCAGAGAATTGGAGAGAAGAAGGAAGGTGGAACACCTACCAACAACTTTCTTCACTGGCGTCAAGTTCGCAGCTAGGTTTTCAAGAAACCCACGAACTGCTGTATCTTTCTTCAGCGAAACTTGGACGATGCGTACAAACATCTAAAATATACGGAAATAACTGGTCATCCCCTCTCTGATGCAAATCATTCAGGCAATTTAGTATAATTTTAACGCCTATGACATGAACTACGAGATATGCAGTATCACGGACTATGTATTATAATAATGATCTAAAAACGTCATTAACCTGTAGTTCTTTGACAATCATAAATGAAAGGAGTTTGTCTAATCCAGTCAAACCAAACGAATCAACGCTGTACTGTAGTTCGCGAAATAATATTAAGTTTACAACTTCTTCTTTAGTTTTGAGGTCGTACCAGGCTCCACTTTCCTCGATATAACACGTCGACCTAAGCCACGAAAGAAGCAAAGATCCTCAAAGTGCTTCCACTATAGAGATCCTTTATAGTACAGTATACTAAACACTTACTTCCACTTTTTCGAAGTGGAAATTATGACTTACTTTGGATCGGTGATTCTTAAAATTTCTCTGGCTAATCGTCCAATGAAATTTACGGATTCGTCAACGGGCGGGAAAATAGGGATTGGGATGGTCGTTGATTGGTAGATCGACTGCCAGTCATAGACCTGCGGTACAGTAGATCATCCTGACGTTAAAGCTTTCTAGGAGTCTTACGTTTACATCACGACTTGGGACAAAAACTGTGGGGCAATACACACCTTGGTTCGTAAGAAGCTATTGCATTCTTGTTCAACATTATAATTAATAATCCTTGAAACTTCCTCCTGCCAAATCTTCAGGCCATAAATATTCACATAATCCTGAATGTACTCAAAAGATCTCTTAAACGCGTCCATTCGATTACCAAGTTCTTTCAGCCTTGGGCGAAGTTCCGTCTGATTAAAAAAAGGCAATTTTGGAATGTCGATTAATGTAATGTAACCCCACAGCCAGTTGTATAAAACCTAAGAGACTTAGGAGTCTTATTACAACTACCCCAGATGTGTTTTACAAACACACTTTCTGTATCGAAAAATACCCAAAACGTACTTTGATTTTAGGATTGAAAATCAACCCCTGATGCAAAGCTCCAGCCACTTGACGAACGAGCTCCTTTCGAATACCATCTTCCAAAAGTTGCTTTGGATCCACCTAAAGAACCAGCGAGATTTTGTCAAAATATATCTTCTTGCGTGTAGCATGTCCTGGGCAACAGTGAGTGTACAGTACGTATATGGTCTCTTCCCGCTTATCTTTACCTTAATTATCCCCACCAGTGTTGTTTTCATCATGAGGATACCTTCAGTGAACACGGAGATGCTATGCGTGAGTCGAGCAACCTAAATAAGATGACAAGATTAAGACCTTGCATAATTGTGATAGTTTGTCTTGGGATGTCGTAAATGAAACAAACTATTGCAAATTACAAGTCAGAGGAATCATACCATGTAGCGTTCATCAAGTTGAGCATATTCACGAAGTTTTTCCTTTTCCAATCGCGTCGGAACCTGTCGAGATTATATAAGCAAGACTAGTGAAAGAAATCTATGGTGCTCTTGGTGAGAGGGGAATTGGAGTTTTAGATACGACGGGTCAATAGATTAGGGAAAAGGCGCATCTGTGATTGGGGAGAGGGGGGTTGGTAAGCTTAAGCTTACTGTACTGTACCTCTTTCATTTTGTTACTCAAAATTTGAATGATCTGTGCAAGAAGACCAAACATTGATTCGGGGATGATTTGTAGAACCTGTTGGAGAATTACATAACCATCTTTAAACTACTGTGCAAACAAAATACAGTCAAATAATTTACTGTGGGAACACATTACCTTCCTAACATAGCTCACAAGTTCACCAGAATAGTATTGAGACACGCTGACTAAATCAGGACTATTCGCTTGACCGATCCGAACGAGGGGTAGATCAAGTGCTGATGCCATCTGAAAAGAAGATACAACCGTCCGTGTCTTATTTCAAGTGTTGTTCAGAGTTGCACGGTGATATATACAAACCTTAAGAAACGTGGCTCGTAATTTTCGCACAAGAGAAGGACTTTTCTTAATTCCCGATTGCATGTTCCCTGTATAACTGAGAAGAAAATATCCTGTAAAAACCATGGTGTATACCAGCTGACAATTTCAAGAAACACAAAACAAAACCGAATCCGAAGATTAACATCTTGAAACACATCATTCTTGTCTTGTTTTAACCTATATTTTGGGTTTCAAGATGTTAATCTTTGGGGATTATGTTTTGTTTTTGTATCGGTTGTATCCGATCATTCACACCTGTCAATGATAATCCAGGCATACGAGAGATCAGCGACCAGCTGAATGACAATTAACACCTAGAAAAAGAACGAAATGTTTACGAAAACATCAAAATAAAATCAATACAGATTACCCTAAAGTTGCATAAACATTCACCTCCTCTTTAATATTGATCGTCCTAATCATTTGATGAAGAAACATCCTTGTGTCTGCTAGAAATTGACAAACTTGCAGATTGCTCTCAAGCTGATGAAATTCCTGAACCTGGAATGAAATATATCAATACGTTTTAGCTGGTCTTTTTTAAATGCTAGTATCTGAAGTCACCCCACAGACTGATGCGAAATTGTCCAGATTTAAACCGTAATATTTTCCTATCGATACATTTGAAAACCTTTTCGAGGTTTTGTCAATTGCATCGAGCGCACGCGATTCCACGTAATTTCCCATGTCATGATATTTCAAACAGATGTGACTATGTACTAGATGTCTTCAGTTTACCTCTTCGAGAGCTTGCATCAATTGTACAATCTTTCTACCGGCTGCCGTCGAATCTTCGTAATCCAGGGACTGGATTTGAGTTGACATCTCTCTAAACCACGCTTGCAGGTTTTCTGTTTAGGAGAAGAACTGAAACTCAGATGGAAGAAGGATACTTTTTTGCAAAACTCCAAAACCTACCGTTCTTCTGAACTCTGGTAAGAGGCTTCACTCCAGAGAAAACATCAGCCAGTTCATCGATTCTGTCAACACTTTCCTTCTTGCTCAATTCCCATTTCTGTTGCTTCTGTGAGAGCATTTTTTTAAAAAGTTCTTTGACAACGTATTCAAACTGTGCCGTATTCAACAGCATATCAAACCAATAGTTGGCATTGTAACCGCTTGTCAAAACAATTTCACGTATGGCACGACAACGCTTCTGGTTCTCTGAAACTTTAAAAACAAATAAATTTGCTTGAAATTTAGTTGTCTCAAGCTTCTCTATCGGGCTATCCTCATAGAATAAACTATCTTCCAGTTCCATCATATATATCTTCTTCTTTATACGTCAAATTATTAAGAAATTCGACTGTACAACCTCACCCTACCTCCATCAGTGGTATGCAATAAAACCCAACGTAACGTGACGTTACAATCACGAATACAGTTCATTAGTTTTGGAATATTGTCCAGAACATACTCCTCAGTAAGAAAGCCTTCCTTGAGAAACTTCAAAACCTTCACCAAAAAACAAAATTATTTACTCAAAATGATTAAAAATACATGTGATCTTTATTGTCTAAACAATTTCATTACCTGTAGATTTAATTTCTGGACATTACCAATATGTCGAACAGCCTGAAAGGCAAAACCCACAAGAAAAGAATGAATATTTTTATGGTATATACTAACAATTTCTTTGCATTAGTTCTAATTGCATATAATTATACCCTAATTGCTATATAATTGCTATATTAAGCTCTAATTATATTTGTAGGGTTTATTTGTATAAATTATCAAATTTCTTCTAACTCACAAGATCTTTCACATTTGCTAATTCAACAGTGTTATTCAGGGCAGTCTTGGCAGCCCTATAAGGTTCCCATTGTTCCACAAGATTCACAATTATCCCCATGTAGATATTTATCACCTACAAAAAGGTTCATTAAATCATGCTTGTTTTACGAACTTTGTCACACCATTACTGGTGATTCCTGTAGAGCCCTGCCTGAGTCACAGAGTAAACAAATTAATGAAATTATATATAAATTATATTTGCTACGTTAAAGTGAGTTTGCTGCACTCAGAAACATGGTCAGACATGTTAAATATCTATGAACACTATACTGCCAAATGGAGTGTGAATCTGAATCCAAACCCATTCTGTCAATTGAGGCGGTACAGGTGTTTGAGACTTACAGCAGAGCATGATGGAAGGATATTGTTTTGGGCAAGACCACAAGAGATTTTAATAAAACATGACAATGCTTAGGATGCATTTCTAATAGATATAACTTACCCAATTATCAGGAAAATGTTTGTCAACAATCTCTCTCATTGTAGCTTGCTGGGAGTTAAGAATATCAGGAATAAAATACAGTATAACATACAACATTGCTGCTTGCGTTGCTAAGGCTGTGCTCCTGTGCTCCGGAAGCGGATAAGATGAAACCTAAGAATATACATAAATTATCATTTTCCTCCTTTCGCTTTCTACACAAGGTTTATATAATTAGACTACGAGGTCATATTACTGGCTGATAGTTACCTGATTATATATATCATCTGAGCGAAGACGTCCAACCAGCATTTTGATAAATGTTTTAGATATTGGAACACGACTGAATAAAATAAAAATCTGTTGTTATTGCTGTCAGAATCAGCATAGGATATACAGAGAAATGAAGCTTAACTTTAGCCTACATATTCATTGAACAACGAATTGATTAAATGTAGAAGTACCATACATGTGGATAATGTGACAAATCAAGTACACGTACCTAAAGTAATCTTCAGGATACTTAGGTGGTCTTCTTCCAGGTGCAAATCCTGTACTACGAAGCAGCTTGCATACATCATCTATGTTTGACTCAATATCTGCCCTTGAAGCACTAAAATTGTATTGAATAATTTTGCATGATAGTCGATCTTACCCTAACGTGAGGATCTTTTGAGTAATTCATACCAGTATCTATAGTAGGAGACCAGCATTCTTTCTCGTACTTCACCATCAAATTTCATATCAATAAGCAATAACATTACACCATAAAGATACAGTGCCTCTGCCTATAAACCAGGCAACAAAGACATTGCATAAAATCATTTATTTGATATGTGTATACTGGTACTTTTATCAACATGGTAACATTTATTAAGCACAAACCATGAGTTGTTTTCCATCAGCATTAATAAGCAATGTCTCTAATGTTTGTTGGATGAATACACCTTCATCAAGTTCCTCTAAAAATCTATAATCATTTGAATCAACTTTATGACTTTGTTCTGATATTGTATTGATATCATGCACTCATGGCTCTCAAACATCCGCTTTAGACAGTCAACCTACCATAGAGGTTACAGTACATGTATGCATTTATCATACTAACCTGTTTAAGTCAGTGATATATTTATAAACACTCTCGAAGGCAAGAAAAAACCGGGTTAAAATATCAATGTGATTTTCTCTAAATTCTGCATCAAGGTCTTGTAGTTCCTATTATGAAAAACAAAAACAAAATATATCACAATATCCCTTCAGCAACAAAAAAGGGGGATTCAGTCATTTTGATCCAGGTGCATTCCATGGCACAGATTTGCTGACAAGGTTAAACTACAAATGGATCTCCTATCACTATGGTAGCTGTAAGAAAGGTGTACTAAAGTTGCAAGACCTTTCTTGTTGCTTCAGTGCATGGAGCTGCGAGTAGAAGCATGTCTCCAACAAGGTCAATTGCCAACCACTTACAAGTACAAAACAGCACAATATGCCAAGTGGTATCTAAAGTGGGGATATTTGGTATTTTCTACACAAAATTCACCCTGCAAATTACTGGCAAACCATTATTGGTTGCATATTACATATTTAAGTCAACTTAAGCCACACCACGAAAATTATAACCATCCATAGTACACCACCTAATATTAAATTTCACTATTAAATTCAATTAATTCATCATGAAGTTTTCCCATGTTGCTATTATAACAACAAATATCTATCGATCAGAGGAGTGACAATATATTCATTTACACAATAAAACATGCATGAGAACCTATAGACAGTGCATACTCACTGGCTTTGCATCGATTTTTGCTTCGTAAAAATCAGGCCCACGGAAGTAGGAGAAATCGGTTAAGACCTCCCCATATTTCAACTGATTTCTTTTGTTGTCAAGGCGAAATTCTGGAGGGATAAAGTCTGAAAGACGTAGGAGCTCTGCAATGATCGCATTTCCTCTGCTAACAAGCTTTAACAGAGTTTGACCACAAAGATTGTTTTCAGCCAGAAAATCCACCATCTTGAACCCCTTCGGTGTGACCAGTGACTTCAAGAACCGACAACAACCGACAAGTACCGACAACAACCGACAATAAACGACAACAAGCACATATTATGGTAATAGGTAAACCACTTACCCACACCGCCGATTTTTTTGTTGAAATCAAGAGTGAAGAGAAGACTTTAATATACCCTGAAAATGAAACAGAATCAACGAAGATGAAACAATTAAAAATGCGCAAAACTGTAGACATGAAGTCCAAACTCCGAAGTCCAATTATCTTGAAATCAGGAAGAAAGATCGGACGTTAACATTCCCCGAAAATAAAACAGAATCATAACTTAAAAAACGTTTAGGCGTTTAAATCTTGACATTTCCAAGCGTGTGCCACATTAGTTATTTTCTGTGGATATACTTGTTAGGGCCCGCCTCCCGAGACCAGGAAAAGCTTAAATACGTTAAATTTATCATCTATCTCAAGGCTAGCCACTGTAGCTGATTCGTCTATGACGCTAGGCTTGTGGCGATGCATACTCTGTTTCTCACTGAGACGTAACGGTTAGGTGCACATACATCATGGTCTGGGGGCCGTAGTGCATCTCCCCCTTAGACGGCCGTTAAGATGTGAGTTATGGGGGGGAGTTCTTCCTATAGCAACTGTCCTTGCACCTTTCGTAGTTGTAACTATGCTGAATATTGCAGCCGGTTGTATAACCAGGTTAGATTGTGGCATAGGTTGGATGATCTCTTTTACGTTCTTTCCCCAATTTTTTTTTGGCGTGCTTTCTAAATTTTACATACAAAAATATACTGGTATTAAACATATATGGAACGGATATGGTTCGAAAAAAAAATTATATCCGCTTACAACTACCTTAATTTATCCCCGAGTACTCTCCCCAGTCCAAATCTAAAATGGCCGGAAGGCGCTGGTGAAATCACGGTTGTGAAATCGGACTTTAATATAGAAACAATAGAAACTTCGCTATACTAAACACAAAATTAACAAAACATTTTAGCAAGCTAAGCAGTTTAGTAATTTATATCGAGTTTCCTTTCCGGCGAGAATGATGACTATTTTGACCTTAAAAACCCAACAAGGATTGTTTTAGAACACCCAAATGAGTATCAAAACACGAAAATTTCAAATTCTCGCATAGGATATATTATTTTCTTGCTAAAAACACTTGTGTGTTTATGTCGCTAGGCTACTAGTAGGCTTTGTTGCTTGACGACCATTGTGTTGCCCAGTTATAGATTATATTCAGTTATCACAGTTATCCAGGTCAGCGGACATCATCGTAGACTTTGTCCATTTCAGCCCCTCGATTTCGCCGTCATCCCATCCTATTTCGAACCATCTCATGCTACAGGGATGCTGTAAAAGGGAAAATATTGGGTTACGAGAGCTTGCATAGTATCTTGACTGCCTTGGAGGTTAGATTATCTTAGGTTACAAATTGTCGACACTAGACTGAATATTTGTAATTGATAATAACACTGATCCATAAGATCCATGACACTAATCCATAAAAGTTCTACCGATTTTTCTTTATGCTTGGAACTTCTTGTTGAAATCCTGATCGGTGTTTCTCAAACTATGAATAAAACAATGGAATTAAAACATTTTTATTGTTGCAACGAACCAATATCTGGTCCTTAATTTGAACACGTCCCCAGCAAAAGATTACTGAGTTTGTTTTAGTACCTGTTGTTCTGTCATAGCAACTCCATCGACCACCACGGGAGATTTCATTATGTTACCTCTTTGCAATTCGCTTACTTTACTGCGATCCATTAATCGTACCGTAGAATTAACCAAAAACTTTCCACCGTGTGATTCAGTGGTTGTCACAGGAGCTGTATTCTTTAAAGCAATATTCACATTCACTTTGTTAGGAATTTTACCATTCGAGAAATTTGCCTTAGTGAGTAAAATATCAGACGTGATGCGTAATGCCATAAATGGACTGTCTGTGGTTTGACCATCAGTCTGATCTGAATTTTGGTGCTTGACAAAATGTTCCAAGGCTTCGACACGCGATACTAATAACCTTGCTTTTTGCATTCCGCTACACTATATGAGAGGAAATAAACAGTATTTGAGATACAGCTAGCTAACTGTCTAACAAACTAGCTAACAAACAAACTCACCATTTCCACTGGGCAAAATCCTGGGTTGCCTTGTTCACCCTGTGGTCCTCGAAGTCCTGGAGTTCCTGCTGGTCCTCTGTCACCCTTTAAAATACATCATTTATACTGCAGATAAACTTGTGTTATATTAAATATATCATAACATCCTCCACTTCACGTGCATCAAGTCATCTGACGTCATTATTTATGGAAAGTAAAACAACTCCCACCATTGGCCCATCCGTTCCTGTTGATCCATAACGACTTTTCAAATGCAGTAAAATCTTTCCCTGAAAATTAATTCGTTTAAAACGTCATTGTGAGTGAGATATATTTCCCTTCTTGCTGTACGTTTTACTTTTAATAATAATAACTTACATTTCCTGCAGGTACAGCTTCAATGTTAAATCGCTTGTCTTGTAATTTCGGAGGAAACAGGAGCGATTTACCAAGTAAATTAGACCAGATATACAAACAAAGTAGACGAGGACAAAAGTTTAAACATTTAAGATGCATTTCTCGCTTCGAGAACAGCAAAATACCGGGCTTGTAATGTTATTTGTGGTTATTTACGTTTGAATAAGCACGTAAAATCACAGTGTTGTTAACACAGAGCTTTAGAAATAAAGTTCACACATCCAAATCTTTGTTACAGGTCAATTCTGCGTGTTGATAATTCAGTAATAACAGTAACTACCATATTCTTGTACATTAAAATGTGCGATGTTTCTAAAAGCAAAGTTCAGTTGAAAGATTCAACTTCATACCGTACTAAAATAGCGGGTACCTGCAAAAAAACAGTGGAGAGGCAAAAACACGAAATTGATCTCTCCAGAATTGACCGTATAATTTTTATCATCGCAGAGTCATAGTGTAATCATTCGCGTGCTAAAATGTGGAGAACCTACAGTAGCACAAATTAGTTTCTGCGTATATTACAACGAGTGGGGAGTGCGCGAAAAGAAGGCGGCGTGATTCATTGTGCAGGCAGCTCCCTACCTCCCCTCGCTGTTATGATTACTGAACTATAACTGTTTAGCTGGAATGCGCAAATGACAAGACCGCGTATTCGTTTATTACAATTAAATATATTGATAACGAGTGCTTTGACTTTGGTGAACAACTACTGCAGTATTTTTTAGATGTAGTCGTGTGCCTTTGCTTGTGGCGAAGAAAGATTCTGTTGTATGTATCAATTGGAAGGATATGTCATATGAAAAACCTATCATGAAATTATTTAAGAATCAACTTGACAGTGCAAAATAATTTAAAATTCGATTATTACTGATAATAATGTTTTATCATGCTCGAGGAGTTATCGCGTTGAGAAGGCACGGTTATTGTGTCATATATACTATTATGGTATTTTTCCATTTGTAGTTGGTCAGATGGAACATGTGGTGTGGACCTAGGGGAAAGGAAAATACGCATTAGAATATATTTTAGGGCATGTATAGACTATATACTCAAACTGACAAAGTGAAGTGGAGGTGTTCAGTGTTTCTTCACGTATTTCATTTGTCCCGTTTGCATGAATTCAACTAAATGTTTTACTTACAGTGACACCAAAGCAGCCACCATAAGACAAGTCGCAAAAAAGAAAGACACTACAATGATCACCAGGGCCGCGACTAATAAATATTTCACCGTTTCCACATCGTCTTTCAAAACTTAAAGAAACAAACAACATTTTAATTATATATATTCCCCATGCAGGCTGCCTTACGCAAATTTATGCAAGTGGGCTCGTTTGAAAAGACTTACCATAAAAACCTTGGTCAATATCTAGAAAAAAAGAGGCGAAGAGTTGTGGAAATTGACTAAAAATCAGATCTTTAAACTGATATCTACATGAACTAACAACCACCATTTCAAATTAAAATACTCGCCTAAAGACAGTAGGTTTATGTTAGACACGTTTAAATTTCCAAATGCTCCATTAGAAACAGCATCTTTAACCTCTTGTAAAGGTGCTGAGGAAGGTTCTTTCAGAAGGACTGTCACATTTGCTTTAACACTACCAAGACTAAGATAACAGAAAATAATTTTGATGGACTTTCAGAGAATACGGACACTGATTAGCCGAGAATATCCTCTTCTTTTTAGCTAGAAACTAGAGGAGATTTTCTCGGAAAAGTGTACATACCTGAAGTTGTTGATAAAAATACCAATGTAGAGAGGATTATTTCTGTATGCATTATCAAACTAGAGATAAAAAAGGAGAATAGTATGTCAATGTCCTTGGATCTAGTCCATCTACCGGCCTGGTAGATGCAATCACAAGAGACGACTGATTTGTTTATATCCACCTACCGCAGTTGTCACTTGAAATTCAAGCCTCACAAACGAAACACTATATCTGTTATTCAATTCTGGCGTGAATTTCTCGTCAAATGTCAACTGGACACGATACGAAACAGCTGGAAATGGGGACGAAAAAAACTGAGGAAAAACGATGAAAATCCAATCCCAGACCTGTTCACTGAAAACTTAAATAACAACTTAATTATATGATCGCAATTTAGAAGAGAACAACATTTTTGACATCTGTTATCGTTTAGGTGCAAATGGCGAGACCTTTTTATAAACTATGATCTACCTTGTTGACACGTATATGAACCTTTACTGTTTTTGCATCTCTCTCCTGCGCTGCAAATATCAGGATCATCACACTCGTTTATGTCTGCAGAAAAATAGGAGTCTAAGGAGCCGGAATTGTTACTTTGGAAACTTGGACTACAAGAATAACATTGTGTTTCTATCAATAATACGAAAAGGGATTGCAAATTCCTGTTCGACATTTCTTACCAAAACAATTTTCTGTCCCATCTCCAGTATAACCGATCAGGCAGTCGCAGGAATGTGAAACTTGTGTATCTCGACAAGCAGCGTCAGCATGGCATGGACGGGAATTGCATTTCACAGCTATGGAAAATATGAAATGAAAGAGTAACATATTCAAATTGAGAGGTAGAAGAAAAACGATTAATCAGCAGAGTCTTAGATCTTTAGGATTGAGATCCTTTGACCCAGTGTGTCTCAAATGACTACGATATCAAATGTGAAAAAACGCCGTTTTGTTTATAATGAAATCACAGGTTAATACATTGCTACATTCTATTCCAAAAACGCTATATTTGATGAATAAAAACTTAATTTACTGATTTAAAAGACGCGCGGTACTGCGGTACTGCAAAATTAACAACATTACATGTAATTTCATACCTTGACAAGTGACACCATCCCAAGCGAACCCAGGAGAGCAAGTACAAGTATACGAAATTTCAGTGTCTG